GACTCTTCTTTCTGGATTCTTAGAAAAAGGAGGAGAACTTCTAGTATAACCATATACCAATAATTACAGCCTTAACAAAAAATGGAATCCCAACATTTAGCTCAATATTCACCAAATTCTCAATACTTACAAATATTCTTGCTCTTTCTGTTCCTTTTATATATTTTCATTCATTATCCTATTACATTATCAATCCTTGCGTTTCAGCTTCCACTAACTTCGATGACCGTTTCTCATTCTTTATGTCATCTTAAAACACCGTGTATGATAATATACTAGTAACACGAATACTAGTCGATGGTCGATAGTTGTATTTCGTTCCAACAAGTCTCAATTACACTAACGCAGGCCCCACCATTATCTGAGTGACGTAATTTACTCTCCATATTTCCTCTCGAACAAAGACTTACAACAAGACCTTCAAGAATTACAGGATTATCTAAACAAAGTATCGATAGAAATATAGCGAAGTACTGAGCCTCCATCCATCTAGAAAGCACACATGAAGCTTTTCAGTACCATCACACGATCCACTAGCTATTAGACATACGGTTGTATCAAAGGTGTACATCAAACATCTAGTGGCTTTTTCTTCTCCATAACCAGAACCCATAATTCTATGGCAGCGGAAGAACTTGGGGCAGAAACAGGAGTTCGAAAGTCAGTCCGATAAAGAAATTAATGCTACAAGTACAGATAGTCTTATATGCACAGGTCATTGAATTGAGCACGACTTTCATTTGGACTTCTTACGTTGGCGAAACCGCAAATATTGGGTCGGTGGGGCGAATGATTTTTATATCTTTTAAGCTTTAGCCGGGTAACATTAGGTCGTGAAAACGATGTTACAGTAGAGGGCTTCTTAACTATTTACATCCCAGTTATTAAAGCCTCTTCATGCCTAAGATCGATGGTAGCTCTTGGGTTTCTGGAACTACGTCACTTATTTCTATTCTTTGGTACTATGTTTCCAAATTAGTGAAAGGAGCGTTCAGCTTATGCGGGGCTGCAGCAGAAGCATTATTCAAGTCAACGATACAGCCGTTAATTAAGGTATTAACTCTGTTCTTTTGGTCGCCTGCCCAAATATTGCTGAAGAATTTATTTCGCATCATTTTGATGCCAACAAATCTACCGTTACTTTTCTTTTATGACACGACATTAGATGACATTAAAAAGGTTAATTTTCATATGGCGATTGTAACGGTTACAACATGCATTCAATATTTTATTACATTACTGATCATCGGTGTATTTTTTGGAGTTTACTGTGGTATATCATTGGGCCTGATTCACAGATTTGCTAGGATTCCTGACCGTTACATTGACCTCCCGCAAGGAATTTTCAATAGGGTACTATCGCCCTTTAAGCAAAAGGATGCTATTACACCACCAATAAAATATACTTACGAAAATGATATTCCCACGCCATCAACAATATCTCTCGGTAATCGGAGCTTCCATACACAGCGAAGAATATCTCGCTCTTCTCGTGGTAGCGTTTCCAACGCGGTTAGCCACTTACCTCACGATTTCTTCCAGCCCAAAACACCTAGCATGCAGCAGGAAAAACGCCGCCCGGATCCCGTTAGAATATCTCCGCTCAGTATGGAAATTGATGATTCAAGTGAAACTACGTCAATATCTTCAAACATGTGGGATTATACAGAAAACTTACCAGAAACCCTTAGAACTGACGTTACCGGTGGTACCTACCAAATACCGAGGTCGTTCACAAGTGGTAGAGATTCCTCGTCTTTACTAGCATCTAAAGCAGTCAAACGCGGAGTTTAGGCATAATTTCTTGAGTAGCTACTCGCATAGTTGACCAGAATGTACGAAATAGTATAAAGTACGACAAAAGTGTTGATCTGACCTTGGCTGACAACGTTGGATATGCTATCTTAGCGCCTTGAAAAAAAGGCCGGAACAAAAACACTCACGGTGGGGGTCGAACCCACAATCTTCTGATTAGAAGTCAGACGCGTTGCCATTACGCCACGCGAGCCTTGTTGCTGATTTTGGTATGCTAATTCACTATATATATTTGATAACCAAGATGTCGTAATAGTGGATATAGATTCTAACTGAAAATACCATTATTATTATCTTCTTCCATTGTGAGCATATTATTTAAACTTGCCACGACACAAGATTGAGCTGGAAAGGGTGGATTTCTTATAAAGGTATTCCTCAGTACGTATTACATGCTTCTGAATCTTCGCAGGGGAAAAAGATCACTAGGAATCGTACTTTTATCCCTTCATAGATCTGTTGGATCTTGTCAAAACCAGCAAATGGCAATCAGTAGAAACACGACAAGACAGGAAGGGCGCACATCATATGTGGACATTGTCAAGAATCGTCTTTCGACGCTGAAATCGAGGTTCTTTTTTAAACCAGGCGACATTGAAATTTTAAACTCTCCTTTGGACTTTTATGATTCACTGAAACGAAAGATCTCACTAGCTGAGAGAAGAATATTTATGGCATCGCTTTATCTCGGAACATCTCAAGACGAATTAATAAATTGCATATCGGAAGCACTCCAAAGAAAACCTGAGCTAAAGGTTTATTTCTTAGTTGACGGGTTAAGAGGCACGAGGGAAACTCCGAATAAGTGCTCGGCTTCTCTTCTTGCCCAATTAGTTCAGAAGCATGGCGATAGGGTTGATATAAGACTTTACCGCACTCCTGAATTTACCAATCTTAAGAAGGCCTTGATTCCTAAGCGTTTAAACGAAGGGGTTGGTTTGCAACATATGAAGATTTACGGATTCGATGATGAAGTAATTCTTTCCGGTGCAAATTTGTCTACTGACTATTTTACCAATCGGCAAGATCGTTACTACATTTTTAAATCAAAATCCTTCTCTGACTATTATTTTAGGCTGCACCAGCTCGTTAGCAAGATCAGCTACAAAGTCTTGTACTCTACTTCTCTTCAAAAATACTCAATGGTATGGCCGAGTTCCAACTTGACAGTTGAGCCGATCTCTAATAGGAAGACATTTTTGAATGATTGTTCCATCGCTTTTCAGAAGTTTCTTAATGATCCGGGTACAGAGAATAGATCTCATGCTGAGAATCAAACAGAATATCCTACAGTTGTCTATCCTGTCTCTCAATTCACTCCCCTTTTTGGAAAAAATGCGGACCATTCGACTGAGAAAAGAAGTATTTTAAACATTTTATCTTCAATCCCAAGCTCAAATGTGCGATGGACATTTACTGCTGGCTATTTCAATATGCTGCCTGAGATAAAAAAACTACTTATTGCATCTCCTTCAAAACAGGGCTGTGTAATTACAGCGTCACCTTTTGCGAACGGATTTTTTGAGTCGAAAGGTGTTTCTAGTCATTTACCAGACGCATATTTACACTTGTCTCATAAGTTTTTAAAAGAAGTCGAAGAAAACGGCAAAAGTGCTGAGATTTCTCTGAAAGAATGGAGGAAAGGAATAGTTAATACACCAGGAGGATGGTCTTACCATGCTAAGGGTATATGGCTTTCGGACAATGATGAGAACGATACCCGCCCCGCAATAACAGTTATTGGGTCCTCTAATTATACTAGGAGAGCGTATTCAGTAGATCTGGAGTCTAATGCGATCATTGTGACCAGAGATTCGGATTTGAAGCAGAAGATGGAAGCGGAGATTGAAAAGCTGCAAGCTAATACGAGTGATGTCACTTTAAGTGATTTCCAGAATGATTGTACTCGTAAAGTCAGCCCTGGCGTTCGCATGGCCACTAAAATCCTAGGCAAAAGGCTATAAATATCCCATGGGTACCTGTAAATAATATAACAAGTTTTCTTAAGGATAAGTTCTTGTCAACTTTTTAATCAGTGTTTTTTTTCGGTAGAATGGGCTTTCTGCCGAGATATGCGAACTGGGCTTGATATAGGATGATGGAAAGAAAAATCAGTTGACTTAGTGACCTGAAAATTGGGATGTGGTTAAAGGGTATCTTGTAGAATATTTTTGGACCTGCTAGCATATTTCCTATAATAGCTGTAAGCACTGAAAGCATACTCAGTACGACGAACTTTGAGGAGACACCTTGTGTGCAAGAGCCCATCCAATTTAAGGTTACCTGCGGCACTATGTGAAAAGCCGATAAGAAATTCCCAATCATCCACAAGTAATTTATATGCTCCAGGTAGAATATGCCGAACCTGCCCATGTCTTGATCGGGCAGATAAAGAGAAGAGCAAGCAAATGTAAAAATGCTAAAAGAAATGGCAAAAAGAAGGACAAAGACACAAATAATAGACAATCCTTGGTGTATGTGTTGCGTTGAGCGGTATCTTATAAGCTGTTTCAAAACAAGGCAGACGCAGAAGACATTCATAAACTCTGCAATCAGCAGCCCTACCGAAATGGGAACCTTTGTCTCGTCTCGAGGATAAAACAAAGGAAACCTTCTGGAAAGCTGATTGCGAACTAGCGGAGAAAACATGTACTGTAATGTACAGTAAATAGATATGCAACAGGAGAATAGATTAAGCACATACATGTCGTAAGAAAGGCCATATATGGATCGATGTAATCTGTTATATCGCTTTTGATAAAGGATTGCCACGCACTTCAATAGAGGTCAGTCATTTATGTAATTAAAGCTGACTGAGCTTGTATAACATACATCCAAAATTAATGAGATAACTTGGAACATGGCTTCTGCCTTGTGATTTGTGTGTGATTTGGGAAAATACATTTTCAAGATCTTTCACCTCGCGAAAAAAAAAAACAAAACTGCCAGCGAACATTTCTCTCACATTATTCTAAAATCTAGCACACACAATGGAATTGAACAGTTCCGAGTCTGGTAAAGAAGTAACAGCTTTTCTAAGCAAGTACAAGCAACTTTATCAATTGTATTTGGATCGTACCACCCCTCATATCAAATATAGATGGATATGTCTGGCGGGGCTCTTAGCAGTCTTTTTTTTGAGAATTGTCTTTGCCCAGGGTTGGTATGTTGTTTGCTATGGACTGGGGATTTTCCTACTGAATCAATTTCTAGCGTTTTTAACTCCAAAGTTTGACGTGTCCTTGCAACAAGACGAAGAGAACAATGAACTAGAAGCTGGAGAAAGAACAGATGAGTTCAGACCTTTTATCAGGAGACTACCAGAGTTTAGATTTTGGCATAATGCAACAAGAGCAACTGTCGTGAGCTTATTTTTGACACTATTCAACATATTTGATATTCCCGTTTTCTGGCCCATCCTCTTGATGTACTTTATTATACTGTTCGCCTTGACTATGAGAAGACAAATACAGCATATGATCAAATACAGATATGTTCCTTTAGATATTGGCAAGAAAAGATACAATAATAAGAAATAAGAACAAAGTGCTGGGGTATTTTTCGTGAATGACCACGTTTTCCTTGTCAAAGACCTCTGGAATATGCACATTTAACTTAGCTTTAGATGTGCTTGAAGCACACATGAAAAGCTATTTAAGTAATCAAGCACATATTTTTTTAAATAGCTTGTGTTCTGTTGACTTCATGAATATAAGAGCTAGCTCTTGACGACGGATGTTATCTCGTAGCTTTGGCTTAATCCCCAGCTATTATCTTTTTAAACGACGCTAACTTAAGACTATATTCTTTCATTTTGTCATATAAATCAACGGACAACTACCGGAATTCAACTAACCACAATGAAGTTGATAAGCCAAGTAAAGGGCACAAATAACTCTAATGGGGCAATTCTAACCTTATTGCCTCAAGATAAAGAGGATCTTTTTACTCTTTATAACATCATTAATACTGATGACGAAGTTATCTTCAAGAAAATGATTACTTCAAAAGCAGATGAATCGAGCAAGAAAACCACTGACCTTGTAAGATTGCGCTTAAAAATCATTTCATCCGATTTTGAGCCGCAGCATGAATTTTTAAGGTATAAAGGTGTCACTACGGTTGACGACTCTGGTAAAGCTAACATCGATGTTCCAATTGGGAAATTCTTCAGCTTCACTGTGGACTACAAGTATCCCTTTACATTGATTAAAGAAGATTTCAATTCTTATGTTTCTAAACTATTGAATGACTCTTGTAATGTTGAGGGTCGTTCGGATATTGCAGCAGTTGTTCTTCAAGAGGGTATCTCTCATATATGCCTTTTGAGTTCTTTCACTACCATTTTAAAAAACAAAGTTGAGTACAGTCTGCCAAAGAAAAAAAGGTCTACCGATATAGCCAAATTTGATGAAAAGACTGAGAAGTTTTACAAGGCGACTTATAATTCAATGAAGAGACACTTCGATTTTGATAAACTAAAACTGATTATCTTATGTTCTCCGGGGTTTTATGCTAAAACATTATTTGAAAAAGTTCTGGAATACGCACAAGCAGAACAAGAGAAAACTATTTTGAACAACAGATCGAAATTTTTAGTTGCGCATTGTTCAACAGGCTATTTGCAAGGGATAGATGAGGTCTTAAAAAACCCAGCATACGCGTCGAAGTTACAAGATGCGAAGAATTCAAAGGAAGCACTTGTTATGGATACTTTCCTGACACATTTGAATGAAGATGATTACAAGGCATGGTACGGTGAAGCTGAAGTAACCAAAGCTTCCGCTATGGGGGCAATCGACACTCTACTAATCACAGATAGTTTATTGCGCGCAGATGATGTCAATATTCGCAAAAAATCATTAGAGCTAGTAAAAGAAGTCGAGGCGACGGGCGGAAAAGTCTTTGTTTTTAGTTCTTTGCACAATTCAGGTGAGGAACTTGAAAAGTTGACGGGTTTGGCATGCATCCTGAAATTTCCTGTACCTGATCTTGATGAGGATGAGGATGAATAATCACTAAATACCAACTATATACGATAGTTTACCATAAAATATTATCAAAATAAAAGTAAATAATCACGTGCCTTCATTTTAAAACCTTTGTATATTGAATATTTACTATATAAATAAATGAGAATTATTTTAAATTATTGTATACTATCAATTTATAAATTATAGCTTTTATAATAAAGCTTTTATTATTTTTGTTGGTGAAGTTTTTTATTTTATATGTTTTTTGGTGGCACAGTTCCGAAAATATTTTAAATGTTGAAGCTAAGTACCGTTATTTATTATCACTATAATTTGTGTAAGAACAGCATTTCTCTTTGATGTCACATATGGCCGGTAATCAAAGATATCACAGTGTTTCAAAGCCCTTAGTAATAGTCTTATCTATATTCATACGTTTACCTGAATTTTTCGATCAATTACGGCCAAGTTTTTTCTTTATTAATATTTCATTCACAGACTGTGATCTTTGATGACAATTAGAAAAGTTACTAATTTGCACTTACATGAGTAAAATACGATATTAAATATCGGACTTCTCTTCAATGATGTGAAAGTTGCCCATCGAGCCCATCGGAGATACATAACTCAGCATGAAAATATAAACACCTCACTTTTGTTGCATTTACTCGAAATTGCGGGTTGTCACAATATCCTCGTTCATAAAATATGCTGTCCAACGCTAAATATACCTTCATATTGGAATTTATATTGAAAATGGCAAAATACCTTCTCCTTATGTGACCTCTGTTGTTGCGGAAATCACCTATATAGTAAAGTTTAAGAATCACTCACTTGCAAGAAAAAAGTGTAAATTACAAAACTACTGGCTGGGACGTTGGAGCATCGGGTTAGAGGCTTGAGACAAGTGAGCTGACGCACGAGTATTGGCATTTTCTTTCAATGCGATTAACTGTCTAGACCTGAAACCCTCGTAATGGACAGCTGATGTGGTCTCAATCAAGTCTTGTAAATGAGTACGAATTAAAAACTCTCTCAAATAGACAAATTCACACTGATTTATATCCTCAACAGCTATCGATCCCCATCGTGTCTTTCTTCCTCTGACCACTTCCCCATTGACAGTGATCTCTGTTTCCGAACCAACAACAGCAAAAGGAATGATTGACCTTATACTTTCATTCAATTCAAGTTCTTCCTCCGTCAAGTCGTCAGAATCGTATGGATATATTTTGAAGTTATGTTTCCTGAATTCCTGTTGAATGATTTCTCTAAAAGCAGTTCTTTCATCCATAGTTAGCGTGTCTGCCTTAGCTATCACCGGAATTACGTTGGCAATTTCAGTGAGTCTCTTTAGTGCAGCAATATCCAACTGCGTTAAGCCTTTTCCATTAGGTTGAATGAAATACAAAAGCGCGTGAACACGTGTATCAGAGATGTGCCTTTCACGTTGAGCGGTCAGTTCCCTCCGTAAGTACTGAGAATGCTGTTCCTTGATGTACTTGACAATAGGTTCCCAAACCTTGTCATTGTTGATCTGATCACCAAAACCAGGTGTGTCGATAACATTTATGCTTAGCCGAACTCTGTCCTCAATCAAAGAATGTGATGAAACCTTGATTTCTGTAGTTTTAGTAATTGGATGTTTAGAGATATCCTGACCAGTCGAAGAATCAATTAAATGAGAGGAAAATAAGGTGTTGATCAAAGTACTCTTACCAAGCCCCGAATGGCCAACGACCATTATGTTGAACTGAAAACCCTTCTTTAGCAAGCGGTGCTCAATTTGACTTGTAATGGTATCAAAACCGACATATGAGCTTGGAGAAATAACTTTGACATCAGAAATGTTAGACATCTTAGTTAGGAGCTTTTAGAAATTGTCTTCTGCTATAAAAACAAGTCGCGTAAGAACGAGATTTTAGTTTTTCTGATTGGGAAGAATTCCAATACTGCGATACTTCGAGGCGTTAGAAGTGATACAGAAAATTTTTTTGCATTTCGCTCCTTTAGCTTGGAAAAGAGTTGTACAATACGTTCATAATTGTTATCTAGCTACTTTAAACTCGGCCGTGATGTCCCTGATATCCAGTTTGCCTATGAACTGGGTACTTTCGAAGCCACTTGCTATCCTTCCAAGATGGAGTATTTTAGTTCCTTCTTTTCTAGGGCGTCATACTGAAGTTAAACACCTAGAAGATATCCTAAAGAAACCCAGTGAAAGCGCTCCTTCGCTTTGCGATTTCTTTTCTAATAATGGGATACTGTTAGCTGTTCCTAAGAAGAAGGTTTCCCATCAGAAAAAGAGGCAAAAACTGTATGCACCAGCAAGAAAGCAATTGAAAATGATACATCACCTGAATCAGTGTCCTTCTTGTGGTCATTATAAAAGGGCAAACACTCTTTGCATGCATTGCGTAGGTGAAATTCGCCATATATGGAAAACGCATACGGCAAAGGAGGTGCTGGAACCCCCTCAAGAACAAAACATGTCTGACTTAGACAAGCGTATTTTGTATCCTGGAAAGAAAGATACAGAATATATGAAAAAGCTGAAGGATAAGGACACTTACTTAGAACGCCGTATGAAACCTTTGCCAGTTGAGAAGAAGAATTAAATACAAATCAATAGCCCACATTAATTTAGTCGGTGATGGACACCTGTACATAGATGATGACAATTGAATACATGAAAGTTCAGTTTCCTCTGATAGCCAGGTCAATTATTGTTCCCAAATTCTTTGAATAGTTGCTACCCTAGGCCTTTCGACTATTACGCTGACCGTATGTCAATGAGTAGGGAGATATTTGAGTCAGATGTAAAAAACCATGATTTTGATGTACATCGTCAATTGATACTTAAAAAAACACCAATGTCTTCGTAGAACATCTGATCATGCGACATTTAATCATGGATGAAAACATGATGAAGGTCATTTTGCATACGATGCTCGTTTAAACAAAAACCAAAACGAATGGCGGTGAAAGGCAAAGTGGGTGTTTCGTACTCTAAAAAGTCAGAAATTCAATACATCAGACTGTGTATGTATATATATTATCCACCGTACATCAATCGATGATTCGTGAAATGTGAAGACGTCAAAATAACACCAGTGGTACTCTCAAAAAAAAGAAATTCTTATGTATTTCATTTTTCTATGATGATTTCAGCGATGCCCTGCATCTGAGTTGAAGATCTAATCACCGGAGGAACAAGGTCCTTGACCATGACTATCCAACAGAAGAAAGCTAAGAGAGTTCCTAACTTCCGTATAAATGCTTATACTGTTGCACCAAGCCATCCCCTGGGAGTGAAACCATCAGGAAATGCATTATTCGAATCCGCAGACTTAACAAAGCAAGCGAAGATCAAAGACAATCTTTTGGGACGATTAAGCAGATTTCCTGAGGAGCTGTTAATGGAATTTATCTCATATATTGATAACCCGCGGGATTTGCACAATTTAGGCTGCGCTTCTCGGATTCTCTACGCTTACACTTACGATGAAGAACACTGGAGGAGGTTATTCATCAAGGAATACATTCGAATGGAAAATGAATCCAGGGAACCGAATGCCAATATTTACCCATTCGAATGCACTAAGTGGATGGGGTCTTGGAGGAAAACCGTGTTAAAAGTCGAGCACGAAGCATTGATAAAGTCGAATGATTTAATATTTTCGGATTTGCTTTATAGGCCATATCAGTGTTCACAAATTGACTACCTGGAGCTATTTAGTAAAGTCATTGATTTTGAAAGAAGATCTAGCGACTTGGGCCACAATTTGAATAGTGATTTTGGTATTGATCGGTTTGATGAGAGTGAGTTTTCGCTAGAGAAATTCAACAATGACTTTGTGAATAAACCTTTCATTCTACAATGCAAAAAGAATCCCACAAGATGGCCGAAGTGGAACTTAGATTCGCTTTTGGATAAATTTTCAAAAGTTAAATTTCGCCAGGAGGCGGTTAAGTGGGATTTGAGGCTATATGCTGAATATTTTCATAATAATCGAGATGAATCACCCCTTTATCTTTTTGATTGTAATAGCGAGGCTGTTAAGACAATTAGAAAAGAATATTCATCTCCAAAAATATACAATGACGATCTCTTTAAGCTGTTTCAGGAAAATAATGTGAATTGTAGGCCAGATCATAGATGGCTTATAGTAGGTCCTGCGAGAAGTGGTTCTACATTTCACAAAGATCCTAATCAGACTTCTGCCTGGAATGCTGGATTAACTGGCCTAAAACTATGGGTGATGCTGCCTCCGCATGTCAAACCGCCCGGCGTGTCAACCGATGCTAACGAAGAAGAAGTTACGTCTCCTGTTGGTATTGCAGAATGGGTAATTTCTGGGTATTACAATGATTCTGTTAAGTTGGCCCAAGAGGGGAAATGCTTAATCGGTGTTACCTTTCCCGGCGAATGTATATATGTTCCATCAGGATGGTGGCACACCGTGATAAATCTAACCGACTCTGTTGCGATTACAGAGAATTTTGTTCCTCTTCCTATACTTCCAAAAGTTCTAATGTTTTTCAAACACAAGAAGACGCAAATATCAGGGTTTCATTTGAAGGATTTTGTTCATTCTGTGAAACAGTTTCTCGGCAATGTCTCTGATGTCAAGGATTTATCAACAGAGAATCTCAAAATGTTGAATAGTTTTATCGAAAGTAGCAAAAATTATCATTTCAATAATGATGATTGCGGGTTGCATGACAGGGTGGAGTTTGAAACCCCATTGTTTGAGTTTTTCGTGGAATTAATTCGCAATTCAAAATATGAAGCTAACCTTAATGAGGCGTTCGAAAAAGTTAACGAAATGGAAAATGAGGAGCTCAAACGCAAGATTTTAGATTCTCACAATAATGTTAAAAAGTCAGAGGTTTGGCATAAGTTAGCATCTGAGTCAAAGGATCAATTTTCTTTTGGTTTCGATACAAACGATATGTAATTGCTGCATTCTATGCCACTACTTTAAGAAGATTCATTAATTGTTGATCTTCAATTTTACCCATGATCGTACATCCTAGAAAGTTACACTGAGCAATGTCCTGTCACCAACTCACTACATAACAACACAACAGTCCGTCAACTTACTTTTGTTTTCTTGTTTTTCGCTAGCAGCAGGTTGAGTCTGTCTAGCGGCAGCAGTCTTCTGTGAACTTTGGGCAGCCTTAGCAGATTCCTTTTCAGACTTGCCTAATGGAAAGTGTTTGACAGTTTTGTAGAAGGTTTTACCCTGAGTTTCTGCAATTCTCAATTCTAACGCAGAGGCCGTTCTGGAACCATCAGGGCCCGCTAGAGTTCCGGCTCCCCATGCAGAACCACCGTGAACTTCTTCGACATTTGACATCTCGGCAAATGTGTTTTTGTAACCTAGAGGAATGAAAATGAGACCATGGTGAACCAAGTAAGATAGAGAGCTCTTGATAGTTACCTCTTGGCCACCACCATAGGTACCCGTGGAAACGAAGACACCCGCTGGCTTACCATAAAGAGCACCTTTGGTCCAAAGGCCTCCTGTTGAATCCCAGAAGGCGGACCATTGTGCTGGCAAACTGCCGTATCTTGTAGGAATACCGAACAAAAATGCGTCATACTCTTCCAAAGTTTGAGTAGTTGCTACAGGAACATCTTCAGGCTTACTTGGTGCATGCATTTTAGCCAAGATTTCATCTGATAGAGTTTCCTCCACTCTAAACAAATCTGCTTTACCGCCTTCAGCCTCAATGCCCTTCTGGATGGCTCTTGCTAGTGTATCGATGTGCCCATACAGAGAGTAGGTAATAATTGCGATTTTGACCATTTTCTAACGATGAATTAATTGGTAGTCTAACAAGCTGACCTTATTATCGACGTCTCGAAGGGCTTGTTTTTCGCAGCGCAAAAAACCCCTTGAATTTTATAGAAATTTTGTCGGGCGAGCGCCGGTCCACCATGGGCGAGAAATTAATTTGTCAACAGTGACAAAAGTATGTTAGTAATTTCTTACTAAAAACAGTACATATTGACAAGATGTACAATGCCTGGAGGTTCTTTATAAAACTTATTTAGGATAAATAATACAGTTAGAACTTAGTAACACCTCGAAAAGTTGACTGTAGATACACAATTGTTTCTAGAAGTAACTTCTTATTACATAATTTCAAACGTTTCGTGAGCATGGAAACAACAGGAAAAGTCTAATTCTAACAAAAATTTGTAAGCTGCATCAATGCTAGATCAGTAATAAAATGTAATGTGGTATGATATAGTTATACTTTCGTTAATAATATTATTATACATGTGTTAACAGTTTGAAGAGTTTTGCAGGCGGAGGAGAGGAGGTTTTAAGGAGGTAATCTTCGTTAAATATAGTTATCGTTTCCTATACTTTCCTTAAATAATCCGGAGACCAATTACTTATTTAGAGGTTTTTTTTTCTTTTGTTCTTTTCTCTTTCATTTCCTATCGTGTCAACGTAAATTTGATTTCACTTTTTCAAACCATTAATCCATCCCATAACCGTCATTGCAAACATGCGCGGCGAATTTCCTCGAAAATAATCATTTCTTGGCGTTGATTGACTTGACCAAGCTGATGTACTTTTCAGTGGAGAAGGATTTTGGTCTCTCGATTGGTTGTCCAACGGCTCTGTCGATAATCAATTGTGCCAATACACCCAACGCTCTGGAGACACCGAACAATACAGTGTAGAAAGAGGCCTCGGTCAAACCGTAGTACTGCAATAGAACACCAGAGTGGGAGTCGACATTTGGCCATGGGTTCTTGGTCTTACCGTGCTTAGTCAAGACGCCAGGGGCAATATCGTAGATGGCAGAAACCAACTTGAAAAGGTCATAGTCTGGGAAATGCTTTAGAGCAAACTCACGTTGAGCGGTGTAACGAGGGTCGGTCTTTCTCAAGACGGCGTGACCGTAACCGGGCACAACTCTACCAGAGTTCAAAGTGTCCCACAAGTATTTCTCTATAGTGTCCTTAGAGTAATCACCCTTGACCTCCTCTCTCAACTTGAAGAGCCATTCCAAAACCTCCTGGTTGGCGCGACCGTGCAATGGACCAGCCAAACCGCACAAACCAGCGGAGAAAGATAAATATGGAGAGGACAGAGCAGAGCCAACCAGATGGGTGGTGTGAGCAGACACGTTTCCACCTTCGTGGTCTGCGTGGATGGTCAAGTATAAGCGCATCAACTCGACGAACTCATCATTTTGGTAGCCCAGTAGGTGAGCCAAGTTCTTACCGAAATCGGCGTTAGGGTCCACGGCCACGAGCTTGCCGTCTTTGAACACGTTGCGGTAGATCTTGGAGGCGATTACAGGTAGCTTACCGATAAGGTCTAGGGAGTCCTCGAAAGTGTAATTCCAGTAATCCTTTTTGTTGACACCTTGGGCGTACGCCTTCGAGAACTTGGATTCGCTCTCCAGCGCAGTGATTGCGATGGAAAACTGCGCCATAGGGTGCAAATCTTTGGGCAAACTGTCGAGCAGGTCCGAAACGTGCTCAGGAAGCTCGGAACGGGACGCCAGGTCCGCGGAAAGCGCCTTAACTTGGGTCTCGGTGGGGATCTCGCCGGTCAACAGCAACCAGAAAAGCGCTTCTGGCAGGGGCTCGGAGCCACCAGCACCCTTGGGCAGTTCCTTTTGGATCTCGGGGATTGTGCGGTTTCTGAACCGGATACCCTCTTCTGGGTCCAGCACGGAGCCTTCCCACACCAAACCCTTAATCCCACGCATACCACCGTACGCTTGCTTCAATTGAACCTCTCCAATCACTGTGTCACCGTATTCCTTCTTGAGTTGCTTAATCTCCTCGGCCTTGGCTGGAAACAACTCGGCAAAACGCTCCTTTAGAGTTTTTTCGCCATTGCTGTAATTGCGTGCCACCGCCAGCAGACTAGGTCTGGATGATGCATTTTGCAGTAGACTACGTGTTAAAGTGGATCTGGAAGAAGCCAGTATAGAAGACATTTCTCAGTTTCTCAGTTTATGAATATGGAAATAGAAAGTAAAGTAACACTTAATAAATAAAATACCTTTCCTGTACTGACAAAAGTTTTAAAAAAAGACTTTTGCTAATAATCTTCAACTTAAAGAAACACCAATATATATAGCTTTCGTCCACCATTTTAATTACATCCCGCCCCCTATAAATAAAGGCTCCGTCTCGGCTGCCGTTGCAAGCTACGACGACGCTCAGCGCGCTACGCGCGCGCTGAGCGCTCTTACTGGCGTACAGTCTTTCTACCATGCATAATGTTATCAAAAACCAGGTCACGACTTGTGACCTCCTGCTTGTGACCGCCCCACAAACACACGCATGTGGCGTTTTTGTGCGGCCGATTCTGAGGGGCTCGGCGGTTGAAGTAAGGATCCGATTCGAAATTACGTACCGGGCGTGACCAATCGGGGACCGGCGTTTCGCATCATTACCCCCGCGGGAAGGAAACCACCAGGAACGTGAAAGAACCCGGCGCAAACGAACCGCGCGGTCAAATTGCAAGGAAAAAAGGGGCGGGAGGTGAAAAAAACACAAGTTGGGGCGAGCCGGGACTCGAACCCGGGACCTCCCGCACCCTAAGCGGAAATCATACCTCTAGACCACACGCCCAGTTGTTGAGGGCCGGAGGGCGGAAGGTGTACTTGAGGGAGGCGGTAGTAGCGGGGCCGGGCCGAGGCCGGGCCGAGCGGGCGGCCAAGCCGGCAGGCGCTGCCAAGCGAACATGGGGAAGCTCGAGTGGGAGGAGCGGGAGGGAGCGGGAGCAGCAGGAGAGGGCGGGAAGCGCAGGAGGACGAGGAGGACCAGGAGGACCAGGAGGACCAGGGGGTGAGCTGGTCCACAGTGCAGACGGGCGCAGGCAGACGGGCGGAGTTGGCTGCTCGTGGCCCCACGACAGTCCCTGGCAATCGCGCCGCCTCGTTCTCAACGGGGCGCAACCGCGCGTTTGCGCGCGGCTGCAGTTACCTCGCATGCGCCTCGGGGGGCGGCGGTTCAACTCCCCCCGCGGTCGTTTAACGGCGAGGAAAATTTTTCGCTTGTCCTCGATGACGTCTCCGGCCCAACATGTGGGCTGGGCATTTGTCAGTGCGGACGAGAGAGAAAAAAATTACGGCAGTGAAATGGCGGCATCTGCCGTGAGGCATCAGACAAACGTCAAATCCCAAAAGTTTCTCGTTGAGCGCGGGTACAAGTCAAGTTCTCGTAAGCAGTCGACCAGACTTGAAAAGAGTATAATAGCAGGTGGAATACCAAAGCCAAGAGCGGATAGTTGGTGAGTCGAAAAGTCAGGTTTGAAAAGTGGATTTTCGACGCTTTCCCGCTTGAATATTGCTAGGCATCGGTTTAGACCCGTTTTCTCAGTAGAACGGCGAGAAATTTGGAAAGAGTGGCACTAGGCTTTCGAGTACGTATCCAAGCGGCTCCTCCCACAGTTTACGATGGCTGTGACCTCTGATTCTGCGGGTACGCGCGCCCGCAAACACACGATAACGTCCAAGATCGGCAAGCTTTTTGGCGGGGGCAAGAGCGGCGGCCAGGCCGCTGGCGCGGCCGCCGCCGCCCCCGAGTTGGGTGTGAAACAGGTTCAGGTACCGTCTCCGACGAACTCCACGCTGTCGTTCACCAGCTTGGGCAACGATTTGCATCTGACGCCCGAGCTGTCGCGGCCCAACTCGCCGCCCTTGTCACTCACCGGGCGGGGCGCAAGCGCTGCAAACGGCAACGGTGCCGGCACGCACGACAGCAACTCCCTGCATACTTCCAAATCGCTGACAGAGTCGATCGGCAAAATCTCCAGTAGCTCGCTCAACTTGCCGGCGGGCTCCGCGCCCTGTATGGCGCGATTTGTGGTCCACGAAGATGGCAGCCACGAGCATCACCTCAAGAATGCCAAACGCCAAGAGAAACTCGGAAGCATGATCAAGAACATGCTGGGTGCTCAAAAGTTGAGGGGCGAGGCCAAGTCTGCAGTCCCAGACATTCTCATGAACAAAAGGAACCAGCAACCCATAGTGGGTCCTCCTTCTCTATTTTCGGGATTCATGAAGCAAGTGGCCACCATGGAGCAAGACGGCCCTTACAGCGGCGCCTCTCAAACCCCAAAGGACTTTTACGCCAACGTTTCGGCAGCGGACCTCAAGCGGAATTCCAATACTTTGGCGCCCATGAAAAAAGACCTACTCTGTTTCGCAGAAAAATACGGCCGTTGTCAAGAAGTTGTGGGCAAAGGCGCGTTCGGTGTCGTTAGAATATGCCACAAGAAATCCCAGGACGCCCCCAACGGCGAAAAATTGTATGCTGTCAAAGAGTTTAGGAGAAAGCCTTCCGAATCTCCTGAAAAATACTCAAGAAGACTCACATCAGAATTTTGCATTTCATCATCTTTGAAACACACAAACATCATAATGACTCTGGATCTGTTCCAAGACGCCAAAGGCGACTATTGCCAGGTGATGGAGTACTGCTACGGTGGTGATCTATTCACCTTGATAGTTGCCGCAGGGAAATTGGAATATTTGGAGGCAGATTGCTTCTTCAAGCAACTGATACGAGGCGTAGTTTACATGCATGAAATGGGTGTTTGCCACAGAGATTTAAAACCTGAAAACCTTCTATTAACGTCAACCGGTCTTTTAAAAATCACCGATTTCGGGAATAGTGAGTGCTTCAGAATGGCATGGGAAAAAGATATACATTTAAGTGGAGGGGTTTGTGGTTCCAGCCCCTACATCGCTCCAGAAGAATATGTTCACGAGGAGTTTGATCCGAGACCCGTTGACATATGGGCCTGTGGTGTTATATATATGGCTATGAGAACAGGAAGACAGCTTTGGAGTACAGCTCAAAAGGATGACGAATTTTATGCCAAATACCTGAAAGGTAGAAAAGATGAAGCCGGCTATGAGCCCATCGAGGCTTTAAAACGTGCAAGATGTCGAAACGTTATTTATTCGATTCTGGACCCCGTTCCCGGGAGAAGAATTAACGGCACTCAAATTTTGAACAGCGAATGGGGCAGAGAAATTAAGTGCTGCCACGACGGACATGCTCTGAAGTAGACTTCATAAGCTAGTGTACATCAATGTCTTTACATTTTTTTGAATTATCGCATTTCGATTTGGGAACCTTTTTTAGATGACTTAATTGCCGGTGAATCATAAAAGTTTTGTATTATAATATTTTGCCACGTAGACCACATCACATATATTTTTGAATAATAATTCAACATAACTGCACAATTGAACCAAGTGCTTTGCATCTCTCATAACTCTACAGAGAAATAATCCAATCAACCAAACTTGAATGTTCTGGCTGTGTCCAAAGAATTAAAACTTAATAATTGCAATAACTTAAAATAAAACAGATAAAGGTATATAGAATATATTACATTTGTTATTTGCCCTAGAATTTGTTATAGTTGGTGGAAATCTTCTTGTTAGTCAGCCTGTCCCTTCTCCTATTTATGAATTTCAATCCCGTATCAACCTCATTAGAACTCACATCATCAGGGCTTAAAATCAGCTCTTCGTGTCCTAAATAAAACATTTTCATAATGTTCCCAAATGTGACAACAATAGATTTCGCACCAAACTTTTCAAGGGGACCAATCTTATTTACAAGAAGACCGTTAACTCCTGTAGGAATTTTATGAAAGGATATTCTGCCATCCGTGGTCATTGTCCATCCTTCCCATATATTATGGATATTATAATCCACAGACCTAGAAGTATTCATTCGCTTACTTTTCACTCTACTTTGCAGTTTGGAAAGGGTTGCACCAGACTCTTCAGAAGAGCTCCGCATCATCGATGAGGAACCTGCCTTTGACTCTATCCTATCATCTTTACGTCTTATTCCAATGATCATATTGTTTTCAGTGAAATTCCATCCATCTACATTGGGCAAATAGTACTTCTTTTCGACAACGGCCTCAAATCCGAGACATCTAATCTCCCTAGGATCTCTCTCCACACGTAGACATATACTCGTTTTCGTTCTACTCTCTAATTGAAAACTATGCATCACCAGTGTGGAGTTAAGCTTAGCAGTATATGCGATAGAAAACGATGCTACAGATGCACTACCACAGAATCTGCAATGAGTTGGCTGATCATGAAACACCTTCAGAGAACCAGATTTATATTCACCGAGTTCGAATTTCTTGATCGAGGTACCAGTCTGGGCATCAATTAGTTCTGCTTCGGTTCCTTTCGCAAGGAGTATCATACCAACGAAAGGTATCAATGAAAGACTAACCTCGCCGGGAAGAATCGTATTCTCAACATTTGTTCCAATCTCATCGGTATTTTCGAAAACACCACGACTAAGTGCAGCCGGTGTCATCAGCATTTTTCCTTTATTGAAGCGATTTCTTTGAACGATCAATTTCCTTGATCTCCACTTATTGTTAACGACCGTTGAGATGTATATGTCCCCAACTTGATCAAAAATAACAAGCCTATCATTAACTCGGGGTGTAATCAGCCTTTTACAGGATATCAACCGGTGTTCGGATGTCGTAAGCTTTGAGTTGTTAAGTTCACCTCTGCTGTTTACAATGTTCATTCGCCCATCACTAGTAACAAACACAAATTCGAGGAGATCGTCTTCACCAGACGTTGCTAATGTCGTATTCTCATATAGCGCATCTACAGGTCCATTTTTGACGGTTGAAATAGATGTCGTGGACCTAATCGACGCTATAGAGACATTACTATCACGCCTGCTTCTCGAAAGAGGGCGATCAAGCGAGCCATTGAGCTTTCTATTCAGCTCTGACCCCACATTCTCAGTCCTTCTTTTCATAAACGCTGGTACAGTCCTCTTGCGAAAAAAACATTCAACGGGAACATTATTCACATTATCTAAAACGTGTGACCAAATGAACTCCATTCTCTTCCTTGACCAGCACGTAACCTTTCCAGACTGACTAAAGAACGCCGTGTAGTTTCCATCATTACTAATGACCACTTCTGCAATTGGCCAATATTTTCGGGCAAGTGGTATTTCTGTCGGGGGTGGAACAGGTTTCGACAAAGGCGACCACACAAGAACTTTACGATCCAAGCCAACAGATAAAATGAATGGCGATTGCGACGTCGAAATTTTAATGATATCCAGAGTATGCCCTCCTGCTGATAGTTCTTTTATATGGAAAGCTGCTGTATCATCCTCCTTACTACTCGTAACTGGTCCCTCTTGATTATAGTTATCGCGGTGTTGAGATTTCCTAACCCCATTTTGCGCACGATTGTCTTCATTATCCACATTTTGTAGTAGTAACTGTAATAATAACAAAGCAGATGCCACTAACAGTATTATTAGCACCACAAACTCAAAGAAATAGTAAAAGTCGAATTTATACGATGAAACGATTGATGAATAAAATAAGTCCCTTGTATCACTTATCAGGTTAGAAGAGCAAGGGTAATTTTGCTTCACAACATGAATTTGGTCATAAGGTGCCAAATTCAAAAAATAAGACCCACTACCATAAATATTCATTATCAGGCTTGCGATAGATTTCTGATCAGCTAGAATTGATGATTGCCCTTTGGCAAAATAAGAGAGGCTATTAAATTTTCCATGAAAGACCTTGTGGATTAATGAAGATGAAGAGCGCACAGGGTAAAACCTTTGAGTTAAGTATAAGAAATAAGTGAGGATGAGCAATGGTGAATATGCCGCTATCACGTTCGTGATTCTCTCAAGGTTCTCAGAAATCAGAACGCGACTCACATCTTTACTGGCAACTTTATCATCTAAAGAAACTTTGTACTTTCTGTCGTTGTCAGTCATAAACAGAACATCATTGCTGCTCAAACGTCGGTAGTCCAAACTAATAATAGCTGTAAAATAAAATGTTTGAAGAATCCAATTGACACTTAGCGAACAGGCAATAAAAAAGCTGACTTTTCTATTGAAAGGGATGACAAAGGCCACAATTAGCACACTCAAAATGGTTGTATAAAAAAATGAAACGTTGCACTCTGCTGAAGCAAATATGAAACTTCTTTGTTTCGGTTCCGCATAATCTTCCACCCGGTTTGTTTCTTGCGTGTCACTCGAGCTGTTCAAATCAGCGACGCTCGATCCAGCGGTATGTTCCAAAAGCTGCCTGATTCCTCCGAATGAAATGATTAATACTGGTAAATACATCAAGAAACCAGGCACGATTTCGCTGGAAGTTTTGAATACTAAATTTGTCAATGTCAAAGACGATCCAAGACTCAACAGGATTTCGAATACAGCTGCAATAGAGATCCCAACCTTAGATTTTACCGTGGGAATACTAGCAAAATTCCAGAAAAAACATGCGAACATTAGAAGATACGCAACAATAAATAGCGAAACATCCCACCAGGTAAGATGCATCAATGTGAATTTCAATACTTCCTTCTCGGAGATATTCGCAGGCTCAACAAGGGAGGGCAATATATGGAAATTCGTTATATTTGAGATCGAATTCATTGTAGCGATATTATTATCTAGTATCATTTGAAAGCCCCCTCTGTCTTGATCTTTAACTAACAAAGAAATCGTTAAACCTTCTGCCGAAGTGACGTAACCATTAACTTTCATAACCCGTCGTAAAAGGTATTTTGGAAGGTGTCTCAATTGAAGATTTATTGATTTGAGGGGCGAATCGTCCATTTGAAGAGTCGGAAGAGAATTGTTCCAAATTTCGAAAGGTGACTGAATGGAAGCGATGTTAGTTGACCCAGTTAAGTTTTCTAGTAAGCGATTTTGGAATGCAAGGGACTCTAATAGAGTACCCTTCTTGAGAACATCCCCTCCATCGTCCAATTTAATCAATATCTGGATCAGCGATAAGTCCGTAGGTGTATCCGAAGGTAAAAGCTCAAAATCGATCTTACTCATGTAAAGGTTTGAGGAATGTGTACCGCTACTATTGCCTGATAGAAATGGATAAGATAGTATGAAGAATAGCAATGCTGGAAGTACTATGGACATGGTCGGATATCTTGTCGCCCATTTAGTCATCTTGCAGTGGTTTTGTTCCCTGACAACTCGTTGCAAGGCCCAACGTATCATCAGGATAGAGACAAATGAATGAGGCTCGTTTAGTGTTCAAGGAAAGCCGAAGAGACCTCAGTGAGTGGTGCCCAAGTCTTAAGTAAAAAAATCTTTCTGTTGGGCTTTTTGTTCGCGTTTTACAGTGAATAACTTTTCTCTTCCTATCAAGATTAAAATCTACATTTTTTACAAGTACAAGCAAACAAATTTAAAACGGACACTATGACTACCTGCATACAGAAACTAAATGCTACTAGTGGATAGAGAAAAAAATTAAGGTTCTACTTGAAACCCAAAGCGCAGATATTCAAATTCGACATCTGCTGTAGTAGGTCTGCTATTCTATCATCAAGGAGTCCGTTCGCATAATCATCCCTAGATTGCTGATCTAAGTATTGTTGAATTTGAGCGAGACGGGTGTAACCCTCTGTGCAGAATCTTAATTGGATTTTAACCAATGCTTCGAAACTGGGGTCATAATAAGGAACCCTTAGGGCTACAAGTTGTGGTAACTCTGTTTTCAATTGCTCATTCAAGTTCTCAAAGATGTCTTTGGCTAAAGCCAGTTCTTTCTCGGCACGGGGCAATTTAGAAGCATCTTTAGCTGGCTTGTCAATTAGTCTACGCACTTTTGCCTTTGCAGCATCATAATCTTGTTTTTTGTGATCTCTTTTCTTTATAGCTTCCCCAATTTCGTTGAAGTAGGTTGAGAACTTGGTTATTGGATCGAGAACTGTTTCCCGAAATGGACCATCAAGCTGCTTCACAGTCTCGGAGTCAAAATCCTGTACACATTGTAGGTAGTAGTTGCCTACGTTATATCCACTTCCACTGATGGCTTTAGAATCATCATAAAGGTTGGAAATGACCTCAGCAATTGTCACTTGTGATGCCGTCACCGCTCTCAATGAGTCTAAATAGCCCTTAGCCTCCTTTTGAAGTTCCTTTCCAGCCTTCTCTAGTATGTGGTACCTACGTTCCTCGATGTCATATTCCTTGTCGATAGTTTTATCGACGTTCTTGATTAGAACACTATTGCCTGCTCGATTGATCGCTTTTTTGAAACCTTCCCAACTCATACTGCTTTATTGTAGAACTTATAAACTTAGTTTAATCTTCTCAACTCCAATTCCTCCCTTTTTTGAAACATCCCATATGTGAAGTAATTATAGACGAAAGAGAACGTAAGATCGAAAACAGAGACAATGCATGTGACTAATTCATGTGAGACAGCTTGGCCATTAATAATGAGGACACCAATTGTTGAATATTTGCAGAATGAAGTAGTAATTATGGATGGAGGACAGGGTACTGAGCTTGAAAGACGCGGCATTAACGTTTCACATCCTTTATGGTCAAGCCTACCCTTCATTACAAAAGATGCTAAGCAACTAGAGCACATCAAAGAAATGTACAAAGACTTTATCGATGCAGGTTCGAATGCATTGATGACAATCACCTATCAAGCATCCTATGATTCCCTTTGTAAGTTCAGCAATGGGTCTGTTACTACAAGGGAACAATACGATCTGTTTTTGGAAGATATTATCAGATTCACCGTGCAGGAATGTATCACACCAGATCAATATTTACTTGGGAGCATTGGTCCGTATGCTGCTTTTCTGTGCAATGGAGCGGAATATTCTGGAGACTACGGTTCGAATGAAATTGACTTCATAAGGTATTTTGAGCCTCAAGTCCAAAATTTCTCCCAGAATCCCCTTATCGATATGATAGCCATCGAGACAATTCCCAATATCAAAGAACTTAAGTGTTTGCTAAGCAGTAAATTTGGCGAGATGGTTGGGTCAAAACCTTTTTATGTGAGTATTAGCACGACCGAAGAAGGTAATTTACGCGATGGTACTACATGGGAAGATCTTTGCGAAGAGATCCACAATCTTTCCGATCAAGTCTCATCCAATCTCTTGTTCTTAGGAATTAATTGCGTCAACTATCACCACTGTTATGCGACAATCGAGCGTTTAAATAAAAGGCTGGACACCTTAGGATGTGATAGTCATCTAAGATTCAAAGTTGTCTACCCGAACTCAGGTGAAATTTATGATGGAGAGACACATTCTTGGAGCCCCAATCCTCATATTGCTCCGAATGAGACGTGGGGTTTTCTGGTTTCAAAACTTTTAGAACAAGATTGCAAAGTTATCGGAGGTTGCTGTAGAACTACACCTAAAGATATCAGAGAGATCAAGAAGGCCCTTGAGTTCTCAAAAAATCACCGTAGGAATACCTAGTCTTTGTTTATGAAATCTTCTGGCTAATAAATTAAATTTTCTCCTTTACTCGTCGCGAACATCTTTGTACCCTTAAGGCTATGCTATAAAACCTCTGATCACTTTGCTCACTAGCTCCTCGCTAGCTTACACACTCGTCTCCGCATCTCTTTTAGTAATTATCTTTCACAATTGACCGTCAACAAATGACGGTTCGAGATACGGACAAGATGGCAGCAGCGAACCTAAGATAGTCAGTGAATAAATTTGAGGAGGAAATGGCAACACTTGTGATTAAACTCTTCTGGCCTACAGCCTGATATCATCTGACACCTTATAACGTTGACATCGGTGCCGAATAGAACAACCACAGCTCTGAGTATTTAATTAAGCGATGTTTTATTTATGCAATTAATTCCGTATAAAGATGATTTCGAAGAGCGTACCTCTAAATTTGTACTTCAATCCAATCAATATAACCACGCCCTATAGTGTCCACTCATCAAAGTACACTGCTTCATTATCATTATATGACGGGGATATGATGGAGCTGCTCTTAAAAACAGTAAATTCCGCTTGCTCGTCTTCTTTATTTGATTGACCTTCAGGATGTGTCATTTCAAGAACACTCTGCAATGTCACTCGGTAGCAGTCGAATGCTATCATCTCCAACTTATCGTCATAAACCAAAACTTCACACAGCGAACGTATGTCAGCATTGGAGAGCTCTACATTAGCAACCTTGGCATTAATTATGAATTCTAGTATTTCTTCTGTCGTGGAATAATTGTTGACATGTGCTGCGTACAGGACTTCTTTTGAATTTCCGTTGAAGTTATTGAAACCACTAGGATATGTTCTTTCGGAGACAAATCTCCACACAATAGTTAGCAAGCTGTTAATAAATTCAACATCCAACTCGCTATCAGTAAACCATGGACCACCTGTAACTTCAATCGAGGGCTGAAGATTATATAGCATGTAGATTTTCCTAGTTGGATATTTTACACTTTTTACACTCTTGACATATCTCTGTGACTCCAAAGACTTCAGACATTTTGACACAACATGCGTATGCAGATTAGTTCTTGCTTTGATCGTCTTGGTCCATATACCTTCTCTCCCACTTGCTTCGATGTACGAATAAACCAGTGCTTCATCTGCACTCATAGCTGCTTTCTTCTGAGCCTCTGCTACATCAACGGCTTGAAATCTTAATTCGTTGTTTTGTTTTATAAGCTTAATCAGGTTATTGTTAAGAAGCTCCTGTACGATTGACATCAAATCGGTGAGTGATGGTGAGCTTGCTAGCTCTTTTAGCTCAGGCTGGGTGAAGAACGACGATGGCCCCTTCAAAATCATTTTCCCATGAAGACTCTTAGCTCGATCAGAGAGCTGAATGCCACCAGATACTATTGAATTCATGGGTTTTAAATTTTCACTATGGTTTATAAATATTGAGATGATAATAACATAATTTAACGATGTTAAATTTTTTCGATGAGTTCGATAAGTATATACATGTGACAAAGGCCGAGCACCCACGCATCATTTTTGCTCAACAACTATCACCTTTAACGCTAGGTATCCCAAAGATAAGAATACGAAGATGAAGACCATGAGCATCTTGATATCAAACACAAAGTTTTGGACAATGAAACCAAAAGTACTCAATATAGTTGCACCTGGAATTTCGATGTTAAGACCGTATTTCTTTTCTTTCAGGATCAAAGACTTGACTTCATTTATTATCAACGATTCGTAAGCATAGTAGAAGATTGATAAATTCTTCAGATACTTAAATGCCACGTTAGTAATATCTCTTGTGTTAATGAAGAGTCCACTGAATAACAGGGATGCCAGTAAAATGAGAACACTTATGACGATGGAATTATTCAAGTCTTCAAAAATAATACCAACAGTTAGTATTTCCAGTGAGATGCCCAAGTTGAATAGAATCAAAATTGCCACGAACTTGAAGAAAGCATTCTCCTCCATGTTCAGACCCACAGTTGGATATACTACTAATGCCAAGAGAATAGGAGGTACAACACGTAGAGGAATAACGTCGCTCAAAATCTTACTAATATAGTAAGCCATTGGTGAGTAATAATTATTTGAGCGCTCTTTCACGAAAATAAGCCTTTCAAGCGAAAATGAACTTAACCCTGTAAACGTCAGAAATCCAAAATACGTTAAAATGAAGAAGAAGAGGCCGAGCCTATTTTGGAAACCACTAATGTCGTTTTGAACATCATAATAGAGCATCCCCAAAAATAATCCTAGCATCACAGTTAATATGTAATTACCTAGCAGCAATTTTGGATTTCTGTAAATGTTCTTGAATGTTCTTGACGATAAGATGAATAACTGCTGGATAAATGAAGCTGCTGAACTCGACTTTGTTATGAAACTCCCTTGATGTTCTGAAGACTTGACATACTCTATGTCCTGAAGAAGTTCTGAAAAATACGGACTGTCTCTGAACAGAGAATGCAAAACCTTGGAACTGGCAGATCCATAACCTCTTTCTTGCGATTCCTCAGCATTTAGTAAAGTTCTAAACTCGTCTCTATGCACTGCGTAATGTTCCCATTCGTTTTGTGTCACAGTAGCAACTGAATCTCTGTTAGGATCCACAACATGGACATTGTGAGAATCGTGATCGTCTATGGAGGGCAGTAGATTAGCTTCTAGATCATTTGTGGACCCCGATACTCTTGTCTGATATTTTTTTGGCTCGAACGTAATATCAATCAAGTAATCTGCAATGTTATAATCAGAGGGACACGCGTAACCACTATTCCGAAGAAACTCGCTGACTTTAAGTGCTTCGCCAGAGTAAACCATTTCTCCATCGCTTAAAAGCACTAATTTATCAAAGGATTTAAAAATATTAGACCGTGGTTGATGGATGGACAAAACCAATGTCCTATTATAATGATTGGCAAGACGAACCAAACACTCTATAACATTGTTCGCATTATTTGAGTCCAATCCAGAAGTCGGCTCATCCAAAAACAAAATAGATGGCGAAGTTACAAGTTCACATGCAATTGATACTCTGCGTTTCTCACCCCCACTTATTCCTCTCTCGAAATCATTTCCAATGACGTGGTCCTTAATGTTTAGAATACGAAGCTCATCTAGAACTTGAAAAACACGCTTCTGTTTGGCTGCAAAACTTATATTACGTGGTAATCTTAGTAGAGCACTGTTCAAGACCGTCTCATAAACCGTTAGGGTAGGTAATAGAAAGTCTTCTTGGTCAACAAATCCAATTATTCTAGAGTAGTTCTGTTTTGTGATTTCAACCCCGTTAACTCTGATAGAGCCTGAAACGCGACCTGCTTTGCCTTTCATAGCTAATATATCTAACAAAGTAGTTTTTCCTGCTCCCGAACCCCCCATAATGGCCATAATCTCCCCAGACTTCACCGACCCGCTTATATTTGTAAGGACTTGCCTAGTACTTCTACCAGATCCAGAAATTTTGTAGTTAATATTCTCAAACGTTAAGACGGTTTTCCAGGTCGATTTAAGAAAATCGAAATCATCGAAATCCTCATCATCTAAAGCAACGATACCTCCTCCGCTAAAGAAGGGACTTTTGGATACAAAGAAGATTGCAACACCTGACAGTCCTACTACAGCAGCAGAAGTTATAGTTAAGAGGAGGATTTGTATATTTGTCAGTTTTCCCTTTGAAGGGGTTTCATAGCCTGGGATTTGGCTGTAATGAATACATTCACCTGCTTCACACTTCAAAGTAATATAGGGGTCTCCAAAAACAGTCAATATTAAGTCATTCATACTAGGTTCACTGAACTTACACTTTCTGGATTGCAAGTCACAGCTAAAGTCACCTGGCCCCTTTATAGTCTCCGTCAAAAAGTCAGATATATCAATGGAACCCTTTTGGCCACATAACATTCTATCAGGTACACACTCGCACTGAACCTTATCGCAGGTATAATGAGAAGCATTTTTTTGAAGGTCATATTCGAAATTACAATCTGACAAACCACAATAAAAACTTTCGACCTCGTCGATCCAGAATTGAAAGTCACAAACTTCAGCTGTTCTATTGCAGGAAAAAGTTACTTGCGGTTTCTTCCCGTTAAGTATCTGAAGAATTTTCTTGTTGGTGACATCACAACCCTGATGAAACTTGTTAATGATCATACCATTTTTGTAACAAGTACCCTGTAACCCTTCAGGCATGAATGCATCGCAGACTGAATCTTCCTGGCAAATATTACAATTGATACCTCCCCAACCAGATTTGCACTCGCATTTTTCTGTATCATTATCTCGAGTTGGTCTATTGTCGTTACCATCAGGCAGAGCCCCGCATAACGGCAAAGAGCAATCATCGCCACCAAAACCGTCTAAACACTCACATCGTCCAGTGTATGAATTGCATTCTGAAAACTGCTTGCATTTAAAAATGGGAAGCATGCAGTTGAAGCAAGGTGGACACGTACCATCCTCATCGAAAACATTCAGTTGCGAGGAGGTTGCTACCGACTCAAAATGCTCGGAAATTTTACCATTCACATAGGCAAAATGTAAAATCGTCAGTACACTAACCACCGGACTTATCAAGCGCATGCTGAAAACTGTTTGGCGATCTTATATAAATTCCCAAGTTACCAAACTCACAGTTTCACAGTCACGATTTCACGGTAAGTTTAATGAATGCATTTTGCAAGACTCGTTCCAATGCAGATAATTTCAAGGTACCCCTTAAATATATAACTATACACGACATTAGTATGAATCAATAGAGTACTGTATAATAAACTCACACAGTAAGACAGCCCACTTATGAATCTCTATTTCGCTCAAATGGTCGAAATCATCATTTAAAGTATGCCAAGTTGAGGGGAATGGGAATGGGATAAGATGAAGCACAGGGACTCCCTCCGCAAGGAAAGGCTTGTGATCATCTTCAATAAGAGGTTTACCTAATGCTGTAAACTCAAGCTCTGGGTCGTCAAAATAGGGAACATTCCATCCGTAAGGTCCACCAATCAAACTTCTTTCGATTGCGCTTAGGAACTGATAAAAGAAGTGTGACGATTCATGATAACTTGGTACCTTAATGTCCTCTTCGCTTCCCAAAAGATCCATCAGAATGAATAAATCAATTTCGTCAATTTTTTCCTCATCGATCCACATAGATGCTAGGTGTCTAGCACCGTATATAGAATCCTGTTCACTCCATTGATTTATAGCCTCTTCTCCATCGAAGAAGACTATCTTAATCCCCGATGGTCCTTTAAACAAAGCTGAATCTTCGAACAAAGAGCTCCTCATACAAAACCAGTCAATGAAGGAGGAAATGTAGAGTAATATTGCGCATGGTGCCGCACTGTCCGTTCCACCAATGAACCCGGTGGGCAAAATTTTGGAGTCATAATGTGCTGCCAATACCAAATAGCTGGAAGCGTTGCGTCCTAGCGTAAATACCAAGTTTGTGAAGTTGTAACCATTTTCTTGGAATGGATCTGTTTCAATGAGCCAATCATCATGTAAAAGCTTGAAATGGGAAATGATAAACTTCTGGATATCTTCAGAACCTGAACTTCCAGGAATTCTCGTTTTGTTGAAAGGGAGAAGTAGATTAGAATCACCGGTGTCGGTCAAGCTGAGGAACGTCTTTAAAGTCGCATCATAAAATTCTGCCCCTGCGGCGATGGTAACCACAGTTCTTAAGAGTAAAACAGTAGTTAGCAAAAGGTTCAATAGCATATCACTACAGTATTCTTTCTATTCATCTGTCTTGCGAATAAAGCACCATTCAATTCTGGATGGGCCAAAAAATAAACAGTATTTGGTTAAAGAAAAAACGTCTTTCTTGGGAGGATCTTAAATGAGCAACGGCACAAGAGAGGGTATAACGTCCCTCATCACGATTCCGAACGTCGATAAAACACTCGAAATGCCAGAGTTTCTTAATCAGCGGCCACTGGCTCCAAAAACAACGACAGAGATTGTCACGAATCCGGTCTTAAGTGACATGTCAGTACCAACTGAATTGGGTCTGCCTCGAGCTTCAGATAAAACAGATGGCCCTGGCCATAGCGAAATACCACTTATTCCGAACGATCCAGGGGATCAATTGTCAGTTTTTTTTTCAGAAGCTGACAATGATGAAGATGATAGCTCAAGTGTACACTTTCAAGTTGATGATGATTTTAATGAAACACACAATGACCAAATTCAAAATTCACATCTCGGATCGATGAAATTCAGTGAGGGGCAAGATAAGATGATAGAGCATCACAATACGAATGTAATTCGCAAACCACTACATTTACCCTTAGCAAATAGTGCCCGGGCTAAGAGGTCTAGTGTTTACGAATCTAAATCCACTGTGACAGCAATTCCAATCAGAGCGCCTAGCACGACTAATCGAACGTTTCATACCGAGTTTGATGACAGTGTATCGATCAAGAGCATGTCATCGTCCTTAACTGCTTCCTTCTCTAGAAGCTTCTTATTTGGATTCTACAACAATCATAAGAACAATGAAAGGGTACCAAAAGGGGTCCTATCGAAAGAATACTGGATGAAAGACGGCAGTGCAAAAGACTGTTTTGCATGTGCGAAAGCGTTCAATACGTTTAGAAGGAAGCATCATTGTCGTATATGTGGTCAAATATTTTGTGGTAATTGCACATTTCTTATCGATGGAGACAAGTTCGGCCATGAAGGAAAAATGAGAGTTTGTCGTAGCTGCCATGATCATGCTTCAAACTACGATGATTCCAGTGATGAATCGTCACTAGAAGATAATGTAAATTTGGAAGACATCAGCCAGAGAACTGACACGACAGAAAAATTTCCTCAAGGCTCTGATATGCTAATACTGAAAGATGATGAGGCTCAAAGTATACTCACTACCGGAGAGGATAGCAAAATCTTTCGATCTACTCCACCTCCACCTCCAAAAATGGCTATTCCAGCCACGAGACAGGGCGGTTCTTTAGAAATAACTGTTCCCAGCACTTCAAGTCTATCGTTTGATGTTTCCTCCAGACAAAGAAGAAATGCAAAAGATAGGTACACTATTCGTGATGTTGATATGATGTCTCCACTGAACACTGAAGTATCTAGCCGAAGACTGTCAAGTAACTCCCCACAGCGGCATGTAATTTACAATCGTCAACATCAAATGATGGGCATTAAAAATTCTATTTCAAGTTATATTAACAATAATACAACTAATGCATCACAAAGGTCTTCGTCGCAGTCTTCAAACTCCGTTGTAGCGAATTTTTCCAACAATAATTTCAAATTTGAGTTCAATTACGGCCTGAACAATTTTCAAAATTACCTGAATACCACACATTCGAATTCCTCCAGATTAGAGCCCAAACATGTGAGTAGGACCGAATCTTCTCCTGTACTGTCTCTTACGCAAGACGAGCATGCTATCGATAGTGACTCCAAGTACAACAGTGAGGTGGGCTCAGAAGATGAAGGGTCGATGTCCTTATATGCGGTCTTAAATGATCAACATCAGTTGGACCAGAACAATATACGCTCAATGAGAAATAACACCAAATCGTTTCAGAGGGCTCAAGCTTCTCTCCAGAGGATGAAATCCAGGAGAAAAAGCAAGAGTAGGGTCAACGGAGCCTCAAATTCGGCGCGCAAAGAGTTCGAGTTTTTCAACCACAGTACTCCAAACTTGATATCAGTTGTTAGCAACGATAATGACTTTTCTCGTTCTAATGATTCAGGCGTACTTGTAAAGCAAAAAATCAGAAGTGATGCGCTTTCTTCATCAAGGGACTTGAAGCGAATTATCTCATCTGCATCTGCATTTCGGATGCAAAATCAGGAAAACAAATCAGAATTGAACGAAGTGTCAGAGGTCCACATGAAAGCGCTGTTAAAGCAAGTTTTAGATGATCAGAATGTCAATCATGTCGATAAATGGATACATCTTTTTGTGCCAATTTTAAGAGTTGTCCAAAACATTCAATTAGACGCCAGAAGCTCTACAGGTTTAGACTTCAAGCAACACTATGTGAAGATAAAGCGCATATGCGGCGCATCAATTGAGGACTCTGAATACATAAGTGGGGTCGTTTTCTCGAAGTCACTTCCTTTGAAGTCGATGCCTCGGCTTGTTAAAAATCCACGACTTCTGCTTATCATGTTTCCTTTAGTTTATCAGAAAAACGAAAATCACTTTATGAGTTTGGATTCCGTTTTAGCTCAGGAACAAGAATATTTGAACAAGTTGGTGCTGCGATTGACCCTTTTGAATCCAGATGTCGTACTTGTTGGCGCTAATGTGAGCGGCCATGCACTGAAATTATTGGATGAAGCCGGTGTCGTTGTTCAGTACAACATGAAACCACAAGTCATAGAACGTATAGCAAAGCTAACAGAAGCAGGTATTGCCATTTCTGTTGACAAGTTAGCAACTAATATTAAACTAGGGACTTGCGAAGAGTTTGAGGTGAAAACTTTCATTTACGGCAATATCAGTAAATCATACACCTTTATCAAAGGTTGCAAGCCTTCTTTAGGTGGAACTGTAATTTTAAGAGGTTACCCCAGTGATATTTTAAGAAAAATTAAAGATGTTGCTGAGTTCATGATTTATGCTGTATTTTCACTCAAGCTAGAAAGTTCGTTTTTCAATGACAATTTTCTATCGTTATCTACTACGTTTTATGAGCAGGCATTTCAGCATCAAAAACAACAAGTTGCTGAAGGATATTTCAGTGAATTTATAGATAAATTCCACCAAAGAATTCTTTCAGTCTCACCAACGGTAAAGTTTCCAATTCCGTTCCTACTACAAAAAGCAAGAGCTCTTGAGGCAGAGCTTAATACCAAACAATCAGAAAGTGAGAAGCTCGAGAAGAATATTTGGACTATTGAAGATGAGGCAGAAAATAGTATAAAGGATCTCAAACTGAAGTCTGCTCTGACCCAACAGGATTTCAGGTATCTGGTCAAGTTCATGCATGACAAGGAACTTGAAGATTTGAAAAATAGATTTACGTGGAGAAGTCGTCAATGGGAGCTTTCTTATACCTTGTCACATAATATGCTTGGTACAGGGACTCATCAAACTATCAATGTTCTTTATTCAATGATATCAACAAAAACTGCTACACCATGTATTGGACCCCAATTAGTGAGCATTGATTATTTTTGGGATACGGATATTTCCATTGGTCAGTTCATTGAAAACATCGTGGCAACTGCCAATTTATCTTGTGTTCATGGCTGCGGAAGTAAGCTTCTAGATCATTATCGAAGTTATGTTCATGGCAATGGAAAAGTAGACGTCGTGATAGAACAATTTCAAAGTCGTCTCCCACCTTTAAAAAATATACTTTTAACATGGAGTTACTGTAAAAAATGTGGTACCTCGACGCCAATATTGCAAATGAGCGAAAAAACATGGAATTATTCATTTGGAAAATATTTAGAGCTCCTATTTTGGAGTAGCAACGGTGGAATGACAGGAATTGGGAACTGTACTCATGATTTTGCTAAAGATCATGTGAAGTATTTTGGCTATAATGACTTAATGGTTAGAATGGAGTATTCGAGCATTGAGATTCATGAGCTGATAACTCCTCGATCAAAAATTATATGGAAGCCTAATATCGATATCAAGCTGAAAGTGGAACTTTATTACCAAATTTTAGAGAAAATCAACAACTTTTACAGCAGTGTTTCAGATAGGCTTGACAGGGTAAAGTTGGATAGTATGTCTGACGATAAAATTATGGCCGGTAAGGAAAAGATATCCGAACTGAAGACTAAAGTCAAAGCAGAAAAAACGCAGTTATTGGATATGACTGAAGACCTGTATAGAAATAGTCCAGGTGATCAACATTTACGCCTCAATTCGGTTATAAGATCATTACATGACAACGCGGCAGGATGGGACTCCGAGTTTGCAGATTTTGAGAAAAGATTTCTGCCATCTGAAAAAGATATTGCCAGGATCACAGCAATGCAGTTGAAAAAGCTCTTTTTAGATACTGCTAAGAATGATACATATCCAGACAATTCTTCAGAGAAATCGGATGAGAAAGGCGATAATAATGAAGAAAGCACTGTAAACATATCGAAGGGTGAAGAGGATGGTCGAAAAGAAGATGCGACAGATAAAAGTGGGATTTCAAAGTTTAATGAACTAATGAAAGAGAGGAATTTGGAAATTGTTACCAATTCTGGCAACCTTGGTGGAACTCCGACGCGCCCTCCATTGCTTTATCATCAAACTACACCAATTTTAGGTGAACACCAACAGTCGGGGATCTCCTCACTTCCTTTGGATGATACTTTCGTCAACAGTGGTTTCCCCCATAAACATCTTGCGCAAACCAATTTTGAACTTCCAGCACGAATTTCATCTATTGGCACAGGAACGATGCCAAAAAAAGGGCACGCCAGAGACCTTTCAACTCAATTGAGACGACTAAGTGTTAGCAGCAACGGTAGCACCGTGACATTTCAGAGTAGAGACCGCAATCCGGATAGTAAAGTGGGGCAGCTAGCTAGTTTTTTTGATCAGATTCATTTTGATGCGCTTTCGAAGGAATTTGAGCTCCAAAGAGAACTTGAACGTCTGCAGTTAAACAGAAACAAATACAAGGCATTAAGAGTCAAATCCTCTAAGCCAATCGTTGAGATCTATAAAAATGTTAAAGATGCCGTAGAAGAACCACTGCACATGGATAATAGAGGGAAATCTGCTAATCTCAATAATGCTGGCAGTGGATTCCAAAAAGACGGTAATTCTGTTCTGAGAAGTGGGCAAATGGATTTAACGAATGGGTTAGAGACAGAACTGGAGAACTCAATCCATAGATGGGGGGAACGAGTCCTCCATGGCGAAGATAGCGTTGGCACTGCTCCAGCGGAGAGAATTAGTAGTGGTAATAAAAATAGGAATAGTTCCAATGAACCATTGCCGCCGGTCACTACTACGACAACAGCAAACATGGATACCTCAAGCATAGATGGCCAACCCGAAAAGTCTTCTCTAATGAGAACTCTGACAAATTTTTGGGCCGATCGATCTGCGACACTATGGAAACCACTGGAATATCCAACTTCTTCATCAGAGCATATTTTTGTTGACAGTTTCGTGATAATTCGGGAAGACGAGCCAAGCTCTCTTATTGCGTTCTGTTTGAGCTCTGTGGATTATTTACAAAAAATGAATACGTCCAATAAGGGAGGTCATAAATCGAAGAGTGAATCTGGTGGGCAAGATAAAGAAGACACGAAGAAGGAAGCAGATGTGCAAGTTTCCACCGAAGTAGAATCTGTTGCTAACATAGCAGATCAAAATACCCCGAAAGTACTATCTCAGCTAAACTCCACTTCACAGAGGGAAACTTCTAGTTCGCTTTATAAAGAGGATGATGGTGATGAAAAGACGCCAGATACTGAGCAAATAATGACTAAGAAAACAGCTATGCATTTAAGGTATCAATTTCAAGAAGGGAACTCTGTTATGTCATGTAAGATTTTCTTCGCGGAACAATTTGATGCATTTCGCAAAACATGTGGCTGTGAGGAGAATTTTATTCAGAGTTTATCACGGTGTGTGAAATGGGACTCGAGTGGTGGTAAAAGTGGCAGCGCATTTTTAAAAACATTGGACGACCGATTCGTGATCAAAGAACTCTCGCACACTGAATTGGACTCCTTCATAAAGTTCGCGCCTAGCTATTTTGAATATATGGGCCAAGCAATGTTCCACGAACTTCCCACCGCCTTAGCTAAAGTTTTTGGTTTTTATCAAATCCAGATCAAGAACTCGATCAGTGGAAAGAGTTTCAAGATGGACGTGATTATCATGGAGAATTTGTTTTATGAAAAGAAAACTTCAAGAATATTTGACCTCAAGGGCTCAATGAGAAATAGGCACGTAAAACAAACTGGGAAGGAGAATGAGGTTTTGCTCGACGAAAATATGGTCGAATATATATATGAATCTCCTATCTTTGTGAGGGAATATGATAAGAAGCTTTTGCGGGCCTCATTATGGAACGATACTCTCTTTCTTGCTAAGATGAATGTTATGGATTATTCGCTTGTCATTGGTGTGGATAATGAAAGTCATAATTTGACGGTTGGGATAATAGATTTTATTCGAACTTTTACCTGGGACAAAAAGCTGGAAAGCTGGGTAAAAGAACGTGGCTTTGTCGGAGGGAGCACGAAAGAGCCAACTGTGGTAACACCAAGACAGTACAAAAATCGCTTTAGAGAAGCCATGGACCGATATATTTTAATGGTCCCTGATCCTTGGTTTCAAGAGAATTATACATAGAAGTGTCTAGTGTAACATTGGTCATACGCATACCAGATTAATTGATTGATGATGGGATAGGTACTTGGCATGAAAAAAATGCGGAAAGTCTCAATTGGTAAAAAATTGGCGTCACAGACAGGATTCGAACCTGCGCAGGTAAAACCCAATGCCTAACAGCTTTCGATAAGTCGAATAGCAGGGCATCGCCTTAACCACTCGGCCACTGGGACTCCACGTTGGCAAGCTTGAAAAAGCTTACATTATATCAGACATTTTTGTGAGACGCACTTATATTTACAACAGTTTCTTATAGTCAAACTGAGTTAAACATTTGATAGTAAGCTGTGTTTCCTAATTTACCAAGATTATACTAGAAACAGTTCTTAGACCTTTTTTCCATCGCTCAACCAACTAATTGGGATTCTGAGAACAACGCGGAAAAAAAATTACACGACAGCCAACTAATTTATAGCCTTTCGCTCTCCCCCCTCAACGGAAAGATTGAAGACATTGATCAAGTTGCTTCGTCTTTTACCTCATCTAAAGCATCGCGCTGAGTGTTTACTATAGCGTTGTTCTAAGCATTATTCGAGCATGCCAGGGTCTTCTCGTATGATCAACTTTCTGAACTTCAATCAAACTGGATCATGCATATCGATGGGAACGTCTGAAGGTTTCGAGATCTTCAATTGCGATCCATTCGGAAAGTTTTACTCTGATGAAGGAGGTGGTTATGGTATTGTAGAAATGCTTTTCTCAACTTCCTTGCTAGCAGTTGTTGGAGTCGGTGATCAGCCCGCAATGTCCCCTAGAAGACTACGAATAATAAATACAAAGAGACATTCGGTTATCTGCGAGGTTACGTTTCCCTCAACAATCCTCGCAGTCAAAATGAACAAAGCCCGCCTAGTTGTGCTACTACAAGACCAAATTTATATTTACGATATCAGTAACATGAGGCTGTTACATACCATAGAAACTACTACCAACTCCCACGGATTAATAGCTATATCTCCATCACTGGAGAACAATTACTTGGCATATCCATCACCTCCAAAAGTCATAAATTCAGAGATCAAAGGGCATGCTACGACAAATAACATCAGTTTGTCATCCAATGATCTAATTTCTACGGCGAATAGTAATCAAAAGACTCCCTCATCAACAGACCCCAGTTCTCAAGATTATGGTACAGATGCAATTAACAATGGCAACTCCTCTATCGATGCAGATAGTAACCCTATCACACCGACACGAAATCACAATACTAAAAACAATATAGTCAAGAATGGAGACGTGATCCTATTCAACATGCAGACGCTTCAACCTACCATGGTGATTGAAGCGCATAAGGGGGAAATAGCAGCTCTTACATTGAGTAGAGATGGTACTCTTTTAGCAACAGCATCGGAAAAAGGAACTATCATAAGAGTTTTCTCAGTGGAAACAGGATCAAAGGTATATCAATTTAGAAGAGGCACTTATCCTACAAAAATATACTCTATGAGTTTTAGTGATGATAACCAATTTTTGGCAGCTAGTTCATCTAGTAAAACAGTTCACTTGTTCAAACTTGGAAAGGCAGCAAGCGAGACTGGGAAGGTTGATGCACATAATAACAGTGACTTAGAGGATCAAGAAGATGACGAGTATTTTATTGATGACGTTGATGAAGGAGAGCATGAAGATGAAATTTCTTTGGGTAACCATTCTAATGCAAGTTTTGACTCCTCTCAAACGGATCACTTATCGGTCAAAGAACCAGTAATTGATGCCTCGAGGAGAACAGTTGGGCGCATGATTCGAAAATCATCACAAAAACTTTCTCGAAAGGCTGCAAAGACACTAGGAGCATATTTTCCCATTAAGGTAACTTCAATATTAGAGCCGTCGAGGCATTTTGCTAGTTTGAAGCTACCTCTTGATAGTGGTAGTGGAATTAAGACTATTACAGCGATTGGATCACCAATTGAAGTTGACCGTGCAGAATATCCGGAGTTGTTTGAAGAAGGATCTGTAACAGCTAATGAGTCTGTATCAAGCATCGTGAAAATGCTGCCAATTCGTGTTGTTTCCTCTGAAGGCTATATGTACAATTATATTCTTGATCCGGAAAGAGGGGGCGACTGCCTTCTACTGAGTCAGTACTTCCTATTGATGGATTAGTGAATTGATGAGTTGAAGCCTTCAAGCAAAGTTAAACCACGAGCCAAAGTCTTCGAGCTGGTTTAGGAATTTTGAGGATTTTCGCTTTCATAATCTTAGCAATCAGTTACTTGTAATGCTTTCCTCGTTTCAGGCGCTGGCCTCGCCAAGATAGATGCAGTTGTTTCTGAAAGTGGGTCTACATAGTTCAATTGAGAAGTAGGTAAAAATCGCATAGCAGCGGGCACTTGTTTGAAGTTTGCTACAGCTACTGTATTTATCAATTTAGCATCTGCGAGAGTCTGATGACCCTCGGCATGAAGAATGATATTTTGAGGGATGTTCGATGTAAGAGAAGCCCACACGCAAAAGAAAGCCATTAATTCTAAAGGTTGCGACGGATTAGCCCTGTATCTCAAATATCCATATCTTTGAATTCCCTCCAGTAACAACTTGTTTCCTCGGGACTTCTGGTTTAGCTCGTTCCTGAGGTGCAGGGAGCTTCTTCGTGACGTACAGTGTTACCCTGAAATTAATTTCGGTTACAACTAAAGGAGCATCAATGTTTTCTATTACTCAACAAGGTACAGTAAGTACTACTACCCTCAACCATCATAGCGACTTTAGTGTCTGTAGTCATAGGAAATATAGCTTTACATTTCTATCTGTGTGCCAGCAACTTTCACTGAAGGAAATCGGATTCCGTTGACAGCTCGAAGAGAAATATTTATTGCTCTGAGATTTGAATTTCAATCTCGGTCATCGACAGCATAGATAAAATAATCGTCACCCTATGATGGTGTTCTCTGGTGGGAAGTCGACTAAGGCACCCGCACTATTTGACATAAGAATTAAATCGGCAGATCATGACGTGATTGTTGTGAAGGGCGCTCCACATGAAGCTGCCTCAGTACTCCTTTCTGGAACGATTGTCCTGTCAGTATCAGAACCTATGCAAATAAAGAAACTAAACCTCAGATTGTATGGAATGCTTCGTCTTAATGTCACGACAACATATCGTGGCCCTAAAGGACCAGCTCAAAGAAGCCTCAAATATGATAAAAGGTTTTTCGAGCATGTTTGGGATAACATAAACATACAAGACTATTTCAAAAACCTCTACGATAATTACGGATCGCAAAGGTCAATTATAAGCAAGACTAGTTCAATGACTAATATTCCAAGACTACATCATAAAGCGAAGTCGACTACTTCACTGATGTCGCTAGGAGCCACTACTCCTTCGGGAAGCTCTCATATTCTCGTTCAGGGTAACTATGAATTTCCATTTAGTGCAATCCTTCCAGGTTCTGTAACAGAGAGTGTAGAGGGATTACCAAATGCCTCTGTAATTTATAAGCTACAAGCTACCATTGAAAGAAGTAAATTCGCCACTGACCTAATTTGCAAGAAACATTTGAGAGTTGTACGTACTCTGACTCCAGACTCCATTGAGCTCAGCGAAACAATGTCGGTCGACAACACTTGGCCTAATAAAGTTGACTACTCTATATCGGTTCCCGGAAAGGCGATCGCCATTGGCTCTGCGACGACTATTCACATCTTGATTGTCCCACTTTTGAAAGGTCTCAAACTAGGACCTATCAAGATTTCGCTGGTGGAATATTCCTCTTATTGTGCGCCATACGGTGCTGCTAATAGTCAAGAGAGAATCGTGAATAAAATCAAGCTTTCGGATCCCCTCAATCATTTAAAGAAGGAAAGCGATGATCTTGATCGTGATTTTGCATTTCAGGATAAGTGGGAGGTGGACACACTTTTTACAGTACCTCCTAGTTTGTCGAAATGTACTCAGGATTGTAACATTTTGTCCAATATTAAGGTTCGTCACAAACTAAAATTTGTGATTTCATTGATAAACCCTGATGGACATATATCAGAACTCAGGGCTTCATTACCCGTTCAATTGTTCATTTCCCCATTTGTAGCATTGGGTGTAAGAGCGACAGACTCCTTGGACAGTAGCGCAAGCGTGTCTGGGCACGAAACTGATATGGAAGATGGCGATAATGAAATGATTTTTGCTAACACGATGTCAGAAATTGACTTGACTGCAGTTTCGGCCCAAAGCGCTTCGGGGACACCTGTTCCAAGTGCCTCCTCAAACTTCTTAGCTCCTCCAAATTATGGCAACCACATATACGACCGTCTGTGGAGCGAAATCGCATTAGATGATACACCAGTGAATTCAGGAAGACAGTCACCGGTAGAGTCAGGTCAAGAATCTGTAATGAACAGTCAACAGAATTTGAACGCGCTCCAGCAGGGACTTCAGAGATTACATGTTGAACGAGAAACAGAAGCTCCAAATGAAGTAGGACTTCAGGAATCATATTCCAGTGAGGGTACTACAGGTGGGGGGAATGACCAAGGAATAAGTTTTCAGCCTAGAGTCATTCCTCGTGCGAGTACATCACTATCGCTATCAGCTGCAGCCCAAAGTGATTATTTTGCTATGCCTGTACCTCATCACGTCCAAAGCCTCTTGAGCATTCCAGCGGGGCTGAACTCCCCTGCACCAATGCTATCGCCTGGTATTGACCACATCTCACGGTCCAATTCATTTTATGGACCACAGATGTCATCACCTGCAAAGGGCGATTGGAAGTTGAACACTCTAAGCAGGGTACCCTCTTACGAGAATGCCATGAAATCTGATCCTTTTCCGGTTGATTTACCACCAGCTTATCCAGATGAGGAGATTGGAGATCGTACTTATGAGCTCGAGAAACCAAAGCTGGCCCACCAAAAGTCGCTAACGCTTCAAAAGACTAATAGCGGCACCCAATTGTCGCATGCTGCGCTTTCTAGGAATAGCTCTTCAACTTCACTTCCTAAAATGCAGCTTTCTAGGACCAACACAGGGGGATCTAACGTTTCGGTCAATTCTGTATCTGGAACCAATGTTAAAAGCGGCACAGCTAGCAAATTTTTTGGATTTGGTATGACACCCCTCGGAAATAAAGATAGCGAATACTCTGGATCTCAGACAAGATTAGACCATGTGACTTCACCACCCTTGCCCCTGCAGAGGTCATCTTCTCGAGGAACATTAAGTGCATCTAGTAGATCGGGTTCGCTGGTAAATTTGAAAAACTTCCTGCATAAGAAAGAAAAAAAATGATGATTTCTAGGTTCCCGAAAGCAGGTTAACAACTTTGTAAGTACATTTTAAGTATTTTACTCTTCTAATGAACGTAAACGATCGCATTAATTTGACAACGGGAATTGTAAAAAAAAAAAAAAAAAAAAGGACGTACTACCAGATTTCATCTTAGGTACCTAATACGGACGTACTACCAGATTTCATCTTAGGTACCTAATACCGCGGCAAAAAACAATAAAAAAAATTCCAGCATGAGATCAGATTAATTATCAATAAAACGACTAGCTGTTCAACCAGTAGAAGTTCACTTAGCTTTTCGAATATAAGACTTAACAGTGTTGATATAGCGATATACGGAGTTTACGTCGCGTCATATACATCCGTGCATCACAAGCAGGAATTTTTAAAATTTTATGCAATTTCTGTCACTGCAGAATTACCCCAGACCATTGCTTCGAGGATTCAGATTTTTCCGACAGATTTCTTTTTGGACCAAATTCCGCAACAATGGGGATAATCTATTGCTGACATACTTTGTACCTACTGTAACAATCTATACTGACTGGTGAATTCGATCATTATCAAGTGTGAGCTGGCATCCGTTTTAGATATATTTTCTATGTATAAGGCTTGTAACGTATTCGGTTCTATAGTGTAGTGGTTATCACTTTCGGTTTTGATCCGAACAACCCCGGTTCGAATCCGGGTAGGACCTTTTTGCACCTTTTTTTCTCATATTACCGCGCCCGCGCCCGCGCCCGATATGGATAAAGGAGATTTCTTGAGCTTCGACAATACTTTTTGCTTTCATCTAAACTGAACAAATCAGCAAATGCTTAATCGTTTGAGTAAGCCCACCATTTTAAGGCGAGCAGTGGTTTCGAATTGTGGTGGCCGCTTGTCCATTACCACAATTAAATCAAGACCAACCCTAATCGCCCACTCCAGGCCTTTTCATGGAGGGCGTGTTCTTCTCCAGGAAAATACTCCAAAGAGGGAATTCTTTTCAACGGGTTTTGGAAAATTAATTAAATGGTCAATTGTTACATCGGGTGTTATTGTATCGACTGTGGGTGTGTCTCTGCTCGGATTTTTTATCTATGATTCTACAACATATAAAGAATGCGATGTTCCCGAATTTATTGATGTTCCTAAATTGGCCCTTTCTCCAGAAGTTGGTGGTCCTGAAAATTTACCTATCCTGAGAGAAAACTTAGATGCATTTGATTCTGAAACAAAAGAAAAATTGTCTTATAGACCCAAGTTGGTCGTTCTTGGTTCTGGCTGGGCATCTGTTGGTCTATTAAAATCATTGAAACGTGGTGATTATGATGTAACTGTGGTTTCACCACAGAATTACTTTTTGTTTACACCCTTACTTCCTTCAGCTGCGACAGGTACACTTGAAGTAAAGTCGCTAATGGCGTCAATCAGGAAAATTGTAAATGATGTTAGTGGTCACTATCTTGAGGCCAAAGCAGAAAAGGTAGAATTTGCTAGTAATTTGGTAAAAGTATCTCAAGTTAATCCTCAGACTGGGGAAAAGAGATGTTTTTACATACCGTATGATAAATTAGTTGTTGCAGTTGGCTCGACTGCTAATACCCATGGCGTGGAAGGGTTGGAAAACTGTGCCAGACTGAAAACTGCAGAAGACGCTATTGATCTCAGAAGAAGAATCAAAAACATTCTAGAAGTTGCCTGCCTACCAACAACTACCGATGAAGAGCGTAAGAAGATGTTGAGCTTTGTTGTTTGTGGAGGTGGTCCAACCGGTGTGGAGTTCGCTGCCGAAGTTTTTGATCTCTTGAACGAAGATTTACCAAAGACGTATCCTAGAATTTTGAGACAAGAAGTCTCGGTTCATATTATTCAATCCAGATCTAATATTTTGAACACATATGATGAAACTATTTCTGAGTATGCAATGCAAAGGTTCAAAAAGGAAGATATCGACGTATTGATTAATTCCAGAGTGGACAAGATTTTGCCAGATAAAGTGATTTTCAAACAGAAAAATTCCTTGACTGGAGAAATCGAATTGAAAGAGCTGCCTTTTGGACTTTGTCTGTGGTCTACCGGTGTTGCGCAGAATCCTTTAGCTAAAGAAATTGTTCAAGACTTGTCGTCGTTTCAAAGAAATAGAAGAGCAATTGAAACTGATTCTCACCTAAGGGTATTAGGGGCTCCAGCCGGCCAAGTTTATGCTATTGGTGACTGTGCTACTGTGAGAACAGATTTGGCAGAGCATGCTGTGGAGTTTGTAAGACAGTTTATTGTCAATAGACATTTGCACCCTTCTAGGAGTACGGAAATTATTACGGATGATGATATCAAACACTTATCTCTTTCCTATGAAGAAATATATGATTTAGCCAGAGAGTTGGTAAGACGCCATCCTCAAACAAGAGAGCATTTGTACAACGTGGAGGACATTTTGCCCAAGTATGATGTGAAAAAGTGTGGGTCTTTGGACTTTGATCAGATCACCCAATTACTCAAAGAGGTTGAAAGCAAAGCTACTTCGTTACCTGCTACCGCCCAAAGAGCACATCAACAGGGCAAATACTTAGGTAAAAAGCTTACGAAGGTTGTAAGGAGCTCGGAAGCCCAGCTTACAAGCGAGAATCCCGATCTCATTTCAGATGAATCGGTTTACAAAGCCTTCAAGTATGTTCACTTGGGGTCTCTAGCCTATATTGGTAATTCAGCTGTGTTCGACTTGGCTCCTGGCTATTCTTTCGTCGGAGGATTGATTGCTATGTACCTGTGGAGAGGTATTTACTTTGCCCAAACAGTATCCTTAAGAACAAGAGTTCTCTTGTTCATGGATTGGTTAAAGAGAGGTATTTTTGGAAGAGACATTTTGACGGTGTAAGATAAATTAACCCATCGTCTTGCGTCTTTGAAGTAATAGAATGCCTGATGAGAACACGCATAAAAGCATCCTACTGGCAAAGCATATGTAGACTTGTCAATAAAATGAATAGATTTAAAAATTATATCCGTGCCTTACTATGCATTAAAGTTTGGTTTTTTTTATGTGGCTTTTCTCTTCTACACATAAGCCTGCGGGTAAGAAATTAATAGAGATAAAAACATTGACAGATCACGTGGGTATCACTTGGTCTGAGTCGCGTTAATGTTTATGAAGTTTTTGTGGGCATTCATGTTAATTTTGTGTGCTCGTCACATTTTTCGAGGCCACAAATAACAAGCTAATTATATAAAAGGATGAAACGCACTATTGGCCATCAAACAACTCAAAAGATGGGAATGAAACTTATTCTTTAAATTAAACATCTTTATCAACCTAATAAAAAAACGTTGGATAATAAGCATAACAGGCATTAAGCTAGCAGTTGAAGAAATAGTTTTCATTCATTACATCGAAGCTAGTACTCAGTTGGTATATCAATTTCATTAAAAATGACTAGTGCGGTATTTAAAGTTGGTAATGGCACTATTCTTAATTCAATATCGCCCAACGTTCAACGGCAGCAACTTATTTCTGAACAAGATGCAAATGTAAAGAAGAGAATAAAAAATACGATCAAGAATAAGTGCGAGGTAGAGAGATGCGAGATTGATGATGGTGAGAATGCTTCAACCTTTTGTTTATCTTCTCAGCCAATAGAAAAAAAGGCGCATCACTCTAATTTAGAGGAGATTCGATCTGGCTCACCAGTCGTTAACGGGAAAGTCATATCACTATTTATCGGCGATTTGAATAAAAACGTCACTGAAAAAATGCTGAAAGAAACATTCTGTAATTTCTCATCCCTTGTCTCAGTTAAAATATGCGTCGACAGCTGTGGAAAAACTCTCGGTTATGGTTATTTAAATTTTCTTAGTCAAGTTGAAGCAGACGAAGCAGTGGATCAGTTTAATTATCTCGAGCTATATGGTCGAGAGGTCAGAATAATGCCATCACTAAGGAACTCTTTTTTCCGAAAAAATATGGGTACGAACGTTTTTTTCTCCAATCTTCCTCTCGAAAATCCAAAGCTGACAACCAGAGCATTTTATGACACTTTCAAAACTTTTGGTAGGGTTCTATCTTGCAAGTTGGATAGAAGGAAAAATATTGGATTTGTTTATTTTGAGGATGATAATTCAGCAAGAAGAGCTATTGAGAAATTCAATAATAGGGAATATTTTGGAAATATTGTCAACTGTGGAATTCATTTCGATAGGGAGGTTCGAAGCTCTCCTGAGTTTGAGTTGAGAAAGTTAAAGCTGGAAGGTATGACTATAATAAAAGAGAAGCTAATATCTGCAGATCGCACGGAACTGCGAGAAGAGGAACTTAAAAATCAAGCCCCGCATCCCAATGCAGTGTTTGTCAAGAATATACCACTAATTGCCACAAAAGAAGAGATTTTAAACCATTTTAGTAGCATAGGTCCTGTTAAATCCGTGTTCACATCTCCTGTTTCGAATTACAACTCTTTATGGGCTTTCGTTACCTATAAAAAGGGACAAGATACAGAGGAGGCTCTGAAGGTATTTGATGGCGCCAGCTTCATGAATAGAACGATTCAGGTTTCAAGAGCTAAAAAGAAGAATACTAGACAGAATGGTGCTTTCTACAAACACATACCGAGCTCGAAGAATTCTCTCATAGGATCTGAAAGTGGCAACATGGTGAGTAATTATCGTCAGACAATCTATTTAAGTAACTTGAGCCCAGTTTGTACACGAGAGTTTCTGTGTTGCCTGTGCTGTAAGGAAAAAATTCGGTACAAAAGCATAATTATCAACAACTTTGACCAAACTTCCTGCACGTTCTATGCCGTTGTAGTCTGTAGCTCCAGAAGCGATGCATTGCGATTATTTCGCTATATGGACAAACGATTATTTGGTGATACCATGGTGAAAGCATCATGGCAGACTCCAAAAGGCATGAATTTAGTAGCTAGTTCTGCAGAAGCCATTAAATGCGGCGCTCACAATATCGCAAAGGGGTATCTTCCTCGCAGATCACTCGAAGGAAAAGAGCTAACTGCTAAGAATAAACTTGACGATCACTCTGGTAAGTATTCCAAGGCTAGCGGTAACAACAAGATGCGTATTTCTACCATTTCCTGCAACAGTATCACAAAAAAGACCACTTCAAGAGTACGGATCATGGAAATTCTAAAAAGACAAGTCAGCAATTGTATTGACTTTATGAAGTACCCCACCGCAACACGAGAGGAAAATTTGAAATGCATCACTGAGTATATATTTGACGTTTATTGGCGCTCAGATCTCGAGAGGATCAACCAATTCTTACTATCAACCGATACAGAGCAAGAACATGAAGGAGTTCTAGATAAGCAGGTCCAAGAAGCAATTGAATTTTTAGGGTTTCAAAGATGAAGCCTAAATTGTTGAATTATGAACTAACCGAGAAGGAGATTATCATACTTAATGTGGCAAGAATTCTCTGCTAATCGGATATACTGTTTTCATAGGGTTTTTATACCCTCACCTTTTTTCGCTTCATCAATAAGATATATTTGCATAAGCGTAATGACTACGAGGATTAGCGAGTGTTCAACGATCCAAATAATAAGGTCGTCCCGTGGCTAAGCAGTTTCAAATCTCGTCTAGCAAGATGGAAATACATAAAAAACAGTACATATGTACGAACGCATACATGCACATATACATACATACATACACTATGGTCAATAATATGACAGTTTGGAAAACCTCGCATTACAATTTCGTCTAAATCTTCTCGTTTTCTCAAGCATCATCTCTTCTGCATTTTTCAGTGATTATTAAATTAAGATAAAGTCAACAGTTCCACTCATTGCAGATTTAAACTAGCTCCACGTAGTTAGCAGGGAATATTCCTTCTTGGCCGTTATTTCTGCCGGTCCACCAATCATCTTGCGATTCTGATTTCTTAAGGATAGTAATAACATCGCCCTTTCTGAATGGCAAGTCTCCACTTTGTTCCCCTTTGAAAGTATATAGAGCAACTGCTTTTGGAGCACCAGAAGAGGCAGCTCTGTTGCTTCGTGGCGAAGCAGCTGAGGAAAGACCAAAATCAGGTTTTTCGGATCTTGGTCTAGAAGGTCCACCTGAAATTCTGCTACTATGGAGTCTTCCCGATAAATCATCAACATCTCTGTCATAAACGTCGTCTTCCCAGCGTGTACTTGTTCTCTGCTTTCTTGCTCTTGAGTAGTAGTCATTAACATCGTTTGTATCTTCGTTTTCGAAGTCGTCATCAAAGTCGTCACCATACGATCTGGATGATCTTAGAGAGTCACCTCTTCTGCGCGTGGATCTCGTATTGGCTCTATATGAGTCCGTGTCAGTTGAATCGAACGATGAAGGGATGTCATCGTAGAAGTCATCATCATCTTCGAAATCACCGTTCTGGCGAGAGCCAACATTAAATGCACGTGATTCAAGTACACGATATAGAGGATCAGCAGCTGGCGGAGGTCTAACACGACCGCTGAGGATCAATTTGCTTGTGCACTTATCGCCGTAAATCTTCCGGTTAGCCTCTCTTCTTTCAATAATGACAGAACCTTCGACTGACACACCCGCAAAAATACCTTTAGTTTTAGAGTACGCGAATACGGCGGCTACACCACCCAGAGAGGCAGATGCAGCCGCTTCAGCATTTCTACCCAATGGACCTGCTGCCACAGACACATTACCACCGAGAGTTATTGTTCCAAATTCTGAAAAGGACTTGACGGCGTCGGCGGTATTCAAAATAAAAACGAAATCAGTCAACTCGATACCAACTAACCCACCTGCACCGGCACCTGCCAAACCAATTGCAGATGGTGCAGACCAAGAGCCATCACGTAATCTAGCAATAATGACACCAGAACCGGCACGCCCACTGAACAAAAATCCCGCTTTCAAAACTGTGATTATGGCTAGACCTTTAGCATGTTTTAAAACCTCAGGAGGAATTACTTTGTCAGCACCAAAAAACTGGTTTGGTTTTACGAAGCTAGCAAGAACTTTCGCAGCTTTCCTGTACCCCCCAAGTTAGTAATTTATCTTGACAAGTAACCTGATAATCAAAGTTTGTTAGACATACTTGCTTTCACTTTTAAGAGACCTAGGAATAGGATTATTGAGACCCATGACGACTTGGTAGCTTAATTACAGGAAGTTATTAAACATGAGCACTTTTTAACACCCTAAACTTTGTCGGAAGCGGATTTCATACGATTCCGTCACGTGTCATATTTCAGTGATAGAAGCGAACACTTTCACCGACTATATATGAAGATCATAATCTAGGACTGTAAGAATGTCAACTAATCCCGTTGATAAGGTTTTTGACACATTCTACATCTGGTATACGAAGGCAGCTAACAAGGGAGTACGCGTGTTGGAAAATATTAAAGAGCTCAAATCAACAACAACTACTGAACCGATTGTAAAGCAGCAAGTTAATGCGAATACTTTAATTGACCATCTCTATGCCCAAAGGTATAAGATATTACCTATTTTGGGTATAAGTGCCTCTGCACTATTAATTTGGACACTTTTCCCGCGTATTATTCATTCTGTACCAACGCATTTGAAGGAATGCGACCGACAATGTGTCTTGGTCCTAGGCCATTTGCGTGATCCGATAACGAGACATGTGGTGATGGACCTCTATAGGCGTGGATTTACCGTATGCGTTTGCTCAGAGAATTGCGGTGACCAAAACGATGATGAGGGACTCTTCCACATTGAGCATAGTGAATTGAATAAGTTTATTAATCTCTTAAACGAGAAGTCATTAAAGCTGACTTCTATTTTACTGATTCCAAATTCTGCATATTATCCATCCGGCTTATTCACAAATTTATCTAATAGTAGTGTTCAATTTGAATTTGAGCAGAATATCATGAAACCTTATCGAGTACTTACAAAACTGCTTCCTCACTTCAATTATAAAATACAGATAATTCTTCTAAGTCCATCTCTGCCGCAAAACTTTGGTATTCCACATCACTCTCCGGAAATTTTAATTGCTGGAATGGTACGTTCACTTTACACCATCATTAGCACAGAATATTCCACATGTGATACATACTTGTGCCACTTGGGGTTGCTTCAAATAGCCGCAAATCCCAGTAACTATAAATACCTGTCTACAAGAGGTTCCAATATCAACAAATCTCTATTGGAGCCACTGTTTCGCCTTATTCTGTCGAAATCGAGTAGATGGTTGACCATATTAGAATTCTTTCGAGGACACCAGAGATTTTATGGTAGAGGAAGTCTCATAGGCTACTATTTCGGTAGTTGGTTACCAGTAAGTATTTTGAATATTTTTTGAAAGAAAAGAGTTACCTGCATAGTAGTTTTCTTACAGGGCTTTGGCTCTTGATAATAAATTTCATCTCAGCGAGATTTAAAGCTCAGCGTTAGCGATTATTCACAGATTTTACTATGGCATTGTTCCCTTTGAAATCTACACAAGATAGACCCTCTGAGCTTGTTGTTAACAGTTTATAGTGATATAATAGCCCAAGAAGCACCCGAAGGAATACTTTTAAAAATTACTGTTGAACTTTAAACTTTCTAATTATGTACAATAGTCACTTTGATTGGATACTACTTACGAGCAGATCAAAATCCGATCTAGAAGATAGCTCTATTTCCGACGTTATAATTGGGCTTCTAGAGCCGATAACTGCTTGAGGACTGCACTTTTAGCCGTGCCACCAGTTGCGTCCCTTCTTTCAACACTTTGCTCAAAGTTGAAAATTTCGAAGACATCAGCACCAAATCTAGAATCGATTGCTTTATACTGTTCTAGGCTTAACTTGTCAATACCTGACAAACCGGTTTTCTCCGCCAAGGCGACACATTCACCAGAAATGTGATGTGTCTCTCTAAAAGGAACACCTTTTCTAACCAAGTAGTCAGCAAGATCAGTAGCAAGCATGTCCATCGTCAAAGCCCCTTCCATTTTTTCCCTGACAATACTTAAAGTAGACACGACACCAGTTGCAATCAAAGTAGAATGCTCAACGGTAGTTAAACAATCAAACAACGGTTCTTTGTCTTCCTGCATGTCCTTGTTATAGGTTGATGGAATAGATTTGATGCTCATCAAAAATCCACTTAGTTGACCGAATACTCTTCCCGATTTGCCTCTTAAAAGCTCGAGGGAATCGGGGTTCTTTTTTTGCGGCATGAGCGATGAACCGGTTGAATAGGCATCAGACAGCTTAACAAATCCAAACTCTGCAGTCGAGTATATAATCAAATCTTCGGCAAATCGGGAGATATGATTCATGAAAAGGGAACCCCAGAACATGATTTCTACTACAAAATCCCTGTCAGAAACGGCAGCCAAAGAATTACCTATAACACCTTGGAAACCTAAACCTTCGGCCAGGAACTCTCTATCAATTCCATAGGGATGGCCAGCTAAAGCACCTGCACCAAGAGGTGACTTGTTGAGTCTCTCGACGATTTGTTGAAGTCTCTTATAGTCTTCTGTGAAGTAGGTGGCATATGAGCTCAACCAATGAGACCATCTAATTGGTTGGGCTCTTTGCAAGTGAGTGTATCCGGGCATCAGGACGTCAATTTCTTCCCTTCCTCTGGCAATTAGCACATCAATAAACTTAGCCAATGAAGGCAAGATGCTCTCATTTAGAATATCACGACAATACAGCCTCATGTCGGTTGCAACTTGATCGTTACGTGATCTTCCCGTGTGCACCTTGCCTGCAATATCACGGCCAATGATCTCACCTAGACGTCTCTCGTTCGCAGTGTGAATATCCTCATCTGAGGCATGCCTGACAAATTCGCCCTTAGACCATTCTTCGTTAATCTGATCTAACCCTTCGTGAATTTTAGATAGTTCATCAGAAGTTAAAAGCCCGATTTTTTCTAATCCTGCGGTGTATACCTTGGTACCTTGCAAGTCAGCTTTGTACATTTTGTAGTCATAAGGAAGGGAAGCATTGTACAAATGCATCAATGGATCCGTTTCCCCAGTAAATCTACCGCCCCAAAGTTTCTGCTTTTTTTCCTCAGCCATTATTTTGATTTATTACTTGAGTGAAGTGTAACTGAAGTAAATGGTGGTCAAAGATAAGTTACCGGTTATTTAAAGATTATAATATGGCAGCCAAATTCTATGGTGAATCATTCTACACCCGTGCACCTCCGGTCTATTCCGATTTTATCAGTCCTTTTAACATTACTTCCAATAGTGATCCACTTCAATTTATAGAACACAGGATCGAAGTGTATCATTGAATTTATGCTAGCGGTTTATTCTAAACTCATTTTGGAAATTTTGGGCTTGCATTTGTTTGGCTTGCTGCCCTTCTAAATTGGTACATTTATACTTATGTGATTATTAAACATACATGATAACTGTCCGTCAGTTGAGCTGCCTGAGGAGAGTTCTTCGTGGCCAGCCTTCAACGTGCCAGGCCATCAGGCATGATTGCCGTGGTAAGTTCACCAGATGACTGCTTTTTTAGATTAAGTGAAAAGTTTATAAAACGCATACATGTATACGAATCGGCCAAATCTTGAATACATTAAATATCTAATATAGTCTATAGTAGTGAAATGGTTGTTAGATTCTCGCTCAAGGCTTACATCTACCACTGAAGCGGGGGTACAAGGAACAGTCCCTAACAGTAAATCTATCGCACAGCCAGGCCAAAATACGCTCGGTACCAATACCGTAACCACCATGAGGACATGTACCATATTTTCTTTGGTCAATGAACCAATAGTACGCGTCTGTGTTGATTCCCTCACGGGCAAAACCTTCCATAAGTTCTTTGGTGTCATCGATTCTCATAGAGCCACCAGTGATTTCACCGACAGTTGGCATCAACACATCAACAGACTCTGTGACTGATGGATCATCTGCACAACGCTTCATATAGAATGACTTAATTTCCACAGGGAATCTGGTCAATAGAATAGGCACACCAATTGTGTCGGTCATCTTTCTTTCTGCTGCCTCAGCAATGTCATCACCGAATTTGAAATCCTCGCCTTCTTCGTTCTTGATATCGTGTTCATTCAACCATTTGATGGCATCCTTATACTCGAGTCTCATGAATGGCATCTGTGGAACTTTAAAGTCTGGGTTCAATTGCTTTACCAAAGGACCAGCAATAGGGTCGTCAACCACTGCCTGAACGACGTTGGTGATCAAACTTTCGATGTGTGTCAAAAACTCATCGAAGTCCAAGAAACACATTTCAGCTTCAATGTGCGTGTATTCTGAAAGATGTCTTCTTGTGTGAGATCTTTCAGCACGGAACGACTCCTGAATACAGTAGACGTCACCAAGACTGGCCAAAAGAGTTTCCAGATATAGTTGTGACGATTGAGTCAAGTATGCCTCCTCACCGTAGTAATCAAGTTTGAAAAGTGTTGAACCACCTTCCACTTGCGTTTGAACCATACAAGGTGGGGTTACTTCCGTGAAGCCGAACTTGTCATAGAAGGCACGGACAGCCTTCAAAAAGGCAGCACGAACCTTCATTACAGCAGAAAGGGTCTCACCTCTCAAAGCCAGATGACGTTGGTCCAACAACAAAGAGGGATCAGCACCCTCTGCTATCTTGTTGGTAAAGGAATCTTCACCTGATGGGGCTAGTCCGACAATTTCATAGTAGTCCACGGTCAATTCAACACCACCTGGGGCTGTCTTTCCTTCTGGAAGCTTTGTTATTGTACCATACAATGTGATGGAGGTTTCTAGAGTCAAAGTGGAAGTTTGGTGAGCACGAGCCAAATCACCTGGAAGAACGGCTTGCAAGTAACCGGTACCGTCTCTCAGGACCACAAAGACTAAAGATTTATTGTTACGGATTCTGTGAATCCATCCTGAAACTTTCACTCTTTGGCCAGCAGCAGAGTAGGTTTTCTCAACCTTCATTCTTTGAGCTGGTGGCAAAGAGGGATCCTCTTCGATCGTAATGTTCAAGGAAGCCAGTTTCTTCTGATTCTCTGCTTCTTGCTGTTCTTGTTTTCTCTTTTCTAGCTCTTGCTGCTTAACAAGCTTCTTCTTCAAACCGTCACATCCTTTACGAGCTTTTTTTAGAGCACTTGGTGTAATTGGTACGTAGCCGTCACCGTTCTCACTATCTTGCTTAAATGTGAATAATTTTGGTTCCTCTGATTGTTCACGAGCAGTGAACAATGCATACGCAGCAGTCTTGAAAGGAGATTCCTGACTACCAGTAGCACTGGTCTCATCAATTCCGCTCAGTTCGTTGATGTATAAAGACATTTTGAGCCTTACCTCCGAAGTTCAAGTGAAAGGATGTCTTGAGTGAAAATTTTGCGAAAATTGATATCGAGACGCAGATGATTGAAGTTAGGGCAATGAGTCATACGCAAGATTAAGAATTAAAGTAAATAAGCCATTTTATGGGATTGAATAGCATAAATCCCGCCTTTTAATTTGAGATTAGATATGTCATGTTCAAAGTTCTAATGTGGATATAGAAGTTGATTTTATGGCACATCTCTAATTTCAGCTATATTATGAAAATTTTTTTTTTCATTTGGCCTTCCAAGATCCACTCGAACAGTGAAGATAGATAGAATAGCCCATGTCTCTGGAAGAATCTTTCGCCAAGTTGTGCGTAGAACCACAATCTGATGCCACTGTTGTCAAGGCGTTGGTTTTCAAGCCCAAAACGCCCAAGTCAGCTACACCTGTTCCCATCGTTGTAGTTGCCTTGTTATCAACTACCACTCCATCTCCATTGATTGCAAGTGCGACAAGCACTAAAGACCCAAGATTGGCCCGTGATGACTTATTTAAAGATGTTTTCAATTGTAGTACTGCCAAAGAATTTCATCTAGGACATCTGGCACAAGCTAATTCCGAATTCAAACTATTGGTTGATGATAAGCTAAGCAAGCTCGCTGGATCAACTATATGCAACGTTAACCAGAAATTTCTTCAACAAGAACAACTTTCTGACTACTTGGAACAGTTCTCTCCTGAGGTGGTTGACTTCTCTCAAGAGCTACCAAGTAAAGAAACTAAAAAGCCAGCTCCTGTTGCTGCTGCGAAATCCGCTGCTCTTGAAGATGCAAAATTAATCGGTATTACAGTCGACAAGGCTCTTGATTTCTCCGGTTGGTATCAACAGATCTTGACCAAGGGTGAGATGCTTGATTATTACGATGTTTCTGGTTGTTACATTTTAAGACCCGCATCTTACGCCATTTGGGAGGTCATTCAAAGATGGTTCGATGATCGTATTAAGTCCTTGGGTGTTCAGAATGCCTACTTCCCAATGTTTGTTTCTTCTCGTGTATTGGAGAAAGAAAAGGATCACATTGAAGGTTTCGCTCCGGAGGTTGCTTGGGTCACTAGAGCCGGATCTTCTGAACTAGAGGAGCCAATTGCCATTAGGCCAACTTCTGAAACAGTTATGTATCCTTACTATGCCAAGTGGGTTCAATCATACAGAGATTTGCCTATCAAGCTCAACCAATGGAATTCCGTTGTCAGATGGGAGTTCAAGCATCCTCAACCTTTCCTCAGAACCAGGGAGTTCTTGTGGCAGGAGGGTCACACTGCCCACTTAGCAGAGGAAGACGCCAAGGAGGAAGTTCTTCAAATTCTTGACTTCTACGCCGGTGTTTACGAAGAATTATTAGCTGTTCCAGTTGTAAAGGGTAGAAAAACCGAAAAGGAGAAGTTCGCTGGTGGTGACTTCACGACTACCTGTGAAGGTTATATTCCTCAGACTGGTCGTGGTATTCAAGGTGCAACATCTCATCATTTGGGTCAAAATTTCTCTAAGATGTTTAACATCAGCGTGGAAAATCCACAGGGTCCTGAATTCCCCAAGGTTTTTGCCTACCAAAACTCTTGGGGTTTAAGTACCCGTGTTATTGGTGTGATGGTTATGATTCACTCTGATAACAAGGGTCTCGTGATTCCACCTAGAGTTTCTCAATACCAATGTGTCGTTTTACCAGTTGGTATCACCGCTAAAACTTCCGACGAACAAAGGATTGCCATTCACCAAGCCGCCAAAAAGGTCGAAGATAGATTGCATACAGCAAAAATTAGAGTCTTTGGTGACTATAATGACAACTACACTCCTGGTTGGAAATTTGCACAATACGAATTAAAGGGTGTTCCTTTGAGAATAGAATTAGGTCCTAAGGACATGAGCAACGAGCAAGTCACCGTTGTCCGTAGAAATGATTCTCGTAAATACACCGTCAAATTAAACGAATTGGAGACCCGTATTCCAGAAATTTTGGAAGAAATGCAAAAGGACTTGTTTTTGAAGGCTAAGGAACTTTTTGACACTCATAGAAAGATTGTCAACGAATGGAAAGATTTTGTTCCTTCTTTGAATAAGAAGAATGTTATTTTGTCTCCATGGTGTGGTGTCATGGAATGTGAAGAGGATATCAAGGATTCCTCAGCTAAGAAGGATAATGGTGAAGAATTTGAAGCAGACGACAAGTCTCCAAGTATGGGTGCCAAATCTTTGTGCATCCCATTTGAGCAACCAGAATTGAAGGAAGGTCAAAAGTGTGTAAAGTGTGACCGTCCAGCCATTCAATATTGTATGTTTGGTCGTTCATACTAGTTTTTATTTAATATTTTGCTTTATAAAAACCGTAATTTGATAGCTGCGTTAAAATTTAAGACAACTTGAAGGGTGGCCCACAGTCCAAGTTTATATGCGGTTTCCATGGCAATATTTTTATGTTTTTTTCTTCTCTTTGAACTAAACAGTCAACATTAATCACGTTCACAAAATAGTGGTAATAAATCTTGGGAAAGAAAAACAATTGAATACGATAAAGTTAATCGTTTCTAGAGGATTAAACTACTTTTCTGAGGAGTTCCGAGAAAAACAATTATCACTAACACGAGCTTCTCAACAATCTCACCAATCAGAATATATTAGAGCTTCAAGATGATTTTCCACAAAATCTATGGGCATGCGCATCGCTTCTATAAGATCTTAATTGAGTTACTCAAGAGTATTGAATATTTACCAGCAGACTAGTAGTTTTCCCAAAATGGACTTTTCTTGAGACTATCAATAGTGACACTTTTAATCTCCAGAGAACCTGAATTATCTGAAAGATAGTGTAATTCTTGCAATCTTAGAACCTCATCCATATATTTTAGCGCTTTATCGTAACAAACTCCTACATGACTGACAGCGTGTGCATCATCACTCAATACAAACCTGGCGCCCATTGACTTTGCAAGTATAGCAAATTCTCGACCGGGAAATGGATCGAGAAGCTTTTTTCTCAGGCCTGCAGTATTAATCTCAATGAGGCCCCCATAAGATATTATATACTGCAAATTCCGTACCACTAAGCTCTCGACATCTTCCCATTCGTGTAGAATTGATAATTGCTGAATACACTTGGCGCCTGGACTTCCCTCATCAATGATATCACCCGTTTGTGTGTTTACGCAGAGCCTTTGAGGACAAAGTAATTTGAATAAATCAAAATGCCCTACAACAAGAGGTTTCAATTCAGTCAAAAGTTTATACTGCATGTTCAAGTAGTCAATCATAAATTGCTTAAAGTTATTGCCTGCGACCTTCACTGCTTCAGTCCACATATCTTGATTGAAATCGATTGGAATCTCATTTACATGATGAACCGAACCAACACAAAACTGTAGGACATCTGGATACTGCTCCATCAGGCTCTTAGCGTAAGCAATATGTTGCGAGTCACAACCTTCGACTTCCATCCCAATGATGATCTTAGCCCCATGGCTATGTCTTTTTATTGTTAATGCATGGTCCATAAATTTTCGGAATTTTTGTTGTAGGGTCTCTAAATCTGATTCGGTCCTACCGGTCTTTTCTTCTGGATACAGATACTTGGAATCCAACCTTGGCATATGCTCGGTGAGACAGTACAACTCGAAGCCCATCTCATTAGCGCGAGCAACCATGTCGTCGAGCTTGTCGACGCCATGCGCCACGTATTCACCCGAGTGAGAATGATGTGAATACATGATACAATCTCTTATGCTGCTTATTATCGGTCTATCTGTCTATATCAATTCAAATAATGAGCAGGTTATCACTGATTCCTCTTCTCTTGTTATCTAACTTGTTTCCCTCGGAAAATCAGTTTGCAACCATATATGGTAAGTTACCGCGCGGGCCTCGTATTTTTCATAATTTAGGAAAATATATAAAAGATACGCTGCAATTCGAGGTGTCGGAATCGCGATGCCGCAAAGGTAGGAAGCTTGTTCTTTCATGTCAAAGGTTGTTGTTATTGGTGCCGGTGTTTCAGGCTTAACGTCTGCGTTATGCTTACTTCAATTGTATACTGACAGAATTCGAGAGTTGACCATTTTATCATCTGAGTGGCCAGGAGATTATCATGCACATGATTATACATCACCATGGGCAGGCGCAAATTGGGCCAGTTTCGCATCAAAGGATCAAGTGGAACAAATTCAACGTGATAAAGCTTCGTATTTAAAGTTTCGGCAGTTGGCTAAAAAGGAGCCCGAGTCGGGAGTAAAAGAATACACAAGCAAGATTTTTAACTTGAAAGAACACGGATTGCCATGGTACATTGAGCAAGACTTCGTAGATGACATCAAAATTGCTACCGATGCTGAATTGAGATATAGAAATTTGGATCCCGCTTTGTATTCTGGTTTTGAATATACAGGCTTCACAATCACCCCAAATGTCTACAATAATTATTTGATTTCCAAGATCCGCAAGTTAGGCGGAAAGGTAAAGAGAGTCCCTAGACTGAATGACATCACTGACGTTGTTGATGTTGTTGGTTACTTGCCAGACTTAGTTATCAACGCCACGGGTGTCAACGCTGGTAAATTGCTTAAGAATCTAGAGCCAGAGGAGTTAAAGAAAGTGTATCCTGTTAAGGGCCAAATTTTACAGGTTTTCGAGGATTTACCATTCCAGCTCATGGTGGACACTTTACCTGAAGAGCACAAAGCCCTCCCCTACCAGTTCTTGAACATTTTCCCCAGAGCCGAAGGTGGTTGCATTATCGGCGGTGTCTTCAAGAAAGGCGATTGGACCAATACTGTCGATTCCAAGCTTAGTGAGAGTATCATTTCTGTGTGCAAACGTCATGTTCCAGAGCTGAGATCCGCATCTGTTTACAACTCGTACACCGCTTTGAGACCTGGTAGAGAAGGCGGGGTACGTATTGAGCTTTCCCAATATGCCATTGGCAAGGGCAAGAAATTAAACGTGGTTCACAACTACGGTATCGGAGGTGCTGGTTACCAATCTTCATACGGGAGTGCCATGGAGGTTTGCTTGAACGCGAGTAGAGTTTTAGGCAGTCCCTTGGGTCAATGCCCCTTTAAGTTGTAGCCGCATTTGAGAGCTAATCAATCGCAGTACTTATGCTCTTTATTGTTTTCGAATAGAAGCCACACATGTAAACAAATTCAAATATAAACTAAATAACATGTCAATCATAAGAATAAGGCATCGTTATCTCTGATTGGACTATGCTAAATCAAAAAATAGTTTATCTGTTTTCTGCAAAAAATGGACGAGTCCGGAATCGAACCGAAGACCTCTCCCATGCTAAGGGAGCGCGCTACCAACTACGCCACACGCCCATGTTGATGATTAACTGGCACCCGACTTATTACATATCGATCATATCAAAGTTGCTGTTTCATTAATGTTTCTGGTAAAAAATCAAGAGATGAGATGATTCAGTTAGCAACTAGTGAAAGTTAGATTTGAGCGGACACACTTTGGAGGCATTAATTCTCATGCCTCGTCTCAAAAATACCAGCTCTAAGAATAGAAAAGCCAGTAAGTCCAAAAAACTTGTGCAATCAGTTTTGAGAATCGGTAAGCAGCCAGAATCATTGATACGGTGCCCAGAGTGTTCCTTGACATACTCGTTAGATGCAGCTAGGGATGTCGCTACACATGAAAATTACCACGATCTTCACTTGCGTGGTAGGAAATGGCCCTCTCAATGGGGTCAAGTGGTAGCCCATTTTCCTTCTATGTTACAGTCATCTACGCCGAGCTCAATAATTAACGTTTCGGCTTCAAGATTACGCAGTGGTGCTCAAAGATCGTCGTCTGATATTCTTGGAACAGAGCAGATAATAGTAATTTGTCCGGAAAATAAGCACGAGGTGCGAGCGACGTTGGAAATCTTGAAAATTGTCAACGATGAATTGAGAGCTCCTCATGATGAGAATTCGTTTTGGAGCGGAATCAGTGGTCCCGGCAGAATTGAAAATGAATGCAGAAAGGCACCTAACGGTAAAGCTTTCGTCTACGTTAAAAATAGTAGGGCTGTTGGGGTCATAACAGCGGAATATCTAGACGTGGGTGACAAGAGGGGACGTTGGATGGTGTTGGATACTTCGCAGATCGTCTCACAAGTTTCACCTGACGTGAGACTGGGAATTTCACGCATTTGGGTATGCAGAAAACAGAGAGGACTTGGTATAGCAACTAGATTACTTGAGGCTGCGAGATTGCATTCTATCTTAGGCACTGAGTTAGCGAAATGGCAGATGGCTTGGAGTCAGCCTAGCGAGAGTGGAGCAAAGCTTGCAAAAACGTATAACAGCGTTTTGCATCAGAAAAGTGGAAAATTGATAATACCATGCTACATTTAATTACGAATGAAAGGTTTGCAAAAAATTAAGGACTAAAAACATTTAAACAATGAATAAGAATGATTTTGAAAAAGTTACATGTCAGCCTTCGTGTAAATTCAAAAAAGAACAACAATCACTACCTTTTAACGGTTCCTGAAATCTTTCTCACACCTGCACCACTGGCAGACCTTCTGCCGGCACCGCTTGATGTAACACGCTTATTTTTGGGCAAGAGCTGTTTGAGGACTTCACTGTCCTCTGTAGAAGTGTGACCTCTACGTTTTGCATTGCTTTGACTACTATCAATTTGCATCGACTCGTCATCGCTATTATTATTGTTATTATCAAAAGACTTAACCCTCGATTCTTTGTTAATATTTTCGATGGTATTAGTACCATTGTGACCCTTTCTAGGTTGACCTGGAGAATTTTGCGGCACGGCAACGTTTGAGTGGAAATGTCTTTTTTCAATGGTGTCCGGGGGTGTAACGGTATGTTCGTCCAGCGTATAATCTCCATCACGATCTAGGAGCTTCTTGGATGATTTTTTATTTTTCTTTTGAGCTTTATATTCTTCTAAAGTGACGAGAGGGAAGAGCCCTCCTATCACATCACTTGGTTCTGAGCTCAGTTTCATGGTATATTTCCACTCCCTGAAACTATTTTGGTTGAGGTATAACCAATGCTGTTGAGGACCTACCACCATACCCGGTCTAACGAATCGTAGAAAAGCTATACATTCGTTAGCGGTGAAGCCATGGGTATAGATAAGATGTGCGCCAATAAGGCAACCTGTTCTTCCCAGACCAGCTTTGCAATGTACAGCAATTTTACCACCCTGTTTAATAATTGTTTCTGCTGCTCCGATGAAGTTTTGAACTATGGACATGTCAGGACAGGTACCGTCCTCAAAGATCATATCGATATGTTTGATGCCCATGTCCTCAAAATGCTTCTTGTTATACAGATGGGAGTTCAATCTGACCACCAATTGAACATTGTCTTCCGCAAAATATTTGAGCACACTACGGAAAGGTGCATTCAGGTGGGATTTCGAACTGGCGGGACCCACTCGGTGATGCTTATCTTCTTCCGGAGAAGCGAAGGCTATGAAGTCAGGAGTGAGCACATTGAAGTCACCGTTCTCCACTCTTTCGTATTTCTCGTATATTTCTAGTTGGAATGTGTTCAGATTAATGAGACCTCTTTCCTTGGCCCTCCACACACCGTACACAACATCTTGAATTGTGATTTCGAAGTCAGCGTTAGAATAGCCTGCATCTCTAAAAGGCATAAAGGGTGGATCGACCTGTGCAAGAGGCTGCAGTACCTGATGGGGTGTCCAGCCCTGCACCAGCAGCATATAGCAGCACAACATGCACGCGGAGTTGGCGCGCTGTCTCGTGGATGTTGAAGAGTAAAACACAACTGCCTTGCCTGAATTTTCCGGATCGTTCAAAATCTCATGAAATATCACCGCAAAACGGTAAAGATGACCAACATGTAATGGACCAAAATCCAAATGAAACCTGTTATAGAAGAGAATATCTTCCACGGTAAAGAAGACTATATCTTCAGTATCCTGTGGCGTGTAGTCGTATGCTCCCAGGTATACCCGTCCACGTAAGAACTCGATAGTGTTATCTAAATACACCTTCTTACGCATGATAATTGCCTCCGCCCCGGACTGAATTGATCGATACTGGATCAAACTTGGTGTTCCGCCAGAGCGAGTATGGGGGTAAAAATATTTTCATGTTTGTTTACAGTTACAATCACATTACACGATAAATAAAACACAATAACTGTAGATAACTAAACGTAGCCTTTGGGTCTAATCAGACGCTATTCGTCATTTATTCATTGCTATTGATATTCGTAGCGTAGTACTTTCCAAACACGAATTCTCTAATGCTAACAAAAAAATTCTCCCGGGGGCGATTCGAACGCCCGATCTCAAGATTACTTTTGAAATTACAGTCTTGCGCCTTAAACCAACTTGGCTACCGAGAGGACTTGTTGAGGTAGTCCTCACGAGATAAGATATATAAGTTAAAAAATAGGGCGCACGAAATTTGTAAAGGTAGTAAAGGGATTTTTCATTCTTCAGTAGAAGATATTCAATCACAAGCGAGAGAATCATGTTTAGAGATCGCACCAACCTGTTCCTATCATATCGACGGACGTTCCCACATAATGTTCAGGTGACAAAAAATCGAGATCCATTCACTGATCTAGAGGATGTCGCGGGTGATGAATCTTTTCCCATGATGGATATGGACAAAGGCTCTCAAGGTTTACCACCGCAGTTCATGGACTTCACAGAGCAGATAGATGAGCATCTCAAATCAGCTGAGACACAGATGATACAATTGACGAAGCTGTATCGGAAAAACTCACTTCCCGGATTCGAAGACAAAACCTCTGACGAGCAGGAGATCGAGGAACTGAGCTACCGCATTATTAAGCTTTTCCAACAGTGCTACAACGTGATGAAGAATCTGAAAGCGATCCAGTCCGCACAACGATTCAGAGACTACCAACTGAACAAGGGGGACATAATAATCCTCGACAACCTCCAGAAGAACTACGCAAACAAAATTCAGTCGAGTTCCAACAAGTTCAGAATGTTGCAAAATAGTTATTTGAAGTTTCTGAACAAGGATGACTTCAAACCCCTACCAAGTGCAACAACAGACAAAGATGCTCTGCTTATGCTCGAAGAGGAAGAGGCAGGATCCGCTACTCAGCAGGAAATAGATTCATACTCAAGACAAACGTTACAGAGACAAACTGAGCGGCAAATGGGAGGACGGACAAGCCAGTTCTTACAGCAAAGAGAGGAAGAGATTACACAGCTAGCACGAGGCGTTCTCGAGGTGAGCACTATTTTTCGAGAAATGCAGAATATGATCATCGACCAAGGAACCATCATTGACAGAATAGATTACAATTTGGAAAACACAGTTGTAGAACTTAAAGGTGCTCAGCGTGAATTGGAACGAGCGACAGTTTATCAAAAGAGAACTCAAAAATGCAAAGTTATTCTTCTGCTGTCGCTAATCGTCATGGCGTTGTTTTTCTTTGTAATGTTGAAGCCGCATCACCATGTGTCGGGCAGAAAACCCAAACAGGAGGCTCCGCCTTAACGAAATCAATGAACTAGGAAAAAAGTACCTCTGCATTATTTGGATATTGAGTAAAATCCTCTTACGCACTGTGGCCTAGCATTATAAAAGTAGGATTTAATAGTACTTCTACATTTTCTAATAAGTTACACGCTTTCTTTTCTAACAAAACTTAAAATCTATAAGATACTCCCAAATTACACGTAAGACTAAACCAGCTAGCTTATTACATCATCCCAGAGTAAGGACCTTCTCTCGTCATAGAAGCAGGTGGCAAATTGGTTTGCCTAGGTAACCTTTTCTTGTAAGCAGGCTTGTAATGTGTACTAGTGGCGCCTGCTTGTGGGTACATATTTGGACCCCGAGGTTTTCTTGCATTTCCGGCAACCATGAAATCAGGGTTCGCATTCAGCACCATATCGGAAGCAGTGGGTGCATTTCCATATTGAGATCTTTGAGGAGGCACTTGATATTGCTGCGGATACCCTGCTGAAGGTTGCTGTTGATACATTTGAGGTGGGTGATGTTGAAAAGCAGGTGCCCTAGCATAAGGTGTGTGACCCTGCTGGACAGGTGGACCCGAATACTGCTGTGGGGGGAAGTAATGATTGGCAGATGGAAGTAGCCCTACACGTGGCTTTTGGTTCGCAACCATAGGCATATGTTGTGGGTGTTGAACTCTATTAGCGGTAACAGATGGCATATAATTTGGATTGACTCCTCTTTGCGAAACCGAAGTGAAATCAGAATCATCATCCTTGATTCCATCGTCGTCGTCTAAAGGTGGAATTTCGCTTGGGTCGACAGTCTGCTGCTTAATGAATTCATCATCGTCCTCTTCATCAATAGCATTCTTGATGATACCTTGTAGTTCGTCATGCCCTGTTGGCTGGTTTTTCTTACGAGTATCGTCCAAACCCAACACGGAGTTGGGCTTCAAATCCGTAGTATTTAAACTACCTGTACGTGAAACACCCTTAGGACTTTCTGTATAGAAAGACGAAGAGTTCGAAATGTCGCGATAAAATTGCTGAGGTGCATTGTAGGCAGGGATTGCGCCGGTCTTACTACTAGCCCCTGATCTTCCTAAAGATGCATCCGAGTCGCGAATCACAGAGTATGGCCGAGTTTGGTGCATTTCGTCGTTCGGTTCTTCAGACAAGGGTACCATAGCAGAGTTATTCATTGAAGTCTTAGCGTAGGGGTTTGGTCCTTGCTGATCTGTCATTAGTGCTTCACGTTCGGACCTGGAGTCGGTTGTACCAGAGTTTAAAGTTGTCGAGGTAACTATTTGAGAGCCTTTGTAATAGTCCGGTAAATTCACTGGCTTTTCGAGTGCAGACGATTTGGACTCGTTGTAATATTCGTTGAGGCGGAAGTTGCTCTGCGAGCCCAAAGTCTCTAAACGGTTCAATTTCTGCTCGTCATCCGAATCTTCCTCGAGATCATCACCCTTAGCGGCCTGCGAATGCGCCACGAAGGTGAGAGGCACGCACAGCAAGTTGAGCGCAGCAGCGGGCACCAGAAGCCAAGAACACCACGTCACGTGTGGGTAGAACAACAGGAATACCACGATGCATACCAGTGCTGAAGATGCAAACGCAAGGAGCGTTAGCAGCAAATTAATCACAAAAACGGCCGCGTGTCTGCCAACTGAGGAGAACTGCGCGAGGAAATTGATGAACATCGCGAAAAAAGTCAAACCGGCTGCAATTGGCACCACAATTAGAATCTTACCTAACGACGTTCTCGCAGAGCTGTTCATACTCCAGTCAGCGTCCGAATCAATACTTTCAGGTCCATAGTTCGCAGATGCAGCGCTACAATCACCACTCTTACAGTAACCGAAAGTTCCATACACGGTGCTATCGTACTTCGAGAGCCCTATCTGGCTAAAAACTGGTGCTGTGACGCAGCAAATGATCAAAAACGCCATAGAGGCGAACTCCAACACTGTGATCACACTTGATATTCCAATACTAAATCTTTTTCCCATACTTTCTCCTTGGATCAACTGGTTGTCAGTTAGTCAAACTGTCTTTAGCTTCTTATCAAAAGATATTGAAACGCCTCGCTTCTTCGCGACGCGCGCCGCACCAAAAATAGACAACCAGCCTTTCGAATTGAGAATGCAATATCATTCCGAACGGATGCTGAAAAGAGTAATCGCGATTGATCTACAACGGTTTCGACAGTTGAAATGCTGGTCCAATTTGGGATAGACGGGATCATAACTGTCAATGTGGGTGGGGAGATACACTAGGCATCTTGAATGTGGGTTCGTTAGATAACTCCATACAGTGCGTGCATTGCTGGTGTCAGGAACAACGTCTGGCCGGCCGAAAGATGGGAAGGTGGTGATGGAAAGGTTGCGGTACTCGCAAATCGGCTTCGCCGCTCGAGCAAAAGACGGAAATCGGGTCATGAAGTTGCTCTCTGTTCGCTCATGCGGTCTCCTCGTCAGCAAGACACTTGGCCGTCGCAAACGACATTCATGTGCCAACGGGACTACATGGTGGCTCGGACCTGATCGTAGGCTCCGGTGTGAGCAGCTGGCAATGGTGGTTTGAGGCAGTATATAGTTGAGGTCGATGGAGGGACGCAAAGGCCGATTCTGTGTGGACGACGAATCCAAAGGGCAACATGAGCTCAGAGGACAAGTAAGTTGTGCTAGAGTCGACCAACGTTCTTGAGTTTGATCTGTAGTGCCGTACGCGAACCGGATTCGGTTCATTGTAACATTTTACCCGCTTACAACAGTGGCCATCGAAACTCCTTGTAGAAGTGGTTTTTCACGTAGTTCTCGGCCAATCATGTTTCTTGCCCGAAAAAACTAAGAGAAAAATTTATCTACAATTAGTTCCCCATAACTCCAGATCCTAACAACAAAAGGGTGTAGAATGGGGTCACAACCTTCCAAACCAGCTGAAACGAAGGTGTTCACACCCAAGACTCAAGTAGATTTCACAACTACTCTATTGGCGCAGTTGGAAAACTCTACTGAGGGTGATTATGCGAGACAACAGCTAGCAAATAAATACCTTGAGCAAAGAGTTGCTGAAAAGCTCTCCCAATTGGAGGAAAACACGCTCAAGAAGTTTGAAGATAAACTCAATACATCGCTACTATCTGATTCCGCAGAGTCAGACAAAGAGTTGTCTTCTAAAGCGCTCAATGAAAAAGTGAGCACGCTGAGTGACCGCCTAGCCAAATTGCAAGAAGCCCGCTCATCCAAGGTGAACGAAGAAAAGACAAAAGAAATTAAAACCGCGTTGACGAAGTGTCTGGTGGAAAATAAGGGCAAGCCTCTGAACTGTTACGAAGAAGTTCAAAATTTCAAAAAGTTGGTCCTAGAGCAATAGAGCATCGCAGCCGAGCGGACTAAGACGTCCCTTTTTCTCAAGAAAAGCCATCTGCGTGGGGGAAGATAAAGATGTGTATGCAAAATTTGTACATACTATATATTCGAAACGATTAAAATCTCTGAACGATCCCGTTTACAAACCAAAGCCCTTGTAAATCAGGATCAAAGCGCTGTCACTTTCACCGCCTCCAGCCAAAGATTCGATTTTCTCTTTTTCGACCGCAGTGACTTTATCATCGTTGAATTTGTACCATTTGTTATCGTCGAATTCGTCGCGAATGAAAGCCTGATAATGCCCACTTTCGGAATTTGGACCCTGATGTGTGATAACCCCGACCAGATCATAAACCGATGAGGGATTTTCACCTGGTTTCAGGTTGGAAGGAAATTTCTTCTTGAACTCCTCCAACCAGTGTTCCTTATTACTTTGCTCCAGTGCTTTTTCAGTTTCGAATTTCTCACGTGGGGTTTCTGATACTTCGTCATTACTTTTGTCACCATTTAATTTCCGTCTCTTCAACTCTCGGTCGTTTTCTAACTTTTCCTTTTCAACTTCACGCAACTCATCCCTTGCCTTGATTTTGTCTTGCGCGTAATCAGAAGCTAGCAAATCACACACATCAAGTTGGAAAGGGAAAACCACCTTCCGCAAAATCTTGGATTTTTTCCCTGTAGACTTTTTCCAAAAAAACCTTACGTATTGGACTGTTAAGTATTCAGGCAATTTGGTTATTTGCTTTTGAACATCAAATATAGAGTTCACACCGGTAATAGAAGAACGCTTTTCGATCTTCTCGTTCAAAGATTCCGCAAGACCATTCTTCATGAAATTGGTAGTCCCAGAAATGTGACATTGCAATTTCAGATCGTGATCATCTTCTTTAACTGTAATATCTTGCTCGTTTGCTGTATCCTTAATCGTCGTTCTAAAATTAATCTGAAACTTTTGCATCAAGTCATCGCCAAATACAACCCGCAAAGAGTGGAAAAGCTGGGTGAAAAGTTCTTCTGCATCTTGCTGCTTGTAAATTCCAGATTGCTGGTCACGCTCGGCAAACTGTGGGTAACACTTTCTAAGCATGGCCAACAGTAATATTGGTGTAACAGATTCCTGAGGCTTATCTCTCAGCATTTGGAAGCACCTTTTCAATTCTGTCACAAGCAAGAAATGTGGATCATCAGCCGGGGAGTGATCGCCTGCCTTGAAATTTAAAATCTGGTCTCTTAGGGGAGTGATTTGATACAATGCTTGCAAAGTAGAGTTCATGTAACAAGTATTTCCTAAGTTTTTGAACCCAATTGGCAGTTGAGACAATTGTTGTTGCTGAGCATTTGGGTCCAAATCTTCAATAAATCTGTTCTCTTTCTTTGGCTTTGTTACCAGATTGGCATCTGGCGTACCTAAAAGCATAACGGTTTGACCTGGCTTAATCAAACCATCTAAAATAGATTCACTTGACAAGCCACCTTTCAGCATATACTTTTGACGAGCCCTTGGAACTTGTGTCAGCTCCTCAACTTTCAATTGTAGGTCCGAGCCCTTAGATCCCTCGGGAACTGTAACCTCGTAAACCTTACCTGCATGCTTGATCTTAACTACAATATCACAGAGTTAGTATTTTGTCATGGAATCAGAAAAAATTGGGAGTAACCTACAGTCTATACTCATGTTGAATACAATAATTCGGGGCTTGTTAACTGATTTACTGGTGGCAAATATTATCCACTAAAATTACATGTCTTAGATATATTATACGTTAAAAACGATTCATTATCTGCAAAGCTATCTGGCGCTTGTTTTCAATTAAGATTCAGCCATGTTAGCATTTTAATCAAACCTCCGTGATCTCATGCTTTCCCTCGTAGTAATCGTCAATTTCTTCTAACGTCATTCCCTTTGTTTCAGGGATGAAGAAATAGACGAATATTATAGCCACAAACATAAAGCCTGTAAATACATAGCCAAATGCGTATCCGATGCGAGCAGTGATAATTGGAGTACACAAAGCAATGAAGAAGTTGGACCCCCAATTGAAGGCTTGAGAAAAAGCCATTGCTTTAGATTTTATTTCTAAAGAAAATATCTCACTCACCAATACGGACGCAATCGCTGACCATGAACAACAAAAGACAGCAATGAATAGACATGTAAACACAATCATGATAGTACCGGATAATTTGGCATTAGGGTTTTCCTGGTGATCCACCATTACAACTCCGATAGTAGAGAAGATGAACAAGCACGTAAAACAACTAACAGAGCCCCAAAACAAACCCTTTTTACGGCCTAGGTTATCGGCGACAAAGATTGACACGTAGGTCATACCCGCATTTATGGCACCAAGAATGATAGATGTGACATAAGAATCTTCAATACCAACGGACTTGAACAATTTCGTACCGTAGTACAAAAAGTAATCTATACCTGACATCTGTTGGAAGGCCATCACACACATGCCCGAAATCGTTCTTTTCAGATATTTTTTGCTAAACAGCTGCCAGAAACTGGCATTTCTTTGTTCCCTGAGCTGATAGTGAGAAGCAGCTTTCAAAAATTCAACTTCCTCAACCACCTCGTTCATATAGGCTGCATCCGTAGCGCTCAGGGTAGAGCCAGAATTGAAATCCAAATTGAAACCTTTTAGCTTTGCAACGCACTTTTTGGCATCTTCGAAGCGACCTCGTTGAATGAGGTAACGAGGAGATTCTGGTACGCGGGTGAGTACAGGGATGATGATCAGAGAAAAAATGTAGCCGCCGATCAACGGCAATCTCCACATGCGGTTATCTGTATAAATACCTTTAGTCGCGTAATCAACAATGTACCCAACTAAAATTCCATGTGTGACATTAATCTGATAGAAATTCACGATGACTCCTCTGATTGTAGGCGGCGCAATTTCAGAGAGTAGCATGGGGGATAGTACCGCGTTAGCACCCACCGTGAGGCCCGTGATCATTCTTCCGATCATGTATTGATACCATTTGCCCTTCCCCGCACTGAGCTGAACTGATATGCCTATCATATATACAAAACAGGCTATAGCAATGGGAGCGCGACGGCCTAGGTGATCTGCCAGCCTTGCAATCGTGAATCCGCCTGTGATACATCCAATATGGAACGCAGACACAATAATACCTATAATTGCAGTTGACATTTCATATTCCCCACTCGAGGCATTATAATGGCCAAACCGTTTTAGCCAGGGTTGCATATTCGTGATACCACCCACAGTACCCGTATCATAACCGAAAAAAAACCCTGTAAAAGACACACCAAAGCACGCAAAGATCAGATTCCAGTTTCTAGTCAAAACATGGAAATACTCCTTCGACTCGACCTTCGATTCTCCTTTTTGAAAGTGCGATGAGTGGGACGATGCCCTCGAACGAGGCAAATCGACCGAATAATATCTGCTTGCATTTTCCTCCGGTGCGAAGGGTTCAATTGGAGTGGGTGAGCTCGAGTGTGAATGTATTTCACTCAATTCATAACTTTGCTCAACAAACTCAACATTAGAATCGGGTTCAGCACGCGAGAGCGCATCTGCAGCCAAACTCCGGCTTCGCGATCTAACTTGTAGATCTGAGTGCACTTGCTGATCTCCTGTAAACACGTTAGTGTCCATTGTCACTTTTGCGTGTTATTGTACAGCTCTGGTGTAATCATTTCAAGAACGATTTCTCGACCCCGCTGTATATGTAGAGAGATATCATCGGGCCCTTGTTACTTTTTCAGGCCCAGGATGGACGGGAAGGCAAGCTAACTAATTTAAGAAAAGAATCACGTGCGGACTTTCTCATAGCCATCAAGTCAAGAATTGGCAGACTTTAGCACAGTTACTACATCTCAAGGGCAATTAAATACCGTGTTTCCATAGATAGTTGATCAACTATACTTATTTTCTTCTCGATACTTTTCGTTGTGTAACAACGGTTTGCGTCGCGATGCGACGAACCGTGACAATATATGTATAAAAGTGGATCGTTAAGTGTTCCAGTTACTAACAAGTTTGTAATAAGGTGGATTATTAGATCTTTATCGAATAAATGAAAATCAATCTTTGGATTATCGGGGTTTACTTTTTTTGTAGTGTCCAGATAGCAGACGCATGGAGTTCAAGTGAAGAGAAGTACATTCAGTCGCTTTATGTGAAACACAAAGACTATTTGTCTGGATTTAAGGCTGAAACTGACTATTGTGAGCCACAGGAAGAAAGCAGTTTTGACGAAAAGTTAGCAGAGTTGTACTATGGTAGACTGACCGACAGAAGCATACACTTCATGCTGGACGCGATAACGGATCGTTTCCCTCAGTTGAAGGGCAACATAGTGCCTTCGATGTTTAGCCACAGACAGAATTATGTGATTGTATCGGTACAAAAAGAAGAAGAGGAGGCTTCTAACTGAGCAGCGACTTGCAGAGAGCGCATTAAGGTCGATGCCAATCTTTCTGCTTTGTCAGATAATGAGTATATATTTTTATACGAATATCAAAATTTTCAGTAGTATATTCGAAAAGTCATCTTCCATCATCTCCCATCATCTCCCGGACTTCTGACATATAGAGACGCAAGAGGCCCATAAATCATCTATGAGCATTCGCAGAAAGCGTCTTTCTGACGGACTGACCGTAACTCAAAAGGTCTTTGTTAGATCTCGCAATGGTGGCGCCACCAAAATTGTCAGAGAGCATTACTTGAGAAGTGACATCCCATGCTTCTCCAAAGCGTGCTTAGAATGTGTGAAAATAGTTGTTCCCAACGCACAAAATGAACTACCGAAGTTTGCACTCTCTGAAAGCCCAATGGAGCTCACCCCGGAAATTGGGAAGCACTATGTTGTGTTGGACGCCAATATCATTTTGCAGGCTATCGACGTTTTAGAAAATCCAGACTGTTTCTTCGATGTAATTATTCCGCAAATTGTCTTGGATGAGGTAAGAAACAAGTCCTACCCGGTTTATGTGAGATTAAGAACTCTTTGCAGGGACAGTGACCATTTAAAGAGATTTGTGGTGTTTCATAATGAGTTCAGTGAAAACACGTACGTAGAGCGGGAGAAAGACGAGTCAATCAATGATAGAAATGACAGAGCCATCAGAAAAACCTGTCAATGGTACACAGAGCACCTGAAGTCACAAGGCATCAAAATCGTTTTTGTCACCAATGATAAAGCCAATAGACAACTAGCAAACAACGAAGGAATAATTGCAAAAAGCCTAGTGGAATATGTCGAGTGCTTACCTAACGCTGACGAAATAAAAGATACTCTACCTAATCTTGAACTACCTGTCAATCAAGACAAGGATCAGGAAGCAAGAGCAGAATTCAAATACCCGGAATACTACTCTACCTCAAGAGTTATGGGTGGTTTGAAGAGTGGTGTGCTCTACCAAGGTGCAATTCAAATTTCTGAATACAATTTTTTGGAAGGTTCGGTGTCGCTTCCTAATTTTTCCAAGCCAGTGCTGATTGTTGGCCAGAAAAACCTCAACAGGGCGTTTAATGGTGATCAAGTTGTGGTAGAATTACTTCCTCAAAAGGAATGGAAAGCTCCGTCTTCTGTAGCAATAGATTCTGAGCATTTTGATGTAAATGACAATCCAGACAACGATGAGGACGACAACGAGTCTGAAATAGTTTCAGACAAGCAACGTCGCTTATTAGCACAAGATGCCATTCAAGCGCAAAAGTCGAGTAGAATCCAGCCCACTGCGAAGGTTGTCAGCATAACTAGAAGGTCATGGAGACAATACGTTGGTCAGATAGCAGTAAACTCCATTGATTTACAGAACGGCGGAACGCAAAATGTTTTTGTGATTTTGATGGACAAATGTTTACCAAGGGTAAGAATTCGGACAAGGAGGAGTAAAGAGTTATTAAACAAAAGAATTGTTATCGCCATCGACTCTTGGCCCGATACATACAAATATCCACTAGGACATTTCGTCAGAGATCTGGGTGATATTGAGTCTTCTCAGGCAGAAACTGAGGCTTTGCTTTTAGAGCATGATGTGGAATACAGGCCTTTTTCTAAAAGAGTTTTGGAATGTTTACCTTCGGAAGGAAATAATTGGAAGGCGCCAGAGTCCTTATCAGACCCTCAGGCGATTGCAAAAGATCCTTTGCTGTCTAGTAGAAGGGACCTCAGAGATAAACTTATCTGCAGTATTGATCCACCGGGATGTGTTGATATAGATGATGCCCTACATGCAAAAAGACTTCCTAATGGCAATTGGGAAGTTGGTGTCCACATTGCTGATGTTACTCACTTCGTGAAACCCGGTACTCCGCTAGATGCCGAAGGAGCTTCAAGAGGTACCTCCGTCTACCTTGTAGACAAGCGTATTGATATGCTTCCAATGCTATTAGGTACCGATTTATGTTCCTTGAAGCCATACGTGGATAGGTTCGCATTTTCGGTCCTTTGGGAACTTGATGAGAATGCTGATATTGTGAACGTTGATTTCACAAAGTCTGTCATAAAGTCTCGGGAAGCATTTTCTTATGAACAAGCGCAACTTCGAATCGATGACAAAAACCAGACAGACGAACTCACAGAGGGAATGAGAGCACTGCTGAAGCTGTCAATAAAGTTGAAGCAAAAACGGTTGGACGCTGGTGCACTCAATCTCGCGTCTCCTGAGGTGAAAGTGCACATGGATAGCGAAACATCTGATCCCGGAGAAGTTGAAATAAAGAAGCTTCTCGCAACCAACTCTTTAGTCGAAGAATTTATGCTGTTAGCGAACATATCTGTCGCAAGAAAAATATATGATGCTTTCCCCCAGACTGCTATGTTGAGACGCCATGCCGCGCCTCCGGCGACTAATTTTGAAACTCTCAATGAAATGCTGCAATTGCGCAAGGGTATGTCTATATCTCTTGAATCTTCTAAGGCTTTAGCAGATTCTTTAGACCGTTGTATCGATCCAAAAGACCCATACTTCAACACACTGGTGCGTATAATGTCCACTCGTTGTATGATGGCTGCCCAGTATTTTTTTTCGGGTGCTTACTCGTACAGCGACTACCGTCATTACGGACTGGCAGTGGATATCTACACGCATTTTACTTCCCCAATTCGTCGTTACTGTGATGTTGTAGCCCATAGACAGCTTGCTGCTGCCATCGGCTACGAGCCTTTGGATTTAAGTCACAGAGACAAAAACAAGATGGAAATGATATGCAGAAATATTAACAAGAGGCACAGAAATGCGCAATTTGCGGGAAGGGCAAGCATTGAATACTACGTCGGCCAAGTAATGAAAAACAACGAGTCCGTGGAAAGTGGTTATGTCATTCGGGTCTTCCACAATGGTATTGTGGTGCTTGTACCAAAATTTGGTGTCGAAGGCTTGATCAGATTAGAAAATTTAACAGACGACGTACAGTCCGCCGAGTTTCATGAAGATCAATTCAAACTCACCTTCAAACATACTTCAAGCGGTGAAACAAAAGATCTTTACATATTTGACAAGGTCAGCGTTCAGGTTAAATCGATCTTAGATCCTGTAACAAGCAAACGTAAGGCTCAATTGCTATTGATATAAACGCTATATATACTAAACGGTATCTAATGGGGCGAAAAGTTACATAACACCTAAACAATTTACTAATCAATTCTCAGTTCAGTTAGTGTCTTTTCACTACACCAGCTTGATCAGCAGAAGCTATAATATAATTCTTGTAGTCATAGATGTTACCATCGAATTTTTTCACAGTACCGCTCTCTGAAACCCAAATCTCGTTGCATACGCTATCGATGATTGAAATGTCATGCGACACCATCAAAACACCACCAGTGAAATTCTTCAAGGCGTCGACTAGTGCGTCCAAACCTGCAGTATCCAAGTGATTGGAAGGTTCATCTAATACCAAGATGTGAGGATTATTCAAACATAATGCAGCAAAAGCAACCCTAGATTTTTGACCACCGGAAAGTAGCTGCATCTTTTGCAAACCCAAAGACCCAGTAATACCGAAAGCACCAAGATGGCGACGATATTCTTCATCAGTTTTTCCTGGGAAAGTATTTGACATCCAATCAACTGCAGATGTGTTCAAATCCATGGAATCGACGTGATGCTGTGTGAAATAGCCAATCCTTAGTCTAGGATTCCTTGATACAAAACCCTTGGTAGGTCGCAGTTGTTCCATCAACACCTTAAGGAGAGTTGTTTTACCACAACCATTGGCACCAACCAAAGCAATTCTGGAGTCCATTTGAACATCCAGATTTACGTCCTTCAATAGAAGATTGGAAGGATCATAGCCGAATGAGACATCTTGAAGCTGAATGATCGGAGGAGATAGCTTATCACAGTCAGGGAATTTGAAATTGATGCTCTTTTCCTCTTCAGGTGGTTCCAGAACAGGCAGTTTTTCAAGCTTCTTAATTCTAGATTGGGCTTCTTGCGACTTGGCAGCATTGTATCTATATTTATCGATAAATTCCTGCAAATGCTTACGATATGCAAGTTGATTCTCATATTCTCTTTGAGCATTTTTGCGTCTCTCCTCTTTGGTGGCATAGAAACTGTCAAAATCCTGCCCTCTGTAATAATCCAGCCTCTCATTATGCTGATATATAATATCTGTCGCTACCTCATTCAGGAAGGCTCTGTCGTGCGAAACCACCAGAACAGTTGACGGATAAGTTTTCAAGTATTCTGACAGATATGCGATAGAGGGCACATCTAACATATTGGAAGGTTCATCGAGAAGTAGTAAGTCAGGTTGACAGAATAAGGCTCTTGCTAATGAAAGTCTCATTCTCCAACCACCAGAAAAAGAGTTCGTGGGCTGTTGCTGAGCTTCGGTACTGAAACCAAGACCATAAAGAATTGATGCCGCTCTGGCCTCTGCCTTGTCAGATTCCATGTCAACCAATTTTTCTGAAATTTGTTGTAAATGGTTTTCAAGATCTTCTCGTTCGTTATCTAATTTCTTTACCTCCAGACTTTCCTCTTCGAATTCCGTTCTGAGTTTTTCAATTTCTTGTAATCTTTCATTGATTTTCGTTTCCTCAGTCAACAATTGTTTCCTCCACACATCTGCATCTAAAACACTTTGAAGAGCTTTGGTTTCGTCACCTCGTAATTCTTGCTCAACATGTAGAATAGATATATGCTTGGGGACATTTAATTCTCTACGAGATAGGGCCCTCAATAAAGTAGATTTACCGATACCGTTTTGTCCTACCAAACCGTAGCGACGACCAAAACTTAGGGTCAACTGGGCATCAGACAAAATTCTTTGACCATCGCCTACGTATAAATCGAAAGTATCAATTTTGATATCCTTGGACTTGCCTGCACCAGAACCGAATTCGATTGGATTGATCTCTAAGAAGAATGAATCGTAATCTTCTTCCTTTTGCTCATTAATCAGACGAGACGCTTCATATTTCACGAATTTGTTATTTCTCTTGGCAACCTTTTTGGCAATCTTCTTTTCAGCTTTCTCCAATTTTCTCAAATCAACCCTGGTCTCCATTTTACGGCCTGTATGCTCAATATCATTTGTAACACCCAACATTGCCAGGGACGCGTTGATATTCGCCTTCTTATTATGATTTTGAAGGATGTTCACGTCCAAAAGTCTCTTGCTAGTGTCCCCAGTCAATTCTAACTTTGACTGATTCTCTTTCAATTGTAAAGAAAGTTGCGTCAATATATCCTTGGCTAGCTCCTCAATTTTGTCCTCATTCCCACCTGCGTTGACAAGAAGACTCTCGACAAACGACACTTCTTGAGGAAGTTCGAGTTGCTTACTCTGAACTGCATCATAGGTGGCACTGGACAAATGATTTACGTATCCCACTGCGTAGTCGGCAACTATAGGATCAACAGTTGGAGCAGCTTGACGAATCTTAAACCCTATATTAGACATTTTTGGACAGTTAATGGCTCCAGGATGTTGAGAAGTCTAGATGGTTTTGAGTTTTACCACTCTCATCGTAAAATAGCATAAAAATTTTCAATCATGAATCTGAAAACCAAAAAAGAATGCGCAAGCCCGGAATCGAACCGGGGGCCCATCGATGGCAACGATGGATTTTACCACTAAACCACTTGCGCTTTTTGTTATGAGAAACTGAGGACCAGTTCGATATCAAGAAGACAATATTCGATGGACCCTTTCGAAACACTATGGATTCTGAAAAGATAGAAGGAATGGTATCAAAGATAGTCTGGGGAGCATTAGTTAAAACGAAAAAATTCAGTTCTAGATCTATTAATTTAAGTATCTGAGAATTTGGTGAATATTGAGCTAAATGTTGGGATTCCATTTTTTATTATGGCTGTAATTATTGGTATATGGTTATACTAGAAGTTCTCCTCATCTTTCTAAGAATCCAGAAAGAAGAGTCAATAATTCTACTTACAAATATTCTTACTCTTTCTGTTCCTTTTATACATTTTCATTCATTATCCTATTACATTATCAATCCTTGCGCTTCAGCTTCCACTAATTTCAATGACTGTTTCTCATTCTTTATGTCATCTTAAAACACCGTGTATGATAATATACTAGTAACACGAATACTAGTCGATGGTCGATAGTTGTATTTCGTTCCAACAGTATCACCAATTTCTGAGCTCAGTAGGGGATCAAATAGGGGAGTGGAGGCATTTTACTATTAATTTAAATATATATATCAAGAGCTTCATGATTAATACGATACCAATATATCAAGTAAATTAAGAAGTTCGTGAATAGCATCAGATGACACTTATGATCTAGGGCATGCTTCGATATATGTACGTCTAAGACAACTGGTGCGTCATATGCTTTCACCCAATTATAGTTAATGCGGTAACGAGTTGTTACTTACCGTTAATGACCTGAAATGATCCCTTGTCAACGTTTGAATGTAAGATTAGATGATTTCATTCTATCAAAATGAGCGTTCGGCGTCACTTCTTGTTTTAAACGGTTTATAACTATTTTCAGTTAGTATGCAAAAATTTGTTGTGAGATGCTCATCTCAAAAATTAGCTCGAATAGTCGAAGTTTGAAAACGAGTAAATTAATCATGTCCAAAATTGAAGAAGTGTATCCATCAGATAACGATGAGTCGTATACTTCAAAACCTGGCCATGTCTTTTTGGGGTTTGTAGACACTGCTATCAAAGAAGCAGACGAGGCATCCATCGAGGATACTTTCGTCGGAGGTGAACCAGTGTGGTTACACCCAGAGTCCCAACCAGATCCCAAACTGCTTGAATGTGGTGCATGCAAGTCTGCTGTCCATATGAAGCTGTTATTACAAGCCTTCGCCCCCTTGGACTCTGAACAGGTTGAGACTGTGGCTGAAGAACTGAAGATTCCCATGACAACTACAAAATATATAAACAGTGATGATGAGAGAGTGTTGTATGTGTTTGTTTGCACGAAGTGTCCAAGAAAAGGCAACTCTGTACGTTGTATTCGTGGTGTTAAAAGAAATGAAGCCATGACCTCATTAGCCTCGAAAATGGAGGGCTTAACTGCTGGTAAAGATTTCCAAATCAACCCCTTTGATCTTTCGAAAAACACTCAAAACCCTTTTACTGCCGGAAGCGCATTGTCGTCTAATGCAAATCCATTCGACCTCGCTGACAAAGACCCTTTTAAGATCGAAAAGAGTACAGCAAACCAGCAGGTTAAAGACGCTCCATCCGCTAAATTGGCCAGGAAAGAGCATGACGCAATGCCGGATAAGCAGTTTGATAGGAACAAGGCTTTTCCAGGTTTCTTCTTGTATGTGGAGGAGGAATCTTTTAAGAATAAGACACCAGATCATTTAAAACTTCCAGACAACCTCAAGATTGACAAAACTGTATTGGATCTTTCAGGTGAAGAGGAGCAATTCAGCAAATCACCAATAAAGCTGGATCCGAGAACTGAAAAGCTCTCTAAATTCTTGGATGACGACGTATTTCAAAAGTTCCAAGAAATTGTTGGTTACAACCCTTACCAGGTTTTGCGATATGATTTTGGCGGTAAGCCCTTGTACTATGCCCAAGCCAAAGCAGATGTTGAAAAAACTGTACCAGCTCCTGCATATAATCCCTCATCGCGTCGAATATTTGAAATGCAATTAATGCCAAAGCTAATCCTAGATTTGGAAGAAACGGTTTCTCTCAACGAGGGTATGGAATGGGGGACAATTCTAATATTTACCGATATTGAAAACTACGTTCCAAAATTCGATAATCATGGCATAGGTTATGTAGAAGAATGCGTGCGTGTTCAGTGGGAATCCTCCAAATAAGGTAATATCTTAAAAGCAAATGTTTCAGGCTATTTACAAGTACTATTTACAGGTGTTAAATGCTCAGAGATACCTAGGAACTTTCACTTTTTCATAGACAACAATCTTGTCACCAGCTTCATAATCTTCGAAGTTGTTTTCAAATGTTACACCACATTCGTTGCCTTTTTTGACAGAAATAGTATCTTCCTTTCCCTGTTTCAAGGTAGCAATTTTTCCATCGTATACACACTTTTCATCAGGGCCTCTTAATATTTTAATCGCGGAATTCCTCATCAGTTGGCCGTTTGTAACTTTACATCCTGCGATCCTTATAAGTTTCTTCTTTAATGAAAAGTTGAAAATTTCACGGATTTCGACCGTTGCTAGTTGCCTTTCCTCATAAACAGGCTTCAAATTTTCGGTCAGAATTTCTGTGACATCCTCAATAAGTTTATAAATAACATTGAATTGCCTGACCTCAATTTTGTCTTTATTATTCAAAACATCGGAAGGTAGATTACCTAAGTTGAAACATAGAATCGTACTGTCGGTAATGCGTGCCATTTTCATGTCATTCTCATTGGGTATACCCACTGCTGCGGAGACAATGTTTGAAACTACTTCTTCATTTCCTAGTGAAGAGATACTTTCAACAATTGCTTCGACGGAGCCAGACACGTCAGCCTTGACTATAAAATTGACCTTCTTCGGTCCAGGGGGGCCCGCTTGGTCAGCACCTTCTTCACCATCCAAATCGTCAGTGCTCATTTCATCCTTTTTCTCCTTGTTGATGGCTTCTAAAAACCTTTGCTGATTTAATTTTTCGACATTTGCAGCTTCTCTAGCAGACTGAAGAAGCGATTGACGTTTAGCGACGAATTTCTTTGCCATAGATTCATTACTAACTTGAATCACTTCATCACCAGCATGCGGTAGATCTTTCCAGCCTGTTATCTCAACAGCTTGCGAAGGTGCGGCTTGGTTGATTTGACGACCTGTTTCATCCATTATACTCCTAACTTTACAATAGGTATTTCCGCAAATTAAAACCTTTCCCTTTGTTAAAATACCTCTGGTCATCAAAATAGTACTGACATTTCCCATAGACTTCTTCACTTCACTTTCTAGAATCCAGCCTTCAGAGTTGGTATTACTACCTTGTTCTCCTTTCAAATCCATGATATCGCTGAGTAAAATAATGCTCTCTTCAAGCAAATCCATATTTTCTCCCGTGCGAGCACTGATAGGAATGACTTGTACATCACCACCCATTTTTTCAATCGGTACCCCGTTGTTCATCAGATCATTTGTTACCTTGTCGATCGCCCTTTCTCTCTCTTTTTTATTTGAAAATTTGTCAATTTTCGTTATGGCTACAATCAGCTCATTGCCAGAGTTTCTAACATGCTTTATGGCCTCAAGTGTTTGCGGCATTATAGAATCTTCGACCGAGATGACTAATACTACTATGTCTGTTATTGTTGCCCCACGCTCTCGCATTTTTAAGAAGGCTGCATGTCCTGGGGTATCGAGGAAAGTGATTTTTCTGCCTGAAAGTGGGGTATTTATTTGAAAAGCTCCTATGTGTTGTGTTATACCCCCATGCTCTTCGCTTACGATAGAAGATTTTCTCAAATAGTCCAATATAGTAGTTTTTCCATGATCCACATGGCCCATAATTGTTACGATAGGCGGTCTTCGGGCAAGATTCTTGGGATTCACTGGTGACTTTAGCTCTTCATAAACATTTTCAAAGGTAGTGCCAGTATTTTCACCGTCAATCTTATAGTTGTACTCCTGGAGGATCAATTCAATGTATTCTCGGGAAAGGATATAATTATGAGTGACATTTGCAAAACCTAGAGAAGTCAAGTCCCGAATCAGTTTCTCAATCTTGACGTTAAGCATGTTGGATAGGTTGTTCACGGATGCATAATTTGGTATTGTAAATGTAACGGGCTTCAACTCTCGCACTTTTCTTTTACCTTTCGGCTTCTTAGCATAGCATCTCACACCGTAAAAACCAAGACTTTGCACTAGTGTTGGCGTTCGTACAAGCCTACAGGCATTCACTGATGAAAACTTAATGAAGCTTCTAGAGAAGCTGTTCATCCAGTCTGTTTTGGAATTGTTTTCTGGCTTTATAAATGACACTGCACTACAAAACTTCGATTGACTTAATATCAGAAAAATATTAGTACTTAACTACGAAACAGAGAACAGTTTCAATTTGAAGTTTCAAGAAGTCAAAGGTTGTTGAGCAATTGAGACCGCTCACACGATAAACTTCTTAACCTTGCAAGGAAGTCATCGCGCGTCAAGTAAGAACCGCATAATCTTCTGTGACCCGTGAAGGCTGTTCTTGCGTGTAAAATTCTCCAATTATCGAATACGAGGATTGTGCCTGGCTTCAGTTGAAATTGAACATAGTACTTTGGGTCATTGATGAGGGCATTGAACCTGAACAGTGCTTCATAAACTTGATGCACTAAAAAACCACTTTGATTAGAAATCTTTGGCGAGCGATCGCTGGTGTTCCAACGACATTGAACGAGCTTCGACTGCTTATCCAGAGTGAGAGTAGGATAGCTGTCCTGCTGGAAACATGTGTCAGTTTCTCCAGCCTGATGAAAGTAAATTGGCTGCTTGGTCAGAACTTCAAGAGTAGTTTTCCAACTGCGGTCTTTTTTAGATAAAGAAATCAATACATCAACAATCTTGCAAATATCAACGATCCTAGTTTCGCCACCTTCACCATTAGAGTGCTCCAGTAAATGAAAAAGTTGCAATCCAGGTAGTTCATACCAGTAGTTTCCATCTGTATGCATGTCGATAACAAGCGACGTATAGGCAGTGTCCTTTTTTGAGAGGTCCGATGTAAAATCCCAAACACCCAAGTCATAATGAGTAGGCCTTATGATGGAAATCAATTCTGAGACTTGCCTCGTAGCCTCTAATGTCACAGGGACATCTTGTACAAAGGAAAAACCGTAAGTGTATATTTCATGAAGAACTCGAGGCAGATTCTTTTCGATCTGAGTATATGAGTTTCGGAAATTATCAGCTTTCAATTGTAAAAAAGAAGTACTATCCCATGAAATCTTAGAAGGTAAAATATGAATATCCTTGTACAGCTGGGGAGCATAGGAATGTGTGAGAAGCCATTTCTCTGGGAAATGAGATATATGGCCATCTTGCCACAAACTCACGAGCGTGTCATTATTGCATTCGAAGCGAACTTTACTGTGGTGATCGTTGATAATTTGAATAGTTCCATCCTTGTCTCTAACCGTCTCAAAAGGCAGAGAATTGAAAGTATCGAAGATACGTTGCTTAGTTTCGGGATGAATGCATTCTTTACAGAGACAGTTATCTCTCAAAAATATCCAATCAAAAGTGGACTTTGAATTTGAATCAAATTCAATAGTCAAGCTTCTATCGAATGGTGATGTTCCGGTATTTATTCTTTCGATTCGCATTGCGTTTAGTTGTGTTGCTCTTCGAACCTAAATATAATTAGCTTTTTCGCGGGGTAATTTGTGATCTACAATTTCGCCATAAAAATAACCTTAAATGCCATAAAATATGAAAATAATGTGCTATATAATACTCTACTGCTCATTTACCGAACAAATGCATTCTTTCATAAACATCCTTCTTGTAATCTTCATAAACAGATGGCCTTCTCTGCTGTAGCGACGGCATACTCGCAGTGGCTTGTGTATCTGGGGCAATTGGGATGTCTTCGTCTTTACCGAAAGATATTCCACAAGGGTTACTTTTGCTCTTGTAAAAAAGGTTTTGTCCATGAGGTTTTGAATTATCTTCATTTTCTGGTAACCTCCGACCACCTGATAGTTCTGAACCTAAATGGTAGCCCAAGTCTACACCTTTATAATCATATCTACTCGAATTTCCCAAATCCTCAGACCCTCTCTGCATATCATGTTTGATCACTTGTGCGTTCATAGTCGATGTATCATTGTTTCCCGATATTCTATGCCTCTCAGATTGACTTTCACCTAGCTTTGAACGCAGCTGAGACTCAAGAGCATCTATGTAGTTTGTCGACCGCCTTCTAATGAAGGGCGTCGGCTTCTGGGAGTCCTCCTGCAAGTTCAATTCAGACACGTCTGGCGTTTCTTGGGCCATAGGAGGTTCCTGAATATTGGTGAAATCTTGGGACATAGAGTACTCCTGCTTATAACTATCCTGCCTATTATTTTTGAGATGTTGCATTGTCGATGATTCGCATACTTGGGCAAGATGTGAAAGACCGCTGAAACTGAGAGTCTTATAGGGATCGTCTGCTGCTTACCTACAAGGGTACATCAGGTTCGTCTGTAGTGACCGTGATGTACTGGTCAACTGATAGTTTCAAGCGGTCCATACATCTAATGCTTCTTTCCCGTTCAGCGATTTGTTGGGAGGTGGCACTGGCTTGTAACGGACTTCCGTAAAATTTATCTATACGCTCGATGAGACGAGGTAAAAGTGTTTCGCGTAGCCAAATATTATCACGGATACGCAATTCGGTCCACGCGTTATGAAGCGTTTCCAATAACAGAGAAACCGCCGATTCTTTGACAAGTGCTTCGTCTTTAAGTCCGCGCTCAATACATTCTTGAAGAAGCAAGCACTTCACTCCGTAACTGATATTTAGTTGTTGAAGTAAAGCGTAACAGTTCAACCTTAATGTCACACCATCGTCAATATTTTGCTTCATGTTACCGACTTTTATCGTTTTGATGAAGGCTTTGTTTGGCTTGAGGTGTGGAAGAAGCGACAGAGCTAAGTTATCATGAGCAGCCAAAAACTCTTCACGCTTGCATGCAAGAGATGCCAGCTCAACAGCTTCTTGCAAGCGGAGTAGATCATCTGTCTCAATCGACAAGTTATTCTGTATGAAATAGACGATATCCTTCTGTGTATTGTTAAACAACTGGGGTATGCCAAGTACAATGTCTTTTACATTCTCGAAGTTAACGTCGGAGGGCAATTGTGATTCTCCTGTCAATGATTCAATTCTGTTAATTATCAGTGGAGTGTTGGGTAGCTTTTGAACGAATTCTAGGGGCATTTCTGCGATCAATGACGAGTCAACAGCATCCGAGAATTGTTCGACCAATACATCATAACCAATATTTTTGGAGCGGACAAGCTCGAGTAAAGACTCCATTTTAAGGTCAGTTTTCATCATCAGCTTTTGAGTTTCAAGCGGAATGTCATATGCTGTGAGTACCAGTAACTTCAGCACATAGTCTAACTGAGAAGTCTCCTCGTCGTCATCGAATTCGAGCACTTCATCCTCGTTGTCTGATAGTTCAGCAAGGTAGGCGTCGTTTTCCGAATCGATATCATCAGAGTCCGATTGAGCTTCCGCTTGAGACTGGACAAGAACGTTGTCACACAGCGCGATGGTACGGTTCCATAATTGCAGCTTTAACTGACAGGTGGGCCCCATTTTCGGCTGCTCCATCCACACTAAAAGATTGATTAAGATTTCATAGAGATCAGAATACTGATCAGGTTTGGGTAAGTTGCGAAGAACAAAAGTTATGAGGTCTTCGTAACAATCTTTGAATGCGTATTTTTCTTTTGTGGTGTGTGCCAAAAGCGCACAATGGGGTTCCGTGAGCTCATGCTTCAAGAAAGCTGACTTCACAATATCTGGAGATACCTTGGACGTGGCAATCTGTAGAGGCCGGAAGGTCGCCGCCCGCTTGTCCTCGAGTGCCAGCGCATAGAGAGAGTGATACGTCTGCGCGGTCACGTGATTAGCGGGTGCACTCTCCAGTAGCAACGCTAGCGACTCCCAAGCGATATAGGGCCGCTCGCGCGCTCCCGACAGATAGCCCACATAGTTATCCAGCGCCTCGCTGGAGTTGTAATGCCATTGAGTCTGTCTCACCACGTTCTGGAGTGCCTGAAGCGTGTGAGGTGCGTCTGTCGCATTTGCACTTGTGTTGCCGATAGCGCAGCGCTGTAGCTCGACGCACAACGGTACCACAACATATTCTTCCGCCAGCTCCGGGTTCACACGAGCTACATGCGGTATCACCTGCGTGGAAACCAGCTCACGCACCGCGCTGGTCTCATCGTGCAGGGCAGGAATCAGAACACGTGACATCAGCTCCTGAGTGTTCTTTTCGTCCGTGGGCGTGCGCACGGCCAGCACATGCTCTCGAAGAGCCATGTAGCGCAAGTCTGCGTCCGTGGTGTTCTTGTAAAGATCAGCGAGGTCTGCTACTAGCATATTCTTCGTGTTCTTCGATATTGTGCTCTCAATCAATTTGTGTCCAATGGATACACCATAGCCGTTCAAGTGGGAATGTACGCAAAGTCTAGTAGCAAATGCAACGGAAACCTCGGGGGCGTACAACGAACGAAGCAAGGACGCAAGGAAGCAAGCAAACAGGAGCGAGGAGCGCAATTCGGGCCCCGCCGCAGGGCCTGTGCAACGGCCGTGAAAAATTCCGTTCAAGCCAAACTGGGAATCACGCCACGTGACGTACAATTCAACAGTATGCACGTGATCGGATCACCAGAGATGAATGGGTGTAGAATCTTCTGGAGTTTTACCTTGTGGAATTGTAGTATTCCTAGCTAGGCAGTTGGCAGGGTTTCGCAGGCGACACTGCCACGCCGGCAGCTGCTGCACCACCACTTCCACCACTGCAATCACCACGTGCCGCTGGTTGAGAAGCGTCTGAAGCTGGATTGTGTGGTGACGCAGAGCAGCAATTGGCTCGCTCGAAAGCCTCTCATGAGATACTCGTAGTAGCGTACACGTAGCATGGCACACGTAGCCACATGCATTTTCAGCAATGTCCGAAGGGCAGAGATGTCACATCAATCAAACTGGCAACCCTAAAATGGTCGGATGTGATTACGTGCACGCGCTTTGGAAATGTAGGCCTTTCCATTTCTGCGCTCACGCACGCGAAAGCTTTGTTGCCTCTCTTTAAACCGGGGCTAGGGACCCTTGTGCGCCCCACCCGCGCTCACCGCGCAGTAGGTGCCGTAACCTCGCGAGTAAGCATACCCGGGCTCTCGAAACGGGTGAGCTTTCGTCCAAATCATGTGACGTGTTTTGATCGTCTCCGGTTCGCTGGTTTTTCGTCTTACGTGGCCCGAAAGAGAGCAAGCTCCCGGAATTCCAAAATACGGTGCGGCTTCCTCTTCGCGGCGTCCTTGTAGGCACGGAGAGTACGCAGCCCAAAGAGGAAGCCCGTGGAAGCTGAAAGAGTTGGGTTTATGCCATCGGGAGACAATGTTTCAATAGGGTGATGTCTTAGCAAGTTGTGAGGAAAAAGTATATAAGGACGCACGCTTTGATTCTGTGCGAAATAGTCAATTGTTGCTTATTTCCCCAAGCAATTCTTCGTATCATATCGAGAATGTCTCTATCTTCCAAGCTATCTGTCAAGGATCTAAACGTCACTGGTAAGCGTGTCTTCATCAGAGTGGACTTCAACGTTCCATTGGACGGCACCACCATCACTTCTAACCAAAGAATTGTTGCTGCTTTGCCAACCATCAAGTACGTTTTGGAACACAAGCCAAAGTGTGTCATCTTGGCCTCTCACTTGGGTAGACCAAACGGTGAACCAAACCAAAAGTACTCTTTGAAGCCAGTTGCTGCTGAATTGGAGAAGTTGTTGGGTGAAAAGGTCACCTTCTTGAACGACTGTGTCGGCCCAGAAGTCACCTCTGCCGTTAACAACGCTGCCCCAGGCTCCGTCATCTTGTTGGAGAACTTGCGTTTCCACATCGAAGAAGAAGGTTCCAGAAAGGTCGACGGCCAAAAGGTCAAGGCTGACAAGGCTGCCGTTGAGAAGTTCAGAAAGGAATTGAGCTCTCTAGCCGACGTTTACGTTAACGACGCCTTCGGTACCGCCCACAGAGCCCACTCTTCCATGGTCGGTTTCGAATTGCCACAAAGAGCCGCCGGTTTCCTATTGTCTAAGGAGTTGGAATACTTCGGTAAGGCTTTGGAAAACCCAACCAGACCTTTCTTGGCCATCTTGGGTGGTGCTAAGGTCGCCGACAAGATCCAATTGATCGACAACTTGTTGGACAAGGTCGACGCTATCATCATTGGTGGTGGTATGGCTTTCACCTTCAAGAAGGTCCTAGAAGGTACCAACATTGGTAACTCTATCTTCGACAAGGCCGGTGCTGAAATCGTTCCAAAGTTGGCTGAAAAGGCCAAGGCTAACAACGTTGAAATCGTTCTACCAGTCGACTTCGTCTGTGGTGACAAGTTTGCTGCTGATGCCAACACCAAGATTGTCACTGACAAGGAAGGTGTTCCAGATGGATGGGAAGGTTTGGACTGTGGTCCAGAATCCCAAAAGTTGTTCTCTGCCACCGTTGCCAAGGCTAAGACTATTGTCTGGAACGGTCCACCAGGTGTCTTCGAATTCGAGAAGTTCGCTGCTGGTACCAAGGCTCTAATGAACGACTGTGTTAAGTCTTGTGAAGCCGGTAACACTGTTATCATCGGTGGTGGTGACACTGCTACCGTTGCTAAGAAGTACGGTGTTGCTGACAAGATCTCCCACGTCTCCACCGGTGGTGGTGCCTCTTTGGAATTGTTGGAAGGTAAGGAATTGCCAGGTGTTACCTTCTTGTCCAGCAAGCAATAAACGGGAAATTTATGCTTAATGTGTGTATGACCATTTTTTTTACATAATTACCGAAATTGAACATTATTTGATAAATCTAAACCTTAATTATCTGCTTTGGTAGAAATACCCCGAATTAAATATATCCTTCGATGTTTCGTTGTTCTGGAGACACAAATTTAACACCCAAAAGCTCCATGATTCTCTTCTCATCGAAGCTTTCTATCGTAGTCATTTTTTTAACGCCATTGGAGTCTTCAGGGCCCACGTTGAACAACCCGTGATGATTAAGTTTCCAACCTTTCTTTGTAGCACGAAGTCTTAAGCTCTTGTTGAAATCGTCATTTCCTGTGAAATAGATCATCGTCGAACCCAATTCACTCCATTTGCAAAGAAGAATATCGACTCTCCTGCATCGTCTTTGTGAATTACTCCTTGACATGTAGCCATCCTCGGGTTTGAGACGGTCTACCGCCTCAATTGGAGAACAGTAGGATGAATTGAGGAGACGCCCGCCAAAATAAAAGCGATGAAGCGTTTCCTTTGTCGTTAAGAGAAAATGCGAATCCAGGCCAGCTTGCGTTAGCGTTTGCTCAATTAAATTTATAAATATCTCACTTAATTGTTCGTTCATGTTCAATGGGCATAATATATATCCACTTTCATACATCATTTTTATCATTTGTTCAAGTATCCGAGAGAGTTCCTGCATATCATCACAACCAGGTTTGTATAACACAGTATCAATATCACCGCAATCATTTAGACCACGGCGATAACTTCCGGTGAGCTCAATCCTAGCGTCTATGTCAACTTCGCGCAAGACTTCTTGAATATAGGCTAGATGAAGTTCGCATTCTTTTCTTGGTATACGGGCCAACCAATCTTCGTAATAGCACCATCCAAATAGTACAGTCCAGTGAAAATCGGCGGGCGATCGTTTTAGTGCACTTTCAAACGTTTTTGCACCAAGTACACACCACTTGCGGGCAATATGCGCTCCGACGCCATGGCAGTTCATAAAGTACTCTAGTTCTTGTTCCAGCACGCGTGATTCTTGTAGGCCAGGCAATTGACCCGTTTCAAGGATTATCTGTATCTTCTTTGCGATGCTAGTACCTACGTTTGGGATTGAAAGTGCTTCCTTTTCATCGTGAATACGCTTCCCGTACTTTCTAATTGATTGTTGAGCCATTTGGTAGCTTCTGGAGCGGAAAGTATCACCTTTCAGACGATACTTGGAGGCCAAATGTTCTAGTGCATTAATTAAATCTGCGTTTGGGTTGTTCACGATCAAATCAGTCGCATTTTTGGCTTCCTTTTCTAAGTTGGGCAAGGAGCCTACCGATGGCTCTTCAGAAACCTGTGATCCTATGTCTGTGTCATCTTCCGAACCAACAGGCAAATCAACGGTCGAGGTTTCTGAGTCGTTATTACTCTCAATATCGATATTTTCGTTTCCCCATAGAATTTTTAAACTGGCGCGTTCATCCAAAATCAATCGTTTCCTTCTGATACACTCACTAACCCAACTCATCTTATAACAGTGCGTATTTTTGCTTGCCATAATGTCGGCCCAAATATTTTCATCATACTCCCATTCGCTGTGAAAAACATCAAGGTGCTTCAAATGGCCCTTCTCATCCACAAATGTGTCGTTCACAAGCACATATGTCGCGGAATTATAATCATCGACTACATTACCGCCATTGCTTTCTATCAATTGCACGAAAAACTTGACTCTCGCTGGCGCTTGGGATGGTATCAATAAGAAGTCGTAGCCCGTAAAGATTCCCATACTTTCAAATTAAATTGTCGTGTATAGTACCTTGCTTCTGTCATAACGAAGTTAAAATCTGACTGTCGATTATTGGGAAATTGTTTGGTAATTTATAGGCCTGCTCTGCTGCTATAATCTCTAGTCAAACTACCTTTTAAAAGCAAATCAAACGTGTTATCAGCTTCGGAAGCAATTACAAACGTCTCCTCTTAAAGATTGATTGCCTCTCAACTTGAACCTCTGATATACTGTTTCCAAATCAGTTAGTACCAACTTGCCTGTTCTACTTCTTATAATGTTTTCAGCATAATGCCAAAAGTCCCTCCCGTTTTTTGTGACTACAGCAAGGGAGCACTAATAGATGCGAGTTCTTAGGATTGGGACATATGGGTTGGGATATATGACTGAGAACAATCTCGCAATTACAATTCTTATCGATGGTATGTACATTGCGACTTCTGATGTTACATTATTAGGGTATGTTTTCGGACGTTGGCATGGCGAATCTTGCGCAGGAATGTAGTTTAATTAAAGCTTTGTACTTGGTACATTAGATTTCTTCTTTTTTGAATTACTGTAACACTTTATAACTAGAAAATGATCTACGGTTTGATTCTAATGCATTCCTGGGAGGCATCGTTATTCATCAAAATTTGGCTGTTATAAAAAGAAGAACTACCGACAAAATCGAAGGTAAATGTCATTCATTGTTTACTGAAAGTTTGAAAGAACGATTAAAATGCCCACTTGAAATTTGGAATGGTATTGGAGCCAACGTGGGTCCTTTTTTTTTAACAGTGTACTGATGTGTGACTTTATCACTTTCATGATCGTTAATATCGTTTTGGCACTTCCACACTGGGTTTGTGTTTCCTCATTACAATAATGAAAACAATGTAAAGGCGATACTTAAGACGTTGTCAAATCTTAAGAGAGGTTGCCCAAACGAAGAATGTAGAAAGTGTTGAAAGAGGATTCCGAGGATTGCGGCCAGTGGATCTTTCACCCCTAGCATTTTTTCCATCCGATCAAGTCTTTGAACGTCAAGAGTAAGACCTAGCTTTTGATATGTACCATTCTACTGCCTCTATGAGTGGAAGTTAGGTGTGATTTTTACTATTTTCACCACTACATGTTTTGCCTGCGCAGGTGCCTTGAGTAAAGTGTGTCCGATGCTCGGATGCTCAAGATTAATGAATTCTCGAATATTATGATGAATGTATGCTTTGTACTTGGGAGCTTCTATGGAGTTACCTTCTTCACGGCCTCGGCCAATCCTTCTCAAAGGATACGTTAGAAATACAATTAGGGGGATGAGAACTGAGTCTTTGATAGATGATATCGAGTTAAAGAGTTGTCAGTTAACCCTGCCTAGGGATTTTTCCGCAGTCCCTCCACTTATGCTCTTTAGGATTTGAAAACATTATCTTGGTTAAGTCTGGTGTCCATAATCTTGGCGTTTGCCTTGTTCGAATTGATAATATTTTCTACAAATTTATTTTTCAATTTGGCAGCTGCACTTTTCTCCTTCACTTTAGTTCGAGCTATCATTTCTCGATGTGCTAGAAAGAAGACTGCCGTTATCAAATCAGAAGTTAACGCTGTTCGTTTTTTGCAGAAAATCTAGGATGACCATCCAAGATGCTTACTAGAGGAATGGGATGGCATTGCAGTCCATATGAATACTTCCTGTACGAATCCGGTGCCTATGCAATACCTTCCTACTCTTATAGTGGGGAATCCTGTTTTGCTACGTTTCGCAATAGTTTTGTGCTTCCCTATTACTATGAGGAAAACGCTGAAACAGGAATCATCAAATCTGCTATAAATTCATACCAGAATTCGCTAGATGAAGAATGGAAATAGCGCCAAGATGTGATCTCATCTCCTTCAGAAGGTATGAAAGTCATGCTCCCTCGCAATCCGTTCCGCAACAAATTTTCTTAAAATTTGAAAGCTTCAAAGGGGATGCTAACGGTAAAAATTCTCTTACTTGGAAGAGATGCTTCACTTCATGTATTTCTGTACTATGAAGGACTACGCTGGGCTTCTTTCATCATGCCATGGCTCTTGGACGTTCAGACGGTGTTTTCTTTGTGTGTAATATGGTTTTTGGATCACGAGAGTAGAATTTCTGTCACGACTTGCTCAAATAGAATGGCGTTCTTAAAAGCTTTCATGGGACATCGCAATGAGAGTGTATCGCAGAGATGGGACCATATTGCTGAGGATATGAACGAAGTTTTATCCACGTGCGCAGAAGACCCTTCGCCTTACTTCTTCTATGATGGGCCTGCTTGTAGAGCTTACTTCAATAGGATATTCTCAATTGAACCGCAGAAGGCGTCGTTTATGTCGCGTTTCGAGTTTCCAGACAATAATGAATATCCGGAATTAAGCCCTTATGTGCAAGAGGTGAAGAACATCCTCGAGAGTGAGAACATCCTCGAGATGGAGAACATATAATCCATCCAATTTGGTTCGGTGAGGCTCCCAATGTTTGATGACTAATAAATGATAGTATATAACTTAGAGGTTTAAATTATTGACTTTGTATCCATGTGCAAGAGTATGGATCGTATGACACTCAAAGCGAACTTTGAATTGCTGGCAGATTACTTCCGCACTATCGCCAAGCTTCGGTGCCTATGATAACGGCCCTTTAGTTAGCTTCGTCCGTTATGACATTATGTACTAAGGCTAAGTTTCGGACTAGACGTTTAGTTCGCCAAGTCCCTATTACATCCTTTAGCTAATCTCATTTAAAAGGATGTACGAGAAACAAGGCACAGATGTGGAAACTGCGTCTTTAACAGATGATATCGAGTTAGAGGCCGGTGGGGTCACTTTACCAAGGGATGTGTTTCGCAACCGCTTCACTTACGTTTTCTATATGATGAAAAATTATATGCTTCTAATGCCGCTAGTAGTTGTTGTCCAGACTGTTCTTTCAGAACTTACCTTGTCCAAGAGTAATATTTATTTCTATTGGGGTGAGTATCTATTATACTTCGTATTCATTCAGATTCTCTTCTATTGGTGCGGTAAAAAGCTAAGGTCTGTTTTCCAATCAGAAGCCAATGCAACGCACTTTTCACAAACAGTTCAAAGCATTAGTCCAGAATGCTCAATAGAGAAATGGGATGTTGTTGCAGCTAAGATGAATGCTTTCCTCTACGAATCGGGTGCTTTAAAGTCCCCCTATTACTTCTACGATGGCAGTGTGTGTTTTGCAAACTTTCGGTATCACTTTGTCCTTCCTTATTACAATCCGGATACTACCAACACAAGCGCTTGTGAAGATGCTGTGAAATCGTATCAGGAATCACTAGATGAAATTTGGAGGGAATATCATGATGTTGTCGCGACGCCTGCCGAAAATATGAATGTCATGCTCCCTCGCGATCAATTCAGATGCAAATTCACTTATTTTTGTAAGGAATCAAGAACGTTGGTGGCCTTGGGACTTTTTTTGATTGTGATTGATGCTGCGCTGCATGTGTTTTTGTATTACACTGGATCGCGGTTAGATTTTCTCAAATATTCATGGTTTGTGGACCTGGAAGTTCTAGGTTTTCTGTGCTTTAGTCCATGGCTCCATCGCAGCTTTAAGGACTGTAAAATGACAATCTGCAATAGAATGGCTTTTTTGAAGGCTTTTATGAGACATCGCAATGAGAATGCGTTGCAGAGGTGGGACCATATTGCAGAGGATATGAACGAAGCTTTATCGACGTGCACAGAAAACCCTTCGCCTTACTTTTTCTATGATGGCGCTGCCTGCAACGCTTACTTCAAAAGAATATTCTCCCTTGAACCAAAGAAGGCCTCGTTTCTGTCACGTTTCAAACGTCCAACCGGGAGTGTGAATCCAGAGCTAGAGCCTTACGTTCAAGAAGTTAAAGCAATACTTGAAAAGGAGCAATTGTGATGAATCCCCTTGGGATTCCCACCGGCCTTATAGATTATGACAAGATTTTTAACTCTACACTATTTACCAAATATATAACAAACATATGGTGCGCACGTTAACTACGATCAAACTTGGCGCGGTAACTATCATCTACGTCGCAGAAGTTAACGAATTATCCTCGATAACGCCGTCCATGATTTTACTAAATAAAAGTGAGAGCCATTTCCCTTGCAGGGTATGGACCAAGATTGTTGATAAGGATCGCAAGCGAATTTCTGAGTGGAAGCAAGGTCTAATCCTAGAATTGTTGCGGCGATTTTGTTGAATTTGTCGTAGTTTTGAGAAGGATCGAGGAGCAAGACGCCGTTAACCTTTGGGTGCAGAATAGATAATAAATCTGTTTCACTGTCGCCAATGTACCACACTGGCTCGTCGGAGGGGATACTGTGCAGCGTTTTCTCGAGGCTGGCGAGCTTATCGGCGCCCGTTAGTATACTTTTATCGAATAGGCCTGTATAGGAACCATTACGAACCAGCAAATTATTGCACTTAATGATCGGCACTGGTAGATTCTCCGGATCGTCCAAAGAGTGACGTGCTGCCGAGTAGATGATATCCTTTATAAACTCATGCGACCAATTAACAGATAGAATGTGGAGCTGCGACGCACGACGCCATAAGGGTAGAAAGTCTTGTCTTACAATTTGGCAAAGGCTGTGCGCATAAGTGGCAACTTGCTCGGTGGGGATGCCGGCAAATGCATGCAGACGCTCCAGCTCATGGACACTATGCAATTCTATTGGTCGTAAACTGTCTTGGTAGCGAATCTCTGCTTGGAGAAGCTGGCGATAGTTCGCGGCGGTAAGGGGGGTGTGGGGATCCAGCAGTGGCAGCGAGCGGGGTGCGCGTTCGTAGAGACTGTAGCCGTCCGCATAAGTGGCTGTGAAGTGAGACCAAGGAGGCGGGAACGGTGGGTCTACGTAGGGCAACTTGGCAAGTAGGCCGATAGTGTCTTGGGAGGTGATAGTTTCGTCGAAGTCACAAATGAGGACAACCATGAATGAGCGTGGTAATGATTTCGAGAGCGGGAGCGAGGAGTGGGATGGAAACGCAGGTTGTGTGTTCGAGTTGCGTTCCGGTGTCAGGACTCTAACAGTTTCCGCACCGAAAGCCGTACTACACAAACGCGATGAACAAGCGTGATGGTACAAAGACCACGAAGGCGCGGTGGGCTACTCACTACGCTACACAGTGGGCACGTTGGCAGTGCACGTCTACACATGTCTACACTCTTCTATATCCATGGGCGGTGGAGGGCCGCACACGGACTCAAACGGTGGAGCATTCAATCTGTGCGCTCACGCAAGGTCCGGAACCCACAGGCAAAGCCAGGGCCACGGTGAAACGATGCGTGAAATGCGCCACGAGTTGTGAGTAGAAGTACAAGATTGTTTGGAGGAGCGTGTGAAAAAAAAAAACCAGCGGCGGCGCGAGACGGCTCGAGCCGGGACATGAAAATTTTCAGAGGGCTCATCGCCGTTGCTCATCGCACATGGCACCAGCAAAGATGCAACACGTTCCAGCGTGGAAGAAGATCGCTATTGCCGCGAAGCAAGCGGGCAACGAGGAGCAGGAGTCGGCTTTGAATGTCACAACACATCTGGCGACTGGGTCGCTTTCGAAGCGGGAGAAACGGTCGATCATCAGGGGCGAGCCGGAAGCTGCAGCGCAGCGGCCGGCCAAGAAGCGCAAGCGCGAGAAGGCGCCACGGGAGCAGCGGTTGGCTGACAAGGACCTGGTGCTGCGGGACCAGCTGCGGTACCTGATCGATTTCTACCGCGAGCGGGTGGGCGAGCTGCCGCAGGCGGTGTGGGAGCACGGCGCGGCGCGCGCGCAGGTGCTGGAGGCCAAGGAGGAGGAGAAGACGGAGGAGCCCGCGGTGGTGACGGCGTGGAAGTTTTCCAAGCAGAAACAGAACTGGCTGTTGAAGCATGTGCTTGACACGGGCGAGATCCCGACGTGCTACGACGAGCTGCTGGCTGCGTACGTGCGGGATCTGCGCGGGCGGGCGCGGGAGGTGCTGGAGCAGCGTCTGCGGGAGGAGCTGGAGCGGGAGGAGGGCGAGGAGGGTGAGAAGGGCGAGAAGGGCGAGAACAGCGAGAAGGACGACGAGAACGCCGAGAACGCCGAGAGCCCTGAGAACCCTGAGAACCCTGAGAACCCTGAGGACGCCGGCAACAAAGACGCCACGCAGACCGACGCTGCCCCCAGCGCGGCGCTCGTGCGCGCGCGCCTGCTGCTCGAGCACCTGGCGTCCTAGCGGGCCGCCGTGTGTGGCGACGAGCGCGCCGTGTGTAGCGACCGCAGCACACCGACTGCGCGGATAGATCTATGTACATATACAGTGACAACGCGGTGGCAGCGGCCATCCGTGGTTCGTGTTTCGTGCTTGGCGTTTTCGCGGCTTTAGCTTCGCGTTTGCATGCTTTCATGCTTTGACGTTTCCATGCTTTGTGTTTTCATGGTTTCACGCTTTCGTGGTTCGTGTTTCGTGCTTGGCGTTTTCGTGGCATTACGCTTCGTGTTTTCATCCTTTGACGTTTTCATGCTCTCACGCCTTCACGCTCTCACGCCTTCCCGCTTCCATGCTCCACGCTCTCCGCTCGCATCACGTGCTCCGGCCTCGGCGCGTTCCGCCGCCAAAACCCAATCCCGCCTGTATTTTCTCCTCCTCGTCCCCCGCTACTCGCATCTTGCGGCCTCCCCACCGCCCCGCGCTTTCCCTGCATGCGATCGGCGTGGCGTTGGCGCTCGTCTCCGCCCGCCGCAATTGCGTCGCGGGTTGCGTCGCAATCGCGTCGCAACGCGCCGTCCTCGCTGCGCCCAGGGCCCGTCTCCCGGCCTCCCCGCCGACGCGGTCCCTAGCCGCCTCCCGGCCTCCCCCTAGCCGCCCCGCTTTTTGCCGCGCTGCCCCGTCCTGATGACGCAGCGTGATGCGCGCCACGCGGTGTAACCCGGGCCGCGGCCCGGTCGCGTCTCGACCGCGGTTGCGGCCGCACGCCGGCCGCAACCGCTCGGCGATCCCGCCGATGTGCCCCCCGCAATGGGCGGACTCCGGTGGCATGTTTTTCCGTAGCGGGCGTTTTTGCACTGCGCCGCGCCAGCCGTGGCACCATCTTGCGTGCCTGGCGTCGGACAAAAGGTGTGCCTGCATCGGCCGGGTGTCGTCCGACGCGGGGGGGCGTCTCGCCGGCAGCGTGCGGCCGGCTCACACCGGCCCGCAACGCCGGTTCCCCGCACTACTGCATCCGGGCCAACGGACCCTGGCTCTTCACCGCCGGCCACTGAAAGCCTAACCATTGACACATATTGTACATTAGCGCTATAGCACATTACGTAGGCCGGCGGTTGGCGTCGCGCCGTAGCGCACGCGGCCCCTGGCTTCTTTCGGACCACCGTGGGCCGCAGCCCCAGCTCTGCAAGCACGCAGCGACACGCAAGGCTTCTGGACGGCGCATCGCTCACGCGGTCTATATAAGAAGGTGGTGTGTGGAACTGAGGGGGTAGAGGCTTTGGCTGAGTTCTGCATTCGAAAAGAGTGTATTCGTATTCGTATTCGTATTCGTGTGTTCGTGTGCTCCAATCTCTACCCTGTCTAGTCTGTTTCCACTCAGTCAGCCAGCCAGCCAAGCATCCGATTTTGCAGTCTTTCACTCTTTCTCGTCCCTAGTTTGATTTCCACATCCCATGTCGCTCAAAAATAAACTTCTGCTCCGCGACGTGCAATACCGCGGCGCGTTCTACGACCGGTTTCCCAAGATCTACAACGTGTACGTCATCGGCATCGTGTCGTGTATCTCCGGTCTGATGTTCGGGTTCGACATCTCGTCCATGTCGTCCATGATCGCTACAGACCACTACAAACACTACTTCGACACTCCAGACTCCATCACGCAGGGTGGTATCACGGCGTCCATGGCCGGGGGGTCGTTCCTCGGGTCGCTTGTGTCGTCCAGCGTCACTGACGCGTTCGGACGGCGTGTGTCGTTGCACGTGTGCGCGACGCTCTGGATCATCGGCGCGATTCTGCAGTGCGCGTCGCAGGACCGCGCCATGCTGATCGTGGGCCGTGTGATCAGCGGGCTGGGCATCGGGTTCGGGTCCTCGGCCGCGCCCGTGTACTGCTCCGAGGTGGCGCCTCCCAAGATCCGTGGCTTCATCTGCGGCCTGTTCCAGCTCAGCGTCACCGTCGGTATCATGGTTCTGTTTTTCATCGGCTACGGCTGCCACTTCATCGACGGCACCGCGTCCTTCCGCATCACCTGGGGCATCCAGATGGTGCCCGGCTTCGTGCTGCTGTTCGCCACCTTCTTCTTGCCCGAGTCGCCCCGTTGGCTCGCCAACCACGACCGCTGGGAGGAGACCAGCGAGGTGGTGTCGCGCATCGGCGCCCACGGCAACCTCGACGACCCAGAGGTCAAGCTCCAGCTCGAGGAAATCCGCGAACAGGTCATCATCGACCAAGTCGCCCTCAACTTCGGCTACAAGGACTTGTTCCGCAAAAAAACCCTCCCCAAGACCATCGTGGGTCTTTCCGCTCAGATGTGGCAGCAGCTGTGCGGTATGAACGTCATGATGTACTACATCGTGTACATTTTCGAGATGGCCGGCTCCACTGGTAACACCGTGCTGCTTTCGGGCTCCATCCAGTACGTGTTGAACGTCGTCATGACCATCCCCGCCTTGTTCCTCGTCGACAAGGCCGGCCGTCGTCCCGTGTTGATCGCCGGTGGTATCTTCATGTTCATCTGGTTGTTCGTCGTGGCCGGCCTGCTCGCCACCTACTCCGTGCCACAACCCAACGGCTTTGACGGTGACGACACCGTGCGTATCTCCATTCCAGACTCCGACAAGCCCGCCGCTCGTGGTGTCATCGCCGCTTCCTACTTGTTTGTGTGCTCCTTCGCCCCCACATGGGGTGTCGGTATCTGGATCTACTGCTCTGAGATCTTCAACAACATGGAGCGTGCCAAGGGTTCTGCGCTCTCCGCCGCTGTCAACTGGGCTTTCAACTTTGCCCTTGCCATGTTCGTGCCATCCGCATTCCGTAACATCAACTGGAAGACCTATATCATTTTCGGTGTGTTTTCCGTGGCTTTGACCATTCAAACCTTCTTCATGTTCCCCGAGACTCGTGGTAAGACTTTGGAAGAAATCGACCAGATGTGGGCCGACAACATTCCTGCCTGGCGCACTGGCTCTTACGTGCCAATGTTGCCTGTTGTTGAAGACGACGAGGGCAACAAGCTAGGCCTGATCGCCCGCTCGCAACATCTCGAGACTGTAGAGGGCAACGAGAAACAGCTCATGACCCACGACACCAACCGCGACTCGAGCACCGAGAACGCCTCTTCTCACTCGAGCTGATATTTTCTGAAATGTTGCCAAGAGTTTCTATGGACCCGGAGCCCGTATGCTCTTTTATTAGTTTTTTTTTTCCTGTTCACATTTGCCAAAGCTCAAAGTAAGCTTTCTAATAATTATGCTATTACCTAGGACCATCCCCCACTTTTAATTTTTTTGTTTTTATTTTCTACGGTTGTTGGGATATTGTGTCCTTTTAATGAACTTCATGATATGATGAGCGTGTATTAATGTGTATTCCTTCCGCATTGCTTTATATCCTTTGTCATTGCAATCGGCTCATTTCGCAGTTACTGAGCAATGATGACAAGCGTTGATGGATAAAACTGTATAAAAAAAGAAAAAAATGATAGTTTTTAGCTTCGTTATGAATTCTAGTCACGTGTATGTCATCTGCCTCTCGTGCAGTGTGCTCTTTTTTCTCTTAGATAAAGCTCTTTTATAACCATGGCTCGATGCTGCAATCTTTCTTACAAGATTGCGACCTGCCAATTCATGTCCGAGCCATCACATGAGTTGCTGTTGCAATTTCTCAAGGATTTCACCAATTTGGACTTAATTCCGGCTTCGTTAACCCCTGCATTGGGCTATTTCTACACGGCCATTGCGCGCGATGAGGACTTGCGCCAGCAAGCATCGAACAAGTGTTCGCAGGTTCTCGAAGACCTGACGAGCCACAGTGCAGAGGTGGTTAAAAGATGTAGTCAGTTTTATGAGGTGTTATCGGCACATGTTCCACCACCTTTTCCCAATCTCATTATAGGACAAGTTGACGTCAATGGCACCACAGACATGCCCGTCCTGAGTCCGCATCAGCATTTAACCAACTTAATAATTGAAGATATAGACGTTACACAGTACATAAGTGACTAAGAGTTCGTGTGTTGACAACCTATTCAAGCCGTGGCGTTCGTGCTTGGAGCGCGCATTTTCATTATGTCTATTCGTAATAATGTGGTTCATCAAAGACGTGGTACCGGTGACCATTTTCGCCATCACCTCTGTAGCGATCGGGGAATCTGAATCCCTCCGGTACTTCGTCCACATTTTCGATCCGCGTTGGTTCGTAAAGAGCATTACCGTAGCTGTCAGCGATTTCTCTATCCACAACTTGGAATTTACCCACTTGCAATTCGGTGTCAGTAACGTCACCACGACTCACACGCGCGTATCCGGTTCTTCTGAGATGTTTGTAAAGAATGTATTCGCACCACCTGTCATCATCGGTGGGGTCAATGTCGTGCATTCCCGAAGTTTCGCTCACAAAATTATTGTAAAAGCCTTCCAAGGGATTGGTGACCAAATAACTTAGTAAAATGGTTGGCCGTGTAGTGGCACCCATCAACTTCGCTAGTGTTTCACTCTGTAATCTTCTGTCCTCTTCATCTTCCTCTTGGCCACCGTGGTAAACAAACACGTCAACCAGAATATCGTCGTATGTCTTCAAAGTCGCATGAATAGCTGGCGCCAGTTCTCCGACGGGTGAAGGAAGCAAGTGGTGAGTAGAGTTGATGATCGGGAATTTGGATAATAAGACACATCCCCATGTGTGCTTATTTGGACCAGGACCAAAGTCTGCGTACATTTCTAAATCATGTGCCATTTTACTGGTTAGGTCTCTGTTACCCATGGTGATACGTTGAGTGTCAGTTTCCAATAAACCAACGACATCTAGCTCCATACCCTTGATTAAATCAATCATCTTCTGTTCAGAGGACCACATGTCGTTATCTAGACCAAAATGAATAGTCCAGATACCAGCGGTAAGGACTTTTTCCTCCGGGTGATAGGGTTGAGGAATTCCAGTTGGTCTCAATTGATAAGTAATTCCGCCAATGCCGGCGAAAATCAACAATCCAATGAAATAAACGCGGTTCATGAATTTCTTTCCCACTGATGGACGTGATAGCGCCCCGTTAAATCCAAAGACACTACCCAAGATGATCAAAGTCGTTGAGAATGCAAGCAAGTGCTGAATTCTCTCTCTCATGACCCAACCTAGTGGGACAAAGGCGTACGCAACCACCCAAACGTGAGCCAAAGTCAAAATCACGTACCATAAAAATGCATAGGTGAATGCCCATGGGCTCTTTACCAAGTTCATCTTGCAAAAGTAAGTAGGAACCAACCAAACAATAGAAATGGCATACAGTAAACCACCAAATATGTACTTGATCCAACCGGTAAAGACACTGAGGGAAAGTACAGAAGTAGAAACAAATAGCAGTAACGCTGGAACGACAGGTTTGTTGATGTAGTTTTTAGAGGTTAGGCAACCCATCAAAAGCGCTATGCAAGTCAAAGAGCTGTAAGGCCACGCCAATGGACCTTGGGATCCGTTTTGATTCCATCCTTCCCATGCCCAATAAATCGTAGTTGAAGCATCTGTCAATAATTGATGAATGGCAAAAATCATGGAACCAAATCCAGCAGACACAAATAATTTGGACAAAAAGTTTGGCTTAGTGCTCAATTGTCCATCTGACTTCTGATAGTGAATTGAGTTAATATATGGGGTGAGAATTGCTGAGAATGCTACCACTGCCAAACCAGTTTTGTTCCAGCCACCGTTTTTCTCGCTCATAATAGGCCATAATGGATTATTTGAGAAAAAGGCCATTTTGAGAACAACTGAGCATACAAGACCCATGATCCATGTAATGCTATACATTTGTGTGGATTCCTGACTGGTAATAGTTCTCAAAGTGTTTGAAAAACTCATAGAGATGATGACGGTAGCTAATGCCGTGGTTAGCAATCTTGATTCTGGTACTTGCACAAGATATGCTCCAACGCCGATAACACCTGCAAACAGATATCCAAAATGACTGACAATCATAGGCACTAGGGGAATGTAGAGCAGAAAAGGTGAAAGGACGCTAAACAAAGTAGCCTCATAGCCAGAAATACCCATATACCACAAGGGGAAGTACCAAATAACACATAGAAGGGAAGTCAAATTGGTCCAGAAAGAAAAGGCATTAATTGTGTTCACGACGATATAAAAGATGGAGTCTTGGTCAGGAACTCTCACGGCATTTTCCGCAGAGGAGATATATGTGATGTCCTTTTCGTCCTGAATCATAATTTTGATTTCTTCTTCATCATAAGAAACTCCGTTATTGCTCTTTTCGATAATAAAATCCAACTCTTCTTCTTCTTCTATATATCCTTCTGGTGGTTCATAATCCATGTCAAGGGAATCTTTTGAGATGTCAGCCAAGGTAGAATACTCTTCCCTGGATTCAGTGATGTCTTGGGTCTCCTCCACAATAGAAAGATCATCTTCAACCTCATCATTTTCGAATTTGAAAAACCAGTTACCTGACTCAGGAAGCTGTTCTAGTTTGATAGACAATTTCTTAAAGTCAGAGAAGGCTAGAGCATCGAATGTAATATCCAGAATGATTAAGGACCATTCAAAGTAGGCGTATATGGAATATGCACCTGCACGGGTGTGAACTTGATGCTGGATGTACCAATAAATCAATGGAACAATGGTGCCGAAGAAAGCGGTCATAGCTAGCTTCTTGGCACTCTTGTTCTCAGAGTGCCGTATCACCAAGGCATCCCAAGGAATTGTCAGAACAATGTAGGATATCATAAACACATCGTGGGTATCATGATCGTCAGTGCTTGTGATGTATACCCACCCACCACAGGTTACGGTTCTTACCAAACCAACCAAGAAACAGGTCAAAGACTTATTAATCGAATAGTGACCAAGCAACAGTAAAAACCTAGGAAATGCTGTGAGAGCAATTAGGATTTGAAAGATAGACCTTTCTGGGTATCTGTCACCAATCGTTGCAGACACACTGGGAAACCACTCATCGGGGTACGTGTAGTGTGCATTGGTTACAATCTTGTGGAAGTGTAGCTTGTAACCTACAGCAAGTGCAGCTAAGAAAGCCGCAGATGCACAGATAGTGTGGGCCAGCGGTATGATGCTAGCATTCACTGATACCATGACTTCTCGAGTGTGGTGTTTTCTCTTCGCTCACTTGAAGAGAAGTGAAATCAACAAGGCATCTTCCATGACGTGACTATTTTTCAACCACGTGATAGGCCCTTTTCTGAAAATGGTCGAGAGAATGATTATGTAACTTTAATGGAATTTGAACTATAAAATCAAGGTATTGAAAAAGTCTGACATTGGTAGTTGACTATATCGAGTAAGCTCATGTTTCTAGTTTCAACCAGTCTACACTGTGTGGTCATAGGTGTAACAGCTCTTGAAACCAAGGCAATATTAATTGAAGTCGGAAGTCATAGGTTAGATTCTTTCCTCCAATGCTAAAATGAGCGCAACCCTGTTGGGAATATAAACCTGAATATAATTGCTTCTGTTATTCCATCTTAAATCTGTAGTGAAAAATTTCGATTTTTCCTCGTCAATCCGATTATGACCCCCTAATTCCAGGCGGTCGCTATTCAAAACAATGCGGTAGCAACCAGGTTGCTCCACACCAATTCTGTAATCAGTGAAGCTTTCAGTTGGGTGGAAATTGAATATGAAAAGGAGGCCATTTCTTTCAAAGGCAATTACCTTGTCAACCTCGTGCTGCAAAGAAACATACGCCTGAGGGGTATTTAACCATTTGTATTTTCGTTCGCAGCTCTGCATGGCTTTGTCAAAGTTGTTGAGAAACTGATAGCGCAGTAAATGATCATCCACCAGATTAAATTGACGACGTGCGTAGTGGTAGCTGTCGCCATTATTAGCGTTTGGGAAATCTAGCCACTCTGGATGGCCAAATTCGTTTCCTTCAAAGTTAAGGTACGCTTCTCCACCTAGTGAATGTGTTATTAGACGTATCAGCTTGTGCAATGCTATCCCTCGGTCAATTACAGGAGTTAATGGTTGTAACACAGACATGTCGGTATACATGGCTGCATCCATCAGCCAGAAGGCTAAAGTCTTATCTCCAACAAGAGCCTGGTCGTGTGACTCTGCGTATGCTACAACTTTTTCGCCATGTCGTCTGTTGATTAAAGTGTAGACTATATTCCCCATTTCCCATTCATCATCACTTTTTTCCTTTAAAAGTTTAATCCACATATCAGGTAGCGCCATGGCTAGTCTGTAATCAAAGCCAGCACCACCTGCGTCACGGGGAAGACATAAAGTCGGATAACCAGAAACATCTTCTGCGATGGTTACGCCTGATTCGGGAAGAATTTCGCGTACCAAATCATTTGCCAGCATTAAATATGCCAACGCCTCATGATCGACATTCGATCTCTCCTTTGACAAGTATTCATTGTAATCTCCGCTGAATGCACCACCTGCTCCGACCCCATGATGATTGTAAAGCATGGATGTAACACCATCGAATCTGAACCCGTCAAATTGATAGATGTCGATATAAAATGCCAAATTACTCAAAAGGAATCTCAATACCTCGAAATTACCGTAATTGAAGAGACGAGAGTCCCATAACGGATGTTCTCCGCGTCCAGAGGCTACCGAATGAAAATACTGGTGATCTGACCCATCAAACCTATTCAAGCCATCCTCCACATTCTTGGACGCATGGCTGTGGACCACATCAAGCAGCACGAGTATACCCATTCCATGAGCAGTGTCGATTAGCTCCTTCAACTCCTCAGGTGTTCCAAATCTAGAACTAATGGCAAAAAAATTGGTCACTTGGTAGCCGAAAGAGGCGTAATAGGCATGTTCCATAATAGCCATAAGCTGAATGGCATCATAACCTAAGTCGCGGATTCGAGGTAAAATATTCTTTGTGAACTCCTTGTAAGACGCTACCTTAGGTTCCGGAGACGAAATACCCACATGCGCTTCGTAGATACGTAAGGAGTCAGTCTGCCTCTCAAACTGGGGCCTTTTGTTCTTGAACTGATACTTCTGGGGAGGGTTCCAAAACCTGCCCTCATATCCGGGTCCGAAAAGTTTTGCTGTTTCCTTATCTGGCTGGGTCGCCCGAGTAATCCAGGCTGGAACACGATAGATCTTTTCTCCGCTGGGCAATTGGAATACAACCTTCACCTTGGAGTCATGTGGGATAGCATAGGATCCGTCTTCGTTAGGAGGGATGGTCAAAGAGAAATTTCCAAACTCGTCTCTGTTCTTCAATTCGTGCGAGCTGTCGTCCCAGTTGTTGAACTCTCCCACTAGAAACGCTCGGCTAGCGTTTGGTGCCCATTCCTTGTACGTAATGTTCTTTGTAATAGGGTCTGCATGCAGTCCGTATGTCTTGTAAGAATTTCTGGTGAACTCTCCCAAAGTCTGCTCACTCTTATCAGGGGTTGCATGTTTAAGATCGTATAGCCAACGATCAGCTAAGAACCGTCTCTCTGACAGAACCTGTGCATATGGTTTCAACCATGGATCTAGACTAACGGCTCCTTCAACATTTTCCGGTACTTCTCCCATTGGCGGCTTAGTTTCAAAAGTGGATTGTCTTATGATATGTTAACTCTAACTTTCTTTGGACAAGGGGAAGAAACCTCTGGTCGTGATAATTTAGGATGAAGCGGTCACTTATTGTTACTTTGCCACTTATTTAACTTGCTGGTACTTTCGAACTCGAACCTCACCATCTCGTTTTGCTTATGCTTATATACACATTGTCCACTTCCCCTTCCGAAACCAGCAGTGCGCCCCTTGTTGTGAGCGCGCAAGCGCGGCGCGAGCATGTGGGGCCCGGCAGAGATGTCACGGAGATATTCTCTAAATATAGAGACCATTGCTAATTCTTAAACACGTCCCACATCAAAGACTAGATGAGATCAAATTATGTAGACTATGTATTACATTATATGTGGCGTTTAACATCGGGTACTATGTTTTGTCGTTGATGAATTTGCGGTCTGGCGAGGCCATTGAAGGGGAAGAAAAAGTTAACTTAAAAGTTGGTATGCAATTGAGAAGATGGGTTCTTGTACGCTAGGTGCTCAAGTCAGCGTCGGAGAGTTCAATATCGTCTTTCTCGTCGTCTTCGTCGCTAAGCTCGATGTTGCTTAGTTCGTCGCTCGGGTCGCTGTCACTGAGATCTGCGTCGTCCAAGTCACTCAAACCGTCATCCATGTCGTCGTCAGAATCGTCGTCGCTCTCGCCCTTGCCAAAAAGAGCCTGGTAACGCTCCTCGGTGGCATATTTGTCTATGTATTCCTGGATTTTCTGTTCGTAAAGTTCTTTGTCCTTCAATTGTAGTGTTGCAGCCTCGTTGTTGAGCGGGTCGCTCCCATTAGGTTCTTTGAGAAGACCCGGTATCATCCACTCTACGATGTTGATGAGGTCGTACAGTGGACTCCACGTTGAGTTGATCACGTCTAGACAGATGGATCCGGAAGCCGCATCGATATTCGGGTGGAAAATCTTGTTCACGAATCCTATGCTGGGAGATTTGTAGGGGTAATTGTCGGGAAGTTCCACATGTAGTCTCCATACACCTTTCTCGTACGGTGTTTCTTTTGGTCCGTGGAACTTGACGTGAAACTCCTGCATGTTATCATCCACTAGTTCCACATCATGGTCGCTCATTAATAATTTCATCACGTCTGTTTCAATTCTTCTTTTTGAGTTGCTGACCCCAAAGTTAGTACTCGTTGCATTTCTTGCATCTTACCGTCGTTTTACATACCTCATTCTTGGCTAATGTAGTTGGAATAGTTCCTGGTACCCCGGGCCGCGATTTTCAAGGCCCCCTACTAAACTATCCATTGTCGACCAGTGATTGCCAAGAGAAAGTAGCTTTGTACGTCGCACTCTGGCCATAATAGAGGCAGATCTGTCAATGCGCTCAAGTATTTTGGTTTATGTAGATTATTTAACAGTTCTATATCCCCTTCTGGGTTTCAACTTCGGTCCTCAGGGTTTCGAGCCTCTTTTTCATCTCTTCCAGGTTCTGATCTCGGTTCTTACCTACTATTAGAGAGCGTCGCTCGCTGTCGTCCAGCAGGCCGAACAGCTCGCACATGTTTTCGCGTGAAGAAAGTAACTGATATGCCGTCAGTGTCTTGAGTGTAACGTTATTATTATTGTTCTGTGTCATTTTGTGGGTGAGTTTGCAGCTTGGCTTTCGAGATCAAGGTTAAATAATATCTAGTTTTGAGTTATGCAGACGACGTCTATCGTTACAACCTGTAAAACGATTCTTGGACAGCGTATGTAGATATGCTAATGGTCCTTCCATCTTATATTAGAACAAAGATAGAGAAAAGTTGACTTATTATGTTGTATCATTATGTACGTGTTGATAGTGCCATACTCTAAAACTACCGACGTCTTCCAAGATGCCTAGACGTGGGCTCATTTATTGTTGCCTTAGAGTTTCTGATTTGATCTTGTTGCTCTGAATACTGAATACTATTATTCAATATTTTGGTGAAGGTGTTGTTTCTAGATGGTAAAGATTTTGACGCAATATATATTATTTAATGGTAATGTTTGCAAAAACACTAAAAATATGAAAGCTGGTGTTACATATGTTATATACATCAATTGCAAGTATCTGATGCAAGTTGAAACAATAATTGAAAATGGGTGGTAGCCTAACCTTCTCGGAAGCGCATCTTCTAGATGAGTATTTTTCTTGTGTTATCCCTCTACTGACGCTGTGGATAATGAAAAAAAAATGGCATCAAAAAGGTGAAATTTCTCTCACCAGCAAGTATGGAGGAAAAAGATATGGATTTATTGAAATTACACGACTTTATCGGTGCCCGAGTTTTCGTTACTGTGGCAGGCAACCGTTTACTTAGTGGAACGTTAGTTGCTAGCGATTGCGAACTCAATCTTCTACTAGACAATGTTGAGGAGACTACCAGTGAAACACGCAGAAGGCTGGGACTGGTGAGCGTTCCTGAAAACACAATTGAGTCTATAAAGCTACACGAGAGCGCGCTCAATTCCATCCTTAAACGTAAGCAAACGCTCTTACGTGATATCGTATAAGAATCGGAACCACTTCAGCCAATGGTTATGACACAGCCAAGGCAAGTATAAGCACTTCCATGTTAACACATAAAAAGGGCCATGAGCAAGGGAGTGGAGAGCTTAATGATTGATAAGAGCAATGTCTGTTTCAGAGAAACTTTTAAAGAACTATAAAGGGATCATCGACAAAGCTGCGAAACATCCACTGGCGAAGGAGATTTGCGATGGGACACTCTCAGATCGCTGTCTTTATGTATACTTATCGCAGGATCTGTTATTTTTCCAAAGCGCTTTAAGGTTCTCATGTCGTGCGACTTCTCTCTCACCTGATGAGAGCTTGTTAAGAAGAGCTAAGCAGATAGGCTTCTTCGCAAATGACGAAAACGACTACTTTCAGACATGTCTGGAGCTTGTTGGAGCTGATTTGAACACAAAAGAGAGGGAAAGATATACAACTACGAGATTACCAGTTACCGATAAATTTATCAAATACATGGAGACAATCTTAAACAATGAGAAATCTTACTCAAAGTTCGTTGCCTTCGGTTACGCAAGTGAGTTAGTCTACCTCCTCTGGCCAAAGTATTTCGAAAAAAGAGCGGGTATTCACTGGAAGTATCAAAGATGGATTGATCTTCACCAAGGCCAGCAATTTGAGGATTGGTGTCAGTTTCTCGCATGTGAGATAGACAAGTGTGACTATGAAGAGATTTGTAATGTTTTCAAAGACGTTATCCAACTCGAATACGATTTTTTCGAGGCATGCTATCATTGTTAAAAGGCATTCATTACGTACATGAGAAATGTGTATATGGACTATTATATTAGAGGAAACATTTTTTTATAGATTGACATTTATTTTAACGTATAGGCACGTCGGGCAATGTGTTAATCTTGAATGATAAGTAGGAAAGGTGGTCGAAAGCCATTGAAAGCATCCTTGATCATGTCAATTCCAAAGGCAGTAGCTTTGAGCCCTCAAAACTTTGCAACTCCTATCAACACCTTATCCCTTCTTCGAAGACAAGAAAGTGAACAATTTGAATCTTCGAGTGGCCAATATTTGAGCTTTCATGAACAAAGTTTGTGAAAGGAATTGTGAACTGGCTATTAAAATAGGCAAGGCAAGTCAGATATTAGCAAGAAAGCTTAATTGAGCACAGCAATAAAATTAAACGGATTCTTGATTAATTACAGTTATTCACCGGATTATCTTAAAATAACTGCATGTATTACCTGCATATCTCTAGATGTGGTATTCGCACCATATAAATTCCTCTTTGATGATGGCAGAGCATACAAGAAAACAAATGCTTACCATAACACTATTAAACTTTCCAAAATTGACTGACCAACAATCGATTTTTTAATTAATTTGCGTCACTTTCTTTTTCGCAGCCAGAATTAAGGAATGCAGCTTTCGTAATAAGAAAAGAAAACGGAATTATAAAGTTACCAAACTTGTCACATGCGATATATGAAGGCTCACATTGTTTGATGGCTACCTGATCTTTCGCTTTTGTCGACCATGCGATGCTAATAATTTGTAACTTTTACGAGCATAATCCATTTTTCGAAGGCAGGTGTTAGAATTTTGGTACCATGCTATAAATATATATAAATATAATTAGTGCAACCGTTTTGTCCATGTCCAAATTACCGTGGAGTGTAATCACTAAGTAATAATGTCGGTTTCACAGAAGTTAATCGATAGTTATCAAGACCTCTTTAACAAAGCAACCAAACATAAGCTGACAGAAGAGTTATGCGCTGGTACCTTGGAGGATAAAAAACTATTTATTTATCTGGCGCAAGACCTACAATTTTTCCAAAGCGGCTTGAGATTAACTTGCAAGCTAACATCGCTGGCACCTACGGAGCATAGTCTCATTACTTTGGCCAAAAAGATCGGCTTCTTTGCCAATGATGAAAATAACTACTTTCAAGAATGTCTTGAGCTCCTCAGCCCATCACTTGGAAAAGAAGAACAACTGCGTTACAAAGAAACGCGCTTGCCTTTGGTTGACAAGTACATTAAACTGATTGAAAAACTCGCGAGAGATGAAAGTTCTTACGCTAAATTGGTTACCTTCACTTATTGTATGGAGCTCGTCTACTTGCAGTGGCCAAAGAATTTCAATATCCCTAGCAATCTCCATTGGAAATACAAAACGTGGGTAGACTTGCATGCTGGCGAACACTTTGAAACCTGGTGTGACTTTTTGAAAGGAGAAGTAGACAAATGCAATTATGAAGAAGTCGCTCCCGTTTTTGCAGAAGTTTTGAAGTCAGAATATGAGTTTTTTGACAGTTGTTACAAGAATTAGCGCTCCTGACGACCTACTAATAATCCAGTAGCATTTTATTGATTGTTTCTCTATCGTATGGTAGTTTGTATGTCTCAATATAGATACCTAGACGCTCCTCGAAAGACAAACCATTCCATTTTTCGTGATTTAGTTTGGGGACCCCAATCTGTTCAATTGCGCAACCAGCTGAAATATTACCACATATACTGGCAATTGATACATTTCCACGCGTTAGAACATATCCAACCGAAAAACCTCCAAGAAACGTATTCCCCCCTCCCGTTGGATCTATCACCTTCTGAGGCGTTTCAAAATGATAAGCCGGAAAATGTATCAGGTCCCTAGATTCTTTGCGACGAGCTGTCAAAGCTACTGAACCGAGCTTACCACATCTCAACACGCATATGTTCTCAGGTCCCATGAACGAATCAAATCGTTTAGCCAGATTTTCACACTCTTCAAGCGTAGTAGGCTCAGATATCCCAAATAATCTTGCTCCCTCTTCTGCATTCGGTGATAAGATCACTTTCTCGTGGCGATTCATGACGGCTTTGATGCCATCAAAGTGTTGAGCATCGCATAAATCAGGTATAGGCTCCCAGACATACACGCGATCTTCGCATTTCGCATAAGACCTCATTTCATCTATGATTGATGAGGCTCTTTCATCTGAGCATACCAAATGCACGCATGCAAGATGATCGACCTCCTCTGAACCAAACTCATTTCGCCAGTCTTCTACATCAATACGTTTTTTCTTTGAAAGGTACTTGAACTCTCTAAATTCATTCTCGCCATAAAAGTTCCACCCTCTAGTAGTTAACCTTGATTGATCATCACGAAAGCATACTCCTGTGTTCCAACTTTCTATTTGTTTCGTGATGTCCATAGGGAAATCTCTTCCTCTGTCTACAATCCAACGCAGTTTCTTCTTTATCTCCACAGATGGGGAGACAATACACCCTCCTAATATGGCATACATTCCGCCACCTCCTATAATATCAGAATAACTTTGGCCTGATGTGTGGATTTCATCTATGATGAACATACCATTAGTTGTCAACAGCGACCCGCTCATTGTTGATAGTGTTTTGTCCCTAATGGGTCAGAATATCCTCACGATATGCTTTTAGCTCTTAAGTATCTTCAATTAATGCCAATTGACAAATCTTCGGAGCGCAAATACTCGAATCACTGAATTTATACCTCTTTGTTATCAAAATGCTTCCTAGTATGCCCATATCTTTATGCCCATATCTTTTCGCACATCTTTGAAATGAGTAAGTGAATGAGGAAGTTTACTGCGATGAAAGGCGATAAGTACCTGAAGTGAACCGATAAGTTTATTATCAAAGTATATAGCGCTGTGGCGCAGTGGAAGCGCGCAGGGCTCATAACCCTGATGTCCTTGGATCGAAACCAAGCAGCGCTAATATTATTTTTTTTCGTTGATACCGTTGCATAACCTTGACTTCGAATGACTCTCTTGCTAGTAGCGGCATGTGAGCTGACTGTTCGCTCAAAGGACTCTGAGGTATATGAATGATGCGATTTGAAGTTTAAGAAAGATGTTCTTATATATTTTTCCTTCTATCTTGATTAAACAGAATTCTCTAAATTAGACGAATACGCAATCTCTCTTTTTCTTTCTGAATACAACACATCACAATATTCCAAGATGTTAAGACGAAAAGACACAATTATCTGGATAATTTAATTTCGATTAAAATTGTATGTTGCGATTCCCTTTACATTTTCCTCAGATGAGCCATAAGACATATTAAAAAAAACAAAATACTTATTATGCAGTTAAGGTTATGGCGTTGACTTTTGCAATGTGACTAAGATGTGCTACTCACTGACTTAAGAGTGGGGAGGGTAGAACGCCAGTCAAATTCGGTTGAGAGAGCACTTCTTTTTTTCTTCTTTTTGTTTTTAACAGATTCTCTGCGATGGTATGATTTTTCTGCCATTTCGGAATGGGCCTATTAGTACAAATTCAATTTAAAAATTGAATGATTTGCTGAGTTATGTTGTAAAGCTCCAAGCTTGCATCATCGTATTGCTCAGCATTACCAGAACCTGATGCGGAGGTTGAGTTCATTGCTGCCGAAGCTCTTTGCGCGGTCTCATAGTTGATATCCGATAATTTCTTTATGCATCTTACAATTTCTTTGTTTTCCTTAATCAGTTTGAGAATAGTTTCATCGTGGCTTTCTAGCAATTGCAAAATGGTCCACAATGCAATGTGCTCAAAGGTTGGATATTCGCTCTGCAAAAATCTTAACAAAAAGCCGCGTACGCCATCTCCAGGGGAGTTCCAAGATTCAATGATTTTCGAGTAATTGCTTATCCTTGAGCACAAGTTGGCTAAAGCAGCAGCAGCGTTCCCTGACACTTCTTGATTAGTCGAAAAAGTCATAGGGATAAGTGCTTCTAGAATGTTACAATCCAATAGTTCCAACTTAGAACTGTCAGCCAATGCCAGGATTGCGAAGCATGCCGAGATTTCACTTTGAACACTGATTGGAGAGTCCAAGGCCAATTCCTTGCACTTCTCAACAGCACCGCTTTCGAAAAATTCCTGCCTGTTCTTCTCAGAAGAGGCAGCTAAGTTTCTCAACGTGGAAACAGCGTGGCACTGGATTTCTTCAGAGTTTTTGTAATCTAATAGTTTAACCAATGGCTTGAGGAAACCAGCATCAACGATTAGACCCTCATTTAGTGGATGGATAGATATGTTTCTGATACAAGCGACACTTGCCAGAACCAAAGGCATAGAGTCACTCTGGATTAGTTTGACCAAGTGTGGCAAACCACCGGCACGAACGATTTCCAATTGGTAACCAGTGTCAGAGGCTAAATTACGGAGTGCTAACGTTGCTTGACACTTGACCCTCGCAGACGGAGAATCCATTAGCGCAACGAGTTTTGATACCAGCCTAGGTTCTGTTTGCGACAGTTTCTTTCGATTAGATTCGTCCACTGCAATGTTCGACAGGGCTGTGGTACAATAGTATTGAACGTCAGCGTCAGTGGAGGACAACAACGCAACGAGAACTGGGACAGCCCCCGCGTTAACAAGCTCTTTTCTGTTTTCCCCAGAATGCGTCATGTTTAAAAGCGCACCCGTAGCGTTACGCTGCACTCTGATATTCTTAGATTTAGCAAGCTTTGTGAGAGGAACCAGCGCGCCGGACCTCGCTATCTTGGCTTTGTTATCGTCCTGCGTGGCCAAATTCGTGATACATCCGACTGCATTGCACTGAACCTCAACGTTACTGCTCATCATTTGGTTGATTAGCGGTTCCAAACCTCCCATGTCCACGATGAGAATCTTATTTTCATTGTTCACCGCGAGGTTGCCCAACGCTGCGCAAGCTGCAACTTGTATCTGTGGATCGTTACTTTGCAAAAGTATAAGAATGGGTTCTAGTACTTCCCGGCTTACAGGTCTCACATATTTTTCCGTTATCTCTGCGAACGCTAACGCCGCGCTGCGCTGCAAATTCAAATTGTCCGAGTACACCAAAGTCGTCAAAGCCTTTAGCGGACCCCCTGTATAGAAATCAAATCTATCTTTATCTTCCAAGTATCCCAGCAGAGATGTTACCGCCTCACGTTCGTTGTCAGCAATTGGCAAGACGCTTGCGTCGTCAGACGACTCGTTTAGGCAACTGCAACACGCTCCCATAATAGCTACACAAAACAGAAAAAAAGAACAACCGAATCCAAAAAAATTTCCCTTGCTACCTTATCAATCTGACTAACGATTGTATTTTCCACTGTGATGCTCTGTTACACGGCGGAACCTTTCAACCTTTCTTAACTTGACACTTTAATTAGGTTAGGGGATTAAAGAATGATATTACTCCCTGTAAGAATTGGCTTCATCGAAAATTTTTCTACCCGTAAAAAAGCACTAGTTGCGTATAGATATAATGCACGAACACGCGTATACAGTGATTAATAATAATACAGCACAGGCTCAACAAGTTAACTGAATGACACCTTCTGTGACAAAGAGGTCTGTAGTTTGGAACTTGCGTAGGGAGCTGCGTTGGGAGTAGACTGCTTGTGGGACGCCCATATCGACCAGGTGAACCTCTTGATTACGTTCTGGGTATTGTTTCTTGAGATTGTAGGTACCTGTAACGGGCCAGCAGAGACATATAAAGACGGTAGGCTTCACATGGACATGGAAAGTTGGAATGGCACTGCCTGCATCCAGACCACTGGGGATATCGAGCGACCAGATGGCGCGCTGGGAGTTACACCACGTAATCATGTCCTCGATGCGCTGTTCAACTGACACGTCTGTGCAGAGGTCTTGAATGTTGAAATCGAAGCCCTGCATGGCATCGATGACGATTTCGACAGGCGAATTGAGTTTTTCTAGAGTGCTCTGCAATGTAAGTAGTGAGTCGGCTGTTTTCCCGCCACATTTCTGATATAGGGTCCATTGTTCGCAGACTTCGGAGTCTTCTGGAGCGTTTGTGAAAAGTACCATGACACGCACGAGGGAGGACTGACAAAGAAGTCTGCCCAACGCCAGACCACGTGCACCGCAGCGATTGTCACCAGCGAGGATGACAACCAATGGTTGCGGATTGTTGTTGTGAGCGTGTAGACGTACGCGGCCCCCGAGCTTTTGCTTCACAAACTGTGACATGTGAATGGCCCAGTGCTCTAACGCGAATTTTGGAGTGAAACCATAGTTATCGCTGCAAACTCGTTCAATTTCGAGAAGCTGCACCGGTGTGGCACAGGGCACAGGAAGCCCCGAAGCGTTAGATACAAATTCGGCAGGCTTCGAGATGGACCCTGGTCTTGATAAAGCTTTTTGAAGCTGTGAGAGCACATTATCATTTGTTGAATCGATTTCACCGGCATTTTGTAATAGATGTGTGATATTGATGGATTTGGTGATTGGTAAGTACTCTGTATGAGTAGATTCCTCTTCGAGGCTATCCCAATTGTCTTGCTTGGCATCAGGGATAACCAGCTCATCTGTGTCTAACTTCTTTTCACGTTTATTGTGTGACACCAATCGGCTGTCTTGATCTACTTTATCGTTTTCTTTTAATTTGGCAAATACGTCTTCCTTATTGAACATTCGCAAATTCTCTTGGAAATCGAATTCTCCACCTTGTTTAATCTGGGCAACGTCGTCATCTTGCCAATCAGCTTGTAATTCGTTTTTCTGACGCTTCCCACTAGGAGTTGATACTACTTTGAGATCTCTGAGTCTCGAGGATTTGACCTTAAAGACTTGTGAAGTTCCACCGTCACTGAAAGTCACGTCGGACAACGTCAGAGATTTACTATTGGCTTTGGCAATCCGTCCACTGATGACTTTACCGTCCTTCAGCTCGACTTGGACTCCAAACCCAGCAAATTGTGACATTAGCTTGTTTTCTTCGTCTGTGATTTGTTGGTATCGGTCAATAATCGGCGTTGTTAAGTTGAAAAATTTTGCAACTGTAAAAGCAGGGATTATCCACGACCGCCGCACACAGCCATGGAAGAAGTACCTCAAAGTGTTTCTAAGCAGCGTAAGATCGCTGTGGTGGGTGCGCGCAACGTTGGAAAGTCCTCGTTAACTGTTCAGTTTGTGGAATCGCATTTTGTAGAGTCCTACTATCCAACTATCGAGAACCAATTTACCAAGCAGATAGTGCTTGGCAAAACTCCCTATACATTGGAAATCTGTGATACTGCGGGTCAGGATGAGTTTTCGCTAATAAACACAAAGTCTCTAATAGGTCTCAAGGGAATAGTAATTGTCTACAGTTGTGTTAACCGGGCTAGTTTCGAAATCGTCGAGCTTATCCGCGACAAGATTTTGGATCAGCTGGGACTGGACAACATCCCAGCGGTGGTTGTTGCCAACAAGATAGATCTGCGTTCCGCTAGGGATGGTGGAAGCGTGATAACGCCTAATGAAGGTGCACAGCTGGCCGCCAAACTGGGTGCAGGGTTCAAAGAGTGCAGTGCCAAGCTTAACGTTGGCGTAGAAGAGGCGGTTACCTTGCTACTCACACGCATGGAGGGACCTATCAAATCCAACTCTAACGACGATAAATGTTGCATTATGTAACTTGTATAAAAAGGTCTAGTTGTTTGTTCACCAACAAACGTATCCACCATCTACCACCATGTTTTCTCCCGTAGTATAACTAGAAGCGCTTTCGCTCAATAGGTACAGCATAGCTCCTACGAATTCGCGAGGTTCGGCCATCCGACCCATAGGAACTCTACTGGTCCATTCTTGTTGTAGTGCAGCACCTTCTGGAGAACCGGAAATAACTTTCTTGGTTAAAGCCGTCGCGATGTAACCAGGGGAGATAGCGTTGACGCGGATACCATAGCGCGACCACTCGCATGCCAGAGAACGCATCATGTGAATGACACCTGCCTTCGACATATTATAGGCAACCTGAGGCTGCGGGGTATTGACAATACAACCGGACATCGAGCCAATTAAAACATACGAAACGTGAGTAAGTTGTGGAAGAGCTTCACCTGCTTCCCTTGTCTCCGCCGACACGGATCTTCTTCTGCGGGCCTTACTCAACAACAGTTTAGTCATGGATTGGCAAATGTAAAGAGAGCCCATTAGGTTGACTCTCACCAAGGACTCGGCCTGGCGCGGGTCGTAATCCAAGGCGGGGATGTTTTGACAGTAGCCTGCGGTGTGAACCAACTTGGCAGGGACAATACCTTCGTGTTTCAAAGGAATGGCACGGACTACTTCGTCGACGATAGCAGCATCACCGATGTCGCAGGGCCATGTACTAATCTTGACGTTAGAGATCTTGTTAACCGCCACGAAATTCTCGAGCTCTTTTTTGGCAAACTCGAGGCCCTCGACGGACAAGTCCAGCAGGGCCAAATCAGAACCTTGTGCCAGTAGAGCTTGACACAAAGTGTGGGCTAAGCCTCCTGAACCACCTGTAACGACAGTTACATGGCCATCTAAACGGAAAGAGGGCAAAATATCCCTCAAAGAGGGCACACCAGGCATGCTAGGTTCAGCACTTGGTACAGTAGTTTCGTTAGTCATATTTGCTTTACCGTTAAGTGAGTTGTAAATGTGTAAGTTTCCTCGGAGCCACTTCGCGATATATATAGTTTGTCGCAGATGCGTAATCCTTTCTTTTGTTTGCTTCCGCCTCGCATAACGAATGGAAGACGAATTTGACGTAGACACCTGGGATTTTGCTAGAAACGAAGGGTGGCTAACACGGAAAATACGCAATGGTCGGTTATGGTGGCATCGTTGGCGTCATAGAAAGGTGAGCCCGCTCCACTATGGGCAAGGGATTGAGTTGTACAACTTGGACGAACCCGTGGAACAAGCACCCGTTATACTCGAGCGTCATGCAGATGGCAAGATAGGAGGACTGTACAAGGCGTTATTGGGATCAGTTGTAGCATCAGGAGTGATAGTTAGTGTGGTGTTGCTGCTTTACAACATTGGGAGTACGCCATCACGTGCCCTCGATGTGTTTCGCCCTCAAAGGCTATATTCCAACGGTACGCACGAGATGTACCCGGTATCGGTAGTCGTATCTTTGGATGGATTCCACCCTTCATATATACATCCGTTACACACGCCGTTTCTATATGCGCTGTATTGCGGCGAGTCCGAGCAGTCGGTAATAACCGCACCTTATATGTTGCCACAGTTTCCCTCGCAAACGTTTCCCAACCACTGGACATTGGTTACAGGGTTGTATCCAAGCGAGCATGGTATTGTATCGAACAGTTTTTGGGATCCCGAGTTGCAAAAGCAGTTTGTGCACACGGATGAGGAGTACGACCCTGGATTTTGGCTTGGAGGCGAGCCCGTATGGCAATCAGCACAAAAGAGCTACTATCGAGACTCGAAGGAGGATCCATTCGAGTTGAAAGTGGCGACGCATATGTGGCCCGGTAGCGAGGTGCAATATACGCCAGAGCAAGATCCGCTTAAAGTGCGGAGACCGTTTTATCGCGACAAGTTTGACGGAGAAGAGTCGCTCGTAGTGAAGCTTGAAAAAGTGTTGCAATACTTTGATTTAGTGGACGAGCAAAGACCCGGTCTTATAATGACGTACGTGCCAACCATGGACACGTTTGGCCACAACTACGGCGTGCCTGACATTGGATCTGCGAATTACGACAAGTTTTTATTCCAGTTGGGACTTGTGGATGCATTTGTGGGTGGGCTTCTACAAGAGGTGGAGATGCGGAATGCCAGCCATTTTACGAACGTGGTTGTGATGAGCGACCATGGGATGTCCACCGTGAACACCACGGATGAGAGTCGGTATCTGATCTGGGAAGATTTGTTGGAAGAAGAAACGCGCAAGGTTGTTAAGCACGTTATAATGGGCGTATTGTACGCGGTGAGAGTTGATGAGACAAAACATTTGAGCAACGTTTACGAGGAGTTGAAAAAAGCGCTGAGCGACCAACCACATTTTAAGGTCTATCTGCGTGACAACATGCCATCTTATTGGCATTTTGCGGGACACCACAATTTCAATTACAGGCTGGCACCTATCTGGATAGTACCGGATCCCGGGTACCACATCTTGACTAAGCATGAACACAAGTACAGGGTAAAACACAAAAAACAGGTTTTCGGTACGCACGGTTACAACAATACAGATGTGGACATGCGAGCGATGTTTATAGGGTGGGGGCCTTATTTCAGGGCGATTGTGAATGCATTGCCGGAGGAGTCGGTGAAGAACGCGACAGGGTATGTTGCGCCGTTTGAGAACGTGGAGATGTATCAAATGATTTGCGACATGGTTGGGGTGTCTCATCCTGCTGCAAACAACGGGTCGTGGGCGTTCCCGTTGGTGGATAACGACTGGCGTGGGTTGGCGCTGCAGTCTGCATGGCGCAACAGCTCGGAGTATTTGGCGGAAAAGTATGTGGGGTCAGCGTTCAATGCGATGTGGAACGAGGTGGAGGAGCCGGAGGTGGAGGAGACGTGGGAGTCCGCGAGCTCGGGCGAGTTGTTGGGGTCGTCGACGTTGCTGGAGTCGTCGACGTTGCGATCGGCGCAGTCTCTGACGCCCTCACTCACTCCCTCGCTCACGCCCTCGCTCACGCCCTCGCATACCTCGACTTCCTCCGCGCCCTCGCATACCTCGACGTTCTCCGCGGCCTCGCACACGTCCAGCCTGCCGCCCGTCAGCATCACGCCCTCGCCCAGCGCGGGCGGCAACTGGCTGCACGAGTTCATCTCGGAGGCCGAGGGCCTCGCGCACTCGCTGCTCGGCGAGGCAGAAGAGCTGATCGACGACCTCGTGGACCACACGGGCACGCGGTAGGATTCAAGTAGAATTACACATTCATAGAGAATAATACAGAAGTTGGTGCTCACAGCACGTATAGACACAGCGCGGCGCCCGCGGTGGCCATGACGAAAGGCGTGAGGCCGAGCTGGAGGCGCCACTCGACCAGCGCGAAGCGGAACCAGTGGGCCACGGCATCGAGGGCGGAGGCGGTGCCGGCGACCTCCTTGACGGTGTAGGAGGCCTCGTCGGCGAACGAGGGCTGCCACTGCGTGAGCAAGAGCGCGAGCAGGGCCTTGGTCACGTGGAAGACCATGGGGTCGACGGCCACGTCCGGCAGGTCGTAGCGGATGAAGTTGACGTAGTAGGCGACGAACGCGGGCACGGCGAGCGACCACGCGGACCAGAACGCCAGCAACGCCAGCAGCTCGCGCCAGCCGGCGGCGACCGCGACGTAGGGCGCGGTCCGCGCGACGGCGACGCGCGGCGCCACCACGTACACGTAGAGCTCGACGGCCATGAAGAGCGCGTCGACGGCGGGGATGGTGGAGAGCGCGTCCTGCACGGCTTCGTTGGCCTCGCGCGCGCGTGCGCGCACGTCGTGCAGGAACTCGTGGAACTTGAAGGCGAAGCCGGAGCTGGCGGGCGCGACGGTGGCGAAGTCGAGCTTGGAGAACCAGGCGGGCTTGGCGTCGGCGTCGGCGTCGGCGTCGGAGACGTCTTCGTCGTCGTCGCCGCCGTCGGCCGTGACATCGCCGTCGCCGTCGCCGTCCACGGTGACATCCGAGCCGCCCTCGGAATCCCCGGCCGCGCCGGCCCGGGTAACCGCGCCCAGCTCACCGCGCTCCACGTCGTCGCCGGATTCGCTGGCGGACGCGGCCTCGTAGTACGCAGCGAGCTCTGGGAACTCTTGCAAGTCCAGCGGCGTCTCGAGCGCGCTGAGATGCGCGTCGATCGCGTCTGCGATCTTGGCCTTGGTCGACGAGTGCGCCACGTGCACGTCGAGCTTGTCTGCGAGGTCCAGCAGCTCTATTTTCTTCCACTTTTTGAGAGACATGTGAGAATGGAGGGGCAGTTGGAGTGTTCGAGGATTGGAGTGTTGGAGCGTCTAAGGGTTGGAGTGTTCCAGTCTGTGCGCTTTCGAGTGCAGTCTGTACGAGTCGTTCGAGTCGTTCGAGTCGTTAAGTGTCTTAGAGTCTTTACAGCCTGTAGTCTGTGCTCTGTCCAGTCTGTAGTCTTTCCAGTTGTCGCGTCTTGTTGCTGGTGTTTACATCGGGGCCGATCACAGCCCGCAGCGAAACGGCCTGAATATGAAGCGCAAAAACCCCTTGGCCAACGCGGCCGCTGGCGCTGGGGCGAGAAAGGGGAAAAAGGAAAACAAAGCGGGGGCCGGGTAAGAGAGCGTACACAGTGATAGAGGGCAGGTGTTACCCGGAAGAGCGCGCAGCGCTTACCCGGCCACACAGTGTCGCCACGCACGAAGGGCATTACCCGGCCTCGCATGTCACTGCGCACGTAGCCTGTTACCCGACCGCAGTCCGCCCGTGCACCCTCGTTCCGCCGCCAGCGTTGCCCGGTTTACGCGCTCCACGCGCGGCCCGCGATCCGGGCCGCGCACCCACACACCGCGGCCCGCCGCTGCCGGGCCGGCGGCTTCCGTGTAGGGGCGGGCCGTGCGCCGTGATGCAAAACCAAAACACCGCATTGCCCAAAAAATTTTTTTAACCTCGTTATCGTATCCGAGCGAATTTCTCCTGCGGGCGCTGGTTGGTTGTATATAAGACGGGGGTCGAGACAACTCCTTTTTTTCTTCGCACTCGTTTACTCTGTACACACACATACTCATACAAATGTTGCCAGGTGGTGTTATCTTAGTCTTTGTTCTAGTTGGTTTGGCCGCTATCGCCATCTTCTGTACCATCTTGTACAGAAAATGGCAAGCCAAGCAAAAGGGTTTGGCCAAGTTCTAATCGGAACCAGCCCCTTTGCAAACTGCTTTTTTACAAACAAAAATGTTATGTTAATCTCCTCGGGACGGCGTGGTCGATGACGGTGGTGCGCGTGCGGGTGTTTTGGGCGTTCGCTGGCTGATTTTTTTTATTCTGTGTGTGTGCCAGTCGCGAGCGTGCGGACACAGTGCGGTGCGTGGGCCTTGTGGTCGCGACGCGACGTTTGTCCGCTGAAATTGGGATTGTCTGTTTGGAGTGAGACTTGAATACTGCTTGTATGCGTGTATGTGTGTGTGTGCGTGCGTGGAAGGAGTGTTATGCGTGGTGAGTAGTTATGATACGTATGTTTTTTTAATTAATTGTGTGTGTGTGTCAAGATGCGAGTGGGAGGCGAGTGCGGGCGGAGAGCGGACGTCGGCTGCGTCGGTCGTGGTCGTTCGACACGCGTTGGCCGTGCGTTGGCCGTGCTTCTGGTCGTGGTTCTAGTAGTGATTGTGTTGCAGTCGCGTCCTCCGTCCGCCCTCTATATCTACTCCAGTACGCTACGTACAAATGCTATGGTGTCGTCCAGCTCCCGCTGGCTCGCCCGCGCCGCCAGCCAGCCCTCGCTCCCCGTCTGCTCGTACATCGTCGCGTTCGCAACGCACATCTGCAACCATGCTTGCAACTCCAAAATGCTCGTCGGCGTCCGCGTGCGTATCAGCCCCAGGTCCAACCGCTCGCGCACCGCCGCGTCCTCCACACTCCTCTGGTACAGACGCGCGTGCTCCTTCTCCTGGAACTTGTTCAACAGCGTGTCCCGACACAGCAGCAGCAGCCGCGTCCGCTGCGACGTAGTCTTGTCCTCCAGCAGCAGATTGATCTGCGGCTCGATCTCCCGCACTTGCTCCACCAACCGGCTCTTCGCGCTCTCATACAGCTCGTACAGTTTGTCGCGCAGCTCCGCCAACTGCAGGTTGTAAAATGTCAATTGGCCCTCGGTCAGCGACGTTTGTTTCGGAAACAGCCGTTTTATCGTCTCCAGTATGTCGTGCACCGAAAGCACCTGTTTGCCCGTGCTCGGTACCAATCGCCGTATCAACACGTTCTCGTTGATCTCCGTTTGCAACCTCACCAGCGACACCCGATTCGTCTTGTTCTGCACCAGCAGGCTGTATAACGTCTGCAACACAATGATTTCATCCATCTTGACTCCTGTGGGCGCGCTCTTTCGCGTTGCGTCTCGAAACAAGCTCTGTTTTTAAATCTGTATTTTTTTTCCCCTCCCACATTATTGAAAAACTTGGTTAATCATTCGACACATCCTCTACATGTCTGAGCGCTCCAATACCGTCCCAGAAAGCGTGCCCTTGCATCAGTCCGTGCTACAAGAGTTTCACCAATGGAAACCCATAGACAACTCCTACATCTTTAGCGAAACCCGCTCTCAGTTCTTACACATCCTCGAGGACATCGCAGACGGCGCCACGCCTGCATCGCTAGACACTCTCACAGAAGCGTACAAGGAATTCCAGAGACTCGAGCACCACAACTCCCAGCAGGCTGGCAAGGTCGAAAGAGCAAAACAAGAGTATCGCTCCCTATGCGACCAACTTCCGCCCGTAAGTTGGGAAAACTGGGACCAGTATCGCGATGGCTCACTAATAGCCCCAAAACTATCTCAAGTTTACTCACAATTACAAGATCACCCTATATCCGAACAAGAAACCAACTCAGATGATCTCTCTCGTGTCTTCAAAGCCCTACCGCATATCTTGGAAGACCCCCAATGCATCCTTCCCGATGACGCTGCTGACGATGATATACATATAGAAGGTGGCCAAATAGAACTCACTTGCCCCATCACATGTATGAAGTTTGAAAAACCTATGGTCTCCCGCAAATGCGGCCATGTATTTGACTACAAAGGCATTCAACAATACTTGAATCAGTCAGGCCAACAACCACGCGATTGCCCACAGGCTGCCTGCAGGCAGAAACTCACCATGCGAGATTTCGTCCCAGACAAGCTAATGGAGTTTCGATGTAAGATTGCAAACGCCAGAGACAGCTCGACAAAACTTGGGAAGGATCTAGTCACCCTATAGATAAAGATTCCCGATGATCTGTCATCCCAACAACATCTTGCATTGTAAATTGCCACCCGCATAATACAACAGAGTTGCTTCGCATCCTCCACTTTTTCCAGCACCCTCTTTAAGCTGCCTAAGGTCCCATGGTTCTTTCACCTACAAGAGAATCCCAGCATATTAAACAACTCCTACGTACCAACATACTACATACTTGACCCAAGATAAACGATTTACTATTTGACCTTCACTTAAAACCACCTTTTGTTCTTGTCGTTTCTCCATCTATTCTCACTATGCATTTTTCAAAATTGAAAAATTATTCTCTATCGCCATAAGTTCATACCAATATCAAAAAATGTCTCTCCCTCCTACTGTAAAGTCATTGTTCAAGCTGATATCCAATCCCCCGTTATGTGTGAACAATCTACACGGATGGGTCAAATCTGTTAGGCTTCTCAAAAAGGTTGCATTCATTGATCTTCAAGATGGAACTACATCAAAACCTATCAAATTGGTCATTCCTCGCGAAGCAAACGATTGTCTCAAACAATTACGCACCGGACAATCATTACACATCAAAAAAGCCAATTGGAAACAAACCCCTTCGAGAGAACAGTCTTTCGAGCTCGAAGCACTCCCACAATCTGTACGTATAATCGGCGATGTTCCTGATACTTACCCTTTACAAAAAAAATATCATTCACTTTCGTTTCTAAGGTCGTTACCGACCCTTAAACATAGATCAAACTACTTAGGAGCATTACTACGGTTCAGATCTCATGTCGAAAACTCGTTCGCCTCGTTCTTTGAATCACAAGATTTTACCAAAGTTTCACCTCCAATATTAACTTCTAGTGATTGTGAAGGCGCGGGTGAGCTATTCAGAGTCGAATCTAACTCAAAAATTGCATCTAAAGAATTATATTTTGGGAAACCAACTTACCTCACGGTATCGACACAATTGCATCTCGAGATTATGGCCATGGCCTTGTCCCGATGTTGGACCCTTTCTCCCAGCTTCCGCGCAGAGGAAAGCGATACAAATCGTCATTTAGCAGAGTTCTGGATGCTCGAAGCAGAGTTGTGTTTTATCGACGATGTCCGGAAATTGTCAAAATTCACAGAAAGCATGTTGAAATACGTTATCCGATCATGCCTACAAAATAAGGATTCATTACTCCCAGCTATGGTTCCACAGGAAAATACAGAATCTTTGGATAATATCGCTCAACGTTGGGAAGCAATGCTACTGAAAGAATGGCCCATCCTTTCATACACAGAAACAATAAAATTACTCCAAGAAAGGCATAAAAAAGTTGCATTCAAATTCCCACCGTCTTGGGGAAATGCCTTACAAACTGAACATGAAAAATGGCTTGCTGATTCCTATAATTCCCCAGTTTTCGTTGTGGATTATCCACGCGAATGTAAAGCTTTTTACATGAAGCAGAACAATGACGACACTGTTGCATGTTTTGATCTTTTGGTTCCTCAAATGGGAGAAATAATAGGAGGAAGCATCAGAGAAGATGACTACGAGAGAATATTACAGGAAATGGAGCGCAGAAAAATGAACACCAAAGACCTGGAATGGTATACTTCCTTAAGAAAACAAGGTAGTGCACCCCACGGCGGCTTTGGTTTGGGACTGGAGCGTTTCGTATCATGGATGTTTGGCTCCCAAAATGTACGGGATGCGATTCCTTTCCATAGAAGCGCAGATGGTGTCATTGATTTATAATTTACCATGCTTTTCCTCGGAACTTCGGCCCGAACCTGGTACGCCGAAAACCTGAAATTTGTATATAGATGTGCAAGTAAGGTATTCATTTCATTCCAACACGGAATTCAAATCTATAATGACCTCAGTATCTGATTACTTACCACAGGTACTCAGCTCTTATGGCATCGATATCGTATTTGGGATTGTGGGCATCCCAATTGTTGAGCTCGCGGACAAGATGATTCTCCAAGGTAAAATTAGGTTCATCGCATTCCGTAACGAACAGGCAGCTTCTTACGCGGCATCTGCGTATGGTTATCTAACGGGAAAACCAGCAGTACTTTTAGTTGTGGGTGGACCAGGTGTCATCCATGCTCTGGCTGGTATTTATAATTCCATTTCGAATAAGTGGCCCTTAATCGTATTGGCGGGCAGTAGTGAAGATCGATACAAGGGAGGATTTCAGGAACTCGATCAGGTTAGCTTACTTTCAAATTATGTCAAGTTCAGTGGTAAGATCAATGAGTCAAATATTGATATGCTGGTGTACAACGCAATGCGTCTTAGTGTAGTTGGGACTCCCGGAGTATGCTACCTCGACATTCCAGGCGACGTGATCCATAAGACTGTACCAAACTCAAAAGCACACGAAGCCATTCCAGTATCAGCTGTGAGGTTTTCGCCGGATCCAAGTGCAATTAAGAATGTTGCAGCACTTGTATCGAAATATAGTTCCAAAAGGGTGCTATGTGTTATTGGCAAAGGCGCTGTCGAGTATCCGAACGAGCTACGTGAATTTATCAACAGATTCCAATTACCATTCTTGCCTACTCCAATGGCCAAAGGTGTTTTACCGGACTCAAGTCCTCTTAATGTATCCTCAGCACGATCTTTGGCTCTGAAGACTGCAGATTTAGTGCTTGTTTTTGGTGCTAGATTAAATTGGATACTTCATTTCGGTCAAGCTCCTAAATGGAAGGCCAATGCAATTTTTGTACAGATCGACAAAACTCCAGAAGAATTGGGCCATAATAATCAGTTGGGCACAAGTTTCGCACTATGCGGAGATATTGGTCTCAGCGTGAAAGCTCTTGCCCAGAACTTATCACGTTTCAAATACACTGGCCTTTCACAAGAATTGAAGGACAAGGTGAAGACTAACGAACAACGCTTACACATTAAGGAAATAACTCCAGCTCCAATTCTGAATTACAATCAAGTCTACGCACACATGAGGGAACTGATAATAGATAAAGACACAATTTTGGTTACAGAAGGTGCCAACACAATGGATGTTGCGCGAGTGTCGTTCCCAACCGACTATCCTAAGCAGAAGCTCGATGCAGGAACAAACGCAACGATGGGTGTTGGTCTTGGCTATGCAATTGCTGCTAAATTGGCACAGCCCCAAAAGACAGTCATTTGTATCCAGGGCGACTCTGCGTTTGGGTTTTCAGCAATGGAACTGGAGACCGCTTCCAGGAACGAATTGGGGCTAGTCGTTGTGGTGATGAATAATAGTGGTATCTACCACGGTTATGTTGATCCCGAAAAATCAACAGCAGGTCCACTTCCGCCTTCAAAACTACCATCGACTGCCCTAAGCTATAATTGCAGGTACGATCTAGTGGCTAGGGGCCTTGGATGCGATGGCTATTTAGTTAGAACTCTTGCCGAGCTTACGACAGAATTCGAAAAGGCCTTATTTCATTCCAAGAGGGGTAAGACTACTGTATTGAACGTGGTTATCGAGCCTGGCAAGCAAGGAAAGTTGTCTTTCGGTTGGCAAAGCAAAGCCAAGATGTAAATGATGTGTCATACTATCTATATATCATTAATCTCAATTTTCAAATATCATGCTTCACTCTTACACAATAACCTGAGAGCATGCACAAATTTTGTAGTTTGCTTGTTCATGACCCCATCTGGAGCAGTTAGCTTCATGGGATAATGTTCAGGTGAACGAAACTTCGGAACAGCAGCATTCCTACGAGATACCTGTTTGCAAAAGCACGAGTATTCGTTATTGAAGACAGGTGGGAAATTCGGTGGAATTCAGCGAAGCGATTTAACGCCAGGGGCTTCGGCCCTGATTTCCGTGAGGAAGTACCATCGGAAGATGGTCGTGGGTGTTGTTATCAGAAATGTACCAGATGAAGTCCTTCGGGGCTCCATTTGGATGGGAATGGCAACAGAAGTTTCGTTTGACTTTGCCAAATTTGGCAAAGGTCTGTTGAGTGCAATCGTAGGGCGTCGCTCCTTAGTGACGAACCCGATACCGATTATTGTTGGTGTTTCGACTTTTTTTTTTCTTGCAATTAACGGTGGACAGCACAGTGCGATGAGTGTGCGTCCATCTCCGATGGTCGCTTGTATTTCTGGGGAAGCATTTGATGGTAGAGATTAACATATGTAACGATAATTAAATGTTAGAGACTTATATACAGGAGAGGAGAGGAAATTAGCGACTGAGGTTTTGGTTCAGAGCTGCATTTTGCTCTTGGAAACGTTGACCAACACGTTCGCTGTGCTTAAGGAATTTTTCAGAGCACTTCATAATACAGTTTTGCTCCTTGCTCGTAAGTTTCGAGGAAGTGAAATCATTCACACAGTCGCTGAAACATCTTTCCACAAGATTGGAGTACAGACGCATGAAATCCTTCATTTGCTTCTGTTCCACAACCTTCTGAAACTCTTGTTGCTCTCTAGAATTCAATGCGTCCATTTGTGATGTTTCTAAGCCAGCAGTAGTCTTTTTGCTAAAGCTATTGTAGAGCTAAGCTCACTTGCTGAAAAGATTTTTCAAATGGCTAGCGAGGAAGGACCGAAGTCATCTCAAACGTGAATCAGCACACATATAGCGTATCTGTAGGGTCTTTGATACAAAGACGAGCTCATTTTTGTTCTCATACGTGAGACAGTTAAAGCGGTTTGACGACTGCACATGCTGAGGATCTTATGCAGAGCTCGTGATCATAGGGAGCGGCCTATGTGGGTCCATAATCTTCACTTTTCGAAGTTGCTCGAAAATGACTTATTTATAAAGTAAATACATTCGAAGGGGATTAGTTTTCTTACACAAGAGATCTACTGAGAGATTCTGTTCAAGTAGGCTTCCCAACCGGCCTTTCTATAACGCGCGCCTTCTACGTTGGGGTCTCTGCCCTTTGCAAAAAGACCTCTTCCAACAATAATGATGTCAGAACCAGTACTGACAACATCCTTAACAGTTCTGTATTGTTGGCCTAGGCTGTCACCCTTGTCATCTAAACCTACACCAGGTGTCATAATCAACCAGTCGAATCCTTCGTTTCTACCGCCCATATCATGTTGTGCGATGAACCCAATCACGAACTCCTTATCAGTCTTCGCAATATCGACTGTTCCCTTGGTGTATTCCCCGTGTGCCAAGGATCCTTTCGACGATAGTTCCGCCAACATTAAAAGTCCTCTGGGTTCTTCGGTGGTTTCTTTTGCAGCTTGCTTCAAACCTTGAACGATACCAGGTCCAGTAACTCCATGAGCGTTGGTAATATCGGCCCATTCCGCAATTCTATGCACACCAGAGGAGTATTGCAGCTTCACCGTGTTGCCAATATCAGCAAATTTCCTGTCCTCGAAAATCAGGAAGTTGTACTTCTGAGCTAGTTCCTTCAATGGCTTCACAGTACCTTCCATGGAGAAGTCAGGCAAAATGTCCACATGTGTCTTGAGAAGACAAATATGAGGCCCAAGTACCTCTACCAAATCTAAAAGTTCTTTAGTAGATCCAACATCCAGCGAAGCACACAAGTTCGTCTCTTTTTCGTGCATCAATTTTAGAAGCTTAGATGCCACTGGACTAGGGTGCACCTCAGCTCTTTGTTTATAAGATAAAGTGGACATTTTAATTGTTCAATGCTTTTTCACTTAAGCGATTGTGCGATGACAGTGATCTTCAATGACAGCCATTAAAAAATTTCAAGCTCGTCTAGGAAGACAGAGTTTAGGATGAGTGAATTATGGAAAGGGTCTAAACCCATTTCTTTACACATGTCAAAATTATGAATTGAATTCAAATCGGTGCATATTAGTGATATTATGAGAGAATAGCATGTTCAACACTACTTTGTAAAAGTTGGCGTTTTCTCTTGATCCTGTTTCCTCATCTCTCGTATCGTTTCTCATATCGTAATTTTATGTCGAATCTTGTAAAAAAGAATTCCTATAGATGCGGCTTTACCAATTAACATGGATGAAAATGATCCAGCAGCTACCGCCAATACTTTCCAGCATACATCAAATCAGCACTCTTCGTATATTGGGGCAATTACCGCGGGCGGTCGGTCCATTGTATACCAAATGACTTCTTTCTATCTACGGACGCCGTTAAAGCTCTTCAGACCCGCACGATTCGATTACTTACACTACCTCAGAGTTATATTAACTGGTGAAGACGGCTCGAATCGTCAGCACTCTGCATTCAAAAGTCCATCAAGATTTTGGAATCCAAAATACATTTACTATCTGGAGAATTCTTCGATTGGTCTTCTAACCAAGGCTTTAAATAAATACGGCTGGAGGGTGATTCCAGATAGAGTATTACCTCCTTTGATAGCAAATTCAGCAACAGGAGTTGTTCTGTATACTACTTATCTGACTGCTCTGAATCATCTCTCAGATCAAGAGGCCTCATCTCAAATACATAGTCCCTTGGACGTCGCACGCGCTGGATTTATCGCAGGAACAGCGCAAGCAATTGCCTCGGCCCCAATCGATGCCATTTACACACGGTCATCTGTAAACGAGCTTTTGTCGAGTGCCAAAAAACACAATAACCTTTGGTTATATGGACTTGAGAAGCTTAAAGACATTGGATTAATAGGTTGCTTCGGAGGCTTTGGACTTTCTCTGGCTAAAGAGTGCTTTGGGTTTGCAGCATACTTCACAACCTTTGAACTGATAAAGGGTCAAGTGTGTAACAGAGTTATCGACCTAATAAAACAATATCGTGAATTAAAACACATGATAAGACATTCCAAGATTGCAACCATTTTCCAAGACGATAACCCAGACGACAACAACAGTCACAAGGTTTCTTTCATGAGCCAAAGGGAAGAACGATGGCTCCATAAATTATTTCTTTTCACGGGCGGTGTCAGCGCAGCTTTACTTCTCCAAACCATACAATATCCCTTTTTGAAATTGCAGAAGATACACTTGTCCCGATTGGAAGCATTTGACATGTATACTAAAGCATCATCATCGGCACCGACACACATAGCACCTCAATACTCAACTTCTAAGGCTGAGCTTTGGACTAGAATCAAATTACGTCCCAGTAATCAAAGGCTTTTCTACATTTACTACAACTCTTACCTGGACACATTCCATCATGTTTATTTCCTGCACAAAAATACTGGTTCTCTTTGCAGATGGCTGTATAAAGGGTTCACGAGGAACACTCTGGCAATAATCCCAGGAACCACGGCTGGTCTTCTATTACTGGAGTACATGAGAAATTCGCTGAGTGATGATTTGGGTACCCGGAATGAAAAACTTTTGACTTAACTTACCGAATGGAGATAATGAAACTGTAGATATATTTATATACTCTATGTTAATTAATGCAAATATTCATCTCGAGTAAATTCATTCTACTGACTCCGACGCAGGAGGGACTACTTCTTGTTTGATCACAGGCTCCAGAACCTGAGACGGTTGGGCTTGGCTTGATCCCTGCTTTTCAATGTCTTTCTTCTCAGTGATTAAATCCTGCAGAATCTTTTCAACTTCGGAATTATCGACATATTTATTAAAAACACCAAGTACCTTTAAAAAGGTATCATTATCTGCTTCTCCAAGCGCAAGATAGTGCAAATAGACTTTCTTCAACAACAATAGAACATCGACAATAGATGATGATTCGCTGATTTGATTGTTGTCCGAATTGATCATGGTTAGAAGTCCACCTTCAATTAATTCAGCTAAACTTACGGAATGCGAAAAAGTCTCCAAATGCTTATTCAAAGTATCCTCCAAAGAACTCAAAGCGTATGTTCTCAGTTGTTGGCAAGGGTTCATACACTGATGAGCTAAAGCTTGTATTAGTGCAATCATCTCACTTTTAGAAAGAGGTTCATGCCTTTTGATGTCAAATAAATGGGCAGTTGAATTTATTGACTTCAAAGACAGTTCAACCGTTTCTTCATAAGGATTTTCCTTGTCAGTCTTTCGTCCCGACTTTATCAACTTATCATATTCCTCTTCCCACTGCCCACCGACAGCTCCAATGGATGAAATTTCATCCAAGAGCCCTAATAACCACATGAAATTACGCTGAGTTATCACATTAGTCTTTTTTAAGACGCTGCTTTCAATATATTGGAATACGGTTAGAGTATGCTTATTATTAGAGGCAAAGACCCTCAATGTTTTCCAAAAACCCTCATCCTGTAGCAACACATCACTATAATTTTCGATTTCAGTAAGAGATAACAATGTCTTCAAAAATTCTGCCCCTTGGTCACTGCAAAAAAAGTGTTGATTGTAAATATCTTCTTTCGCAAGAAGATCTTCATTTACCAATTCGAGAAGAGCGGCCCGCTCCTCTAAGATGGAAACTAAAAGCATTTTATAGGCTAGAACACGACGGACAAAGAGTTTCGAAGTTCCCTGTAAATGTGAAAGTGAAATTAGTTTAGTTAATACTGCCTTCCCAACATCTTTATCATCCTTACAGAATAAAAACGAAGCCACGCACAATTCCATAATGAATAGGATCTCGGACTCATAAAATCTGCTGTTTTCTTCAGTTTTTTCGAGCGAAAGACATTCCAGTAATGTGTTTACCAAATTCCCGGTTACGTTCCTCTCATTACCAAATATCGAAGATGCCACATGACTCGTGCGGATGCATTCTAAAGCATTTAAGGAAGCTTTAAATTCTTCTTCTGTAGGTTCCTCGTCACCTTTCAGATAAGACGCAAACGTTGACAATAACCCTCTATTGACTTTTGACTTATTAATCGAATATTCAGGTGCTGGCCGTGGAAGACTCCCTAACTTGAGGGTCTTTTGTAAGTCCGGGAATATATCAGGCGATATCATGCCATTTTCGAACAAGTTAAGGAGCAATCGGAATATCTGAGACCAAACTGTTTCGTTTATAACATGAGGATCTTCATTTTTTTGAAGAAACCTGAACAAGATGACTGTACATAGTTGTCCCTTGAAATTCTTACCCAATCTCACAGATAGATTGCTGACTGTAATTTTTTCTTGTGTCTCTTCCACATTTATCTCTACAACAGGAATATCCTCTGTCTCATAGTCATTTGCTAAACTTGCATCAATCTCACCCGCTAAAGTTGTTAATTTGGTAATTCTTTCCATTATGACGTTGAATAAGTCATTGAAGCTGAAAAAAGCACTCAACTGAGCACATTTGTCGATGCTTGTAAGCATTCTTGTACTGATGTGATCGTCGGACGCAATCTCGAATATTCTGAATAATGTCTCTATGATAGATGGCCCTACGTTTTCAAAGATTGCTTTTTCAAATTTAATCAGTGACATGCTATCCATCAGATCATCTGAGTGAACTCCTTCCTTGCTAGTCTGCGTGATAACGGTATTCGAAGAAACCAAATTATTCCAGACATCATCGAACCACGTTTCACTACCATGATGCTCTTCAGGCATGACGATCTCTTTATCACGAATTGAACAGTAGATGCGATCGAGGTACCACATAGGAAAGTCCTTTTGATTATTACATCCCTTAAGATTGTAAGTATAATCATCGAAGGTCATATGCTTTTTAACAACTGGATTATGAAGATCAGTGTTCAACATAATGATAGAGAAACTTAAAATGAAAACAGAATCTGCATCTGGTTGAACTGTGCTGTAATCATTTTCTATATCTTGATTGGACTTCTCAAGATCATACTCTTGGCTTTCAACGTATATGGCGGAAAATGATTCCACAATTCTCTCAATCTGTTGAGATTCACCTGGTAAGCGGAACTTCGTTAACAATATTCTTATCGCTTCGTCAATACGAAGATCTTTAAAGTCAAATAATCCAATGAATTTTTTCAATAATGTGATGTTATCTGGAGTTGCAAGATATTCACCGATGGTCTTTTTATTGAGGCGGCCATTTTTCTCAAAAAGAAACTTTGCAATATCATCCTCAGAGTCAGATTTTATAAAACCGTTCTCTATCAACAATGGAATACCTTTCTTAGGCTTTGAATTGAAAGCTTCAGCACACTTAATAAATTCCGTTTTTCTTGCTCTTTCTTCTAAAACATCGAGCTTCGCAGAAGTCTGTAATATGGCTTTATCTTCTCCCTTAATGCGATCATGCATGCTATCGATTAGGGAAATCAGCCCTTCTAAGCAAATAGGTGGAACACTGTCAGCTGTGATCGCTGCAGATTCGGGCAGTGCTAATTTTGCCAACGACTTTAAGATATAAGAGGATAAATCTGGTCTGTTTAAATTGCAATCATAGTTTTTGAAGATAAAGGTAAAAAAATACGGTGATCTGGTCCAAAGAATTGAGATTTGCTCAATGAGAAGTTCTTTCATAGCTGGTGACCTAGGTTTTATATTATCCGATTGATTCTTTAGTAAAACTTCGAAAATGCTTTGCAGGGTTAGCTCAACCTGTCTTTGGAGGTGCTCACCAAGAACAATTGTCATTGTAGTGAACAATTGCACCGCAGATTGTAAAATTGACAAACGATCTGTATTTTGTATTAGGTACAGAACATTCTTGAAAATAGGATCCGACACCAGATTGAATAATCGAGGATGTTGGGGAAAAACATCTCCAGAAAGCTCAAGTGCCATATTTAATAGATTGAGTCCGAATACCTTTGTTGAGTTGTTGTGTTTAAACTGATTTTCAGGAACAATTAAGGAAACTAGGATGGTTAAGTAATCCTTGGTGACTGGAAGACCGTAGTTTTCCTCAAGCTGCTCAACCTTAACTTTTTGAGTATCTTGGGGATCAGAATCTAATGACTCTGCCTCCGAGGGTATATCATCTGGAGCCTGGTTCTCATTCATATCCGTACTTGTGCCAATTATATCATCTTTTAGTGTATTTCTCGAAAAGTCTTCGTCATTAATGTATTTTTGTGCTTCGGTTGGTGGGATCTTTCTCAGATTGCCAAAGAGCTTAACGGTAATCGACATCATGGACATTTCTGCTGCTTTTCTCAGAATCTCTGTTCTTTTTTTATTACAGGCTAGAGACATCACCGTTTGAAGAACTTCATACATTATCGAGTCCGATAAAACATCACTGTATGGCGAAAGAATCATCATTTCCAGTAAAACCAGAACTTTCAGCAGCACAGAATCGTCCGATGTCTGTTCCGAACCTTCAAATCGGCAATGAGTCAACGAATTCACCGCCTCGCGGTAAGCAACAATATGATTCAAAGAAGAATCATTGATGATATTGAAAGTGAAAAATTTCTGAAGGGAGTCTAAAGCCAGCGATGTAATGTAACCAGAAATTGTGCCCGTGCTTATAACCAATAAAAAGGGCTGTAGAAGGGTCAAAGAATCAATCTCATCCAATGACTTTGAGTTATTCAGCATCAATCTCAATTGCACAAATCCCGACAAAAGCGGATCATTATGCTTATTTGCCGATAAATTGTTGAATGTACTAGCCAGAGATTCATCCTGATTACTAAAAATTTCACTACCACCGCTAAGTAGTGCGGCAACACCTGATTGCGACGTGTACTTTGTATACTTTCTCATGGCAGTTGAAAGTGTAATGCATTCTTTAATTACAATTGTGACCGGATCAACCGCCACATCTTGATTGGAGCTCATCCTAGATTCCTTGACTCTGTAATAAATTTACAGATTATTGTGCAGGCAAAATGGATATCTTTTTAAAATTCAATTAGATACCACACCCGTCTTTCAATTCCAGGACAGGCTGTTTATTTTTGATGGTTTGCCACCTACCTAAGGGCATTTTCGCATCACTGCACGCGTAAGATGTCCGGGTAACTTAAATTTTTCAACGACATGACTTTCGATTCTTGAGTAAACCTTCGGCCTCTAAATGTTGAATTATAGGTAGTAATTGATGAGTTGCTCAGCTGTTTACCTCGACATAAGAATTGGAGATGAGAAAATCGGCCGGATAGTTGCCGAGCTTTTTCATGATAAGGCCCCAAAAAGTGCGTCAAACTTTTATCATCTATGTAAAGGTGACATAAAAATTGACGGCAATCAATTAAGTTATAAGAATAATTACTTCCATAGAATTGTAAAGAACTTTATTGTGCAAGCTGGTGATATTATTTTCGGATCAGGAAAGTTTGAAAAATCAGATGTCATAGGTAAAGGTGGATGTTCAATTTACAGCACAGCGGAGGAATGGTCAAAGAGAGATGAAGAAACTTATGGACCTAGCTGTTTTGGTAACTTCCCTGACGAAAATCTCGGTGAATTCGACCAACCATTTTATCTGGCTATGGCCAATCTAGGTGTTCCAGATTCTAACAGCTCTCAATTTTTTATTACAACGTGCGCATCGCCTCACTTGAATGGAAAGCATAGTATTTTTGGTCGAGTCACACATGGAAAGTCGGTAGTGCACACAATAGAAAATTCTAAGGTTGACGAAGATGGATTTCCCCTGAAGCCAATCTTAATTGAAGATTGCGGTGAATGGCAAACGTCAATGGGCGTTCCATTGTTCAATGCATCCAATAGCACTTTGGGAGGTGATATATATGAAGAGTATCCAGATGATGACCAAAACTTTGATGGGGAATCATTTGCTGAGGCATACAAGGCGGCTAATACTATTAAAGAGTCAGGGACATTGTTTTTTAAGAAACAGGATTATCAAAATGCTTTGTTTAAGTATAAAAAATCTTTACGATACCTCAATGAGTATATCCCGGATACTGAAATTGACGAAGAGCACAACTTAAAGTTTACGGACTTGAAAATGAAACTTTATTTAAATATTTCGTTGGTTTTGTTTAAATTACAACGATATGACGACGCAATAACACAAACAGACTATCTTCTGGATATGGAAGGGGTCCAGCAACTCAGCCGTGCGAAAGCTTTTTACAGGCGGGGAAACTGCCACTTGGCGTTGAAGCGTCTAGAAAGTGCATTGGAAGATTTCAAAAAGTGTAAGGAAAACAACCCTGACGACACTGTAGTGGATAAAAAAATACAGGAAGTCGAAGATCGTCTAAATGCTATCAAACAAAAAACAAAGAAGAACATAGCCAAGTTTTTCTCATGAAACTGATTAACCATTAATGCCTGAAATTTTGTGGACCAAAACTAAGATACAAATTGTTTGTATGTATAAACTGGTCAGTCTATAGAAAGTCATCAAGTAGATTTCTAGGTTTGTTCGATTTTTTTGACGTTTTAATCTCCCCGTTGGTTGGCGTACCACTGAATTGATCTAGTAAGTTTAGACTTTTCTTTGAATGACTTTCTTTAGATGCATGATCATTTTCTTTACCAGTATTTCTCTCCTCAACCGATTTAGGCCGCCCATTACTATGGGCTAAGTCTTGATTTTCATTTTGAACTACTGGAGAGTTGGCTCCGACGGTATTGCTATCACATAAACCGAATTGATCTAGTAAGTTCTTGGGCCTAAAAGCGACGCCATTACCCTTTGCGGGTGGGTTCAAAGGAGATTTATCATCTGCATTCTTTGAATCTTTGTCGAATTTATCAAACAAACTCTCTCTTACTCTAGAAGTTGTAGTTGGCTCAACAGCTAACGCTTGCTTCGAGTCTGCTAGTACGCCGGCTAGTGAGTCAGTTTTTTGGATATCTGATATCATTTTTCTATCCATAAACTCCCAATTGGTTACCAAAGAGAGCGCCAGGTAATCACAACCCATTCTTCTATAAATTCCAGAAACACGACTGACAGTGTTATACTCTAATTGAGGCTCAATTTCTAGGGAAGCTTTCAGATAGCCGAGATCTGATTTTCGGATACGCATGTAAAGCATTAATAGTACAGGATCTTCCACTAGGAAAGATTTGTTGATACGCTTTTCACTATCAATCATATCAATATTTTTTTCTAGATCAATTGGCGCTTTCATGAGGGCCTTAATTGAAAGATCAGGCTTTTTCAATTTGTAATAAACAAAACTAGTCGACCATCTATCGTTGCTGAGGACCGCATTTGGCAAAACATATGTGGTTAGTATGCTATCTAAAACAGGGCCAGAATCTCCTTCGTAAACGCGACAAACTCCAATTGCTAGATCGAGATCATTAATTTGCTTTAAAATGACATTCACTGAATCTTTAAGGGAACCAGCGAGAAGAAAAAACCCTGCGGCATCCATGAAACGATGTTTACTCAAAAGTACGAATGCATTCTTGAGAGCAGCAGTTCTCCACCGTGGTTCACTGAAGTCATTATTCAAAAACTTAAGCATTTTCTGTTGCTCTTTATGCCCAATGCTAATCCTCCATAGGCCTATCAAAATTTGTTTTTTCCTTAATGCAAGGTAGAAAATAGAACAATTACCTGGATCTCTTTTATCATTTTTTGTGAATTCAAACTTGGCGATATTCTCGAAAGCAGTAAGAAGGTCATCTTGTCTAGCCCAGTATGCAATTTTATATTCCTGAGCACGATCCCAGGAATCTATTTTTGTAGTTAGCATAGAATATAATAGCTTTCTGTTATTCGAATAGAGTGCCCATAGCACATCTCTCATAGTCACAGTTCGCTGAGTTGTTCGATGCGGTCCCAATAACTTGGTGCCCAATATGAACATTATGCCATTCGCGTCAACAACCTTCTGGTTTTTGTCTAGCTCTTCGATGGCCTCTATGACAGTAATCAACGTGACTTGTTGGTGTCTCGTTAGATAAGGTAAAGCAGTTCTGGTCAGCTTCTCTCTTAGAGCAACAGCAACAGCACTGTTGAATGAATTATATGGCTCCGCATAATCATCCATTTGATAGTTTTCATCGGAACTAATAAATTTTGAAAAATCTAGATCTAATGTTGATCCTAATTCAGCTATAGGCAAGGATCTAAACTCAAAGTCTCTCATCTTTAAAAATAATCGAAGTAGTATCTCACGAACTAACTGAAATTTCTGTGCATATAGAGCTTGAATCATCAGCTGTGGATGGTAAACAGGTAAAGGGCCATTTAAAACACTGCTCAAATGTAAAATGTCGTTTGAAAGAATTTTTCTCGAACCAATGGACTGATTAGTAAACTTATCTTTCAAATCCAGACTTTTATCTTTAATGAATAACTGATTGCCTGCTGCAACTACAAAGGTACCGTCCTTCAACCATATAGAATCGCCTATCGAGTGAGTTGTATGTTGAGACACGTCAATGTTCTCAATAGGTAGGTAACTCAGATTTTTACTGGTGTAATCATAACGTAGCTGTGTGAAAAGAAGAACATTGTATTCAAACCCAACTGAAAAGATACTTTGCCCAAATTCTGTACTAGTCCAGTCAATATCCTCGATATTTTCCTCGAAGTTTTCCTCGTGCTCTAAAAATGCTTTTTTCAAATCCCAGAGTGTCATGCGCTTGTTAGAACCGTCGACAATGCATATTTTGTCTATTGAAGAGCCGCTGATTAGAGATGAGTTTTCAAGACCAGTATCGACTTTAAAAGTCCGAATCCACGTAATCACATCGTCCTTTTCATTCACGGCAGCCTTATAAGTAGTAATAATACCTTCTCTAGTCATTATCGATATAAGAGACCTGTCAGGGTTAAACCCATAATTTACCGGATCGATCGACGATATGAGATAGATGGCTTTTTCATTACCCATGTCTATGGAGTTGCACGTCACCGGGCTAATTCCTTCGCTAAATGAAATCTCAAATCCAAGAGTTTCTCCTGATGCAAATATAAGACCAATAAAATGACGATCATGGCGATGCTTTTTTTCGGGGGTATTGAGCATTAGCAGTGGATACCCTTTAGAAGGGTTGAGCAAGTATTCACCCTTTAAATTCGAGCCTTTTGTTGAGTTGACGGTAGGGCACTCCCAAACCTGGATTTTGAAGTTATCGAGTAAAACGATAACAAGACCACCTTTCTCCAGAACTACCGCGTCTTTAATTGGTGACTCGGAGCATATTACATTCTTTTTGCGAAGAGATATACCTTTGGACAAATGCTGTGGCACCCAAATACAATTCTCAGAAAACCTGGATGTAGTCAATATCGCCTCGCCATCACTACTCCTGAAAAGTTTTTGAATAGATTTTGTATGTCCAGTGAATTTATGCTCCAATAACCCTAGCTTGCGATTTTTTACATCAACCAGAGTCGATAAGTCGATCAAAGAATGACGAAGAACACCTTGAACATCATGCACCACTACTGATATGCGCCCTGATTTATCGTCGTACAACTGTAATTCTGGAAAATAAAGAAACTTGGGATTGTACACAAATGATGAAGAATCCATTGTACTTGAAAAGAGCTTTCGTTGACTCATGAGCCTTGGTGGATCATGAGATAGGTTCTCAAGAGAGACAAAATCAAGATCACCCTTTTCGTCTGCTATAATAACCAGATCAGGGCTCTTCTTTGATAGATATTCCAGGTACTCCGAATGACTCTGTCCTAAGGTTCTTTGAACAAGCCAGCTATCCAAAATTGAGCAGAATCTCTGACCCCGTTCTCTGTTCAAATTTACAACGCCCCACTGCTGAACAGTAGTCTTTGAATCCGACTCATAATAAGTCCATACCCGAAGTTTTGAATCTGAGCACAAAGAGTAAAGAATATGAGAGCTTCTCTCTTTCTCACAGATTATGCCAGTCCTTTTCCATCTAAGCATGGTCACTGGTTGTGGGTGAGAAATTAAAGTTAAATCGAAAATATCTTGGTCTCCGCTTATTGATATACGTTTCCATATCTTGACATTTGTGTCGTATTTACCAACGCTTGCAATAATTTGAGAATCTTCCGATAAAACACAGAGATATACCGCCTTAGATTGCTTCTTAGTCCATAGCAGATGTGGTTCAAACTCTCCAAATTCATCCTTTACCTTCCAAAAAGACAGATAATCAGAGCCAATCGCCAACTCGTTATTTGAACCCCAACTTAGAGTATTGACCTTCGAGTCATCGTGGAATATCTTGGCACAAAAGACCCATTTGGGATTTTTCATTACTTGATGCAGGGGTTTGTAAATACAAACAGTATTACTGAAAGCAACAGCAATATGCCCATTAGCTGGGTTGATATCTACTGCCACACAATCTGAAGGATGGTATATGGTTTGAAGCCTTGTAAAATGATTGGTCAGAACAATTAAATTGTTTCCGGAGCAGTAAGTTAAAATGGTGTGATCCTGCCATGTACTTTGGCAAACCGCCTTCAATGTGTTATTTGGTTGCCCTGGCAGAAAGTTTAGGGACATTGAACTGATATATTGTCAAATTATCACAACGGTGCCAACCCTTTAATTGGATTGAAAGAGTGTTCAAAAGAATCTCAGTTAATTGTCAAATCGCTGTTTACGGACCAAGAAAGCCATCCTACAATAATTAGTCAAAGAATGAGCAGAAACAATTCACACCAGCCAAGCTAACTTTTCGAACTCAGTCTTCGGCAAGATGATTAAGTGGAATTAAAATAATCCCCACTTCATGTTACTGATATTGATGAGCTGCCTTGGTGCTTTCGTGCAAAATAATATTGTGTAGAGATAACCAAAACGGCGACTTTTCACGCTGACTACTTAATAACTCGACAGAAGCTGCGAAATTTTAAACGATGGGGGCCAGTTGCAACGATCAGAGAAAAGCTGTGGCAATATGCTTGCAGAGATCTCCTTGTGTGATGATCGAAAGAAATACACCGAAGAAATGTCTTGAGGATCCTGAACTGAAAAAGGATTTGCCGGAGCTTTGCTTGGCACAAATGAAAGCTTTTCTGGAGTGTAAAAGGGGAATGGTGGATATGACTAAACGATTTAGAGGGAATGGTACGTTGTCCACTGGAAAGTACGATCAACAGTATGAGAATCTCTCTACCGGCAATTTTGATCCCCGAGAGGAAATGCAAAAGTTGAGAATTCTGGATGGTCAAAATAAGGAGTGATCTCAGTCTTTAATTCATGTATATAACATAATGTGATTTTAGTGTTTTTTAATTCGTTAAGGTTATGGACTTATATTATTTTGGGTACTGCGAAATATTATCGGCGGTTTTGTGATCTTTTCTTGAGCACGAGAGTAATAAATTATTCAACTTCATGAATACCTATGCTATGCCATTTTTTATGAATCAAGGCCAGAATTCTTGGATTTTTTCACAGATGATTTTATTCCGTTTATGTTGTTCAACATCGCGCTGAAGGAAGTACTTAGATATACTGAGTATTTTTCATTACAAATCTGACTGCTAATTTCAAGCATCAAGCCACATATGGAAAACGATGGTAAAGAACTTGAAGACCTAGACGTCCAGCTTGTATCGCAGAGTTCATTGGAAAATAAGATTGAAGCAGATGCCCAGACACTTTTGGATCAAGAATCGATTGATCGAGAGCAATCAAGGTTAGATAAATGCTTAGAAGCTTTGAAAAGACTCACTACTAAGAGAGAAGTACTGAGGCGAAAAGAACGAACTGCAACTAGAATAAGTGTCCGTGGAAAATTAAATGAGCAGATCATAGCATTGGAGAATGAGGATATTCAACCGCTTATCAAGGATATAAAAGATATTAAGGGACGTTTAAGTGAACTTGAGAGATCCAAAAACAGCAAAGTCGAAACTGGGTCGGATGGTCGGAAGTCTGGAGAGTCAGAGAAAGACTATCTGATAAGAACAGGACAAATCACAGCGTTTGGAACAAAATCAGAATTTTCTATAGATAACGATGTACCCGTGGAAGAAACAGAAGAGTTTGCGGAAGGCCAATTGTTGAGTAATATTAGTGACAAAGAAGAAGAGTCAGATAACTATGATGAAGGTGATGAGTACTTGGAAGGAGAAGGTTCCTTTGGCGAAGATAACACAACGGCTAGTGGCGACTTTGATGAGACTGATGTTTTGGATCATACTAAAGACGATGGCGATGAATCTTACTACAAAAGAAGGCTTACCAAGTGGATCGCTGAGAGAAGTTCTAAGAGATCAAAAGATAATGAACCTGAAAAGCATGAGTGGCTGAAACCACATCCAGGTATCCCAGATGCCAAACTCAATAACGATTTTAAGATCCCTGGAGATATTTTCCCTTTGCTGTTTAACTACCAAAAAACCTGCGTGCAATGGCTTTATGAATTATACCAGCAGAATTGTGGTGGTATAATTGGAGACGAGATGGGTCTAGGTAAAACAATCCAAATCATTTCATTTTTAGCTTCGCTCCACCATTCGGGCAAGCTTGATGGGCCTATTATTATTGTGTGCCCAGCAACAGTTATGAAGCAATGGTGTAACGAATTTCATACCTGGTGGCCACCTTTTAGAGTGATCATACTTCACTCGATCGGAGCGGGAATGATCAAGAAAGAAACTTTGAATGAGGAACAACTTGAAAATTTGTTAATGAATTCAGATCCCCAGGAATTATCCTATGATTCTTACGCTAATTCTAATCGCACAAAAAGTGCAATGGAGTCATCGATGGCTAGAGACCGCTTATTAAGTAAAGTTATAACTGATGGGCATGTCTTGATAACTACTTATGTCGGATTAAGGCTTCATTCTGATAAACTTCTTAAAACAAATTGGAGCTACGCTGTTTTAGATGAAGGCCACAAAATTCGAAATCCTGACTCGGACATTTCTTTGACATGTAAGCAGCTACGGACAAAGAACAGAATTATTTTATCTGGTACACCAATACAAAACAATTTGACAGAGCTGTGGAGTCTCTTTGACTTCATATATCCTGGCAGACTGGGCACTTTGCCTGTCTTTCAGCAACAATTTGCAATCCCCATCAATATGGGAGGCTATGCAAATGCAACTAATATTCAAGTTCAAACAGGTTATAAATGTGCGGTGGCTTTACGCAATTTGATTTCTCCATATTTATTGCGAAGAATTAAGGCTGATGTTGCCAAAGACCTACCCAAGAAGAATGAAATGGTACTATTTTGTAAGTTGACGCAATATCAACGTAACAAATACATACAATTCCTAAAATCTGACGATTTAGTGAAAATTAAAAATGGGAAACGACAGGTATTGTATGGTATCGATATTCTTCGAAAAATTTGTAACCATCCCGATCTTCTCGAACGTGATAGGAAACAAAATGATTCGTCTTACGGGGATCCAAAAAGATCGGGGAAAATGCAGGTTGTGAAGCAACTATTGATGTTATGGCATCAGCAGGGACATAAAACCTTACTTTTTGCGCAATCTCGTCAAATGTTGGATATATTAGAGCGATTTATAAACTTTATGGAGCCTGAACTAAGTGAGCTGAATTGTCTACGAATGGATGGAACTACCAACATAGCTAATAGGCAAACATTAGTTGATCAGTTCAACAACGGGCCATATGATGTTTTCCTTTTAACAACGAGGGTTGGCGGGTTAGGGGTTAACTTGACTGGTGCTAACAGGATTATAATATTTGATCCTGATTGGAATCCATCGACAGACATGCAAGCACGTGAAAGAGCGTGGAGGATAGGTCAGAAGAGAGAGGTCACAATTTATAGGTTGATGATAGCTGGATCAATAGAAGAAAAGATTTATCATCGTCAAATTTTTAAACAGTTCCTGACCAATAGAATTTTGAATGACCCGAAACAAAAGCGATTTTTCAAGATGAATGAGTTGCATGATTTATTTACATTAGGAGGGGAAGGAGGACTTTCAAATGAAGACTTTGAAAATGAAATATCAAAGCAAACAGAAGTAATTAAAAAATCACGCAGTGACGAAAGCGATGATTTTGAAAAGGTGGTTCAAATTTCTGGTGTCTCAAAGTTGGAAGGATTTTATAACGGCAAGGAGAATGAGGAGAAAAGTAAAGATGATGAGGAGAGACTAATGGACGGCATTCTCGGAGGAAGTGTTGAAGAGATCAAATCGCATAATTCCATCGTGGAATCTCATTCAAAACCATCTTCGGACATTATTGCAAAGGAAGCTGCCAGAGTTGCAGAGCAGGCCATGGCGGCCCTCCGAAAGTCGAGGAACATCACTAAGAAATACGAGATTGGCACGCCGACTTGGACGGGAAAGTTTGGGGCAGCGGGAAGGATCAAGAAAAGGAGGCCTGGTTTGCCTTCTGGTTCGGCAGCTATACTTGCGAGCATACAGAAAGCTCCAAAGAAGGCTTCAGCAGTAAATTCAGATAATTTCCAGGGAGAAGTGGACAATAATAAAAACTTAATTTTGAGGATGCAAAATTATTTAAATTCAACTGGTGGGTTCTCAAGGTCTGCAGATATAATAAGTCATGTGGGCTTGCAACTAACTCAGAGAGAGGATATTGCGAAAGCACGAGCTTTGCTGAAGGAGATAGCGGTTTTCGATAAAAAAAAGCGTGGTTGGATGTTAAAAGATGAATTTATCAATTAAGTTACTTGTTCCATACATAGTTTTGCGTACATTGCGATTTTTAGTCACATTAATTCTCGTCGTTTAGACTAAGAACGTTGCGACCGTTCTCTTGTCTGAAAGTTTTGGTCGTTCAAATTGAAATTCGACCCAAAATTTAAAAGTGTCGATAATCTCGGTTCATATAATCAGCACAAATTACCACAATGTCGAAAAAATCGATTAAAATACTACTTGAGGGTCTCTGAAAGCTTTTTCCCTTAATATCATGTTTACTGAATACGTTTAAGTTTACATTGAAGTCAGCTGAAAACTGCCGAACTTTTACGTATTTTTGATATATACACTTGACATCATGAATAAATGATAAATATCAGGAACGTTGAATAAAGAATTCTATTGTCGTTTTCTGAAGAGAGGAACGAAGTCAATGACACGCTCTCAAATTATGGTTTTGATATATTTTTCTGTTTTTGTTGGTACGGACATTGTCAAATCATAAGCGACATACTTGCTTCTCGTCTCATTTGAATATAAATAAATAAAAAAAATGCGTTTCTATTCCAAAATTTATGGTTAACGTTCCTGTTCGTTTAACCAACAACAACCTTGTCCTGTTCGAGGTCATACTTAGGGATCTCCAAGTTCAAAGGAGCAGGACCCTTTCTGATTCTACCGGAAATATCGTAGTGAGAACCATGACATGGGCAGAACCATCCACCAAAATCACCAGATTCACCAATGGGCACACAACCCAAGTGAGTGCAGATACCCAACATGATCAGCCATTGTGGATCCTTTACTCTGTCAGCATCTGCTTGAGGATCCTTCAAAGTAGAAATATCGACGGCATTAGCTTCATCAATTTCAGCTTGTGTTCTGTGTCTGATGAACACAGGCTTACCTTGCCACTTAACAACGACGTTCTTACCTTCTGGAATAGCAGCCAAGTTGACTTCAACCTTCGCCATAGCCAACACATCTGCAGAAGCAGACATAGAAGTAATGAACGTTTCAACGGTGGACTTTGCACCAGCAGAAGATAATAGACCCAAGGAACCAACCATGAAGTATGCGTAAGTACGACCTTTGTCTGTATCATTGTTCTCCTTCAAATAGTCTCCGAAATCTGGTGTTCTGTATGTCGACTTGCAAGCAAGTGCAGAAGAGGAGATTAATCTGGATTGAGCATTCAAACTTCTCAAAGAAGTCTTCAAGGACGATCTTAGACCTAGCATGTTTAATTGTGTGGATCGACTGGTAGCTAAACTTGCAACTTTCAGCTGGTGAAGCTCAAATGTAATTCCTTAATCCATAGAACCGAAAAGAGCGGAAACTCAAAAAATGTTCGGGTTTACAATTCGCTCTAACGAAAATTTTTGCGTCAATATGATTGGTCAACCAAAGCATTGTCAAAGTCACGTGAAAATCACGCGAAAATCACATGGTATACAAGTGTCAGTATTGTAATTAATTAACCAGTTGATTGTGTGATGTCTCTCAAATAGGCGATACATTTAAATTACTCGAAGGTTTCAAAGCAAGTAATACAAGAGAAATAAGTTAACTGTTGTTGATTAATATCAGAAGTTGGGACATAACGATATGAATTATGCTGCTTGCCGACTTTTCATTGTGATTCTTGTAAGGAATAGATACTACTTAACGCTTCCATAGTTAAAAAAATTTAACGCTTTTGCAGCTATATAATTCATTAAATATTTCCATGTTCATCAGTCAAATCATAAAAATCAGTATCATTATCTAAATCCATAACCTTCAGATTCATTTATCGCAAGTGTCAGTTTGTTCTCGAGTCTTTCTTTTGAACTGTATTCGTAAAGACATAATTCGTTGAAGCATGTATGTGCTAAGGGTAACTTCTCACTATCCGCTCCCAGTCTGGTGATTTTGAATGGTATGGTCGCTACACCCGTGGCAGGGACCCTATCAGATCCAGTTACAAACTGAAGTAACTTCTTTTTCTGCCCGTAGCTAAAACTAATGAACAGCTTCCAAAACCACTCAATAATGTGGTGCCCAGGAGACCAACCCGGACCATATTTGGTGACTGTCCTTAATAGCTCCACATCTATATCTTTCTCTTGACTTCCGCATAGTAATTGTTCCAATTCTTCCGAGCTAAATAGTTTGAAAGAGTCGCTTTCTATAACACGCCTGAACCCTCTGAAAAAACTCTCAAAGCTCGCCTTGATTGACTTATTCATATAGAAATCCATCCATAGTTTCACATACTCATGCCTGTTATCCAGCGTGACGCTTCTATCAGCACCTCCTGGGCATAGTTCCTTTCTATTAACTTTGGAGGTCAATGGGTTAAGATAATTAACTTCAAAAGTTAGCCCGAACACATCTTCAAAATCCTCACCCTTGTAATCCAACATTTTCAACAAGTTTCGACCAGTATCAGGATATAACTCCATAAAGTCGTCCTTTGAAAGCGGCTCGTGACAAAGCTTCTTATACATCGCCGAAGGAAACGACAGATCCAGAATTGTGCCATTGTAAATCGCAAGGCCCAATACTACTCCAAAAAGGTAAAAGAGCTCTAATGTGTCAACTCTAGCTCCTTGCACAACATCAGCCATACTATTAAACCAAGATAATCGGCTTTCAGCCACATAGATGAACAGTCCATTCTTTGGGTTAAACAACTCTCTTGTCAACAAGAGAAACCACTCTTTGCGAAGGCCACCAGCATCTATACCAGGTTCATCAACGAACTCAACTTTTAAAGATTTTTTCAAATCCATCTGATGACCTTTAATGCATCGCAAAGAATCTTGTGAAAGATGGTCGCGACGTACTTTTATTCTCATATACACATCAACGGCGAGCTTTTTATCAAGCGCCTTAAGGAAAGCTTGCTCGGCATTGTATTCCATTATACGCCGTGTTTCATAATCCATGATGGAGATTTTCATTCCTAGAGAAAGCAAGTAGAAGAATTGACACATAGTGAACTGACTCATGGATTGCTTTTTTGAATAAAAGTCGCCAAGTATCAACGAAGTGTCATCAAAGTTATTCCTCTTCGAAATTTCTCGCTCGGATAAGGTAACTTTCTGCATAGTTTTCCATTGGTCGAAATCTTTTTTGTAGTCTATGAAGTCGACCATAGTATTGTAAAATCTCGAGATAGAACACTTTTTCTTAGACTGATTCGCAGCAAAATAGAAAAGGGCCAATCTACTTGCAGTTCTTATGTGCCAGTCGTTACCATAGTCCGCAATCTTGAACTTGAAAGAAGCAGGTAGGACATGTTTCGAATCATGTGAAGGCCTCAGAAAATTGTTAACAGCCCTTGGGATCGATTCTGCCGGCACTTCTCTTATTGAAGGATTAAGTTTCTCAGAATCGTGAAACTCGTCAAACCCTGGACTATTTAAATCCCTTTTTAAAGCAAGACGTGATTGCAAAATACGAGTAAAATGAAATGTGATGTAGAGATTGATCAGATCAACGTGTTCACAAAAGTGCAATTTATCAAGTCTTTTGAGATAATGAACATATTGCTTGCCCGTTTCTGAATTTACCGATGAGAGATAGCCAATGCATCTTTTGATGATTTCATATAATATAGCTCGCAATTGAGGGCTGACAAACTCTAAACGAGATGCATTGTCTCGAGTTATCAAGCCATCTTTCAAAATCGGTATCTGAAGAATAATGAATATCCATCTCAATTTTAAAATTGCACTAGTTGGATGAGTATCCCTTCCTACTCTCATGCGAGGTTTCTTCAAAAGCTCATTGCAAAGTACCGTCAGTTTGTAAAAAGGACGTTTGGTGGGTAATTCCAGTATCACCTTATAAAACTTCGAAACGGAATCATAATCAATAATGTTGTTGTGATCCTTGCCAATAAAAGATTCATTCAAATTCGATGTATCGCTGAACACAGTGGCGAGGTATTCTTCAACGGGCGAAAAAATTTCATGTCTTTTAAAGGAGGTGATGGGCCGTGAAACATGTTTGAGATTTGTGCAACAATTTTCAACAACCTTCAGTAGCTGTTTTAAGCTTGCTGAGTTTCTTGGTTGGTGGGAGTTTTCCGATCCTCCTTGCACTGTTGCTACAGTGCATTGACAGATTGAACACTTGAATTTCTCTACAGTTGCTGGATGCTTGAGCAACGTTCCACAACAATAGCACTGTGTAAAATTATCCTTGACTGGTTTTTGAGGCTTGTCTCTAACGCAACTACTGAAGGTTATTTCAATTGATGGACTTTTTGAGGTCTTCTTACCTTTCTGCTTAGAGATTAGTCTCATAACAGCCACGTGAAGTATTCAAATTTAGTATCTTTAGTTCAGTCTTGAAACACTCTTCATTGAAATGGCTAGATTTCGCCCTAGAGGATTGACACAAAATATAAATCTGACGTTGCAACTTTGGCCTGTAAGCTAAGGCCCCCAAGATACCACAACAAAATAAATTCCAGTAAATTAGAGATTTTATGATGGGAACTAAAACAGAAAATAGACTGCTACGCCTTGTATAAATCTGACGCCAACTGGTGATAAATGATCCTCGTTAACTGAAACGGTCCGCCCTTACTTTTTCACTGTCATCTAAAAGAGGAACCTTAGATTCGTACATACTGACTTTTAAGCCTATCTTCTTCCTCTCTTAATGAGAGATCCAAATGGGTTAAATGGTGGGCGGTTTGCATTTATAACAATAGACTAGGCAATGGAAACTCAATTAGATCGACCAAATGCCGTTTTTTGTGAAATCAGGGCTCCCAAGGTATTTGTGAATGCCTTTTTGGTGGGAAATAATATTCTTTCTATTGAAAGGAATTCAATTCAAAGTTTGGGAGATATATCTAGAGGACACTTTGTGTGTGTGCCACTAAAGGAACTTTCCAACGATGTAGTAGGTTCAGAACTCTATCAAGATCCTTTTCACAATCGGCCGTACGTTTTTCTTATTTATAGCAATGGCCATCTCGAGATGAGGGATGAGAAATTGAAAGTTGTGACCTCATGCGACCTACAGATAGACACGGTCAACCATGAGCCGTTGATAATTTTTGATAAAAGATTTAGAAGGTTATATGTTTCCTTGGACCGGCATAAGGTTCTTAAATTGAATATTGAAACGGGTGAGGACGCTATCGTGTTTAATAAAGGCAAAACTTATGACTGCATATACACAAGCAACCGAAAAATTGTATCAGTGAAGTCATGCTGGATTGAAAACACTGAAGTTGGGGACGTTTTCAGCATGGCTATCTTCCTTCAAGATCAATTTGATGGCAACAGATATCTTGAAATCGTAGACGAAATAGACATGATAAGAAATAAGTGGAGCACAACTTACTGCTCAGAAAAGCTTAGAATAGCAGAGCATGCGCAGTTATCATATATTCCAGAATTTGGCGTCATTTTACTGACTTCAGATGAAACTCAATTTTTCCAAACTCATTCCGAATTGATTGATAGAAATGCCTTCAAAGTCTTCAGCAGAAAATCTCTAATATGCACTAATAGGCCAAACAATACTTTTTTTATTCCGGAGGTATACGAGATAAATTCTGGTAGCGGTACAAAGGTCTTAGCGTGCTCGAACTTAGGCCATATGGTGGAAATAGATGTACCCTTGCACATTGTAGATTCGACACATTCAATTCGTGGAGAAGATATGCTAGGAAGGATGATAAAAATTAAAGGTTGGGAAGCTAAGGATCTCGAAACCGTTGTGAGAATAGTCCAACTTCAAGATAAAGTTTTTCTATTAGTCTCTAAATCGGAGGGCATGATATTCCTTGATCTCCATAGGCATCAAGTTATATCCCACGTATTGCAGGAGAGCCATTCAGTATTGTATGCAAATATGATTACTGGAGGCGCCACAGATCTTGGATGCCTGATAATGTGTGGCGGGAATACTGGTAGCAAAGGATTCATCGAAATCAGACAACTAGGATTCGATGGAAAACTTAAAATTAGGAAACTGCGGACTATGGAATCTTTACGAGATAATAGCTTATGGCACACTGATGAGGGATTTTGGTGGAAAAATGAACATGGCGATTTATTTAAAGAACATGGTTTGATCGAAAGAAATTCGAAGGCAATTTGTGTGACATTCCGTGGCCGCATTATTTTCCCTCAGAAAGACGTTCTACTTACACAGCCAATTTCTATTGATGAAGAAGATAGTTTGGTAACCATTGCACAAAATGGCACTATACATTGGAGTGATTCCAATCGTATTGTCAAGATTCCGGGGTTTCAAGAGTCTTTTATAACTCCCGCCGTATGTTCTTCTAAAGTACGAAACGGCCAGATGCTGACAGTTGTTGCTTGGGGAAAAAAGTCATTTTGGGTATACGATTCAAAATCCTTGCTGATAGATCTTGAAGACATGGAGCAAGTCTCTTCATGTTTGATTAAAACTGCAAATGGAATGTCCTATGTTATCATGGCGGATGCATTTGGACATATTAAGATTCTGTCAGATGAAGGTGCTCCATTAAGTAAATGTAGAGTTTGCAGTCACAAACTCTCGCTGTGCGATCTTGGCAGCACAGCGAACATTCTGGCATACTGTCATGAAACAGTTGTGCTGATAAAGCTAACTCGAGATGATTTCATGGTCGCACCAATAGAAGTTCCCTTCCACACAAAACTCATTTCAAGTTTCACAGAGTTTTCTCAAGTTGCCATGGATAATAATAACTGCCTTTATGAACTCGATTTCCGTGCAATAATTAATGAGCAACCCAAGCCAATAATAAGGTCAATTAGTTCCAAAAAGAACATTATAGAAAAATTCATTTCTTTCGACCTTACAAGGCGATACATAGTGGTAAGCGCATTTTCTTCAAAATTTGATACTGTCTTGGAAAAATACGTTCATATGGCCAAGTTACAGACATATGATATTGTCAGTAAACGATTGATTTCTGATCATGACATAACAAAAACATATCCTCAGGCCTCTGTCAGTGACTTAATAACTGTACCCTTCCAGAAAAAACTTTTGTGCGGAGAATATATTGACAACGAAACGCAATATGCAAAGCAATTGGTGTTATCTAAATGCTTCGCAGTATCTTTGCACTATGAACTGGCTGAAGATGAAGGATTACACAACCTGTTATTATTCACAATCGATGAACTCACGGGACAAATAGAGTTCCGACTTGGACTAAGAACCGGTTTCTCGATTAGTTCCTTGACAAACTTTTACAACCGTATCATATTTGTTTCCGGAGAGTGTATCCAGGCATATCAGCTCGACTACAGTGTGAAAGAGAATGAATTTAAGCTCGAAAGAATATCAGAGGAGCTAAGAGTCGATGGACTTACAAAAAACTGCTTCTTTATTCCACAGTGCTCAACAATATCATCAAATCTTAAAAGACGGAAAAAACATAGCTTTGGGAAAGAGAGAATTGGAATTGTCAACATTTTCAAGGGATTTCAAGAATTCGATCTTTCCATAAGCTCTTCAACAAAAACCTCAACGGAAGTCCTCGCCAAGAAGCTGGACCATTTACATTTGAGACGAACCCTAGCATCTGATTACGATCCCATCACGAAAATGATTCATGAATTGAAGTTCGTGACTTCCTGCATCTTGAAGGTATTTGGGACCGATGAAGAAGGAAAGGAACTGAATAACGTAGAAACTTCATTAGCAAGGGAAAACATGCTCAAAAAATATTTAGCCGCCGCAGACGGAGATAATAACATCTTCCTTGCAGAACAAGTTGCCCAAGATGATGGTGACTTCATTGGCGACACACTCAGATTTAAGCTCAGTGATCAGATTGTAGGAATTCATGACTTCAGACCCTCAAACTCTTATAGTGATAATATCAACGTTCACTACAAACGTCAACGGAGCGCTTTTTTCCCATTGTTCCTAATAAGCACGGCTAATGGCGGCTGTTTTCTAATTAGCACCATCCTTGACGAAGTTACCTTGCAGAATTACCACCGTGATAAAGACATGAATTTCCCTCACTACCAGAAGCATCTTGAAAAGATCGGTATATCGGCCTTAAACGATAGTGACTTTACATTTTTTGATGAGCGTCAAATGGTTACGAACGATTCCATATATTCTATATATTAGTCTTTGAGTAATGCCCACGATAACAACTGATGAAGTCTCTGAGTACGTGACGCATGAGAGATCCCTTTTAGTGTCACCGTAGAGGGGTGATATCAATTATAAGTATACAAAGCTAGAAAATGCATGGTGAATGCTCTCTCCATAACGTTTAGATTAAATCAACAGAGTCTCAATCTTGTCCTTGACGGCATAAATTTGGTTCTTGATGGCGGAAGCGTCGTTGGTGGTAATGGAAGCAGCAATGACTGGTCTAGAGACACCACACGCTCTACCCAAAGCAACTCGGGAAGGAACAAAGACATATGGAACATTCTTGTCTTCACATAGCAAAGGCAAATGCAACAAGATTTCAATTGGCTCACAATCGGCAGCCATAATGATAAACTCAGAAATACCACGATTCAAAGTCTTGGTGGCTTCGTTAGCACCTTTCTTCAACTGTCTCATGTTGGAAGCTTGTTGAACAACATCCAAGATTTGTTGGGTCAAAGTGGCATCAGCCAGAGGAAAAGCCTTTGGATTTGGAGTAGCAGACATTATAAAAGTTATTTCAAGTTCCTTGCAAATAGAAGCTCGCCTGAATGGTCTTTTAAAGAGAACTTGAACTTAATAAAACGAGATGAGATGAGATCGACATTGAAAAATTTTCCCATTCAAACAAAAAGAAATACACACTACGTACATAGCGATACAACAAATCATCGAATTTTAGTAGTTTGAAAACTCTAGGTTAAGACTACATATGATGATAGAAGTTATTGAAAGTAAACGATACGTTTGCGTCCATCGTGTAAAGCTTCATTCAGACTAACATCCGCCTTATATTCCAATTTTTTTCTTTTAAAAAACTGGGATCATAATTAACGGTGTATCTTTACTCTGCGTAGCTCAGAACAGGGTTCGAAAGTAATTGAAGTAGTAGAGGGAACGTTTGATTCAACAGCCTCTTAATGTCATTCCAAGTAGTACCGCTGTCCGATATGGAAGAAAATCCAGGAACCCAGATCCCTGAGACCCAGAACTTTGACAAGTTTACTACTGAAGACTGGATGGAGGGAGGGAAAGATCAACTTCGAAGCGAGACTAGTGACAGATACTTTTCCTCAAGTTATCAGAAATATGGTCACACATTATGGAAAAGAGGAAGACAACTTATCACGTTGACTGCAATTGCCGTACTGTTAGGCTTCATAGCAGGCTGTATACAGATATTGACTGAAACATTAGTTAATTGGAAGTCCGGAAGATGCAGCCGAAATTGGGTTCTGAACAAATCATTTTGCTGTGCAAATATTCCAAAGGCTGGTCAAAAACTTTTAACTAAACGTGATGAACTGAAGTGTATAGACGATGGGCTATGGCATGAATGGTCCAATCCCTTATTTGGATTCTTCCTCTTCGTCATTTTATCACTAACTTTCGCAATGAGCAGCGCTCTGATGGTTAAGTATATTGCTCCAATGGCAACAGGCTCAGGAATATCTGAGATAAAAGTTTGGGTATCTGGGTTTAGGTATAAAGATGAATTCTTGAATTTAACCACATTAATCGTCAAAAGCATTGCTTTGCCTTTTGCGATTTCCTCAGGTCTTAGTGTTGGAAAGGAAGGTCCTTCTGTGCACTACGCGACCTGTTGCGGGTTTGTTATAACAAATTGGCTTCTTAAACATGACCTTAAATTCCCAGAACAAGCCGAATATCTTATCGCATCCACAGCGGGAGGGGTTGCAGTTGCATTTGGTGCTCCCATTGGCGGTGTGCTTTTTGCTCTTGAGGAAATGTCTACGACGACTGAATTCAGTCTCTCGATTCTATGGAAATCCTACTATGTTGCCCTGGCTGCTGTGGCTACCTTGCAATATATGAACCCTTTGAGGAACGGTAAGATTGTTGTTTTCGAAGTTTCATATGATAAAGATTGGCACGTTCAAGAAATACCCGTGTTTATCATCTTAGGAGTTTTTGGAGGCCTATACGGAAACTTCATCAGCAAGTGGAATGTCCATTTCGTTTCATTCCGCAGAAAGTATCTCTCTAAATGGCGCCTAAATGAGGTGGCTGTGCTTGCTCTGATTACAGCATTACTATCTTATTTTAATGAGTTCCTGAAATTGGACATGACTGAGAGTATGGGTGTTTTATTTCATGAGTGCATCGCAGGTGATGGGGAATCAGTCTGGACCCATCGAATTTGTCAATTGGACGCAAACACACATGTGGGGGCGTTTATTCAGATTTTAATGTCTTTATTGTTTGCCACTGTTGCTAGAGCTCTGCTGGTAGTTGTCTCATATGGCTGCAGCGTTCCAGCAGGGATATTTGTTCCCTCAATGGCAGTAGGTGCAACTTTCGGACGTGCTGTGAGCCTAATTGTTGAAAGGTTTTTCATAGGGCACAATATCATCACACCAGGAACTTACGCATTTTTAGGTGCCGCTGCTACTTTAAGTGGCATTACCAATTTGACATTGACAGTGGTAGTGATTATGTTCGAATTGACCGGTGCATTCACGTACATCATACCTACGATGATCGTTGTTGCCATTACGCGTTTAATCTTCTCGTCTCTAGGTGCGAGAGGAGGAATTGCAGATCAAATGATCATTTTTAATGGCTTTCCTCTTCTCGAAGACTCTAAGGAAGATATGGTTTTCTTGCGGAACTACTCAGCATTAGACATAATGGCCACCAATATTTCTGTTCTTAGAAGTTCTATGCATCTATCCGAATTGAATGATTTTCTGGTTCACAATTCAAATTTCAACGGTTTTCCGGTGGTGAGAGAAATGGAGAAAAATGCACTTGAAAGCGAGTGCATAGGATATATTTCCAAGAGTACAATTCAGACTCAGTTATTGATAGAGGCTAGCGAGGACACATCAGATCAAACTATTATCCATTTTGATGCGCAAAATGTACATCGCAATGGCTTGCAGCCAAACGAGCTTAACTTTAGCGATTTAGTGGATACAAGCCCAGTCACAGTCAAGCCCAGTATGCCACTATCAATACTAATACGCATGTTCCAGAAACTTGGTTGTAAGACAATTTTAGTAGAACAAAAAGGCATCCTTCAAGGGCTCATCACGAAAAAAGATTTACTAAAATTTCAGAGGCTGAAACATAGAGAAATATATGGACCCTTGTATGTTTTCAACGAGTCGTGGGATGATCGCTTAGGAGCATTTCTTCAAAAAATTAGTAACAAAAATTATGTCTTTTAAACATGAGGATTGTTGTGCATTTAGTTAGTTGATATGTAATTATAGTAAATAATTCGTGTATGCAAATATCTCAGCTATCACGCCATTTTCCAACCCTTTTGTATTCCCCATACAAAGCTCTGTAATATGATCTTCCGGAATTATCTAAACTGACATTGACAATTTCCAGCTCATCACGTGACAAAAGGTCTAAGATGGAAAATATACCCGCTACCAATTCCTGCTTCACCAGTGGTTTGATTGGACACACCAAAGAAAGGTTAATGTACTTGATTAATACAACTGGCAAATATTTCCTGAGAGATTTTTTTGCCTGTGCAACTCTAGAGTTAAACGTCTCCTTAGCCTTATTGCTTTTAGCAAGATTGGAAGGCTCACAAAAATTCGTAATGAAACGAGCAAGAGCTCGTGCAGAAACGTCTGTCAGCCCACTATCAGCCTCTCTTACGACAAGATCCATTAGTATGCAGATGTTGGAAACAATCAAGTGGTGTCGATTAGACAATTTGTATCGGTGGTACAGAAGCACATTTGACAGTAGGCGGTTTGTCAAAACAAAAACATCATCACTTTCGTCACAATCAGTAATAGATATTAAGTTGAACTTTAAGCACATAGGAAACAGTGATTCAATGCAATGCTGTGAAAATAACCAGGGCTTTGTGGTTAAAAGTGTATTTAGACATTCGAGAACATGTAAGAAAGAACTCTTATGATTGATCACTGATGTTTGAAAATGGGTGAAAAGTTCAGAAATTGACTGACAAAATAACTTGGTACCCAAATTATTCTCCTTCGTCAAATTTTCAATAATGACTTCATAAATTTCAAAAAGTGCCTCGGTTAATTCCCCTCCAATGCTCTGGAATGAGTGTATCATCGAAACAAAGCCATTATTAAAATTCCTCAACTCAGCTTCTGATGGGTCTTCCAACAATCGATGCTGAATAAAGAATTTAACTCCACTGATCAACTTCGCATGTTCTATTCCTTTTTGTCTCAGCACCAGATAGTGTGCCAGTAAATAGCTCAGTTCATCTTCATAGACGGTACAATACAATAGAAAGAAGTTAGCCAGTACATCAAGATCGAAATTAGACGATGTCAAGAGTAATTTAGCTAGGCTTTCAACTATCCCCCGGATTTGACCATCAGCATGGGATGAGCTTTCTGGGCTCACATAAAAAAGTGCTTTTAATAACCACGAGAACAGGTTGCTATTTTCTGAAATCACGTCCGCTAAGCCCTTTAATTTCTTGATAATCGCTTCAATTAGATTCTCTCCAAGGGCAGTGATTGCAGTTGTTTTGGCTGGGGACACTTTTACCAGATAAAAGGCCATTTTAATTGCCGTAAAATCAAAATCATTCTTAATGCAAGAAGTTAAAAAGGTGATCAATTTCACAACAAAGTCGCAACTGCTCTTTTCTTTAATCTGTGATAAATGATTAATGATCACAGTTTCATAGACTTTATTTGAAAACGAATAAGTCTGCTCATCAGTATCCACCAGCTTCCGTAAAACAATTATGTCGGTCTCGAGTGCAGACTTGAATGTAGGATTGGTTAGAAGATGGGACAATAAAGAGATGTCCGGCTCACGTAGGTCTGATTTGCGCGATATATCATTCAACGCTCTTACTCTATTGTTTTTATTGATACATTGGATTGGTATACGACCTAGAGTTTTCAGCCATTTGACGTCATCAAGATTTTCCAACATAATCTCGACTAACTGATACATTATATTATCCTCTTCAAAGAAGTCTTCATCTTTCATCAGATCCATAATCAGCTTTCCATTGTCAAGAGTTGTTAAAATATTAACGATTTGCTTTAACTCCATCTTCGGAAAGAATGAATTTATGATGGTGCTCCATCTCTGAAGAACCTGTTTCAAAATTTCGTACTGTTCCGAGGGCTCAAGATGAACAACAAACGAAATGAATAATTTTGCCGTGGAATCCATGTCAAATTCAACAAGTTCTCTGAACTTAAATATAGAGAAAAAGAGGTTAGATGGTGGTTGTTGACCATTTGAACAAGCAGTAATCGCTTGTTGTACCTTTTCAATCTTATTAGGGGGAAGAATATCGTCGTAAGTATCCAATACATGGTAAAACATGTCCCAAAATCCTGGATTTTCGTAATCGTCAAAATCGAATATTCTGGCTATAGTTAGTCTGAACTCGGGTAACATTTCATATGATAGATCTTGAAGTCCTTTTATTATAATTGTTAAGGCCTGAATGGCGATTTCTGAGTTCCGATTATTTGCCAGAATAACAGAGAGTAGGCGATCCATGGTGTCTCTTATTTGCGTGGTAGAGAGTGTACGCACATTTTTGGAAATCACCATGGCATATTCAGGATTTGATAGGAAACAATTTGAGTTTCCTTTAACAGTAGGATATCTTTCCCAGATGCTGAGAAACTTCGCAAATTCTCTTGCGTTAACGTGACATTTGACAAGCTGCGACCAAACACTCACGGTAATAGGAGTTACATTTTCTTTTGACAGCTTGTCCATAATCTTTTGAGTATTCAATATTCCTACCTCAATGTCGAGATCTGTAATGTGATTTATCAATATCCAGGTATTATCGAAATTTGATGCGGAGCTGTCATTGAAAACTTTATCAAAAAGACCTTCCAAAAATGATTGTGACATCGTTTTCTTTGACTCAGAAAGTTTCTTTAACAAATTGGATGCCAACGACGGGTGAATAGTCAGTATGCTCGTGAAGATTGATTCTAGTAGCGAAAAATCAGTGTTAGACAAAAAATGTACCGAAATATCGAAAAACGTCTGTAATTCATCTGCAGCTAGTTCTGATCCGCTGGAGTTCAAAAATACTTCAATTAAATCCATCGATCCGGCTGGGCTACTGAAAATGTAATCTCCAATGTAAAATTCTAATTTTTGGGTGATTTCTTCATCAGCGGTCCCTGAGAAATGTGTACTGTAACGTAGGATGGGATATAGAAGTTGAATCGCGAACGACTTGCTAGTTTTTACTGTGATATCTTTGGTTTCTGAAAAATTAGTCAAGTTAATCGTTTCCCCTATTGCTTTTGACCTTAACTGTGAATCGGTCGATGTGTTGTCGACTAGCATATTAAGTATGCACGCTAGGATCATCTGTGCCTGTTCTGGGACAACATCAATAGTTACGCTTGAATTTATCAAACTTAGCGTTTCTGCAAGGGTTGAAATAAACTCTGGAACATTAGAATCTATTAGTTGCAAGGTTTGCATCAAATGAGGAATAAATTTGAGATTCTTGAATATTCTTTTCTTGTGTTCTTCTGAATGTATCTGTTTCCACATAACATTGAATAGCTTCCACATGCAAAAGTCTGTTTTGAACGCGATGATCTTATGATCATTCCACCTATCTACGAGAAGTTGCAAAACGAATGCCTCTTTCTGTGGAAAATACACTTCAATGCTTCCATCTATTAGTTTTGTGGATATGTCATATATTTCAGCTGTACTGATAGTTTTAGATCTCAAAAGTCTAGAGATTCCCTCTGCCGACTGCGGGATATCCATCCTAACAGCACGCTATGGATTCACAATAAGTTTGATAAATCTTTATTTCAAATAGTCCAGTTCGCGATGAGCATGTAAAATTTTCTAATCATTACGTGAAAAACGATTTAATATCGAAAATTCTTTTTGAAAACTTGTTGTGAACATTGATGAGTACGCATTTGTCGATAGGTCTCTAGCTTTGAACCCTGGCCGACATCATGACTGCCAGTCCTTTTACAAAAGCCTCAGATTTATTAATTAATCTGAATGACATGAAGTTCCTCCATAACTTGGATGATGACTCCCATGACGAAAAGGATGTGAGCATGGCGCAAGATGTAAATGATATATCAATCGATGACATTAGTGGTGCTCCACTTACATATTTTTCTAAAGATCAACCAATTCAGGAACCAATTGAGCAATTCAAAGGTGAGCATAAATTTTTGAAGTTCAAGATAAACCCGGTATTTTCTAATAGCCTGGCATTCGTTTCCGGCCCTGGCATGCGTGACACGAAGCTTTACACAGCGGAAACCACTCTTATTGATAAATCAGCATACTATAAGCAGTACGTGTCCAGACTTTTTGAAATTTATCAGGACCTGGGTGATGATCGCCTCTTCACAGTTCTGACTATAGGCTTGATCAATCATTCTTCTCGAAATGAACATTTAAAAACAATGAACCTTGCACTTGAAGCGTTGGTAGACGAACTGGAGATTTTAATCGAGTCAAAGAGGCAATCAAGTCAGCTCATTGATACCATAGAGTTAGAGGACTGTCTCTCTATCTTAAATTGTTTGAAGACTATTCATTTTACAATTGACTCAAATGAAAAGGATTCGACGGCCAAGTTTTTCATACATTTGAAGGAATGGATTAATCGAACAGATGGTGAGCCCAGTGAACAAGTTATAGAGGAGACCTTCACAAAAGCTACAGAAAATACTGTTTACGAAACGACAGATTTTTGGAAGCTGGTAAATCAACTGCTACTTAGAGGTCTTTTTGACCAAGCTATCGGAACACTGGAAAAGTCTAATATTATTAGTGACCTGGAGAATAAGTGTGAAAACACTTGGACCGTTTTGAAAGACATAATTTCGCTATTGAGAGAATATCCATACGATGCAGAAGTTGCATTCAGAGAGTGGAAGTCTGCAATGCTTCAATTATCTCAGTTTTATCTAGAAACAGAGACAAAGGTTAGCCCAGGACTGCGTGATTTTATTACCGACATGATTTATGTTTTGAGTGGAACGCAAGCTAAAATTGTTCAGTACTCCAGAACTTGGTATGAATGTTTCTGTGGGCTCATCCTCTATTACATACCAACTTTGGAACTGTCTGAGGAATATTTACAGCTGTCCTTAGATTCGCATCCTTTAGATGTTTGCAGTAATTGGGAACAGGCGTGTACAGATATCATTAGGGGCAAAATATTCTCCATCCTGCCTGTTTTAGACGATTTAGATGGATGCACCGCAGCATTTACATCTGCTCTTTGCGAGGCCAAAGGTCTTCTAGATTCTCCCGCCAATTTAGCTCCGGAACAGGGGAACGAAAATAACCTAGACGGAGGGGATCTTTTTTCGTCTGATAACAGTATGGCAAGCTATCTGCTAAATTCTTTTGCACTAGAACTGTGCTGCTACGAGGATAGAGACCTGTGGGCTGTCGCAATGGGTATGCTGGCTTTATCACCAAGCAATAACGAAAGCGCAAAGAGACTGGCGATTGCAGAATTACTGCCTCATTATCCTTTCCGGACTAACGACGATATAGAATGGTTATTCACTATCTGTGCAAAATGGAGGTTACCAGATGTCGCGAAAACCATTTATAGGATACTCGGAAATGACCTCTTATACCAAAACAATGTTGTGGAGGCCATGACAAATTTTAGTAAGGCTGGTGAGTTTGAATGGGTAAAACACTATTCTTGGATGATCTTTGAGGCATCCGTAATGCAAGGGGCACCTTTAGAGGACATGGTAATCAACGCCATTGTCAGTGATCATCCTGAATCTGAAATCCCAATAGAGTTGCTTCACAGTGTTGTTACTGATGTTATGAAACAGACCTTATCACCGTATGCAGTACTTTATCAATTTTATCGCCACAGAGACTCTCAAAACTGGGATGAAGCCTTGGACACTTTGCTACATTTACTTGAGTTCACCTACTTACCGCCACAATATTGTTCACTGTTGATTGCCCGATTTTTGAATCCACTTTTTCTCGAAGATGATTCGAAAAGAATGCCTGAAGAATCAGTTGTGCGTATCATGAGGGTTGTGCAAAATCTAATAGTCGACGAAAAATGCATAGCATTATATGAAGTGCTTAAAACGAACGAACAACAAGCAACATTACCGCAAAAGCTATCTAGCGTATTAAGTTCTACAAGACAGAGATTAAGCTTTAAAATATGCCAGGGACTTATGTAAGTTCCAATGCATAATACATATAACGATCACGAAGACGATAACCAGGAGTAGCTAGTCGTTTAAAGACTTGTACCAACTAAAAGCACCGAAAGTAATTCTTTCGACGGTCACAAAATTACTGATAAATTGTAAATTTTAAACAAAGTATATAAAACACTAACAATTTTCAGGTGTTCTATTGCAATGATATGGAAATAATGGATTTGAGTTTTATCAAAAGGTAAACTGCACATTCGCGAGCGGATAACACAAATTTTTTGGGAGAGTGACAACAAGATGCAAAGCAGACTCCCTCAAAAAAAAATATTGAGCTAATATCCAGTACTCTAACAAACGACATCTTGAGTTGCTCTGGAGTTCAACAACAAGGCAACAATCAAACCGTATAGACCCAAAACTTCGGCGAAAATCAAAATCAAAATCATACCGACGAACAATCTTGGTTGTTGAGCAGTACCTCTGACACCTGCGTCACCGACAATACCAATGGCAAAACCAGCGGCTAGACCACTCAAACCGACAGAAAGACCAGCACCCAACTGGATGAAACCGGTGTACAAAGCTTGCTTTTGGCCCAAGGAGTAACACACCAAGACCGACACAACCAGACCGTAAATAGCAATAATACCAGCCATGACGACTGGGACAATGTTCTTAAACAACAAGTCTGGTCTCAACACACAGGTGGCACACACACCAACACCAGATTTGGCTGTACCATATGCAGCACCGAAGGAAGAGAAGATGATGGCAGCGGCACAGCCGATGGCACCGAAGAATGGAGCATAAACGGGACACAATTCACTCATCTTTTTTCGTTTGATTCACAATACAAACTGGTTTCTTGTAAGTATCTGCTTTATAGGGAGAGGTAGTAGTAATGTGGACCCCTTTAACTAGACAAAACTTTTGCAACCATCAGGAAAAATTTTTGTCAATCTCCGGGTAATGGATCACGAGCTTTCATCACATGATGAATACCGATAATACATTTATATTGAATCAGCTGTTGATAGTACATAACATCTATTTCTTCTTTCCAAAGAAGCTCATGAGTGATTTCTGAACTTTCTTCTTCGGTGGCTCGCTCTTGGCTTCTACTGGAGCGGTGCGATCCGACTTACGCTTGATCGGAGTGGACGAGGCCCTCTGCGCCGGCCTTTGAGTAACGATGTAGCCTTCATCGTCTACATACGTGCTTGGCTCTTCCTTTGGAGCCGGTACCTCGACCAAAGACTCCTCAGCAGTGGTCTCCAACAACTCCCCGAGTTCTTGATGCCCGAGATCTTGATGTCCGACATCTTCATCTTTAGCTCCGACCGGCGCACGTGCTGCGTCTGGTGAAGAAACTTCGGTTATAGGTGGCTGGGCTGAGCCCTCACCAGAAGCACCTTCTTCACCATCTTCGTCATCACTATCATCGTCAAACATTGTAGACAACTCCTGCATCTCCTTCTTCCGCTGTGGATCGTTAGCGACCTTCTCCATTTGCCGCTCTTTTCTTTTCCGCAGTTCTTGTAGCCTCTCTTGCTCGCGTTGTTCTCTCTCCTGCCTCATCTTCTGTAGCAACCTCGTTGACTGGAGACCCATGTCCTTGGATTTCTCCTTCTTCCCGCTCTCCTGTGGGTGCGTCTTCGCTCTAACAGGAGCCTTGGGTTGCAGTTTTCTAGCTGGCTCCGTGGTCTTAACATCCTCCGGCTTCGTCTTGCTTCGCAGAGCAGGTGCAAGTACTGGCTCGCGAACTGCTTCCACTGGTGCTGCTGAAGCTTTTTGTACAAATTCAAATGCGTTTTCTATGGCTAAGGGTCGACTGTTAGGCTTGTTGACCACTGTAAATTGTTCCATGGTGCTAAATGCATAAATAAAGGCGTCCACAATATCATCACTGGGCTCAAAATTAGCCAAATCCTGAATAATACTTATCAAGCCTCCCGCGTAACAGCATACAATCACGCAGTTGACCTTAGACTTGGTCGTCTTATAGTATTTGTACATTTCTTTTTTGGCCTGGTTATTTGTGTATTGGAACTGAGTCATAATATCTGTGTACAACACCACTTCACAGTCATTAAATAATCGCTCATGAATAAACTTGCCCACATCTTCTGACATGTCTGTGAATTCTTTCTGAATCGATGAGAGTGATTATTTCAAAAGCATATTTCGTGTTTTGAAAAAAAAAGCTAAACAAACCGCGTGAAGAAAAGAGAGAAGGAAGTATAGTTATAATACCTCGAACGTACGCTTGAAATCGCACCAATCTGTAAATGAGGTATTGCTGGTTATACTACATGGGTTTCAAGCTATCAGAGATAAAGTCAGGAGTGTTGAAGAAAAAAATAGCGCCGCTTGGTTTCGATCCAAGGACATCAGGGTTATGAGCCCTGCGCGCTTCCACTGCGCCACGGCGCTATGTAAATTAGAATACACTGGTTCAGACTCTGAATTTGCAACATATATTCCGGCCAACATCATCAACAGCAGAAGCCAAGAATTAATCTAGACATTTCGGGGTTTTAGATTCCTTTAGGTTTCCTTGAGGGGTTTTCGAAGGTTAGTGCCTTGGTATCAAGTATTCTGAGAGCGGAATATCCTAACTTATCAGATTGTACCTCCAGCATTTCCGACCAGTTATCAAAGAGTTCTTTTCTGCTTTAAACATCGAATATATCAAAATGTATATAGCCTACCGTGCAAACTATCAAATCTTGTGGTAGAAATGTGTACAAAATACATTCATTCAAAGCTATACTTCTACACGCAAGTATAGCCACCATCTACAACGATATCACATCCATTTGTAAAGCTTGCAGCATCGGATGCCAGATATAAGTAAGCACCAACCAGCTCTTGAGGCAATGCTTCTCTGCCCATGGGTGTCAATCCCCACCATTGTGCTCTTTGCTCGATGGGAACGAATGAACTCAGAACGGTGTCGGTATATCCAGGTGAAACCGAGTTACAACGGATTTTGCCCGCTGGGTCCGTCAAATGTGCAAATTCCACCGCGAAACCCTTGGCCATATGTCTCACAGCAGCTTTCGAGGCGTTATAGCACGTCTGGTAGTTGGGCACATTCGAAATGTAACTGGACATCGAGGCAGTCAGGATCAAATTGCCGTGTCCCTGCAACTTAAATATCTCAGCGATGTACTTCGAGCAATGAAAAGTGCCCTGTACGTTGACATCCATTACACGTCGCCATACCTCTGGTGTAGCGTCCTCGTGTACAATGCACCCGTTTGTCCATGCGATACCGGCATTCGCAATGAAGGTATCGATGTCACGTCCCACAAAGTCGCTCTTTATAACCTCAATACAGGTCTTGACCTCCTCAGGCTTTGTAATATCCACCTGATACGCCGCGGCCCTGATTCCGTATGTATTTTGCAAATAGCTCGCGAAATCAGGGTCGTAGTTGTAATCCACTACACAAACATCTGCACCCATAGAAGCAAAACCCTCACATATAGCTCCACCAATTGCACCGGCGGCCCCCGTGATCACAACTAATTTACCTTGCTGAGAGAATAAATTGGCGAAGTTTGCGCGCTGACCAAATCGCTCCGACGGTGGCTGTTGTGGAACAACTTTATGTTCGGTTGGTCCTCTTAGGAAGTTCTGAAAGCTCATGTTGATGTATGGATGACAGATCTAACCTCTGAGATTTTGGCCAGTTTGCCCCTCATTCTTATACGCAATACCCGCCTGGAAAAGCAATGAGGTTTGCATTGCCTTCCCTTATAAGCCAAAGCGAATTGAGACAATACTTTGCATTCAGATGTGATGTGGGGGGTCGAAGAACAATCACGGAGTACGTATTAGCAAGTTATACTTGCATGTGGTAATATAACGTATTCTTACTTGCATTGTTAGAAAGATTTCAGATATTCTTGACAACTGTATCGTGATAGAGTGCACAGTGATTACTTTCCGTTTATCCTACAAACTCGCTAAACTGATCAATTAGCATGCCAGATTCCGTACCAGGTGATGGAGATTTTTCGACTATGACCATATGCCATTATTGGTTGTACGATTATCAGAATGAGTTGACGAAGAGGCATATCGTCCATGCCTCGCCTATTAGCGACTCAATCTCATGTTGTGCATGGTTATGTAGGCAATAAAGCCGCTACATTTCCCTTGCAATGTATAGGCTGGGATGTAGACTGCGTGAATACCGTTCAGTTTTCCAATCATACCGGCTATGGAATGGATAAAGTTTTCGGAACGTTGACTAAGAAAGAGGACTTAGAGGCTCTTTTAAAAGGGGTATCCGAGTTAAAGGATTACAATGCGCTGCTTTCTGGCTACCTTCCCAACCGAGAGTCTGTGAATTGTATGGCTGAGTACTACTCTCAAATGAAGAAGGAAAACCCGGAGTTGCTGTGGCTTCTCGATCCTGTAATGGGAGATGACGGGGAGCTATACGTCAACAAGGACGTCGTTCCAGAATACAAGGCTCTCGTAGCGTCATCTCTTGTTGATGTGATAACGCCCAACCAATTCGAGCTGGAAATCCTGTATGGCAACAAGATATGCAATGTATCGACTCTAAAGAGAGCATTGGCTCAGCTACATGAAACGGTTCCCGTAGTTGTGGTGACTTCCTGTTCGCCCACCCTTTTCAAAGATCCGACTCACATATATTGCGTGGCATCGTTGCGCAATTATGGTGCCGTCGTGTGCCGTGTTCCGGTTATCGACTCATACTTCACAGGTGTGGGCGACCTTTTCTCTGCACTTTTAATAGACCGTCTCTTCCATATGTTCCTTACAAATTCGTCAAGCTTCGCAGAGGAGGTTAACCACGTTTTGAATGTGATCCATAGTGTACTTGAGGTAACGTTGGAACTTTCCCCCAAAAATGTCAAAGCTGCGATGGGCTCCCCGCAGGAGATGAAAGAGATGGAACTCAGGATTATCGAAAGTCGCGACTGCTATGAAAAGGAGGAGATGGAGCATAATTTCATTTATAAACGTCTATAAAGATGATATCTTTACCTTAATTGTCCATTCATCATAGGCTTGCTGCAAGATTGGCAAGGCATTTTCTAGGTCTTTTGCTGAATTACCATAACCTATCCGAATGGTTCCTGGTCTTCCAAAAACCTCGCCTGGCACACACAATACTTTGTAGTCCTCGGCAAGGGATGCACAAAATTTCTCTGTGTCTTCAATTCCATTCACGCTGACCAAACAAACTGCTCCACCTAGGGGCTTCACCACGAAAGAGAACCTTCCCTCCGAAGAAGCTACAAAACTTTCAAGTGTTTCAAGGTTTTCTTTGCACAATTTTAAGTTTCGTTCAAGAATTGCCTTTCTGTTTCTAAGCATATAGCACGCAATATGATCATCAACTTGCGAAACTGAAATTGTGTTATAATCTCTTCGTGACGCGGCATCTTTCAATAATTGAACATCTTGGCTCACGATCCATCCGAGTCTCAAACCAGCAGCCGAGTATGCCTTAGACATAGAACCAGTGATGATGCCCCGCGAATAAAGCTGACAAAATGATTGTGGTGGAGAGCAAGAATGGAAAAGTGGAGCATAAACCTCATCGCTAAGAACATAAATTCCATGTCTTTTGCATAACGCTGCGACTTTCTTCAATTGTTCAGTAGGAATTACACTTCCCAATGGATTGTTGGGATTGTTGATGACAACTAATTTTGTGTTGGGCTTTATGAGATCTTCTAAATTGCTGAGGTTGGGGGTCCATCCATCCTCACGCTTTAGCTCTAGAAGGTCAACATCAGCACCAAACATCTTGGGAACACTATTCAACTGCTGATAGGTGGGATCCACGCAAATCACATGATCATTGGGCCCTACCAATGTGTAGTTGACCAAGAAGTTTGCGCCGATCGCTCCATTGGTAATTAGAACATTATCCTTCGTAAGCTTTATGCTTTCATTGGAGTACATAGCCGCAACAAGCGATCGTAGCTCCTCAGAACCTTTTATCGAGCCGTAAGTAAGTCTCACTGTTCCATCGAAACTGAATTTCTCTCCGGTCAACTGATACACTTCATCAAGATTCAAGGAGTAGCAGCATGTCTCACCCATATTATGAACAATGCTAGTCTCATATTTATCCATAAATTGCTCAACAGCAAAGTCTTCTTGATATGGCATTGATTCTCGCTTTCCAATTACAACTTTACCTGTTGCCTTTATTCATCAATTCTAATCACTCCTTTATATATTATAGTTCACAAATTGTGTTGAAAGGCGGAAAAGTGGACATTCAAATAATGCGGAAAACTTCCATCAAATTCGATCGATAGTCTCGATTACTAATAAGCAGGTCAAAAGAACTGGATACCGTCACAGTCATAGTGCTCAACCGCCTGAGGCTGAGTGTTCGCTTGACTGCAGAAATGATGTTCATTAAAGTGATCTTCATTTATTCAGGGTAGTTGAAAGCGATAAGATCTCCAAAAACAGTCGCTTCATGGATCTGCAAATAATTCCGTCTGTTTGATTAGTTACCGACACTCATTTACCAATTCGGTGCCCATACGTATCTTTTCACTCTTATAGGTTCCTTAACTAATTCGTCGCCAAAAGAAGGCGCCAACTAATTGCATTTTTTCAATCAAGCAGTACTATCGCTCAGAATATCCCCGGAGGATCAGTACTTCTCAAACAAAAGGGGGATCAAGGCATACAGCACCATCATCTTTAAAAATGGCCTCCAAATTTACTCGAAAATCTTGGTGCTTTAAGGATTCCCTTTCATCCTCACCGGTGATCAAGTTTAATAATGCGATTTCTCTGAAAATGAATGAAACAATTAGTACAAAAGGCAATTACATTGGCTCAGGTGATCACCTACTATACTTCAACCCATCTTTTGCAGAATTGAGTTCAGACGGGTACTTCGAATATCAGACTCCGTCAGCTTTGCTGGAAAGTTCAGTCCCTTTTTTACGAAGAATGTGGGCGATGGGTTCCATATGTTTTAACTCGCGACTGAAATTAGGACTTGATTACGAATGTGTCGAGAATATCAAGTTTATAAAGAAGATTCAAGGAAATTACTTCGTTTCAGTTTTAAGAGAAATACGAGACCAAGGTTCCACCTCCGACAAACCGCTTATCAAGGAGATTAGAACTCTAATATATTGCAACTCTCCTCATTCACAGGTGGAATCAATCTCTAAAAATCTAAACTATACGTATAAAATTCCAATATCTTTCAGTGACCTTGATATATTCCGGCATTGCGCTTTGACTTACAATTCCCACAGAATTCACTGGGATCTTGAATATTGCCAAAAAGTAGAGGGATATCATGACATTGTGACGCCGGGCCCACTTATCCTGCATACTCTGCTGAAATATGTAGAGTCCGAACTCGGATTACAGATCCAATCGATTCAATACAAGAACACAAACTGTGTTTATCGAGGGACAGAATTAGAGATGTGTGTGACCCAGATTTGCGATGGCCATTGGCTGGCCCTAATCACAGACGCAAAAGATCCAAATCTGGCGTATTTTGAAGCTTCACTAAGAGTCTCTTAATGATATGTCTTTGAAGGAAAAGATTCAATTTTACGGTGTTCAGATACCCAATGCGTCCATTTATCATGAGGTTTCAGATCCACATCTATGATTTTCGCATCTATTTTACTTGAGGCTTCCCATCTGATAAAACATGTAACGTCTCGAAGTGTCATCAGCAAACATAAATCTTCGGAAGCCTCGTATGCACTCCCAAAAGAAGCCACAGAACCATATCCATTAAGCCTTTCCTGAACGGTATACAAAAGTTTAAGAACATTTTCATCACTACCGAAGTAGCGCACCATATCCATTGTGAATGCTGTGGGCAAGGAGTATTTTTTAAATAGCTCTCTCAAGATATTGGTATCCTCCATGAGAGAAGCATAACAGTAGTCAATATCCCTTTCTTTGACACTATTGTGAGTGCAATTTCTGCAGAAAAGGGTATTTTGATGCAGCCATTTAGGCTTGAGTTCCCAAATGATTATTTGTTTATCTGGTGATAGATGAAACTTAGTGAAATGGTCTACTTCTATGATATCGTATGTCGAGGGAGCCAAATCTGGCAACTTCAGTGTGAAAACTTCCCTTATGTCGCATTTAATATCCAAATACTCCATACAATCTGTAACTGAGGCTATGGGGAGCGTACAAAGCTCCATGTGCACTAAATAGCTACCAATAAGCGGTTCGACTTTCTTCTTAATAAAGTCAATATTTTGAAGGGTGTACCGATTATTCGCACTTACGCTTGAATACCTTATGCAAATGCGATACAAATCGCCCGAGTCATCTTTTCTGATTAATACATTAGCTTTGCTTCTGTGAGCTAAATCTGTCGGTTTTAAACTTGCGGCTGCAGCCATTACCATATGTAGGTGACCGTTTCGAAAGCTCATCGCTTAAATAGCTTGAAAAAATTTTAAACTCTTCTCATAAGTTTTCTCAGGAAGTACTAAAGGTAACATGTCTGGCGTTAATGAAAAGCTACCAGAACTGCTTAATGACGCAGTTTTGAAGGCTTCTGTTCCTATTCCAGATGATTTTGTCAAAGTTGAAGGTATTGATTATACCAAGCCAGAAGCCGTCGACATGAGAGCGTCTGATCTAGTTGATTCGATGAAGCGTATGGGCTTTCAAGCTTCTGCCTTAGGACAAGCCTGTGACATCATCAATGAAATGAGATCTTGGAGAGGGAAGCACATTGATGAACTTGATGAACACGATAAAAAAGGTTCTTATGATGAAAGTGGATACCAAAAAACCACGATTTTCTTGGGTTACACTTCAAATTTGATCAGCTCTGGTCTCCGTGAGACGATTCGTTTTTTGGTTCAGCACAAAATGGTCAGCGCTGTTGTTGCTACCGCTGGTGGGATTGAGGAAGATCTAATCAAGTGCCTTGCCCCCACGTACATGGGAGAATTTTCTTTGAAAGGAGCGTCGTTGCGTGATCAGGGTTTGAATCGTATCGGAAATTTGTTGGTCCCCAATGACAACTACTGTAAGTTTGAAGAATGGATTGTCCCTATTCTTGACAAAATGCTGGAAGAACAAGAAGAATATATTTCCAAGCATGGTTCTGATTGCCTAGACGCAAACACCGATGTCGATTCTCCAATTTGGTCTCCTTCTAAGTTGATCGACCGTTTAGGAAAAGAAATCAATGATGAATCTTCTGTGCTGTACTGGGCTCACAAAAACAAGATACCCGTTTTCTGCCCAGCAGTAACTGACGGGTCGATCGGTGATATGCTTTTCTTCCACACCTTTAAGGCTTCTCCAAAGCAGCTAAGACTAGATATCGTTTCAGATATCCGTAAAATTAACTGCATGTCTATGGAGGCTTCTAAGGCAGGTATGCTTCTGTTGGGTGGTGGTTTGATAAAGCATCATATTGCCAACGCTTGCTTGATGAGAAACGGTGCAGACTATGCCGTTTATATCAATACTGGCCAAGAATTTGATGGTTCTGATGCCGGTGCCAGACCAGACGAGGCTGTGTCTTGGGGTAAGATTAAAGCTGATGCGAAGTCTGTCAAGGTTTATGCTGATGCAACTGTTGTGTTCCCTCTAGTTGTTGCTGCTACTTTTGCCAGCGAGAAACCATCGAATTAAAGAACTAATCTGAAGTTCGAGGCGTTGAATATGAGGCCTATACTGAAGTTTTATGAATAAACAGTTTCTAGAAAGTTATAGATGATGACCTTAAACAAAAGTTTTCTTTTTGGACTTCTCCACCACTCCATGTGTCTCTTTCGCGTTCCATTAGCATTAATCAAAGGTTTTGACCACAAGGTCAACATAATCTGCAGCTGTATTAAAATGCATGGATTCGTAACGGTAGATTCGGCTTGGCGTTTGATATGGCTAGTGAAGAAAAGGACTTAAATGACCTAAAATGTTACCTAAAGCTCCGCCTGAGAACCATGACATTTTTTCATTTGAGGACTTTAAGATTCTCTAACCGTAGTATATTCAAATTGCTGAAGTTAGTAAAATTTCCTCGAGCAACCTTGAAATGTCATAACGTAGACCTTCACTATTACAAACAATCTCCTGTCTTCTTAACTCCAGTCTTGGGAAGGTATGCTTCCCGAATTTGTACTTTTGGACGACATTTAAATCAAGGCGATCTTGCAAGAAATTCACTACATAGATGGCTCAACTGTAGTATGAATTATCGGCAATGAAACCGAGACTTTTGAGACGATACAACTCACCAATCTCTAATTCGAGATGTTTATGGATGCCAAATACTATAAGGTACCATTCCACTTTTATACCAAAGCCAAACACCAGAGTTCATCGTCCAAAGACTAAAGAAGAGCTCGCCAAGGAAAAGTTCGAGGAGCAAATGAATTCTCCCAACCGAATCGTAAGATGGGGAGCAATCGCCAGATCTGAAAAATTTACTAAAGGAATGACAAAGTATCTTGTGGGGGGTTATATCTTCTTCTTAATTTATGGTGTACATTTTATGAAGAAGCAATACGCGAAAGAAAAAGAGCTCGAGAAATTAGAGGAAAAAGAACAGAAGGGTCAGGCCAATGAATACGAATGTTTAAGAATTAAGGAGCTTCGGGGTAAACTTAGGAGAAGAGATGAGCTCAAACTGGAAAGATATCGCGAGATGCAAAAACATGGGAAAGAAACCTTTGACGGAATTGTCCTCGAAAATAACGACGAAAATAAGACCAATATAAAAATTCTACCTGCGAGAGATACTACGGATTTCTATAATGGTAAAGCGGCCGATTATGATAGTGATGTTAATTTTGAGGAAAAGGCCATTTTCATGGGGCGCAGAAGAAAGTGGCTAATGAAGCATTGTCATGGGGACGTGCTGGAAGTTGCGTGCGGGACCGGTAGGAACATCAAGTACCTGGACATGGCACATATCAAATCTATTACTTTTCTCGATGCATCGAAAAACATGATGGAAATTGCACATGGGAAGTTCAGAAAAGAGTTTCCAAACTATAAAAAAGCTGCATTTGTGGTGGGAAAGGCAGAAAATTTGATGGATTTGGCAAAGGCAGATCCTAATCCTCAAGAAAACTCAGAAAAGACTGATAGGTTGTCGATGATTAATGGTGTTAATTGTGAAACAAGAATGAAGTATGATACAATTTTGGAAGCTTTTGGTTTATGTTCTCATGAAGATCCCGTGAAATCACTGAAAAATCTGGAAAAATTACTGAAGCCAGGAGGAAGAATCGTCTTACTGGAACATGGCAGGGGGTATTACGATTTTATAAATAAGATTTTGGATGATCGTGCCGAAAAACGTTTAGAAACTTGGGGCTGTAGATGGAATTTGGATCTCGGTGAAATTTTGGATGACTCCGGACTTGAAATTGTCGAAGAACATAGAACCCATATGGGAACGACATGGTGTATTGTTGCAAAGCGAAAGGGTGATGCGAAGAAAAAATCAGAAGTCGGTTTCATGGAAAAGTATTTTGGATCAAGCATAAAATCGAAGATCGAGGCTTTTGAAAAGACTTCCCAAGATTCTGAACAGAAAAAAGGAAACTGATTTAAACTAACTTGTAAATATATCCGATAGTAATTGTATCATATTTAGACTTAATGTACATTTTTTGCTATGATATGTTAGGCATTTCCCCTCATTTTTTCGCCATTTATGACATCGCGACCTATTGCCTCCATAGTTTCTTTTTCAATCAAAGAACCTATGTCATCGTAAGCCATACTAGCCTCATATGCACTTATCACCCTTGACTCTGCTATGCCTACCTCACAATGAGCGAGTGCTCTGATTACATTAGCATATCTTGTTATAGTTTGTTTGACGGCATTGGAAATAGGATCATTCTTGTCTGAATAAATTTCCCATGATGACTCTTCTTCTAATCTTGTGATTGCCACGCTGTTTTGTCCGGGCTTGTACTCTCCTGTACTTGGTCCTATGGATGGGACATTAACATTTGAAATCGTAGATCCATGGTTAGAGAGATCGATTTCAGATGTTTGTCTTAACCAAATAAAACCATTTACTCCTAGGATGATTGTAACATTTCCTGGTAAGTTGTGTGTATGATTCTTCGATCTAACAACGAGTGAACTTGGCACTTGTAAGAAAACGCCGTTTCTCAATTTTCCATATTTAAGGGATCTGGTGTGCAGGGAGGCACTACCATCTTGAAAAAGTGATTGAACTTCGGCATTGAGTAAATCCCCCTCCTTTAAGAAATTTCTCATTTGCAATTCATCGCTTTCAGACTTTCTTCTTAACACACCACCCGGCAAATTGACAGAACCTAACATTAAAACAGCGTATTGTTTGGCTCCGATATCGACTTTCCATCTTCTGTTTCCCACTTCTGCGATCCGGCCTATAATGTGATCACCAGTCTCTGGCGAATAGCGTCCTTTCAACGGAATCACTGATAGTAACCTATTTACTCTCGACACAGTTCCAGCGACCGACGCAAACGTTTTATTCTCCAAAAAGTAAGTACCATGTCCTCGCATCCAAACTGGATCGTCAGTGACCAGTTCACCAGGGGTAACTATACTTCCATCTTGCGCCTCCCCAGATATCTGATTTTGGTTCTCGCTATCAGACATCTCGATATCACTCTCAAAATCTGATTCGAGATTTCCAACAAACTGGAATCCATCTTTTCTCTTCGTTACACTGATAATTTCTGTTCCGGTCGACATTATGCACTTGTTAGGCTTTCGAACACTTAATAAGCTCATCGCTGAGATGTTCGGTTCTAATTACAAAAATTTGTCTGCTTTGTAATTAATCACGTGATATGTGAATAAATTTTCAATGATCTTTATTCAGTCATCGGCCATTTGAGATCTTCTCAATTATGGATGTTGAGGAAGCATTCATTATTGAAAGGCTATTGGAGTTCACTCAACACTAACAGTATGCGCACAATTTCAACTCAGCCCATGCCTTTAGTTTTCAAGTACCAGCCTCCTGTTAATAGGAACATGACCAGACTCGATAGGTCTTTCTTCGTGACCAAAATTCCTTTGGTTGTTGTTCACTTTCCTGAACCCAAAAACATAAGCTTGTTCTCATCCAAATTCAAGAATGAAGTTTTGAAGGTGCCACGTATCTCCCGTGTAGTAAAATTGGACAAGGTGGATGAAAATGAACCACCGCTGAAGAAAGCAAATATTGCGAACGACAATCACATCCGTAAGGGCATCTTGCTAAAGGATAGCATATCGAGCGTTGATGAAGCTCACCAGCAATTATCTCCTGAAGCTCTACAATTTTTGAAGGATCATGCAGGTACGCTTCAAGCATATGAATACATTATGGATTACGACTTCTGGAAGCCGGAGGAGATTTTTAGAGCGACTCTTCCTGAAGAGTTTTTGGAGGAAATTCCATCTGGATTCACAGCAACAGGCCATGTTGCTCATGTCAATTTGAGAAACGAGTTTAAACCATATGGAGAACTTATCGGGCAAGTTATTTTGGATAAAAACAACAAAATTGAGACTGTTGTGGATAAAGTTGATTCAATCGCTACTAAGTTTAGGACATTTCAAATGAAGGTCCTTGCTGGTAAGCCTGATTTAATTGTAGAGCAAAAAGAATCCAATTGTAAATTCAAATTCGACTTTAGCAAAGTTTACTGGAATTCTAGACTGCATACTGAGCACGACCGTCTAATTAAGAAATTCAAACCAGGGCAATGTGTTGGTGATGTATTTGCTGGTGTAGGACCTTTTGCAATTCCTGCTGGTAAGAAAAATGTTTTCGTTTTATCCAACGATCTGAATCCTGAGAGTTACAAGTATATGCAACATAACATCAAAGAAAATAAAGTAGACCCCTTCGTGAAACCACTCAACTTCGATGGGCGCGAATTCATTAGAAAGAGTCCCCTTCTTCTCCTTGAATGGTGTAACGAGAATAACGGTGTCGTTACCATTCCAGGCGGAAAGAAATTCAAAGATCCGGACACTGGGGAGGTCAAGCGCACACTTCCGAAATCTTTTGAGATTCCTAAATACTACAGTCACTATGTGATGAATTTACCTGACAGTGCGCTTACTTTCCTAGATGAATTTGTCGGATTGTACTCAAATCATTCCGAAGCTGTAACCGTGGTCCAATCCTTGCCTAAATTCGAGCTACCTTGGATACACTGTCATTGCTTCGAAAAATATGATCATGAGGAAGTACCAGAACCATCTCTGGAAGAACTTAATCGTCGTATCCATAAGAGAGTACTGGACACAATGAAGACCACGGATAAGATTTTGCCATTTGAAGCTTTACAATTTCATTTGGTCAGAAAAGTCGCTCCAACAAAACCAATGTTCTGTGTTAGCTTCCAACTACCGCAAGAAATAGCATTTGCATAGAATCTTTTAAATATTTTATAATGAATCTACAGCAAAAGCATTAATGGTAAAATCACATCGCTCTCACTTCTTTTTAACATAGAGACATCGAAAAGAATCGATTGATCAGTTTATAGAAGCGGGAGGCGCTCATCCTTAGTATGCTGCAATGTGAACTTTAAGCGAATGTGATTTTCCGTTTCTGAATTATGGTGGTATGGGAAGCCATTAGAGAGAGGGGAGATACAAGATACTGCGAGCTCTGACTATCATTGAGGTTCATCAACGATGAAACAGATTAAGAGTACAAAGCAGAATAGAGATAGGGCATAAGAATTAACTCAAATTAAAAGTATCAACCTGAATAAATGGAGCTGGGAAATAGTATCTAGAGGACTTGAAAGTTGCTGATCGATTGCACTTCTGTTCGAACCGCCTTCTGCAATTAGCTCCCTAGGCCCACAATCGAAGTTTAGCAATAGATAGGGATTGAATCTTAATCTGACGTTTCATTGAATCTCTCCCAGCTTATCCAAGCAATTAAGCTATGCTGTAGACAAGCGTTCCTATGAGATATCTGGCCACTCTCAAATTTACCATTCATGAGAATAGAAATATTCCCGATTTTCTTGGAAACATGAAGGCAAGCTAATTTCAACAATTAGGCGCTAAACATATCAATTGATTTTGCCATTTATTTTACCCACAGGTTTCAGTGAAATTGTCGTATCTTTTAAGGGCTATCTTGGTCATTTAACCGGCATCTTTTTAGTTGAACTTTTGTTTTTCATCTTTCGGCGTATAAAAATACAACTCTCACGCATTGCAAGGCTGTTCTTCAAAAAGAGTTCAAGACAAAGTCACTCTCCATAATCAGCTCTATCTCACTTTTCAAGGATACAATTCTGGTGAAGTGAGCTCAGTGAAGTAATCATTTTTGAATATACCTCCGTTTGTCTTTTATGTTATTAATCACATACGCATTACAATGTCTTTGAGCAACTTGACACTCGATCAGTACTATGAAATACAAAAAAATGAGTTAGAGGCCTTACGCTCAATATACATGGATGACTTTGCCGACAAAACGGTTCAGAAATCAGCATGGGATAAGCATCCATTATTAGAGTTCGAAATCTCCCTTAGATCTGCAGACAAGGAGCCGGCTGAGTCGTCTGTTACTATACACTTCATTTTGACACCAACTTATCCTCATTCTAAACCTCAAGTTATATTCAAAAATGTTTGCAATGTTTTGGAAAGCCAGTTAGTTTCGCTTCAGGCGCATTTCCAGGAGATTTATGAGCGCTCAAAAGGTCAAGAGATTATTTACGAGATGACATCGTTAGTTCAAGAGAAGCTAGATGAAGTTCAAACACTTGCAAGTACACAATCTCTAGAAGATCAAAGGCTGCAGCGAATCAAAGAGGAAAAGCAGAAACTGGAATTGGAAGAAATTGAGAGGACAAAAAGCATTGAAGCTGAGCGACTAAAGGAGCAAAAACTTATCGATGAAATTGTTAAAAAAGAGATTGAGAAAAGACAGGAAGATGATGACTTTACATTCAAGCATGAAAATATAATAGACCTGATGCCACCATCAGATTGGGTAGCATCCGGCGAGGCTTTCGTATTTCCTAGAACAATTAGGGCAAAGCTCCCGAACAATTCTTTCTACAAATTTCGTGCGGTAGTGAACCCTAAGTCAATTAAGCTTGACAATGACATATTAAATTTCTCTTCACAAAAATTGGTGAAGCCTTACATTCCCCCAGATTCTCCACTGGCTAATACTCTTACTTCCTCAGATATGTTAGATAACTTCTATTACCTTTTGACTGAAGTTTTACTGGACAATGCATATTTTAATACCAGTAATGGAAAAAGGGATATTTCAAATTTAGAAAAGGAACTTGAAACTATGCTGAAAGTCAATCAGAACAACGTGAGTAAACTATATGCATACACGGTAGAACGCACGGGAAAAAGCAGTTCTACTTTTGTGTGGAAAATACGGTTGTTGACAGAATATTCACCTCCGTATTTCATTGGTGAGGTAATTGAGTCCGTTGGTTTTGTTAACTTGGCCACCGCTCGTGGATGGGTATTAAGGTTACTCGAGGGACTCGAAAGTTTACACAAGCATGGTGTTGTTCATAAAAATATTTCACTTCAAACAGTGAATTTGGCTAAGGATGCCGATTTTGGTACCATAATTCCAAAGCTATTGCATCCATCTTATGGTTTTACGATCCTCACTCTTCTTTCGAGACATCCCAATAAGTCAGGTTTAAAAGTTGATGTGAATCGTAGCACTTGGATTGCACCAGAACTCGTCAAATTCAATAATAGTAAGCCCCAGAGGAAAACTGACATTTGGCAATTAGGCGTTTTGTTCGTGCAGATCATCAATGGCGTTGATACTGTATTGAATTTCCCATCACCACAAGATTTTCTTGATTCTGTCAGCATGAATGACAGCTTGTTTGACTTCCTCGAGAAAATGCTAGATCCAGAACCTAAGAAAAGATTTGGCCCATTGGAGCTTCTCCCAATGAAGTTTTTGAGAACTAATATTGATCCTTCTATCAATAAGCTTCAAATTCTGCAAGATAGTGTGCCGAATTCAACGAATAATTCTACTTTGCATATGTCAGCATCGCAGCTTCAAAGAAGTCATAGAAGCTCAAGAACGTCACAAGGAGGAGGGAGACGTAGCTTCAATGTTGGTTCTCGATTCTCTTCTGTAAATTCTGGAAGTCGCTCTAGATATGCCACAGATTTTGAAGAAATAGCAATTTTAGGAAAAGGCGCATTCGGGCAAGTTGTTAAGGCTCGAAATGCTTTAGACAGTAGGTATTATGCGATAAAGAAAATACGGCATACAGAAGAGAAGCTGTCTACAATTCTGAGTGAAGTGATGCTTTTGGCAAGTTTAAATCATCAATACGTTGTTCGTTACTATGCAGCTTGGCTAGAAGAAGATACGCTGGATGATAACGCAGTCACTTCGACTGATGAAGAAAGTGAAACCAGCGATGATGAAGCCACAAAGTCACTTACTGGATCAAGTATCATCAACAGTCGTACTGCTCAAAGTCTCAACAATAACAATTGGGATTTCATATCTAATTCCTTCCAAGAATCTGGCTATCCGGACATTGTTTTTGCGAATAGCTCTGATGAGATTGTAGATGAGAACGTTTCCAGCAGCGACGAGGAAAGTCTTGGCACTAATATCGAATCTAACACTAAGAAGACAACCCTGGAAACTTCCGAAGAGGAAGAAAGCTCTTATGGCTTTTCGAACTATGATTCTTTAGGAGCAAAGACAATGGGACGACACCAAAAGAATGGTATAAATGAAGGAAAGCATAGAAGGTTCATCGAAGCGGGAAAAAGTTTGACTGTTAGTAACACCAAAACCAAGAGCACACTCTTCATTCAGATGGAATATTGTGAAAACCGGACTTTATACGACTTAATCCATACAGAGAATTTGAGTAGCCAGAAAGATGAGTATTGGAGGTTGTTTCGAGAGATACTCGAAGCGTTGAGCTATATTCACTCCCAAGGAATCATTCACAGAGATTTAAAGCCAATGAATATTTTCATCGATGAGTCTAGAAATATCAAAATTGGTGATTTTGGCCTGGCCAAAAACGTTCACCGTCCAGTTGACATACTTCGTATGGATTCATACATGAATGCAGGCAGTACAGACGACCTTACTTCTGCAATAGGAACGGCTCTTTATGTGGCTACTGAGGTTTTGACCGGGAATGGTAACTATAATGAAAAAATTGACATGTACTCCTTGGGAATTATCTTCTTTGAGATGATTTACCCGTTCAGTACCGGTATGGAAAGAGTGAACGTCATCAAAAAGCTCAGAGCTCCTGATGTGGAATTTCCGTCTGATTTCGACAATTCTAGGCTAAAAACTGAAAGGAAGATAGTGAGGCTCTTGCTAGATCATGATCCCAACAAACGACCTGGTGCCTCTATGCTTCTCAAGAGCGGCTGGTTACCTGTTAAACACCAAGATGAAGTGACAAAGGAAGCACTTAAAAACTTAGCCGATCCGTCTTCACCGTGGCAACAACAAGTGAGAGAGAGTCTATTTACTCAGCCGTATAGTGTCACTGCAGATATTTTGTTCGATAACTCAAAAACGTTCTCAAGTGCGTTTAATCAATTGTTGAGGTCTCAAATGATGGAGGAAGTTGTGAAGATCTTCAGAACCCATGGTGGTATAGAAAATAACGAGCCATCGATTATTTTTCCAAAAGCACCCATATACTCGACTCAAAGTGTTTATGAGGTTCTTGATAAAGGAGGTTCAGTTCTTCAATTGCAGTATGATTTGACTTACCCGATGGCTAGATATATATCAAGAAACAGCAGTTGTGTTTCGAAACAATACAGGATGCAATATGTGTATCGCCCCCCAGAGCAGTCACAATCAAGCATGGAGCCTCGAAAGTTCATTGAAATTGACTTTGATATAATTACTACTTCTTCATCAGATATGGCATTTTATGACGCTGAAAGTATGAAAGTTATAGATGAAATCATCACTCAATTTCCGGTATTTGAGAAGACAAACACACTTTTTGTGATCAATCACGCAGATATCTTGGATAGCGTTTTTAACTTTTGCTCCATCGATAAAGCCCAAAGGTCATTCGTTTCACATGTTCTTTCCCAGGTTGGTTTCAAGAAATCCTTAAAAGATGTAAAGAGTGAATTAAAATCGCTTCTTAACATATCATCAACTTCACTGAATGACCTAGAACTATTTGACTTTAAGCTAGATTTTGATACCGCTAAGAAGCGCCTGCAGAAAATCATGGTTGACAGTCCGTACCTTTCGAAAGTGGAGGAATCTCTGATGTATATTTCGAAAGTCCTGAATTACTTTAAACCATTTGGTGTAACAAGAAATGTTGTAATATCGCCACTCAGTAATTATAATTGGGGCTTCTACAAAGGCAACATCATGTTTCAAGCAGTTTACGATGATGAAAGAACTAGGAATCTAATAGCAGCTGGGGGACGATATGATAGTTTGATATCCTATATTGCTAAACCTCCTGGGCATCGCAACAACCACAGTCAGAAGGCCGTTGGGTTCAACTTAGCCTGGGAAACTATCATGATCGTTGCTCAGAATTACTTTAAATTGGCGGCTGGAAGAAATATAAAAAAAAGAAGCAAGTTTTTGAAAGAAGGCACCATTGACTGGAAGCCCAAAAGATGTGACGTTTTAGTTTCAAGTTTTTCAAACTCTATTCTGAATTCTTATGGTGTTGAAATTTTGAGTAGGCTATGGAAAGCCGGTATCAGTGCGGATTTCGTTCGAAACTGCTTCACCGTAGATGATGTGGTATCTGCTGCACAGGTTGACGGTGTTGATTGGATCATCTTGATAAAACAGCAGACATATTCAGTTCCCAGTCACAAGAGAAAGTACAAACCACTGAAGGTAAAAAAAATAGGTAGCGAAATGGATGTTGACTTGGATATCGATGAATTTTTGACCCTCTACCAGCAAGAATCAGCTCCTGGGCTCTCTTCAAATGAATTACTAGCTATAAATGATATGTCTGCAGCAAATGATGACAAACGTTGGGAGGATGTCGTTAGCACAGACGGAAGTCAGGAAGGAGGAAGCGATGTCTCTTTCACTGGCGGCCACCATCAGAAAGTCGTCTACATTCCCAACATGGCAACAAGGGCGAAAAAATCGAACAAAAAGGAAAAATGGATCTACGAGGACTCGGCTAGAATTGCTTCAAAATCTATAATCAATAGTCTCTCTTCGGCCCCGATTTTTGCAGTCGATGCAATCAGAGACGAGACCTTGGAAATTATATCCATAACTTCTCTTGCTCAAAAAGATGAATGGTTAAGAAAAGTTTTTGGTTCTGGGAATAATTCTGCACCAAGAAGCTTTGCGACAAGCATCTACAATAATCTTTCGAAGGAAGCTTCCAAAGGTAATAAGTGGGCTATTATCCATTGCAATAAAACTGGGAAATCTTGCGTAGTAGATCTCCAAAGATAGTGGTGTCTCTCTCGTACTTTATTTCACTCTTAAAGTCTAATTCAATCCTAAATTCAATCACTCTGGTATAATTCGAGTTGACTTGATTTATATAGATCACGGAAAGAGTTTATTCTGCATTTCAAAGGTTCTCACTATCTGCGAGTCCAGGTCATCGTGAACGTTATTGAAAAAGCTGATGTGGTAAGGCTCTAGAGTACATCTTCGCCTTAAGACATAGCTTAAAGAGTGAGAAATTAAGACCCATGAAACAGTCAGCGTATGTATACTTCGTTTGTTTTTTCTTAGCTCTTCTCTGCTAACAGTTCAATTCGAATTTCAGTGTAATCTTCATAGAGAAAGCGACGCCGGCCAGCATAACAGAGTTTCATGACATATTGTCTAATGATCTACTATCTATTAAGGAGAAGTGGTCTTTTGAATTCAAAACCTTCCGTTTTGCAGTTAAGAACTTACCTCCTCAAGATCCGAAGTTGATGCACTCTATAACTTTCACACATAGAGGCAATCAGACTGTGATTATCAAGAACAAGTCAGCTGTTGTAACTAGCTCCCCTGCGGCCGATCCACCCCAGCAATTGACTTTCAATAGCTGTTCGACAGGAGCTCCTGAATCATTTGATACTATTCTTACTACTAAACTGTCAAATCTGTGGACACAGAGACAGAGTATTAAAGGAGATTTCGGAAGCACCTTTCTAACCACTGATTTGATAATAAGAGCGACAAACGTTTTTTCCTATGGTGGTTTTAAGGGTTTACTGATAGAACTGGAATGCAACGATGGCGCATCAATTTCTGATTTCGAGAAAAGAATCGAGCGTGTACGAAGTCACCTGTATGGGATTTCTCTCCGTGAGATCAAAATTTGTAGAGATGTAATGGACACTACAAAACCTAACTTCTTGTGTGACCTTGCTTACCAATATATAAAAGTTTTAGAAATATAAGTGATGGAAAACAAAAGAACAACCCTGATATTCACATTACACCTAATTAGCTAGCTTACTTAGTAAATCTTGGATACTGGATGTCACGGCAAGAGGTGAATTTGCTGCAACCTCTGCCGGACTCGGTTCATAGGCCTCAGGTGCTGTCTCTTCATGATTGTCCTCACCATCAACAAATGATGCCAATTTTGTCCTTTTTGTCTCATCTTCACCTTCCGCGACTGTTGAGCTTCTTTTCTTAGCTAACTTTTTCTCGTTGTCTCTAGACTCATTTTCACTATCACTTTCACTGTCACTGCCGTCGCTGGGTTCATAAGTTGGAAGTGCGTTGGACTCTATTAGAGTGGTAGTTTGTTGAGTCAGAGGGTCCTTGGACGCTACTAATGCCTGAATTTCATTGATCATGTCTTGATCTTGATTAAGCTGCTCAGTTTGGAAATCAACCATCATTTTCAACTCATCTATTGCCTTTTTTCTCAGTTCCTCTGATTTTTTTAATGCATTTATTGCAATCATTCCAATCTTCGTGACCGTCTTATAATTTTCCGCATAAACTACGCTACTTGGATCCAAAGCCTCCATCGACTTATCGAACTTAACTTTGGTCGAAGACACGTGCGTTTGTGATCTTGATAGTTCGTTGTATATGTCAACCATCGGTGTTAGCTCCGGTGATATATTTGTTTTGGAGGGCTTTATAGCGCTCTCATTCATGTTAGCAAGTATACTTTTTAGAGCAGACTCTGGAAGGACCTGTCTCTGCTTCCAGATGTCGGCCACTCTTCTAACTTTCTTTCTTAAATCCTGGGGTAATTCAGGATATACTCTTCCCATAACTTCTCCGAGAATATTTCCAAAAGCATCACCGAATTGGCCGATTCGCTTGTGCTTCGACTGTTGAATAACATCATTGGCTAAATATATTGCTAACAGCTTTCTTCTTGTATTCGTATTTGATTTTAAAATAAAAGTCTTCCAACAAGTCGCAACTTGATTAGCTTCCTTGTATTGAGACAGCAGCCATTTGGATGCGCTAACAATCGATTCCTGAGTTTCATCGAGCAAATTCAGCTTTGATATGAATTGCTCCTCTGAAAAAGACATTGTGTACTCTTTAAGATTGAAGTTGTTCTGAGATGGTGCAACGTTGAGTACATTTCCAAAGTAAGGGAAAAAAAAAAAAATACGAAGTTCACTAACAGCGAAGCTATGGAGCCCGAATTCTCAATAGCACACAAAGATAGCAGTGATGGTCACTTCAGAGAGCTGCGAAGCATATTTTTCAGGCTGAATACTTTTTACACTTTTCTGATGTCTAGAAAGCATGTCATCACCACATTCGAGATGTTAAAGAAACCAATTCAGAAGGATATTAAACGGGATGTGACTGAAGAAGACTTCGCTAAAGTCGCATTTTTACTACCGAGAGATGTGGTTTTCAAATATATTGATGTAAATCAAATACACACGGAAACGAAAGTCTTTGATTTTAATAAGGGAGGTTTTCAGCAGAAGAGCAATGATATCTTTCAATTGAGACCAGAGAGTTGTGAGTCAGATGAGCTTGAGGACAACCAGGTATTAATATTTGAATTTATTGACGGTGATATGTCACGGACTATCACAAGAAAAGATTACAAAACTCAAATGAAAATGCCTGAATTCTCCTCAGACGCCATGAAGAAGATGATCTCAAAAAGGAAGCGCATTTTCGAAGAAAACGTTCGAAAATTTATATCCGAGTGTCGTGCAAAAAGCAGGGATCCTTGGGAAGTCTTATGTGCGGAGTCTACAGCTGTACTGCCCAAAAGGAAGGTCTTTGTAGATCCTATTGAAGCAATGATGAAAGCGAAAGGTTTGGAAGCCTCTACGGTACTTTTAGATGAAGAAAATAGTTTGGTGCGGCCTACTATTCCTACTTTAATCGAAAAAATAAAGATATCAGAGATCTACAATAATCAAATAATTCGTAGCTATGTTCTTGAAGAGCGTTCAGCATGCTATGAAAATTTAGATTTCAAGTTATCTCCTGAGGTTTTTCAAGCTTTGGAACATGATAGATTTTATTCGCATCAAGCAGAAGCATTGAATTCAATCCATAGAGGAGAGAACCTCATAATCACTACATCAACTTCTTCCGGTAAATCTTTAATCTATCAATTGTCTGCAATTGACATGCTTCTCAAAGATCCAGATTCAACTTTCATGTACATTTTTCCCACAAAAGCATTAGCACAAGATCAGAAAAGATCATTTCAGACTCTACTGTCTCGAATTCCACAGCTATCACATGTAATAGTAGACACCTATGATGGTGATACCGAAGAGGATCACAGACCCTTTATTCGTAAAAATGCACGGGTCATTTTCACAAATCCGGATATGGTTCATGTGAGCATTTTACCAAATCACCCAAATTGGCGGCATTATCTTCTTCATCTCAAGCTTGTTGTTGTAGATGAGCTTCATGTTTACAAAGGGTTGTTTGGATCTCATGTTGCGCTCGTTATGAGGAGGTTACAGCGACTAGTCAGGGAATTCTATCAAAACTCAGAAATGCAATTTATTTCTTGTTCCGCAACTTTAAAAAAGCCTTTGGACCATATGAAAAATATGTTTGGCATTGATCAGGTCACACTAATTCACAATGACGGCTCGCCCAGAGGTGAAAAGCACTTGATTGTTTGGAATCCGCCAATTTTGCCCCAACATGAACGGCGAAGAGAAAATTTCATTCATGAAAGTGCTAAAGTGCTTGTCAAACTCGTTTTAGAGAATGTGAGAACAATTGCATTTTGTTATGTCAGGCGTGTTTGTGAGCTTCTCATGAAAGAAGTTCGCAATATTTTTCAGGAAATGAACCGAGCTGATTTGATTCATGAGGTCATGTCTTATCGAGGAGGATATTCTCCCACTGACAGACGTAAAATTGAGCGAGAAATGTTTCATGGCAATTTAAAAGCTGTGATTTCTACAAATGCTCTTGAACTAGGTATTGATATTGGAGGTCTTGACGCAGTGTTGATGTGTGGATTTCCTCTGTCCTTGGCTAACTTTCACCAACAGAGTGGTAGAGCTGGTAGAAGAAACAGAGACTCTCTCACTTTAGTTGTAGCAAGTGATTCTCCAGTAGATCAGCATTACGTTGCACACTCAGAGGCTCTCATTGACAGCAATATGGACTCATTTCAAGATCTAGTACTGGATTTTGATAATATGCTCATTCTCGAGGGTCACATACAATGTGCTGCTTTTGAGCTGCCAATTAATATTGAAAGGGACAAAGCATTTTTCAAGGAGGAAAATCTGAGAAAAATAGCTGAAGAAAGGTTGCATCATGATTCTAATGGGTATCATACGAATAATAGATTTCTTCCATGGCCATCCAAGCTGGTCTCGCTCAGGGGTGCTGAGGAGGATCAATTCGCTGTTGTAGATGTCACTAACGGGAGAAATGTGGTCATTGAAGAAGTAGAAGCATCGAGGACCAGCTTTACAATATATGATGGTGGCATTTTCATTCATCAGGGTTATCCTTACCTTGTAAAAGAGTTCAATCCCGACGAACATTATGCGAAAGTTCAAAGAGTCGATGTTGACTGGGTTACGAGTCAGCGTGATTTCACTGATGTTGACCCACGCGAAATTGAAATGATCAGATCTCTTGAGGACTGTGACATTCCCGTGTTTTTCGGCAGCATCCGAACTACAATTGTTGTGTTTGGATTTTTCAAAGTTGATAAGTATAAAAGAATAATAGATGCTGTCGAGACGCATAATCCACCCGTGATTATCGATTCAAAAGGCTTTTGGATCGATTTACCTTCGAAAGTTTTAGATCTTTGCCGGCAAAAGTCTCTCAATATGGCAGGTGGAATTCACGCGGCACAGCATGCTATTATGGGCCTTCTGCCAGCATTTATTGTTGCTGGTGTTGATGAAATAAATACTGAATGCAAGGCTCCTGAAAAAGAATTTGCAGAAAGACAGACTAGTAGGAAGCGACCAGCACGGCTCATCTTCTATGATTCACGAGGCGGGAAATATGGCTCGGGTTTATCTATCAAGGCATTCGAGCATATAGACGATATTTTAGAAGGGGCACTCAAGCGCGTACAAGAATGCCCTTGTGACTTTGGATGTCCCGAATGTGTTGCAGCTGCCTTCTGTAAGGAAAACAGTCTCGTTTTGTCTAAGCCTGCATCGCTCATAATCTTACACAGCATTCTTGGGCATTCTGAGTCTAGCTTTATTGATGAGATAAAAGAGGGCCCTGAGCCTAATATGCCAGATATTAAAGTTGAAACAATTGTTCCTGCTTCTGAGCACGTCAAGCTTTCGTCAAATGTTCAAATTATTGATGTGAGAAAAGCTATAAAGGAGGAGGAGTATCCTCAGATAAAGGAAGAGATGTGATGTAGGAAAAAACAAATTAATTAGTGATATATATGTTACACATGTCTATGTAAAACAGAAGGATATGCTTTAGTACATTAGAGTGTCCACAGCCCATTGAACGCTCAGCGTTCTCAAGTCTGTATACGTTTGGCCAACACCTACAAATAGGATAGGGATTCCTGTGGCATACACCATGTTAACCATAGTTCCCAGCATCTCACCAACAGTGTCACATTTCGAAATTATGAAAAAATCTAAGTTTCTCTCTTTGCCGAAAGCTGCATTAAAGTTCTTGGCTTGTTGTACAGAATCGGTACCGACTAAGGCCTCACCCACCATAATAATCTTATCTGGTCTTGCCTGTTCAGCGAAGGACTTAAGTGGTGACATTAAGGTCGGATCATTATGTCTTCTTCCTGCAGTGTCCATCAATACAATATCGAAGTCTTGATCTTTTGCGTATTTGATAGCTTGTTTAGCGATCTTAGTCACCAAGTCAGAGCCACCATACCCACCTTCAAACAATTCGACAAAATCGTTACCAGTTTTACCCCTACTATTCTTTGAGCCACGGGTGTGAGTTTCGTCGGTTAACTGTGCAAGATTCTCCACATGAACTCTGAGCTGCTCGACGGCACCAGATCTAAAGGTATCGCATGCAACGATTAAGACCTTGAGGTTATTTTGTAAAAGCCAAAAGGCTAATTTAGAGAGGTTGGTAGATTTTCCCACCCCGTTCACACCAACAACAGAGAAAACATAAGGATTCTTACGGCCATTCGAGTCCTTACTACCCGTTTTCTGTTGAATCTCATGTAAAAGATCCACAGAAACGCCTGGTGTCAATATCTTTGTCAACGATTTCTCAAGCGATTCCTTTGCGGTAGCTTCCACGCTTGTCCAATTGGCGGTCTTCGAACCAACCAAATCTTGAGAAATTTGGTTAGCCAAGTAATCGGCCACCTCTGGGGCAACATTTTTTGTGATCAGCTTCTGTTTCAGTTTCTGCAGAACAGTTTTCAAGTCAGCTTCAGTTATTGTTTTATTTCCAAACAGATGTTTTTGGAGGAAGCCAAATGTTCCTCCTTCGCTGTTGGCCTGTTTGATCTTTTCCGACTTATTCTTGCTCAGTAGCTCATCGATTTCTTTAATTAAAAATTCTCCATTATCCGTTCTGTTGCCAAACGAGGATTTGTCAAGATCTGTTACTGTAACTTGGCTCGAGTCTGACGTTCCTTCTGAGAAGTCTAACGCCGATGAATCAGCAGTTGAAACTTCTTCCATTATACCGTCACGACCCCACTTTCTAGTTTTTGCCCCAGGTTGTATTTGAAGTTGTTTCTTACCATTCTTAGCCTTTAATTGTGGTGTTGGGGCCTTTCTTGAGGAATTTTTGGAGTTGAGAGCATTAGCCTCTTCAAACTTGATCTTGAAATATTCATCGAACTTATCAAGCTCTGCCTCCCCATCATCCAAAATCCACGTATAATTGTGCTTGTTCCTAGGACCCTTACCATTAAGATTGTGAATTATCTTATCATTCAGCTCCAGAGACTCCCAAAGTCTCGTGCCAAGCTGTAGCACCTGCTCAGCTTCCTGATTCAATTCTAAAGAAGATGCAGCGTATGTCACAACGAAGTAAAGTCGAGGCTGTTTCATAGCATGATACATGCATGCAAATCCATCTAACTCCAGTACGGGAAATTTGCCACCTTCCTCCTTTCTCGCAGACGTTGAAATAAGTTGGCATACAATCTTGTTGATTTGCTGCTCAGCAAACCTCTTGCGTAGAGGATTGAATTTGTACAGAACCTGCCCTTGTGGCGTGAACACGACAAGTTGTTCAATCATCGACGTACCCTGGATGTTTTAAAGGTTCCACTCGTGTGCAGAGAAGTGATGTGAAAGCTTACGTTGCCAATTTTTTCAGAAACTTCGGCATGATAAAACAAAAGTCGAAAGGTGGCTATATCTACTTGAATAAGACGCTAGATATCTAGTGCTACAATCAATATCGCTATTTATCATTACTTTATATTTTCGATAGGATCTTCACAATGATAGTATGATTTTATCTTGTTTTCTGGCAGTAATGATAATGTGGAACAGTGTACCTAAGGACGTGAATTGTATTGTTCCATAAAACTGATCATTGTAAGGTCGCCATTATGGCAGTATCTGAATGTAAAAGACTACAAGTAACTTCTCACTAGGTCCTTTTAGAGACTGTCAAGTAACTCACGTGAATTTTTTCCCAACAGTAAAAGGTTCTCTTAAAGCGCTTTCTTCGTATAAGAAAAGTAGGATAACTCCATAGTTACTCCAAACTTGGCTACAAAAGAGCTCAGTATATGCAATGGAGGATGCTATACCAGAGTTTGATTTCACTGAATTACTAAGAACCAGGCAAAGACATGATGTTATAGTTCCGGAGCAGCCCATTGTTGGAACAAATGCAACAAACGAACAGCCATCTCCTCGAAAGAAAAAGAAGGACCCACAGATTCTACATTTGATGAAGAAGGTTAGTCTACAAAGTACGCTGCTATGTGTTGTTATACCACTTTTCTCTCTCATGAAGCTTCTCTTTTCAAAGCCAGAGTGTAACGAGCAGATGCTTAAATGTCTGGCGGGGTACATGTTTATCTCTCAAGTGAGTTTTGTTGCAGGTTATCATCGATTTTTCACGCACAGTTCATATCAGTGTCATTTACTGGTTCAGTCAGTATTTGCCATATTAGGTGGATCATGTGGGTTGGGTTCGATACTGGACTTTGGGAGTGAACATCTCGCGCACCATCACTTCATCGACACTGAAAGAGATCCCCACGCTTGTACAGTTCATGGTTGGCTATTTGCCCAGTGGGGACACAAGCTCTTCCGCGGTAATCGCAAGTCGACTAGGGCGGTTCAAGAATGCCGCGATACAATGGAATCGACCGCGAAAGCTACAGCAGTCAAAAGCAATGGGCACTTCATCACAGCTCCCAGTTATGCGTTATTGAAATGGCAACATGATAACTACGGTGAAATTTTGATTTTGACTATCATACTTATACCCTGTCTTTTGAGCAGACTTTGCAATCTTAACTATTTCAGCGGTGTTTTTTACTTGGGATTTGTAAGAATGTCGCTGATACAGCAACAGTGGCTATTAATCGGCTCTTCGTGTCATCTGAAGAGATTTCTTTTCGCTTCACAACCCTTTGACGACTCGAGGTCGGCTGTTAATTTACCGTTGGGCATTTTCACTAACTTGGTTACCTTTGGTGAAGCGAATCATAATTTCCACCATGAATTTCCTGGCGATTATCGGTGTGGTACGAAGTGGTACCATTGGGATCCTTCCAAATGGTTAATTTCGCTACTTTCGTTCCTTGGGTTCGCCAAAAAGTTGCATTTTGCTACGGAGGATCAAATTGCAAAATGTTTGATTCAGCAACAACAAAAACTCTTAGATGAGGAGCGTTCTAAACTCCAATGGGGTATTCCCATTGATAAACTTCCAATGATGGCTCCTGAGAGATTTGTTGAGATGGCACATCGCGAATATAAAGAGCACAGACGAGCTCTTGTAGCCATCGAGGGCATAGTACATGATGTTACACCTTTCATATATGATCATCCTGGTGGAGTGGCGCTTGTTGAAACTAGTATAGGTAAAGATGCGACTCAAGCTTTCAATGGTGCAGTTTATTTGCACTCACAAGCAGCTAGAAATTTATTGTCGACTATGAGAATTGCGGTTTTAGGCCGAGGACTTATGGAGGTCGAAACTACCTTGTGGGAGAAGCAGCTGTTGGAAAGCAATAACTTTAAGAGTGATTCCAAGGGTCGGCAGATCGTGAGAAACAAGCAGCAGGTCACATTTACGAACAAGAATCACTATGCTGCAGGCGCAGCGTAATTAAAGTAGGATAATGATAAATGAATAGTTTTTCATCTCGGTTTTTAAAGTTAACAAATATGTTTTTGCAGTCGTTTTAGCATATCTATTTAGTCTGCTAAGAAATCTAATGAAATGCCCGGTGTGTAGTCGTCTTCTTCATCCTCTTCGTCGTTTGTAGATATTTTCTTGCTAGGTTCCTCTGGAGGCGCTTCGTCGTCATCGCTCGAAGAGTCGTCGCTGGATTCTTCAGAAGATGATGGTGATGACTCAGACGAACTTTCTGAACTATCAGTTCTGGAAGTATCGCCGTTACTTGGATGTATTATGAGACCATTTTGATCAACAATCGAGAAATCGCTGCCTATAGGTTCGTGATTCATAGCGAGAAACACTGTGGGGAATTCTATTACAGTTTTGTTCCGGAAGCACTCACCAACCTTCATTGCAGGATCGAGAGCTATTAAACGCTTGGAATCGATAGGAGTCTGAGTCGCTGGAGGAAACCATTTCGTGTAGAAGCGTACACCGCTTGATAGCAACACCTCGCTTCGTTTCTGCTTGTTAGAATCCTCTGCATCATGTTTTACCCCATACATTTCGCAGCACTTCTCATATGCTATTTTCCCTATGCAATCTATCAATGTGTCCTCTTCTTTATTTCTGTGACTGATATGCGAGAAGTTTGTTGAACCCTGTGGGCCGAGTAGACACCACTCGATTGTCCAGACAAATTGGTCAAGCGGTTTATCCCATTTGCTCTTATTTTGTAGTGACTTCTGCATTCCCTTTGGAAGCAGCAAGCAATGTACGCCTCTCCGGATTACATACGGCGTTTGTTCGGTATGTGACCTCTTCAAATGTTGTGGAACATGCTGAGTTACAAGAGCCCTCTTATTTTTCGTTTTTCCGTCTCTTTTGAGCAGCTCGAGCTGTCTATTCATGCCTATTAGAAAGTTATAGTCCCGCTGTACCAGTTTATTCGTCTCATCCGGTGTATCTGCATCCTTGAGTGTCTCACTGGCGATATATGTAGCAGGATCATACGCCGTACCACTGCAATGATCTTGCGTTTTGTGTTTCTTCGTGCACTCCAGACAACACGTTTTTTTGAGACATCTAGGACACTTGTACTTGAAATCTTCCAATTGACACACCTCACAGCTCCCTACACCCATTATCTTGGTCAACGTATCCACCTCATCTTTCCGAGAGATGAGCTATGTGAAATAACTTTTTTGATGCCTGGAAAAAGAAAAGACAAAGATTGTTCGTATTTAATGATCATTATCTAGAATCACATGATTGTGTGCGTGACATTCACGTGACATTCAACCAGGTGGTTGCAAAAAATATTAGAAAGCTTAAGGAAAAGATCCCCTTTGAAAGTTCTAATTGAAGGTTAAAAGATCTTAAAAGCCTAACAGTAGAGATGGTATGCACACTAATGATTTATTAATGGAGTCAGTAACAAATACTAACAACACATGATGTTTTTAGTCGCAACCAAACGGTATTGCCACATTATTGAAAGCTGAGAAAGAAGCTCATGAAATCGTGTCCAAGGCTAGACATTACAGACAAGAGAAGTTGAAACAAGCCAAGACTGATGCAGCCAATGAAATCAATGCGTACAAATTGCAAAAGGAACAAGAGCTCAAGGATTTCGAAGCCAAGAATGCTGGTGGTGTGAGTGGTCTAGAGAAGGACGCCGAAGCCAAGGTTCAAACTGAGTTGAAGGAGATCCAAAAGACGGCTGCCAAGAAGGAAAAGGATGTCGTGAAGCTGTTGATAGACGCTGTTACCAAGCCAGTTGCCGAAATGCACGTTAATGCCCTCTGAGAGTGCGGATCCGCTGCAGCCGGAGTTATTACTAAATAGACCGGTATATTAATAAAATAACTAGCAAATCACTGATGCGATTGAAGCACCACAATCTGCAGTTTTACGCTGGCAAGGAGCTCTTTTAGAAGGATCATCTGAGCGCGTGGTCAACCGGAAGACCGCAGTCAGAAATTTCGCTCATGAAGCACGGGTTCGTATCGGTTGTAAACGAGCTCGTGTTCACCATCTCTTCCTGGGTTCAAAGTAAAATACAGCAGCGCTCTGCAAGAAGATGTCTCAGACTCATCTCAACTCTTCCATGCTTCAGCAGCTGAACCATACTATTCAGGAGTACGTTTCAGAGTGGTTGAAGACGCAACAATTGGGATTTAATAATAAAGCACTTTCCTCCAGTTCTACCGTTAACAAATTGAGCTCGACTACATTAATCTTTACTTTGGCACTGGGGTTCTGTTTGTACAAATGGTTCTTCGCCTCTAGCCAATTGTCAGCCAAGAAGGCGACTAAGTTCAGTTTGCCAATCCCAGACGCTGCTCAGAAGCATTGGAAGGGGAAGAGGCTCTTCCCTACATCGGTGCAAAACGAAGAAGATCCACATCGCATACAATGCTACTGTCCTGCCACTGGTCAATTCTTAGGCTCATTCCTTTCGATGACCGATCAGCATATTGACTCATTGGTCTCCAAAGCAACCAAGGCTCAATTGAAATGGCGTAATACTTCTTTGGAAGAGCGTACACGCGTGCTTCTTTCTTTGCAAGAGTACATTTTGGAAAACCAGGATTCAATTGCAAGAATTGCTTGCAGAGACTCTGGTAAGACTATGCTTGACGCTTCAATGGGGGAAATCTTGGTTACATTAGAGAAGTTGCAATGGATTATTAAGCACGGTGCGGCTGCTTTAAAGACATCGAAACGTCCTGGGCCAACCAATTTCTTCATGAAATTTTATAAAGGTGCAGAAGTTCGCTACGAGCCTTTGGGAGTTGTTGGTGCTTTGGTTTCTTGGAATTACCCCTTCCATAACCTCTTAGGCCCAATTATCGCCGCTATATTTACAGGAAATGCCATGGTTATTAAATGTTCTGAACAAGTTGTGTGGTCGTCTGAGTTTTTCATTTCAATGTGCAAGAAGTGTTTAGAAGCGTGCGGTCATGACCCTGATTTGATTCAACTGTGTTATTGTTTCCCACCTTCCGCCACCGACAATACTGCAAACTACTACACGTCTCACCCAGGAATCAATCATTTGACTTTCATAGGCAGTAAGCCGGTGGCTCACCACGTCTTGGCAGCTGCTTCGAAGAGCTTGACTCCTGTTGTTGTTGAATTAGGTGGCAAGGATGCGTTTATTGTTTTGGACTCTGTTAAAGACCTACATGCACTATCTTCAATTATTATGCGTGGTACTTTCCAATCATCGGGTCAGAACTGTATTGGTATTGAACGTGTTATTGTGTCACAAAAGAATTACGATGAGTTGGTATCAATTCTCAACGAACGTGTGGGTCAGCTGAGATTAGGGTCTGATATTGATAATCTAGAAGACGTTGACATGGGTGCTATGATCTCGGACAACAGATTTGATGAACTTGAAAAAATGATTCAAGGCGCAGTTGCACAAGGTGCTCGTTTACTGCAAGGTGGTAAGAGATACAATCATCCTAACTATCCTCAAGGTCACTACTTCCAGCCAACTCTCCTAGTTGATGTCACAGGTGAGATGGACATTGCCCAAAACGAGGTTTTCGGTCCTGTATTAACCGTTATGAAGGCTGAAGATACAATGGATTGTATTCGTGTTGCGAACTCGGCCCCATTCGGTCTTGGTGGCTCCATTTTTGGTAACGATTATGAAGAATGCAATTACGTTGCAAATCATTTGAACACCGGTAACGTTGCAATCAATGATTTCGCAACCTTTTACGTCTGTCAATTGCCTTTCGGTGGTATTAATGGCTCTGGTTATGGTAAATTCGGTGGTGAGGAAGGTTTGACAGGTCTATGTAATGCCAAGAGTGTTTGTTACGACAAGCTGCCTTTCATTTCTACCCAAATTCCTAAGCCTCTGGATTATCCAATCAAAAGTAACTCGAAGGCTTGGCAATTTGTAAAGAGCTTCAACACTGGTGCTTATACTCTTTCTACCTGGCAGAGAATTAAGTCGCTGTTGTCGCTTGCCAAGAACGCCAACTAGAGCAATGCAAATCGTATTTACAAGTTTGTATATGTGGTCATAATATTTAGCCCAAAACGTTTTTTTCCGCTTGCTTCAGCTGTTCTTGCAGCTTATTAGTACTATCCTTGTGTAATCTTTCGATCTCCTGGATGATCTTGGTGACAGAGTCGTTTTTCTTATCTAGTTTTTTCAACTGTTTGAGAATTTCACCACGAACGTGGCCCAAAGACTGTTTGGATGACGAATTCTTGAATTCCTCAAACACTGCCTTGAGTTGCTTACAAGTTTGTTTGCGCGACTCGGTGGTGGGAGGTGGCAATGCGACTTTCAATTGCTGCTCGTTGTCAGGAATGCGCTCCGGATTTAGATTCAGTCCAGCCCCAAGAATACTGCTCACGACAGACTTAGTGTCTTTGGGATCGAAAACTGTCACAATGAGGTTATTACGGCCCTTCAGAGATGTGGTAGCGACGTCTGTGAACTTGGCATTGTTCTTTCCAACTTTCAATGCGTTGAAAATGCTAGGATTTGCGGTACCCACTTTGAGCTCGCCCAGTTTTCTCTTGTGCAGTTCCAGAATGCTATTGAACTCATCGGTCGCCTGTTTGACGTACTGCTTCACGTCAACAACTTCCACGTCTTCCTCAACCTCGGCTGTCTTGCCTTTACCACCTTTTTTGACCTTCTTCGCACTTATGGCAGAGCAATTGAATAATCTAGTAGCTTGAAGGTAGCTTGGTGTGATTTGGCGCCCCAGCACGAACGGTAGCATCGTTTCAATGCAATTTATCCTATGAAGAGATTTAGAGAGCAGATGGACGCCCGTTCAGTCTAACAAGAAACTTCGTCGATATATGTCACGTGACAAAAGATGTATGTCCGGGTAATATCATTCCTGGTCGCGTGATCAATTACTTTAGTTTTCCGGTAGTTGCATAATCCCGCGGTCCACTTCCGATGCATTTAAAATAATATGCGTTTTCAGATCTATGCGTTTTCGGGTACGGCCTATGGGGTTCGTTATTTTTCATGGCCAAGATGCACCAATTATCACGTCATCGGTAAATATGAAATGCATACTCATGTTCTTAGACACATACTCCTTGCACCATGGCATCGTGGGCTGAGAGTATGAACTAATGGTGAAAGTATATGGGTGTTATGAGATAAAGGGATTGAGCAAAGATTGTATAGAGGCAATGCACCTGTAAAGTATATAAGGAGCCTGAGGAAAGCAGAAGAATCTTTTGAATTGCATGGTTATTCTTATTAGATCATATCCGGTAGTCAAACCAGATAAAGGAACTGAAAGCCAATTCCTTTAACCAAATCTAAAAATCTCAACAATGTCCGAAATTACTCTAGGCCGCTACTTGTTTGAAAGATTAAAGCAAGTTGATGTTACGACCATTTTCGGTTTGCCAGGTGACTTCAATTTACGTTTATTGGATGAAATCTATGAGGTGCCAGGTATCAGATGGGCTGGTAACTGTAACGAATTGAACGCTGCTTACGCTGCTGACGGTTATGCCAGAATTAAGGGTATGGCTTGTTTGATTACAACCTTCGGTGTCGGTGAATTGTCGGCCTTGAACGGTATTGCCGGTTCCTACGCCGAGCACGTCGGTGTGTTGCACGTTGTTGGTGTTCCATCCATCTCTTCCCAAGCTAAGCAATTATTGTTGCACCACACCTTGGGTAACGGTGACTTCACTGTCTTCCACAGAATGTCTGCCAACATCTCTGAGACCACTGCTATGATCACTGACATTTCATCTGCTCCAGCTGAAATTGACAGATGCATCAGAACCACATATATTACTCAAAGACCTGTTTACTTGGGTTTGCCAGCCAATTTGGTGGACCAGAACATTCCTGCCAAGTTGTTGGACACTCCTATTGACCTTTCTTTGAAGCCAAACGATCCTGAGGCTGAAAAGGAAGTCGTAGACACCGTTTTGCAATTGATTAAGGAAGCCAAGAACCCTGTTATTTTGGCCGACGCTTGTTGTTCCAGACATGACGTCAAGACTGAGACCAAGAAGTTGATTGACTTAACTCAATTCCCAGCTTTCGTCACCCCAATGGGTAAGGGGTCCATTGACGAACAACACCCAAGATTTGGTGGTGTTTACGTTGGTACCTTGTCTTCTCCAGCTGTCAAGGATGCCGTTGAATCTGCTGACTTGATCTTGTCTGTTGGTGCTCTATTGTCCGATTTCAACACTGGTTCTTTCTCTTACTCTTACAAGACCAAGAATGTTGTCGAATTCCACTCTGACTACATTAAAATTAGAAACGCCACTTTCCCAGGTGTACAAATGAAGTTTACTCTACAATCTTTGTTGGAGAAGGTCGGTCCAGTAGCCAAGAGTTACAAGCCAGTGCCAGTTCCAAAGGGTCAAAGTCCAAACGCTGCCTGTGCTGCTTCTACTCCATTGAAACAGGAATGGATGTGGAACCAGGTCGGAAAGTTTTTGCAAGAGGGTGATGTTGTTATCACAGAAACTGGTACATCTGCCTTTGGTATTAACCAAACACATTTCCCAAACAACACTTACGGTATTTCTCAAGTTTTATGGGGTTCCATTGGTTTCACCACTGGTGCCGCCTTAGGTGCTGCTTTTGCAGCTGAGGAATTGGACAAAAACAAGAGAGTTATTTTGTTCATTGGTGACGGTTCTTTGCAATTAACTGTTCAAGAAATATCAACCATGATCAGATGGGGCTTGAAGCCATACTTGTTCATCTTGAACAACGACGGTTACACTATTGAAAAGTTGATTCATGGTCCAACTGCCCAATACAATGAAATTCAAAGCTGGAAGCACTTGGATTTGTTGCCTACATTTGGTGCCAAGGATTATGAAGCTATCCGTGTCTCCACTACTGGTGAGTGGGATAAGCTAACAACTGACAAGGATTTCGTGAAGAACTCTAAGATCAGATTGATCGAAATCATGTTGCCAGTCATGGATGCTCCATCTAACTTGGTCAAGCAAGCTGAGTTAACTGCTGCCATCAACGCCAAGCAATAGGCAATCCATCATTTTGGTTTGCAATGCGTCATGTCGGCTATTAGTGTTTCGTTCTATGATGTGGCGATGATTTGGTTATTCATGGGTAGAAAGGTTTTTTATGGTTGATATAGGATAAATATGCTTATACTTTCAAAGTTATGAATACACTTCTTTGAACATGGTTTCTTGGCATGGCATTGGCCACGTATTAACATTTGAAGGGAACATTTGAAGTCACTTGAGGTATTGCCTTTGAAAGTTAAAACACAACTAAGGGCTACTAATACACTCCGACTTTCTAAAGTAAATTTTATGAGTTCAAAACATACTTGATTTAACTAATCTACATAAAACAAGCGTCTTTGGCCTAAAGGCGGTTGAAACAGGGACTGTATGTAAAAAAAAAATAAGGAGTGAATGCAAATAAATGGTTTAGTTGGTTAAAAATCGAGTCTCGTGAAATCGTGAAAAAAAAAGTTGGTGTAAAGTATTGAAGAGTCATATATTTATTCTCTCTTCATGAATGGGTTTAAAGCACGGACAGTTAAGCAGGGTAGTGCCATACCAATTTCTGCTCTTAACAAAATGGGAACTTGGTGAAGTTCACGTATTTCTTGAATGTTGTGATCGTTCTCTTTCCTTGTAATAGTGGAAGATATAAAATTCTCCAAAGGATCCGAACTCTCCTCGGGCAAAAGAGTCAGCTTTGGTGGCTCGATCCGTAACGCCGCCAGCTGCGAAGACAGCTCATCAGTCAACATGTCTTCGTTTTCAAGAATTTTTTTATACTGAATATTGGCAATCTCGTCACTTGCTGACTTAAATTTGTTTCTGATGGAATTCCTGTATGACTTTGGATTCTTCTCATCCGCAGGCACAAAGGTGGCACTATCAATGCCGGCTTGCCAGTACAACTCCAGAACTCGGTTAGTTGCATCATATTCTGCCTTGATGAGCGGAAGCTGATCACCATGAACTCTTTTCTCGATACCAAACTCCGGAATAAAGACATCAAATGAAGATTCATACACTTGAAGAACAGTTGCCATAGTTAGTATTTGTCCAGTCGCATTACCCATATCGTTGATCGTTTTGCACAGTAACAAATGGATAGCTTGTTCTTGAGCATGATGCGCACAGTCTTTTTTGAAGTTGCAGTACTCAGAGGTAATTTTCAAAGAGTCATCATCTTCCCTGTAAGGACTTCCATTAATACAGGACTTTAGTTGTCTGTGGACAACATGGTCGGCGTATCTTCTCAGTGGTGCTGTGAAATGTGCATACAATGGAAAGTTCAACGTGAAATGAGCATATTGGTCAGGATCCACTTTTCCCGCGATGAAATATTTGCCTCTGCCCAGAGTTTTGTAAAGCAAGATTTCAACACCTACTCTAATGTTTTCATTTGGAATTGCGAGTATTGAGGCAAATAGTGATTCTGCGTCCGTGATGTCGACTTCGTATCCAAATTTCGAAACTTTCTTCTTGAATGAGGCTAGCTTGCTGGCAATAGGTCTCGCTTGTCTTCTCAAAAATGCGAAGTTGCCCAGTTTCTTATAAATGGTTTCAGCAACAGTACTGTTTACTTGCCGCTCAATTTCAGCCATGATCGATGCAGCCATGCTTTGTTTAAAAATATTCAAATCAGCCTTCACTTTCTCATCATCCAAACTTTCTAATAAAGCCAAACTTGGCTTTAGTTGAACATCCGGACGATTCAATCTCTTTTGATAAAGCTTTGTACTGATGGATTGGATAGTTGAAACGAAGGATGAAGGTTGGGCTTGAGCAAATTCGTTGTTAATCTCGTCAAATGTTTTCACTGAGGAGGGAAGAGCTGTTGCCTCGCCAATCCATGTTGAGACGATTTCGAACGACGAGTCAAGTTGGTAAACAACAGAAATGGTAGGAGAGACCTTCCCTGTTTCCAACGTTAAAGCTGAGTTGAAGGCTTTGGGTAGAAGATTGACTATTTTTTGAGGCATGAAGACGCTAGATGACCTCTTTCTCGCACGCCTATCCAATGACGATCCTTCTTCGATGTGTGCAGTGACATCGACTATGTGGCAACCAAATTCGATTGAGTTGTTATCCAAAACTTTGACATGTATTGCTAGATCTGAAAGACTATCGTTTTCGGCGATGGCGGTGACATTCTCATAGGCTCTTCTAGACTCTAAATCTTGTTCAGAAATCTCCAAAGGTTGAAAGCTACTTCTTTCCTTCGAACGATCCTGTGGATCTAAGTATTCGTCTGACAAAAAGTTGTTGTCTCTCAAGATAGCATCAATCTCCGTGTCAGGATCGTTGATCGTACCAAGTTGGGAAATCAAAGTACCAAAAGGATGCAAAGAGGTGATAGGCCAGCGCTTGATCGATGCAACAAATAATTTGTCCGCATATTTGTCAGCATTTTCAACAAAATCTTTTGGAGCCTGTTCGGTGGGAATCGCAATTAATGGAACCTTCTTATCTGTGGGCTTAAACCATACAATTTTTGGTTTATGCGGTTTGTTAGCATCACTATTGGCTTGTTGCGAAGGTCTTAAAAGTCCAAGAGTACCGCTAAACAATTGTCCTGGGATACGATCTAAAACAGCGACGACATGACCTGCGTAAAGGGGCTTGTAGTCATCACTAATTTCTTCCTCTTCGACAAGTAGTAGCGACTGACCCTCTACTTCTACATCATCATTCTTCTTTTGTGTTGGTCTTTGTTTGAGTGATCCTTTTCTTTTAATACTCCCCGATTTTGCTGGTTTTGTAGAATCCTCTTTTTCCACCGACAAAAACGAAGAGTTTGAAGTTGAAGTTGTTGCCAAGTGAGACGATGCGTCGTTGTGATAATCGTCATTGCTGTTTAAAGAAATGTCCTGTTGATTGCTGGCATCTTTTCTTCTCTTTTTTTCTTCTTTCTCCTTTTTAGAATCCCAAACATCGTCGACCATCAGTAGCTCAACTGCAACTAAGTCACCTTCCAGAGCTCTGTTACGATCTTTAGAGCCGCAAATATAGATATCAGCATCTAGTACTCCGTCTGTTGATACCCACGCGTCGGACCGATTCTTCTTATTAACTCTAAGAATACCACAAACGAGCCTTCCTTCTTGAATTAATTCAGGGATGTTAGCCTGAGGCAAATAAGGGGCAAATAGAGACTTGCGGCCATTGCTGTTGTTCCCACCATTGTTAGATCCAAAACTGTGTGTGGAGGCATTAGAGCCACGAGATTTGTGCCCAGGTTGAAATACAGGTGGCGGTTCCAATGTTCCAAAATTCGAGAAGTCTCTTGACTGATTCTTCTTGTGATGAAATGGAGACTGAGAGTTTACATTCTGGCCCTGGTAAGGTTGTTGTTGTAGCCTCCAATTAGCATTGATTCCGCCCAAATCCTTGTTTCTGGAGTTTGTGCGGCGATGAGGAGTACCCACTGGTATAAAGTCAGAATCTTGATTCTCTTTGTTACTTGATTTGGGAGGAAACTGAAATGATCTGTTAGGGGAAACGGTTGACCCCTTTTGTGCTGCCTTAGAATAATCAGAAGGAGTAGCAGGAAATTTATAGTTTGACTGCTCAGAGGAAGATGCCGAAGGAGGAGTAGATTCTAAAGTTTCGGCATTTTCAACTTTGATTGAAACTGATGTACCAGTCGCTCTTTTAGCTTGCTCTTCCGCAGCTGCTTTCTTAGCTTCGGTAAGACCCAAAGAGTGCCTCCTTGAGTGACCGTAGACACTAGATTGTGAAGCTGTCTTCCGATGCCCAGCAGAGAACTCGCCAGAGTTATTGCTACTGTTATTGTTGTTGTTGTTGTAATACCCGGAATTGTTTCTCGAATGCGAGCGACTTCTGTTCGATGGGGCATTAGAGGGAGAGGAGCTATTGTAGTGGGGATGTGGAGGCTGGGGTATGAAAGCAGGAACCCCCGGACCAGATGGGCCGGATGGTATGTAATGCCCAGTGTGTTGTGCGAGTTGCTGCTGTTGCGCCAGCAATTGTTGCTGCTGCGCCTGCACAATCTCCAATTGCCTTTGTAAGGTGAATTGCTCAATCATGAGACTGGTTAGCTCGCTAGCAGATCTTCTATGCGCTATGTGGATCTGTTTGGGGTTGTTTTTTCCCCCAGTAGTAGCGGCAAACTTTGCCTCGTTGGGCTGCCCTGACGAACTCATGTTTCACGCAACTGAAGTTCTTCAAAAGGAAAGGAACGGGAGACTTGGCTATCAAAGGAAAGCTATGGGAAAACGCGTTCACTTAGTAAACCGTTTCTCTTGGTCTTGGCCTGTATTTACTCTTGTCCCACTGAAGGGTGGCAAAATCCAGGGAGTAACTGACAAAAAGGGATGGAATAATCGCAGACCCTATTGAGCTGCTTTTTCAGTAACGTCCAGTAGATGACTTCCAACGTCTGAGTACAGTTGAAGAGATGAACAAGAAACCAATTGAAAAGCTTCTTACCCTTCCTTTCTCCTGCGAAAAGATACTGACGGGTGGTGATCCGGAGACGCTTCTGATGACAAAATATTTTTTCCAAGGTTCCTTTCTCGACCTCAGTCAGCGAAGAGCAAAAACAAAAGACAAATTTGAAGTATACACATGCTATAACACTTGCGGGAAATTTATGGTTTAAAACCATTGATTTAGTATTCAGATGATACGAAAGCAATTGTGCTTTCCGCTCATGTTAATTCTCCCAGAGCTCCTAGAATATGTATTCTGAGCACGTGAATATTGTGTGACCATTCTAGATGCTTCTAAATTTGGTATGTAATAGCATCAAGTCTCAAAACATCAGAACGACTCTTATTCTCAACTTGCAAAGAGAATCAAAATGTTTGATTTGACCGCAATATTCTAAGAGTGCTCTAGTTGTGAGAAGTTAATTTTTGCCGAATTTGAGCGATAGATATTTACTTGTAAACTGCATCCCTCTCTTGAAAACCTCATTACCGAACTGGTCATTAAACCCAAAAACTGCGAGTCGGCTATGCTCCAATAGAAGACTAGGGTCTAGGTGTACTCTAAATATAATACTATGTACTGAGGAATATTAGGGATGTTGCGATGTCTTCACAATGCACGTTTCTTTAAATTCAATGTTAGCGACAAAAACTTGATTTAAAACTTAATCCGTCAACTGAAAAATAATGTATAGGTTGAGTAGGGTCCACAACAAGGGGAAGGTATAAATTTCTAGAATACGTATGCTTCAGAATAAAATACATTAAACAGTGATTATTGAAATAGACACTTTTAGTCACCTTATTTAGTTGTCTACTCGTAGTTAGAAGGATACTTATAATCCGTCAACTCGTAGAAATTTTCCTTGATGTTTCTGATGCTCACAAATCTACTGAGAATGTTGCTACTACCGGCCTTATCGTTGGTACCACTCATTCTGGCACCACCGAACCATTGCTGTGCAACAACAGCACCAGTACATTTGTCGTTAACATAGAAGTTTCCTGCGCTGTATTTTAGTTTTTCGTCGGCGACGTTGATGGCATCTCTATCGCGAGCGAAGATAGAGCCAGTTAGACCATACTCTGTTGTTGTGTCAATAATTTCACAGATCTTGTCAAACTCGTTGTCAGGATATTCGTAGACAGTCAAAACGGGTCCAAAAAATTCAGTAGACATGAACTTGTGAGTGGGGTTAGTGGTCTTGATGACAGTTGGCTCCACGAACCAGCCTTGGGATTTGTCGTAGTTGCCACCATATATGATTTCCAACTCAGGATCCGACTTAGCCTCCTCAATGACCTTGGCTAATTTGTTGAAGCTCTGCTCGTGAATAACAGGACCCATGAAACCGTGCAAGTCACCCCCATTGATTTTTGATGCTGAAGTGTTCACTGGCTTGATGCTACTCAATGTGCCAGCAAGATCATTCAAAAACTCTGCGCTCTTAGACTCTGGTATGTACAATCTGGAAGTAGCAGAGCACTTTTGACCTTGGAATTCAAAAGCACCTCTCAAAGTGCTCAAGACAGCATGTGGAATGTTTGCACTTGGGTGAACAAGATGGAAGTTTTTACCACCGGTTTCACCAACAATGCGTGGATAATCTCTGTAAAGGTTGGAAACGACACCTTGCTGAATATCACCGTACAACTGTTTGAACACAGCAGTGGAACCAGTAAAGTGTAGAGCAGAAAACTCCTTATCAGCAAGAACTTCCTTTGTAACTTCGACAGGGTTACCTGGAACAAAGTTCACGACCCCCTTAGGCAAACCAGCCTCTTCAAGCACCGTCAACAGCAAGTAGTTGGATAAACAAGCTGCTTGAGATGGCTTCCAGACCACTGTATTACCCATTAAAGCAGGTGCACCGATCAAATTGCCGGCAATTGCGGTGAAGTTGAATGGAGTCACGGCGTAAACGAAACCTTCTAACGGTCTGTATTCAGCGCGGTTCCAGACACCAGGACTGGATTCACATGGCTGTTCAGCATAAAGGTCAGAAGCATACTTGACATTGAAACGGAAGAAATCCGATAGCTCTGTAATACAATCAATTTCAGCCTGATAAACATTCTTACCCTGGCCAAGCATTGTTGCTGCCAACATATCGTAACGATACTTTGTGGATATTAGGTCTGCTGCCTTCAAGAAGACTGCGGCGCGATCATAGAATGGCATCTTGTACCAGTCATTCTTGGCTTTTTTAGAGGACTCAATCGCTTTCTTAACGTCCTCCCTTGTAGCTTGCGTGACGTTAGCCAACACCTGCGAGTGATGCGCAGGGTTTGTTTGCTTGAAGTGACTACGACCTCCCTCGTTATAGTAAATGCGCTTTCCATCGATAACCAATGGGACGTCCAATGATGCGCTTTTAAACTTAGAAATGGAAGCACGCAACAAATCCCACTCCACGGTATCTTTACCAGCAAATGCCTTCACCGGCTCATTTGTGATCTGCTTAGGTGGTTTTAAGTGTGATATTTGGGCCACAGTCCTCCTGGATTGGCGTATTAGTGACAATCTTGATAGCATTACTCTTGGGCTTGTATGAACTAGTATCAAGGCTACACTTGGGACCTCCTGATAAAGAAAATAATTATAAAGGTTTGTTAATCAATTTTAGTTCCGAAAAACTGTAAATTTACTCAATTTATACAACTACCAGATACGAGTTGATGAGGCTATCCGTATCAGGACAACACGGCAATAACAATCTACCTCTTACTCGACAAGATAATGACTTTCCACCATGAGCCCATGAAATGCGGGTTGTCACTTTCCTTTAACAGATTGAAAGTTTATGCGCGGAACGCCAATTCCGCTGGAAATCGGTAAGCCAGTTCCGCGCCGTTCGAATGACTCGCCATATGAAAGGGAACAAATCATAGAGGAATTACACTGAATCACATTAATCTCACTATTTCGACTCGATTTAATAGCCTAGGGTCTCATTATAAGAGAATGCAGGCCGTTAAAGAGATAAAATGGTTGAAACCACAATTTCTTATGTAAATTTCGGTTTTGAAGACTAATATTATGACTTAAACGATAAGGACGTGATCGTTGAAAGAAAAATAGACAAGCCACGGCTGAGGGAGACGTGAGGTAAATTTTCATATAAATAACGTTTAGATAAACATTAGAGAATATCTTCAAATCGTGAATCACCACCACAAAGTTCTCAATGAGCATGGTACCAAAATGACGAAATGTCGTTTGCCAGATTTAGTCTTTACAGAATTGACGGTTGGGTGGCTCAAAAAACTCTTCGACCTTAATATTTGATTTAAATAAAAAAACTCCGAAATTAATGAAGAGTAGAAAGTCATTTGTAGCGGAATGTTAGAGTATCTATATGACTGAGTGAAGAGTGACGTCAAGTGGTATTGGTTTGTAGTAATATGCGGTCCTTTTTTTGTTCATGGGTAGACATAAAAGCACCCATTATGCAGTTTTTGAGAAGTCCTATCAGTTTTGAATAGCCTTCTGATCATTGTGCTTGCTGTAGTAGGTTTTGGCTCTTGCATAACCCAGGATAAAATTTGAACTAAAACACCATATTGCTAGTCCAATTGATATCACAATTAGCGTTTTCCAGCCCAGAGGTTCTATAAAGGAATTAATTATATCTCCAAACATTGACGCAGTTATTGTTGATCTTGCACGGAAAAAGATATCATTGTTCCTGTTCATGCACTTTTCCCATTCGTTGCACAGGTGTTCAAGCGCGGGCACTACTGTCTCTGGTCCACAATTATTGGCCAAGTATTGGGATCTGCATTTCGAGGATTCAAAGTCAAATTCCTCCTTGGTATGTTGCCAAGCAGATCTCAAATCTGACTTCACAGCGCGTACGAATAGAGTTAGGAACGAAAAGATAACCAGAAGGGTGAGCGAATTTAACAGTAGCTGCAAATATGATACGAAGGCATATGTGCTCCTGGATGCAGGCTTCGAAGTTGATGACCATGGATTAGGTAGCTGAAGTGGTGCTTCAACGAAAGGGTCTTCGTATGGAATATGGGGCGAGGGATAATAATAATGGTGATTGTTGATAGCCACCTGAACGGGTTGATATTGAGATCTTTGTCGCAAGTTCGCAAAATCAGATTCTGAGAGACTATATCCGCATGATTCTGTGATTTCCGGAATAGAAGTGATGACTTGTTCGCTATTTGAAAGTTCTGTAGCAACTGCGTAGTTATCCGTCTTTGTTGCAGCAGCAACACCAAGACTAGTGGGAGACAAAAGAGCCTTTAAAACCACAGTTCCGTTGACACTTGGTGACACTGACTGCTCATTTTCACTTTCTTTGTCACCAGGAAGCTCATCGTTATCCAAGTCACTAAGAATTTCAGGATCATCAAAGGGATCTGTTTCGATTTCATCAACATCCATCTTATCACATTCATTGCCTATAAGTACTGACTGACGCAAAGGAGAAGGACTACTTGGAAAATGAGGCATAAATTTGTTTAGAATTTGTGGAGGAAGAGTGCTAGCATCATTTATCCTTTGTTCCTCTTCAGAAATGCTTAAGCTAGAGATGGCATTAAGGTCTTCATCTTTGAATGTTGTATCCAAATCAAGGATAGATAGCTTACTGAAATCATCCATTATATGGTGGGTTTCACCTTGGTGAAATTGTTTGCAGCTTTATCAAGTGAAAATTTAGATAAACTTAAGCGGTTTCTCAAAAAGTTGAAAAATATCAGGTACACATTAAGACAAGAAAAAACCCCACATCTTAAGATATAACACCTTACGATATACGAATTGGCATATCAATTTACAAGAAAACGCTTTCTTTTATTTATATTGAATTAAATGTAGTTTTTCACTCACTAACCTGTTATGCATAGTGTACTCTACCCAGATGCACTTTAGTTTCCTGCTAGATAATGTTCTGCTTCAAGTAATCGATAAGGAAGTATTTGATCTCAGAAGTACTCTTTTTAGCTAGAGCGACAACTGTTTGTTCTTAATGATTATCTGGTTTGACTTTATACAAAGTGTCCAGAAATCCGACTAACAGCCTGTCGACAACACCTTTGGTTTTCACACTACCAGCAACACCGTATAATGCACTTGTTCCCTCTGTTGAAGGTCTAGCATTTGGATCTGAACACATATCTTTGACAATTTGTGATAGACTTTCCTTCAACTCGTCAATAGCGTACTTTGTAAGCGACGTGGCCGCTAAATGAAGAGCAGCAGGTTTTTGAAGCGCACTCAAATGCCACCCCTTTTTCGATAACCGGTCAGATAGCTCATAGACATCTATTTTGTCGGATGTAAATGAAACAACAGAGCATAGTGGATCGCCAATTATTTTCAGCTCCGGAATATTGTCTTGAATGTGCTTTTTCAAGTCACGTGCAGTGGATATTATTTCCCGGCATGATGTTGTGTATCCATCATCACCTATATGAATCATGGTTGCCCAACAACCAACCACAAGGGCTCCTGGTCTACTACCTGCTAGTGTGGGCGAACCGTACAATCCTCCAGTCCAGTCTGTGGACAAATAGTATTGAGAGCTTCTCAATTTTCGGTTACGATACATTATCACCGATGAACCCTTTGGTGCAAATCCGTATTTATGCGTGTCGCAAGATATCGAGGTGACTCCTGGCACTCGGAAGTCAAAAAGAGGGACGTCATTAAACCCTGCCTTCTCCATGAAAGCCACCAAAAATGAGCCCAAGCAACAGTCTACATGTAGAGGAATAGAGTAATGCTGTGCCAACTTGCCCAATCCTTCGATATCATCAATAATGCCGTGCGGGAAATTGGGAGCGGAGCCCACGAGTAGTACTGTGTTTTTGTTAATCAATCTGCTGACCTTGTTGAGATCAACCTTGAAGGTTTTAGGCTCGAGTTCAACATGATGCAGCTTAATGCCAAAGTAATAAGCAGCTTTGTCAAAACCTGCATGAGCTGTAACAGGAGCAATTATCTCAGGCTCCTTAATACCCCGATAATGCTGGGCATACATTTTAGCACTTAAACAGGCCAAAAGTAAGGACTCAGTTCCACCAGATGTGGTAGTGCCGCATCCAGTGTCATTAGGGGCATTGAACATGTTCAAAACCATAGAAACAACTTCAGACTCCATTTTTCTCACTGCAGGGAAGACATCTGGATGCAGTTGATTTGCAACACAATACTTTTCAAAGGCCTGGCTCTGCAAGTGGATCAAATCTACCCCACCATGGTACACCGCGCCTGATACCTTACCGTTTTCCCAGTCAGAGTGTGCAAGGACCGCCTGCGACTTATCTAGTTCCTCCAATACAGCCTCATCCGATAAGCCCGCCTTGGGCAATTCGTCAAAATCTCTCAATAATTTGTCATTCTTAATGAGACTCTCCTCAATACCCGCAATAGTTTTACTCACTTCCTTATCGACACTCGGTTTTACAAAACGTGAGTTTAGGAGGTATTGGAATAGCGATCTTGAAAAATGGTTGATGGCCATGTCAAGAGACTTCAAGATGCCGTACCCGCAAACGTTACGCCATATCCAAGTGAGTGTTCTATAGCAGAACAAAAAGAAAACGTAGTCCCTTATGAAACCATACCAAGGCGTCTGAATCAAGTAGTTCTTAATAAACTGTTCCATGTGCCAAAATGGCTCTTTTAAGGGCCCCGTATGCTGAAGCCAACTTGCATAGCATGTCTCGAAGCTTATAAATTTCCTCTCCCAAAAAGTAGGGAAGGAGTCCATTATTACAACCGATCTTCTGGATGGAACTAAAATCAAACGGGGAGGATTTCAACTTACAACGTTCACGGCATTCGAATAACTAAGTTCCCGCTAACCTTAATTTGAGTGATTTCCAAGGAACAATTGTGTATGGGTTTGCGGTGAGTACCAATATTGACAATCCCATTATACGAAGATGACTGAAGTAGAATTATGGCCGAATTGCCTAGTTTAAGAATCTTCATGGAGATATTTTTGAATACCTATGTATATACTGGCGCAGTCGATCTTCCTCTTCTTGTCCTTGAGTTGGAAGAAGAACTAGAGTTCGAAGCAGATGTGCCATTGAGCGAGTACTGCTTCTGCATCATTTTAATATAGTTCTGTAGAAACTTGGCCTGTTGCGAATGCTGTTCGAGTTGCCGTTGCAGAAACTTTTCTTGCTCCGAAGCTACAGTTGTTCGCAGTGTGATCGCAGGACCTGAAAGCTCTTTTTTCAGAAGCTCATGCGTTTCCTGCAGCTGTTTAAGTGTCAGCGACTGGTTTGCAGCCTCAGTTGATTTTGTCTGGTACCGCAGCCGCAACTCGTCATTGAGAGCAGACTGTTTGGTATTTTTCGCAGTTAGCTCGATTAACTCAGTTTTTAAATTAGTGAGGTTGTCTGTCATTGTTCGAAGGTCCTCCGAAATAGATTGACTAGATATGAGGCTCTCTAGACGACGCTTTCTTTCTTCTAAAATAACTAAGCGGTCGCGTGCTTTTTCGTAGTCGCCTTTCACACTTGCCAGTCTCTTGGCAGAATCAGCAACTGTGCTCTCGCTGTCCTTGAGGTTTTTGAACATAACACCGACCTCGACTTTGGTTTCATCAAATTGAGTTTGCCTCATGGTTTCCCGAAGTCTGTTCTGTAGCACCTCCTTTTCCCTGATTTGGAATTCCTTTTGGCAAGCTGTCAAACGCTTGACTATTAAGTCCATAAGCTTTGCTTGGTAAGTTTTTATGTCAAGATCGCCGTTGTATGGTGCCAGCTCGAAAGATACATGCTCTAGCGGAGAAAGGGCAGCATGTGTAGTCAGGCAGTCTAGAAGAGTTTTGTCAATGTTACCATTCGATAGCTGTACCTCTGGCAAAGTGTTCAGAGGTTCAGATCCGTCCAGCAACGTTTCGACGAACTGCCTCATCCAGTAAGGATCTTCATTCGTGTCTATATCTTGTCTGTTCTTGATGAAGTGGATTAGCGAATCCTTGAGATATGCGTCCTCATCATTCAGTTTTCCTTGGCAGAGCATGTAATGATCAGGCGAATCCTTCACCAAAAGTTTGACCATTGGTACCGACTTGTTACCTTTTTGCATATTCGCAACTGATGGCAAATTTTCATCAATCATAGGATCGAAACTGATCAATACGTCAATGTCATATGGATCAAATAATCCTGGGGCATGGGACATGTGCTTTGTTGTTGCAAAAAAAAACCAATCGTCGACTTCCTTCCTATCCTTTTTGGAACCATTGCTCCGCTTCCCATAGTCATATTCATCTTTCGTATGGCCAGTGGAATTTGGTGGGGAACTTCCTTCGGTCTCAGGATCCCCATATAGGTGCCTTTCATCGAAAAGACTTGTCCCCGACAGCCTTTTCAGTTTTGCAGGCTTTCCGAGTAGGTAGCCCTCAATCAGATCCAATTCCTTGACACTGTGGGAAATAATACCGATTTGAAGCGGCTTGGGAAAGCGGCTACGATCACGGCGAATAAAATTGTCTAACAAGTGTGCAAGCTTTCGGAACTTGTCACTGGGACCTATCAAGCGCCCGCCAGGTTCCATTAGGAGAAGTTGGCGAGGCATGTAATGCTCGACAAGTAAGCACGGATGGTTCGCTATGGCCCTAATATTTGTCGACAACATATAAATTAGCTGCTTAGAAGATAAAGCAGGTAGTGCTAATGGATGTTCTTTCTTAATTTCTGATAGTTGAAGAGCACTATCTGGTTCATATTGTTGTAAGAAGGAACGTGCATGTAATGAAAGCAGGATTTCGATCAAATCTTTTTGTAATAGTGTGAGCCCCACCGGCAGGTAATAAACATTCTTACGACTTGCAAGAATCGTCATATCTGTAAAAGAACAAATTTCTTTTGTCAATTTCTCACCCAAATCAAGACACAGATGGAATTTTTCAATATACTCAGGCTGTTCTAAATTTGTATCAGAAATCTTGAACAATGTAAAATGATTATCGCGATCATTTTTTCGAAGGAACTAGCGCGTGATAGGCTTCATGAAATTATTTCAGTTCTTATGAGGAAACAAACAACGAATCACGATAATTCGCAAGAGATTTGCTTGGTTGACACTTGATTTCATCTATTTATATGACGAATTCTCTGCTGTAATTTTGTATAACGATATTTATACATCCAGTGACATTTTACGAATAAGATCAAGATAATCTTGCAGTGAGATATCCTCTGTATTGAGACCACCTTGAGGGATCAAGCTGCTGACAAAGAATCGATCTTGGCTTCCACCCACAGGGGTTTTTTTGAAGATCGGTGGTGGGCAGCGAGTGTTGACGATACTGTTCGCATAGCTTGTAGCAATATCTGCATTCTCACTCACGCTTGTATATCGAACAACTACAAAATTTCCTCCATCGACACATATAGCTTCTCTGACATGTAACAAATGTTCATCCAGATTTGTTACCTGTAACTTTTGACCATTTGCAAAAATGAGAACGTGGGGTTTACAGAGCAGCTCACACAACGACGCGGTACCTACAAGAACCAAGAGCTGGAAGAGTGCTGCTTCATCCGGTGAAGTGTTACGTTTCTGTAAAAGGGCTGTCCATTTGAGACGGAAGAGGTATTCCAAAAATTCGTTCAGGCCTTTGCTCTTGAGCTTATAGTGTGAGGCGGCAAGGGCGTCGACTTTATAGCGCCATGTTTCTTGATCAAAGGAATGGATACGGCCTTTCGCTGCCTGTTCAAACGCAATCTGTTTCATGAGGCACACAAGACCTACATGCGCATTGAATGAGTCTTGAATTGAGGTAGGAGTTGACATCTCATGGTTCGTTGTGGCAACTATAAGTGTATCCACCTTCACGTACCTTTCCTTTCCTTTTTGGTATTCGTATTGAAATTGAATCGCTAAATGCCCAGGAATAGTGTCAATCGAAGACGCTTTGGTCGCAGCGGTGTCCACTCGCAGTGAAAATGATAAACTGGGTTTAGATGTGTTTAATGCCCAGCAGTTTGTTCCCGATACGCCACAGGGAGTGTCACTGTAAATTTGTTGAGTTGCGCTGAGTTTGGTGACTTTGCCAAAACATCCATCTACAAGAATTCCTTTGGATACATTGACGGTGACCTTGCTTACTTGAACAATGTCTTGCGCTTGACTTCGAAAAGCAGTGGCAAAACGGTCTTCTCCATAAGAGTCGAACTGAATTGCACTCGAACATAATGGCATCATTTCCACCACTCCAACCTGATCTAAGGAGGAGATAAAAGTATGCATGTATATTCTCTTTGCTAGAGCTTCGTAAAAAGATTTCGCAGGCTTGAAGTATTTGTCTTTATTAGAGTCCAAATCATAATGCTGTCTTATATGGTGCTTCAATTTCTTTGGCACCACTTTACCAGGTCCTATTGTACAGGGTCCTTGCAGAAACGAAATAACTGGGAGATGGGTACCCGAATTTGCATAAAGAGCAGCAAGGAACAGAGCAAGACCAGTTGCGCGTATATGGCGTTGTCCTGAGCTTCTCTTGACAGAGTTTAGCGTACCTAGTATCCCGACTAAATTCTCTGCAGATTGCCACAATACACTCTTGTCTGGTAGTTTCTTCTCGAAGTGTTCCCAATCGAGTTTTTGTGCTTTAGTAACGATTGTGGAATCGTCACTCGAAAATGTCATTGGACCGCTGGTGAGATGAATTGTTACATCACCATTGCCAATTATAGTTATAAGACCAAATTCTGTAGCACTAAGCTGGTGTAATGACTGGGATAGTACGCTATGTAGGGCCTTCAGTTCGCTCGAATCGTCACAATTTAGGTCCACCACCACGAGTACCGGACTGATTCCAGTGTTTCCCTCCATGGAAGACGTGTAGGACACAGAAATAGGCTTCTCTGAAAGATCGTTATAGGTATTACAGAAGGCGCATACCCATTGGGTTTCTGTGGTAGCACATTTATCGAATATTCTTGCCTCACACCTTTTGCATTTCTGATCGGCAATGCACACGTCCTCCCCTATCGAGGGCTCATATAAGACATCAAAATGTCCGGGTTCCAGCACATTAGGCAATTGACTCAAGGCTTCTAGCCTTGACGTAGGAACGACGCTGTAGGTCGACTGAATCATGCGCTTGTACAAATATCTGAAACCAGTTCGTTATCAAATATTTGAGATAAGTGATCATTAGAATAGTCGGGTATCATCAAACACGATATATCGAAATCCCGTGGTTCACAGCCTCTGTGTCTAGTCGAATGCTAAGCTGTTTCCTTAATCAATGATTGAATACAGGTGCAAGATTTACATAGTAGGCGATCGTCGCTTACCTGAATTATCTATTTTAGTGTTTTATTCTGCAGTTTTTCCTTGGATTAATATCTAAATGAACATTGAAAAATTTTTGTCTCGACAACTAACAAGCTACTCTAATCAATCCCCTAGGCTCCAATATGGTCGCTGCTTCTCGTTTCCGTACTGCAAATTGGCTTAAGAAAGCCGGGTTTGCACCACAGGTGTTTCTGTTCCGTAACCTGGAGTCAGGACAAGTAGTATATTCGCAACTACCGGTGTTCTCGCAAGCTCAGATCGAAACTTTGTTTAAGAGACCCGATTGGTCAAACAAAAAGCCTTCGACGAGACGTGATATATGGCGTTGCATGGCAGTGGTGGATACTCCATCGTATGAAGAGGGTGTTAACTTATATCAAAACTTGTGTCGCTTGCGTTACTTACGGGACGTCACTAAAGCTAAACAAGCTGATGTACTCAGAAAGAAAGATGAATTTGGCCACGTTTGGTACTCAGCTCAATACCGCCCTACTTACACACAAGAGGCAGTTGCTGATCTAAGAGAGTCACTCAGCAAGGCCAACATCAAAAATGCGACCATCCACTGGGAGGACGCGTGGAGAATGGGCGATGTAGAAAAGTGCTGGAAGCCCGTCCTTCCAGAATTACAGCACGCCGTTATGTCAAAACTAGGAAACTCGGCTAGAGAGCAATCCGCGCTTCTCAAGGAGTTAGGTCTGAAGGCAAAACAAGAGTTTGCGAAACTCAGGGCACAAGAAGAAGCAGCTCGTGAGCTCCATGTGTGACCAGTAAACATGGTAATACAGGGAAAAGACAGCACCACTGCATTTCAATGCAGTAATATGAATTTAGATAGCGCATCCATCTCCGTGTACATAGTAACTTTGTCGTTTCCGACCCTTCTCACCCCACTTATTATCGCCGATGCTCGTTTAAGTGCAACCGCGGGATGCGTTAATGAGGTGATTAATAGCACGAAAAAAGCACCGGTTCAAATTGACGCGTCCATTTTAATGTATATAAACAACATCACTAGCTATCGCTATATGATGCCTCTTGAATTCTAAGCTCTCTGCTCATCGCCTTATTATTTATATCCCGCTTGTTCCCCAGCGCATCGTTCTGGAAGCGAAATTTTTCACACCTTCGCTTGTTACTTTTACTAATAAAAATGACAAACGCTACATCGATAGCTACAGATATGGCTTCAAACGCATTAAAAGGCGCATACTCTTTCATGAACTCACCAGTGGCTCCTGAAGTAGTGTTGGTACCCAAAAAATCCCTTCTCGACTGGATTTCAGATGGTTATTTGGCTCTAGCTCTGCCGGTAGTCGCATACTGGTGTTTTTCGATGATATTCCATACCATCGACACGTTGCAACTTGCTGAAAAGTATCGTATACATCCTTCTAAGGAGGTTGCCGCCAGAAACAAGGCTGGCCGCATGGAGGTTTTATCCGAGGTTATCTTTCAGCATGTTTTGCAGACCGTAACTGGTGCGGTCGTCCTGCATTTTGATGCGGAGCCTATGACTGGCTTCGAAGCGCGCGCTATGTGGGAATGGAGAAGATCACTGCCATTCTGGGTTCCAAATGAGGTGATATATTTTGGATACATGTATGGTATTTCTTTGCTTAGGGTATTTGTGGGGTTCTGCATCATTGATTCTTGGCAATATTGGCTACACAGACTCATGCACACGAACAAAACCCTTTACAAGATGTATCACTCCAGGCATCACCGACTATATGTCCCATATGCTTACGGCGCATTATACAACGCCCCAACGGAAGGGTTCTTGTTAGACACTTGTGGTGCAGGTCTTGCTGCTATTTTGACTGGTTTAACTCACAGAGAACAGGTTCTACTATATACATTCTCTACTATGAAGACTGTTGATGACCACTGTGGTTACGCTCTTCCATGGGATCCATTCCAGTGGTTGTTTCCTAACAACGCTGTGTATCATGACATTCATCATCAACAGTTTGGTATTAAGACAAACTATGCCCAACCCTTCTTTACCTTGTGGGACACCGTCTGTGGCACCAAGTTCCATGGTTTTGAAGAGTACGAACGTGCTCAAAGACGTATTACCATTGACAAGTACAAGGAGTTCTTGAGTAAAAGAGAAGCTGAAAAGCAGGCCAAGATCAGCAAGGGCATTACTTCTAAGAAGGATCAGTAGGTTTTCTAGTCCAGTTCTTTTTTTTGGATGTCATTAATGAATATAAAAAAACTATATGTGTTTCGTTATACGTACTCCCTCGTTTTAAATAGCTTCCTTCAACAATTGGTTTAGTTTTTGAATCTTAGAAGCAATGGATAAGTCAACAGTTCTATCGGCAATCTCGACAATCAAGCCGCCTTTGATATCTGGCTCAACAACGTTCTCCAACTTCAAGGTCTTGCCTTGACCCACCAATTTGGATTGAGCTAGCGATTTTTCGACTCTCTTGAACAATTTAGGATCTAGCGGCTGGGCAGTGGTTACAGTAGCTTGGATCAAACCGTTGTAGGCGTCGGTCAACTTGGAAAATTGCTTAGTGACATCAGTCAAAAGATCCAGTCTGTTGTTCTCACCAAGAACCTTTAGCAAGTTAGCCACCGAGGAGTCGAGGTCGGATTGAGACCTGGTCAAAGTCTCAACAACGATTTTTCTGTCATCAGCGGACAATGCGGGGTTGCTCAAAATTGAAGTCAATTTGGAGTCCTTAGTAATGGTTTGGGACAATTGGCTTAGCGACTTGGATGCAGCCTCGACCGAAGAAGATTTCGCGGCAGCGGTGAACAATGCCGTGGCATATGTACCATCTAAACCAAATAATTGAATTGGAGGCTTGACAGCCTTAGCACTAGAGGCCAAGGAGCGGAAGAAGACTCTGTTGAACATAGCTTACTGCTTGCAACTAACACTTCTTTAGAATGCCCTACTTCTCCTATATGAAAATTTTGTTTGGTTAGGAAACTGGGTGGGTGTGTGGGTTCGAAAAACTGGGACATGATTGGACAACGAGCACATGATCACAGTTTACCCTCTTGCTGCCACTGTTAAGGCTTCCTCACAGAATCTGTCACTTGCACATTTGCTGATATCTCTTCTTGATATAGCCTGCTAATCGTTAGAATGGATTCTCTCTGTTTTCAACTTGTAATGAGTAGGTCAGCGAGCGCCGGACGTCATGCGAAATCTAGTCACTGACTGCAACAAAATCGTGCCATTTCCTCGAGACGGTACGAATGCATTCAGGCCAGTCAAATTCTTGTGAGTATATTTGAAAATAAAATGTTTGGTGGATTTCAGACTCCATTTGACGAGCTCTCATTCACAAATCTGGGGAAAGCTTCCTGTGTCTCAGCGATTTTCTGGCGAGGGTTCACAAGCAAAGGAAGCTGAAATCGGTTTGAGCGGAGGAATTATTGTGATTTGTTGATATTCAGCTCTTCCGCACAAAACTCTTGTGTTCTTCGCTTATTTTGTTAACTTCATCTCTCTGTAATCAACAACCATCCATCCTTACATGCTTATCATATTAAGCCATAGCACGTATCGATTTAAAACATATTTCATAACCGACTTCAAATCTCTAAGATCTTTTATATTATTTTGGTAGTTCATAAATGCAGGATTATTTCGCGTCTTTGCTCAATAGGTCTATCAGTCACTACCTAGGCATTGAAGAGACTCAGGCTGGCGCTTCCTTGGCACTTCTTTTCGCTTTCACAAGAATAGGAAGAAACTTCGTCTCACGGGCCCCAAGACTCACCGAATCATACACTGTCTTCGATTTTATACTTGTAAGTTCTGTTGTTGATCATTGGCGGCTAGAGAATAAAATAGACAGAGTTCTCGAGTCACGTGATGTTGAAAAGCAATTGAAAATAAAAAAATTTTATGCGATGAGCTGGTGAGATGAGCTATACAGCAACGAAGCAGAGTAAGATGGGTAAATCGTTATCAGACCAGATAGCTGAGATTGCCAACAAACCTGTGGTCGAAGATTTCGATATTGAGGACAGTGAGCGTAATGTCTTTGAGCACAAAGAGGGCAACGACCACTCAAGTGAAGAATCGGAAGATGACGAGGCAACTAAATCGCACTATGTGAAAGTGGGAAAGTCCAAACTAAGGGATGAAGGGATTGCACTTAGAGACCAAAAATACCAAGGGTCCAAAGGGTCAAGGGAATCTATTTTTGAGGATGCCGAAGAGGCCGAGGAGGCCAGCAGCGGCGAAGTAGAGGGAGAAGAAAGTGAGGTATCCAATGCAGAGAATAGCGAGAGCGATTCGGAAAGTGCGATGTCGTTCAGAACAGACTCTGAAGATCAGGATGCTTCTGCAAGTGAGGACAGTGAAAACGAAGAACTCGAGGCTGAAGAAGAAGAAGAGGAAGAGGAGGACACAGAAGCCAAAAGGAAACGTATGATAGAACTGGTTCGTCGTGAGGCCAAATCGGCTGTGCAAAGACTGTCTGAAGCAACTCAAAAGGATGCGGCTAAGGGTTTCGCTATCTTAGAACAGTCGCGTGCATTCGATCTCATGATAGATACGAGAATCAAAATCCAAAAGGCCGTCAGTGCAACTAATCAGCTGCCATTATCTACTGAATCATGGGATGCATCTCTTAAAGAATCATCAAAAAACGAGAAGCTGCTACAGAAGACGAGAAAGCTGCTCACTAAGATAATGGGCCAACTCGTCGATTTCAGACGGGAATTTCAGTTTGGAGACAATATTATCCAAGGCGGCGAACCTGACCACGATTCCAAGAAAAAGAGGACATTCGCAGAACTATGTGATGAAACTGATTATTTGGATGAAACTTTGAGAGACTACAGATCAGTTGTTTTGAATAAGTGGTCTAAAAAAATCTCTTCATCTTCTGGTAAGGCAGTACTTTCTTCTTCGAATTTCAAAGCCATCAACCAACCAGCTGATGTCCAAGTCGAGAACCAGCTGGCTGACGTTCCAAGATTGCTCAAGCGCACAACACTGAATAGAAGAAATGTCGTGCCGTTACACTTTGAAGATGACCTGGAAAAAGGAAATCTTGAGCAATTGGGCGATTCTCACAACGATGAAGGAAATGGTTCCGACGAGGAAAATCCCGACGTTCCCAAGAATTATGATCCAAGGAGAAAAGATAATAGAAACATCGACATATCAGAAAATCCCTATATATTCGACGATGAGGATTTTTATAGGGTACTTTTGAATGATTTGGTTGACAAGAAAATATCCGGATCTCAAAATGAAGCATCTGGTGTAACAATTGCTCTCACATCTCGCTCAAATAACAAGCTTAAGAAGAATGTTGATACCAAAGCTTCTAAGGGAAGAAAGCTGAAGTATACGATCCAAGAGCCTATTGCTAACTACGAAGCACCTGCGAATGGTGGATTCAAGTGGTCTGATGAACAAATAGATGAATTCTTTGCTGGTCTGCTCGGTCAACGTATTAGTTTTGATGAAGCTGAAGCAATCGAAGATGAGCAAGATGATGCTGAAATTGAGGCAATCAAGAATGACGACATCCAGATATTTGGTTGATAGTATTACTTCTATATCTCATTATTGTATATTATACATAGAAGGATTTATGAATCACAATTCATTGGTATCGATACTACTTAAGTCGACCTCATATTCGTTTTCCTCTCTCGCTAAGAAGTCTTCAAGAATTTTTGTCCAATTGCTTCGATAGACAAAAAATGTTAATGTCAGGGCCAAAAGAAAGATCCCGATACCACAACCGTACCACAACCCTTTGATTTCTAAATGCAATGGCCCGAAGGCAAACCAACCACTCAGTGGTAGGGCAATGACGTAGTAGGCAATAATGTTCGAGATACCTCCAACCGCTTGTCTTCCTTGCCCACGCAAAATGGCAGCGCTGAAAGTAGTTATAGCGTCGTAAAGTTGATTAACAGCCAATATTGGCGCAACTTGGTGTGCAAGTTCAATTACGACCTCATCGTTGGTGAAAAGCCTAGCTAGCCATTTATTGCCGAGAATCAATACCGTGAAGTTGAAGATACCAGCAGATGCACCGACTAAATAGGAAGCCTTGACTGCTATCGCTGCACTTGCTAGTCGTTCCATCCCGATGTAGTGAGCAACGCGGGTGGAAACGACGCAACCCATGGCGAATGGGATTTGATAGATCAAAGAACCCAAATTGGCGATTACGGACTGTGCAGCAATCGCTTCAACACCAAAGTGAGTGGACATGATGGTTAAGACTTCAAAAGAGAGATATTCTGACTCAATCATCATCAGACCTGGAATCGCAAGTTTGCACATAGGCCCCCAATTTGAAAAGACACGTTTGACATGAAAACGACTTGCATTTATCGGATACCAACATTGTAAGGTGCTGGGTTCCATGAAAAGACAGTATAATAACAAAATAAGGGCCATAATCCAGTACGTAAGTGCGATCGCTGTTGGGGCACCGCAAAATCCAAAAGTTTTTGTCAAATAGATGCTTAGCCCAATGTTTAAGGGCACCGTAATGGCCAAAGCCCAGGTACTTGCCTCATAAAAGCCTTGTGCTTGGACGAACCTTTTCCCTGTCTCGAAGAATATCAACCCAGGAATACCAAAAGATAAAATTCGAAGGAATAATTGAACTTCGTCCAACAAATCATGCTCGGGAATCACGTAGACTAGCCATGATTTGCTGCACCACCATAGAAGAACTATGGGGAGCGAGGTAACAAAAATCATCATCGTGCAGCGCAAAAAGTACAGCCCCACCTTGGAAAACTTTTGTGCACCGTAGGCTTGCGGACAGAATGTATCCAGTGATGTTGCCATTCCTTCAATAACTGCCAATCCCGTGATATTGAACGTCATTACTGCCAATGATGCACTGGCTAGATTTTCAGGCAAACCAAAATGGCCTATAATGAAAAGAGAGCTTACCGTCATCGCATATTCCATGAAGAACGTTAATGTAAGGGGAACCGAACTCGAGAAGATAACCCGAATCTCTTCGCTCATAGATGTCGTTCCGATAATTTCCTCATACTGATCTTCAGGATTTTCATAGTCTGGACTCATTAATCTGAACCTGTTTGTACAAGTATCTGTTGAAGAAACAGATCTTCCGTCACTGACATATCCATAATCTTCGGGCTCAGGGACAGAGCTATAATTACTCTTATTGGCGGAATTGAGAAGGTTATTTGTTTCAGAGTTCATTGAGCCAGTCAACTTAGTTTAGGTATTACGACCATCAAAGGGATAAATGTTTTTTCTTTATGTAGTGCTCTTTATCTTTCTTATCGATAACATTTTTCGACGCATCAACTTTCACTAGAAAATTTTCGCCCTCCGGTCGCTTAGCTATCAATTAAATCTTAAATTCATGTTGCAATATAGATGAACTTTTTATTAAGACCAGTCGGATCAGAATCTACAGATCCTGTCATAACAATAAATCCCATTCATGGCTTCACTATTAAGTCTAGATTAGCATCATGTGTTTCCAATACTCTAATCGTTGATACAAAAATATTCATCAATGTGTGTCACAACGAGCAAGTCCCTCGACCGGAGGTTGACTTTAACCCAAGTATTGTTTATCCACTAATTATGACGAATCAGTGGGAGATACCGATCATTACATCGTCAGTGCGTGAGGATGTGGACAAAAAAGGTGTTCTTTGCTATGTGTGGGATTGTTGCATCAACACTACCTGTATGGGCTGGATAACTAAGGACTTGCAACTCCGAGAGATCCTTATAGAATGGTGTATTGAATCATGCGAACTTAGACAGTCGGTTGAGATCTGTCGTGATCATCTAAGCTTTCCCAAATTGAAAAAGAAGGGAGATAAAATACCGCCCTTGGACATATTAACCAATGATCTCACACATAACTACAGAGAGGAGGTCGATTCTATCGTACAAGAGGGGACTAAAGATCCTACAAGCATACTGGCGATGAAAAGAGATTTGCTAAGTGCTGAAGAATCTATGATAAGTGATTCAGGCACTCTACCTCCACTTTTCCCACGCGATCAGAAGACAAACAAAAGACCTATCATAGAGGAAATCGAAAATTTAACTATTAGCTCGGACCCAAATACAGTACAGGCCAATAAGGCTCTAAAAAAAGCTCAGCAAAAAGAGCTTACATTTGATGTCGTGATGGGCAAGATATCCAATAACGTGGATTACATACTCAAAGTCGAAGTTACCTCGGAATTGTCCTGCCTTGATGAATATGACGTACAATACAATAAGATGAATAACGAATTGTTAATACAAAATCGAAATTTGACAAACTATAAGGAAAAAAAATTGGCTATAGCTCTCCCAAATGTTTTCAAGACTCAAGAGCCAAGGCTTAAAATATCATTCATTAATATGGATAGGAAACTAATTGTATATCTATAAAGTAATTTTTAGAATCTAATGAGGAGGGAAAGCCAGATTTTCTCTATGTGCAACGTACTCGCTATCGGCGTAGCCTAACACAGATTCGATCTGATCGCTTTGCAGTCCCTTTATCTTTTGGAGCTCCCCACTCGTATAATTACACCTGGCCCTTCCTATGATGGTTAATGGAGTGTTGGGATCCAAGCTGCCATCTGATAATTTAGCACCAAGTTTCAAATCCACGCATTCGAGCTCGTGAAACTGCCCCTCAACATCAATGACTCCTGCAGGTAAAAGACCAGCCTTGTTTTTGCGAGTAAGAGCTGCATATGCACCTCGATCTATCACGACAGCACCCTTGCTTACTAAACCATGCAGCATCCAGAACTCTCTACTCTTTAAATGATGTTGATTCTCATCCGCTGTAAATCTTGTGTGCAACGGAATTCTATTCTTCTTCAAATGGTCCAACTCACTCAATTGTAATTGCTCAAAATTGTCTATGACGTTATCACTTTTATTCTCTAAAGTCTGCATATAACACACGACCTTATAAATGTTGGCAGGTTCTGAGCTTCTCATTATGATAGTGTTAACTCCGGCATTCGTGGCTAATTCTGCTGCAATCAGTTTTGTCATCATACCACCAGTACCGACGTCTGAGCCAGAACCACCGGAAGTATTTACGCCATTCAAACTTTGAGACATATCTGGAACTATCAATATTGGCTTGGCATCAGGATTAGCCCTTGGGTTATCAGTATATAAACAGTCGACATCTGTAAGTAGGAAAAGATAGTCAGCCCCACACAGAGCAGCCGTGATTGCAGATAGAGTGTCGTTGTCACCGAATTTAATTTCACTTACCGATAAGGTGTCGTTTTCATTGACAATGGGAACCACGCCCATTTGTAAAAGCTCGTATATTGTATTTTGTGCATTTTTATATTGAGTCCAGTCCACAATATCATTTCTAGTTATCAAGATCTGAGCGATTCTTTGACTGAATTGTGAGAACAATGAGTCCCATCTTCCGATCAGTCTGCCCTGGCCCACCGCAGCTATAGCTTGTACTTGCGCCAAGTGCTTAGGTCTCTTCTCCAAGTTCAGTGTCTTCAGTCCAACAGCGATACCACCGCTCGAAACTATAATAACCTTGTGACCCATTCGACGAAGCTTTACGACAGTTTCGACCACCAAAGACATGATGGAAAGCTTGGGTTCCTTCGTTTTCTCATCAACCAAAGATGAGGATCCTAACTTGATTACTATCGTGTAAGTTTTACTCATGACTAAGAAGTTCGGAGCTGTACTCTATTTCGATGAACTGATGTGAATCATTTTAGTGAAAACAAAATAGGAAGAAATTTTCCGACAATTAGATTTGAAATCACGTGTACCGTATACAGACTGCTTAAGGCCCTTGAATCTGTGGATATATACATATATAAAGCAATAAATCAGATTTTCAAACCTCGTAAGTTACTCAAGTAAGTCATGATCATCTCTAATGTAGTTTCCTCATCTTGTTTATACGTGTAAAGCGATTTCGTGATATTAATGATCAACGGCACTTGTTTTCTCAATTCATCGACTGGATAGGCGTCAAAAAGAAGTCGGTAATGAACATCTATGATGATGTTATAGATGCCACCCAGGTGTCAAATGCTGTTGTGGGCAATTTTACAACTCATCAGTATTCTGAATTGTTGATCTCACGTACTAACTTGCTATCAATTTATAAAGTCTCCAAAGGTAAATTAATACTCAAACATGAATTCAAGTTACATGGTGCAATCGTTGATATGGCATTAGTGCCACAGGCCGATGGTGAGCTGGATTGTCTAATACTAAGTACTGGCAAGGCCAAACTTTCCATTGTGCGATTCAATGTCAATATGCCAATACAGCTAGAAACATTAAGTCTACATTACTATGAAGCAGAGTTTGAGAAGAGAAGCATTATAAAACTGGCTAAAACTTCGAAATTAAGGGTAGATCCACAGAGGCGATGTGTGATTCTGTTCAATAATGATTGTTTGGCAGTTCTCTACCTTAAAGATGAGGACGAGGATGATGAACAAGAAGAAATTTACCATCAAGACAAGAAGCAAAAAGTCACAGATAAAGAGACAGGACCCTATAGTCGTAGCGTGATTATAAGTGCCACGGGATTGAATTCAGGAATTAAAAACGTCATTGATATCAACTTTCTCAATTCTTTCAACCGACCCACAATTGCCGTATTGTATCAGCCTAGGCTTGCTTGGTGTGGTAACGAGAAGGTTGGAGGTGAAAACACAACTAGGTTACTTACTTTAACGCTAAATGAAAACAAAAATACAACGATTTTCGAGTTGCAGGGTTTACCTTTTGATACACACACCATAATTCCCCTATCGAATTCAATCGTTCTTGTGGGTGTGAATGAATTAATCAATGTCGATAATACTGGCGCATTGCAAGCTTTTATTCAGTTGAATGCGTTCTCTTCAAAGAACTTGGCAACGAGACGAATAGACAATAGTTCTCTTAACGTCATGTTTTCAGATCCCGTGGTATGGACTTCGAAGATGGTTGCCAAGGATCGTGAGCTTCTGCTGACTGTAGATCATAGCGGTGAAATGTATTGCGTCTCTCTACAATCTGAGGGTAGACTCTTAATCGATTTTTGTTTGACCAAAGTTCCAATCGTGAACTCTACATTCAAGTCAAACAGCATTCCAACATGTATTGTGCCAGTAAATTCACAGCTTTCATTGAAAGATAGCCAACTTTTTTTTGGGTTTTTGAGTGGTGATGCATTACTTGTTAAGATCAATAATCTCCAATCAATCTTCGATACACAACATACACAGACAGTTGATATAAAGGCGGATGAAGACGAAGAATACGAAGATCTTTATGGTGACGAGGAAAGCAATTCAAATAGCAAGAAAGGTGATCAAAAAGTTGTCGTAGAAACAATCGCTCCCTTTGATAATGAAGTTACTGACAGATTGATGAATATTGGCCCCATTACCTCGCTGACTGTAGGTAAAGTTTCATCACTTCAACGAAACGTTGAAGGACTTCCAAATCCTAACATGAACGAATATTCAATTATAACAACGTCAGGAAATGGCAGTGGTTCTCACTTGGCTGTAGTCCAGCCAAGCGTCCAACCTACAGTTCAGCAAGTTTTTAAATTTACTTCAGTGACTCAGATCTGGAATTTGAAAATTAGAAACAAGGACAAGTATCTTGTAACTACCGACTCAGGGGCAGAGAAAAGCGATGTTTTTGAGATCAATCGGAAGTTCACATTGCTCAAACCAAAGCATTTCAAAAGAAACATGACGACAGTCGAAATAGCTATCATTGGAGGAGGTAAGAGAATCGTTCAAGTTACTACTAAAGCTGTCTATCTTCTCAATCTAGGCTTTAAAAAATTAATGACAATAAGTTTTGACTTCGAAGTTGTGCACGTATCAGTTCTTGACCCTTTTATTTTGTTGACAAATTCCAAGGGTGAGATAAAAATCTATGAACTGGAGTCGAAGCACCGTAAGAAGCTTGTAAAAGTTAAACTTCCTATGGCTTTGGAAGAAATGATCATCACATCGGGTGTTATTCTGAAAAGTAGCATTTGTAACAAATTCATCGTCGGTCTCGAGGATTCATCCGCTGAGCAACTTCTTTTTACCTTTGTTACTGCTGATAACCAAATTATATTCTTTCCTAAGGAACATCATGATAGAATTTTCCAACTAAATGGCGTTGATCAGCTCAATGAGATGCTTTTCATCAGTACTTATCAACTGCCAGAAGAAATCAATCCAGATCCCTCCATCAAGCAAGTAATGATTAACATGTTGGGAAGGGATAAGAAAGAAGAATTTTTAACCATTCTTACTTTTGGTGGTGAAATTTATATGTACAAGAAAATTGGGAGCAGATTTTTCAAATCTTCATGTTGTAACGATTTGTTAATAACTGGTGCCCCTGATAATGCGTACGCCAAGGGTGTCAGTTCTATTGAAAGAACTGCCTGCTACGTTCAAGCTTGTAATGGCTACTCAGTGATCCTTGTTACCGGTAACGTGCCCTATATCATTGTAAAGGAGGATTTCTCCAGTCCTAAGATCTACAGGTTCACAAATATACCTCTAGTTTCACTGTCACCCTGGGGAAAGAACTCCGTCTTGTGTGTCGATGACATAAAAAATGCAAGAATAGTCACTTTGGATCTGTCTTGTTCTTATGGGAATCGTTTACCACTCAAAAGGATAATAATAGAAGATGCACTCAATGAGTTCGAGACTTTGAACAATATTACTTATCATGAAAAATCTGAGATGTATATTGTTTCTTATACCAAAGAAATACCATACGAAGCGTTGAGTGAAGAGGGAGACCGTTTAGTTGGTTACAAGGACGGAGTTCCGCATGCAAAAGGCTTTAAATCAGGTATACTACTTCTGAACCCCATAACATGGAACATAATTGATAAAGCTGAGTACGAGAAAAATTCCTTAATTAATGACATGAAAAGCATGATATTACAGCTGAACTCGAGGACAAAACGGAAGCGCGAGTATGTTGTTATTGGTAATACTTTTGTGAGAGATGAAGATATAGGTACTATGGGTTCGCTTTATTTATATGATATTACAGAGGTTGTTCCCGAACCAGGAAAACCAGACACAAACTTTAAGTTGAAACAAATATTTCACGAAGAATTCAGAGGGGCCGTCAGTAGTGTATGCGAGATAAGTGGGAGATTCTTGATCAGTGAAAGTCAGAAAGTTCTGGTACGGGACGTTCAAGAGGACAACTCTGTTGTTCCTGTTGCATTTTTGGATGTTCCCGTATTTGTCACCGATTCGAAAAGTTTCGGTAATTTGCTTCTTATCGGAGATGCAATGCAGGGCTTTCAATTCATTGGCTTTGACGCTGAACCTTACAGAATGATCAGCTTGGGAAGAAGTGTCACAAAACTGGAAACTATGTGTGTCGAATTTTTGGTTAACAATGGTGATGTATTTTTTCTTGTGTCTGACCGTGAGAATATTTTACATGTTCTGAAATATGCTCCAGATGAACCAAACTCACTCTCTGGGCAGAAGTTAGTTCACTTTACAAGTTTTAATCTACTTGCAGCCAATACGTGCATGAAACTTCTCCCCAAAAATCGGGAGTTTCCCACCACGGGCGCTTCACAATCTTTTCAAGTTATTGGTGCCCAAACAGATGGTTCCATTTTCAAGGTTGTTCCATTGACAGAGGCTAGTTATCGAAGACTATATGTTGTCCAGCAACATTTGATTGATAAAGAAATTCAGCCGTGTGGTCTAAATCCTAAAATGGAAAGACTTCAGAATGAATACTATCAACTTGGGCATCTAATGAGACCTCTTTTGGACTTTACTGTGATTAAAACATTCGGAAACCTTCCCATCAATAAACGTAAACAGCTAGCGTCTAAGGCAGGCAGACAAGCTCATTTTGACATATGGAGAGATTTGATTGAAGTTGAATATTCATTGAGATCACTTGCGAAGTGAATCTCATCCAATAATCTTACCAAACCATAGATAATTTTAAGTTGTATCCCGTTGTCCTTTAAAAGAAGTACGACATTGTTTGATTCTGGAATGTAACGGTATAAATCGTATATGGTAGCTATTACTATATGATGATGTATAAGTGTTTCAACAATCAAAACGTTGACGTAGGGCAAATATACGGTGAAAGTATGTACATTTGTGAGTTTCTAGACACTGTCTCAGGTCACATAACTCACTTTCTGAAATAGCGCCATGTCCTTTACTATCAAAAAAAATTACTTGTTATTATTTCTACACTATAAGGTGAACAAGATAAACCCAGAGGTTAATTATGCCAGTCAAGAGGAGGTCTATGCCTAAAAAGACGGTTTCGTTCTCCGACGATGAAACTTTGATTCGGACTCGTCAATTAAATGGTAAGAAAATGCCTGTCGATCACTATAATCCACCCGTTTATGTGCGAAAGACCTTATTAACAGTTCCATTTCATCTGCTGCCACTACTCTACCACTTCATAAAATGCTCTGACAATTATGATGTGGCAAAGCTTCTATGTTTCTTAATTCCTTTACAATCTCTTTATTTGATTTTTCAATTCAATAGAAGCACTGTTTATGGAAATAAAATATTGAAAATTCACTTTGGGCTTTTATTCATATCTCTGGCTGCAAGCCTGTTACTCACATTACCATGTATGGCTATGATCATTCTATTAGGTGCACCAATGACTCAATTGCTAAAAGAGACGTGGATATTGGCGGCACATTGCTGCTTCTTGGCGTATCCGGCTGTTTATTCTGTGTTCAACTGTGATTTCAAGGTAGGGATATTCAAAAAGTACTTCGTAAGTATTGCCCTGGGGTGTTGGATAAGCTGCGTGGTTCTTCCATTAGACTGGGATAGAGATTGGCAAGAATGGCCTATTCCCATCGTCGTCGGCGCCTACCTTGGGGCATTTGTTGGCTACCCGGCGTGTTCGTACATATAGGAAGTTTTATTATTGAAGCCTCCAGCTAATCGCATGTAAGAGGAATATGTATACTAGAAGTCAATATTTAGATAATTATTGTTTGAATGCCTTGAGGAGCTCATCATCGGAACAAACTTTCGAACCTGGGACAAATGCGGTCTGTAGCAAGAGGGACCCCGGTCCTTGTATTTTACAATAGATTTTATCTTTATGAAACAGCTTTCCCCACCAAAGGGCAAATCTGTCGTAGTAATGTCCGAAATTTAGTGCAAAGTTGCTCTTTGACCAAGACTTTATGAACTGAGGTATGACTGTCTTGGACTTTAATTCTGAAATTCGTAAGCTCACTTTATCATTATATCCTAAAATAGAGTCTGGATTTACAGTAATGTTTTCACCTGGCTCCAAATTCAATTGGTATACAGGTCCCTTACCCCCAATTGCCACAATCCCACGTCCCCTTAAACTATGTCCAAATTCCAATTTCAAGTCACCACTGTAACATAAAACATCGTTCTCGGGATCAGTGAGATACCAGCCCTGCTTGTAATCATCAATTTGTATGATAGTAATATTTGACATTGGAGTGCTTGAAACCATAGTAGCATTGACGGGGTGCTCACCCGTTGAGACTTTCGAGAACGGCGCATTTTCCAGTGCATCCAAAGATAAGAAAGGTTGTTTAGCGGCACTCTGCTCAACATTCAAGGCGCTAATCTTATCAAGTCGTGTGTAAATGGTGCAAAATGAAGGTAATTTCAGCATCATCGAACCTTGTAGAGGTTTGAATTCGGGAAGTTCAGAAAAAGGGCCCTGAGCGGTACCACTTTTCCTTGATGAGAACTCTATCAGCTCTTGTGTATATCTTGAGGCTGTGTAATGTATTGTTCTTGATCCCTTTGGTATTATCTTCAATGCCTGCCACATTATTACTCGACCAATAGCATACATAGCATCTCAAACCTTTTCACATGTAAAAAAAATACTAACTTTTGTTCAACACCCAATGGACATAAACTAGAAAAGAGAATTTTATTTATAAGATCAAAACAACTATAAAATACAATTAGAATGAAATTTAATCAAAAAAGGCGTAGTAGGCATTAAAGAAATTGTCGTCCGTGATTCCGCAAGTAGTGGGTGCACGCGAAGTGAAGGGTTCCCGCTGGTTATAAAAATCTGTCTTGATTAAAGACTCTGAAATAATGCGCAATTTGGCGACGTTTTTTTGGACAGTAACCGGCTCTACATATTTGAATCCATTCATAGGAAGTTGTGGGGTACCACGTGGTTGTGCGTGCTCTTGGTGAGCTGCTTCCAACATCACCACGATTGCGTTGGTGATCCTGTTGACCAAAGGATCCACTGCCCGGCAGTTCTTGGCGTAGTCTGTCAAGAGCATGGATATTTTGCGTAGCAGCAAGAAAAACATTTCCCTTTGTTGTTCTACCTCTGCATTTGAGTTAATCTGTGATCTCTGAAGCAGCGCAAATATCATACAGCACAGGTTGTAAAGTGTGTTGAAGGAGTATTTTATAAACATGAATTCGTAGCCAGCGAACTTGATGTTTGCTAGTCCTGAAAAAATGTAGAAGACGGTTTCTTGTAGAAACTGCAAGAATTCCTTGATTCTGACAGAGAATTGTGTTGAATTGTTGACCGATTCGTAATGAAGAAGAACGTAATACTGCAAAAACAGTTGCGCGTTACGATAAATCAAACTGTCAACGATGCAACTCAGTACCAGATATGAATTCACACATCTCTGGAATACAGCAGCAAGTTTATTTTTGAAATCGTCCATGTATGCTTTTATCTTTTCGACTGAGAGAGTTTCTGATTTTGAATGTAAATATTTCAGAAGTTCGATTTCAAACTTAATCAACTCTGAGTTATTCGACAAGAGGGGATCGAGTTCGGGAGTTGTATTCGCAGAAGGTACACATACCAGATGAGGTAATTCACCTCGAGCAAGATGCCTCCAGCAGTAATTTTTGTAGATGAAGTTCCATAGCAGAACCAATTCCTGGTCTTGGGTCTCCTGATTCAAACCGAAATTCAGAGCCAAGTGAACATCTTCGTCGAGATCCGGACTTGCATCTGTAGAAAGCATTTGGTAGTACTTCCATAGAGCAATGTAGCGCGAAATTGCAATCGTGGGTGGTCTCAAAAGTAAATGTTGCCTAATCTTGGTGACATTTTCCTTCAAAATAGGGACCCACGTTACCTGTAATTTTTGAAACACCGCTAAATTTTCATCCTTCAAAGGGATAAGTACCGAAGAGGCTAGTGCGTGATATGCTAGGAGTAATGCAATAGATATTTTCCCCACGATCAGCAGTTGGCTTAAGTTCTGTGGTGTACCTGATACACTGTGAAGATGTGCAAGTAGCTCGTTCGGCTTCAAGATTGGGATTAACAAAGTCGTATCTACCTGGGACATGAATTTTTTCAGTACTATGGTAATAAAATCAGCACTTGGGAGACGTAAGTTGAACTCTTTGTTGAATGGTTGTGGAATTGACTGTTGAACACCTCGAATCTCTGAAAGCTTGCGCTGGAAGTTATTAGCCATTACATCGTAAACTTTGTTATGAAATACGCACAAGAAATCGTCACGTATCCTCAAAAAGTCAATGTGAAAGAGAGAGTTAGGCTTGTCGCGAAGTTTTGAATGTGATTCGGGCAAGAAGCGGGATTTGTGCTTGAAAATTTGAAAAACAGAATCAGGATTAAGGAAAGCTGGGTCCAAATCCTGGAAATCGTTGATAGTCCGTCTAGCGGGTTGTTCGGTGCGTGAGTCAGTTGTCTTGCGTTTCTTCGTGCTCTTGAGAAGATCCTCGTCGATTTTAGTGCCCGTTAGGGTTTGTAATTCAATCAGCCTGCTGCGCAAAAAGTCCATTTCCTTATTCAGTACTTCTTCTTGCGTGTAAGGGCATTGTACGAGATCGAAGATGGCAGGCCCCTGCACCCAGTGCTGCGGAGCCGCCTCGTCGTCAGATCCCATGTTCATGTTCACGTGCGCGGCGGCCTCGTCGATAACTCTCGGAATGAATTGGGGGTGCTCTGTGGGCGCAGGAGACACGGTTTGGTGAGAGTTGATCAATTGCAATTGAGAGTTGTACTCCCGAATTTGCTCTAGACTTGCGAGTTCTGGATTGCTGCTGAACGCGCTGCTAGGCGAACCCTGTTGCGCCGCGAGTACCGAGCTGCTTTGTACGTACACCCCTGGTACATCTGGGAAAAAGCAGTCATTCTTACCATTTCTCAGACAGTTGCCGCAAATGGGCTTTTGTCGGTCACATCCGATCTTCCGTTTACGGCATTGCACGCATGCCGGCGGTTTCTTCATCTTTCTGCCTCTGATATCAACGGCCATCTCTTAGTTTTACAATGCGCGCGTTCGGAGAATCAACACTTGAAAAACACGAAAAGCGGCCAAATACACGAAAGACGCAAAACAACAGTTTAGTCCTCTAGAAGTGCGTATATTCCAAAGAGTTAGTCACCAGAAACCGGACCTTGTGCTTTATTCGACACAGAAAATAGGGGGAATGATTGTTTTCATACATTTTATAAAGGAAAATTTTTTAAAAAGCTACTGAAAGGTCGAGGGATACTCGTCAGATGTGATTTTTCATCAGGCTTTGGCCTAAGCCAAGGCAGCGGTGGTTGGAAACGCGCAACAGCAGGGGTAGTAAGTGTTAGATATGGGTTGTTGTGTTGCGATAAACGTATGCATCTGTGTGTGCAGTATGCGTGTTTGCCCAAGACGCGTTTGCGAGAAGCGGTGCGCGGATGAGGCGTGCGCCAGCCGCTTACAATTCGTCGTGAGCAGCAGCTTCCTCTGCCTCGATCTCGGAAGGTGGGACGGTTTCGATCTCACCGCAGGCAATGATGCGCACAGTTTGCTTAGGACGGTCTGAGCGGCCGGTAGGTACTTTCTCGATCATGTGTACGACGTCCATACCCTCGATGACTTCGCCGAACACTACGTGGCGGCCGTCGAGCCATGGAGTTTCAACAGTGGTGATGAAGAACTGAGAGCCATTGGTATCACGGCCACGGTTGGCCATGGATAAACGACCTGGACGGTCGTGCTTTAGAGTGAAGGGTTCGTCAGCAAAAGTGTTGCCGTAAATGGACTTGCCACCGACACCCGTGCCGTCAGTGAAGTCACCACCTTGGATCATGAATTGCGGAATGACGCGGTGGAACGTGGAGTTGATATAGCCCATGTTTGGATCTTCAGAGATGGTCAATTCATAAAAGTTTTCAACAGTACGAGGTGCTACCTGGCCAAACAGCCCCATCACAATACGGCCGAGCTTTTCATCACCGTGTTGGATGTCAAAGAACACCTTGTGGGTAACAATGGGTTCAGAAGTAGCAGCAAAGACGCATGCGAATAGACTTAGCAAAGAGACCAAGTGATAAAGCAAAGCCATTTTAATAACTCTTGATGTGCTGGCGTAGATTTTGAGTTGAGAGGAAGGGGGGCGCGCGTGTTTTGTTGGACAAAAAGGTTTGCGATTCGTCCGTATTTCGTGAGGATCCAAGATGCCCAAATTACAAGTAGACAGGGTTTGATTTCATACTAGTGACGAGAAGCTTATCCATGAGCTCGCGTGTGATCACATCAGCATGTGCTGGCATGTTGGCAGCTGGATCGGTAGAACCCGTGAGGATGCTTTGTGTATTGGCGGTGCCCGGCCCTGCTGTGCCAGCAGAGCCCGCGCTCGTGACAACGGTAGGGGCAGCAGACGCAGGTGCAGAGGCAGGTGCAGCGTCTGCACCCCTGGGACGGGTTCCAGGGGTTGTAGGGGTGGGAATGAAATTAGCTCCCTGCGAAGGTTGGAATTGACTCATACGACGGAGAGATGCGAGTGCACGCGAAAGATGAAAGTTGGTCGCCAGTAGACGACTCTGCACAATCTTGGCAGCAGCAGGGGCCTGGTAAACGTTGGCACCAATGATGTAGTAGTCTTGAAGAGGCTCGACAGAAGTGGGTCCAGTACGATTTTGTTTGCGAATGACCCAAAAGTCGGGCTCGCGTACGTACGCGAGGATATACTCTATTCCTTTCAATTTGCGGAGTTCTTGATCAAGCATAGAATGCACTAAATAGGTTGATAAGATGGCTTGACGATGTGGATCAATGTCTGTACCCGGGACCGCGGTGACTCCTGTGTCTGAGGGTTTTGGTGTACGTACGGGTTGGCGGGGCTGCGCGAATTGCTGTTGCATCTTGGCGACCTGATTGTTCGAAGTTCTATCGTAAAAGGGGGACTGTGAGAAATAATCCAGTACGTTGTCCGTACGCAGCCCGAAGGATTGGATCCACTCGGGGGATTTCCATTGCAACTCGTCGAGTGGTAATTGTGTCATGGCGTGTGAAGCAGAGGACAGAAAACTGGAAAATTGGCGAGGTGCGCGAAGTAATAGCGAACGGCCGAAAATGCCAGTATGTGGCGAAACGCATCTGCAAAGCTGGAGACATGTAACGGGGATATGCTATGGAGCAAGAAAGTGTGGTAGAGAACTTGGTAGAGAGTGGTGGTTGTGAGATGAATAGCTATAGGTAGAAACCCGGGAAATCGCCTTCGAAAGGGTCCAACGATTCGAGGTCGCCGTCCATAGTGACTGCGGGTTCTGAGGTTATATAGCGGATTTCGCTCACGTACACGTCCTGCGTGTCGTGATGGTAATCTGTCTTGCCCAGCCGGTATGCGATCTCTTGCATGCGGATTTTGTCGCAGCGGTCTTGTTCACTGGAATCCGCAGTGCAATAGCTGCAGTAGCGGGCGAGTTTGTGGGTGATCACCCGCACAAACTCGGCCTCGGGTCCATGTGTAGTTTCTGTACATGAACGTTTGCTGGGCGGTGCTGTGGTGTAATTGGAGTAGTCTTCGGAATCAAATGCGCGCTTGGCATCTGCAGGAGCGGCCGCATGCGCGCGGCACTGCACAACAATGTCTTCAAGCGGCAGAGGTAGCACACGCGGTAGGTGGCACGCGGGAAGAGCGGCGGTCGGCGCGGTTGAGCCAAGCGCCACGTCGTGGTCCCATGCGCTTTCGGCGCGGACGAGCCACTCGAGGGCCGCGCACGACGAGAGCACGGACGATGCGCGCGAGCTGCGCGGCGCCTCGCGGGCGCTGGCGCAGTCGCTGGCAGTTTGCGCAAGTGCGCCCGCTGCCGTGTCGGCGTCTGGGGACGATGAGCATGGGGACGCCGACGATGAGGAGGAAGATACGCGCGCCAGGACGAAAGCACGGTCACGTGCGCAGTCCGCCGCCCGTTCCGTCAAGAGTGACACATGCGCGTCCACGTCACGTGCGTTAAACTCCGGTGGCGCCGGCGGCGCCGGCGGCGTCGTTTCGACCGCGGACCTGGAGGCGGCCCTGGCGGCTCTGAGCGCTGCCTGAGCCGTCAACGTTGCAGCCCGAATCGGCTGAGTGTGCACGAGCTCCGAGAACCCGCAGGGGTCCGCGGCGGGCAGGCGCAAGGTTTCGTCGGTGGCGGCGTCCAGCGCCAAGAACTGGGCCACGACGTCTGGCTGACGGGCCACGAGCCGTCGAGACGTGTGTAGATAAGCAATATCCTGTTGCATCCGAGAGCTTTGTGTGCGTTCGGGCGCTGGGGGCATCGCTGGTGGCGACGGTGGCAAGCCGCCGACGCCACCGTATATATATGTGTCGCGAAATGGAACATGAGCTCGGCGACGCGTCGTGTTTACGTCGCAGCCGGACAAGCGATGCGATCGCCCCTGGGGCTTGCGGCTCAGACGCGGCCGCAGGCGGCGGCGGGGGCGGGGGACTGGAGCTGGGCGGCTATCTGCGGCGCGGTGTGTGGGCGCTGGCGACGGACTATGACCCATGCACCGGGCATCCGTGCACCGGGCTTTGCTGTGACTGCGTGCGCCCGTACATCTTTTGGTGGTCTCCTTTTTTCATTTGCCACCCAGACCCCGCGCGAGCTCCCGGGCGAGAAATCTCGCGCGCCTCGCCCGTGCCCCCGCTCCCGTCGCAACGTCGCAACCGCACGTCTCACTCGCGCACTCGGCCACCTCTTTCAAATGGTTTTTCAGGTTCCATCTCTGGAATACGCTTCTGAGAACACGCAAACCATCGACAAAAATGTATGATATGAATGCTACTAGAGAGTGCGGGCGCTGAGCCAGACGAGACGGAGAACTTAGAGCTAGTGGTTGCGACAGAAACCGAGACGAGACAGAACGCGAGACGAGCACCCATGTGGCCGTGTGTGAGCCCTGTGACGTGAGAGAACCTGTGACCAGTGCAAGTCAACGAGGGCACCAGCTGGCGAGACCCCTCGTCGACAAGGACCCCGGTTGACGCCAGCTCCGTCCTGTTTTCCCCCAAACGAGGCCGTCTCTGGAACAAAGAACATGCGGCAAAGTTGCGCAACATTACCGGGCCCGCTGAACACCACGGACTGAACGTCTTTTCCCCGCTTTCCTCCGCTTACTTCCGCTCCCGCTCCCGCTCCCGCTTCCGCACCCGCTTCTCTCCTCCCTCCCCCCCCCTAGAATCCTTACTAACTCCCCGCAGGGCTAAGAGAACAAAGAAGGTTGGTATTACCGGTAAGTACGGTGTCCGTTACGGTTCTTCTTTGAGAAGACAGGTCAAGAAGTTGGAAATCCAACAACACGCCAGATACGACTGCTCTTTCTGCGGTAAGAAGGCCGTCAAGAGAGGTGCCGCCGGTATCTGGACCTGTTCCAGCTGTAAGAAGACCGTTGCTGGTGGTGCTTACACTGTTTCCACCGCTGCCGCTGCCACTGTCAGATCCACCATCAGAAGATTGAGAGACATGGTTGAGGCTTAAACGGCTTTACTGCAATTTACATAACATGTTTATACTTTAATGTGTTTGATTCGATAGGCGCCGGGATCGGAGAGGGTAGAGAGTCTGTGCGTGCGAAGTGATATCCAGTTGTCGTTGTCGACGACGCTCGCTTTGTACGTCGGTCCAATGGACGGCTCGCCACCCACACACCGCCGGCCCGGCCTATATCCCATCTTGTTGTGGTGGTTCTCCCCCACGTCCCATTAGCCCGTGCTTTCGACCGCCGCTCGAAGCTCGTCAATTCGACCGAACCGACTCATCTGTCGTCGATTGCGGCCGGCAACCGCTAGAAAGCACCCCTGGCATGACCGAAACCACATTTGTTATGGCACGTATAAGAGGCCAGCGGTAACGGCGTGGTAAGGACCCCGTTGTGTGGTCGGGTCGTAAACCAGCAATTGTTCCAGTAGTGTCTGTTGTTCCAGTTGTTCCAGTTGTTCCAGTTGTTGTAGTAGCTCCAGTTGTTCCAATTGCTCCAGTTGCTCCATTTGCATCTCCCATCTAGCTGCTCAATCGCGTCAAACTACAGGATCTCTCTGCAGCATGTCGTCCAGTAAAAACAAGTCGTCACATCCGGCTATTAATCTCGTGGCAGGCGGCACCGCCGGGCTGTTCGAGGCGCTGTGCTGCCACCCGCTCGACACCATCAAAGTGCGCATGCAAATCTACAAGCGGGACGCGTCCAAGGGCTCCAAGCCTCCGGGGTTCGTGCGCACGGGCCGCAATATCTACGCTGAAGAAGGGCTGCTGGCGTTCTACAAGGGCCTGGGGGCCGTGGTGATCGGTATCATCCCCAAGATGGCGATCCGGTTCACTTCGTACGAGTTCTACCGCCAGCTGCTCGCAGACAAAAACACCGGCATTGTCTCCACGGGCAACACGTTTGTTGCAGGTGTGGGCGCGGGTATCACCGAGGCCGTACTCGTGGTCAATCCCATGGAGGTGGTCAAGATCCGGCTGCAAGCGCAGCATCTGCGGCTCGTTCCTGCGGTTGCGGAGCTCGCCGGGGCCGTGGGGCCCTCCACGGCGTCGCCTGCTGCGGCTTCGACCGCTACTGCCAACATGGTGGCCACTCCGCACTACCGGAACGCCGTGCAGGCCGCGTACGTGATCGTCAAAGAGGAAGGTCTGTCTGCGCTGTACCGTGGTGTGTCGTTGACCGCGGCGCGCCAGGCCACCAACCAGGGTGCCAATTTCACAGTTTATTCCAAGACCAAAGAGTATTTGCAGCGCTACCATGGTACCGACACGTTGCCCTCGTGGGAAACCTCGCTGATCGGGCTCATGTCCGGCGCGGTCGGACCCTTCTCGAATGCCCCGCTCGACACCATCAAGACCCGTCTTCAAAAGGACCGCTCCACCACCAACATGTCTGGGTGGGCGCGCATCGTCACCATCGGCCGCCAACTCATCCGCGAAGAAGGCTTCCGTGCCCTCTACAAAGGTATCACTCCGCGTGTGATGCGCGTTGCCCCGGGCCAGGCCGTCACTTTCACCGTCTACGAGCTCATTCGCAAGCATTTGGAGTCTCTCGGACTTCACAAACCGTCCTCTCCTTCCAAGAGTACGCCCTTGAAATGAGTGCCCACTGGGCTCTGACCGGTCCCGGGCCAAACCCCTGAACGCTTGGGCTCCGTTATAGCATGCTCTTGGAGTGTTACGTACAAATCCATATTCCTTATAGTCAATAAAAGAAAAAGAATCAGAAACAACAGAAGGTTGGTTCCCAAGGAAAAAAATAATAAAGGCTCGATTACACAATCAATTGCAACGTATAGCGGTCCTCTCGCTTGATCCGTACACACCTTCGTCTTTGATTGAATCGTGCGCAAACCAGCGTCACTATTCTTTGTCAACCTGGTAACTCTAATCGCAAACCGTCGTACATAGCAACTTCTCTATCCCTTAGAGCTGGCCACGCTATTAGCACATATATATATACAGCAATTTGACACTAAATCAGCAACTGTCCATTTGCAAAACCACACAATGGCCTCCAAAGTCCCAAGATTTTACAAATTGTCGAGCGGATACAGTTTACCCTCCATCGGACTGGGCACCTACGACATCCCAAGGGGAGAGACTGCCAACGTGGTGTACGAGGCGCTCAAAGTGGGATTCAGGCACATGGATACTGCTGTGCTATATGGTAATGAGCATGAAGTTGGCCAGGGTATCGAGCGCTGGTTGCAAGAGGACCCCGAGACGAACAAGCGTGAAGACGTTTTCTACACCACCAAGCTTTGGAACTCACAGAATGGGTACGAAAACGCCAAGCGCGCCATCCGCGAGTGCCTCGAAAAGGTCAAGCCATTGGGTTACATCGACTTACTGCTAATTCATTCGCCCTTAAGTGGGCCACGCCGTCGCCTCGAGACTTGGAAAGCCATGCAAGAAGCCGTTGACGAAGGGCTTGTCAAATCCATCGGCGTGTCAAACTACGGGATCAAGCACATAGAAGAGCTGCTCGGCTGGGATCAATTACGCCACAAGCCTGTTGTTAACCAAATTGAGATTTCTCCCTGGCTCATGCGCCAGCAACTAGCCGACTTTTGCAAATCTAAAGGTCTCGTGGTCGAGGCGTACGCCCCACTCACCCATGGCTATAAACTCAATCACCCCAACGTACTTCGCGTTGCAAAAGAGGTGGGCTGCAATCCGGGACAAGTCCTCATTCGCTGGTCTCTGCAGCATGGCTACGTTCCCCTCCCCAAGTCCAAGACCGTGAACCGGCTGCAGGGCAATTTTGACACTTACAACATCGAGCTCACACCTGAGCAAGTTTCGTTTTTGGACCAACCTGATGCCTACGAGCCCACTGACTGGGAGTGCACGGATGCACCTTAGGTTATTCACATAAAGTCGGCATCTGAACGGAGTTGAGATGCACGACAGAAATGCCCTGGTGCATGAACTACGATGTGTTACCCGGTCCATGTCCACCAACGAACTACAAACTGAAAATTTTCTCGCTCCCTCCTACAGTTCTCCCTTTCACTTATACAAACTATACATATTATTTAACATCTTCTGGATTACCAGCTGGGACACGGTAGCGCTATGTGTACTTGGCGCAAATGGCCGGAAGTAGAACTATTGGCGTGTTTTGCACGCTCATCCCCCTAGTATAATCCGTTGGTAGCTTTTGCAGCTTCCAAATGGTTCGCTCTGGGGGGACACTTCTTCTTTCCAGTAGCATAATGCCTCTTTGGGTTTAAAGTAAATAACTGTAAATCGTTCGGCACGCGTTCGACGCGCGTTCGATTATTCTGGAGTTCTAAGATAAGGATTCACCGTTACGTGTGGCGCCATCTCGAGAAGATTCGCGGCCGTTGAAAACCTACATGATTTACGCATATCCTGTGCCTATTTTGATCGGCCTCTTAGAAACCTCCATGGTAGAAGTGGATTAGCTCAAACGCGGGTCTCATCTAAGGTTTGTACCGTAGGCACTGGACTGTGATCGTAATTTTGGTACCGTACACTTGTATTTAACGTCAACAGTGCGGAACTGAACCGTTTGTTTACGATCATCGACTGAGGCTGCTTGAAAGACATGTCAGAGTTGTTTCTGTCGGACCCTTTTTCCAGACCTTTCGAAAGGCGTGAGAACAGTAGCTCGCCGATCATGAACATATTCAGGCCCTTTGGAGCCCCGGCTCCCGCCCGCAAATGTTCCAAGATTTCAATCTCGGCTCCCACAGTCGTACCCGCCGGAACGCGGAGTCCCGTCGACGTCTTGAATGCATCTCCAGTGTCATGGCAAGACACTAACCCTACGTTCCTCGATGTACTGCACGATTACCTGCCCAACGATGACACGGAATTGAGGCCCTCCACAGATTTACGTCCGCTCAACGTTTACCGCGGTGAGATGGTGCGCCTCATCGCTAAAGCCGATAATAACCTCGTGTTAGTAAGGCTGGTAAACAGGCTCGGACAAGGTTTGGTACCACTCCGGTGTCTTGCTATAAATGAAAAAATATCACAGGGTGCTAAGGTTTTAGCTGATAAGCTGAGTGAAAAGTCAGAGTCGGACTCTTCTTCCAGCACTCTCAATTACTCCGAGCAGGCTTCTGCAGATTTTTCATTGAGCTCCGAGGAAAAACCATTGAGTCTCGGAGACATACCATCCAGCATCGCGGGTGAAACTATGGTCAATGATGATTTGGTGTCCACTGTCACAAGCTGCCGCGTCGTAAACATTACTATCCGCGAAAGTAGGGTATGGTATCGCACGGACTGCGTCATGCGCTCGGGTCATAGGCGTATTCTATGCCGTTATTATCAAGACTTCTACTCTTTGCAACTGCAATTGCTAGACGGTCTCCGGAAGGACGGAAAACCTAATCCCTCCCAGCTATTGCCCACGTTGCCCTCTCCAACGACGCATGCAAGTAAAGAAAACATTCTCACCAGATGTGAATTGTTCAGTGTCTACCTCAACGCCCTTTTTCAATCTACTTATATTCCTCAGAACACAAAAAGAGAGATCTTGGTTGAGAAATGGCTCTCTCCAAGACCAGGTGACATTGTAAAAACACCACGCGGGTCATTCTACAAGTTGAACAACGCACCTACACTGGATGATGAAGGGGCTTGGGAGCATATTTCACCGGATGCGCTGGAGGAAACAATTGCACATGGAACTCCTTTCGACCACAGCAATTGGTCGACTGAATATAAAGGTCTTCCCACATCGGGTATGAGGCAAAGATCTGCCTCGTTGTTATGCCTATCTCCTGCACAAAGAACTCCAAAGCCCTTTAACAAGTCTGCCCCAACGACACCGCTTGTTCAGCAACCTTCCATGTTTTCGCAAGGCCCCTCTTTGTCTAAATTATCGGTTGAAGAGCTTCCCATAAAAGTTAAAATACTACATGAGGATGACTGTTACGTCTCCAAGTGCTCCATAACAGAGTTGCGCTCTTTCGACAAGTTATACACACTTATTCATTCCAAGCTCGAAGCTTCTCTTCCAAGTGTCGATCAAGCTTTGACAATATATCATAAAGATGAAAAAGAAAACTTCACCCCATTGTTAGACGATGACTCTTATCAGAAAGTCTTGTCTAACATTAAACGATCTGTTGGTACTGCATTCAACACCACCAGCAATTCGGCGTTGAATAAATGCAAATTGACTTTCCAAGTTAAATTTTAGCACGGATCGTAAAACATTTTGATTTTTTAGGTTACAAATGGTTGGTAAATTAAAAGCCAAATTTAAGTATATAGATTAATGCACTTGAATGTACTATTCAAAATAATGTTCAAATTACTTTAGTGGATATGCGTGTGTTATGACAAGGACGATAGAACGACAATGGAACATCTTCATCAATGTCTGTCGGTACTTCGTCTTCTGTTATGTCTGTGAAACTACCTGAGCTAATTTCCCTCTCACGAGCAAGGAAAGGAGGCGTTTGCAAAGGAGTTCTGCCAACTGTCTCGAAGGGAATACGCTTCTGGACTATGATTGTTGCTTCTTCATCTTTATTCAATTTTGCCAACAAACTTGAACTCTCAATATAATCGCAGCTGTCGGGAGAAAGCTTTACAGTTGAAATGCCGGGTATGCTCTCGTCTTTTTTGAACCTCTTCTGTGAATGTTTTAGAGTGTTGTCCATGTTGGCCTTTCGTGGTGTACTTGGAGGCGTCAACTTCCTTTCCTCTTTCTGTCTTTTACGCAACTCGCTATTTTGTCTTTTTAATTGTCGAATTTTATCTATCTCCTGTTGTGTCTTAAAGAAATCTGGTAGTTGTTGTTTTAGATATTCCACCCAATCATCACAATCACAAGCCATTTGGTAGTCTATTATTCCATGCCAATTACAGTCTCCGATTTTCGTCTTGTTGATTAAAATTACTAATCCTCCTCGTTCGTGAACTTGCTTGCTTATGTTTCTTACTAGTTTCTTCACCCCGTCAACTTTTAGGCTGGTACCCATGATGAAAAATAAATCGGGCTTACCACGACCAATATCTATATTTAATCCTTGTGCAATAAACTCACAGCTTGGATGGTTCTCTCCATAAAGTACAATATTTGGTCTTAGTAAACCAATACTTCCCGAATTTCTTTTTCCCAGCATACTCCGCTGTATATTGGTCTGATGACAGCGGGGGCATGAAGGGAGCTCCCCATTTCGAAGGTATCTAGATAATAGTCTGCTCCAAGGATATACTTCGAAACATTGTGTGCAACTCAGTTTATTGAGATCTCCGTGCAACTGTACAACATCAAGTGATTTCCATTGATTGTAAACTGTGGATTCTTCTTTCCTACAAGACGATATTTCAAGCCCCAAGTGTTCTTCTAATCCATCAATATTTTGTGTGTAACAGCGAAGCAGTTTGCCCCTATTCTTCAAGTGCGCAATAAAGCGATGTGTTCTGGTAGGCTGTGCGAGTCTCGTACTGCTGTAAAGTTTCTCCATAAATGTAGCAAATACAGAGATCTTCTCTTCTTCTCTGAAAAGCGAGATATCGAACATTTCTTGTCCTGATCTGATGGAGACATCTGGATACTCTTGCTTTACGAGGTCGTACAGACCGTTTGAAGACCTAAAATCCGGAATGCCTGCATTGCACGAAATTCCTGCCCCTGTTAGCACTAAAATCTTTCTTGATCTGCTTATTTGCTTGTTGATTAAATCAAGTAATTTTGTATCCTGCTCTTCTGAGCTCTCTATTGAAAGATGTTTGAGTTTAGTGGTTTTCAAATCGGGTCTTGAAACTCTTTTGCTCAACGAAGATGGTAGCTTCTCATCGAAGGATTCCTGACTGAATGTTAGACTAGGCATCGTCCTTCTTTGATGAATAACTAAGAAGTGCAGAAAGAGAATGTAGGGCCTTAAAGATGCATATCGCTAAAGCACCTTTTTCAAATCTTTTTCGTTGACTTTTTACCCAAAACGGTAATTTCACAAGAACATTGAAAATACATAATTATGATAGTTCCGGTATTTATATTATGAATATTTGAACCTTCAACCGCCTTGACTGTTCACAGCCAATTCCATAATGAGCTTTGTAGTTAAATGCAAGAAGGGGTAGGCGGAGAAAGTGCTCATTTCATCTTCATTAGAGGAAGGAGAAGCATCACCGTAACTGCTCTCCCAACCATCGAATTTGAAATCGACCAGATAGTTGTTGGCCTCAATTTGGAATAGTTGTATCACCATTTTCATTAGGTCTGGAATTTTCTCATTTGTCGGCTGACCCATGTCGTATTTCCATCTCACTTTTATTGTCCATAAATCCTCCTCGGAAGGTTTCGCCCACTCTGCGCCCAAGTTCTTGAGCGCAATGTATATTTCACCCATTACATCCAGGGGGTATGAACGTGACCTTATACCAAAATGCCACTTAGTCTTTGACTTCTTAATACTTAGAGGTGATATCTTCGTAGCGGCTGCAGAGCCAGCGGCTAACATATTTGCGCGATGGATTTGAGGTAGCGAGCTTGGTAAAATGGCAATCGTGCTATCTTCATCTTTTTGTTGGTCTCCGAATGGCGACTGGTACGTTCTTTGTTGCGTCTTTTTAATATGGTGGTGATGACGTGTGGTAGAACCAGACGGTGACGAGGCATGTTTTGCTTTCTCAAAAGTTGGAGGGGACTGCGATAAAAAGGTGTCCAACTCGTTGCTTTGCTCCTTGTTGGCTTTCAAATCATCGATCAAAGATTTGTTTTCCTTAATTAACATGTATGCGTCCCTAATTTCATTCAGGGCTTGGTTGTCGTCACCCGACTCCAAAGCTTCGTAAATTTCGTCTCTGTCATATCCCATGGTCTTTGACAACATTGTAACTAGCGAGTCATCGACCTCTTCTTCAGCGTCCCCTTGATTATTATTCTGTTCTTCGCCAGCACCCACCACGCTTTTCATGTCAGGTGGTATGAGGTACTCCGGCATGTCCACTTTGAACCACTCATCTTGCATAATCTCATGGATAGTTATTCTTTTAAGAGGGTTTACAATTAGCATTCTTTTGATTAAATTAGCCGCACCTGCGGACAGAAACTTTGGCAACGTGTAGATACCATTGCTGATATTCTTGAAAAGCACAGGAATGCTCTCATCATCAAACGGTAGACGACGGCACAACATCACATACAAAATGACACCTGAAGACCACACGTCGACCTCTGGCCCCGCGTACAATTTCCCGCTGATGACCTCCGGCGCGGCGTAGTTGGGGGATCCGCACGACGTACGCAAGAAGTTACCGTCTGTCATAATGTTGGAAAGCCCAAAATCAGCAATTTTCACGTTCAAATGTTCATCCAGTAGCAAATTCTCCGGTTTCAAGTCTCTGTGCACAATCTTGTGTCTGTGGCAATACTCAACTGCACTTATGATTTGCTGGAAAAACCTTCTTGCCTCGTTTTCGCTCATCTTGTCCCGTTGTACAATGTAGTCAAATAGCTCGTTGCCCGCATACTCAATTACCATGATGATCTCGTCTTTCGACTTAATAACGTCATATAGCTTGATGATGTGAGGATGCCTCAACAAACGAAGGTAAGATATTTCACGTTCAATTCTACCTTGCATGTCGCTCTTTGCCAAGACTTTTTTGTTGATGATCTTTAATGCAACTTTTTGCCCAGTTGTGACATGATAAGCCAGTTTGACTTTACCGAATGATCCCTCACCCAACGTTTTTATTATTTGATATTTTCCAATTCGCTGGTCATGAGAGTGCGATGAGTGATGATGATGGTGCGAATGATGCCCGTGGCCTATTTGGCCAGTTGAATGGCTTGACATCTTAGCTTATCGACAATGTACTCTGTGTTTTGATACTTATCCTATTGTGAGGGTGAAACTTCGAAATAATTCAGCCCCTTTTGCTGTTGTAGGCTCAAAGGTTGGGTTCATAACGTTGTTAGTGATATTATCATGGACGCCAAGAGAGAGGTATCTAAGTGCCTGAAGCCGCTGTTGGTTAGCTTTTCGGGTTATTCCAATGCTGTCGAGTCATCACGGAATGCATTAGTCTTCTAGCTACTCGCTTATATACATCTGTTTCATTTAGAACTCGTTTAATATTCATGGCGATGAGGAAAAAAAATCAATTCGCAACCCAACTAACTTGAGGTTTTACGCCACTCCAGAATTATCGATATCATGTCTGAATCTCCTGCAGAGGGCATTATCGCCCATATGAACAAGGATCACAAACTAGCTTTGGAGGATTACTTGTTCGTCTACGGAAATGTTCCAATTACGGACAAAATTGCGCATGTCAGGATGCTAGCCATCGAGCTGGACCATATGGTGCTACAATTCAACCATTTCGACGTGGAGTTTGAAATTGAGAAAACAATTCTATTTGAACCACCTCTTGCCGATTGGAAAGAAGCACGCGAGAGGCTGGTGGGAATGGCCAAAGACGCTGCTGCCAAACGTGGTTTCTCTCACATTCAAATCAACGAAATGAGCTACCCAAACTCGATAGGTGAATACTTGCTGATCTTTTTCGTTATGATGCCACCAGTATGCTATTTCAATCGATCATTGTTGCAGTGGGTACCTGTCGTTGGCGCTTGGCTCGATAATGATGCGTTGCTCCTGACCGTTTTTGTAGCAACTGTGGTATGCCATTTTGCCGAATGCATATTACTACTGAAACCAAAACTTGATTTTTACAGAGTACCTACTGATTTTCTTATCGAGTGGTATTTGTTCGGATTGTTGGAAGGCTACCCTGCAGTGAAGAGATTGAATCAACTAGTTAAGGAGAAAACTCTCTAATGCACAAGCGTTTCCCTTAAACGCATGAAATGAACCATATTCTTACGCGTTTATATAATGTATATGTTTAGTTTACCGAAGATGCCGGTATGAGTATTAGCTTGTAATGACAATTTTTATGCGACATTGTGTAAATGCCATTCAGAAAATAACATCCTAAAAATTTACGAGACAAAAGCTACAGAGAAGACCATTTTCGTGATGTTTGTCACAGATAAGCTTAGGCACTGGTTAGGGTCTCTTTGGGAGTATTTTCTGTCGTTATTCTATCAGAAAGAAGTAAGTTTAAATCAATTTTTAGATCAACCTGGAGTTGACGTTTTCACAAAAGAAGTCGATGCTAACCTGAAACAGCTAAATATAGTAATAGTGGGACTGCAAAACTCTGGGAAGACGTCGTTGACCTCAGCGTTATTAGGTAGGCCCTTCCAACAAGACACAATCCCCACATTGGGGATGCGAATGGACCAGTTTTTCCTAGGGAGCAATATGGTGAAAGTTTTCGACCTTGCAGGCCAACATCGATTCCACCACCTCTGGAACCGCTACTTCGTGAAGGCAGATTTGATTATATACATGATGGACCTGTCAGATCTTACTAACTGGGCTGAAAGCAAACAGAAATTGCAAGAGGTAATTCTGACCACCAACGAAGAGCGTATTCCCATGCTTATCCTGGGGAACAAATCTGATCTACTGAACACAGATGACCTTCTCGCCGCCAATGGCAAGAGTCGAAAAAAGAGCGCCGACGGTCAGGGCATGATGGAGCAGTGGAAGTATATGGCTCCTCTTCTCTCAAACTACGAATACGAAGACATCCCGACATACCAACTGGACGACAACAACCTGTACGTGCTCAAAAACATAGAGATTCTATCGAAAGAAATTGGTGTGGACTTGAAAAGCGGCTTCTTGCATACTTCGAAAGGCCAAGTCTTTCTTGATAGAGACATTGGCATATTCTCCATCAGCTGCAAAGAAGGTGATTACATCCAAGACATTTTGCAGTGGATTGCACAACTTTGAATCCATTAACAAAAGAACCAATATTGTAGCATTATTGATTAATAGATAGACAGCTGTAGAGATAGATAGTAATTTTAGCCATCACCCACGTGATGAGTTTTCCTTCCGGGCCTTTAGCCAGAAAAGTCCGCGTTTTCTACAGTTGAGCATTTCGATGTCCTTTTCAAGAGCAACCAAAAAGTGGCATTCATCTCGATTGAAACTGAGGTTTTATTTAAGATATTGTATTCTCTGAGATATGAGCACAATAGTACATCAGCAATCGCCAAATGTGGAAGCAGAAAAGGCTAGTACCGCTGATTCCGGAGATGGATTCGCGGGAATTGAGAGGAAAGATCAAGATCTTCGCGTTGAAAACAAGACAGGTAAATCGGAATATGTCCCAGGTGTTTCGTTCGATACAGTACCTTCGTTTGCAGGCGTAGCATGCGACGATCCTGAATATCACGATAGAACTCTAGATTATACCGAGGAGGAATTTTATGACAATGAAAGCGGATCCCCCGAGCGATATCTTAACTTGACTCCTGATGGCAAGTTCTTGGTCATTCCGACCAATCGTGTACGTGGTTGTTCGCCACCCCCAAGAGAATTCACATCGTTAACTTCTCTGGATTCTGCCATGAATGGCTTTGATGGTAAAATATTTATTGGGGACAACGGCCAAATTATAAGAACAGATTATCCAAGCAGACCTACAATTGTTAACGATGCTTTGGTACTGAATAGATCGCACAGAGATTGGTCTACTAAATGGCAGCAAAGAAAAGAACAGATTAAAGCGAGGCTTGATTCTCCTAACGCATACTATAGGTTCCCCGAAATTTTGTTTGCCAAGGAAAAGGTGAAAATCCCTCTAGCAAGTGACGGGTACACACCATTAACAAAACAGCAGAGGAAAAAAGCGTTGATATTAAATGAAAAGGTCGGATACCCAAATACTCCAAGAACGATCGTGTGTCACATTAGCGGTCGCAGGCATACTTGGACTGCATTGGACTGGGTGTTAAAGCGATTCAGCAAAGACATTGATCATTTAGTGGTTTTGACAAACATTCCAAGGATGTCTGCCCGGAGAAGATCCAAGTCACGTTCTAGATCTAGATCTGTAGCGAGCAGGAGCCGATCTCTTGGGCCCTTTTCACGAGAAGACTTATCGTCAGAACAGCTGCAGAGAACATTGTCTGCTGGTCCAGGCACAAGTAGCAACGAGGAGAAGCATCGATGTTTTATAGAGTGGACTTCTGGTTACGAAATAGCAGATATCAAGAAAGTGCTAAAAAATATTGTACAATATGTTACAACCGTGCTACCGTCTGATAGAGTTGTTAAACTTACAGTTGAAATAGTGATTGGAAAAACAAAGAAAGTTATGCTTGATGCTATGAATGTTTACACTCCCGACCTGATAGTATTAAGTTCGTTAAGATGGAGAAGCACGGACTCGCTTGTGATTTGGAAATCAAGGGTGTTAACGGATGCTTTAAGTCAGTCTTTCCCCGTCCCTGTAGTTATCGTTCCAGTGAAAAAACTTGATGATTTCGAGGCTAATTTAGAAGAAGAGTTGAGGGACGAGAATATAGCCGACCCCAAAAAATTCTCGAACTCAAAAATGCCATATCATTCTGTAAGTGCACCTTCGTCCTTCGATTCGGACTTAGATATCGAAAGCGCAGAGTGTGAATCTTTTGATCCACAGTCTTCGCCTGGGAAGTCGTTCAGGAACACAAGTCCAGGTAGGGTTTCTGAAGCCAGTTCCAAGTTCAGCAACTCATCTTCAGCAGATAGTTCAATGAGTACTTCTATCTGGAATAAGCAACTCTCCTACCGTAAAAAAGCTGCACATGAAATTTATAAAATTGAGCAAAATAAGGATCTATCGCCAGAAGATAAACTGCTTGGTGAGGTTGATGCGATTATTAAGTCCTCGATTGAATTTTCGATGACATTAGACAATATCGACAAAAGCACTGATTCATTTGTTGAATTGAAAAAGGTGTTGACGGGAAATACGACTCCCAATGCAACAGCACCCAAACGGTCGATGTTAGATGTGGTTGATAAGCCTATCAAACATAAGACACCCATTTTCAAGATTGAGAGACCCGTAAGTCCCTTGAAGAAGACCTCACAGATTAAGTTCGCTCCTGAAGTTAAAGGGAAAGATGGTCCAGGTGCGTTGGGGACTGGCCCTCTCGAACGAACTCTTTCTTATGATCCAAATTTGCGCGTCGGACCATCTCAAGTTCCCAAGCCGGGGGACACAAATCTCAGGAAAGTACGCAGTGCAACTGGCTTGAAGCCTATGCGCTCTGTGGATTCTGTCGCAAGCGACACAAAGAAGAAGTCAAAAGGTTTTTTTTCCTTTTTCAAGGGTAGCGATAATGAGGGAAGTGCTAAAAGTAGCCGCACTCCCAGTAGAAGGAACAGTAGTGCTAGTGAAAGCAGCGGAGGGTTTTCACTCAATTCGGGATCTTCGCGTTCTAAAAGGTCTAGCTTCTTTGGCTTTAAGAAGTCTTGAACGAATTTTAATCTAGCATTTCTACCGAAGCATATATTTTTACATATATATAATTAAGCGAGATAGGTATCTTCAGGTCATTCATGATTTTCTTCAACAATCATTTCTCTCTCAAGTCAGGTTTGTCATATTCGTTATCTACTCTGCTTCGATTTTTAAGTTACAGAAAATTGTCAACACGCATCATCGAAAAGGTGAAGAGGAAACCCTCTAAGCGGAATATGAGCGGAGGACGAAACCAGAAAAGAAGAATCAATTCAGATGGTCCTTCTATGAGTGAGGATGATCCTCGATCGAGCACCAAGAGAGCGCATGGTCTGAACATGGATATACATCCTGCACTTCGTTCCTCAAATCTCAACTTGATTGGCCACAGAGGTAATCCTTACTTGCTTGGCGAAGAATCAAATTCTAAAGAGCCCTCGTCATATGTTTATAAGAGGTATGCTAGGGGTCTCAAATTCCATGAGCCAGGTGAAATAGCAAGTCGAATTGAAGAAGAAAGAACGAAAGCTGCTAAAGAGGAACAAGAAAAAGAGAAAGAGGCACATATACGACGGGAAAAAGTACTACGAGGTGAGCTACCAGACGAATCTATTGGAGAGGAGAAATATTTGTACCATGAGATCCCTGACATGGAATGGTGGGATACATCATTCATAAAGGACCCCGATACATGGACTATTGCGGAAAAGTACTCAAAGACTTACAACGATGACGAAGACGACAGTGACGACAGTGACGACGAAGATGACCTTAAGAACGGAATTGAGCGCCCAAGTATAAGATACATACAACATCCGGTTCCTTATCTGCCGAATAGAAATGAAAGCTTACAGACAAGAATATACCTAACCAAGAAGGAACAAAAGAAGATTCGCCGTAATAACAGAAAGCTCCTGCGTGAAGAACATGAGCAGAAGATAAAACTGGGGCTTGAAGAGAAGCCAACACCTAAAGTGAAGCTCAGCAATATGATGAGTGTTTATCAGAATAATGAGAACATCACGGACCCCACCAGCTGGGAACGCACAGTAAAAAAGCAGGTGGAAGAAAGGTATCAGCATCATATAGAAGAAAATACCAAAAGACATTTGGAAGCGGTAAAACGTAAGCATGAGGAACAAGCAACCAAAAAGGAGGTTCCCTCGCAATTTTGCTGTCGTGTGTTTCGTTTCAGCAGCCTCAGAAACCCCAAGGTAAGATATAAATTAGCCACTAATAGCCGGCAATTAGCACTCCGAGGTATTTGTGTACATGTCAATGGTGGTCCGGGGATCCTCGTCGTGATAGGAACCGAGAAAGCTTGCAGATTTTATGAACGCCTGGTCCTCAAGAGAATCCGTTGGAATGAAAACTTCCATGACAAAACGACGAACGAGGAAGTGGATAATTCTCAAGCCCAAGTGGAAATGTCATGGGAAGGGTATTTAAGAGAAACTAAGTTCAGAGGCTGGTTCATGAAGCAATGCGCCAGCGATGAAGAGATGCGTGCGCTGTTGCGCGAGTTTGATGCGGAGTCCTTTCTCAATTAGAAACAGAAGTGTAAGTTTCAGGTGCTATATTTACATGATTTACATAGAGTCTCCCACGCCAGCTCCCTCTCACGCAGACTCGTTGAGCTTGGCCAAGATTTCGCTGTCTCTAAACAAAATCACTTCCTCGTCGCCCTGGAGCTTCACGGACGAACCGCCAAATTGTGGAATAAGCACTTGGTCGCCTGGCTTGACTTGAGGTTCCACCTTGTTACCATTAGCGTCCGTGAATCCAGGTCCCACGGCCAAAACAGTGGCCTGGTTTAGCTTTTGCACGTTTTTTTCAGGTAAGTACAGACCAGAAGCAGTCTTGGCTTCAGCCTTGACTCTTTGTACTAGCACACGGTCCAACAAAGGAACAATGGATTTAGCAGACTTAATCAATGTAGACATCGCAATTGTTTGGAACTTGGAAACTTGATTTAGAACAAACTCAGCCAATGAATTCTTTCAACCTCAATGTCTTACGTATTCAAGGCCTCCTTTATATTTTTTCTCTCCATATCCGATTTCGGCTCTAGAATGTTCCAATGACACTTTGTGATCACGTGCATTCTCATTGTTGACGACGCACCTTTAGAAATTCAAGACTCGAATCTGATTGGACTCCTTTAATATAGGCTTAAGTCTCAGTGAATCACCCGAGAAGACAGTCTTGGGATCTTATTTGAATACTATAATACGATGGGAGCAGCGTACAAGATACTTGGAATGAACGTTAAGCCACATGTGCTTGCAATTGCGACAATAGGGGCGACAATTGGCGGAGCTGCATTCGCGATGAGTGGCTCCAAGACAGAAAATGAAGCCCAGAAACCAGTCAAGAAGGAGGCCGCCTCAAAGGGCGAAGATTTGGACGTTGAGAAGCTTTTGGACCAATTCTTGAAGGAGGAGACGAAATGATGGGGTGCAGACAGGGCGATTTTCACCAGTACTTAGATTATATTACCCTTTATACATATTCGATAGGAAAACATGGTATGTCCAAAAAAAATTGCATATGACAGGTAAAAATTCTTACAGGAGGTCGTCTAAACTCTGTTCAGAGTCGCGCTTGATGAGCTCTAGCATACCATCAGGCAAAATAGGCTTTCCATTTGTGTCCAGAACATATCTGAAGGGCATCTCGGTGGCCTCGTTCTTGTTGAATCTGAACTCAGGGTAATCGATAAACTTTATCTTGTCAAATGGCAGCTTTTTCTCAATTATCAGTTGCGTGGTTCTGATCGCAGTATCGGTGGTCATTTGCTTATCACCCAGGCGCTTGCCCACAAGCAGATTTGGGTATGCCTGCAAAAGTTCACTGGTTCTGTCACGAGGGGGGTGATCGCCTAGAATACCACCAAACACAAAGTAGTCAAACCTGTCAGCGTCAGCTGGCTCTAGATCTTCTTTGGCACGAGGGTCCAGCAGGCATACTCTCTGCTGTTTCAACTCGGGAAGGTCCGTAAAGTCCTGCGTGATTTCCGTCAAAGGCTTGGTAGTCCATTGCAGACCCAATTCCAATAGTTTTTCTGGGATGTCAGATTTCTTGGTGTCCGCTGGCAATGAGGTAAGAATCAAGTTCGATGCACCTAGGTCGCGGATAATCTGAGCGTATTCAAGTGTAACCCACTCGCTGAAGCCTTGCTCCATGTGCTCTATTATGTATTTCATTTCAACAGAGACCTTCTTGATAACAAATAAATGCCAATGCAGCTACAAAGTCTTGCATTGATGCAATAAAATTTTCGATTTTAATGAACATTACATAGAATTGGCGATGAGCAAGCTGAACCACTATCTATCGTTTTTGACGGAACCACCTTTTCTCGCCAGTAATTTACCGTTAGCACGATGGTGCTTCGATAGTAATTCCTTTAAAACAAAGCCGGCCATGTCCATTTCCTCAAAGTAGCTTACGTGGGCTCGTATTGCTGATATTAAGTCAACCTCAAGGAAATTCGGCGTAAAAGAGTAGTCAATTCTCCCCGCGTAGTTTAATTGTGTCAAAAGTGATACCTGGCGCGCAGTCAAAGATCCCACGTTGGCACTTTCACCTTTGCTTTCACTACTCATCAAAGCTCCTCCTAGTTCAAAAACTTTGGCAGCAAGGTCGCTGTTTGTCCAGTGGGGAACATATGCAGGCTGAAACGACGACATATTCCGATCCACCAATGGTTCTACTCTGTAAGCGACAGGATCACAGACATGGAAAATATTATAGAAGTTTTGGCACCGTGGCTTGTCCACAGCTTCAGACTTATCTTTACCGTTATACGGGGCAATTTTTGTCTTTTGTATCAGCTTGAAGACGCCTACTGGAGAGCCAATGGAAAAATAGCTTTGGACCTCGAAGTCCAGCGGGTAACGATTCGGATTTGAAAGAATATCAAAGACTATAAGGCTACCAAGTGAATGCCCAATAATGTGTACCTGTCCATCAAAGTCGGGATTTCGTGAACAGTACAAGTTGTATAGATCGTTCAATTGCTTCACCACCTCCATCCGTATTTTGTATTTGTAATGGTATTCACCATAGAGTAGTAAATCCAAAACCACATCGCCAAGCACTTTGCGTAAAGGCTTCACTCCATCCAAAGTGAGGTCATTGAGCGTGGGCAATGATGGATCCTCTGTGTTTATATCGGCATCGTCTGTGTTAAACCCAATTTTATGTCTCCATGTGATCGGTATCACTTGCGTCCTGCAATTATGTTCCCAATCGTCGAAATTGTTGTCCTTATTGAAATTTTTTAGTTTGTCACTTTCTGAGTATAGCTTTTTCATATTAGCACGCAATAGATTTACAGTGTGTGCAAAATTGACGTATTGATACTTCTTGCCCAAATTTTGGCCTATCCCGTGAACACAAAAAACAAGATGGTCGATTGGTCTATGATTTGATTTGACTTCCTTTTCTGTGTCATCTTCACCTTTGTAATCTGTTTCCATTTCCCTCTTCATTACTTCACTGTTATCATCAGCTTGTGAGGATGCAAGAGGATTAATTCCGCTCATAAAACCAAACAATTCCCAACTAATTAAATCAGTTATTTTGCCCAGACTTTTCGTTGTATCCTGGACTTCCTTCTCAATATTTTTCCTTGCAATATCTGTAATACTCCCTTCAGTACTATGTCCCCTTGTAACCTTCGCAGCTCCGAATTGAACAGCCTGTGCCAGATTGCTTCTTAGCCAATTCAATTGTAGCCTACCGCCATAGAGTTCTGGTAAAAGAAAGGCAGTTTTTTCATCTGTGAAGAGTACCAGCTTACCCTCTTTATGTTCTGGTGAAAGCTTGAAAACGTCGCGATGACCTGCATGCTGGTTTGGAGATTCTTCGATTCCCTTGTGATTGCTCTTTTTTGCTTGCATAGTTTGGAAATAGTGCTCTAATTCGTTTGCTAATTCATCCCTGAGAGGCATATGGTCTGAATTGAACCAAAGCCCACGCCGTACCTCATACACAGGTCCTTCCCAATAGGTTGGTTTCACCTCTTTGCGATTCAAATCAACTTCGAACAGATAGTCTTCATTGACGGGAATAGACTTGAAAGATGGGGATTCGCCATCTTTAGACTTCATTAGCTGATAGAATCTTTCTAATCTCTTCGAATCATTCTTAGAGAATGGAATAAACTTCTTGGGTTCACGGTTACCACGATTGTAGTTGGGTTCAAAAGGTTTCTTATTAGGGAGATCGCTTGCATAGAACCATAGAATAGGCGGCTCACTATGAGCCTTGAAAACATATCGGCATGCACTAAGTCTGCATCGTAAAGTCTGCCTCATTGTGTATGTTTATCATAGGATTCTTTTTAAGGTGTCTGAATGAACGAGGAACTTCCAAATCTGAGAAAAACACACACCAGCTTCATGAACACAAATTTCAACAATTAACACAAATTTTAAAACCGGAACCCTCCTTAAAAGTCTATATAAAGTACATAAGATTACTAATCGAATCTTGCATGCCCCTTGAGCTTTGATTTAGCACGTAAGTTATAGTGCGATGACCTTTTGTCCTTTTCAGGCACGTTCATAAGAGCGATGGCATCTGGCCTTACCTTCTTCTCCGCCGGTTTCAGCCTCTTCTTTGTTTCTTTATCAACTGAACTCTTGCGTTTCTTCATGTTTGTTTGTTTGTCACTAGATTTAGGTTCATCAACTGCATTAGACTCTATGCCCTCGGATTTGATCTTCGTGTTATCATCATCTTCGGTGACATCTTCGCTATCTGATGGCAGTGTTAGGATCGTATCCAAATCTTTTTTGGCCTCACTTACGTAGTCAACAATTTTTTTGAAATCTCCCTTGGAATACAACTTCTGCAAATGCGCGGTTGATTTCTGTGCTGTTTCTGGCTGCACGGTTATGGTGTGAGGGGATACCTCCCGAACGCTAGATTTCCGGTCGCCTCCCATATTAGAATTAGATGATCCACCTGGAACTCCTACTACGTTTGGAAGATATTCTTTCGAGGGATCTAAATTGAGCTCTTGGAATTTCTGCAAAGTAGTTGAATTTTGTTGGTCATCTGGAAGTAATTTTTGGTTATTTAACACCGCAAGTGGTTGGCTTGAATAAGTTTTTGAATGCTTCAATCTTGCGTGATTCACAATACCCTGGGCAGAGGTGAACCCACTGCGACCGCAGTTGGAACAAGTAATTATTACCAATATGCCATCCGGTCTCTTGAATATGGCTTCATCTTTCTCATTTTTTCCAACCACGCCGCTGTTACTTGTCAAACAGGTGCTGCTATAGTTTCTTCTGTGATGCTGATTCAGTAAAGATGGGCGTGCAGTTTCCGCTTCTAAACCCGATGAATTTGGTGCAAAAGCGGCATTGGCGGGAATAGATTTTGCTCCGCTCATCCGCATCCCTATGATGCCATCATTAGCGGGCCGCAGACGGGACTGGTGAGTTCCGCTAGCATTCCCACTGCTCTTGCTCCGCGTATGATAGTAGAAAGACCCATTACTGCCAGTAGAAAGTGGTGGCTGAGACAAGTCCATGGAAAAGTCAGAAAAATTGTGCGTTGCTTCAAGTTCCTTCATGCGCATATATGACCGTTGTTTCCTATGAAAGAGCTCTTCTTGGTGCATTTCGACCTTGCTTAGCAGTTCTTTGTCGTTATGTAGCTCTTCGAGAACTCGCATTTGCGCCTCCACCCGTTTTATCTCTCTATGCAGCTCGTCATGTTCCTTGTTGCTGATTAAAACATGCAAATTAAGAGCATCCAGAATCTCTCGCTTAGCTGTCTCGTACTTTAGTCTTTCTGTCTCCTCGCTCTCCTTGTGAACATCCGCACCATGATGTGGGTCGTCTTCCTCACCAAGATATAGATCGTGCGGCGACTTAGGAGTCGCCACCTGGTAGTAAGATGGAGGAGGTTGGCCCGAACGAGAAGAAACATCATGCGTGTTCATGAATAGCACTTGAGGTGCGTCAGAATGGCCTGCTTGTTCAACAGCATCTGGAGGTCCTCCACTTTGACCTGAAATACCATTATGTGATTGGTTTCGCACATCTGTGATCAACGCCATCACTTTTTGTAAACGACAGAAGTGTCCGTCCGTCAATGAAGATTAATTAGAGAGAAATGAGGAAGTGGCGTTATCGGACAGATTACCCGGAGTTCGGTCGGCAGAACTAGTCATGACCATTGACCCTTCCATTATCATGTAAAATGAAACAGGCCCTTTCGAAATAAGGCAATTTGGCCGAGTGGTTAAGGCGTAAGATTAGAAATCTTTTGGGCTCTGCCCGCGCAGGTTCGAATCCTGCAGTTGTCGTTATTTCCTTTTTTACTTCCCAGGAAAGCTTCTAAAACCGAAAGTAACAAAAGACCTAGGTTGTAAAAGCCTCTACATTTATTTTTACGTCGCTACCACGAAAATGATGCAGAATGCTGATGCTACCTCTATGCGTCTCTTTCGATTGAAATTTGTGTTTATATTTAAATCTTGTATGTCTGTACACGATTAATTGTTTGAAGGGAAATTGTCAACATTTAGGATGAATGTTCTTCGTTGGTGATAAGAATTCGAACGCGAAGATATCGTAGTAAACATGTAATTGCAAAAACCATTTGTAGAATAGTATACAGGTTACAGATGATTACATAATGATTTTCAGGCGTCTTGTGAAGACTATATTATCCAAAGCGAAGTTTAATTTGTATAGACGCATGCGGAAGTTTTTGGTCTCATGTTTTCATTTTCCGTGATGATTATAGTTCGAGCATATATGGCGCTAAGATGGTTAAACTCAATTATCTTGGTGCTCACTGCGTTTTCGATCGGTATTGCTCAAAAAACGGGTCCAGAATGGTTGTTGGGACGTCGCGTCCGTATTCTAGTTACCGTCGCTGCTCGAGCGGTACGTGGCTTCACCACCACTGGATTTGTAACTTGCAGAGCTGTCGTGGGAGGACTTTTGTGATCTTGGGTACTGCTGTGGAAGTCCGCCAGGTTGGGCATACGCGTGAGGGAGAACTGGCCATCCGTAGGCGTCCATATGCACAGGACTCATGAACATCGGCGAAAAATATGGAAAAAGTGCGCCTCGGCCCTTGAGTGGCGACTCGTAACCTCGAATATACACGCTAGGAACGTTTGGTGCCATTGGATATGCGTAGGGTGGTGACTGAACGGGGTATCCTTGCGGATTATACACAACAGGGGAAGGTCTTATTGGATCCACCAGCTGCGCAGAGTCAAAGCTCCCAACATGGAGACTGGGGCTTGCGAGTAACGGCGTCGAAGTGGAATCGGGCGGCTGGTCAAAGTCGTCTAGCTGAACCGACCTGTCTTCCATTGCTTCACCAAGATTTTCAACATTGCTAATTTTGTTATTTAGCCGCCGATGAGACGAAAGTAATAGTGGCGCTTCTTCGCTACATGCTCGGTTCTTGTTGTTATTCCCAACATCGTGGCTGTCAACCAAACGAATACTGACATTTTCATTCTTGAAAAGTGAGCCCTTCGGGGAATCTTTCTTGTGTGTTGTTGTTCGGCGTCGTTTTTTCAAGGGCGGTTCAATTGAAGAAATAGGAGCGTGAGCCTCAGGGATGTTAGTAGACTTAGATTGAAGTGGATGAAAAGTTTGTTCTCCATCCTCCAACTGGAATCTCTTCCTCCCTTTGAAGCGGCTCAACTGCTTCCTTGATGATGATGCCATTGCCGCGCAACAGGTATCTTCACTAGGTAAGAAAATGAAAAATTAATGCTAAATCAACAAAGAAAAATTCAAAGGTCCAAATCAAACCTCCCATAAAACTAAAAACGTAGCGCCTCTCTTTCTAAGACATCTTTATCAAACTTGATCAAATAAACCACTCTTCGATCGAACTTATCCTCAGGCATGCAATGTGCTGTAACGCTACAGGGAAAACATGCACTATCCAGAATGCCTTCAATGATCCCACATACGAAAGAGTCACATTGAACATTGTTGTTTCCAATGAATTGCGTTAAAAGTGGTAAGTTGTCAATGATCATGTATTCGTTTTCACGTTCAGATGACTTCACCAGGTCATCACTGACATGATCAAATAGATATTGCCATACAGTCCCATGGATAAATTGTAAGATATCCAAAACTCTGAGATCGCGTCGCTTCATCGTGGTGATCGTGCTCGCGAGAGAATCTTCCTGTTGTGTAGACACTCCGTTGCTACCTTGAGCTGATCCACTCATTGATGAAGCTTTGTTGAAGAATGCTCGCGATCCAGGCGTTAAGCTGCTTCTGAAGTTCAGGAGCTCTAGTAAGCGAATTCCGATGGGATATCCGAGACCACGTAGCTTTGATTCGATTTCTGCAACCGACTTACTAGACTTTCTAGTTTGTGAGATCATCTCTTGAAACAGGAATGCGAATGCTGAGAGTGATACTTGCGCCTTGCGAGCCTTGGCATGCAGAGACTCATTGTATAACCTTGAAGCTAAAACTGGTGGTGGCTGTTCATTAGGGAGTGTCTGTTGCGGGCCAATTGTGTAATCGTATCCTGTGGATGCCGTTGAAGCAGCCTGCGTCACTGAAGTTGACGGAGAAATGATCTTCTGGGTCATTTGCCTTATCCTCTTTCACTTCTTCTCCATAGGGTCACTTCGAAACAAGTTTTTATTTTGAAAAATTTATTCGCAGTGAATTGAAGAAACCTATACAAGACAGCTTGAAAGAAGTCCCATACTGCATAAACGATGGCAATTACCATTCGGAGAGCTACCATAGATGATTTACTATGCATGCAAAATGCCAATTTGAACAATTTACCTGAAAATTATTTGTTCAAGTATTACATGTACCATATCCTTTCATGGCCTGAGGCATCATTTGTGGCCACAACAACCGGTGATGTGAGCAATCCGCAGGATGTGTTTGAAGACCTTGCTCAAGAACAAAATGTAGAGATTAAGAGAGACCCTACCTATATTCGCCCTGGTGAGAAACTCGTCGGGTACGTGCTAGCAAAGATGAACGACGATCCAACACAACAGAATGAACCCGCCAATGGTCACATCACTTCCCTGAGCGTGATGAGAACATACAGACGCATGGGTATCGCCGAAAAGTTAATGAGACAAGCTCTTTTCGCTTTGAGAGAGGTTTACCAAGCTGAATACGTATCATTGCATGTTAGACAGTCTAACAGAGCTGCGCTGCATCTCTACAGAGACACGTTGACATTTGAAGTGTTGAGCGTAGAAAAGAGCTATTATCAAGATGGCGAAGATGCCTACGCCATGAAGAAAGTTCTGGTACTCGACGAGCTCAAGCCATCCAACTTCCAGAAGGGAGAAATCGAAGACGATCTGGAAAGCGATTTGTTAGCGGATATCCTCAAGGAAGGCGTAGATCAAGTCACCGTTTAGAAACCTACAATTCTAAACGCTTTAAGTAATGTTTATTAAGATAAATTGAATATTGCAATTCTCATCAGACAAAAAAAGTAAGGTAGCTTGGGTTTTTCCACATCGACAAAAACGTCTCGAGCCAAATGCACTCAGAGTCATCATATAGTGAGAAGAGATAACCAAAAATGACTACAGATGCTTCTCTAGCCTTTCTTGGTGTCCCGTATTGCAGAATATTCCTTACATAGTTGTAATGAACACCACACTGAGAGAAAATGAAGCATCTTATATAAAAATTTTTCTCACCTTTTCCGATTATGTATAATATTGTACGACATAAAAAGTCAATTAGGGCTTAAATGACAGAATGAGAGCATCAGATGCTCAAGTCATCAATCGATACAGTTCTTGCTAGCTGCAGTACCTTTCTGTTTGTGTGTGGACACACACTTAATTGCCTGATACTTACATGCATAAATGTAGATATACTCATTTTTTGAGGAGGGAAAGTTGGTTTACTGAACAACCTCCCACTATAAATTATTCATCTTAATGCCAAACAGCACCCTCGATGAAACCAACGAAATTGTATACAATCCTAGCAGGGCGAATTATTTATTGAGGAAAGAGGAACAGCAAGGTGTTTCTTATCTTCAGAAAACAAAGGGGATCAAAAATGCTCTCTTCGTTCCGTATCTCTTGTTCTTCTTGGCAGACCAAGCACGTAAAGTGACAGTAGATACAACCAAAAAGATCACAGCAAAAATGTTCAATTTGAAGATCAAGGTAAACCAGGTCCAAGAAAAAATTTCGAAAGTGTAATTTGGAGCAACGAACACTTTAAAGAGGCCATCTTCCAATGGAACACGCTTGGTAATACCCTTCGCCTTCTGAGCATCACCCCATCTGCGTAGTTTGTAGTGGACGTAGAAATTCCAGAATTCGCACATGACGAAAAGACCGAGGAGCAAGTTAAGGTTGTTTAACTTCACGTAACTGTACAACTTAAACAGTTGCGCGTCGCTAATGAGGAAACCATAGCCGAAATAGCCAATACTGATTGCACCACTCAATACCCAGTAGTGGAATGAATTTTTGAACAAGTTGAACAAAGGCATAGTAGACTGAGAAAATTTGTGAAGAAAAATCGATTCCAATTCTCTCTTGGCAAAATGCCCCATGATCAGAGTGTAAGCCAGTTTATTCAAAAGAGGATTGTAACGTGTGTTGCTGCTGTGATATTTCATTAGAGATTCTTGCTTGGATAGCCAGTACACAAACGAATGCACCAGCATGGGGCCAAGATATTCAACGCAAAACACAAGTCTCCACGAAATTTGAGGACCGATATCCTTCACGTATAGTTCTTCATTACTCAATTCCTTAAGAAAATTATCCGAGGTGATTGGAATTTGCTTGTTCTCTTTCAAATAGGTTAACTTGATTCGATTGGGGTTGATATTTTTGTTTGCCTTTGAGATAATATCAAGGGCAATGGGGATGCTAGTGACATCGGAAGGGAGCTCCGTATCCTTAAGCGACTTAGAACGCGATTTGACTGTGACAATCATTGATTTGTGAACAATTGCGTGTTGTTTTCTACTCCGTTGCAGATGGGCTATTGTTTTAGGGCGCCATAATCAAAACGGAAAACTGTTATTCAGTTCAATTTGAAACATAATTTGCACGTGATATATATAAGATAGGCCTATTTGAAGGTGATCGAATAGCCCAATAGTTCATGATACGCATGCAGATGACGTTTTCTAAGATGGCTCCTCAGATGCGCTGTTGATAATTACAGATACTGTGATTATTCTTTTTTATACACTACTTTGTCCACCTTTACTTCACCATCTACGCAGGTGTAAATGAAAAGAGTGCAGGTACTGCCTTGGATGTCTAAGAGACAAAAGCTAGGGATGCATCCACCATTTAGATCGGTCTCATCAAAATCATCGTCATCACTGTCATCACCGTCACTTTCTTGGTCCTTGTCCTTTTCTCCAGTACCTGGGTCCGCCGAACTGAGTCCCGGTTTAGCTTCCTCAACTTTCGAAGCTTCAGTAGTAGTGTCAGCGCCGGGAACCTTTTCAGTAACAGTCGAATTTGATTTTGTGTCTTCTGCGGATGGTTGGGGATCTCCTTCTTGCGATTCTGGTTTGCCATTCCCACCATCCGGTGTCTCTTCACTTTGCTTGGGGATATCTCCAGTCTGTACCTTTTCGACGTCCTTTTCTGGCTCCTGCAGCGGCCAATCAGTGGTGAATGCACCTGTGCAGGATCCGGGATTTATAAAGAATTTGCCCTCCAGAGTATAGGCCTCCACGTTGTGCGTACCACCCCATAGGACTATATCAACATCAAGCTGACGTGCAAAAGTTAAGAGGGAAAGCGGATCATTCTTGGGTACTACCGTATATCCGTTGCAACACCCAATACGGAAGTCACCTTGTTTAATTACTGTGTTGATCGGTAGCTCTTCTTTGGCATTTTTGGTAGTGGCAATCGTTCCTGTATCGAATTCACCGCGTACTATCACCACATTTGACGATACCTGGTTGATAAACTGCAGGAAACTGTATGACTTGGTGCAATTGCCCAGTAAAACCACTTGTGATATCTTTTTTGGAACACTCAGAAGCTTCTTGAATTTCGTGGGAAGATCCTATAGTACTAAAAGCGTTAGTGGTGCTAATCTCGAAGGAAGAAAAGCGCTTATCACATACAATTGCTCGTTCTGGGATATGAGCATCACTCAGAGCTAAAAGTAGCATCTGTGTTGATTTATAGTGCAGGCTGCTGGTCAGTTTTTAGTCACCATCTCTTTATGCCCCCTTTGATTGATACACTGAATAATCGAGAGAGTATCATTCCATACGAAGTACTATACATATATACAAGGGCAACTAACGAGTAACGTGGTAGTCATCAGTTATGAATAGGCTGTAGTTTGCTCAATGTAGCATTTTAAATGAATTTGCGACCGCCCATATAAGGTTGTAGAGCTTTTGGAATGGCGATCTGATCAGTATTGGCGTCGTGAAAATTCTCAACAAGCGCCAAAATGATGCGCGGTATCGCCATGGCTGTTCCGTTTAGAGTATGAACGTATTCTGATTTCCCGGTGGAGATATTTTTGAACTTAGTATTCATACGTCTGCTTTGATAATCGGTACAATTCGAGGAGCTGGTAACTTCTCCGAAGGATCCTCTACCAGGCATCCATGCCTCAATATCGTATTTTTTATAAGCGGGGGCTCCCAAATCGTTTGCCGGCATATTCAAGACTTTCGCAGATAGTCCAAGCTCGTTAATAATTTCAACTTGGAGCCCCCTCAATTCCTCTAAAATTCTGTCGCTCTCCTCTGGCACACTCCAGCAGAATAATTCCACTTTCGTGAACTCATGCACTCTGTAAAGACCTCTAGTGTCCTTACCACGGGCGCCTGCCTCTGCTCTGTAACTGCGACTTATCCCACACATTTTTTTGGGACCTTTGCTGAGGTCCAATTCCTTCTGGATGCCCAGACCAGCCAAAGAGATTTCAGCAGTGGCAGTGAGACCCAGGTCTGTGTCTTGAAGATGGTATATCTGTTGCTCGTTGTTCATGTCACGAGGACGAAAGCCACACGCATCAATTATCTCATTCTTTGCAATGCTAGGCGGGATGCACAGTAAGAACCCATGCTCTTTAGCCTTGTTTGTCGCATAAGACACAAGTGCCAACTCCAATTCTGCTCCCTCGTTAATTAGATAGTACCATGAATTTCCTGTAACAGTGGATGCAGATTGGAAATCTACCATTTTTTTACGAACCATTATGGTGTGGTGATCTCTTTTTGATTCGGCGACATATGTCTCACGCGGATGGATCCACTCTACAATTTCCGGTTCCGTGGCAGGGACGCTGGCATGGATAAGATTAGGAAGTGAAAGACAAGTATCCTGCACTTGCTGTTGTATCTTTTTGTGGTCCTGAGAAGCTGATTGGAACTGGGATTTGAGATCAACAAGTTCGTCCCTTAATGCGGGCATTCGCGATTTGTCAAGTTTGATTTCTCGTTCAATTGCATTACGGCGTGTTTGTATTTTGGATATCTGACCGTCAATGGCCCTTAAATGCGTCTGGTGCTCGGGCAGAGCTTGAAGTTGGTCGATGAGTTCCTGTGCGGCCACGAGACCTCTGGATTTGATGGATTGAAGATATGAAGGCAGCTGACTGGTAATGTTCTTGACGTCCAGTTTTGGTGCCTTCAACAGCTTTATAGCTGAGGTGGACAACAATCTTGCACGCATTTGCTTCTAGATACGTGCACAAAACTTCTGCTTCACTTCTGAGAAGATTATGGTAGTAGAAGGGCACCTTATACTTATTTACGAGTTCATTTTCTTAAATTCCAAACGTTTTGATCTTTTGGTAGTGACGATTAAAAAGGTTATAAAAGCTTTAGATTACATAACTTCGATGAGAATGGCACCCAAGGAAAAATGCTTAGAAGTTCAACTTGGTGAAGAACCATTGGTTCTTACCAGCTTGGTGTCTTTCTTCAAAGGCCTTCTTGATAACCTTCTTGGCTTCTTCACGTTGAGATGGTTCTTCGAAAGTTTCGGTGGAGACCACAGACTTGAAGGCCTCAACGTCCAAAGTGTATCTGGTTGGCAACAAGTGGTTGTAGTTGATAACCTTGATGAAAGGCTTGATCTTGGTTCTCTTGGCGACCTTCTTAGCACCTTGTCTCTTGGTGACCTTCAATGGGTATCTCTCAATACCAGCGACCAAGGCGTGGCCGAATGGGTGAGACTTGGTACCCTCATCGTGTGGCTTGATGATCACAACCTTCTTACCAGCGTAACGACCGCGGACAACGACAGCTATTGAAAAAAAGTTAGTATGACGATTCCTTTACCGAATTGAAGATGAAGCCTGGAATGTAGGTGTTAACCACGATGCAAAGACCCAACAGCTGTGAAGAACACATTTTGAGCGAAGCACCGCCGCGTACGCTCATCCGATCCAAATGATCGTCCGAGAGCAGCTACCGTGGCATGCGCTCAAAACGATAAAACAGTGAGCTGTGCAGTCCATTCTCCACATTGATCTGAATTTGCTTTCCCCATTGGTACTCGAAGTAAGGTCAAAACCCCACCTATTTCATGTCGACCCATAATATCATAACCCCATATATCTCCGCGTGCAATGCAACGAGCCAACCGTGATTCCTGGTTTCTTCAATAGTATAATCTCCCATGCTGATACGTACCGACTTTACCAGCTTTCAAGAACTTAGCCATTTTTGATGATGGATTCTATCTGTCTTCGTGAATGAGAGATTCGAAATTGTAACTAGTACAAAAAGTTCAAAAAATTTGCCATGCTAGCGCACTTCCAGGCTCGCTCTGCCTAGCTAATGAAGATCATGAAAAATGGTTGTGCACAGAAGACGCCGTGGGCGCGTCGCGCGGGCCGGACCTCCCAGCGCGGGCGGAAACTTTCCCACCGCCAACGTCTCCCTAGCGGAACGAGCCCCCGTAGCGCAGTCCGCCTAGCCCGTCTATCCTTCTCCTTCCGCGGCCCCATCTCTGCTGCGAGCGCGGGGCGACCCAAGGGGATACACAGAAACCACCGCAGAAGATTACTGTGGCTTGATTTTTCACTTTCTTCCACGCAGGAAAAGTATTGAAGTTTTTGTGACGTTTTAAAAGACACAGATGCACGGGTGCAACAGTATAAAATGCACTGGTGTAAGATGTGTGGGTTCTAAGAAAGCAGTCACACCACATCTGGGCGGTTCTCTGGCCGTTATTTACATTACGTTCGCAAGAGTGCGGACCGTGATGGAAGCATACTCGAGTTAGAACGGACGGGAATGGAGGAACCTACAGAGAAAGGAGTGACAATAGGACCTATAGCCCAGTCTGATAGTGTCGAGCACAATGGTGATGTGAGACTGGAAGTGCAAGAACAAGATTTGAAAGCCAGCATTAAGCGGCAACCGCATTTCGTTGGTAACCAGGGAAGCGATGCGGCGGTGTCAGATGTAGAGGCAGTTATTAGAGGATTAGAGCGACTGGCGCATGATAATCGATCAACAAGGGAGGCAGTGGAGCGTGTGGACGAAAAAGTGTCCAGGACAGAGCTGGAGCTCAATAGTCTCGTGTCAAGAAGCACCAACAACAATAAACATCTCCAGAACCTGCTGCTGTCGGCGCAGGACGTGAGACGGCTACAAGAACTCATTGAGCAGCTCAGCAAGCAGCAGGACGCGCAGATCGCAGCGGCGCAGGAAGTCAGTGCCAACATCAACGACGCGGACGCCAATTCCGGTGCTGAAGACAGAATACGACAGCTGACAGAGGAGTTACAAGCGTTTCACGACCAGCACGAGTCGCTGCTGCGTCTGACGCATCAGGTGGCAGAGAAAGAGCGGCAATTGGCCGTGCTAGACCATGACTACGAGTGCGTGCGGCAGCGACTGCGGGAGCGCACTCAGGAACTGGCAAATCTAAAGCGCGAGTACGAGATCGTGGACTCGCGTATCAACGACACACTCATGGAAAGATACAAGGCGGTGCACGCGAATCTGGCGTTCTCGGCCACCGCACTCCACAACCACACGAGGCCGCCTGTCACCAAGATGAACCGAATAACTAGCATGTTGCGCAACAAGCACGCGGGTGGAAGAAGAGTGATGTCTCTTAACGTAGTGGATAAGTATGATGTATCTCCCGACAACAATTCCGACGAGAATTGAGCGGGGGCATTCCTGAGACGCGCACCGTGTCTACTGGCTTAAGAGTGATGTACGTACATAATTGTTCAAATTTGATGCTCGCGTACGACCCCATTGTAGAAAGTTCAAATGTGTTTGAAGGCTTGTCATCCCTAGACCCTTGAAGAGATCAAAGCACAGAAAGGATGGACGATGTCAGCACCCATCTGCAATCTAGACCATACTATGATCCTGATACCTTTAACGCGGGCTATACGGCAGTCTTCAAGCCAGAACAAGGCGTTGTTGACAACCATGGATTCACAATAGCCTCCAAGCTAAACATCTCCCCAAACTCCAAGTCAAAATTCGCCAACAAGCTACGGGACGGCGGAATGCTATCGCAACTGACCACAGGTCTTAAGAAACAAGTACAAGAGGCCGAAAACTCTGCAGAAGAAGCTAAAAAATCCCTAGGAGATATGGAATGGGCAGACCTACTGAATATGAAATCGTGGAAAACTGTGGGGACGCAACTTTTGGAACAATTCCTAAGGCGATACGTTAAGCACTTGATTCAGCAGCCCTTTGAAACGGCTAGACTATTATTGCAGGTTGGAAACTTTCAGTTCAAGCCCGTCACCGACAAATCAAAAATCACTTTACAAATAGAGGACGATGAGGACGGTGATGACGAAGAGATTGACTTTTTCCCCGAAACCTCTGCCCCCGTCGAGAATCAGGACTCTAGTAGTCACCATCGCAATTCTCATTCGGTCCCCACATTTACCAAGAAGATTCAACCGGAATCCTTGCACACGATGGACATTCTTAACGCGGTGATGGACGAAGAAGGTACAAAGGGCCTGTGGAGAGCCAACAATACCACATTCATTTACAACTTCCTCTCTATAACCCTAGACGCGTGGTTCACCGGAATGCTTTCTCCTTTCTTGCAAATTCCAGATCCCTATTTCATCGACATAATACACTCGCCCGACGCACAGAAGTCGATCTTGCTCACAGCCGCCGCAAGCGTCTTCACTGGCTTAGTGCTACTTCCAATTGATTTGATCAGAACCAGACTCACCGTAACGTCAGTCAAGGTCGGGGAGCGGAGTTTACGCAACCTGTTAAAGAAGTGGTCTTGGACCCAGCACATGCTGGGTTTGCCATTGGAAATGGTATCGTTGTGCATTGGATACTCCCTGACTTCCACGATGTTCCGCAAACTCACGGCAGTGGTGTTATACCACCAGTTCAACGTCGACAAATATTCGCGTGCGCTTTGGTACAATACCTTCGAATTCATGTCGCGGATCGTAGAGCTGTTCATCAAGCTGCCACTTGAAAACCTGCTCAGACGTAGCCAAGTCAGCTATCTACTGAGAGCGCGCCCACATGATCCCTTGACCATTCATGAGGAGGACATGATCATCGAACCCCGCCAGTATAAGGGGATCTGGACTACACTCAAGCAAAAGGGCCGCGTCCACGAGCTTTGGCGCGGTTGGAGACTGGGTCTCATGAGCGTGGTGTGCGGATATGGGCTCAAGCTCATGGATCGCGACGCGCTTGAAGAAGAGAAGTTCTAGTAGTGGAATGGTCTGTTTTGGAATAAAAAAAACGTGTATGTACATAATGCAATCTATTTAGCGACAGAGGAAGCACTTTGCTCGCTCTCCTTGATGAGAAACTCGCCGAGAAACCTCAGAGGGTCCTCCGGCTTTTGTTTGGCGACCAATCGCATTCCTCGCAACAAGACGGGCGTGACGTGCTCATTAAGGTATTTACGCGTGTGAGAGCCACCTATAGTCTCGGCAAGATCGACGCGACTGGTGTCAACTGGTTGAGGAGTCTCCTGCTTCGCCTGTTGCTCGGTGTCCATGTCCCCTTCGCCTTTTGGTGGCGCGTTGAAACGGACGGGACTTTTTAAGTTAATCTTTTCTGCAAATCAACTCAACTTGTAGCCAAAACGTCAACACAGACCATGAGCGACCCCTTCGAACAAGTACTCGGCGATACCCGTGAGCAGACCAACCGTCTCATCCACTACCTGGATGCTGGCCACGAGGTCGACGACGAAATCCGCGACATTCTTGCCGACGTGGAAGAAACCGTTCGCGAGTTGGACAGCAGCATCGCTGTGATGAAACAGGCCGGAAACCTGGACGACGCTACCATCATCAACCGAGAGTCGCAGATGCAGGATCTCAAGCGAGACGTGGCGTTGCTGAAGAACCGAGCAGCCGCCCACCAGCCAGTCGAACCAGACGACGCCGACTCCCTCGGCGCCAGCGGCTCCGCCGGCTCGCCCGCACACAACCTCGTGCAAGAACAAATGATACGCGAGCAGGACCAACATCTCGACACTATCCACCATACCATGCAGAACCTTCATCTACAGGCGTCAACGATGGGCAACGAGCTCGAGGACCAAGGCATGTTGCTGGAAGATTTGGACCAGGGAATGGACGGCGTGATGGGAAAACTGGCGCGTGGCCGGCGCCAGCTGGAGTGGGTCTACGAAAAGAACAAGGAAAAGTACAACGACTGCTGCATTGGGCTGTTGATTGCAGTATTACTGGTGTTATTGGTGTTGGCGTTTATCCTGTAAGCGAGCACGTGATACTCACGTGAATGTCACATGATCATAATCTTAACCCGGTTTCTCTTTCTTCTTCTTCTTCTTCTTTGTCAGCATCGTTCTATGCCGTTTGTTCTAGGTGGGTCAAAATTTCTCACGCGATGTTTCATGTGTCATTCATCGTACACGGATATCGAGACGGTTCTCAGATTGCAAGCAAACAAAGAAGTACTTGGCAAGTGGTGCCACCTTTGAGAAGGAAAATTTTTGCCGTTAAAGCAAGTTAGAAGCCAGAGTATCGAAAAGGAGTGAATTCCAAATAAGAATGAGCACGCAAACAGTCGACCAGATCGAATTTCTCTCGCTGCCCTCGGGGAAGGCCGAGGGAAAACACCATATTGTGATTGTCGGGGCAGGGATCATAGGGGTGTGCACTGCGTACTACTTGACCAAGCATGCTAGCTTTGACCCCAGTAAGCACCATATCACGGTGCTGGAGTCGAAGCGAGTGGCAGGAGGTGCCTCTGGGAAGGCTGGGGGGCTCCTTGCGACGTGGGCTTTCCCACAGCAAATTGTGCCGCTCAGTTTTCAGCTGCACCAAGAGTTGAGCGATGAGTACAATGGGGAGCAAGAATGGGACTACAGACGTCTGATCACGGTGTCGCTGGAGGCTGACGTGCAGAACGTGGGCGACGCTAGCGACGCAGACGTGAGTCAGAAGGCGTACAACCTCAAAGTGCCACCACCCAAGAAGAAGAAGAGGTGTGCGCAAACCGGTAGTGACGACAAGCACGGCAGCGACGCGGATGACGAAAGTGACGAGCACGAGATTGAGTACAATAACCTGAAGATGAGCAGTAGCGACCGCGACACTTCGCTCCCTGTGGACCTCAATTGGATCCGCACGCAACTTGTCAAGGATTGGTCCTCTCTTGGGGGGACCGATTCCACTGCCCAGGTACACCCCTACAAATTCACACATTTCTTGTTGAACGAGGCAATGAAAACAGGCGCGGTAGACCTCATCCTTGGCAAAGTTGACGAGATCAAATTCAATGATATGGGGTGTGCTTGTGGTGTCAGTTACGTACCGACCGCAGATGACGACCAGCAAGATCAAGAGCCGGTCGAAATCTTGGACACACAACATGTGGTGCTTGCCATGGGTCCCTGGACTTCTAAAATCCTACCCGATTGCCCTATCTCTGGTTTGCGGGCTCATTCAATTACCATAAAGCCATCCACGGGCACCGTGTCGCCTTATGCCATCTTCACAGAGTTGAAAGTGGGTAAGAACAAATATTTCTCACCAGAGATGTATGCTCGTAAGGACGAGGTTTACGTTTGCGGTGAAGGTGATACGCTGGTTGAATTACCCGAAACAAGCGACGCTGTGGAGGTTGTAAGAGAAAAATGTGACGAGCTTTATCAGTATGTTTCTAAGCTCTCACCTAATTTATCGCAAGGTCACATCCTAAAAAGACAGGCATGTTATTTGCCCGTTTTGAACGTACCTACTAGCTCAGGCCCTCTTATTGGTGAAACAAATCTAGAAGGTTTGTATGTTGCATCGGGCCATTCTTGTTGGGGTATCAACAATGCTCCTGCTACTGGTAAGATTATGAGTGAGTTATTGCTAGACGGTGAAGTCAAAAGTGCTGATATCTCAGCTCTGGATCCTGGTCTATATTTTGACGCGAGCGTCCTGGAGTAGACCAAATTCCAGAGCTATTATGATTATGAGATGACCATTTATTTGTTGTAATTCATTTTTTTGTATCTTTCAAGACTATATAGTAGGATGCACTACATATTCATTGTATAAAACAAACCTACCTTGCTATAATTTCTTTATACTCTCTTCATCTTTGCTGTAAACTTTTGAATGCTGCGCTTGCCCCACTGCTCGCATCTCCACCCTTGACACCCTTTGCTGACAATGTATGCAGAACTTCATATCGGCTGGAGCTCAGAACCATGTTTGGGGGTGCAGCAAATTTTGGAGATGCCTTTCTCTTTGGTTGTACAGTCTTCCCTGCTGATAAAGGTTTTTGCTTTTGTGATTCACGCGGACTTTCTGAATCTTTTATCATCTTCCGGGCTGTGAAGAAACACTCGACCCACGATTTTTCCCGATTAACGGGTTGAATCGGTGTATCCAGTTTGGCTTGTGTTATAGATAAAAACCATAATCGTTTCTTATACTTCTCCAAAATTAAAAAGCCTGTGTTACTTTTCTCATCGAACTCATAATCATACATTGATAAATCTGGGTCGGAAACCGACACCATGAAACTTGGCGCTTGATTTGGTTTCTTACTAGTAAGATGGCCGCGAACGTCTAGGGATAAGATACAATTCGTTGAACTTTCTAGTAATTTCTTGAAACTATTAGTCACAAACTCGGTAATAATTGAATCGTCAACTGCAGAATAGCCTGAGACTGATATAGGAAGTGAATTAGGGACATAAGGGATTTCTAAAATGTTAATATTATCTCGTTTTAAAACTGGAGGGGGAGCTGATGTTGGAGGTGTAAGAGGGCGAGGAGACTGAGATCCAGGTGTAGGCGGAGCAGAATACGGAGGTCTAGGAATCCCAGGTGTTGCTACCACTGCTTGCTTGGGTACGGATTGTGGCGTTGACGAAGGCTTTGATGCTGGCGGAGTCGTTCCAACTGGTGTCGGCAGAGTGCCCAGTCCGAGTTTTTTCCTCCATTCAACGATTGTACTTGTTGAAGTTGCACGTACTGGCTTACGTCTTGCGATGCGTATGCCGCTTGCCGGTGTATCTATGACATGCAGTTGACCTGATGCGGTGCGACCTGCGAGAGCAGCAGCCGTCGCAGCTGGCATCGAACCCGGCGTGCGCCCATTAGGCCTGGGTAGTTTCGCCTGCTGGCGTAATTGCCAAACCCCGCGCCATAGTTTCTCCTTATTGTTCCAATCGATAGATTGGAACCACTGATGCGCCTTTATCTGTGCGATTGTAGCACGTTCTTGTGGATTCAGCACCAGTATGCGCTGCACAAGCGAAACTACTGCAGGAGGAGCAGGCGTGCGCCATTTGTAATCTAATGAAACGATCTTTTCAAACGTTTGAAGTTCTGTTTCGCCCCGGAAAGGCGGTGTTCCTTGCATTAGTTGGAACAAAATACACCCTAGAGCCCACACGTCTGAACTGAAACTGCATTGACTATGCAGAAGCAATTCAGGCGACACGTACTCAGCTGTACCAACGAATGATGCAGTTCTCTCATCCACGCTCTTTTCGGCCTTGCACGCAGCTCCAAAATCGGTGATGACCACGCGGCCCTCCTGGGATAACAGCACATTCTCGGGCTTCAGGTCTCGATGGATCACTCCCTTGGAGTGCATGTAGTCTACGGTGTCGACAAGTTGCGCCATTAGTTGCCTAGCCCACTCTTCTGAAAGTTGTCCGACTCGCTGCACGAGGCCCAATAACTCACCTCCACTGACGTATTCGAGAACAAAGTACAGATTGTCAGCATCATGAAACGTGCAAAATAGCCGGACAATGCCCGGATGACCTCCACAAGCTAGTGAGTTCAACGTGTCCTTCTCAATCGTCACGTATTTTACTTTTCGCTCGCGTATGATGTGTTTCTTAGAGCACACTTTGATCGCATAATTTCGTCCACTTTCACCACGTTCCACCGCCCGGAACACCGTGGAATAAGAACCTTGCCCCAGTTTCTCTCGAAATATGTAGTCTTGGGGCGTTCTTTTGCTTCCCATGGCCTTTTCCAATTGTTCTACTGTTACCGATCCACTTTTCAGTACAGCAATAATATTTCATATGTCCAATTTAGGGACTCGCGAGGTCCGAAAAGTATAAAAAGGCAGCCCCTTTCATTGCGAAAGTTCAACACACAGAAGTCATTGCCAAGACGAAATGATTGCTAGGAGAGTCGCCCAAAGAGTTCCTGTGTTTGCAACAGCTTTGAGTAAGCGTACCAAAGTTACTTTACCAGATTTAGATTGGGATTTTGGAGCTTTGGAGCCCCACATCTCTGGCCAAATTAATGAGCTACATTACACCAAGCATCATCAAACTTACGTGAATGGGTTCAATGCGGCCACAGAGCAGTTTGGTGAGTTGGAATGCAAGATCACCGGTGACCCTCAGCAAGACGCGCCCATTACCACCAAGTTGGTTGCGTTGCAGCAAAACATCAAGTTCCACGGTGGAGGGTACACCAACCATTGCTTGTTCTGGAAGAACTTGGCCCCCAGCTCTCAAGGTGGTGGAGAAGCACCATCCGGAGCCTTGGGCAAGCAAATTGAATCCCAATTCGGGTCATTAGACGGACTCATCTCTCAGACCAACACCAAATTGGCTGGTATCCAGGGTTCCGGTTGGTGCTTTATCGTCAAGAACTTGGACAACGGCGGTAAGATCGAAGTGGTCCAAACTTACAACCAGGACACTGTGACCGGTGCGCTCAAGCCCTTGGTTGCCATCGATGCCTGGGAGCACGCATACTACTTGCAATACCAAAACCGCAAGGCCGACTACTTCAAGGCCATCTGGAACGTGATCAACTGGAAGGAAGCCGAACGTAGATTCGAGAAGGCGTAGATTGGTATCCAATGCCGCGATTGGGCACTCTTACGTATACATATTCACAAGTTTGGTTATGGTTTTATAGTTTTGATCACATATCTTTTACATACATCAACGCTGCTATGACTGAAAATTTTTGCCAGTTTCTTTCATTTGGTAACAAACTAAGGAACAAAGCCTGAAAGATGTCGAATTTGCACGATTTATTAGCGCTGAATACGTTACCGATCACCGAGATCTACGTTGACGAGCTCAGAAAGCTTTTGAAGAGTGGTATCCCCGCCACATACACTTTAGAACAGGCTGCTTCCCACGAGGCCGGTCGCGATGAGGACGAAGACACGGGATCAAACACGACGCCTCTACACATACTAGTGCGTTCACTGCCATCAAAATTGAGCGAGGATGAGACCAAAGTGGTCCTACAAATGATGGATGTGTTGTTCGAGTACGGTGCCGGTTGGAACTTTTTAGATTACCAAAACAAGAGCCCAGGTGATGTGCTATGGGAAAAGGGTTTCCGCACGGGAAACCCACTCTACGAGCGTATAGTTGAAGCCGGCGTTTCTGCTGAGCTACTGCTGAGACGTTTGGACGAGAATATAGAATTTCTCTCCGAAGATGACGAACCAGTGGACGAAGAGGAGAGTGACGCCGGAGAAACGATCGATGCCCAGATCACACAGGCACAAGACGTTGAAGAGGCGCCCAGAGACACTGCAGAGCATCAAGATGAGTACCTGAAAGCCAAATTGGAGTACACTGACAACTCACTTGTGACTCAGGAAAACAGAGACGGGGTAATGATGGACTGGGAAACAGACATCATGCGTCTAGCACGCGATTCGCTATTTAAGTACGCCGGGAAGGAGCCTGTGGTTCTTAACATCGGTTTTGGTATGGGTATTATTGATACCCTAATCCAAGAGCAGAGCCCATACAAGCACTATATCTGCGAAGCCCATCCAGATGTGCTGGCTCGTATGCGTGAGGATGGCTGGTTCGAGCGCGACAACGTTGTTGTCCTAGAGGGCCGTTGGCAAGATACGTTGTCTGCTCTTCTAGACGAGGGCACTGTCTTCTTTGATGCCATCTACTACGACACGTTTAGCGAGCATTACTCCGACATGCTGGAACTCTACGACAACGTGGTAGGACTACTGAAGCCCGAAGGAGTTTTCTCCTTCTTCAACGGTCTCGGAGCCGATAGACGGGTATGTTACGACGTTTACAGACGCATTGTGGACGTAGATGTCAGGAACTACGGCATGAAATGTCATTTCACAGCCATCCCACTACCAGAAAAGCCTGATTGGGAGAATGTGCGTCGCTCTTACTTTTCATGCGACACCTACTTTCATCCGGAGATACGCTTTGCCTGATTTGCCCACGTATAGACTGCAAACGCCAGCAACGCCTTCCGCTCAAGACGACGGCTGCTCCGGGTACCGGTGCGCTCGTAAATGTACAAAAGCGTGTTCACGCCCGTTTATTCCCAGTAGAGTAGTGGGACTTCGACAATCTACGTTTCTGCAGCTCAGAGCCCCGCAACGAGGGTCTCCTCTACGACAAGACACATAGCCACGTGATACATACTCTCGTAACGGTTCCCCAGTGTTGCAACCTGCAAGCCGTTATATCGGTTCTAAAGCATCGGTACGTCAGCCTCGCTCCTCGTATCTAGGTTCCTGCATTTCATTACCCAAGAAATGAGGCTAAATAGCACCTGAAGTTTACGTAAATTGTCACAATGGTTAATGCCTTTCAGAAACGACATCTTCCGATTGTGCTTACCGCTTCATCGGCCCATCTTCTTCATAAACCATCGTTCATTAGTCGTTTAAGCTATATACGGCGTATCGGTGAAAACCTCGTTTAAAAACTTCACCGAAGTTGTCGTTTAGGATGCCCTTTCCTGAACATATAAAGACGACAACCATCCGGAACTCAAACCAGGACATCACCTTCTACAACAATTGAGTTTGACATGTCGTCCAATTCAGAGTCCGTCGTGCATAAGGCAGTTGTCAAGGCTGTTGAACTTTTCAACATTGCAGCTGCCTGGTTTTTGAGCCTGCCATTGGCACAACAAATCTCTCTAGTGATAGCTGCACCATTCGTGTATAGCATGGTGTGGCAACTAATGTACTCGATGCGCAAGGACCGTGTGCCACTTGTTCCATACTTTATCCCATGGGTCGGCAATGCCGTCACCTATGGTATGAGACCATACGAATTTTTTGGCGAATGCCAAAAGAAGTATGGTGATGTCTTTTCCTTCATGCTATTGGGCCGTGTTATGACCGTGTATTTGGGACCAAAGGGTCACGAATTCGTGCTCAACGCCAAGTTGGCCGATGTGTCAGCTGAAGCCGCTTACACCCACTTGACCACCCCAGTGTTCGGTAAGGGTGTGATTTATGACTGTCCTAACTCCCGTTTGATGGAGCAAAAGAAATTCACCAAGGGAGCTCTATCTACTGAATCTTTCCGTACTTACGTTCCAAAGATTGCTGATGAAATCTACAAGTACTTCCGTTCTTCCAAGAATTTTTCAATGAACACCAAGAGTTCTGGTACCATCAATGTGATGGAAACTCAACCAGAAATGACCATTTTCACTGCTTCCCGCTCTTTGTTGGGTGAGGAAGTCCGTAGCATGCTTGATACCGATTTTGCCTATTTGTATTCCGATCTAGACAAGGGCTTCAAGCCTATCAACTTTGTCTTCTCTAACTTACCTCTTGAGCATTACCGCAAGCGTGACCATGCCCAACAAGTAATTTCCAGCACTTACATGAAATTGATTCGCAAGAGAAGAGAAAACAACGATATTCAAGACAGAGACTTGGTTGACTCATTGATGAAGAACTCTACTTACAAAGATGGAACGAAGATGACCGACCAAGAGATTGCCAACCTATTGATTGGTGTTCTAATGGGTGGTCAACACACTTCCGCTGCTACCTCCGCTTGGCTATTGCTGCATTTGGGTGACAGACCAGAGGTCCAAGAGGAATTGTACGAAGAGCAAATGCGTGTATTGGATAACGGAAAGAAGGAACTAACGTATGACCTTCTACAAGAAATGCCATTGTTGAATCAAACCATCAAGGAAACTTTGAGATTGCACCATCCATTGCACTCTTTGTTCCGCAAAGTTATGAGAACCATGCCAATTCCAAACACCCCATATGTCGTCCCAAAGGACCACTACGTCCTAGTGTCCCCTGGTTACTGTCATTTACAAGATGAATTCTTCCCTAACGCTAAGGCTTTTGACCCTCACCGTTGGGACAACGATGCTTCTTCCTCTTACTCTTCAAATGAAAAGGTTGATTACGGTTTTGGTGCTATCTCAAAGGGTGTTTCCTCTCCATACTTGCCATTCGGTGGTGGTAGACACAGATGTATCGGTGAACATTTTGCTTACTGTCAACTTGGTGTAATTCTCTCTGTCTTTATTAGAACAATCAAGTGGAAGCTGACTCCAAAGATGCACGGAGTTCCAGGCTCTGATTTCCAAAGTATGGTTACTCTACCACTAGAACCAGCTGAAGTTCAATGGGAAAAGAGAAACCCCGAACAGCAAATTTAAGCGTTTCTCTTACTCGAAGTATTATTTATTGCTGGACTTAATTTAGTGCATGTTTTCTTCATACAGCTTCTTTCATTTATAAATTATAAATATTATTATTATTATTGTGTACTTATGACTGTAAATTTAACCATTAAGAAGAAACCTCCATGGAAAGTTTCAAATATTCTCCATGTTGATGTAACCTGGTCTGTGTAGAGCAGGGACTGATGCTTTTTGCACTGGCTTTTCACTACCAAACTGTATTTTTGGTCTCTTAGCATCATGCTGCTCAGCTTCAATTCTATCATCCCCAGATCTCTTGGAATCATTGCTTAAAGTAGGATCAATCGAAGTACTTACAACCGGAAATTTTGGTTTGGTTCGGTCTGTTTCGTTCACAGGGTGATGTGGAATCTGTTTCGAAGTATCGATTTTAATTGGCACAGGCGTAGAAGAAGATTCTTTAGTGCGCCTCTTTTGAGAACTCCTCCCTTCAGTAGAAATTAATTTTGCCTCATCATTAATTTCTTTCTCAATCGCTCTAGCAGCTTCCAAATTATTGAAAGTTACGGCAATCAAATTCAAAACTTCCATATCGGAGACACTTGTGGTAGGCTCAGAAGATTGTTGCACGATTGGTAAGTCATCAGATTCATTCTCTAATTTTATAGCCCTCTTCGCATACTCTGTATCGAACCATTCGTTTTTTTGCTGTGAATTTTGCTCACCAAAGAGTATATTCGCACGCTTTCTCAGCCTTGCGCGTAAGTCGTGGTCTTTGTTTTTCTTGCCATTTGCTTCTCGCCATTTTCTTTTCCTCTCATTATTTACACTCTTTTTTAATTTCCCTAATTCCTCGCTGTTAAGATGATTTTTTGCCCTACGCAAGATAGATATTGATCTCAGAGGATTCCCGTTTATGTCTTTTGTTGGAATTTTGAATTGATAGAGAATTTCGGGGCCTGTAGAAGAACGACTAGGTTCAACCTTCCTCACTGTCATTTCTGAAGGTTTACTCTCCGACACCGTTTGAAGACTATCGCTGCTTCCTATTGGTTCTGTTTTTGGCTTGAAACTTGGTGGAATTGAACCCTCGAGGTTGAGCATTGGGGGAGGCCTTTTTGTGTATTTTTTCCTAGGCTTTTCTTGGGGTGATATCAAGTCCGATATAGTGCTTGACAAAATACTACCATACTCCGGTGGAAGTTCGCTTCCGTTCCTTTCAGCCTTGGAAAGTTGCTGTTTGATAATATTTTCCACCATGTTGCTCACGTTCTTTGAAATTACAGGCTGCCCTGAGGTGATAATCGCAGGATTCTCGTGTTTTATTGGCTTCACAGGTACAACTTTGGCTATTGAAGGTGGCGGTTTGTTAATCTGTGCAGACTCTTGAATATTATCCATCTTCAAAATGTGATCTTGGTTTTCGACCTTAATAAGAGGGTCAGAAACCGTTGCCGTGGTTATACTGTGGTTTTCGGACAGGGGCAGATTTGCGACGACTGCAGTGCTCATGCCCTTCAAAGACGTAAGAGAATTTGGCGTTACCGGATGGGATGATTGAGAATCACTGACCTCAGAATGAACCACCGCTGTAGTTTGTCCCCTTTTCTCAGTATATGAAGAGGCACTTGCGACTTCCTTATTAGATGGAGTGACTTTTGGGCTATCTCCTTGCTTGGTAATCTCTGAGGGACTTGCGGCTTCTAGATCTATAAATGTTGGAGCTTTGTCCTTTTCGCTTTCTGCCCCAGTTTTCGAAGGTAGATTGCTGTCGTCTTTAGTATCTATTGTTTTGATGCTGGACAAGTTGAATATTGGAATTCTCTTAACTGAGATATCTCGTTCTTGCAATCGTTTGATATCGTCTTGATTCCTAATTGACGCATAATTTCTGTTCGCTTGTCCTCTTGCAGCAGCAAGAGTTTGTGCTATGGTCACTCTTGCATGTTGCAACATAGCACCAAGATGCTTACTTGCCTCCTGTGGAGATGCTCCAGCAGCAGCCTTCGCTTTTGCAGCAGCTTTCAAAGTGTTAATGATAGGAAATAAAGCGGCGGGAACGATTCTGTTACCTGAAACAAAGCTGAGAGGTTGAGTTCTTGACTTGGAAGATCTATGACTTTTTGAAGCTTTCCTGAAACTGACGTCTCTTCTCCTCTTATCCTTTTTCTTTCTTCTGGCAGTTGGCAAAGCAAGTGGGGGATGGGAAGGCATCTCCCAAGGTGGATGAAATGGCACTTTCTCACGGTGAACAACTGTTTTGTGATTAGGATCGAACGTGCCCTTCTTGAGGTCCTTAATTCCATTGCTACCCAAACGAAGTAGCATAGCGCGCTGATTCAGGTTCGTCAATGGATCTTGAAGTAAAGTACCTTGCTTCAATTTCGTGCTGATTTCAGCATCTCTTTCCGCAATTGCACGCGCAGTTGCCAAAGGTATCCGTGCCAATGTTCCATCAATATCATTCAACTTAGTTTTAACGTCATATGGAACGTTACCTTTGATGAAATTGAATAATGGAATTTTTTTGAGAGTTGATAGTGGTATTCTTTTTGGCTTTTTCTCTTTCTTTTTGCGATCTTTGCTAGCTTTTCTTGGCTTTTCGAGCTCTTCTGGGGGCAAAAGAGCTCTCTTAGCCATTTCTTCTGGGGTATACCTCCTATAGGGCTTCTTAGGCTTACCACTTTTTGTCAACCGTAAGTCCGGGGGATAAGGAGGGCCCTTGGAAACTATTACTTCGAGCTCTTTTCTCTCTTCAGCTTGCCTTAGCTTTTCCTCCTCCTTTTTACGCTTCTTTTCAGCGCGAGCAACCCTTCTCTCCTCACGTATTTTCAATCTTGCCTCCTTATTCTTCTTTGATATACGTCTTTTAGCCTCAGCTGCAGCTGCACTAGCTGCCAGAGAATACTTTTTGTGTAAAAGCTGCTCGGGTGAAAGCTGCGGTCTAGGTGATTTCTTTGGAATCGCTATACTGCTTTGATCTGGTAAAGGTAGAGAAAAAGGTTCTGATAATCTTTCTGGGTGTAATAACGCACCAAATCCCTCATGATATGTGGTTGCAGCAGCCGCTGCGGCAGCCGCTGCTGCTGCTTCCAATTGTGATTTATGTTTGTTAGCTTTTGTGTGATGTGATTTCTTCTCGGAAGGGTGCTTCTTTTTCGAAGTTAACTTCTTACTTTTTTCTGTTTGTAGTCCACCTAATAAATCAGCGACATTCATATCTCCAAGTGCACGATTAAAATCCTCAACTGCACCTGCATCTGATTGACTTTGTGTTTGATCATGAAAAGCCATAGCCATGGCATTTTGCATTATCTGATTAAGATCAAAACCTTCATCCGCACCCGACGAGACCATCATTTCATGAGAAGAGTTAAGAGGTTCCACGGCGGTGAAAGGTGAGGACACTGAAGTTTGTTGCGCAGAAGAGTCATGCGATGGTGCAGGTTGTGTATCGGATATCGAACTATTTACAACTTGACTCACCATCTCAGCAAGTGCTCTTGAAAATTCATCTTCGTCATACTGATCTGGTTGATCAGAATCTTTTTTTGACTGTTTCCTTTTCTTGGAGGTCTGTGAAGATTTTGTTTTGCTTTTAGCTGAGGAAGCCTGGGATGCAGCCTTCGTAGCCTTCTTATCCTTGATTTTCGATGAAGAGGGTTTTTTACTTGCGCTTGATTTCTTCTTCGGTACTTCACCAGTAGTTTTTTGTGCCACAACTGTAGGGCCCCCAAGAAGTTCATTCTCAAAAGCTCTCAATGTCGCTTCTACGATTGCCTGCGTCTCAGCATCATTAATTTCAGTGTTACTCGTGGATGCGGCAGATTCCTGAAATGCTTGACTAGATCCAGCTTCTGTAACATTACTTTGCTCCATGAATCCTTTTATTACATCTTCGAAGTTCAAAATATCATCATCTGGAGGACCTGTTAGAGTAGTATGCTTTGAATCTTTTTTAGAGCTTTTAACTTTCTTTCCAGATTCCTTCTTCTTTTTGGACTTTTTCTTAGCAGCCTTCTTGGCTTCTTTCTTCTTGGATTTCTTTTCCTTTTCCTTGGCTTTGTCGAGTTCTTTGGTCTTGTCCTTTGCTATCTCATCGGCTGTGAAGGCAGTGGTAGTGCCGTGTACGGTATCATCCTCAACATTAAGCTGTTGTAAAGAGTCCAAGATGGCCCGTCTTAACGTCTCGTCCTCTTGATCAAGATGTTCGATGCGATGTTCCTGTTCTTCTGCTGGTACTTCATCATTAGGCACTTCTTGCGTAGCTTGGAGTAGACCTTGTTGAAGAATGTGAGCCCATTCCTCTTCTTTATTCTGACTATCCTGAGCTTGTTCCATATTATCGTTATACGTAGTTCCATCGTGCTGGGGCTTCTCAGTGGGCTGTTCGTCTTCACCTTCGTCCATATTTCCTATAGCCTGAGCCACAACTGCAGCCAAATCGGCATCACCGAATTCGATATCGTCATCCACAGTGCCATTATTATTAAGATCTGATAACTCCTGATTTTCAAGGTTCTCCTCTAAATCATTGGGAGGCTCCTGTTCATTGTGAGCCGCTAGGAGATTACCTACCAGTTCATTGATATTTATGTCTTCCTGATCCTCAGACATTGTTCTCAAGCACCTCTAAACCTATAACTGTAACTTTATTTTATGAGTATCACTTCACAGACAAAACTAGGTATCGATGGGCCCTCAGACGGTCAAAGATGCGTTTATCGAAGATGTTTACTCTCTAATCTTCTCTCATCTCATTTACCAAAAAAGTTCAAAATATACTCATGCACGGCCGACACTTTTATGAAAACCACTAAATGTAAAAAACCATTAGTTTCTTGTCAATTATAGATTTATTATTATTCTTCAAAACACTATAAAATTAATGTGAAGACATCTACCTAAAATACACCCAAAATAAAAACTACCTTTTGTTGATAAAAAAATAAAGAGATGAGGTCAAACCATTACCAATTCTTGACACCAGATACCGAATACACGCCCGCATTTTAAACCATCAGCAGCCTATAGCTGTGTGTCGAAGGTATAGTTGTAGAAATTTAGGTACTGTTGAGTTTCCCTTAAATGTCTTTCACTTAAAAGAACGGGGTCCATTTGCTTGTTTAAAGTTTCGATTATAGGTGCGTTCATCGCAGATGCCATACGCATATCTTTGGAAGTATTTACCGGCTCATTGTAAACTGTAATCATTGGCGATTGATCTAGGTCTAAAGGAATGTTGTAGACATCATCGTCCAATGGGGCCTGTGCAGTCGCCAGTGGGAAAGATAACATTTTCATTTGCTTCTTGGCGTATGTATCCTGAGCCGATAGATGTGAGGACGCAGAAGAGGCAGAATTAACAGGTTCCAAAGCACCATCCTCAGTGGGAGAGGGATCCATGGAGAGATAAATGTCATCCAAGGGAGTTTCCTCCAAAGGTGTTACGCAGTCATCAGAGGAGCTAGTACGAACAATTGTATCCTCAGGAGTAGCCATGCAGTGAGTCTTTAGTATGTTTTCGTTCCTTCTCACATTCTTGCCCCGTTTTTTGGGCTTTGGAGCACCCTTGAAGTTTTCCGAGTTCAGCATAATTCTGTTGTCGCTCATCTTGGTAATAGCAGGTATACCACGATCACCTGTGCTTTGGCTTGCCTCATTCACGACGATGGCGGTGGCCTCGATAGCTTCCTTATTGAAAAGTACGTTGGGTTCAATCACACTTTGTTGAGTGGATATGAAGCGCGAATGGCCATTAGATGTCTTGATCATCTTTAATTTCCCTGACTTTCTAGAGTTTTTGACAAGCCCGGTGAAACCCTCGGGAAGACCTTTGCACTCTCCTGTTTCGATATGAGACTGAATCCAAACGTCTGTGTTTTCAAATTCTTCCCCACAGTGAGCGCAGTGACCCGAAGACTTTGCTCTGTCGTGCGTCTTCACACCCTTTGGATAAATAAAGTGCCTCGATCTCAAATGAGTCTTGTAAGTATCCCTTCTTGAGAAACCACCAGTGTTATGACAGCGACTTTCTGGAGGAAGGTCCTTGACCAGGAAGGGGCAATAGTAAGCCTTCTCAACTGCGTGCTTTTTTATGTGTCGCGTCAAGTAGCCCCTGATGCGGAATTCGGCATCACAGTAATGGCACACAAATTTTGAGGCTTCTTTGTCATCACTGACATCTTTCTCTTCACTTCTGGACGAGTTGCTTTTAGGCGACAATGGAGACGCTCTGCTATCCTCTTGCGCAATTGCTGGATCCACCATTTGCCATTCCATGTGACCCTCAGGAGTCTTGGTCATAGACATTGGGCTTTGGAGCGCTGACAAGTCGAGCGCACATGGCACTATCGAAGCCTTGAAATCGAGTGAAGTATCCACATTGTGTTTCTTAGGGAATAATAGCTTTGCTTCCGTGCAATCGATCTTCTGTTCCTCCTCTTCTTTTGAGGAAGTGGTTGTTTCAGTATTTTCTGATTCCTTTGATGGCACGATTGTTTCGACAAAACTTTGCAAAACGGCCATAATCTTGAGGGAGACAGTCCTCAAGTACATCGCCTGCTTTGAGTATAATAACGAAAGAACTGGCATGTTGAGAAACCGCGACTTTGGTAAAATGTACTCGTTGAGAAATTTATGTAATTGTGTAGAGAAATTTCACTCCTTTTACAATAAAAAAAAAATTTTTCTATTCTTCTCGACGATCACCTCATGATAAGATCACGTGTAGCGTGCAATCCATATAAAAGATGCTATTAGTTACTACAAATAACTTCGAGGATGTTGTTGAAGAAAGCACACGATGGATCAGAATAAATCCCAACAGTGGATAAGCTTCAGCTCATATTCGCTTTTAGTAAGTTTATGGGAAACTATTATATTGTCCGCAAGATGCCCAACTAGTATACATGTCTCTTTATCAGCATGGGAATAAAAAGTTATTTTCTTTGTTCCAGTTCAAATTCCTGGGTGTCAATATCGTACTCATCATCCATGGGACGGTATTGAATTTCAGTCTTTTGTTTGTAGCGGAGGAAATTGTAATAGCATACATCGAGGAGAATAATGCACATCCCCGCCCAATTGTAGATCCCACTTAGTCTTTCGTGGAGCACTATCATGCTCACAACAATCGTCAGCAACTCTTTTACGATACCAGCAATTGAAAGCGTAAGAACTTGAGCGCGCTGCAGAATACCGAGCTCGCATATAGTCATTAGGAAAACTTGAATTCCAGGGATTACCAGTAGCCCGAAACCGCGTAAAATCGATAGAGCTGAGATTTTATCATGCCACGTAAACAGGGACGTTTTGAAAATGGCTGGAAAGGGCTTTTCCACGATCAGAGCCGCTGCAAATAACGCGACACCCATAATTGGGGAAAACTGGTGAATAGTTTCAATTGGAGACCGCTTTACGGAAGCATCAGGGCCCACGCCTTTCTGTAAAATTATTTGCGTGTACACCCATCTTAGACCTGACAGACAGCTGCTTCCTAGCACTAGAAACACACCCAGGACTGTGTGGTCGGGTTGTTGGCTAGTGATAGAGTCGGGCTTGTAAGCCATCATAACCACACCACCGAACATAACGACAACGACTGCCATAAGTTTCCATTGAAACTTCTCCAAATGTAAAAGACATCCGAATAATAATACAAATGCGATGCTCGATGATTTCACTATGGTGTAGATTGTCAATGCGATAAATTTGAAGGACACGTTTCCCAACCCGATATCACCCGCCGTCGCCAAAGCAGTGGGGACTATGTACTTGAAATAAAATTTCCACTCCTGGGTAGAGTGCTCTTGTCGCGGTGATGCTGTGCTCTTTAGATATATTCCGGATATAATCCACAACAATAATTGATGGAAAGTAGTCACCATAAGAGGGTACGGTACACTTAGGCCCTTGGAAGGATCAAACATCCACTTATTATAAAGTGAAAGTGTAATCGAGCAAAAATACCATCCTGCAATGAACAGAATGATAGATTGATTCATCTTGATAATAAGTGTTTATATTTGTGGTGTATTTCGTGGACCAAATTTATCGCCATATCATTGATGAAGAATCGTTAGGTACGTTTACAGACTTAAAATACGCGTTATAAAATCATAGTTAGTTCAAATAATCCAGTTCACGTCATCCATATTCACAATATGGCTGATTGTAGCATCTCAAAGGTCTAAACATACCCTGCTCGTTGACTCATAAATTTCACGAATTTGAGAATGGATTATATGGATCTTGGTCCGCTCCAAGCTTATACAACGCCAATATCTCTTTCAATGTAACTTAATTTCATTAGTACTATTCTTTCTTAACTTGCATTTTTTATTTACATGTGAGCAGCAGCTGTCGGAACCTATCGCCAGCTATTCCTTCTTTTTGTATTCGTAGTACCATATCTTCTTTGGGGGATAATTTGTAGGAATTCTGAGTTCGGTGGGGAATCTCTTACCAGCTTCACTTTCGTTCGCTGCAGCATACAGCTCGGAGTCTATTTGTTTGAGCAGGTCCATCGCATTGTGGGCACTCTTGTACTGATTCCTCAGCTGATCGTTGCGCTTCGTACGTAACTGTTCTTGGTGCATAGACCAGCATTTTTGAATCATTTGGTGCTTGATGAGATCCTCGCGCGACAGTTTCAACAGCTTGGGTTGCTTACGACTGGCGGACATGACGCTCAGCTGTGTGACCACTCTTTGAGCCACAGGGCTCAATGATCCCTTACTTTTCGTTCTTTTCCCACGGACGAAGTTCACCATGGGCTGACTAATGCTCTTTTTCGCACGCAGCGATTGAGGGAACATGGTTTTGGTCTGTTTGTAACGATATACTTATCAACTGTTCGGCAGCTCGCTATAAAAATTTTTAGTAGAGAAGTAATATGATCACGTGAAACACGAGATGGACGATTTTTGGTGAAACAAAGATCACTGAGGATGTTCTAATAGACTTTAGGGCGACTACTAGTCAATTTTTGCTTTCCATGTCAGTTTCTTGTTTTGGGTGGAGTTTGTATGCTAATTGATCTATAAAAATGCCAACATAATTATGTATCCTTAATCCTTGTGATTGCTAACCATCGAAAAAGACAAAATGAAAGAAAAAGAATCAGGAAGCTCACTAATGCCTGATGAACCGCCTTCCTATGAAGAGACTATGCATATGAAGCGAAATGAGGCCAAAATCGGGGGATCTTTCGAGTTCTCGCATAGTTCATCTCAAAGCCCCGGGCAGCAGCACTCCGCTGTTGGGCTAGACAACAGTGCTAGTTCACAATCTGCTCCTAGTTATGCTCAATCCGAACAACGACCTACCATGCAAGTTGAACATCAGTTTTCTGGCGAGGTAAGTCCGCAACCTCGCTATGTGCATAGAGGTCACCCTCGTGGGGGTAAGAAATCGTTTCCCGGAAATCGCACTTTGACGTACAGTGGTCAACGACCATAGCTTGCTGCTGGTAGCATGCCGCTCATGTTTTCTTTTTTGGTTGTAATGGTGTAAATGAACTCATTGGAATTGAGCCACTGGCAAGCGCAGGAATCACAGAAGGAGGTCTGTCTATGCTGCTCGCGATTGAGGTCGCAGATTCGAACTGTCCGAAAGCATCCTCATCGGCATTCTCATGTTCAGTTTTGGTGTCTTTTAGAGATTCCAGAGTATCCTCTCGAAGAACCCTCGGTGGAACATGTCCTAATGGCTCATCTTTTACTGGTCGCTGCACTTCACTTATCGACGGATCGGGTGATGCAAAATCTAAATCATCACCAATGCTTGAATTTTCTAGATTTAAGCCGCTGCGATTGTCTTCTTGAAGGTCCTCATTAGGGGCAAGCTGCTCTTCTGCGAAAGGAGGCTCATGCCCAGAAGGCTGCTCCAATACGTCCGATGTACTGTCTTCTCGCACAGCTTTCTTGTGCGTGTCCTCACTTTTCTTTCCCCAAAACCATAGAAAACTGGATCTTTTCTTCTTCTCGTGATGGTGCTTCTTCTTCGTCTTGCGAGGCAGTGCCCGAGCTTCAAACTGCTTCAAAGGATCAACTTTAAAACCGGTTTCCGTTCCCAATCCAGGAGATGTTGCTCTGCTAGAATCGCTTCTTTGAGCTCTTAAATAGTCCTTTTCTTCCGATTTTTTTATTTCCCGATATATTTTGGTTAAATTCTTGTATGCCTTGTTATAAAGTTTCTCATTAACTGATGGCTCTGAATTAGAGCTCTTTTCTTTGATCTCGACGGGAATTGACTGAGCTCCTTTCGTAGACGAACTCCACGAAAAGATCGCAGAAGAGTAATCACTTTTTAAGCCTGTTGAAGTCTGAAAGTTATTATTCTCTTCATTCCTAGATCTTTCATCAGAGGCCCATTTCTTTGCTGTCTTGTTTAATTCCTGTGATAGATGACTTTTACTGTAATGCAAAAACAATGTGAGATCGCCGCTTGCACTACTTGTAAGTGCATTCATGGTTTTTCGTGCATTTTTTGTATAGTCCAGTAGATTGTATAAGCTCCATTGATCATGTTCTTCCTCTTCTGAGTCATCAATTGGTATGCTCTCGTCAATTAATTGTGATAAACTGTGCGGAAGTATCAACTTTGAGTAACTCTTCGTTAAAAACGTGTTTTTTTGAGTAGATGGCGTTTTTAGAGGCTTAGTAGTATCCTGGCCTACGTCTTGAGCCCAAACATTGACTGTATCATCCATATCTCCCCTCTTCTCTTTTTCGGGTTGTTACGAACTGGAATTTGTTGAAAAAAACCAGACAAAGCTTAGTTTGGTTATGGTATATAGGTACACAAGACAACATGCTAGTCACCTCTCTCCCACAATTCCATGAGTACAGTATATACGTATACTTGTTCTGTGATGTCAAGAATAGTGCTGAATTGCGTGGTAAAGTTGCTGAACTTCCTTTTGCCCTAATTGATGCTTCCGCAATATGCTCCAGAGAGCAGCTATTTTCAGCAATTTATAAGACTATACTCGAAAATACCTATAACAGAATACGCACCAAGTCTCTAAATTCCGAATGCATACTTTCCCTGTCACCTACTTCCAATATTGGGGAAGCTTTCAGAAGATTTGGCATCAATGAGCATAGCTCTAATATAGTATGCTTGGCAATTGTTCCTAAAAGTGATGCCTTTGATTCCAATTTGGCTCTCAAAGTAGTTGACGGCGAAGAGCTCGACTTTTCGGATGAAAACTTGGCCACAAGGTTCAAAATTGATGTGATTAAAAAGGTATGTTATTAAATGATTTGGTAATTTATTGTGATGACTATGACTAACTTGAATTAAATGCAGAACTATAAATTGGATAGAGATTTTGAGCCACGCAACAATCAAGAACTGTCAAGGATGTTAGTTAACGCTATTCAGCTGAGGGGTCTGTAATTCCTCAGTAATTACACATCCCAACCCCATGAATGCCTCGGTTAGCATTCTATCATAAACGTAATCAGCCCTAAATCCTGAGGCAATATATTCTTTTTTGGCCTCCAGCTCTTTGATAAATGGATCAAAATAGCCTGAATCCGTCAGTGTGTAGCGCTTATGTATGTCCCTATCACCATTGAAAGGTGTGAACGGCACAGTCTCTTTCTTCTTCATTAGTCCGTTTGATACCGTCATGAAAGGATTATTCTTCAAGACTTTATTCAATTCTTCAAGTTTCCGTCTCGCCGAGGACTTCTTTAGCTTGACTGTCTTCTTCACATTGGCAATAACTTCGTCTGCATCGCCCGAAGTAGATAGTTGATTGACAATTTCTCTCTTCGCCCATTCCTTATTAGCCATATCTTCTTCTTGAATCTGCTTCTCCAGAATTCTCTTTTTCAGTTTCATTTCCTTCTCGAACTTCTGTCTCTGTTCAAAGTTCTCTAAATCTTGCTTACTCCTCTCCATATTAGCCATGATCAGTTGTTTATTAATGTCCTCGTAAGTACGCAGTTTCTCCTCCGTTTTAGCAACATCAATACCGTGATCAAGGTTGTAAACAATGTCCTCCACGTCCTCCAGGTATTTATTGTAAGCATCAGTGTCACCGTCGAAATCGTCTAGGGTCTTGTTGAATACATTGAATACTCTTTTCCGTATATCTACCTCCTTTTCAACTCCTACATCATCGAAAACCTGTGTCTTAAACTTATTCTTTCTCAAAATCTTATCACAGCCTTTGTAGGGGCATTGAGCAGGACCCAAACTGAAGATACGATCAACACACGACTCGCATATTTTATGGTAACATTCAGGGTTCACCAAAAACTTCATATCCGGAGATAGATACCTATCTGTCTTACAGATCGGACACATGTCCTTCTTTTCATCATCATCCACTACTACAAGGTTAGTCAAAAGAATAGTACTCATTGGAAAAGGATCAATAACTTACTGCTTCCTTCGTATTGTCTGCTTGGAAAGCCCTTTTGAGTTTATCAGTAAGCTTTTATTTTTGACAATTAATAATGTTTAGGTTCTATTTATTTTTTATCACGATGATCTAGAGAATCGCAGACGAAGATAATCGGACCTTTATGCGGTTTAACAGGCCCAAAATCACATATTTTCGACTCAATAGATTTTGCGTGCCGGTTATTGTTTTCGCACTCATAATTTATGCCACTTGGGCATATTGTCACAAGTTTTGCTATGATCAGGTATATGTTGCATTGAACCATAAATCGATTGCCATCGGATTGATAGTTGCCGAAATCATTTTAGCGCTTTTAGTATTTGGAATATGGCTGCAACTGGTACTAATAGGGCCTGGGAAACAGCCGCGAGTGCCACCGTTTAGAATAGTGCAGGACCTTGGAGAAGAGATCAGCAGTATAGACGACGAAAAACCACTTTCATCTATTATTCCGCCCGACGTTTATCAATGTGACCCTCAAGGGTATCCTATCTGGTGTAGCACATGCCAAAGTCTAAAAATGGAGCGGACACATCACTCTTCGACTTTGGGTTATTGCATTTCTCGTTTTGATCACTATTGTGTATGGATTGGGACCGTAGTTGGGAGGAAAAACTACAGGCTCTTCATACAATTTAACTTGTATTGTGACATGTTGTTTTGCTTGATTATTATTTCCATTTGCTGCTATTTACCTCGTATTGTACACCAACACAAACGATTGCCACAAGTCAATCCGAATATTTTAATTACATTGGGTCTAGACTGTGTAGGTTTTTTGATGGTTACACCGTTGCTTCTCTCTCACATTTATTATATGATGACTAATAGAACTTCAATTGAAATACTTGCAACAAAACGTCATGCTAAAGCTACTCAGACGTGGTTTTGTTACTATAATGCAGTTGACGGGTACCGGTATGTCGTGGAGTTTCTTCCCCGCGAAATGCAAGATTTCTGGAATAAGCACAAGATACTTATCAACATCAAGGAGTTTTTAGGTCAAAACGCATTTATGTGGTTAATTCCTATTGGTAGCAATATTGAAGACCATGATGCTATCACAACGAATTTCGATGACATTTTAGGGCCCTATAGGGAAACCATAAGTCAACGATTTAGGGAAATCATCGAGCACAAAATTGAGAAGGGTGAGTATGTTAAGTCAATGCGCGTCTACGGGGACAGATGCAGGGATACATTAGATCATAGCGTGTAATATAGTAATTAGTACATTTCTGTCTTTAAATACATTTGAAATATTGGAAACTACGGTTTAAAAATCTCTAAAATTAAGAATTATCAATTTGTAAATCTTTGCTCTAAAGATTTGAACCGCGCATAGTGCTCGACCAATTCAAGTTCCGTAAATAGAGTATCGTGACGATAGTTAATTCTGATGTCAGGAACATTTGTCTTTTCGACGTCATTGCCTTCGATTCCCTCCTTTTCAAAATCTTTTCCTATCCAATGCCTCTTAATTTGAGCCTCCCAGCCGCTTTGCAAAACAGAGTTTCTGGCAAGTTCACACATGTCGACGTTTGAAAGTTTGTAAATTTGGGCAGCGACGGAATATTCTTCAATCAATGGTTCTCTTGTATAAGAAAACTGTAAAGGATCATCTGTTGAGAGAGAGACATTAAGACCTCTCTTGAAGTAGTATGGCAGCGGATTTTTGTCATAAGTCAAAAATAGTGCGTTATTAGACAACGGAGACATAGCAATACCGACTTGGTCCAAATAATATAAATATTGAACGAAGGGAACCTTTCTCAACAGAATACCGTGCGAGATACCCTGTGCCAACATGTAGGCGGAGATGAGGTGCTCTGGATCACCTGCTTCACCACAGTGTGGTCTTAAGACAAACGTATTGAAGCCCCTTTTTGCTCTCCAATGGTTCAATGTAGCCATACTGGAATAAAGGTAGTACAGATAGTAAGAATATGGTGGATTTTGAGGAGCATCCCATAACGATGGCTTAGGGTATTTCTGATGGAAGCGACGATCAACTTTTGATTCATCATCGACTGAGTCGAACCCTATCACTCGTTGTAAAAAGACGTGCAGTTTTGGATGTGATTGAGGGTTTTTAGTCACTTCGAACAAAGGTTGAAACAAGTTCTTGGTTACGTCGTTAAAGGTATCAACAGCTCCAGTTTTCTTGTAAATATCATAAAGTCTGGGTACCTGTACTAACCACCTCACATTGTGAGATATAACTTTGTTGTCAACGACCCATGAAGCCAGTTTATCCCACTCATCAATGGATCTCCCGTAGATCGAAATTCTGTACTCACAGTTCTGGTACTTTGAGTTTTCCAAATCTTGAAGAACTTGACGCGTAATTTCTGCCAGATATGATCCCTTGATATAATTATCGGTCTTCAAGAAAATCTCTCTCAAACGAGATTCGCCAATTGGATTATATTTGAGATTAAACTTGTCAAATCTATGGAAAGTATCCTTGTGTGCATGCATATCTAATGTATCGATTGACAAGTCATACCCGGTTAGATTAAGGGATTTAAAAACTTCATCCAAAGTCAAGACTTTGTTATCTCTGTAAATGACCTTTTCATCTTTAGAATGTCTTAATTTGTATTTGATAAACCGAAGTAAGTGCTTTTGATTCATACAAGCCGAATGATGAACGTGAGTATCAACTTTTCTAACATTGTAGAAGTCTCTGTGGGGATTTTTCTTTGACACAGCAGTTTCTTGATATTCGTTCAGCAAAGAGTATAGATTCCAGCGAGCTTCTAGGTATTGTAATCTTCTGAAAGCAAACGATTTGGCTGGACCATCTGAAGACACCGCGACCATCTTGTCCAGGTCGATGTAATAATCTCTGAGAGAAGGAATCTCTGACAGTAACATTTTAGGGGTCTTAGAAGACGTAACGACGTATACATCATCGTCGTTAATTTCAAAATTCCAGTCTGGATCCTCGCCCGGGATCTCACATTTCGAGAAATCAAATATCTCCACATCAGGTTTATTATCAACTTTTATCACTGTTTTTGTTTCCTGATTGTAGGAAGGTTTTGGAGGAGGAGGGTATATTTTCCAACCTGGGTGATTTTTGGGGTTTTGGTCTTGTCTTTGCAAAGATTGTGTTTGATACTTGCTTCTCAGCTTTCGACAGTCTTGAACCTTTGAATAAAGATCAACCAGCTCCAAAGAAGGGCTCTCGAAGAATTGCTGGTCCTCGTCCATTATCATACCCATCTTGTAACGAGCTGAAACGCGTCGCTGATCATCTTGTGCAAATTGAAGGGAAGGAGGTTCAGGAACAACAACTTGAGCACTAACAGACAATCTTCTTCCACCATTAGAGGGGCTGAAATGCTGCCTATGCATCTTATGCATCGAAGGCGACGAAGAGTGCAAATGCTCCAATGCGCTCTTCTTGCTATCGTGATCAAACAGCTTTTTATCCTCATGGTAAGAGTAATTGGTATTGACAGAGTGTGTATCTTCAAAATCTATGTCGAAATCATTCTTGTCTTTGTTAGTCTTATCAGATCTCATGTCCATGTAAAGCTTCTGATTATGGCTGTCCAATGCCTCAAGACTATCATCCAACGGATCGACCTCTAATGACAGTTTGGAAATATCTTTTGTAGCTTTGGGAATATCCATTGTATCTTATTTTGACCAAATCTCGCAATGTTTTACTCGTGGCGACTACTAATTAACTTCTAATATGGAAACTTAATCCGTTTGTTCTTTACAAAAAATCACGTGGGAATTCTTTTTAATATTTTCAACGAAATTTGCCCACAACAAACACAAGGAAGGTGTTTACGTTTGGCAATAGCGATTTCAGAAGAATCAAGAACAACGCTATGGAGGAGGAATACCTAGAAGTTGGATTTGATCCAAAGACTTTGAAGGTCGCGCAGCTTCGAAGAATACTCCTGGAGCATGAAGTGACTTTAACCACGGGATTAAAGAAGGCAGATCTTTGTGAGCTTTTTGAAAGGCACATCAAGCCCCGAAGAGAAGAATTGTTAAAAATTAAGGAAATGGGACCTGGAAAGGAAGTATTTGAGCAGTCCAGTGAGATTTCGGTATCTCGTGAAGCATCTGCAGGGCGTTCAGAATCGCCTTTCTCTGGTGTAAACGATTTTCAACAAGAGAGTGTGCTTCCACAGAAGAGAAGACGCGACAAGGATACTGGTAAAGAAAAGAAGAAGAAAGGACGTAGGGCCAAGACTGTGGAATCGCCAATTGTTGATAAGGTCCAGCACATGAAGAGTCCCTCCAAATCTTCTCCTCACAAATCGCTGGTGATCGAGAAATTCGAGTCTTCATCGGATCATTCATCTAACTCGGATGACATCGCTGATTTCTCCTTCAGACGGAAGACTGTATCTCCAGATCTTTCTAAACTGAGAGTTAGTCCGGCGTTTGCAGAGCAACTATTGAGGGCCGCTAAACAATCCCAAAGCACCCCAACGAAGAACGTTAAACTTGAAGAAGAAGAGAACCATACTCCTAACGAGCATAAGAACACCCCATCACATTTATCATCTACTGCAAAATCAAGAAGCGTGAGCAAAGAAGCATCTTTCGAAAATATGCCCTCATTCTCAGGCATTAAAGATGAAAGCAGTCCGATTCGCATTGCGATACCCAAGCGCACTCCTGACATAAACGAAGAAGAACATGAAGAGGAAAACGAAAAATTAACTACTGATCGGGATTCTGTCCAAAATAAAGGACTCTCAGCTACTGCTGAACCTTCAGAAAGTTCGAAATCAGATAGCGATAGTCCTGCCACGCCTCTTGCTGATCAAGAAGAAGACAATGAAACAGTTGAATCCTCTGAAGCAGAAGACAACGATGATTCTATTGCAGTGACGGACCTCGAAAAAGAAGTGAGCATGCAGAAAATAACAACCCCTGAGTTGGCAACGGAGGATGACGTGAAAAAGATAGAGGAGGATGTAACAGAAGCTGAAAAAAGCCAATCAGACATACCTAAAAAAAGAACGGTGCGTCCTCTTCTCTTAAAGGCTGTCAAGCGAAGTTTCAAAGGTCTCTTTCATTTAGTGATATTTTTGAGTGTCATTTTGTCTATCTTGTTCGGCTTATGGTATCGTGAAGAGCGTATTCAGGTGGGCTACTGTGGACGTGAAATCAATCTACCGACTTTCCAAAACCCTGATAACTTACCTTGGTTAGAGAATGCAGAAATATTCTTGCAACAATTCAAACCAAAATGTCTGCCGTGCCCTGAGAATGCCATATGTTATCCATATATGAAAATCAAGTGTAGACCAGACTATGTGGTGACGCATTCAGCTTGGAGTTTGCATGGGCTCTTCCCCGTGAGTGACTACTGTGTTAAAGACTCTAAAAGAGAGAAGCTCATATCCGAAGTAGTAAAGAAGTCACTTGAGTTACTCAGAACCAAAAATGCGCAGGTCAAATGTGGAGAAAGCGAGAACGACTTTGAGAGCGGAATAAGTAACGAGGAATTATACCAGATCTTTTACGAGTCTCGCGCACCTTGGATCAATAGCGAAGAGTTTGACGATCTATGGGTTCAGATCGTACAAGACTTGAAAAACGAACCCGAAATTACCTGGAGGCAAGTGAGTTAACTTTTCATTATCTTTTTCAAACAGCTTTTGAGAGCATTTACTAACAAAGAAAACAGTTACCAACCCCTGAAAGTGACACTACAGGAAACAGCGACAGCCCAACTGACGCCGATGACATTCAGGAACCGGAGGGAGATTTTCAAAACATCAAGAAGCAAGGGACTTTTCGCTCGACATCCAAGAAGTACATCGGTCTCAAATGCAAGTTTGAACGAGAAGTTCATCAAACTTATCAGAGATTCAAGTACGTGATATGGACAATTGTGTTGAGCGTTGTAGTCGTGGAGGGGCTCAAGTACAAGCTTCGTAGATACTTCAGACAGCAGGAAAAAATCGATCAACTCACGCAGCAAGTCTTGGTCAAACTACGTGGTGCTGCCAGGGATGCCGATGACTCAAAACCACCTTATCTGAGTACGGTTCAACTGAGGGATGTCCTCCTGGTCGACATTGTTGACTTGAAGGACAAGAACCAGTTGTGGCAGATGGTGTCCAAGAAGTTGGAAAACAACAACACCAACATCAAGTCTAGTCTCATGGAGCTGCATGGAGAGATCATGAAGTGTTGGCAATGGATCGGGCCCCTCGAGGACGAGTAGTTCCTTACTTTCCCTTACGTAATTGTATAATACATGATATATAAACGACTAAGTAAATGCACCTATCTAATGTAATACTTACGATATTATCACTGACCAATTAGCACGTCCTGTGGTGCCTCCTACTCGCTTCCGTAAACTACTTCCGAGCTCTTTCTTTCGGTGTTGTGTCTTCTTACGATTACGCTTCGGACGAATGCAGAAAAAACGTCGTTTGCTCTCCTTAAAGGATAAGAAATTTGGGAAAGTTCCCCAAGGAAGAAGTATTAAAGAAGAAGAATTAGAAATTATGTAGATAGCAGCAGTCTTGAAGTTTAGAATAGTAAACAAAAAAATGAGAGCTACAGGTGTCGTATATCAATTATCAAAACAAAGCGGTGGTAGAATTGGGGTGAGAGCTGGACTACTGGGTTTCACTCTGGGTGTTGTAGGAGCGTCCATATTAGCAATTAAGGTGGTAGACCACGAAAGACAGGAGATGGAATGGTCAGAGAGTATATTAAACTTAACACGATCTGTTAGGAAGCTTGAAACGCATGTAAAGTCGCTTGAGCAGCAGTATGAACGTAAAGACGGGCACTAGGAAATGCTAGTCACGTGCTCTATTTAATTGACGCAATCTCAATGGGATAGGGAATCGGGTCCTTATACTCATTCGAAAGGACGTTAGTCCGGCTTCTGTTTTGCAAGATCCTTAGGCTCTTCGCATTGGTAATGTTTTGTTGAAGCTATGAAGTTGATACATTTGTATCGTCATTTCGGTTGACATGAAGTAGAAATTTCAATGGCTTCGTCAAAACACCAATCAACGTACAAAACATATAATATTGAGATCTATTTGAAAACTTAAATATTCAAAGTTATGCATTACATAATGAATCCTACACATCTAAGCAATGCCGAAACCTTCATGTCCTTCGTTGATAGCAAGCAATAGCGAACCCCGGAGCGTTTCGTAAGAGCTGTACGCGGGTAAATCCAATTGGTTGAAACAAGTATGGGAGGACGGCAATCTTTCGGTAGAACCGTAGTCTCTGTGGATTGAAAACTTACTAACTCCGTTTACACCGCTGAGCTCCTTAAAACCATTTAACGGAACTTTACTTGTACCTGTGACAAATTGCAGTAGCTTAGCGCGTTCCTCAACATCAAAGGACCGTACCGCTCTCCAAAAGTAGTTGATCTGTTTGCAAGTGGGCGTGTAGTTAACATAAACAGTGTTGTTTTTCCAGTCATCTACGTCAATATCAGGCAAACCACTTATGAGGAGCTCCAATTCCTGCTCGTCGAAAATAGATATCAATTCTTTGGGGATGATGGCATAGAATCCGAGTAAAAAGTTGTCCATTTGTTCTTTGACAGAAGTGTGCAACTTATATTCAACAATTTTTTTGACATAGTCTTGTTTATTCTCTTCAGTCACTGGAATGTTCCTTCCATCTTCAATTAAATCGATCACCTTGTGTTCACCGTAATCGTCGGTCTCTACGGAAAAGGTTTCCTCGATTATGTCAGTAATATCGTTTTCCAATATCCAGATTAACGATTTGTAATAATCCAAGTCCAGCGATTCCATATCTTTGAGTGCGACAGGCTTGCTCAAAATATTTTTGTAAACTTCTCTACTGAAATGGCAATCAAGGAAACATTGATCACTTATGGCTTTGCCGATGATCATACCGATGAATTTGAAAAACGACAAATGCTCGGGGTTGATCCCTGAGGTACGATTGGGGTGGAAAGTTGTCTTATCAGAAGCAACAGGCAAAAACAACGCATAATCTGGATTAAACATTTGACGGGACAAAACCTGGTACCATTCTCTCGTGACTCCTCCGGCATCGACACCCGCTTCACCTTTAAAGGTAATTTCAAGTTTGGAATTCTTGATATCGTTATTAGACTTGAAAAATAAAGCACGGTATGAATCTAAAAAGACTTGATCACGGCGAATTGAAATAGCCAGTTTAGGACGGTCCTGGGCATGGGATTTTAGCTTTGCCACAAAGTAATATCTCTTGTTGTCGAAGTCAAGAATCTTGGGGTTCTTAACGAGTAAGGCAAAAGGCCCACTCATGAGTTTTGGATTGCTTCTAATCATCTGATTTAACAATTTCTTGTGGAGATCAGTAAACGCAAAAAAGGTGTTTTCCGCTGCAATCTCATTGAAGTTGCATTTCTTAACTTCAAACTTCAAAGACTCTTTCGATTCACGAACTTTACTGTGCTTACAGACGACCATGAGAGATTCAATCAAGGGAAGTAAAATATTTGCCGAAGAGCTTAGATAAGGTCTCGATTCAAATTCAGCCAAGCAATTACTCAAAGAAGCCCAAACAGTACCCAGCTTTATTTGATCATACAGCCCCATGAGCTCATCGACATCAATTTCTGAAGGCTTCTTCTTGTCAGTGAAGATATAATCAATTGCAGTTAAAACTTTGAGGAGCTTAGCTTGCTCAGAACTTGGGACGGTGAACTTTTGAATGATCTCTGAATTGATTTCCGTACCATTTTTGACATTTGGAATTTCGGCACTTAGAGAGTCTAATTCCTCAATCAACACATCAACTGTATTCACAGCTAAGGACGATAATTCGCTAGTGAAAATTTCCAAAGCATCTTTAATGGATGAGAGATTTGTCATAATATTCAAAGTTTGTTGAAAAACTTTAGTGTTGCATGCATCCAATTTGATAATCGAGACAATGTACTCTAAATGCTTGCGTTCAATATCAGGAAGCAAGAATTTCTTCTGTGAATTCTCTTTCAAACTCTTGGCAATAGTAGAGATCGGCTTGGTACAAATTTGAAGAACTCTTGTTAAAAGATCTAATAACACGGCTTCATCCGTCACGATTTTTTTGTCAAACAAAGCAAATAAGTAGTTGATCGGCCACTTTGTATTCTTGGTAAAAATGTCTTTCTTAGTCTTCAATGGTGACTTATTGACCAATAGATTCTCATGTTCTGTAATGAAAAAGAACTTCAGGCGATTATCCGTCTCAACGAGATTCTGAAGTATTTCAATTGTTTGGTTTGCGACAGTCAGTAAGGTACAATCAACTGGAAGAACGCGATTGAAGGAGTGCTTATTATTGCCTAGGGCTCTATTGGAAATCAAATTGTAGACTTTTTCTAAGGACTGCTGATCGTTTATACCTTCTGTCAAAATTAGCATCAAAATGTTCATAATATCACTCCTATTCTGCTTACTGGAGCATAACCTATAGAAGAGTTCATGGTAAATTTCTCTAGCGAGGTATGGTTGCGGAATAAAGATTGATTTCATGATAGCTGCAATACCGGAACGATCAACAAGTGGAGCAAAGTATATTTTCTCAGATTTTTTCCTTTTCGAATCGCCGGTCTCTTCATCCTCATCTTCGTTGTTGCCATTTTCAGTAATGTCCTCATTATCTTCGGCTTCATCCAATGAACCTACAAGCCTCGAGAATCTGGATTCTGCGGCCTCTTGTTCCAAAATTTCTTCTCTTATATTATCGGGGATTGTTTCCAGGAAATCTGACGCGATTTCTCTTGAATTGACGGTATGGTTCAATGCTTCTGCCCTACGTTCTCTTATATGTTGAGCAAAGACCTCCGCTCTCATATCATCGGGGAGTGCCGACAAAAACTCTGGGTCGATATCTGTTCCTGCAATATCAACATCTTCACCACCAATATTGACATAAATAGGGTCATGCTCTATTTGTTCTTGTTCTATTTCCTCATTACTTTGCCGCTCATTTTCATCTTGCATCTCTTCAAGTTTTCTTTTTCTGGCTTCCATTTGTTTTCTAAATTCCTCCTCTCTTCTCAGCTTCTCGTCGCTTTCCTTTTTAAGAGCCTCCTCGCGTTTCTTGACGTACAATTCGGAACTAGGTTCGAATATCCTTCCAATAATAGTTGGAATGACATTATTGGCATAGACCTTAGAATCATAAAACATCTCAAAAATATCATTCCATCTAGCTGTAGTAGATTTGAGCACAATACCAATAGATGATTTGTCGTCAAAGAATTCGCCGCTGAACAAAACATCCGAAAGATGCAGTGATTCGCCTCTTAAGCGACTCCAATTTCCAATACTGCTCAGTTGGTTCACAATACCATCTTCAACTTCCTCCAACCCGGAAGGACCTAAAGGATTCATGAGAATGCTTCTGCTACGTCTGCCACCATTCAAAAGACTTATTGATGGAGCCACCATAGAAAACTCGGAGCGGCGGCTACCATGATGATGCGGAGTACGATGCGAGCCAGATCCTTCACCGTGTACTCTGAACAACTGTTGCTCTGGCGAAAATACGTGTTGAATTCCTGTGAATACTCCTCTCCCTTCTTCATCTGAATCATCTTCAATATTGACCTCATCAGTCAGCCATCTTTCACCAGATGTACCGTTTCCATGATATTCATCGTCTGAACTTTCGTTTTCAGTTCCAGATAGCTCAGAAAGGCCTGACTCCCAGTCTGACTCATCAATTTCAGAGTCATCCAAATCAATATCCAATGCAGCATCTGTCTCATCGTCTCCAATCTCTATTAACTCAATTGGCGCATCATTATCTGTGTAATAAGAAGAATCATTATCTCCCGATAGATCGCTTTCACTGCCCATGTCAGTGCTCATCCCATGCTCAGAAGATAATACTTCGATACCCAAGGCATCAACGTCGCCGGCTTCTTCATCATAATCCATGCTATCATCAGTCTCGTTGAGTTGTTCACTTTCCTCAGAACTAGAGACATCAGTTGGCTCATTTTCGTGATCTTCATCACTAAAGACAACCTCAATTTCGCCATCTGCACCTTCAACAAATGCGATATCCTCATCTTCCCCTATTAGCGAACCTTCATCATCATCATCATCTTCAATGTCCTCAACATCGTACATCCCTAAAGCAGAATTTTTGAACATATCCGGGACTTCTTCCTTATCAGAGTCATCGTCCACCTCTTCGTCTTCCTCATTGTTTTCAACTTTGAATAAATCTGAAAATCTGCTTCTGACTTCATTTATCGCATTAAGAGGCTCAATTGAAGCATTGAAGAGCTTTTTAGAAAAGGGATAATTCAAGTCCAGGGAAGCCATACAATCAGCGATTGTCGCTGGTATCCCCATATCCAACATTAGTTTTCCTATTTGAAACTTATCGGCATAAACCTTGTTGGAGTCTAAAACTGAATGGAGGTAACTCCGATCAGTTATCAATAGCGAAGATATCAAACTGAACCAACCATAAAGTTTGCCAACATTAGATTCTAACGTTTTCTGGTACTTGCTGACATCCTTTAAAGCTTTAATGATTGATTCGATAGTGAACTTTCTCATGAATGTCATATCTGGATCGGCAATTTTAGGATCTTTCTTTTGTGTTTCCTTGTCCTGGACAGATGATACGAAGCTGATAATAACATCACGAGCTAATCTTCCTATCACGTCTCTTCGCTCTTTTTCATGCTTATCTTGATCCCGATCATCGGTATCTAATAGCTGATACAGGAAAAAATTCAGAGCAGTTGTGCGTGGCTTTGGTGACTCCACGTAGATATTTCTTTTACTGAACGTCAAAAACTCAATTTTGCATTGTTTGTAGCTGCTCAATAATTCAATTAAAATTTTTAACAAAAAGATCATATAGGCACAGACAGGATTTCTTGATACCTTGACATCATCTTTTTTCTTCTCACCGTCGTCCTCTTGTGACGATACAGGTGGCTCTGATATCCAATCTTTCTTGAATGCCGCTAAAAGCTGTGATAAAAGGAGGTGTATGATGCCAGTTTTATTTTCTAAGGTAGGCTTCCCTTCTTGCTGGGAATTTATATCACTCATCTCCTCATCGTGCTCATCTAGATACCTCTTAACGCTCAAATTCTCTATCTTGTCTGGTCTGACAAAGTCCTCAAACCTCGCTGTTTCACATAAGCAGTTCACGAAAGCATCAGGGTTTCTCATGACGATATTGGCCTTTTCAGAAACCAGACCACTCAAGTCTCTTGACTTCTCTTTGCTGTCACCTATGGCTCTTGTTGTGAAGGCGCGAGTCAGTTCATATTGAATCAAACTAGTTACAATTTTCGAATTTTCGAAACATCTTCTGATTAACAGCAAGAATGAGGATTCAAGGTAATTAATTTTCTCGGATTTTTGGTGGACGCCCACGACCTTCAAAAGCTTTGCGAGAACGCCAGATTGAGCCACCTCATGTGCATAACGTTCATCTCTTGTGTACAATATTAAGATTCTCGAGATGGCGAGAGCAGAATAAAAGTCAGTAATTTCATTAACCCTGATTAAAGTATTGAATACCTTCTCCTTTGCAATAGGCGATATATCGAAAGCGACAAATAAAGGCGGACAAGGGGTGTTTACACCCTTTTGAATTCCCTTCGGAAGTTCATCAATTTTTGGGGCTTCTGCCTTTGCAAAAATTATTTCATAAACATATAATGCTTTGGAAAACCATGCTGAGTTAACAAACTCGGGACGCAAAGCCTTTTCCAAATACTCCATAAAAAGTCCAATTGACTTTTCCGAGTCCTCATAAATTTCTTTGTCATTAAGAAGTATACCAAACAAGTGAATCACTGGCGCCAATTTGGATGCGTCCTCAAGGTTGATCTTTTCCATCATTACAAGTAGCTTATCAAGAACCAAACTTGGTGACTCATTAACTTCCTGCAGCATCTGAAGGAACATATGTGAGATAGCATTTACAAGCTTGGGGTACAACGGCAGCATTGTCAGAATTCTATCCTCGAAATTATTCTGATAAAAATCATTTCTCATTTTGGATAGGTCAGCCACTGTTGACATATTTTCATACTGAGGTTCGAGCTGTCTGATGTCTGTATTCCATTCGCCATTTTTTCGCAGTTTCTGATAATTCTCCCATTCGGCATCGGTGAACACATCAGGCTTAACATGAATAGGCAGGTCGTCTTTTTGTTCCTCTAAATAGCCGCGAGCAACATCCTCACTAATGCCACATGATATCAGCATTTGAATCTTACGATGAGAGGGAGGCATCAAGTCCCATCTAAGCTCGTAAATCTCATGATCTTCTTCCTCGTAACCACTATTATAAATATTCTTTATGATACTCAAAAGCTGCTTGAACACAGAATAGGGTAAACGTCTAGTATCATTGTCGAAAATTGCAAAGTCTTTAGTAATGTCATCAATCATTCCTAGTGCCAGAATTTTAATGGGTACAATAAGCGCAATAGTCATGTTATAATATATTTCATCATAGGGGTAGTATTCTTTAGTATTCCGAATATTTTCCATTGTGTCCATCTGAATCGATTTACTGAAAAAGGAGAGGGCATTTATCAAAGTACTCACTGCGAGAATATCATCTGAATCGTTGATGAAATCAATTTTTTCGATATTTTCAATGTTGTCAAACGTCTGTAGATGACTGAAGAGTTCTCTTATCGCTTCCACATAAAGTTTATAACCACCACTTTGATAGAATAACAGTACGGGGATAGTTTGAATCGTCCCACCAAGAGACGTTGTGGCATTAGGAAAAGTAAACACAAATGTGTTGAAGTTGAAAAGGACTAAGAAGTACGCCAAGTGAGATTTCAGGTATCGTAAGTCCATCATGCTAATTATTTCATTGACAGTCACATCAAAAATATGGACTTCCAGTGCCCTATCAGACCCTTCAATATTCATTTTACGAGCATGTGTCAACCTCAAGAAACAACGGAAAAGCATGGACACCCATGATTGCAGTTTCACAAATAAGTGTCGCTCTTGAAGTGTATTTTTGAATTTGGCCGAAGTCTTGTCGTCCTTAAAGTCTTCCTTAGGAGGCTTGGCTGCACGAATTGTAATTGGGGGTGTATTTCCCATAGGCTGAACGGTAGTTTCAATCGCAACCTTTTCAGGAAGTCTTTCACGAATATAATTATTCTCTAGAGCACTTCTTTGAAATAACTTTCTCAAATTGGAAATCAATCCAAACCCATTAGCCTCGAAATATTCCATGATTTGTAGCACTCTGATTGGAAAAAGGGAGACAATATTAATATAGATGTCTGTCAAGATATAGAGCAGAACATTTATAACGGTAAGCTGTCGAATTACTTCATCAAGCACATCATATGACTCCGTAAGAATAAAGGATTTCTCAAAATCATAATTCAAGAACTCCTCGATGTCTTCTAACTTTGACGATAACATTTTCAGCAAAACGGGTAATGCATAGTTTCTTCGTTCATCATCGAACATCTTCAATACATCTGTAAAGTTCAATAATGTTTGAGACCCAACATAGTCATATGGCGGACGTTCTATGATGATTACTCGGAGAAGATCTTCAATCTCTATTTTATCCGCTAAATTTGCCCATGACACATTTTCTAAAGTCATACCATAAAGCACAGCCGAGAAGCAATCAAGAACTGCAGCAGGCTCTTGAACCTCACCTGACGCTATTTCACCAGCTCCTTCTTCATTATCTATTACTTCATCACTTTTAGAAAGGTAGAACTCTCCATTCGAATTGATAGACCTGTACAAGTAAGGATGCGAAAACTTCATAATACCAGGAAGTTCTTTAACAGTATTCCGAAGACCGTCCTCAATATTAGGTTTCAAATCAGGGTAGTGTCTTGCAAGTTCATCAATCGAGGAACCCAAATCGATTGCAGTATCATCCCATGACATAATTTTTGCATATTCTGGTATTTTGATGATATCGAATAAGAAATGTACCAAATTATGCTCTTTAACTTGCTGAAGCCCATCCGTATTCAAACATAGTGCCGAAATCACCTCCGGTAATAAACAAAGCAACTCACCGGAGGGCCCTAGAAACTGCTTAAAGTTGTCGATTATAAATGGAATCGTCTTCGATTCAACAAGAACCTGATAGATGGTAGGCTCAGTATTGATTATTGTTTGTACAACATCCAGGGCATATGTTACTAAAGTGTATCCAAATACAGGTCGATTCTCTAGTATTTTATTGAGAGAAAGTAATATTGGAGAGTCTATGAGATTTCTAATTCTATCTCCTGAATCCGTCTTGAGGAGCTTCAACACAAGTTTCAGTAAACTCCTAATAAAACCCAGTTGTCTGAAAGAAATCGAGTAATAGACCACGGCAAATTTCGGAGGTTTACCGAAATCGGGATGCTCTAGAGCAAAGTTCACCTCATCATTCACACACTCGATTAAGACGTTAAATCCGTTATTTGTAATAAATTCAGTGGTCGCATCCGCATCATCTATGATAACTTCAAGTAAATGTGTTGCAGAAGCCATAGTACGCTTATAATTACTATGTTTGATTGAAATGATTTCCAACAAGTTAGGAATCAAACCCGCTCCTAACAAAGATTCTTGCAGTGTTTTAACGTCGGCTAAGTTTGATATTAGGTAGAAAAGTCTAACATTGTACTCCTCATCTATTTCGTTTGACAAATCTTCGCGCAGAATTTTTGCAATGTACCGAAGTATTTGAAACAGAAGACCATGGGACATGTTTCCCCCAAGGTTCCTTACGATATCTGAACACCAAATATGTTTTAAGGAGATACATTCGAGACAGAACAATGCATCGTTTCTGAGTTCTTTTGGAAGTTTCTTCTCGGATAGTGAAATAAAATCAGTCAAGCTGTTAAAAGCGTAAGGGTCAATTTCGAATAATTTCGAACTAACCTGAGCTGGAATGTAAACAGCGTTGATGTATGCAATGGCATTAAATTTTGTTTGAATGACTAAGTTTCTTAACTGAATGTTTTCGAAAGTGTTGTCACTAAAGGCTTTAGCGATTGTCGCCTGAAGCGAAAACTCAAACCAATTCTCTTGAGGGATTTCCGCCATTCCTCTGTCGAACAATTGCTGCAAAGAAAGGCTTTTGAGCTCTTCTGGGCTTAAATGAAAACGTTTCATGCTTCCGGTATTCAGTTTGCTTGAAGAATTTGGGTTACTATTGGGCCTTTTGGAGCTCGCAACAAAATAACTGTAATTTAACTTAGACCACTTGGAAGGAAATTTCTTTTTATCAAAGAACAAGTCAACCAAGGAGAAGTGATCCATCTGATCATCAGTTGTAGATGAAGGCAGGGCTAGCGCTAATTGCAAGGCCTTCTTTTTTAGTTCCACACTCCCCATGAAACTTTTGTTATCAATTTTCTGACGAGCGATGACATGACGTTCTCCCATAATCGCTATAACCTTCATACTGCCCATCTTGACTTTAAAGTTTGGGCAATTTAACAAATTGCTCATCACATCCAAAGAGGAGTACAGGGATCGATTACAAGTATTATTCAACAAACGACATGAAAAGGCGATGAGTTCTACAGCGATATACTCGTCATTGGGGCTCATTACTACCAGTTTGACCGCTTGTTTCTTTTTATCCGTGCTTTTATAGGAGTAACGTTCAATGATTGCGTTCAGAAGATCATCGATCCGGTTCAAGACTGGAATCCAAATGAATAAGTCATCTCTCGACCTATCCCATGTGATGATTTTGGTCAACTTCTCAACAAATTCCAAATCTGAGCATTGTGTTAATTCATCCAAAAGCGGCTTGAAGCTCTTGGCTTTTTCCTCTTTCCGGTGTTTTTCCAGCTTCGTAAGCGTTACCATAATATCTAGTGATTTCTCAATTAATGCGGATAAAAGTGGTAAATAGGTCGGAGTAGTTAAAAAATGACAAAATTAAGAAAGAAGAAACAGAATAGTTTTTAACCGTGACGTTTTCAAAACTTAACAATCGCTTCTTTCTGGTCTTCGTCTTACGAATTTGAATGTAAGACAGTTTCACGATCTGCAAGCTAAAAATATTGGAACATCGATGGCAAACATTGCCCGCTTGTCGTAAAATGCGATATAATATTACTTCTAATGCGGCAACTGAATAAATCTGAATAACTGTATTTGACAACTTAAATAGCAAAACCTGGTTCCAACTACACATTATACTGGTTTGCGGAGATTGGGGAGGTGCCCTTTTGGCATACCTACTGGCTTTCTCTGAACTGGTGTATTTACAACAGCAGGATTCAAATTTGAAATAGTTTTTGAAGGTAACCCTTCTCTTGTCGCTGTAGTGCCTGCAGTATTAGTAACATTATTAGACGCAAGATCTTTGGATGGGGTATCTAGTGAGGGGTTGCTGTCTATAACCTTACCTTTAGGGGCAAAACGCTGGTAAACAGCCGTGCGATTACCTTCAAGCCCATTTTCGCGCAGGACACTAGCTTTTATGTGTGTGGACGTTGTTTGATCGACAGTGTGTCTTATCGATTGTGCTTTAAATTTTGGATTGAATATTCCGCTAGGTGGAACGGGTGCCTTGTTTTGTACGTTTGGTGCGGCTTTGGCTGTGACAAAAGTGGCCGGTACAGGAGGTGAAGTGACGCTCTGGGCAGACTCTTCTGGAACAGCAACAGGTACTGAAGCCATTGAATTGTGACCATTAGCATTGCCAGCTGATATCAAGTCTTCGTCTTGGAGTTCGTCGCTAAACATAAAAGAATCATCCAACTCGTCTGCATCTTGCGGCTGTATCCCAGTTTCTGCTGAATGCGAAGGCGCCGACTGTTCTGCCTGCAGGTTTGTCGTGATGTTGTTGCCTCCCTCGAAGCCGCCGGGTATCGTTCTCGATTCTGAGTTTTGGTAGCCATTAAAATTCCGTCTTTTGCTCGGAGGGCGACCAGAGTCTTGATCAGCGACATTTAACTTAGAATTTTCATTAGCTTCGTCAGTCGCACGGTATAAGTTTCCTTCGTCAAAATCTGGTGGATCAAATTTAACTTTGTCGATCTTTGCTAAAAACGCCTTGTCGTATAAGCAATTTCCAAGTGCATTACCAAAGGCTCGTAGACTTCTCTTTAACGCATCCGTAACTGCAGACTTCTTGGCTCTCTCAAATGCAGACGATTTCCGACGCTCATTTTCCACAGTTCCATATCCAATGTCCTCTCGAAACGTTCCGTCAGTCAGTGTTACGCGGATGATGGCTGTGCATCCAATACAAAACTTCCCTTGACGTTCATCCATGAAATCAACTGTAATGTTTTTCACCTCCGTACTCCAGCCGTTATAGCCAAATATCTGATTAGCCAAGTTGATTGCTTTCCAGCCCTCAATATAAGCAACTCGACTTGTGCCAAACCCCACCCTTTTGGAAATATACTCAGGCCCTAGTTTCTTGTCCAACTTAGACTGAATATCCTCAGTACTAGTTGCAAATCCCTTCTTCTCCTCCATATATTTCAATATTCAAGAGCGTTGGTGGCGAAAGATGCACTTTCGTGTTGTTTTGAATTCTTATTTTTCCTTTGTCCGATGAGGCGGGTGCACTATTTCCCGGACAGGCGTTAAATTTTTTTGGTTCGATTAAACACGGTCGTCATTTAAGCGTGATCGAGTAGGTGAGGAAGAAATGGTTGACGAGACTTCCCCTTTCCCATTGAGCTCACGTTATAGTTACCATTCTATATTTAGCGATGTTTCTAAGACGAGATTCAACCATCTAGCAACGCGTTTACTCTTTAGCTGTGCGTTATTTGTTGGATTGACGAGCACGATTTTATGCCACAGCTGCAGTACAAGATGGGAATATTTGCTTATTTTACCAGTCAAATGGGTTTCAGTTTACATTGCATTTCTACTCATAATAGTAACAAGGAAAAACTATTTGCATGTCGATAGTTTGAGCTACAGCAGTGTCGTGACGCAAGTATATGGACAATTAGTCTCCATCAAAACCCTTGTTTATCTGCTCATTCACACGCTAAGTGCTGTACTCACGGCGAGCGCTGTACGAGACTGCATTTTTAGCAATTTAGACTATCCTGCGCTAGCTTATTACAGATTTTGTGCTTGGTTTATGACGTCGTTATTGTATGCTACACAGCATGTCTCATTTGATCTGGACAAACTCTCATTTATATATGGTTCACAACACCAACATCCCCAACGTTTCATTTCGTCCCGTTTGCAAAATTCTTTAGCGAAGTGCTTGATGTTAGCCGGCGTTTTCTTTTTCCTAAGTCCAATTTTATTTTATTATCTTACCTACCACGGTTTCCCTGGTATTGTGGTGAATTTCAAGTGCACCATTGTGGGGCTAATAATCTTCCAGCTGTGGGACTTTGTAAACATCGCATTTAATGCTTACCTCTCCATTGGATGCCTGCATAAAGGAAAGCCTATATCCTCTTTATCTTCAACTCCGATGGAGACCTTGGTGACAGGTTTATCTTCCAAGAAAGTCTTCACAAAACTTACGGCATTTCAAGAGTTGGCTTACCGTGCTACGTCACCAGATTTACAGTTACGGCTGCCTATTTACCACACACGCTATAGAAACGCACAAATTTGGCCAAGTATATTGAGGGAATGTTTGGTAACAATTCAAGAAACAAATTTGAATGTCTCTACATTTATGAGATGCCTCGAATCTCAAAAGGAGAACCTCAAAAGAGCAGAAGTCAGGGGCACCAAAAACATTAGTAGCTATCATCAAGATGATGAGTTGTTTGGAAATAAACACATTGTTTCAACTGGTTACAGAACCAGACTTCCTGGGTCACCCCCAAGTAGTGAAAACCTTTCACATAGAATTACCCTACAGAATAACAACATTTTTGCAGGTGATAACAAACCACCATCATATGAACCTGTAAGCTTTTCACATATTTCGAACAATCCAATATTGACTCAACAAACCACACTCACAACAGCGTTGTGCGATGTCATTAATCAGGCCAAAACAACTTTTAATGCGTTTTTCTTCCCAACACAAAACGACAACTCCTCCGCACAGATATCGCTTTTTGATCTGTGGAGAGTATCAAAGAAAAGACGAGCCGAGAAGTTGATCCCTGTTCCAGTATGCTATGCTGAGTGTGTCATTTCTCTAATGGGTCTTTTAATCAAGTCTTTAGATGAAGATCCCAAAGGTGGCGTCGTCTCCTCCGTTGGAGAAGTACTCAAGATATTCGAAAGATCAGTTGGAGCGTTGGGAGGCTTTGCAGAGTGGGAGGAGCCAAACAATTCTCAAGACAATGCTGTTCCAGACGTCGTTACAATTCTTTATGATTTATCGATCAATGCATTTCTAGAAGTGGTGCTCAAGTATAATGAGTTGTTAAACAGTGTTTATCTCGATGACGATGTTGTCAAGCTCAGCAAATGGGTTTTGGAAATTTGCAATGAGTGAAGAGGCCTTTGTTGTACTACTTCAAAAAACTTCAGTCTTGTGTAAAAATGTCATTTAGAAGATATCCTAAGTTATCATACAGTATATATTTTGTGCTACCTTCTGCTTCCCAAAAAATTTGGAGTCTCAGAACCGCTTTTCTTTCCTTGCCCCGGCGAGCTACTTGGATTTTCCAAGAATACTGGCTTTAAGAGATGTTCATCCAAATTTGTGAACCACTTAGAATCTGAAGTAAATATAGAGCTGAGTGTTTCTTTGAGATGCTGTCTTTCTAATGGCTGGCTGGATGCTTGCGGTTGCTCAACAGGCGGGCTATTTTGGTGCTTGGCAATGGCAGGAAAGTCAGTGGTGAGGTCCTCGGCACTGCGTAGATCGGCGCTGCGTGGATCGGCGCTGCGTGGATCAGCACCATAAAATATAAAATTTGGGTTGAGATTATCTTGAGATCGATGCATCTCGATATCAAATTCGTCATCACTCTCATCATCATCAACTAAGCCGGTAAAGATCCCTAACACATCAATCATACCAGCTGTGGTGCCTCCAAATATGATAACCGTCAATACTACCACCACTAACACGGTAGCCAGTAATGTGAACTTAAATTCGCCTTGGATGCCCGTAGCCAAAGCTACACCGACAGCACCCCTTAATCCAGCCCAGAAAATCATCATCTGATAATTATATGGAATTTCATCATGAGTAAGTTCACTATACTGCGCGCCCATTGCTCTCAATGATCTCCAATCTTTCATTCGGTAAAACCAGTTCACAAAGTTCGAAAGAGGGAAAACTGCGCACCAACGAGCCACACAGATAGATATAGAAGTAATAATGATAAGCAGAGGCTTATACACCAATTTAACTTCGGTGAAAAGTGAAAGGCCTAAGTAAATGAAGATAAAATTCTCCGACAGTTGTGCTAATAGTTGGAAAATGTATTTTATCGCGATCTGCGTTCTTCTCGACATATTATAGTAAGCATAATGCTTTAACGTGATCCCACAGAACAACAAGGATACGATTCCAGACATATGGCAACCATTGGAGAAGAAGTATGACTGATAAGCGATGAGCAACACCAGGCAACTTTCGATTCTAGGAAAGCGTCTTATCAGTGAATGCTTCAGAATCAGTGCCACCAAAATACCAATCATCATACCAATTAACAAAGAAACTGTGAACGTCATCAAAAACAGACCTATACCTTCAAAAACAGAGGAAAATGTTGCTGGTTTTCCATGAAACTTTTGACAAGTTTCAAACATGACAATGGAAATGGCATCATTAAGAAGCGACTCGCCAAAAATGATGGTGTATAGCGTGGAATCGACCTTGTAAGCGTTGAAGATGGACAAAATGGTAACGGGATCTGTGGCCGACAAAGTAGCCCCTACAGAAAGTGCATCGACAAAAGATATGTCCACGCTTTCCAACCCCAATGAAGTCCAAAAATACAGGATTACACCAACCACAACTGCAGATATAAAAGTTCCTGGAATGGCGAATATCAAAATTGACAGAATATTATTAAAGAACTTAGCCTGATTAAGTTCGTAACCCGAATTTAAAATGATGGGGGGTAACAGAACATTGAAGAAATAGGAAGAATTAAAGGTTACTGCATCTTGGATATAGTGACCCGGGGAAAGTCTGATAATCAAACCTACTACCATCCCGTAAAAAATGGATAGCACTGTTTCATGCACCGCCTTAATCCGTCTCTGAGCCAAAAAATAACTCGACCATAAAGCAGATATCAACAAAAACAACATGATGAACAGGGCCCACGATGAGAAAATTTCGTCAGTAACTGGATTGTTGCCCTCTCCAGGATCTACTCCGCCGGGAGGCGTTTCGTCTCCCGGAGAAGGTAGTATATCATCATCGTCATCAAGAGAGCTTCCTTTGGCATATACTTTAACCGCTTGAAACAGTAAGGTGATAGCAAACCCACGTAGTGTTCCTGACATCATGAATCTACCGGATGGACAGGACAGACAATCTTATGCAATTAGCGCTGGCTATGTGTTTTTCTGGGTGAGTTTAGCAACCGATTTACATTTGACGAGATTTTGTCAAATAGGGCGTATAAAATGATCATTACTTCAAGCACAATGTATTAGTGCTCCGAGAGTAAGTGGAATAGACGTGATGATGCTCAACAGACTTTGTGTCTCAGCTGTAAAGCTTTCAAAACAGCCTGAATTAAAGCTTACCTATAAAAAATGCCTCTCGACTCTTCCGATACGCGAACCTGAAGGCGTACGGCACATTTCAACTGAAAGTCGCGTTACGGATGGTCCAAAAATTTTTCGAAGACCGTGGCATCTCATCCGCAACTGTCAACAAAAGGTTTTCCATTCAATCAAAAAACATTTCTTGCATTCTTTGAGCCTGATGAGCCGTCCTATCGTTATTTCTGGTCCCAGTGGCACTGGTAAGTCTACTCTTTTAAAGAAATTGTTTGCTGAGTACCCAGATACTTTTGGGTTCTCAGTCTCTTCGACCACCAGAAAGCCAAGACCTGGCGAAATCAACGGCGTACACTACAACTTCGTGACGGTCGATGAGTTCAAGAGAATGATTGAGAATAACGAGTTCGTCGAATGGGCACAATTTTCCGGAAACTACTACGGAACGACTATTGCTTCCGTGAACGAGGTGACGAAGTCAGGTAAGATTTGCATTTTGGACATTGATATGCAAGGTGTCAAATCTGTTAAGAAGACAAACTTGAATGCGAAGTTTGTTTTCGTTGCTCCACCATCCATCGACAGTCTTCGCGAGAGGCTGACTAGCCGTGGTACTGAGACCGAGGAATCCATTCAAAAGCGTTTGGATGCCGCTACCGCGGAAATGGACTACGCAAAAACCGGAGCTCATGATGAAACGATTGTTAATGACGACTTGGATACTGCATACGCGGAGCTCAAGAAGTTCATTTTTACCAACTAGAATGAATTTTACGATAATCACCTTATTGTTTTTCTCTTCTTTTGTTTAGTAATTGTATAGGCCACGAATGGCGAATCGCCGTATTGCAACACATTTGAACGGTAGAGTATCTGTTTCGAAGTGCTATTCCTCTAGTCCAATTTTAATAAGTCAAAAGAACCTTTTCGATGTGAGAATTCTTCCGAATATCACCCTGGCTTTAACCACAACTGCTTTCAATTCGGTAGCACTGGGAGTTTTTAGCAAGTCAATGCTAAGAACTAATGGAGCACTTATTCGAGTCTTGAGTCTTGACCAATTATACCTGGGAGATATCAATCGGTGTTATACTTCTGAGCACTTTTAGCTATTTATCTTGCGTGTATACTGTCGTACGGCCTGCTGTGTCCGATAATTACAGAGAGAAGAAAGTACATTAGCGAGCAATCTTTTTACTGATGAGTGATTCAAAGAGACTAAACGTAGGCTCATAAGCAAAATCCATTGTCTAATTAGAACATAAATGTCACAACTTCCTTCTAGTTTTGATGGTCTGGAAAATGACGTGGAGGAAATGCCCTTCATGGAAAAGATAGTGTTCCACTGTAAGCAGCAACCTTTGGTGCCTCTTGGTACATTACTGACATGTGGTGCTGTTGTGTTGGCAGCCCAAAACGTCAGGTCTGGTAACAAGAGAAAGGCTCAAAAGTATTTCCGCTGGCGTGTAGGTTTGCAAGGATTAACCTTAGTTGCGCTGGTTGCGGGAAGTTTCATCTACGGAACATCATACAAAGAAAGGAAGGCCAGAGAGGATCAACTTCGGGAAAAAGCCAAGCTCAGAGAACAACTTTGGATCCAGGAATTGGAGCGTAGAGACCAAGAAACGCAAATGCGCAAAAAGAGAGCTGAGGCCGCACGTCTCAAGACCCAAGCAATGGAAGCTGAGACTTCCAAGCTAGAACGTGAGCTAAAAGATCTTGAGGCACAATTGAAGAAATAAACTCAACACTGAGTGCCACTCTCAACGTATGTATTTGACACTTTGCATGTAAACTGATATGTATGAGGGATGCATACGTATAATGTGATGAAGATAGTTACCAAGGGCGAGACATGCTGATCAGGGAATTTTCCAAAAGACTCCACTAAACACACCTGGGAACTACGATACGCAATTAAAGATGCGCTATTTAGCCTCATCAGCGATTAATTTCAGTATCTGGTCTTCCGATCCACAGCTGATAGGAACAAATGTTTTCGTTAGGGCACCGCCTAAGGCGACAGTCGCCCGTCTACTGCAATATATTCACTGTGAGTTGCATCAACGCGGCGTGAACTCATTGGGGGGCCCTCAAGAATATGAATTATTTTACAGGGCTGGTCCATTAGATTTAGCGTTGTCCCTGCAAGATATTGAACCCCAATATTCAGGAGTAGTTCGGCTACGTTTGGAAAAAAGAGCGAGTAATTCGGGACCTGCAATAAACTTGGAGTATGATGGGGAGTCTGAATTGACGCTCACCAAAGTTGAATTTCAAATGAACATATTATCTATGGATAAGATTATGAGCCATCTAGAGAGCAATGTGTCATTGAGTTGTTCACTCTCTAAACTTAAGAGGACAGCTATACATATTTTGAACGACTATGAAAACAGCAACCCAAAAAACATTTGTAGTGTAAAGAATCACACCGTTGAGGATTTGGCAGGCTTTGATATTGTTGGCCGGTTGCATCCAATGTTTCTGGCGTTAGATGACGCGCACAATGACTTGCGTTTGTGTGATCTGTTAGGGTTCGACTTTGCACCAGATAAATCCAGTTATTGTTCGGTTATGTTCAAAGTTCGGCATGATCAAGGCTTTGAAGATGGAATTCGCATCGAATTCGTGTCAGACTCAAAACTATCCATAAATCATATGATGGTCACGCCAGAAACAACCGTAGAACAAGTGAAAGAGTTTATTTGCTCGGTTTACGGGCACGCGCTTAGATTGACACCACTGGACGTAAAATTGATCTATAAGGGCCAATTATTGCATGACAAAAATTACGCTGGAAGGTCATCTAAAGTCTTAGAGTACATTTCGGAAAGTCGAGGAGCTAAAGTTCACGTTCAGATCAATCAGGAGTATACAGAACCAGGCCCGGGATTTTGGAGTGAGTTATTCAATAGCCCAGATAGATTTTCTTTTATGAATGGCCGCTCTTCCTCATCAGAGGCACCAAGTATTTCACAAGATACGGCCGCTATCCCTGAGCCTGCCATGCTACAAAGAGAAAATAATTTATCTCAAAGAAGCGAGCAGCATATTGACTGTGATCACCAATTCGTTACAGATTCTGGCTCCGCAATTGAACGGACAGGGTTGAAATACGAGAAAATCTTAGTCTCAGGTCAAGAATTCTTTGTCCCCACGCATAAATTCGAGCGCACTCAACACTACATCGAGGTAATGGGACACCAAATTGCTGTTTCCATCGATGATTATGTTATCGCCCAAGGATCGATGATTTTATCTCCCCATGTCATTCGACAAATTGAGTCCATAACAGGAAGGCAAATAATGAAATTTGATCTTAAGCCGTCTACGCCTATGCCCACGCCAACTGTTCAAGACCATACGATAAACAACGTAGTATTAGAGGAGAACCAGCGCATCACACGGATCAAGCTATGGATCGAAACTATCATGAAAACAATATATCTCATGCTTAGAAATTCCGTTTTGTTGTTCATCATATTCCTGCAGGTAGCCAATTTTGTGCCAACGTATTACACACTCATTGGGATAGTTTTTATTCTAATTCGCGCTTTATGGTGCACTACGGAGATATGGGATTTATGGCGTGAACTTCTTAGTCATGGGCAAGTGGAACGGCTAACCACTGGGGAAATTGCGAGCTTAGAAAGAACACTTGATAATCATTTGACAAAAAGATTTTTTTCCAGATTCGCGGGGAGTCTAGCGGTTAGAGATGCATTGATGGTGAGATTACAAAATGATGCGACGCTAAGGTCCGCTTTGGCTACAGAATATAGACTAGACAGCGCAGAGTCCCTCAATATTTTCGTGCCACAGTTGCTTGAATCATGCACTGGCACGCAATTCGATGAGGTTCCAATTACATCGTTAAAGCTGCTGTTTGATCCCCTCATCACAGAAGTCGCTTCTCAGCTGCATGACATTTCAGGACTGAGTGACGCGGCACTTGAGTTTTTGACACAATTGAGAAGACACGCATATCAGATTTCAAATCTCCCTTGGCACCGCAATGCCATGCGATGGTTTCGCATTCATCGGCCGTGGCATTTTGTGATCGACTTCTACAACGGCGGACTGATGAGACATCTAGTGACCGACCCCAGAAGGGATAATATAGTTGTTGCAACTTTGAAGCACATACTTCTTTTCTTCTTTCTGTTTTGGCCTAAATTCCAGGTTCAGTTCGAAGACATCATCGCTGAGAGAGCGACAGAGCAGAGCTCCGCATCTTTAGAGCAGAATGACTTGCCTCAAGTCGTAGAAGAAGTTTTGCCTCAGCCTGTGGGCGAGATTGCAACGGGTGCAGAAATCAGACCCAATTGACTAATTCAATACCTTTTACGTAAATAAAACTGTTGATTGCATTATTTGTACACCGAAGCTCTGACAATTACTAACCTTCAAAGATCTCGCCTAACGATTTTCGGTCCAGGCCTTGAGGAAATCTTACTAATCGGGGGCCGGGTAACGTAATCACAATTAGGGGTGATGAAAAACGTATAAAAGCCAACAACTCGTTCCGTTGGTTCCTAGATCAATCAATTGTTTCTCACCAGCTACAATCAAGCATAAACATCAATTAACAATGGTCGCTCAAGTTCAAAAGCCAGCTCCACAATTCAAGAAGACTGCTGTCGTTGACGGTGTTTTCGACGAAGTCTCTTTGGACAAATACAAGGGTAAGTACGTCGTTTTGGCCTTCATCCCATTGGCCTTCACTTTCGTCTGCCCAACTGAAATTATTGCTTTCTCTGAAGCTGCTAAGAAGTTCGAAGACATTGGCGCTCAAGTTTTGTTCGCCTCTACCGACTCTGAATATTCTTTGCTAGCCTGGACCAACGTTGCCAGAAAGGACGGTGGTTTGGGTCCAGTTAACATTCCATTGCTAGCTGACACCAACCACACTTTGTCTAAGGACTACGGTGTTTTGATTGAAGAAGCCGGTATTGCTTTGAGAGGTTTGTTCATCATCGACCCTCAAGGTATCGTCAGACACATCACCATCAACGACTTGCCAGTTGGTAGAAACGTTGACGAAGCCTTGAGATTGGTCGAAGGTTTCCAATGGACCGACAAGAACGGTACTGTTTTGCCATGCAACTGGACTCCAGGTTCCGCTACCATCAAGCCTGATGTCGAGGGCTCTAAGGAGTACTTCTCCTCTGCCAACTAAAATGGCTGTATGTAAGTGGCAGCGCCACCTTTAGCTCATTTTATACAAGAACGTGAATATAGAACTAAATCTTTTGATATTTTGCTCCTGTGCATTTTACCCATTTATGTGTACAATGTCGATTACGGAAGTATCTAATCTTTGTAGCCAGAGGAACAGAAAGCCCTTTCAGAAAAGACCCTCCACAGCTTGTCGTCCTCGGATAGCCTGACTGCTAAGTCTATGTAGTCTTTTGTCAGTAGAGACTTCATGGGGTAGGGATCTGAGTCAGAAGTGTACTCCACTTCGTATTTAAAGGCCTTATCGGCGGCCTCGTCCCTGCTTACCCCCGATTCCAAGACAGTTTTGTATTTTCTATCGATACCTTTTAAGTCGGCATAATATTGAACAAATCTCGTTGGAGAAAACAGTTGAGGTGTGTATCCGGGGCCTGCTTGAAGATCTTTTGGCATTTTCTCAGGTATAGTCTTGTCAACTTTCCGTTTAGACTTTTTCGCGCCCTTGAACACCTCTAATGCACTATTGATAAAACCTGACTGATCATCATCTTCAGCAAGATCTCTGGATAGCTTATATTCCATTTCTTCGAAAAATTCGTCCCATGGCCTATGCTCATACACATTTGATTCAGACAAGGCATCTAAGCCAGATATATTGTACTCCCACACTCTGAAACCTGGATTGAAAGTAGGAATTACAGATGCTGCCACATTTACTATTCCATATCTTTCCATATTCTTGTCCTTGTTGGCTTTGTTCTTTTTGTTCTTTTTGGTTTTCTTCTTATTCTTCTCCTCTGAGGCTTCAGAGAACCTTGATGCAATCTTGTCGTAGTAAGTTCGACGCACTGCTTGCATATATGCGTCTTTGTTCACAGGTTTGGCACCCATTATGCGTGCATCGCTTGCTGCCATAGCAGCCTCCAAGAAAGAATCATCATCGTCGTCATCTTCATCGTCATGATCACCATCTACGCGTTCCTTAAAATTGTATTCGTCAAGCTTTAGTTGATTCTCAACTAGCTCTGAAGCTCCTATCGACTTCCACGCTTTTTTACTATCGGTCGGGATGAAATGATCTATATTCATATGCCCATAAACCCCACCGATTATAACATCCCGGTATTCATGAGTCCACAATGTGAATTTATCGTAACAGCTCTGATCAAAATTCTTCAAAAGAGGGGGGACATGTCCTGAAAGCCATACTTTCATCCCTCTTGCCCTTAATTCTTCCAACACGTACCCTAACCATAGTAAAATTTGGTACCCAGGCTCTTTCTTTGAGTTGCAGTTATCCACTAGAGGGTTGGCCTTGTAGAGATATAAAGTGTTTAGTGAAAGCACAGCGAGTTTACCAGGGATCACTTCGACGAAGAAAGAGGTGCCTCTAGCAAATGCACGCTGTTGCTCTTGAGGAATGAAGTTGCTCCAGATATTGTAAAATTCTCTCGTCTGCAGTGTTGGCCCAAGTGCGAAAAGATTGTGAGGAAAGACATCATTATTGCCCAGACTTGGAATGACATTTACGTCAAAATCTCTAGGGTCTACGCTACCCTTCCTCCGGAACACCTCTTGAAATTTCTTGGAGACCAACTCGTTAAGATCAAATATCTGAGCCTCTGTTCTGGGATAAGATCGATCGTTATCATGCCGAATATTGTCACCGGTCCAAATGACGAAGTCAATCTGATCTCTCAAGTTTTCGTCGATCCACTTGAAAGTGTAGTCCATCAGGTCCATGGATGAGTCGCATCCGGCCATGGCCACTCCAAACCTCACGGCTTCATCGTGCTTGCCATCCGGCTTGCCACGATGACAAACGGACGATGCAGAAGATCCTTCAGAGTAGTAAGGGTCAGGGTGTATGTCTGTAATGTGCAAAAACCTACCGTGAAGTTTTTTCACCATCTTGCCGCTGTTTGTGACAACCTTTATGGGTACTCTCGGAGTCAATCCCAACTCCAAGAGCTGCTGTGATGCTTCAAGTTCATTTTCAAGCTGTTCAACCTCAAAACGATGTTCTATACCTCGGTCTCGAGTCATATGGAACCTTCCCGACGGACTTATTACCGCAACGTATGCTAGAAGCCCGATGGCCATCAGTCCCACCAAAAGCTTTCGCATAGATGAATTTCTCTTGGCTATCACCAGTTCCTTCTCCATCACGCGCACTGACAGGTAAAAGCCACTTTGCCGTGAATCTTGAATGGTTCGTCAATATTAAGTCGAACCAGTTTTAAGGACCAGGGGTTCTAAAAAGAAAACTGTCGCACGTGCTGAGGAAACACACGTGACTGTATTACGTGATTAAGCTAAATGTTTCATTACTTAAACAGATAAGAAAGAGATGAACGGCTACTTCAGCCTTCTATATGTGCAGATTTGATCTTGTGTGAACAAGCGGTGTTTTGCTGACAGAATGTCAGTAAAGAAAAGCTCCGTAGAATGTTCCGTCATTTAATTCTGCAGCTTTGACTTTGCTTCCTCAACTTGCTGTTTCCAATCTTCGTATATGCTTTCTTGATAAGTCATGACTGCTTCGTCTATAATGGGCCTAATTTCCCTGTGAGGGTCACGTTTTGATGGGATATCACGTCTTTGAGGATTTTGGGAAGACTCTGACCGCCTTAGAAAAACGTCTTCGAATTGGTGACGAATTTTGAACTCATATTTTTCGTCAAAATAGTTATGACGGGAATCTTTCTTCCATTGGTACTTTTCCTGAGTACCAAAGAACTGTCTGGGAGAAGAAAATTGTTCTTGTCCGCGATGGTTGCAATGTGGCAGATCACTATCCGGCGTGTCTACTTGTTCCGTCAAAAACATCTTCTTGAAATGTTCATGACACGCTTCTCCGCTCAAGTAGTAGGACGGGAGACGAAACTGCTTGTTTTCGAATAGATAAATATTCATAGCGTTTGCAATGGCATTCCACTTGGCGACATTAGTGCTCGGCCGCCGAGCAGTGATCTCTTTCAGAAGATGTAGCTTCGCCATTGTCGACAACTCCTCCCGTGTCGGGATGTTTCCTATGAGCGTAATCACAGGAAGCGCCAACCCTACCACGGCAGAGAACACAGCAAATTCCTTGTCGAGAAACACAAGGAACATCGTGATTACTCCGAAGAGAGCCAATTCCCCAATTATGAAACGAGGCAGATTTGTTTCTGTAAGCAAATACGATACATCTTCGAAATGGATTTCTTTTGTGCGAGAACCACCAGTGTCAACACTCAGTCGTGGTACGTTATTCCTGTCGTTGGATCTAGATTTCCTATTGTCACATCTTGGTCCGGTGCTATCACTTGAGGAACGATGTCTTTTGGCGCAAGATGTGCACCGTGTCTCACCCCTCATTCCAATGTTTTTGCCCGAACACTGGCAACTCTCATGGCTCATTCTGGAAACGCCGCTTAAAGCGCTACTTTCCGTACACTAACAGGTAAACATCCTTCAACTTATTCTGCGCGAAATGTTCAAGTGATAAAGATAACACATCATCACAAAATACCGCAGCGCCTAAGCGATGAGCCTCTTTGCATTCCAGAGGACACTTGGCTCTTCAAACCTAAAACAGAAGTATGATCGCATCGACGCGGACACGTCACCTACATTACCCGATTCTGTCGAGGTGTCATCTTTTCGTATCAAAACCGCGTCTTTTGATTCATAATCCCTAAACGCGAAACGAAAACGCGAAATCTCATAATGCGAAAATTTTTGTTTTTGTTTCCAGGAACAACGCTAGTGGTAACGAGGGCTCGTCATTAGCCTGTTTTAGGTCAAATTAGCCAAATAGGGCAGGAACACGCCTTTCTGAATTCCTAAAAAGGTCAATAGTGGGCCATTAACCACGTCTATGTTTATGGCAGTGCATTGGCGAATTTGGCGAACATTGAGTAGTTGCTAATATATCAACAGCTAAGTTCAAGTTAAGAAGTCGTCTAGTATTCTGCGGCTGAGGAAAACATCTGTTTCACGCGTCGAAAGAGATACTGTTTTCAATTGATTGCGAATCAAGAGCTATGACCAACAAACCACTCTTACCTCCCATCAACAGCCTTCTCAAAGAAGGTGGCTTGAGATCACACTCAGAGCCTTGCTCGCCATTCTTTATTCCTGGCAAGCTCAACTCCTTCAAAACAGATGATCAAGGAGTGATCAAACTTCCGCCTTTGCTGAATGCTCAACAGCTACAAACTCCGGCCCACAACCCCTTCACTAACAATAGTGACTTTACCACATCGTCGCGGCCAGCATCGGCTTTAAGTTCTGTTACACCTCGCACAAATCTAAAGCGGGCAAGATCATGCTCTGGCGCCATCGAGATGTCGCCTCTATCGCTCAAGAGTAATACTGCAAATATCCCTGAGACGCCCAACGTTTCCTTCAAGAAACAAGCCGCGAGAAGGAGTCAGAGTTCGCTTATGACACCTACATCCTCAATCAAAGCTCAACAAAATGAAAATAAGAAAGCATTCGCCTTTATTTCCCATTCACAGGACACGTTTCCATCGAAGGAACCTTCGATCGACAATGCTCCACTCGCACGTCGCAAAAGAAGAAGAACTTCGAAGCATGAATTGAACATTCTACAAGCAGAGTTTGAAATGTGCGCGACTCCTGATAAACAGAAACGCGTTGAATTGTCTCGTCGCTGTAACATGTCCGAGAAAGCAATTCAAATCTGGTTTCAAAACAAAAGACAAAGTGTCAAAAGACAACAAAAGGTTACGTTTACTACCACACCTACGGTACAAGCCGAGAAAACCAAGGTTTTCAATGATCAGACACCATTATCGGCTCAGTCCCGTCGCTCTTCGCATAAGGGTTCTGATGCGGATACTCCACCTCCACCGATGCTGGATACCTCTAGAACTATTGTGGAAACTGTCACGACGAAGGGAGCAATGTCAACACCAACTAAACAACCGCTAACACAACAAGGCACACAGGGGATGCTCTCACTTTCCGTCTAAAAAGTGATACTAAGGTCCTGACACCTATAAAGACTTCACCAAATAACAGAGTTAACAAATTGATTAATGGTGGATTGAAATCTTCACCTTCGATTGAAAATATCTCTCCTACTAGGAAGGGGAAAGCATACAGAGCCTTTACTGGGAACAATACAGGCCACGTATTGAAAGAAATTAATGTGAACACGATGTAAAATATTGAGCCGGTAAAAGCTCTCCTCGAAATGCATACAAGAAAGAGGATTTCAACAATTTCTTTGTTATTAGGGCGTTGACGCGCAGATCATGTAGGTGGAAAACATGAGACGTGACTTCAGGAAACAGCGGTTGGAGTGGGCGGATTATTCTCTCACAGACCGAATGTACTATTTAAAATTTTAGCACTTTATGTATTAATGAATGATGTTTTTGGCGATCTTTATACTCATGGACAATCAAGCGCACTCTTACACTCCTCGATTGTAATCATTCGCAGCGTTCAGTAGCTAATGGTTGAAATTGTTTTTCTAAAACGAGTATACACTAGTATTTATGATTAAAAGTACAATCAAAATATTCATCTCACGAAAGGAAAAGAAAATATCTGAGTGCGTATATAATCGGTTTAAGCTCTTCTTCTACCGGTGGTCTTGGTGTGTTGACCTCTGACACGCAAGCCCCAGAAGTGTCTGATACCACGGTGGGCTCTGATCTTCTTTAATCTTTCCAAGTCATCTCTCAACTTGGATTCCAAGTTGTTGGCCAAGTTGTGGTAGTCCTTACCATCGTTGACATCCTTTTGACGGTTCAAGAACCAGGCTGGGATCTTGTATTGAGTTGGGTTTTGCATGATTTGGACAATTCTCTCCAATTCTTCTTGGGTCAATTCACCAGCTCTCTTGTGCAAGTCGACATCAGCCTTCTTGCAGACCAAGTTGGCGTAACGACGACCAACACCACGAATAGTGGTCAAAGCGTAAACAACCTTAATGTTACCATCAACGTTGGTGTTCAACAAACTATTTAAATGAAGTTAGTACTCAAAATCTCAGGCACAAACAGTCCACGTAGCTATGGGACCCACAGACGATTGTTGTAGATGAGGGCCATAAATTTTCTAGAATTTCACTTCCCAACCTGGTTGGTTCTAATCATCCCGTAAAAGCATCACTCGAGGTAATTCAGCATTATTTCAAGACTCTCAAAACCAATCCATGCTTTCTTCACCGTTCCAGTTGGGAAATATCACGAAATCGCTCCCATATCATCTTGACACTTTTCTTCAATTCCCACTACGTTCAGACTGCCATCTTTCTGTCACACCATCAATAAACATACCGCAAAATGTGCTGGAAGGAACCTTGTTCTTGAACAACTAAAGACATCTTTAACCGCTTCTTGTGTATTACTATCCAAACTTGTTGATATCTTCAATTGTCTGAAAAAACTTCTATATTGTAGGCTCCTCGCGAGGGGACGAGCCGTGGATGCCATCCAGCGCCAGCGCCAAGGTGGAAACGGAGTGGTCTCCGTACACGGCCCTGCTGCCTGGACGGGAGGACACCAAGCCGAGCCTACTGTGGAGAGAGCCTGCTACCGGAGGGAGTCCCAGTGGGGGCCCTCCCGGCGGTGGGAGTGTTAGGGAGGGACGGTGCAGGGTCCGCCCGCGCCACTGGGTAGGAGGCATAGAAACTATCTTTCAGCAATCACCTTCTACGCAAATGTCTGAGTAGTCACATAGATTAATCTCTCAAGAAAAACACCGCGTTTTCACAAACCTGATGTATGGGCTGAAAGTATCAAATAATTTAATCATGTATGGGTGAAGCAGTCAAACATTATGGTCGGAAAATAGGTTTTTTTTTGTGATCGGGTTTACTTGTTCTGTGGGGAAAGTGGGGATGTAAGAGTCGTTCCGCCGACTCCCGCTATGTTTTGAGAAATGGGGGAATTGGAAACAAGCTGGTAACTAATGAGAAACATAAGTTGTGAGAGCATACTATTCGAAAAATTGAATAAGACTATTGAAGATAGGTATCACTGATCAGTGACAATGGTAAGAGCGTAAACATTATAGTAGCAATTTAATCAGTGTAGTAAATTCGATCAATGATACCTGAGACCGTAGTTGAAGTGAACCAACAAAATTAACTATGTACAGAACACTATGCTTAATATAAATTCCAGAAAACGTCCTCCACAAAATTATCGAGGAAAGACGCTGAGTCGAGAGCGAGATGATGATCCGAGACTGCTTGCGTCAAATTGCACATGCACCTGCATGATGAGCGAGTTCTATATACAAGGTAATGTCGAAGCGGGACATATTCGGCTAGGCCTAAAGTCAAACTTCTGACAATTAAAATGAGTGCGTGACGGCCAGATACTCTAATGCCTCCAGTTCGATGAAAATTCTGTGCGCCTTAAGCAAATCGTTTACGTCGACAAACTCTTGTTGAACAATACTTACCTCATTTTTGAATTGCTCGGTGTATTTGAACAACCCGGGCCTCAAATCACTTGTAATGAACAGTAGCTTCTTTTTTTCGAGCTTAAACTCTTTGATAAACTTTTCAAAAACAAGATCACCGTCATCTGCCTCTAAGGAGGTAGGCAGAACATCCAGTTCATTGACATCCAAACTGTTTATTTCCGCCAAGCTATTGTCACCACCGATGACAAAGAGATTTCCTTTTCTGTACTGATAACTTAATGCAGTATTGAACGCCGAGGAGTAGACCTTCTTTGGTAGCTCAGTCGTATAATCGTTGGGAGCAGATCTTGCGAGTGCTCTTGCACCATTGTGCCTAATTGGAGAGTTGGCATCACCAGCTCTTGCTTTACCAGACCCTTTCTGGGGAAGCAATTTACGTCTTGAATAGCCGTTTTCACTTCTACCTGGAGGATTGGATGAACCCACCCGCTTGTTGTCGTTCTCGTACACAACAGCTCTCCACAGTAGGTCTCTACGCAATGGAGCAGCTAACACTGACGTTGGAACTGGAGCAAAGTTCAAAGGCTCTAAAGAGGGGAAAGAGCGCACGGTGGCTAAAGTGTAACGCGGAGGCCTCGCTGCGTTTGGTAGTGGGCCGGTCCCCGTTTTACCACTCTGAAATCTTACGAGCCGAGTATTCTGAATACATGTTAGTAACTTTTGGATTCATCACTCTTTAACCATCAATCCATTTCAACATACCTTAAAAAGTGGCTTCCAAAACAATCCGCGGGACAGCATAGCGGTAAGTTGCCTCTTTATCTCTTCTAATTAGCGCTTTATCTTCAGTAATATTTGCCAATTTCACGAAAATTTTCTTCGAAAGCTGGGTAACGGTTTAGAGATTCAGAAGTTTACCAATGATCACATAGTAAAATAAATAAATGCAACCAGTGCTTGGAGCAGATCCCCATAATGGTGAATTGCGTTACCTAGATTCTGCACCACTTGGAAATCGAATGATAAACCACATGCTTAACTGATCTATGACACTTAATAATTAAAACTACGATATAAATAAAGAGACACGTGACCTGAACTGAAACGTAGAAAATTTTCTGGCTCATCTCATCGCATCTCGAAACTATCATTCTATTGAACAATCGCATCTACCCCAGCTGAATATGTCTTCGAAAACCCGATACTATCTAGAACAGGCTATTCCAGAGGTCGATGATCTTGTTCAAAAGGGTTTGTTTACCAAAAATGAAGTTAGCACTATCATGAAGAAAAGAACTGATTTTGAACACCGTCTAAACTCCAGAGGGTCAAGAATCAACGACTACGTTAAGTATATCGAATATGAGGAGAACTTAGATAAGCTACGTCAGAAAAGGGTTCAAAGAATACTGCAAAGCAAAAAAACTAACAGCATATCTGACTGGTCTATTCAACAAAGAATTCAATTCATATTTCAAAGAGGCTGTAACAAGTTTCCACGAGAGCTGAAATTCTGGTCGATGTATCTGAACCATTTGAAGACCAGAGGAAGAAAAACATCATACCGGAAAATTCACAATGTCTACAATCAATTACTTAAACTTCATCCGACAAACGTGGATATCTGGATCAGCTGTGCTAAATATGAATATGAGATTCACGCAAATTTCAAAAGTTGTAGGGCAGTATTTCAAAATGGTTTGAGATTCAACCCCGACGTCCCAAGGCTTTGGTATGAATACGTCAAGTTCGAGTTGAATTTCATTACTAAACTCATTAACAGAAGAAAAGTCCTAGGTCTGATTAATGAAAGGGAACAGGAGCTCGACATGCAAAATCAACAAGAGGAAGCTGTTGCTAAAAATGGCGATGATTCTGATGTCGATAACGAGGACTCCCTCGCTGCTCCTTCCACTGGTGATTCCATGAAGGATAAATTGAATGACTTACCAGAGGCCGACATGAATATGCTGGGTAATGAAGACACCAATCCAGCGTTACGCGGTGATATTGCATTAACCATCTTTGATGTTGGAATGAACACACTGGGGAAGCAATTCCTTGATAAGCACAAGGGATATTACGCTATCACTGATGCAAAGATCGATAAAGAGGCAACTAACGCTTTGATTCAACACTTATTTGAAATATCTATGACTTTTGTCAAGCTTTTTGACGACTTTCCCGATCTAAAGAGAGACTATTTGATCAACCACGTTGTCCAATTCTGGAAAGAAGAACACTACGGTACTACTTTGGAGAGGGAATTTCCAGACTTGTATCTCAAGCTTTTAATAATCGACATCAGCCTGAATATAAGATACATGGATGCGGAAGATCTTGATATCGAAAAATTGCAATTATCTGTCAACAAGTACTTTGCCTATAAGAGCAAGATTGGTCAGGATTCATCTAAAGCCCTCACATCTTCTTACAGCGAATACCTACAGGATGCACTTCTGGCTAAATTGGACAAGGAAAATGATCCCAGATATAATATCATAGGTGCGATTATAAAGAAGCTTTAATCATGAGCATGGCTTCGCCATAAATTGATTTGCATTTCTTCATTATTCTCAAATGTACACTTTCTAATTACGTAGCGATATTTTTTTCAATATACTACAACCCAACATGTGTAACACGGATAAATCCTCATCAACAGCAGATGAAAGTCTCGTGAATGTGAGGTAGCTGTTTGTGTAATCATGTCAAAGCCATCTCTGGGCATGAAAGAAGTCATAAACCTTGTTTGCCTTGGCTGGATCAATGTTCAACAAGTCGCGACACGCCTTTTTCTTGAGCATGCCACCTGTACGTAAGAGTTCTCTGAACATGACTTCCTTGATTGCCAAATAAGGCTTAGGAAGAATTTTCAGTTGAATGCAGAGTTGCTGTTCCTCGGGAGACAAAAGCCCGTAGTCTGCTCCATGTTGAATATCACTTATCGTCATCGTCTTTCTCCTGTTAACAGTCTCATTATAGCTTTGTCCATAGTCGGCATTGGCCCTGTGGGCCGATGTTGCTCTATAGCGGCTCGAACCGTTACCATTGGAATTGGCATATAAAGAGCTCCCAAATCTCTCTAGGGTCATGATCCTTGCTTGTTTGTCACGCTCGTATTTAAGACCAGCTTCAAGCGTCGTAATTCCGTTGCTTCTCCATTCTTGTAATTGATGAATTCTCGACCTGCATCGCAGTTCTTCCAAAATGTCTTTACTAAAATCCTCGAAATCTTGTGGCGTCATGATGCGTGCGAAGGCTTTAATTTTATTATATAGGTCTTTCGCTTCTTTACTCCTTTTTTTGTCTATACCCTGCAATTTGCGATATTCCATTAAGCTGTGCTCAAACAGGATACGCTTCTTCTCGGCCCTCGTGGTAAGTCTAGAATTGTATATGTCAAGGATTGTGAGCTTGACCTCGATATCAAGTGGCTGGTCGTCCGGATCAAAAACCATGTCTTTAACGGGCCCCTCTGCCTCATTTTCAAATTCTGTTTCGAATTCAAGTCTGCCTGGCATGAAACCTTGAACTTCATGGCAACTGGGCACCGATGCCATTGGTTTACGCGGCGGCTGCAGTGGCTTCTCCCTGAACCGCTCGATCCGCTTTTTTCTATTCTCCAAAAACTCTTGTTGTGAGATCTTGATGTCTTTTGTTATGTCAGGAATTGGATAATAGGGACTTTCGAGGTAATACTTCCGATAGTGTTCATCGACTTCTTCTTTATCACGGCTGCCAATGTGATCGGCAATATCTTGCCAATTACCTAGCCCTAAAGTCTGTGCTCCCTTAATTAAGGCCAGCTCTTCATCCGCGCCCCAATCTTCACATAATATAGGATAAGAGTTCGTTTCTATTATTCGATAATCATGGAATGGTCTATGATTGCCGTTGTAAAGACCCTGGGAAAAACATGGCACACAGAGATCATATTCAGGGCAGATTGCGCACGAAATCCTAACCCTATTGGTGCAATCCGAAGAACAAACATCGCAGTGGAACTTGTTCGACATCCTAGTCTCTACTTTGCCTGTCTAACCTCTGCGAATGTTCTTGCCAATCCACTCGTGGAATCTCGCCGAATATGTAACGGTAAAGAATTGAAATGACATTTTCGTATGTAGGCACATTTGACTGCTACGACCGTTTAAAACCTGTACATTAGTTTTGTATCTACACCCATACACAATAAACGTGAGTTGTTTTACATGTCCTGCTCCCCGCAAGAAATCTCCCGCACAATGGGGCGGAAAATCTGTTTCCCTTGCAACCCCCGGCCGGCCCAGGCTTCCCAGTGGCTCCTTCCGGTAGGACGCTCCTACCGGTCTGCCTGGAACGGCATCGTCCAGGGCACGCGAGCTCTCTCTGCCGTCCCACCAGCCGGGACGGATGCTGCTCCCTGCTCTCTCTGGTACGGACTGGGATTCTCCATTGCAATTGTGTATGTTGAAAAAAATTGTATACTAAGAATTAGAACTCTTTAATCTGAATATAGTAAGGATCTTTAGACCAGCAATACAAAATGGTACGTTTTCAATAGCAATGGGAATATGAGATACGGATGTAAATGGGGGTCCTAAGAAAGGATATGACTTTTCTCGAGCTGAAAGGAAGGAAGATGGGGGATACGCTACTTTAATGAACTACTATGAAGAAGATGCATGTTAATTATGAGGACAATACTATATGGATCCAGTTGCAAGCAGTGACATAATTGAAAGAGAAAGAGGTGTTGACTAGAAGATAGAGGAAGGAAGCCCAAAATTTGATAGAGTACTTTCTTAAGTGGGAACCCCACAACATCTGAGGATCATTATAAACTAGACTCCAATTTACTAACCAGATTTTCAACAGGGTAGAGTTAGAACTAAGACCGTCAAGCGTGCCTCCAAGGCTTTGATTGAACGTTACTATCCAAAGTTGACTTTGGACTTCCAAACCAACAAGAGAATGTGTGACGAGATCGCTACCATCCAATCTAAGAGATTGAGAAACAAGATTGCTGGTTACACCACCCACTTGATGAAGAGAATTCAAAAGGGTCCAGTTAGAGGTATCTCTTTCAAGTTGCAAGAAGAAGAGAGAGAAAGAAAGGACCAATACGTTCCAGCTGTCTCTGCTTTGGACTTGTCTCACTCCAAGGGTGTCTTGAACGTCGACAACCAAACTGCCGACTTGGTCAAGTCTTTGGGTTTGAAGTTGCCATTGTCTGTTACTAACGTCTCTGCTCAAAGAGAAAGACGTTACAGAAGAAGAAACTAAATGTTGGGTTAGAATTCGACGCTTGTTCTATATCTATAACCAACATTTACATTTCTATCCCAAATGTGTACAGTTAACTAAGAATCACATTAATACGAAGGAATCTTTTCATTTTATTCTTTTTTGTTACTGCTAATACAAAGCTTTCAAATTATATATATAGCAAAAAGAGTAGCCAGGATTGCTTAGATTATTTCGAGAATTTCTCGTCCTAAATCCTGGATTTTCCGGAGTTTCTGATCCAGGATTTCGCCTTGTGCGTTTAGAGCGATAGCACGATCGTTGATTAACTTGGTAATCACTCTGAATTTTTCGCTCAGTCTGATCCGAGACTCAATAAACCTGCCCATTATTGAGATGTGCTCTTCTTGAAGACTTTGCCCTAGTGAAATCCATTGTTGCAGATCCATCTTAGCAAAATTAATACATGCTTTCTGCTCTGCTTCGTCCTTGACATCTTTGAATACTTCCTGATAATATGAAGCGGTCTCTTTACGAATATCAGCTTCATGTAGGGCGTTAGCTACGACATCGTATGGCCCAGGGTTTAATGGAGCTGTACTCTTCAGTAAAAGCATCTGCGACGTGTTAGATTCACCAAAAGAGTGATCAATCGATACAACATTACGAATACTGTCAGACAGCAGTGGTTGTTTTTGTTCAGTATTTGGCCTTTTACCTGGGGGTGCAATTTCCTCTAAAGCATCTTCTTTTGAAAGACTTGGTGAACGTTTGAGCGATTGAAACGAAAGAACCGACTGCTCGCTTTTGACCAGACAATTTCCCTGCGTAGGTGGGCGCGACGCTGAAATTTCAGCTTGTTTGTCGATGGGGAGTACTATCTTTGAAACTAGTTTGCGTTTTTGCTCGATCCCGGCTGTGGAACTCTTTTGTGTAACGTTAGTATTGGTTGTCTTTTCCTTGAGAGGTGGGCGGCTATCACATTTCGGCTCTGCCCTTGACACTTTCTCGCCATTTGTTTTGAGCTGATCGGCTGGAAATAAGGATCCAGCACCGGGCTCTCGTTTTATCATCATGAAGACTTGTGAGAGCTTTACTTTTAAAGAATGACTGCTCTGTGATTTGTGGGCAATGAAGCGAGGATCACAAATGTCAGTTTTCCTCCTACGCCCCTAATGTGGATAAAATTCAAAATGAAAGGAAAGTTTCTTAGCTCTGAAATAAAAACAGGACTGAAACTTCAGCAATAGTTACCGTTCATGTAATATTCATGGGCAGGGTTATCATAGTATACCAACTTATTTTATGTTTTATGAGAAATTGTTCGATTTTCATGAATTGAAGTTCACAGGATTTACATAAATACTTACCAAAAGAATTAAAATTCAAAGAAACCAACTTTGTTAATGTCAAGATTGTTACTTTTACCGTGCAGGGAAGCAAAAGGCTTTTTTAATATGATCAAGGCTATATTTCTTCACCTGCTGCCAATTCATTTGAACCTGTGAATTTCTGTAGCCTTTGCTAAACATCAGATATATTGTTATTTCATTTCAATTTCCGATGCGATAATCTCCCTTCGCAAGATGCGGTAGAAGTTTAGCGGAACGTTTTTTTATCAGGAATTTGATAGCGATTGAACTGCCTTTTTTCACTTGCCATTTTCCGATCTATTGATCTCTTATCGCTATAAAAATATCACATGATAGGAGCCACAATGCTGATTCTGACAACCAATTGGTTTGAAGAGTTGTGGGAGACTCATCATTTACTGTTGATTAAGAGACATTAGTATAAACTAGCAGACGCTTCACTACATAGCTAATAATTTTTAAATCTTTGTAGTGTCACGGACTGGCTTGGACGTTATGCAATTACCCTTATTCTTGAAATTTTTAGAATCTATATAGATTGATTTAACTCTGAGCACAATGACAGATTGTTAAAGTAAGGAAAGGAGAATAAAACAATGGATGTTTTCGATTCTCTGAATTCAGAAATGACAACTCTGTTATTTAAACGCTTGCTGCAATTCAGCCGTGCGTAAAAAGTTTTATATTTAAGCTGATTGGAAAACCCGAAAAAAAGCCTGATATGCAACGGTGTTAACGCCGTGCGAGTCACAATGTTCTTGAGAACTTGTGGTAGGTCATTGAAGTTTTTGAACTGCCAGCCGTTGGTCAGAAGCAGGTCAATTCGATTTCAAGGGTCATTGCATGGCTCGACTAAAAATGTTAGACATTCAAATGCTAGTCTGGCTGCTGTGGCTGCATCTTTGATATCTGGAATTGTTTTGGGCTTGTACACTACTAAAAGATTGAGGTCAAATAAGCAAACATTTCCTCTCAGTTCAATCACACCGCTTAACGATCTTTCCCCTCCACAGTATGGTACTGACGAAGATTTTGCAAATTGTATAAAGGAACTAATGGAATTACTGCCCGATAAGTCTGTTACCACCACCGAGGTCGAAATTGAACATCATACAGACAATGGTTTTAACCCTTCAAAACCGCTCTCTCACCAAAGACCAAAATGCATTGTATATCCCAGTTCTACTGAGGAGGTGTCTGCCATTATGCAGATTATCAACAAGTATAACATACCTGTGGTACCTTATTCAGGAGGTACGTCTTTGGAAGGACACACCTACTCTACTAGACCGGGAATTGTATTAAATACCTCCCGAATGAACAAAATATTAGCAGTGCATGTTGATGATTTGGATGCTGTGCTTGAAGCAGGAGTAGGATGGCAGCAATTGAATGAATATTTAGCAAACCATGAGGGCATGGAAAACTTGATGCTGGGATGTGACTGTGGTCCTGGCGCCCACGTTTGTGGTATGGTTAACACGAACGCATCTGGTATCGCTGCAACTCGATACGGGTCTATGGGATCAAATATTTTGTCAATAAAGGCCGTTTTAGCTGATGGAACCGTAGTCAAGACAAAGCAAAGACCAAGAAAGTCTAGTGCTGGCTACAACTTGACGGGCCTTCTTGTCGGAAGTGAGGGTACGCTAGCAATCGTTACCGAAGTGACAGTGAAGTTACAAGTAAAACCTGCTTACGAGACAGTTGCGGTAGTCCAGTTTCCAACACTAAGAGATTGTACTAATGCAGTAGCGACACTATTCAAGAAAGGCATTCAACTAAATGCAGTCGAACTGTTGGATACTGAAATGATGAAATGTATTAATTATAGCAATCTTATATCGAAAAGCTACGAAAATTTACCTACGATTTTCTTCAAGATTGCTGGTCTAAACGAAGTTGTGGTTAATGAATACATTAAAGAGGTAAAAAAGGTATCCCAGGATAATGATTGTAAAATGTTCGAGTTTGCAAAATCAGAGGAAGAAGCAGAGGAACTTTTTTCTGCAAGGAAGAATTCTCTCTACATGATGTTGGATTATGGTTATAACGAAATCGACGAGAACGCAAAAATGTGGATAACAGATTGTGCAGTTCCATTATCAAGACTGGCTTCCACTCTCGAAGAAGTCAAAAATTTGATGTCACAATATCCTCTACCTCATATGGTCTTAGGCCATGTGGGGGATGGAAACTTTCATTGCGACATCTTTTATATGCCTGACCAGTATCAAATGTGTAAGCAAATTGTTCGCGAAATGACTGAAATAACATTGAAAAATGAGGGGACCTGTTCCGGTGAGCATGGAGTTGGCACTGGTAAGAGAGCGATGTTAGAATTGGAACTAGGAGAAAATACCATTTCAATGATGAGAAAACTTAAGTTAGCGCTGGACCCTAAACGGCTGCTGAATCCAGATAAAGTATTTAAGATAGATCCCCTTGATGAAAGCGACGAATGAACAGGAGCCTTTCAATTTATAGATTCGACAGATATATAAAACTTTGGTAATAAATTGAATTTGTCAATGGACAGCACCACAACATTTTCTCTTCTTTTGGTCAAAACCATAGCAAGTGGACTCAACAAGTCGAGTTTATGCTTGATAAAAATTAGCCATGGTTGGATATATTTTCAGTACCAAAATGTTCTGATGCGAGATGATCAACTACGACCCAGCCGAAGGAGTTCACAAACCGACGTCTCACGACAATATTATTATGGGAATCTGGCTGAAGATCTGCCAGAACCTTCCTCCACTCCATAGTATCCTGCCATTTTCTTGCGATTCTCTCTTGTACTCTATGAATTCTGTCATTAGGAAATATAATTTTTTTTATCAGCTTCCTGTGAGTGTAGTGTGGCGGGGGCAGCTCATCTGGATGATACATCTTATCATGAACAATCTTATCACCACGCGTTGAAGGGTCTGTGAAGTACTCTTGGGAGGGCAACGGTGCAATTAGCACATGTGCAGCAGATAAAAATGGCGACGCCTGAGGTGGAGGTGTAAAGGATTTAGGATTGGACGACGACTTTTCAGAATCCTCTTCACCGTTAGCATCAATTATTTGGGTTCTGACGTACTTCTTATATTTTCTTCTTACCGCATATTGTGGAAGTGCCCACTTAATTGCAGATGTCTTGTCCATGCTTTCTTCCGGGATTTCTCCAGTATTCTTCGTTTCTGCATTTCCATGGGAAGGTTGACTTTCAAGGCCTTCTCGACGGTTACGTGCACCTTCAACTTGATCCAAACCTTTCCAATCTAAATAAAGTAGTGCCGATGTTCTAAGAGGGACAATGCCATCATGAAGAATGTTGGCGTACAAAGTACGCTTTTGAAAGCGCTCCAGAATGGCCAGTGCAGGTGACCTTGGAATTATTTCCAGCAAAGGCTTGTGCCTATACTGACCCTGGTGACCATCCTCCTTCCTTCTTAAACCCTCCTTTGGCAAACAAAACGTTCGTTGTAAGGTGAGGTCTTTTCCAGTTTGACCTAAAGCGCCAATATCCAGTGCTATTGAAACGAATTTAGGAAAATCTCCTACTACACCTAGATATGGACTAGCCAGGGTTATGAAGTTCCTAGGTTCAAGCCCGTTAACAGAGTCGAAAATATCCGGTCTCTCCACTGCTATATAATGTATAGCCATTGATTGAACAGGACCACCGAGAGAGTGACCGATGAACGAGATGTATTTAACGTTGTATTTCGTCTTGGAGTTATCAACTGTTTCGATGACATATCGAGCCAACCGTATCCCTAGCCATCTTATACCCCTCATAGACTTACCAGCATTACCCATATATCCTCTTACAATCAGATTAGGATTTCTTTCCTCTTCTGTGCCATTAGCCGCTGCCTCGATTTTATCTTTTAGATAAAGCATATCACATCCGATATTAGAAAAGATACCATGCGTAATAATCACAAGATGAACAGGTAACTTGGGATATTTCGGAGGAAGATTCCATAGCGTTTTTGTGTCCCACTTCTCGCATTCAAACCCCTCAATAAGAGTGATGTCCGCCAGCGGCATCTCATGCAATTGCTCAGTTGCTACACATAATCTGAAGTTGAGGGTAGGTAAAGTAATAACTGAAAGTTGTGATAAGACATCGATATACCAGCAATAGAATTCGCTATCTTCAACTCGAGAGTTTTGATTGATTTTCAAAATCCCTTTGAAGCAGTCATTAGGCTTTACATCTTCGGAAAACTGCACTTCCTCACCTTCAAACTTCTTTTGTTCATCATAATTGAACGGTCGGATATCCACATAGAAAGAGTACGGTCCTGTAAGGTAGACAGGCTTTAGTAGGGGGCTTTCTGTGTTCTTGAAAAGCAGATGCAGTTCGGAGATCTTTATGTTCTGTTTATCGAGCTCCGTTTTGTTAACGGTGATTTTATATCGATACAAATCACCCAATCCCAAACTTAAAGAGTCATCTATTAGCAAAATTCCATTTTTGAGATTCTTCATCTTTTGTGCAGTTAAGTAATTATTACGTGTTGGGAAAATAAGTTGACATGATCTTGAATTAATCAATAAAAATTAAACATCAAAATAAAAAGGGAAGGTAGCAAAAGATTGGGAAAAAGTGCCTTCCATGGAGTCCATGGATTCGAAGTTTCGTTTAGAAGAAGTGCTTACTAGCTATTACAGAATCCAAAAAGTGGATAAAGTAAACTATGTCCAATTTGTCCCCAATAAACCTGATGCTCAGTGGAGCATCCAAGCAGAGCTTATATTAAGAAAGCAGAATCCTCAAGTACTGGTAGCCTTATTTTCAAGAGAATTGTGGTGCTTTAGTTTGAATGATGATGATCTCCCTTCTCCCAAACTGGAGAATCCAACAGATACACCGCAACCCGACAAACAAGGCCATTTCACGCCTGATATTTCGAAGCCAAATCTTCCTACTCCGTACGCAATCTTCCTCAAGGCATTGAGGAGGACTATTCATGTCAATTTATGTTTGGAGTCACAGTCGAAGCTAATACCTTTTGGTAATTCCTGTTTATTTCGCCAGTACAATAATTCAAACAAGATTGTCCATTTTGAACCGCATCTATTTGAAAACGGTGATTTATGTCTATCAGTTTGTACAAAAGATATGGACATTACAAATTTGGAGATGAGCAAAGTGAAGGGAATGTTTTCTAAGGAAAATGCACTGTATCTCGCTCCCTCCGGCATCCGAGGCTATCTTTTCTCAACTGATCAGAGCAAATGCTTTTCACCACCACCTAAAAATGCAAATGTTCTACTTCTTACTTTATTAGTATCACATGGGATAGATTTGACTCATAAAGAAGATCTTCGATGGGTCAAAGTAATACCTAGCTTAGATCATCTGAATGGTTATACTCCTTCTATTGCTGGCTACTTGGACCCGCCTAAAGCAACTAAAACGGTAATTTGGCCATATGACTTATGTTACGTTCAAAGCTCGCTTGAAGCAAATAAAAATATCTTTCGCTCACCGCAATTAGAAGCCAACCTGCAAGAGACATTCGACATTATTGATGACTTCATTCAGCTAAAACTGACCTCTGCATTTAGAACATCTGGTAGTATTGGTGTGGGTTCTGGGACAGGAACCGCTACAGGAAACAATCCTACGGGTACTGGAGGAATCTATACCGATCAATTCCAGCAGTTCCATAAGCATTCTGCAAGTAGTGGACAAAATGTTCTCGTACCCCCCATGTCCCAAGGACAGACAAAAGGCTCTCCTGGCGGGGCTCTGAATTTAACACCGGGTGGGACTAGCAGATCTGTACCGTCTTCCGCAGATAACTTCAACAATGGGTTTTTAACAACCCCAAATATCAATGAAAATGTCGAGTCTACAATTGATGATTTGATGCTAAATACTCCTTCAGTGAAAGTTCAAAATGATCTGTGGAATGAACGAAAAGAGGAGACGAACAATCGTGAGGTTGATGAGGTCAAACAATCGATGAATTCAGATGTACCAACCATTAATGATGAAGAGATAGATAACGAGACGGATCTGTTTGGAGATGATGAGGATCTTTTTGGCCAGCAATCCGAATCCAATTCCCCCGAGCAACATGAAATTAAAGAGATTACAGATGAGATGTTTGATTTGGCCAACGAAAGCGATAGCTCAAACAGTAAACTAAGTCCCGAAAAGCAACCCAGCGCTCCAAACTCTACCCAGACTCCTTCAAAGAGAAAATATCTAGACATTCCACTAGAGGAGATAACTTTACCAAGCACTCCGTTATATACAGATCCAGGAGCCCCACTTCCTGTTGAGACTCCAAAGGACCGCAAGAAAAGTGTTTTCGCGCCGTTGAATTTCAACCCTATAATAGAGTCCAATGTTGATAATAAATACAAAAATGGAGGTAAATTCTCAATTGACAACGGGAGAAACGAAGAACCCTTGAAGTTTGATGTCTCAACGGCAAATATCTCCAGCTCAGAAGATGACGAAAGTGCCAGCAGTGGGGAAGATTTTGATGACATTGGGGTCGACCATCGTCAAGATGCTCGCTCGATTGATATGAATATACCTATGTCAAATTTTACAGTCGATGGGCAGCCTCGATCCATTACAGAAATGATTCAGACAGACGTTCCCAAAGAAGATTCTTTACTTCCGATGTATGAAAACGACTTACATTCGAAGAAACTTATGAGGGAGAATCAACTAGAAATATGGAGATCCCCGAATGAGGGATCACAAGAATACAGCCCGTCCAGATTATCCTCTCAGTTACAGCCATCGAGGCAGGCGGACTCAGGCGGTGGCGCTACGGAAACTGGAGATCTTCTCAAGTATGGTCACTTGACGCCATTGTTCGAGCAGCCTTCTAAATTTACAGCAGTTGGTAAACCTACAAATGTTGATAGAGCGCCAGAAGTTAGCAGCGAGACTGTGAAAAATGGCGGTAGCTCTAATTCCTCTGACAACTTGATCCCACCAGAATCTTCCAATAGTCTGCCCTTTTTGCTGAGACACATGCCACTCTTTTCAATACCCGAAGCGTTCATGTCTCACAACCCTTCACTACCACGAGAAAATCTTCAGGCCCTTCTAGATATTCTCGTTGAACAAATAGTATTCGATGACGGAATTTTGGGAGATTTGGGTATAAAGGAAGCCCCTTTCAATGGCTTTAAAGGTTGTAAGGATGGATTAGTAAAGGATACTATACAAAAAATATTTCCTCTATTTGAACGATTGCATGGTAACGAAATAATCGAAGAGATGTATTTTTTAAAGCAACCACCAGTTTACGTTAAGAAGAATCATGACATTATCAAGATTAATAGCGATGCCGAATCATTTTCTCAATATCTACATTTAAAACCATTCAAGGGTATAAAAAACTTCAAAGTGCTATTTCTGACCACTTCATTGAAAGAGGACTGCATTGACTTTCTGTCACTTATATCACAAACCTATTCCAGTCAAGATTTGGGATTTTGTGAACTTATCAAGCTAACCAGTGAAGACACTCAAGGCTTAATCTACCTGATAAACTTCGAGAAAGATATCTTATCTCTCCTTTCGGCCCAAATTGTTTCGTATTGTTCTACTAATACCCGGAATATGACTAGCGTGCCGTTGGTTATTCTTTTACCTATTAATACGCCCGAGGTGAGCGAAATTATATCAATGGTGCTCAAGTTTCAGTTTATTAAGAATGAAGTTTTATCAAAACTACCAAAAGCTCAACTAATTCTAAAGCTTATTCCCATGGACTTTATTAAGAATCCTTTGACATCAGTCGAGTCTTATAACAATCTATGCGTTGGAATTTATAACATGTTGCCCCCTAAACAGATTAAATTCACTGCAATCGCAGATGAGTTGCCAGAGAAAGTTGAATTTAGAACCCTCCAGCAATCCAATGGTCAAGCTGTACATTTCGATGGCTATATTCACTTAGCTTATGCAAGGAGCATAGATAGAAACTGGCTATGTGCTTCGTGGTCAAATTCTACGGGAAGCGAAAACGCAATAAGGGCCTGGTTTATTGGAAATTCTAAAACAGCATTTGAAGAGGTCTGCAACCAAATGTGGCGAATCACCTTAAATTTTGCTGCGACCAAGTATGGACGTATATGCTTAGTTTTAACCCGCTTGGATAGCGTCCTACCCGACGATGAATTAATGCATTGGAGACGACTTTCTGCAAGCGCAAGAAACCTACATTTGGCGGTTGTTTGTGTTGGAGAGAACACAAAACTGTCTTTATATGATGAAGACAAACTGTATCCGTCTTTTAAGCCGATTATACGGGACGAAAAGTTCTCGAGAAATATTGATAGTAATAACCTAGATGACTACGAAATTGTTAACGTTGACGATGCGGTGCATGGTGTTCTTTTCGAGCATCCATTACAATTGGCCAACTCGCAACACAGATGTGCCATTAAAACTGGAGCTTTAATCAAGTTTAAAATTTCAGAAGGAAATGAAATCCTGGACAAGCTTGATGTTAATCTCTTAAATTGTCCTCACTCGGATTGTGCTAGGCTATTAAAAATTATTCTCCAGGAATTCAGAAATCTTGCTGCGTTGAGCTCATGGTTTGGTATTACCAAATCCGAGAATGGCCATATCCCATGGCACATATTGGCAGTAAAGAAGATGATCACGTTTATCGTTCATGCTAGGGTGGACGCCGAGACCGTCTAATATTAAGATATATCCAATATGTCTTCAATTAAGAGAATAACTCGCAAATAAGAGAGTAAAGTTTGGGAGGTGCTAGGTCTTCCCAATTCATTTCCTCAGCGTACAGATCTCGATATTTATCATTATCCTTGACCGCTTTCAGAAAACCTTCAAATACATCCACCTTCTTCAGGGCAGCGGTTCCATGAACATAGATTAAGTATCTCAGTAATACAACAACGCATAGGTCACAAATTTCAATTGACTTGTAAACCTTTTCTCTGGGCTCCTCATAATCAGGATTGAATCTTGGAAGCCCAATTGTGAATTCCTCAAGAAGCTCCTTCAACACAACATCATCTCCGCCCAAATTATCTGCAATAAACATGTCAACTTCAAATCCTAACTGGCCAGTTATTTGTTTCAACGTATGTTGAGCTAACATCGGTAGGAAAGATATGTCCAAATTGATAGTAGAGGTGAAAAAGAAAGATTTCAATTGCTCCGAAGACTCAAAGCTTTGAAGAGTTTCAGCTAAATCCTTGAAAAAACAGTCCTCATCAACATGAGGTATAATGTTTACACCTGGTGATAGTGATTGGAGTAACTTGAAGAAAAGTCTCAATATTTGACGTCGGAGAGCCATTGTTTTTTTCAGCTTGTACTCATTAGACACGTCATTATGAGAAATATAGGTCGTTGAGGTGTCTATCTCATTGTGATACGGAGAGTGAACGAGAATTTTGCCCATCAAAGAATACTTGCATCCGATAAATAGATAGTCACAGAGTGCTGTCTGAAGATTTTGTGAGCTAAGAACTTTGAAAACTCCCAATATGGGGCATTTTTCCAGTGAACGAGAAAGGCCCCTGGTGTTCTGATCTTTATCTAATTCAAAATTCATGAAATAGGCGTGTCGTAAATCATAGAGATCAAAGATGACTTCTAATATTGGCAGCCACGCTCTTCCACAGTAATACTCATGCGGATTTTCGGACATTGACGTGTAGAGAGCCCATGCAACGCAGTTCCAAAACTCTCCCTCCTGACTCAGCTTCGCGGTCAAAGGTGTACAATTTAAAATCTTGGACTTGTGATCGAGTACACTCACATATGATGAATAATTGTTGCTAAACCACGATTGATCTGCGTCCTTCATAGACTTTGTGCTTTCAAGAAGTACTCCTGAGTTAGTTTTACGCCGCTTCTGAGGATCTCTTTCGTTTCTGAAAGTCTTAGGGTTCACAGCAGCAGGTGAAAGATGGTCTGAAACAATCAAAAACTGACATCGCAGAAGCTCTAGTGCATATCGGTCGTAAAGCTCGACTTCAAACTCCTCCAATATTCGTAATAAACCTCTCAGCAACTTAACGGCACGCACAGGGATTCCGACTCTAGCAACATTGTATGGATCTTTGGCCCTCAATGCACGGTCTTTGTAGTGTTCTCCCATCGCTGCCAGCGTTAAAATCACGATTATGACATCGCTAGGGGGAACTGGCAATCTTCTACGATTCATATTACTTTCAAAAAAGAAGAATAACTGATCATAGCTTTCCACAGAACATAGTGAATTGAGCATCTCAAATTCCAGAAGGTAATCCTCAGTCAATTCAACATGGTAGTGGGGCAGACATTCTTTTTCGTCTCCCACAGTAAACTCATGAGATGAACTTGCCATCCTTCGTTACACCATCCGTCCCTGTAAAAATATCCACTACCCTTTAATCCAGAAGAGATGTTCTGGCATTACCTCATTATGACGCGTTGCTCGTTTTTTATTTTTCGGGTTTTGGCGATGAGATGAAAAAATTTTTTCCATCTCATCGGCAATCTCTTTTGGCCATGCCATTAACTGGATCAAACAAAAACACTAACAAAGATATAATGTCCATTGACTCTTTTGCGCACGAGCTAAGATCAGCTCTTCACCAATACCCAAACTTCCCTAAGAAAGGCATTCTTTTTGAGGATTTCTTGCCTATCTTCAGATCTCCACAATTGTTCCAAAAATTAGTCAAGGCTTTCACGTTGCACTTGGAACAGAAATTCCCTGATACCAAAATCGATTACATTGTTGCTATGGAATCACGCGGTTTCTTGTTCGGCCCTGCTGTGGCGTTGGCCATTGGCGCTGGTTTCGTTCCAGTCAGAAAGGAGGGGAGATTACCAGGCGAATGTTTGAAAGCAAAATACACCAAGGAATATGGTAGTGAGGTTTTCGAAATCCAGGTAGAATCTATACCCGAGGGCTCTAATGTAGTGATCATGGACGACATTATTGCAACTGGTGGCTCTGCTTATGCCGCTGGTGAATTGGTGCAAAGATTGAACGCCAACATCTTGGAGTTTGCGTTTGTCATGGAATTGGACTTTTTGAAAGGAAGAGAGAAGTTGCAAGCCCCTACCTTTACTTTATTGAGAGGCCAGGAGCAAGCTTTGCAATAGGCTCCTGCGGAGGATTTGAGATCCGCTGTTATTATGTAATTTTATTTCTTATTCATCCTCTGTTTGTAGAGTATATAGGTGGTTCGGCTAGACGCCGAAACCGCTATCGAGTGTATTTCACTCTTTTGTTGGTTCTTACTCTGCCCTTAGAGTAAGTTGTGAATATGGATTCGTCGATGTCAACTTCAACGGTGGATATGAAGTACTCCCCGCCCCTATGTGTCCATGACACACTTTCTTCTTCAAGATCGAATCGTTGCACTCGCAAACGATTCAGAATGTTCCCAACGTCATCAAAATTGATGGTATAGCCTCGTGGTCTCAAGTTCTTTAACGTGATGATCTTGCATCCAGGCTTTAGGTTTTGGATTATCGATTCGACATGTTTATTCATCTCAGCGTCAAAGATGAAATTGTTGACTAGAAGAACGTCACATTTGGCAAGTAATTCATTTACACGTTTGTTGTCAATAAAGCTCTTCCGCAGAGAAAATTCGAGAGGAGGCAGATTTAAACCAAGAAGCCGACATCGTTGTTTCAATTCTTCACATTGAGCTTCTGTCAACAAACTGGCATTAGGCATGATCTCGCATCCGAAGCTGAGGGTGCATCCAAATTCCAAAGCAGCCTGTATAACGCAATTACCAACACCCGAACCTAGATCCATGAAAATGTGATCTGGTTTAAGTCCACACTGAGTGTAAACTTTTGAAAGAAAATTGGGTAAAAGTTCACCATACACATAGTTGCTGAAAGCTTCGTAGTTCCGCAGTTTACCGACTTGCGGGTGAATGACTCTTGTGTAAACAATATGCAATAAATCGTGGAAGAATGCCCTGGGAACTTCACGAACAGTTCTTAAATGCTCCAAGATTTCTTGCCGAGATAGTTTACTCACGAATTCATTATAAGCGACGACGCACTTAATGAAAGTTTCTTGATCAGCATTGTCGAAGGAAGTATTCAAAGGTTTTACGATTGTCTTCCTCGCGTTTTCAAAGTACTTCGCCGGGAGGTATACTCGGACTGTGTTTTCAATTAGTTTTGCAATTTCAAGCATCGGATTATATTTGGAATTATCCGCTCGGAAGTCCACCACATATTCTTCCTCGTAATCTGGAAAAAGAATAGATTTCAGTCTCACTCGCTCGGCGTTTACATGATGATGATGGTCTAACACCGTGGACGGTCTAATTGTCCCATCATATTTTGTGGTTTTTTCCAGATATTCGAAATCGAAAAGATCATAGAGTAATGGAATCATTTCCGAGGTTTGATCAGTTAGTGTAGGTTCATCCACATCCTGCTGCTCTTGAACAGCTTTTTCAGTCACAGGCTCTGCGGTCCTTAATATCTCTTCATCTGACAAATGCAGTTTCTTCTTTCTGCCTTCCTTTGAATTCAATTCTTGAATACCTTTCCTCCTCTTGCGCTCTTTGGCGGTGATGTTGTTGGAACTGGTGTATTTTGGTTTATGATTCTGTGTTTCCGCCCCACTTACATCTTTAATACCCAACTTCTTGTTACCCCTTCCATTGCCATTGGCAGCTCTCTTACGGCGATTATCTACGTCTTTGGACGAAACATCATTTATCTGTACCTGATCGTCATTTGTGTTTGTTGGCTTTGCTCTCGACCGCAGAAAGCTCGTAGGTAAACTATATTCGACATAGGACGAGTATTTGTAGGCATCATTGAGTAGCTTCAGGAGTTGTTTCTTAGGCTTCGGAGCGTCCACATTTTTCAAATCACTATTGGATGTGGGGTGATTTTCAATATCACCGTCACCACCGTTCTTCGGCCTCGTTCTTTCGTGTTGCACATTATGGGCACCGTTAGTGGAGGGCTTTTGGAGCGCCGGTTGATCACCTTGATCACCGTGAAATTGTGTAATTGTGCTGGAAGAAGTGGAACTAGGAGAGAACAGCGAGTCTTCACTACTAGATTCTCGAGTCGCCATGTATCTTGAACAGGATTGCGTAAACTTTTATGTTTCTGGTCGCTTGATTACCACCACTCGAAAAAGCTTCAGTTAACAAGAGCACGTGAATCTAACAAACGGATGGGAAGAGGAAATTGACAAAACATAATTACTATCTGATTATATATCAAGTACTAGATTCTTCTTTTCGACCTCTTTGAGGGTTTTTCCTTTCACTACACTCCAGTCTATCATGGTCTCGTTTTGGTCATATAGCCAATCATTCATTTTCCTGAAATGGTTGTTACCGAAAAAGCCACGGCTGGCCGAGAGAGGAGACGGATGAACTGATTTGAGTACCAAAATGTTCTCTGCGGATCCGCCCAAGATCCCTTGCACAAGGTTGATCGCATTGCTACCCCATAGGAGAAACCCCAAAGGTTTGCCAGTCCGCTTTCTATCTTGAATCAGCAGTTGCACAACGCGTTTGGTGAACTGTTCCCAGCCCCGCTTAGAATGTGAATTTGCGTTATGCGCGCGAACCGTGAGGCATGTATTGAGAAGCAGCACACCTTGTTCAGCCCAGTTTGTCAGGTCCCCGGACCGATTATCTACGACAAAGTCTGCGTAGTTGTGTTCCTTCAACTCCTTGTAGATGTTCTTCAGGGAGGGAGGCGCCATAGTAGGAGGCTTAACGCTAAAAGCCAGTCCGTGAGCCTGATTGAAGTTGTGGTAGGGATCCTGCCCGATGACCACGACGCGCACACCGTTGAAGGGCGTGAGCCTGCTCCACGAGTAGATATCACTTGGCGGTGGGAAAACAGTACAGTTCTTCTGCTGCTCTGTGACGAATTCCTTTAACTTAAGAAAGTAAGGTTTTGAAAACTCATCCTTGAGTTTCGCGAACCACGTATCGTCCATCGTTTCGAGCTCGAGTGACAGCAGTGCTGCCTCGTGTGGCTTGAGATGTTCTCTGAAAACTTCCTTGGCAGATAAATTGGATACAACGGTTGTTTCCACTTCTTCACTACGAGCCTCTTGTTCAGTTGTAACAGTTTCTTTGGCGTCGCCAGCTTTCTCTTCACTTTCGCGTTTCCGTACCTCTACGTTCTTTGCACCAAAAAAATCCATCAAAGTTCGTTGTTTCTTTATTGACTCAACGCCATCTGGTGCTTCCCGTGGTCTCTTCACCTCAGTCATTGTCCAATTTGCCCTGGTTGATAAATTTCGTCTTTTATTTGGCGTCGTGTTCGCTCTTCTCAAGAAATCGATGACATTTTCCAGCTTCACAGAAGTGCGGAACTTGCCTGATAAAAGACCTTTTTCAGGATTACCATAAGCAACGTGCAAAAGCGACCAACTTGAGCAAAGCAAGGAAATATAGGACTTTGTCGAGTATCTCCGGCCTAAGAACAGTTATTGATCATTAAAGTATTGCTAAACAAAGTTTGTACGCGAAGGAGTTCTAGAATACTTCCGGATATGACATCTCGTTCTAGTGTCAGCATTCGATCATCGAGCTCCTCAGTTAGATCTAACAATGCGAGTATACGAGAGTCACACGAAGGTACAAGTGATGGAGTACGGGAGAGAAGAGTCTCATCGAGTGCATGGTCCGTGTGGGGTGGTCGTAAAGATAGCATTAGCGGACAAATGAAAGAAGGGGCAATAGCCGAAGAACCTCCAACGGGCAACCGTTTTCCTGACGAAGGAAACCAAACATGGTGGCGAAAAACATCTCACACATCTCTTCGTGCAGTTTCTGCTAAGGGTTCTTCTCCCGAGGAGACTCCAACTTCACCCACCACAGAGAAAACGAAAGAGGAGCCCAATGAGCAACTTGATGCCACAGATAAAGTGGGAGAACCCAAACGCAAAGGTTGGTTTTTCTGGGGCAAGAGACCTTCTGTGGACGACTATAAGGTCGATGAGGTGATGGAGTCGCCTGTGAATACTGCTGTCAAACCAGTGATCAACGAGTTGATATCAGGCCCCACCGAAGATGCCATTTTGTATAAGACCAAATCCAAAAATGAAACTGCAAACGAGCAGGATTTACAAAATGCAAATGAAAGTCAAGGCTTGAAATCGAACATTTTAACTCCTAGTTTCGAGATTCTCCCCGAGTACACTACACTCGCCTCTTTGTACACCAATTTCGGCAAATACGGTCACAAGTGGAAACTACTCGGTAATGATCGCATGAAGCAGATGTCGTTATACCGTCGAAAACCAGCCGTGGCCTTGAATGAAATGACTGGCAGCAGTGAAAGATCCGTGAAAGTTTTGATTGTGGGAGTACACGGTTTTTTCCCTACAAAAATGATCAGACCTATTATCGGAGAACCTACGGGTACCTCTACGAAGTTTATCACCGAAGCTGAAAAGTCTGTAATTCGGTGGTTTAGAGAACAAAAGACTCCTGTGGAAATAAGCAAGATTGCGCTTGAAAAAGAGGGCGAGGTTTTCGATCGGATTAACTTCTTCTTTGAAGTGATGAAGAAATGGGCTGCTGAAATAAAAAAGGCGGATTTCATATATTTCGTGGCACATTCACAAGGCTGTCCAGTAACGATAATTTTGCTGGCTAAGTTAATTGAAGCAGGAATTATCGACTTGGATCAAATGAATTTTGACACAGAGACGCCAATCTCAGAAATAAAGGATAAAACTCGTAAAATTGTTGGTGTACTTGCTATGGCAGGTGTCAATAATGGTCCTTTTTATGGTGCTGACCAGACATTGTTTGTGAGGGCCTATTCCGCCATTGAAAGCGATTCTTTGAAAGAGTTATTTCAATTTCAGAACTTTAACTCTGTGCAAGCCAGGAAACTTGTACAAAGCATAAGAATAATCATCGCAAGCAATGTTAAAATATGTTTTGTGGGATCAATTAACGATCAATTAGTACCTTTATACTCGTCCAACGGGTTATTTGTTGATCATCCCAATATTTTCAGAGCGACTTTCATTGATAAAGACTCAAGAACTCCTGATTTCATCACCCGAATTGTGAGCATAGCTAATCATTTGAACAATCTTGGATATGACGATCACAACATTATAAAAGAGATCAGTGGGTCTTTGGCAGGCACCCTCACAGGTGGGGGACACTCGAAGATCTACAACGAGGGTCAAGTATATGATCTCGGAATAAAATTTGCATTAGAGACGACTGACGTTGCTCTCGAAACTCCTGTTAATTTCAGGCCATATCAAGTTGATATGTTGGGGTCCAATCCTTACCATTTACCCTGGTGTATGAGAGGACTTCTATTTGAAGCAAGAATGCATCTTGGCCAGGATCAAATTCATCAGTTATTCGAAGAGTTTGAAGATTGGAATCCTGAGACCAAGCAATTAAAAGATGTTAAATATAGACTAAATGGCCTGAAGTCCAAACTTTAGTGATCCATTGAAAAATGAGCTGCCATTTATTAAGTAGATGTACATATGCTATCACTATTTCTCTACTTCAGAACAATAGTAGAGATAATGCATAATACAAGGATGCCTATAGCTCTACACCTGCGATTCCATATCCATTTCCGTTCTTTCTATCCTCTTGCGAATTAGCCGCCGCTTTTTCTGCGGCTTTTGGGTTACCGCTTTATCGCTCTGGATATCATCACCACTAGAGGACAATCGACTTGTGGGGAGAACAATCTCAGCAAGTTTATCTCTGCTTTTCAAGGACTCTATAAAAGCTGCTTCCTCCGTTTTATCTGCAAGATCTGTGGTATCTTCATCAAATAACGTAGGATTACCATTGGTGATGGCGTGTCGGAGACCTCTATGTTGCTTTCCCGAAGGCGTACCAGCCACAGCGTCGTTACCGTTACCAAATGATGTTTGTCGATTAATGGGTGAAAGCAAGTGGAACTTAGCTTGTTGATTCTCAGCACACGCGTCTTTGTCGTCTTCTATTTCTGCTCCTGATCGTTTCAGCTTAGAAATAGTTTTCTTTGCGTTTTCTAATTTCGATTCGAACAGTGCTCTTTGTGTCTTGTGCAATTCCTTGATTCGTTCCGTTTCTCGCTTCTGGATATTGAGATCTGCTGTCAATTGAGCTACTTGTCTTTGAAGATTTATGGTTTCTTTGGCCAGGAGGGACTCAGAGGAATCATTATTTGCATGTCCCTTTTGTGCTTCTAAATGACGATAGTACAGTCTTTCGCATTCAATAACTGATTCATAGTATATGCTCAGCAATTGTGCAATTGTTGCCATTTACAATGTTATTGTTCCAATATAAGCACGAGCACTTTTTTGGCGATTACTTTTTCAGCTTTTCATCAATACAAATAAGAAACACGGTCTAGTCTGCTTGAAAACATACAATGCTGCTGTGGCCATTTCTCACACTTCTATTTCCGCTTAGCAGGGCACTAGAGTGGACTGATATAATAGGACTGAGAGATAAAGATGGTATTATCGAAGTAACTGAATCTAACTATCAAACACTCTCCAAAGGGATTCGCAACTTTTATTCCGTTCTGTATTTAACAGCATCAAAACCCAACTCTGAAGGTGTCTACTGTGATATATGTGATCAATTCGAGGCTAACGTAAGAAAAACATCTGCTGCTATCCTTGAACAGGTTTCCTTTGAGGTAAGTACCGAAATATTCTTTTTCAAATTAGATGTCAGCGAAGTGCCGTCTTTATTGAAGGAAATGCCACTGAAGGCAATCCCACATCTATTGGTTTATCCACCCAGTCCTAATGATGATAATTTTGCATGGCACTCAAATCAGTTCTATCAATACCAAATTGGAAAGCATAGTGTGGAAGACCCTGTACATTTCGCAGACTTTTTAGCCAAGATATTCAATGTCTTCATCAGGATAAAACCTGACTTCAATTATGAAGAGTTTCTGCAATACTTCATATTGTGTTTGGTGATCTTTTTTGTATTCAAAAAGAAAGTTCTGCCGCTAATCCCACACAAAGCAAGATTCTTCAGTATGCTCTTTTCTTTATCGCTAATACTTTTGTCCATAACTGGTTTCAAATTTACACAAATCAATGGAATCCCCTTACTCGCCAAGGACAAAGATGGCAATATCATGTTTTTTAGTGGAGGAATGGGATGGCAGTTTGGAATTGAAATTTTCACCGTATCTGCGATGTACTTAGTAATGGGTGGGTGCTGTGTTGGAATGATCCTATTATCACAGTGTTCAAAGTTAAATTCCAATGTCACAAACTTTGCTACGCTTGCATTAGTCGGAATTCTCACATATATGTTCGCATACTTCTTAAGCTGCTTCAAGATCAAGAACCCAGGTTATCCTTACACTTTTTGAAATATAGACCTTAGTGTAAATTGAGCTTTGTCCTCGCTTTTATCCTAGTGATTTTTTATGCAGTACAAATGATATTTAAATTACTAAACAACGTAAGGTAGTTGCTCTTCTTCCTCTCTGTGCTCGTTTTCCGCGTCTCTATTAATGATAAAAAAGCTGCCGCAAATTAAAGTTGCACCAAGTAGATAAATAAATGACATGGGCCTGTCCTTGAAGAGAAAATCTCCCAACATGGCAAATGGTATAGTCGTGCTCAAACCCACAGTGACAATCAAGGGAGATGTGAGAAGCATAGCCTTTGCCCAACAAAAGTCACTGATGAAGGTCAAAATGCAGTTCACTAAAATGATCGAAATTACTCGGGGTCCCTGGGGCAACTCGAACTTTTCCCATCCAAGGTAATGTAGGAGAATGATTGTGGGCCACATAAGTACTAGCGTGAAGAGACCTACAAACCCGAAAAAGATCTTCATATTGACACGCGACTCATCTCTTATTCTCCACTTGAGAAGCGTGCTATAAACACCATAGAAGAGAGCCCCTGAAAGAGCAAGCAAATTACCACAAAAAATTGTAAACGCGTCCGTGTTATCTGGAGAGATACCATTATGGAATTTGTATGGGACTGTGTAATGCACGTTGCCAGTGTCGCTCTTGGACACTGTATCGGAGTCAGACTTGGTCACTAGCACAATACCAATAAACGACACTAGGGAGCCAACAATTTTGATGCGGTTTATGAACTCGATGTGGCATAATGAACCAACCAGAAGGGTGAAGAACGACGAAGTCGACGAAAGAATGGTCTGAGATGCGACCGAAGTGTAGGAAAGCGATGCGTTGGTGACGAGGTTAGCCAAGAACCACAAGACGCAAAACTGCGCGCTCAGCTGGATTGTGGCGGGAAGCGAAAGCTTACATTGACTTGTAAGCTCGTCGCTGTCCTTCGGTACCAGTGGCGAAGTCGAAGTGGGCTCGCTCTGCGACAAGGCGCCGCTGCCTTCTTCCTCGATCATCAGCTCCTCATGAATGTTGAACTTTCCCGTAGTTCTGCGATTGCGCAGTACGGCCACAAATGTAGGGATGAGATAAAATATGAATGATGCTGTGTTGATGTAAGTGATAAGAAACGGTTTGCGGTACGACTCGTCCTCAAAGATCATGTTGATCAAAAATGATGACAAAACCCATAATACCACCACCACGCCAAGGAATATCAATCCCAGCGTCCATCTCTTGCTGTCTTTCACTGCCATTGCAACCTAAGTTTACTGTGCCGAAGCTGAGATCTATATGTGCTCCTACTCGGCTGATATACTCTCACGCATTCACTAATGAGAAGAGTCGATCGATGACTGGGATAATTTACAGCCTTTGACTTGTGAAAAAAAAGGCAGCAAAAAAAGAAACACCGAGGACAAAATTTTAAATACCGCCCTTGATTACCTAATCTCCGATTGTGGCGTCAAAGCCACAACACGTGACAAGAAAACATATCACCTGATCTTAGCCGGGTAACACCGAACAACCCTCGGAAATACGAAAACAATTCCGAGGGCGTGATTAGATGATAACGTATACAATGATTAGGGCTTTCTTCATTTTCCTTTCCCCCTCGTTTGGTGGCAAAGAAGAAAAAAAGTCCAACTTGGATGGTATCAAAATAAACTTGGATCAGTGGTAGCATCGAGTAAACTTCGCAAGACACTACATTTTGGAAGTAGAATGGGTATGTCAAGAGAGAATAGACACAAAGGTTTATCAATGTTGAATCATGGTACTAACTCAATGGAGGATTCGAGATAGCTGCAACAAACAATGGTAGCGCAAGTAGTAAAAAGAAGATGTCCCTTGAGGAGTTCTTCAATGACAATTCACTGGGCGAAAATGTGTGGGATGAAGAAGAGATCAATTTAGACGCAATCTCGTCACCACTGACAAACACCACGAGCTTAGACGTACTCAAACAGGCCCCTATCAAGTTAGCGACGCGAGGCTCTTTTGGCGAAGGTCATCGGCACCCGATGCCTTCGGCAAGTACGCCGCATGGCGCAGCTGGAGGCCAGCTCCGCGGTCCGCCATATATCGTTAAGTTTTCTAACCTACCCTCATTGTTCTCCGGACGCGAAATTGAAGATCTCTTCCAGACCAAGTGCACCAAGTTTATTAAATTCAAGATTTTCTGGGAGCTCAACAAAACACCGTCTGTGGGGGCTGCGCTCAAGAACTCTAATGTGTTTGACGCAAATTTCACACGGGATTCTAAAGTGGCTTTCACTGAACTGTACTCTGCACGCGACATGGACAAGATCCTCATGCACTGGACACAGCCGTTGCGCGAGCTTTACAATATTCACGTAACAATGGCAGAGTTTGATGATTTCAAGAATTACATGGCGAAAACGAAACTTCTGGGAGAGAGTGATGATCCTTCTCGGCCTTATAAACCTAAGGAAGCGGCCAAAATTGACAAGAGGCGCACAAATTCCGGTTCAGATCCATCTCAGACAAAACAAAGACGTAAGAGCAATCCGTTTGGATCTGCAAAACCTGTAGACACACAGTCCAAAATCCTCACCATAGAACAGAAAATGAGCGAGTTGCATATCGAGGACACTAAAACTTTGAGAAGAGTGTCGCTTGGTGAAGATGAGAAGGAAGTCTTCAAAGACTCAGGAGCTAAAAAACCAATTGCAGTACCACAGCCTATAAGCTATTCCGCTATCATCAAGAAATCCGTTGATAGCGCGTCGCCAAACTCATTAAGTACCTCGCCAAGTGTACCACCATCTGTACCACTCTCGAGTGGTTTGGACCCCAACGATCAAGTACTATCAAATGACGAAGATGGAGAAGAGAAAAAAGACCAAGAAAAAAAAGATAGTCAAGAGGAAAATGATGAAGACTTGTCTACATCGGGCCACAATTTCACCTTTAAAGAAACCGATCGTAGAGAATCCCAAAATCGCTCTCGTGGCTCATCACAAATAGATCGTCCAAGCCGTGGGGGTCGTGGAGGTCGCTCGGATCGTGGAGGTTCCTTTCGTGGCGGACGTGGAAGAGGCGGCGGTAGAGGAAGCTATAATGGCAAAAAATCTGACGAAAGTCGTCCTCGCGGAAAATATAACAACAAGGAAGACAACCCATATTCTGTTTTCCGTCCAGCAAGTGGGTTTCTAAGAGAAAACATCAACAGTAACGGCTCCAGAGGAGGGAGAGGCGGAAATCATAGTCATAATAATAATAATGGTGATCGTGGCCGGGGCGGGTACCGTAACGGTCGTCACGGGTTTACTCCAGTTTAAAAACTCATTCATTCCCACCTGTTGCATTTTGTATAATATTTGGAATTTGTGTCTAGTTATTAAGTTACGTACCACCATCTTTGTATTCATATAAAAGTCTACACACTTCAGTTATTGGCAAATCTATTACCCCGCTAGTTTCTTTAAATGCATGATTTTCCAAAAAGTCTTGATAGTTCACAGGCTTTGCAATATTTGCTTTGCTGTCAGTCACAGTTCTTATATCATCAAGAGGAACGGTCAATACATCTTCATTGTAAAAGAGAATGCCCAAATATGCCACTAACATCCCCATCAGAATCGTACATTCTGTTACTATTATCCAGTATCTTTGTGGTAATAGGTCAACTATCTCCTCAGCGAAACCTATTACGTACCTACTAAGTGGACCATCACTGTTTGCATAGCTTTTTAGGTTTGGAAGAAGTGACCATACAAAGACGAAACAAAGAGTAAATGTTGTTACGTAAAATTGTGAGAATCCAAAGTACTCTCTTGTCGGTTTCTTAGCCATTTTTTGGGTACAGGACGGACACCCGAGTTAGCATTATCAACACCAGAGAGCCCTGAGACAGAAAAAAAAATTACATAGCGTTGTAGCGCCGTGCGTATTAGGCACAAAACTTTTAAGAACATACAGTCTCCATTTGTCTTCTTGATAATGGGAAAACCAATTCACTCCTTGGAAGTTATGTGATATATGTAAATCTGCGATCCTGTTGACAAGCCGGTAAACAAAGGAGAACTCATTGCTCAAGAATTCCCATCAACGTCTCCAGAACTAACCTTAAAGGAAATATCTTGCTGGAAATATAAACAAATAGTCTAGTTTTATTCACAAAAAGGGCGAACAACCTGCATACTACTAGCATTTGAAATCCGATTGTTCCAACTTCACCAGAGTCCGAAGGATATCTGAAAGTATTTAACACCTTGCACGTTTGTAGAACTCCTGCGTCCAGATCTAATCACTCTGCTAAACTTTCCAACCAAACTAATTCGATTTTTTTTCAAATACGCAAATCGGTATATATACATTGTTATTCTATTTGATTATATCTTAATCTTGGAATTGTTGCTGCTGATTAGCCAATTTTCTTTCCTGTCTCCCTTTCTTCATGACTTGCTTCAATGCAGTGCTGTCCAATGGATCTAAAAGCTCAAAACTACAAAGTAAGCCCTCGCTTACACTCATAACAGCTCCCCAATTATCGAATTCACCACAGTAATTGGGTGCAGAAAATACAGTCACTAAACTTCTATCGTTAAAAAACTCATAGCCATCTTCTACAACCATATGAGCCCGACACACTAAATCGAAACCAAACTTGTTCAAAAATTTGTTAATCGCAACCTTGTTGTAACAATAACTCACACCTCTTTCGTTATCTTCCCATTCATTGGGCGAATCTGTAGGATCTGACCATAATAAATCGTTGATTAATCCAAAGTCTGGAACATCCGTTGGTCTGCTTACGTGGCGGATTTCATCCATTGAGTTTAGCACAGGTGATAAGCCACCATGAACACAAAAGATTTTACCTGCCACAATCGCTGCTAGAGGTAAAGTATTGAAAGTGTCAATGAAGATTTTCCACGTCTTGATGTTACAACGACGTTTACACTCATCATAAAAACCATAAACTCTAGTCACGTTTGCACATTCATGATTACCTCTAAGGAGGAAGAAGTTCTCTGGGTACTTAATTTTGTAACAGAGTAGTAATAAGATTGTTTCAAGAGATTGCTTGCCTCTATCGACATAATCGCCCAAAAACAAGTAGTTTGCAGCTGGCGGGAAACCACATTTTGTGAATAATCTCAGTAAGTCAGCGTACTGGCCATGGACATCTCCTACAATCTTTACTGGAGGGGAAAGCTCAAGCAGAGACGGTTGAGACAAGAAAATTTCACGAACTTGGTGACAAATCTGGGCTATTTCTGAATTCTTCAAGCAGACGTTCCTAGTACGTTTACCGGAGTAACCGGCATCTAATAATTTTTGAATAATATCATCAATATCAATGGGTCTAAAAGGCTTCTTCTTTTTAATGCTTTTAGTGGTGATTGAGCCTTCTGCATCTTCTTCTTGCTCCAAGGTTTGTGGCAGATCGCGTGGGTATTCGTCAATGGAATTTCTCCTGGATGCAGAATGGTGCGTTTGCGAGTCATGTGCCTTTGAGTGGTCTCCAGAATGACTACCAGAGTCAGTGGTGCTAGAGAAGTAGTCTCCCTGCTGATTTCTAAGGAGGCCGGGCGAGTTCAGTGGCGTGCTGTAGGCCGTATTACCAGTCGAACCCCCAAATGATGACTTCCGGCTTTGATTAGCAGAAGAATGAGAGGACGTCCTACTCATTTGCTGCGGAGAATGCCCGTCAGGCAAGTCGAGGTATGTCCCGCTACTACTCGATTTTTTTCTATTACTGGACGAACTGTTGCTTCTGCTACCTATGCTTGGCGTCTTTTGAGACGCGCGTTTGAGATCATTGCTTCTTCTCCGATAGTGATGAGACTCATTTTCATCATTATCGTCATCTGTCAGGGCATTTTCATAGTATGTCGTGTAATTGGGGCTTTGATTTGCCCCAGAAGCCGAATTTTTCAAGATGGGCGATTTTGGCTCCATTTGAATCATCGAGGGAGGTAGGTCGCCACTCACAATTGAGGAATGATGGGTGGGTCTCCCTTGCAGCGGTGACCCTGGAATGCTAGATTGCTGTACCACACTGTTACTACTACCACGTTTTGAAAGTGTCGGTTGATTAGTTGAATGAATGCTATTTTTCCTAGAGAAAGAGCCCGCTGTCGATGGTACACTCAGCCCACCCGTCGGCGTTCCCTCTGCTGTGGCGGCATTAGGAGGAGCTGATATTGATGACGACTGCGATCGCCTTGATCTGATCGACTTCAGTGACCGACCAGACTTTGCAGACTGGCTTGTATCTGTCCTCGTAAATGCAGGGAGTGACTCCTTTGTACTTTGCTTTCTCTTAGAAGACGGTTTTGAACTTGTGTTTCCCATTACTTCTGATTGCTATTAATATCAAATGTTTAAGCCCTGTCCTGACTGAAATGTAAATAAAAACGAAGGGTTCTCGCTATGCCCTGCTAGGATACAGTATTCTAAGAGTATAGATTTCTCTCGTTACAGATCCACTTTCCAGTGTCTGGGGTTTCTGCTTATATTGAACTTGAGAACAAAATCGCATATATCAGCAACAATTTGTGAAGTAAATAGGTCCCTTGGATAAAATCATCAATTACCCGGCTTTGATATTTTTATTGCGGAGTTGATCTGTCAAGAGAGATCAAGACAAAGCTACAATGGTTACGATGGCATAGACGCTTGATTTGAATCATCTTTACCAATCAATGCGCTATATTCCATCATTTTTTTATTGTTTCTTGTATTTTTGTAAAAGTTAAGGTATTTGTGTAATTTAGTGGAAAAACAAGTACGAAAAGGATTATATGGCAAATGAACACAGCAGTACAGCAGACAGATTACGATGCACTCTCATGCAAGGTTAGCGCTATTAGCAAACACTATTTACCATGTCCGAGACAGATAGAAGAATGTGGGTTTAGGGATTATTCAGGTATTCAAATGGAATACATTCGCGTATTACGGATGCTCAGTCGGAGAGCGTACGGCAAAATTAGTAGAGCAGTTAGCTCAACTATGCCTGTCATGAACTATGGTACGTATCTGCGGACGGTCTCGATTGACCTGTCGATAGAAGAGTTCATGCGGAAGCACCAGGATGAGGAAACTCAGATTCTGAATCTCGGAAGCGGGTCCGACCTCAGAATGATTCAACTACTTGCTCGGTTCCCCAAAACAACGTACATAGACCTGGACTTTCAGGAATCTGTCAAATTGAAAGCTAAAGTACTGCGTAACAGCGACCAATTTGTCAATTTCTTTCAACTGAATTCCAGCGAGGGCGAGGAAATCAATACAGACCGTTATAAACTTCTTACCGCGGACTTAAAAGACGTTCCTAGGGTTTTAGAGTTACTCTCCAGGATTGCTTCGAAAAAAGTCCCCACTCTCATTTTGACAGAATGCGTCCTCTGCTATATTCCTCAAGCAGAGTCGCAACAGCTTATCGATTCAGTTGCTGAGTATTTCACTCACGGCAAATGGGTTTCTTACGACCCGATTGGTGGTAATAAGGTCAATGACAGATTTGGCACAATTATGCAAGATAATTTACGGGAGTCAAGACACTTGGAGATGCCCACCCTTATGATATACAATTCTCCGGAATCTTACGCACTAAGGCTGAAGAATATTTCTCACAACATTCACATACAGATAATGTGGGATTACTACATGAACGAGGTATCAGACGAGGAAAAAAACCGTTTAAAGGCACTTCAGTTTCTAGATGAAATAGAAGAATTAGAGATTATGCTTTCACATTACATACTATTAGAAGCCACATGGTAAATATATTTTTCCGTTTCAAATTTGTACCGTCAGCTACCTGAACATCCAGCCATTTCCATCCCCTTGGGTGCGCCAGGTGGCTTGAGGCACTGTGTCATTTTCCAATCTATAAAGCCTCCAAGCTTCACGGATATGTTCTGGCAGCAAGGGCCCGCCTGAGTATTTCTCTATGCTTACATCCAGTGAATTGAATTTTTTGACCAAACTGTTATACTGTCGAATGATCCCTTTTCTAATTTCCTCCGAGTTTGTAGTTGACCTTAACAATTGTGTATTTTTTATACATTCATTAACCTTTTCTTCATCTTCTTCATCTTCACATATGTCACTTGCCTCTTCATCTACACTGTCATCATATGCATCTTCTGCACTTTCAACCATCATGGTAAGCTTTTTCAGACACTTCTTCAGCCGATAGGCACCAAGCTGTTTTTCCTCGAACCTCCTTACCATAAGTGCAACTAACGATTTCTTTTTGATAAGAAGGGCTTTCTCCACTATTTCTCCCACAAATATTTTTCCAACACCTGCCAGTAGTAGAATGATATTAGCAGCAACTGTTTGGTTTGTAACCATACTAGAAATTTTTTTGACGTTGTTTTTAGCCAAGGATGTTCTTCTAAACACTTCAAATCTGTTCATTTGCTCTTCATCTAGATTGGTCAGCAACAAATTTAGTTGTTCTGATTGATCGAGGTCTCGAGAATGGGGTAAACTGGCAATTTGCTCATCGTAAATTTCTCTTGCAAATCTCAGATTCTTGGGAACTGAATTAATACGCTGCGGTTTGGCCACTTTTTTACTTGATATCTTTTTGGAGTTTTTAGGGTGCTGTTCTGCTTCAAGCTCGGCCCCATCGAATTCACCTATATTTCTCCACGGCTCTTGCTCTAATTGACCACCGTCGCCATATTCTTCTTCATTTGAATTTTGTGTACTCTGGAGGAAATCATTGAGATAAGAGTTCATTGTTCCTCCAGTTCTCAAATCTTTCAACTTCCATGCCACATATTCTTGATCTTCGCTGAGGACCTGGTTGATCATCTGCTTAGATGCTAAATAGTTTGCTTGTGTTATAAGTGGGGGATAATTATCCTCTGGGATCATGTCCAGAGGGCCCTGAGTGTCTGCCATGTTGTTAAAGGTGATTTTGGAAGGTAGCTGTACTTTACGCCTAGGATTTCATTACATATTGAACATGGATATCTTCAAAGTTCAGCACATTAATCATATCACACGAATCGTCTCTTAGTGTAGCTAGCTGCAAATGCCCGTTGGTAAAAGTTATGGCCAGTTACGAGGTCCACTAACCATATAATTGATAGTTAAATGCAAATTAGTATATCTTCTATTTACTCTCACCTTTATAGTAGCAAGTAATATGTTTTGTAACGTTTTGAAATTAGATGTAAACAGGATGTTTATCATTCCTTAACATCCTGGTCCTTTTCCGCACTGCTTTCTTCCTTTTGCTTCCTTTTAAATGCATTGACAAGTCCCGAAAGCATAATAACTGTTAGTGGACCTAAAAGTGGTAAATAGACAGCAATCTTGTGCTCCTGAGGAAAGAAATTCTGCTGCACCATTTCTTTATGGAAGAATGCATCCTCACAAACACGGAACAGCTCGTTGCTTAAAAGTAGGGCTTGGTTCCAAACCGCGTCCCCTCCTTTGAAAGGATCATTGATTAATTCTGCTACCTGCAGGCGTAGATCTAAAGCTTTTCTAACGTTAACAAGAACTTCTTCGGGTACGGCCATTTGAGGAAATTGCTCAACCAACTTTACAAGCGACCAGAGCGTTTCTGTGCTCTCATCAAGATTGCGAATAATCATCAATCTTTTAAAAGAGTCAATAGTCACGTATGGCGTTGATAAATCCGCAGCTTGGGTTGCCAGTCCGAGTAGTTGGAACAATTCTCTGGAGAACTTGTAAATGATTGGGGTTAAATAATCCTTAGTTAATCGAGTACTGTCAGGAAGTGGACTTTTGTTGATCACCAGGACACCCCACTGTGGAACCAGAAAACTTTGCCAATCGTGTTTTGAAGTAGAGTTTATGAAGCTTAGATTACCCGCGCTGTGCCCAGGAAACACAATGGCAAGGTTCAGCACCGTGCGCTCACTGTAGTAGTTCATAGAAGATAACTCGGAAAGATCTACAGTGTGAGACAAATCTTGCCAGCTAGCAGTATCCGAGCCGCTTAAAGAGCCCAATTTCAAATCATTGTAATAAACTATGCCGGTGTCCACTGTGAAGTTGACTAGAGGAGAGATGAATCTCCTCAATGGTGTGAAGTATTCTTCTAAAGTGGGGACAATATCCCACGCGACCGGTCTCCCGTCACCTGTTAGCAAAGAGATCGATAAGTGCACATTTGGAGTGTATGAAATAGCCATATTATTATTCGTCTCTTTGATGACATCTTTGCTCTCTGAAAAATGCTGCCATTCCAGCCCGAAAGTATGCTCGATCAGTGTTTGAGCTACGAAAAATGGAATGTCATTGGCCACAACCGACTCATCATTGAAGAAGACGATTGTCTCTTTGCTGTCGTAGGGAATAGTGTAGCCAATGAAATTGTCTAACGCTAGAGTGACTACGTAGTCCGATTCTTCGTTGACCCAGCTCTCAAAGGGCAACACCTGTAGCGACCACGTAAGTGGGCCTTTCTTCGACTTTAGCAGCTCGTTGACCTGTACTTGTATGGCATCATGGACGTCTGGGAAGTTGTAAGTATCTGATCTCACGTATACAGGAATCACCAAGTGAAGGTCGGTATGCGGGTTTTCATGCATCGAACGAATGTGTTCGATTGGCAACGGTGCTCTATAGATGGTGGTCAGTTTATACCATAGTGGAACTCCCACGAAAACATAAACAGCAAAGAACCATATAGCAACCGCCTTGCGCAAACCCAAAGTCGACATGAAGACCTTCCTGTGAGTTGTTTTCCACCGCCTATGTTTTGCGATCTAAACATTTACAGATACATAGAATGGCTTAGAAAAAAGGTGCGCAACTGGTCACGTGCTACAATTGATCTTTGACCGTCCATTCTGAGCTACTAGAGAATGTTTCAAAGATCGAAGCAAGTGCATACTTGACTAAGGGCACTACATTGATGACCTTCGAAATGGTGAAAACCTTGATTCTGCACATTTAGAATTCTTCGTGTGTTAACCATTGTCATTTGCCCAAAAAAATTTTTTATTTAAAGTTACCAGTCAAGAAGTTTAAAAGATGAGACAGGTCGATGGCAGAATCTAAAGAAGAGCAGTATGTACACCAGGTGTACAATGAAATCGCTCCTCATTTCTCGCAAACTAGGTACAAGCCTTGGCCTGTAGTTACCGACTTCTTGCTAAAGAGACCACTTGGATCCATCGGCATCGATGTGGGATGTGGTAACGGGAAGTACCTTAATATCAATCCAAACATATACATTCTGGGGTCAGACAGATCATCAGGGTTGATCGAATGCGCACACGAGCTCAATTCGCATTACAATTTGATAGTAGCTGATGGTATGCACCTTCCCCATAGAGACAAGACTTTCGACTTTGCCATCTCGATTGCCGTAGTGCACCACTGGTCCACACGTGGAAGGCGTGTAGAAGCGATCGAACATATTCTGAGCAAGCTACGCGATGGTGGCGAGGCTCTCATCTACTGCTGGGCCCTAGAACAAGCTGAGAGTCGGAGAGGTTACCATGAGGGTATGCAGCAGGATGTGCTTGTGCCGTGGGTTCTACAAGACAAGCAGGAGAAACCTATAGAGCGTAAGACTAAAAATTCGCAGGAAAAACTAGATCTCAATGGCATTGAACCTCAACAAAGAGCGGCATTCATCGCTAAGTGGAAAGCAGAACAGGAGGCGAAGAGAAAGCAGGAAGAAATCGATGCCGAAGCTGAAAGAAAGAGACTCGAAGAAGAACGAGAGAAAAATACCAAGTATAGGTACTACCATTTGTATCGGAAGGGCGAGCTAGAAGAAGATTGCATCAACGCCGGGGGAGAGGTAATCGGTAATGGCTACGAGAAAGATAACTGGTATGTAATAGTTAAGAAGAAATAAACTGTTCGTCTTATTTGAACTTCATTCTTTCGTCTATATGGTCAACAACTTTTTCTTGACATGAGGAATCGTCTTTTTTGACTTGTTGGACAAAACCCTTTAAAGAGGGAAAATTTCAGGTTCGGGAGAATAAAGTGGTGAATAAAATCACTCCTTCAGTTAGCTGCCGTAATGCCTATAATTCAGCATGCCGATCAAGAGTTTCACGTGTCACACGAAGAAGAGGAGAAGCTGAATCAGTTCCAGCTGATCACTGCTTTCCCTGACGAAGATTTACCGCAGGTGATAAAGCTCTTACGAAATCATACCTGGCAGTTGGAACCCGCTCTGAGTCGCTATTTTGACGGAAATTGGAGGGAAAATCTCGAGCAGCCACCAGTGCCAGCTCGTCCACCCACTCCAATTACAAGAGAAGACACGCCTCGATCTGCAACACCGTTCGTTGTTACTCAAAGCGGTTTGGTACCACGCCTGCCCATTGTTAAGAAGTTACCGATTGATTATAAAGAAAGATTCCAATATATTGGACTGAATAAGAGAAATGAAGAGTTTAGCACACATCCGGCCTTGTTTGTTTTGCTTCTCCTGCCAAGGATCATTTTGAAACTTGGAATGGGAATACTCGCTGTTTTGTGGTCTATTATATCATTCGGTTTCAATACAGAAGGAGCAAAAGAAGATAAAGTTTCAAGACTGCCTGCCATGCCAGATGAGAAATATTCTGAGATAGAAGACGACTTGGATGCCTTACTGGGTGAGAATTCTGAGTTGGGCCCTTTGATCAGCAAGGACAGTTTCAATCAAACTTTTGACAAGTGCGAAGGAGGGTTCAAATACATGCTATTCATATGTTTGGGCAATATCTCATCTGAAGAAGCCGAGAAGGTCGATGTTAATTCTCAGCGGTTTGTCAAGCACATTTTAAACGATCCATCAACTCTGGATATTCTGAAGGAGAATTCAGATAATCTTCTTGTATACATGAGAACCGCACAATCTTCTGAGATGTGGAGCATCGCGAAACAATTCAAAATAAAGTATACTCCCGAATGTCTCCTGATAGGAAATGTTCTCAACTCAGCAGACTCCATGGGCGGTATTACTAGAATGTCTGTTTTAGCTCGTCTTAAAATGGGCTCTCTGCGAAAGTTCCAAAATTCTTTGAAGGTTGCAATGGATAAATTCAACCCTGAGATGGTAGTAAATAGAAGTGAGCAAGAGGAGTTGAAATTAGCAAGACAGATCAAACAGATGCAAGATCAGGCATTCGAAGAGTCTTTGAAAAAAGACAGGATCAAAGAAGAAGAACGTCAAAGGGCCGAAGAAGAAGCTCGTGCTGCTGAGGAGCTTGCTTTAAAGAAAGAGCATGAAATTGCAGTATATAAAACGGTCGAAGATCTTCAATGGCTACACCTCTGCACCAAATTGATTGTTTCACCAGAAGAGACGCAAGATTCGAATGCCAGGGGTTCTTTACAGTTCAGAACTCCGGATGGTAAGCGTCTCATTCGAAAATTCAGTGGAGATTGCACATTGAAGGAAATTTATCACATTGTTAAATGCCACCTCTTCTTAGACACAATGAGCTCGAAACAAGAAGATATATTGAAGAGTTTGAAGTTGAAAATTTCAGCTATGAAAAATGATGATGAAAAACTATCTTTCAAATCCGGTGATTATACAGATGAAAAAGTCATGGATTCGGCACAAGAGATAGTGCTACAAATGATAGATGATGAACTATGCAAGTGGTACAAGAATGAAGAGGATTATGAGTTTGACGTTGATTTTGAACTTGTCTCCCCATTTCCAAGATATCGTGTGCCGTACGATGATAGCATTGTGGTAAGAAACACGCCTCAATTATGGCCCAATGGCAGTATGCTTGTGGAATACCTGGTTAGCGACAGTGACGATGAATGATTCTTGATAGTTTATCAAATGCATTATTAGACACGTATATATATTTTACAGGTGCCATCTAAATATATGTCAAAATCGCCTCCTTCCCACATGGGGTAGAACGATTTGAGTAAAAGGTCCATGCTTGATGGACGCAACTGCTGTAACATAGTTAGTATGCAATAGTTTTGTCTAAGAATTTTCTTAATTTTACTACAACGGCAACAGAGTATGCCTAACCCACCAGGGGTAAGTTACAATTAGGAGGATATTTGCCCATCGGAGCTTCCAAAGAAAGCGAAAGTGGTATAGAAATTATTCCCCGATAGAGCGATGTTCCAATAGGAAGGAAAATCAGAAATATATACAACACGTTCATCACAAGGTAGAGATTGATTGATCTTCGCTGGACTAATGTACAATTCTAATAATAATACTCGGTGACATGGAAGTTTTCACCCGCGTCATGTAGAGCGCATATAATTCACACTCGGAAACCCTTTAATGGAAACCACTACAAACAATTCGGACATATTCCAGTCGATACAAACGAGACACAATAGAAATAAAAACAGAAAGGAGAAGTTGTGTGACACATTGCCACCAAAAGAAATTTTTTAGGAGACAAGATCACTGTCTGGATGGAGATCTTTCACGAGTAGAACCGTAGGAGTCACCGCCATCTCTGCCTCTGTAGTCATCTCTTGGAGCACCATAAGAGCCCCTTGGAGCACCATAGGAGTCGCCACCACGAGGGGCACCATATGAGTCACCACGTGGAGGACCGTAATCCTCTCTTGGAGCACCACCGTAACCACCTCTTGGAGCACCGTAGCCACCTCTGGAGCCATAACCCCCTCTAGAACCACCGTAGCCACCTCTTGGACCGCCAAAGCCACCTCTAGAACCATAGCCACCTCTGGAACCACCGAAGCCCCCCCTCGAGCCGTAGCCACCTCTGGAACCGTAGCCACCTCTGGAGCCAAATCCACCTCTTGGACCACCACGACCGAAGCCGCCGCGGCCGAAACCACCACGGCCGAAGCCACCTCTAGGAGCAGATCTGAATTTTCTAATTGGAGGAGGGTTGTCGTCCTTTTCAGCAGTGATAACGGCACCTCTGAACTCGATGTTATTTAGCTTTTGAAGAGCCTCTTCCAAAATTTCTTCAGATGGGAACTCTAGAGCACCGGTTCCATCGAATTCTCTAGTGTTGACGCTAGAAAACGTGGTCTCCAAGTTGTTCTCACGAGCGAGGTCCTTCAACTCTTGCCAAGCGACACCTTCTGGCAAGTTTCTCAAAATCATACGGAATCTTGGTGGTTGTAGCTTCGAGTAAACGACTTCCAATGGCTGGTTAGCAAAAGTCTTACCGTTGACTTCTTCGATGGCCTTGGCAGCTGATTCAGCCTCTTCGAATTCCACGAACGCAAAGCCGTTGAGGATCTTGACTTCCTTCATAGGACCAAAGGGAGTGAAGATCTCGTTAAGCTCGGATTCCTGAACATCGAATGGGAATGGTCTGACAAAAAGTCTGGTTGTAGAAAGTTCACCATCTTGACCACGTTGAGGAGGTGGAGCAGCGTATCCTTCATCACGGTAATCTGGAACAGAGTGTTCTGGTTGGCCCACATGCTCGGTTTGTTGTGGTTGCTCACTTTGCTCAGATTCTGGAGCTGGAGCAGGGGGTTGATCGTATTGTTCAGACTCGGACATGATAATAATCTTTTGCTTTGAACTGGGGAGTTTGTAAAGGTGAAGAATAAAACTTTTGCCACTCATTTTTAAATTACTGGACGTCTCAACGCTCTTAATGCATGGGTGTAAAGTGAAAATTTTTACATTTTTGATCACGTGTTTTGAAGACCCAACAGCTGTGTACAATACTCTATTAAATGCCACCTGATGTTTGCAGCAGGTGGCGCTTCGTGTTGAGGAAAGCAAGTAGCAAAGCTCGAGTTTCAACTGGTTCAAGATTTTGAATGGCTCTTTTAAGATGCGAGTACATGGACCTCGACTTCTACTGTTACCCTACCTTTAATTCCAAGGCTGTCATTTTATTTCCGGGGTTAGCTCAAAACACTGTATAGCGCAATTGTAGTCTCGAGCTGATCTTTAGAGGTAGCTATAGGCTCTCCAGGCCTCACTAAATCAATAAGTACTGGCTCACTGGTATTTGGAACAATTGCCAAAACCTCACTTTTATGATCACCTTGTACGTAAATGATTAATAAAGGAATAGCCAAACTGATGATGACTTATCTTAACTTGACACCTCTTCACTAAGGCGAAATGCTACGTTTTAGGAGATTCGCGTCTCAATATAATCAAGCCAAAGTGCTGCGAAAATATCCAATTGGTGGAATATTCCATGGATATGAAATCAAGCGCATACTACCGGTACCAGAACTTAGACTCACTGCGGTGGAATTGGAGCATGCGCAGACTGGGGCTGAGCATTTGCATATCGATCGAGATGACAAAAACAATGTGTTTAGTGTAGGCTTCAAGACGAACCCTCCGAATGCGACAGGCGTACCGCATATCCTAGAACATACGACGCTTTGTGGATCCGACAAGTACCCTGTTCGGGATCCATTCTTCAAAATGCTCAATCGGTCACTAGCAAACTTTATGAACGCTATGACCGGTCACGACTACACGTTCTATCCGTTTGCAACTGCTAATCGCACCGATTTTGCGAATTTGAGAGATGTGTACCTAGACGCGACGTTTCACCCACTCTTGAAACACGAAGATTTCCTGCAAGAGGGTTGGAGATTGGAACATTCCAACGTCAGTGACAAAACAAGTGACATCACATTTAAAGGAGTTGTTTACAATGAAATGAAGGGACAAGTGTCTAGTACCAACTATTACTTTTGGATAAAATTTCAAGAAAGCATCTACCCATCACTGAATAACTCAGGCGGTGATCCACAGAAAATCACAGATTTACAGTACAGCGATTTAGTATCATTTCACAACAGGAACTATCATCCTTCAAACGCGAAGACCTTCACGTACGGGAATTTTCCTCTGGAGGAAACGCTTCAGAGGTTGAATGCCGAATTTGTGGGGTTCGGAAAACGTGCTAAATCTCAAAAGCTATTAAAGCCTATCGACTTGAATTCAGATGTGGAAGTTGTGGAAAAAGGTCAAATAGACCCTATGTTGCCTGCCGATAAGCAGCTCAAGGCTTCACTCACCTGGATTTGCGGTAACCCTCAAGATACTTACGATACGTTTTTGTTAAAGGTGCTAGGAAATCTATTAATGGATGGACATTCGTCACCAATGTACCAAAAGCTGATTGAGACTGGATTAGGCTACGAATTCTCAGTTAATTCCGGTGTAGAATCTACGACAGCATCGAACTTCTTCACAGTGGGCGTACAAGGCTGTCGCAGTAAAGATGAACTCGAGACGACCGTTAAATCCATATTTGCGGATTGTCTTAAGAAGCCATTTGAAAGTAAGAAAATTGAAGCCACAATTGAACAACTGGAACTTTCAAAAAAGGATCAGAAATCTGATTTCGGGTTACAATTATTATATTCCCTTTTGCCAGGATGGGTTAACAAAGTTGATCCCTTCGATAGCTTGCTGTTTGATGAAATTTTAGAGAAATTTAGATCCGATTGGACAGAAAAGGGTGATAAAGTTTTCAAAGACATTATCAAAAAATATATTCTGAATAAACCATGTTTCAAGTTTTCGATGGAAGGCTCCCAATCATTTTCGGAGGATCTAGAAGCTGAGGAAAAACATCGTTTGGACAAGAAACTGAAAACGCTAGATGATACTGATCGGGAAATTGTGTTTAGGAGGGGATTGATGCTTCAAGAAAAACAAAACGCTCAGGAAAATTTGGAGTGTTTACCAAGCCTGAAAATTGGTGATATTCCTCGTTTAGGAGACAAATATCCCATTGTACATGACGCTGAAGTGATGCATAGAATTTCTGACACCAATGGAATAACATATGTACGCGGAAAAAGATCCCTAAATCACAGTATTCCAAAAGAACTGTATCCTTATCTTCCACTATTCAGTGAGGCATTGACAAGCCTGGGAACATCTACTCAAAACTTTAGTGAAATTGAAGATGAAATGAAGTTGTATACCGGTGGTGTGTCAGTAAATGTGACAGCGCACACCGACCCAATATCTTTGGAACCCCATTTACAATTTCAATTTGATGGATGGTCTCTTAATGCAAAGACTGAGCATATCTTCACAATTTGGAAAAAGCTATTGAAGGATACGGACTTTCAAAAGCACAAAGAAAAGCTAAAAGTTTTGATAAGGTCATTGTCTTCGTCAAATACAGCTGCTGTTGCCGAAAGTGGCCACTCATTTGCGCGAAACTACGCAACTGCACATTTGAGCGTTACTAAATCTATCGAAGAAACCCTTAGTGGTGTGGAACAACTGCGTCTAATAACAAGATTGTCGTCAATTCTTGAAGACGAAACTCTATTTCAAGCGGAAATAGTGGAGAAGCTAGTTAAATTGCAGAACTACATTATTTCCTCTGATGGTCTTGAATTTTTTGTAACCACTGATACTGACAAGCAAGTAACAGCCGTCCAATCCCAGATTTCTCGATTTGTTCAACATTTACCTAAAACTTCTGATTTATCGACTTTTAACGCCGGAGATTACCAAAAATTACCCGCAAATGAAAAGAAGACATTGATCAAATTTCCATTCCAGGTACATTACACTGCACAATCTCTCAGTGGTGCGCCCTATACTCATATGGATGGGGCACCGCTCCAAGTATTATCCAATCTGTTAACGTTTAAACATCTCCATCGTGAGATCCGCGAGAAGGGTGGGGCGTATGGGGGAGGCGCCACTTACAGTGCTGTCGATGGGCTTTTCTCCTTTTACTCCTACAGAGATCCACATGCATTCAACTCTTTGCAGGTGTTCGCCGACTGTGGTAAATATGTGCTAAATGATGCGCATTGGACTGCAAGCGATCTGGACGAGGCAAAACTCACTATATTTCAACAAGTCGATGCCCCAATTAGCTGTAAAAGTGAGGGGAGTGTCTTATTCCACTACGGAATTACCGATGATATGAGGCAGCAAAGAAGAGAACAACTTCTAGATACAACATTACCAGACGTCCAAAGAGTTGCTGAGAAGTATTTGTTAAACAAACCATACTTCTCGACAGTTGTAGGTCCAGTACCAGAGTCAGGGCTACCCGAATCCGACTGGAGGGTCAAAGACCTTCAATAAAGATGTACACTAAGCTTGTAAATAGCATTTATTTATGAAGAATGGTTTTATCTTCTCAATGATCATTCGAATATACTAGAAGTTCCTCTGTATTTTTTTAATTTTCAGCTTTTGCAGTAGGTTGTTTTTACCTTACTAACAATAATCTTTCATCACTGCACCTGTGGTTATTTCCAGTGCTGTTTCGTCTTCGGTACGCGTGAGTTGGAAATTTAGAGATTTTTTTTCATCATTGTGAACTTCAAAACACGGTATAAAAAAAAGTTACGTATCATATAACGATCAATTTAAACTACAATCTCATACGACATGCAAATCAACGCTCTAAGTCTGTTGACGTTGCTTATCAGCACGTGTTTTGCCTTGCATTTTGATGTTCCAGCTTCGTTGAAACCAGAACCAGTGTGTGTTCGTGATTTTGTTCAAGAGGGCCAGCTTGTTGTTGTGAACATAGACACAGATGGATCTGTTGGGGATGGACAAGTTTTAAGTATGGTAATTCGTGACAGCGTTGGCAATGAGCACCGCAGAACTAAGGACTTTGCGGGCGAAATTCGTGTAGCATTTAGTGCACCCTCATCGGCGGCGTTCGACGTCTGTTTCGAGAATTTGCTACAAATCAAGGGTAGATCATTAAGCAGATCAATTGAACTTGATATTGAATCTGGTTCTGAAGCTCGTGATTGGAATATGATCCAAGCAACTGAGAAATTGAAGCCCATTGAGGTCGAGCTCCGCAGAATTGAGGAAATGACCGACGAAATCGTGGACGAGCTAAACTACCTAAAGGCTAGAGAAGAGAGATTGAGAGACACAAATGAATCCACAAATAGAAGAGTAAGAAACTTTTCTCTTTTGGTCATCTTTGTCCTTGTCTGTCTGGGCGCATGGCAAATAAATTACTTGCGTAACTACTTCAAAGCCAGACACATTATCTAAATAAGCTTCCCACTGCCTTGTTCGTATTCTATAACAACCATATCATTATATTTAGTACGTTAATTGGCCCAAACGACCCAATAAGTATGCAAAATCCATCCATGTGATATAAACTCTCTGACCCTGTGTCGCGCAGCTCATCATTTCTACCAAATGATGAGAATCCATGTTTATGCTATTAGCAACCTTCTGCAGGTCTTTGATACTTAGTACGTGGTTTCGTAAACTTACACTAGGAAACTGAGTATCTCTTCCAGAGGTATGCACCAACATTTCCCATTGTGTATCAATTACTGTTAAGTTATCCATATACACCAACAAATGGTATGTCTGCTTTAAAAGCTTGTCAAAGTCGATGAAATCCGTGCCTTCGATACACAAACTCGGGCGATTCACCATTTTAGTCAAATCTTTGGGCATCTGCAAGTCTCCAAAGAACGAATCCAAATTCCTAACGGTCATATCGTGCTCGATGCTGTAATTGGCAAATTCAGTAAGAATTTCATCTTCAACTTCAGAGGGAATTTTGGGATTAGTGAATGCCAATACATCATTGTATGATTTCTTGCTTCTGCTCTTACTCATGGTTCTGCCCGCACATCTATAGCTCCTCTCTGCCCGTCGTAATCTACTGTGGTTATTTTACTTAATGAACTATCGCTTGATACGCAAATTAAATTTTTCAAAATATCTGAGAAATGAGAACAGCAACAAGTTCAACTAGGAAGCTCATTGTCAGTACGTTGATAACAACGAGTAATGAGTGAAGAAACTCAAGCTAAGGCTACAGAGCCTCAGCCTGATGATTCTGTACTTCCACAGCAAAGTTTAGAAGCAAGTGCAGAGGAGGTGAAAGAAAATCAAGAGCACAGTGTTCTTCAAGGGACTGAGGAGAACAGTAGAAAGAGACCACTTGATGAAGACAAGACAATAGAAACCTCTTCTTCCTCTAAGCAAGAGAGTGAAGAAACTTCTGATGGAAAAGAAACTTCAAAACCTGAAGGTGAACTAGTCGGAGGTGAAGAGGACACTGGAAATGAAAATGCTGGTGGCAACGAGAATGAAGATGACCGGGAGGAAGAAGAAAATGAAGACGAAGACGATGATGAGGATGATGAGGAAGAAGACGATGACGATGAATCAGGTCCCAGAAAGAAGCAACGTCGGGAGCGCAATCGATTCTTGGATATTGAAGCAGAAGTCAGTGACGATGACGAAGAAGACGAAGACGAAGAAGACTCCGAATTGGTACGTGAAGGTTTCATTACCAGAGGTGATGAAGATGATGAGGACATTACTGGGCCAAATAGAGATGATAGGCTTCACCGCCAGCTTGATCAAAATTTGCAGAAAACTTCCGAAGAAGATGCGCAGAAGCTTGCAAAAGAATTAAGAGAACGTTACGGTAGGAGCAGCTCCAAGCAATATCGAGCAGCTGCTCAGGACGGCTACGTTCCCCAAAGATTTTTACTTCCTAGTGTGGATACTGCTACAGTTTGGGGTGTACGTTGCAGACCCGGCAAAGAGAAGGAGTTAGTCAGGAAGCTACTGAAAAAGAAGTTCAACTTGGACAAGTCTATGGGAAAGAAAAAACTAAAAATTCTGTCCATCTTTCAGAGAGATAATTATTCAGGAAGAATTTACATCGAAGCTCCAAAACAGTCCGTCATCGAAAAGTTTACCAACGGTGTACCTGATATTTACATATCACAAAAACTTCTTATCCCAGTTCAAGAACTACCATTGCTATTGAAGCCAGACAAATCTGATGATGTAAGGCTAGAAGAGGGTAGTTATGTTCGTATCAAGCGTGGTATTTATAAGGGCGACTTGGCAGTGATTGACCAAATAAGTGAAAATAACTTAGAAGTACTTTTGAAGGTTGTTCCACGTTTGGATTATGGTAAATTTGATGAAATTGATGCAGAAACAAACACCCGTAAACAGAGAAGACCAACTTTTGCTCAAAGGCCGCCACCTCAGTTATTTAATCCTACAATGGCCTTAAGAATGGACCAAGCTAATCTTTATAAGAGAGACGACAGACATTTCACTTACAGAAATGAGGACTATGTTGATGGTTACCTATACAAGTCCTTCAGAATTCAATATTTGGAAACTAAGAATATCCAGCCTACAGTGGAAGAATTGGCACGCTTCGGCAGTAAGGAAGGTGCTTTAGATTTAACAACTATCTCTCAAACAATTCGGAAGGCTCAAGCTGCAAGGGTTACATTTCAACCTGGTGACCGTGTCGAGATTCTAAACGGTGAGCAACGTGGATCTAAGGGTATTGTTGTTAGAACTTCCACCGATATTATCAGTGTCAAATTGCCGCAGCTGGCTATGAAGGACTTGGAATTTCCTATTTCTTCCTTGAGAAAGATTTTTGAACCTGGTGACCACGTTACTGTAGTTGGTGGTGAAAACCAAGGTGATGCAGGTTTAGTTCTGGCAGTGAAAAACGGTCAAGTCACATTTGTCTCCGACCAAACCAGGGCTAACTTGACTATCTCTGCTAATAACTTGAGTAAGTCTATGGATTCTACGCCCACATCCAGTGAATACGCTCTACATGATATTGTCGAACTGAGTGCTAAAAACGTAGCATGTGTTATCCAAGCTGGTCATGATATCTTTAAAGTCTTGGACGATAATGGTAAGGTATCGACTATAACGAAAGGTTCTATTTTGAGGAAAATTAATACAGCACGCTCCAGGGTAACAACTGTGGACAGTTCAGGAAGAGAAATAAAAATTGGTGACACTGTCGTCGAAAAAGTCGGTGCTCGAAGAGAGGGCCAAGTTCTCTACATTCAAACACAGCAAATATTCATAGTTTCAAAAAAGATCACAGAAAATGCAGGTGTGTTTGTGGTAAATCCAATGAACGTTGAAGCAGTAGCATCTAAAGACAATACATTATCTGGTCTGAATACTCTAGATTTAACGAAGATGAATCCAGACGTGGTGTCCAAGATGCGTCCTCCTCAACCAATGAACCAACAAGGTGGTATGGGACGTGACGTAGCTTTGGGCAAGACAGTGAGAATTCGGGCTGCTGGTTACAAAGGCCAACTTGGTATTGTTCGAGATGTGAATGGCGATAAGGCTACCATTGAACTGCATTCCAAGAGCAAGCATATCACAATCGATAAGAGAAAGCTTATGTACTACAACAAGGAGGGTGGTGAAGGTATAACATATGATGAACTGGTGAACAGACGTGGTAGAACTCCAAATGCCAGAATTGGGCCCAGTTACGTCAGTGCCCCCCGCAACATGGCCACTGGAGGTATGCCTGTTGGCGCAGCAGCTTCAAATCCATCCGCACTATCTGGCGGTATGACGCCTGGATGGAATTCCTTCGATGGTGGTAAAACACCTGCTGTAAACTCACACGGAAACGGCGGTGCCTCTGCATGGGGAGGCGCCTCGACGTGGGGTGGACAAGGCGGTGCATCCACTTGGGGTGGCCAAGGAGGTGCTTCAGCGTGGGGTGGTCAAGGAACTGGTGCAACCTCTACATGGGGTGGAGCGTCCGCCTGGGGCAATAAGTCTAGCTGGGGCGGAGCTTCGACTTGGGCCTCGAATGGCGACACTGGCGCTGCTTCCGCGTGGGGAGGCGGCGACAAATCTAGCTATGGCGGTGATGCGTCTGCATGGGGTAACAAAGAAGGAGGAGCCTCTGCATGGGGTGGTGCCAAGAACCGCGATGGTCGCAAAGATGGAGGCAATTCGACGTGGGGCAACGACCAAGGTAGCAGATCTGCTTGGGGTGACTCAGGAAGCAGATCCTCATACGGTGGCAATAGCACCTGGGGTGCTCGTTAGCACGTTTCGAAATCTATCTGCCCCAGAAACTTCCCTGTGTCTCATTTGTATGTTGTATGTATATAATTGTATTGTTGTGTTCACATAGCCCCGCTTAATCCAGTAATAGTATTATCGCGTGCGATATCGACCGCCAACTGTCCTCAGGTGAATCTATCTGCTCTCCAAGCTATCCCCTCCTATTCAAATATTGTCTCGTCCAATTGATTTAAATATCTATGTACAGGTCTCGGTGCACTTCGGCACACCGTTTATACACAAGCGCACAATCCTTCGTTACGCCAATTTCTCGTTTCCTTATCTCATTTCGAGGTCCGTAGAAAATCTAGCGTTTTGCGCTCCGCTACCTTTCTCTTTTTAGCTTCTTTGAATAAAACATGTCTCTTTGCAATAGGATCATATCTAACCTGCGTTACCAGCGGCGCTCCTCTTGATACGGTGATATGACGCGAAAAGCCCGTAGCGGCCATTGATACCAGTTTTATCACCGAGTTCTTGGTCTTAGCCTTGGCCATTGGACTGTTACTAAAGCAGTTTTAGATTTGGACAACTGATCTTTCAGTCGTTTTAACTGGTTGAAATCTACTCAAATTTTTCCACAATGAGAGAGTAATTGATGATCACATCTTGTACGACGAGTCATGTGACAATACGTTAACAATGATTGGTAAATGTGATAATTTTCCATCTCTGAAATAGTGAAAAATTTTCTAGGAAGCAAGAAACTCATCAAAGAAGAGGTAATAGGGTAACGAATAACTGAACATGTCTGAAGTCCCTCCACCTCAAATTGTCGAGAATGCGGATGGATCCAAGACGATCATCTCTTACAAAATTGAAAATGGAAAGAAGTTCAAAGTGACACAGAAGGTGAAGGAAATCAAAGTGACAGAGAAGGTCAACAAGTCTGTGGCTCTCAGGAAGCAATGGAAGAAGTTTGGGGCTGAAAGTAACTCTGCACCAGGACCAGACTATTCTACAACGCAACTGGGTGAAGAAGTTTATCTAAGATTGGGTACTTCATGGAAGAAGATGGAGGAGGAAGAAGAGAAGAAGGCTAAGGAAGCCAAGGGTGGTGATAAGATGATCACATGTAGAATCTGTGGTGGTAACCACTACACCATGCATTGTCCATTCAAGGACACGTTGGGCGACAACTCGTCGTCTGCTACTGCCGCTGCTGTCGACAGCCCTGCTGCAGACGCAGGTGCCGCAGACGTGCTGGCTCCCGGTAAATACGTGCCACCTTCTCGTCGTGCCGGTGCCAGAGATCCATCTTCTAACAACAATTTCGATGCTTACAAGGATCAAAGAGAACGTGATGATGCCAAGACTTTGAAGATCATGCAATTGAACGAGCACGCTGATGAAAATACGTTGAGATACGAACTATTGTTCCCATTCGGCAGAATACCTAAGGTGGTTGTTGTGAGGAATAGAGAAACTGGTAGATCTAGAGGTATTGCTTACGTTACCTTTGAGACTGAAGAAATCGCTGAAAGCGCTTTGAACTTTTTGGACGGTAGAGGTTTCATGAACTTGATCTTGCACGCCGAATGGTCCAAACCCAAGGTTAGGGAGTGAAAAGCGGTCCTAATGAAACTACTCGTATAAATTCTATACTTAATCTGTACCATAAACCTGTGCTACATCGTTTTCACCCAAGCTTGTGTAAAAAAGGTGTCTTCTATTTAGTAAGTATCATATCAATCCAATAAAATGAAACTGAGTGCTTTTTTTTTAAGGTTCGGCTTCTACAGTGTTAACGGCTCAATGGATTCACCTGTAACCGGTTTAACGGACGAAGAAGTCCGTAAATATGATAAAACAGTCACTTTTTATAAAACCACTAATGACAATGCTCCTCGGCGTGCACTTGTGTTCATTCATGGCGGGGCATGGATTGATGACAAGAACACTCCTTATGACTTTTATGAATTCAGTGAAAAAATGATCGAACTAGCTGAAGGAGAATTAGAATTCTCTTTGTATTCCATTGAATATCGACTATCTCCGGCTATTAAGCATCCTACTCACATGTATGATGTGATCGATAATCTCTATCAACTGGCATTACAAGAGGAAATTGAAGAGATCAATATACTAGGGCACTCTGTAGGGGCGACACTAGCCTGGCAAGTCCTAAGTTGGACATTTGAACAAACTCCATTTGATGATTTTCAGCGCCAATATCGCATCGGGATTGTAAGGTCAAGATTATGTCATTGTTTTCTGGTTGATGGAATCTTTTCACTAAAAGAACTTCTCGATGAATATCCTAGCTACAACTATTTTGTATCCCAAGCCTTTCGAAGCATAGAGGAATTCGATGATCCAGCCACTTCGGAATTGTCGTTTCCTTCCAAGATATCTATTCATGTAATTCATTCTTACGAAGATGAGTTACTAACCTTGAGACAATCAAACTACCTATGTAGTATTTTGCAGAGCTCAAGACAGCGCTACCATTGTTTCTTTGACTCCTTTGGTAAACACAACGACGTTTACTGCAATAAGGATTTGGCAAGGTACGTGCTCAAAGCTATGCTCTGATATACAAGGCTTTTAATGTATTTCCAGGCTTACATTCTCTATCTTATACATATCTAGGGAGATGCCAAATACAATATATGAGTACAAGCTTTAAACCCAAATACTTTTCCCGCGAGCTTGGATTTTTTCACCCAAACGAGCAACTTCTTCGTCCCATTGTACTAATCTCTCCTTCATCTTATTGATCTGGTTAGCGTTGATAATTCTTGGTTGAACCCAAGTAATGGTAACCAGCTCGTCAATCTGATCTATGGAACCCTTAAGTAAACCGAGACTAATACTCCTCATCACCAAATGCTCAACATTATCCTTGGGTAGTTGAGTTGCAACTGCGATTTCATCGAATGATAGTGTTCTTATGTTTCTCGCAAATACGCTCTCTACAAGGGTCATTAGGCAGATCTTTTGTCTTAGAAATGATTCATGCTGGGACAAAATAGGAACCTGTGGAATGCGCTCCCGGGACAGTTTGTCAAATTGTTCAAAGTTGCCCTCGGACAGAGTGTTGAGGAATTGAAATAACCATTCGTATTGTGGATCTTGAGAAATGCTTGCCATAATGGGGTGTTGTAAAAGCTCTCCAAAATTATATATCTTATCACCAAGCAAGGCAGCAATACTCAGGTTGTAGGCTAATTGTTGGCGTTCGAGTAGGGTGAACGTATATGGAGATTCAGCAAAGTCTGATGTGGATAAAAACAATAGGCTTGTGTAATAGTAAGAATTAAAGTCTTTCTTGAGTTGATAGTATTCCGCACTTGCAGAATAAAATGCGCTAGTTACACGCAGAGGGACCATATCATGCGATTCAATCGTTTTTTCGATTTCGTCTAGTAAGTCTCGACTTTTGACAAGTTCACCCTTCAGTAAGTTAATTCTAGCGGTTTCGATATCAATCAACAAGCACCCATCGTAATGTGATTTGAGACCATCATTTCTTTGCTTCTTTGCATCAATCTCTTTGAAATTTTTTCGCAAGTCGGTCAGGTACTTCATTTGGTCATCATAATCTTCATTATTCTTTAACGCCAGTAGAAGGAAGTCAACGACCTTGAGCTGATTGATTTTATCCTGAAATTTACTAACAAAATTGTCGTAAACTCTTAGTCTAAAAGGTAGCGACTTCTCGTCATGAAAGAATACGTTCAAACGCTCTGTTAACTGATGCCATAACTTTTGTTCATAGTAATCCTCAAACTCATAGAACATTCCTGCGAGATCAGGATCAACCTCCATGCGCAGAGTACTCAAAACAGTATCAATTTCGTGGGTCATTGGTAGTCAATTCACTGTAACAGTATCACAGTTCGTTAGGGTGGCAAAAACATCAAGTTCAATGTGGGAGATTTTCTTGCAATCAATAATTCGTCGTAAGTGATATTAATTAAAACTACTTAGTGTCAATACTAATGCTTCCGATGACCTTTCTGGCATTCTGCCAAGCCAGTAAACAATCTTTAAGCCATACTAATAACACTCTAGTGAGTTCCTTCAGAATTTTACCCCACTGGGATTTGAAGTGGTGCAAAAGGCGTTGGATACTGTTTGAGATGGAGTCGTTTACCTGATTCATGTCCTTGGTGATTAGCCTAAAACATTCCGACAGTTTCTCAAGCTCTCTAGATATTTTAGCCACTTCTTCGTTACGCTCATCATCACTCAAAAGATGTGGCTCTATGTCGTTCTTATGCAATGCTGCTTTACGAGATTTTGATCCTTTAGAACCTCTCGATTTGAAAAGTTCTGTCCAACCTCTACGCTCATTTTGCGATAGCTGACCTGGTCGCGTCTGAGCGTTTGATGCAGTAGATTCTATCTTTTGCATAGCCTGTGCTATTGTCGGTGATTCCTCTGCGTTACGCTTTAAGGCCTCTTCCAGTCGATCCATTTGCTCTTGAGCGGATTTCAGATCGTTAATTCGTATCTGTCTCGCTTTAATAGTAGAATCTATGATGTAGAATTGCAGCCGTTTGAGTTTGCGAAAATGAAGTACGTTATAGGCTTCTGTAATGAAATGTATCATTTCCCCGATGGGTTCTTCCAACATGGTGGCAATGCTTTCCGTAAGTATTTCGGAGCTTACGTAATTGACATCAACTGCCTGTCCAATCTTCTCAATTCCTCTGGATAGCTCTTCGATTTGTTTCATATTCTTTTCTAATGCAATAATGTTACCTTCCAAACTGAAGGCATTATAATAGGCCCCAAGTTCTGCTAGGGAAGATGCTAAAGCCCGAAAATGGAGCTTATTTTGTTTTGCATGCTTTTCAAATGGGTCGAGAAGTCTTTCAAAACTCTTGAGAGTCTTTTCGTAGTTCATGAATTCTGATTCCAATTCTATAAGTTCTGGTGAATCTGTGGTGATGTCCTTGTAACCGGTCGCAGAAGTAGGATTCGGTAGAAGGAGATGAAGCGGGCTTGGCTTCGTTGGTTGAAGAGGTGGAGCAAGTAAATTGTTCATGGGTATGATTGAAATTGGAGGAGAATTGAGTACATTGCGCCATATGTGCTCAGGATCTAGGAATTTTTTAAATACAACATGCTCCCTAATTTCTGAAATTTCGATGCAATTATTCAAAAATGAAGCTAACAATCTCTTCCGCTTGTCTATAATCTTAATGTCTTTCTCTGCGTTTAATGGGTTGAGGAAATATCTAATTAAGGGGTGCTTCGAGGGAATAGGTGGAACCACTACGGTGGGAAGCAATCGACAGAGGGAATGTCTCAGGGTGTCAAATTCCGAGTACCTCCTCGTAACGGTTTGCTCTTCATAGCTTATGGTGTATCCAATGGCATGCTTTCCATAAGGATCTCTGTAGTGGCCCGCGTCAAGAATTTTAATGGGTTGCTCTTGCTTCGTAAAAACAGGAGACCGAAGGGGCCTAATACTAGAGCCGAAATCCTCGGAATCAGCATCTTGAGATGTCCCTTGAGTGGCAATTATGGACGCATTTGGTTCGGAGTTTTTGATGGTAGCTTCACTTCCAAACAACTGATGCATCAACTCATCCCGTGTTTCCTCCTTCTCCTGGACATCTGGCAACGCATCTGAGTGAAAAAAGTCGTCTTGACCCTCAGGAACAGCAGCAATTCCCGAGGCATAGAGGTGATCAGTACCAGAAAAGGGGTTATTATCCTCTTCCTCGCTGTCACCAAAGATGTTCATTGCCTTTGCTGCTTCAGTTTCGTGGAACATGTTGATGATAATAATCCGACTTTTTTTTAAAATCAAAATCAAAATTAGTCCACATCAGCAATCGCAAGTAATGTCCTCTACACGTATGACAGTCTAACCTTTTTAGGTAATGCGGTATCTACTCCCGATACTAACTTCTTCCTCGCAGCTGTGTTGAAGGCATCTGATATTGTATGCTAAAAATTCCCTTTGGCGTGTGTGGCTAACTTACTAACATCATTAAATCAGTCCGATGAATTGAAAACTGAAATCTTTGATATCAGTCTAAAAGCCCTCGAAGAGTTCAAGTTGGAGCGTGAAATTGCAGGTGTTATCAAAAAACATCTAGATATTAAGCATGGGAGCACATGGCATGTTATTGTGGGCAAGAATTTTGGTAGTTACGTAACTCACGAAAAGGGGCACTTCATGTATTATTATATTGGACCTCTTGCCTTTCTAGTATTTAAAACAGCCTAATGTAAAATTGATAAGATTCATACCTTCATAACAGATAGCTGAGCGCCTTTCTTAATTCTGAGACGGAACTGATATGGCGAGATTGATAAGCTACTTGAACTGTATAAACATAGTTACTTCTTAAATGATGTTTTAAACTGCTCAAATGATTATCTTGAATAAACAGTTGTATTTATTTGAATTTAATATTCGAGCCTGACGTTATAGCGGTTGAAACTTTGCTGGCATGCGTGATTATTGGTGGAGCAAGTCTACTGGTATATTAGCATGCTTTGATCATTAATTAGCATCCACACATGCTTAAAGTTTTCACTCAGAGGTAGTAATCATGCATTTGGAATACCAGGTCGTGGAAGTCAATGGATTTAGTTACGTAAGCCCGGAAATTTTGTTACAGAAAGACAAGTCCGAGTCTATTTTAGAGCCTAAAATTCTTGAATCAGTTTGTAATCTTTCTATTACAGGCGCTAGATCAGAAAGATCAGAATTTTGGATGCTTCCAGCAATGCTGAGTAAAACTTGAGTTAATTGATCTCTTTCCGTAGAAGCTTGAACAAGCTGGTCATAGTATTCGACAGTTTGCTCTCTTTCGCGTTTGATTCGTTGCTCCAAGAAGTCATTGGTCAGTTTAATCTTTTCCATTTGATCTTGTATGGCCTTTTGGTCTTTTAGCTCGGATAACGTTTCTTGAAGATCGTTCAATTGTCTCTTCATTAATTCCATTTGTTCCTTTTGTTCTGAAGTCTCATAAGAATTGACGTGTGCTGCAGTCTTGACACTCTTGGCAATTGTGGCATATCTTAAAGTAGACGTAGTTTCTTCGTAATCACAGGGGGAAATACAAGCAATCATGCATGTTTTGCTGTTTCCCCCCAAGCTTTCTTTCAAAACCCATGTCAATGCAGAATCTCTATAGGGTATCAACTTTGGCTTGTTTTTCTTCGCTAGCATAGAGATTACTCTTCCTAAGCTACTCAATGACTTGTTAATTTTAGATCCCTCTTTAAAACGTTCGCCCTTTGAACCACTTGCACTAGCTCTTTCGCTACCTGCTAAGTCTATTAGCTTTATATGCGATTTCCTTTCAAGCACCTGTCCAAGTGGTGAGATCTCTTTCTGGTCAAGGGCAATAGTAAAAATTGCATGGCTTCTGCTAGACCTATCATTTACGTGTGTAGCTTCTGTCACTCTAATTTCGTTACCTTGTTCAAGAAGATCTAAAATCTCGTCCACCGTGTGGACAGTAAACTCCTGTAAACCTTCCACAAAAGTAGTTCTGTCGAGCCTTTCACGAACTCTACAGCTTGAGATACTATTGTTGGCATCTTGGCCTGCCAAAAGATCACGGACCTGTTCATTGTATATCTCCAAGTATGAGCACTTCACATTGAGTTCAACTGTAATGCCATCTTTTGTGGGTGCTAATAAATCTCTCACTTCAAAAAGATCTTTACAAAGGCGTGGAATCAGTCCAGGCGCGCTCGGCTGGCCGTTCATTGTGTGTGACTTGCCAGATCCAGTCTGACCGTATGCAAATATGCAAGTGTTGTACCCGTCTAGGGCATGTAACAAGTATTCCCTTCCTAACGAATCATAAAGCTTCTCTTGATCTTCTTCAGGATCATTAGAAGACGAAAAGCAATGATCAAAATGAAAGTTTCTTGAAAACCCTCTTTGATCTACCGATTTGGCTAGTACAGTATTGCCTGAAACAACCTGGACAATCGGAGACAAATCTTCTTCTCGTTTTGAAGGAGCTCTTAATCGCACTGCGACTTTGATGCTGTCGACCATTCCCTTAGCGGTATCTTGTTTAAGTTGAAATTTCGTTTCAGTGTGAAAATTAGTTAAGAAATATATAAGATATTGTATTATTAAATAAAGCAACCCAAAACACGGAATTACAAACACGGAAAAACATGCCAAGACCTCCTAGTGGATGACTACTTTTTCTTTAGAATCACTAGGATCGGAAGATTCTGTCATATGCGAAACAATCTTACCACCCTCGTAGTCTTCTGAGTCGGCATGATGACCCAAGAGCGAAACGTCATAACCGGTGCTTCTCAAGTATTCCAGGAACAGCTCATCCTCCTTGGCGTTGGCATCTTGGTCGACAGCTGGTAGGAAAAATAATGCTAAAAATGCAGAGAAACAGCATAAGGAAGAGGCCACCCAGTATGGAGCTTGCAGACCCGAAGTGGTACTGGACCCACCGGCATTCTTAATGATTTCAGGAAACACCCAAGACCCTACGAAGGCACCAACCTTACCAACAGCTGCGGCGATACCGTAATAATGGCCTCTGATAGGGGTGGCACTGGTTTTTGAGGCCAGACATCCGATGTTATCACCGGGACCAAACTCACCCAAAGTGGCAAAGATACCAAAGGCAACGGTGAAACCGGCAATGTTCTTCCGCAAGGTCTCTAGGCAACCGGCCATAATGAACCCGACCATGGCTTGTAACAGCACACCTACAACCAAAGTGTTACGAGGACCCCAGTAGTCTGCAAAAATGGCACCGAGGAAAGCACCGGGGATGTAAAACAAGTTGAAGACGATGTTCCAACCAAAAGACTTAACTAAGGAAGTGTCTTCGCCCAAGATCTTGTTAATGATAACAGAAGAGTAAGTACCGAAAGCGTATGCTGAGAAATCATACAAAAACCAAATGATGGAGACAATGGTTAGTCTAAACCAGTAGAACTTAATGACTTTCCAGTAAGGCATGACATGGTTGAATCTGCTCTTTTCGTACTGCTGGCCTTCTTTGTATTTGAGACGCAAGAAGAAGAGCGAAATTGGTGGGATGGCACCAAGACCCAGCGTGACTCTCCACACTGGGGTTAGATGCTTTTCACCGCAGATACGTAGCATGACAAGCGGAACGACAGAGCTGACGACAAAACCAAAGTCGATCATGAAGTTTGTAAACCAGCAGAACCATCTGTTTCTCTTACCTGCAGGAAGTAGGTTGGAGGCCTCTGCAGCGGCAGTGGACCCTGCAGGGTACTCAGATCCGATACCAATACCCAAGAAGAAACGGTAGGCTGTGATAGCTGCAAACAGCCCACCCGGGTTGGTACCCGTGGTGCCGACACCCCAGGCACCCGCACACAGAATGGAGAATAGGATCAGGATCAATGTACCAGCGATCATCGCGGTTTTCCGTGAGTGGTAGTCCGAGATGTAACCGAACGTGAGCTGGCCCACGACGGTACCGGCGAACGCGATCGACGAAACATTCTGGATCGCGCGCGACTCGCTGTACGCATCCCCGTAGATGTACGACAGACACGTAGACACCGTGCTGATAGAGTTATTAATGTAACCGTCCGAGAACAACCCAGCACCAGTGGTCACAATAGCCCAGTATTTGTCGCGCTTGGGACGCTCTTCGTCTGTGGATACCTCGCCGCTTTCCTCCAAAACCGTGTCATCATCGACCTGTGGCTTTTTGAAAAGGCTAAACTCTTTGTATGCTTTGGGAGCCCAACCGATAAAGAGCTCTTTAGCTGAGTGAGGTAAGTCTCTGGTTATAGGAGACTCTATGTGTCTTTGGCTCATGCTAAGATGTAAAGTATCCTGTTAATTGTCTCGAGATTATCACGAACAGTACAAGCGTTTCAAGCGTTGCAAGCGTTTACAGTCGTTTACACTTTTTATACAATGCCCACAAGGAAAATTTTGCAATGTAAATGCGCTAACCTTATATACCCTGCATCCTTGCAGCCGAATTTCCATCTTGGACAGTCTCGACACTTTTCTCAGCAATGGCGTACGCCAAGGTGGTTCATAGAATCCTAGGCATGCATGAAAGATAATGAGATTCACATGGCAGATTAGCCACGTGTTAAGCGATCTTTGAGTTCGGGGGTGGCCTGCGACGCTTTTGCGTCGCGTCCCCCTGCGGGGCGCAAAGGGAAGCCTAAAGCCCGGGGACGTCAATGGATATGCGGTGTTTGGGTGTCCAGCGACGTAGCGACGTGCGACGCGACGCCGCAGAATGCCGACTCCGGCCCGGCGCCTGGCCGAGCAGGCACTTGCCTCAAAATGACACAAAAACAAGCTCCACGTGCAGCGGCCTGCATAATGGGGAGTGCCTGTCTGATGCACGTGGGCGGGCGATGCGAGCCTTTCTGAAGCCCTGTTTTGTGTCCATGGCTCGGACGCAATGCCGCTGCGCACGTGCGTGGGATACGTGCATCTAGCTACCGTATTTGGCATATTGATGCGAGGCAGCCGAACTGTGCAGATCGTAGCCACGTTTCTCGAAGGAGCCGGGTGTTGTATCTAGTGACGCCGCACAGTGGCACGGAACAATGCATTTTGGTCTCGGTGTCGAGTGCTTTGGTAGCAAGCTAGCGCACAATGATGTCCTTCTTGAGTTTAGGGGCGCTCGACGACACCACCCGGCGTTTTATCTGCAGTCCAGAGGTGGCACCGCTACCGTGGCAGATGATCAGCGGTGTGATACGGGCTTTTTTAGGCACCAACCTTACTGACGGCCGCAGAAATCCTTAGAGGCGGCCGTAGCAGGCGCAAGCAGGTCTTGGCGGCTGGATACGGGAGATGTCGCCTGGCCTAAAGCTGTCTAGGATCGCAAAGATTCCCGATGCGGTTGTGAAACTAGCGATGCTTTTGTGTAGCGGCTCTAAACACGCGGCCATGGTGAGGGTAACGGTCTGCCTACGACAGGCCTTCAGTGGTCTGCGAACCTCGCGTCCAGAGACCCGCCTGCGATTTGGAAAAAGGAGAAAGGTATACCTCAGTCAAGTGCGTCCCCAATTCGCGCTGAACGTGCGCGACAAAAATCGTACGAAAACCCTACGATTGACGCCGTAAAAAGGCGAAATCCGTAGAACTCGAGCACTCGGCCATATGGCGTATGCTCTGTAAATTTGCTCTTGCACTGAATAACCTGGCTTGGTCGTAAAATTCGCAAAACAGGTGAATCCTGTTCGTGAGCCAGTTCCTATGTCAGTGAAATATTGATACTCGCTCGGCGCCGTGAACAGAGCGCCTGTGAAATCGCAAAGGCGACCAGAGTAGTATTTCGTTGATAGTGATCTCATTCTTTAGCTGGCCCACACTACCCCAGCCAATGCAATTGCAGACACGCGCTGGATTGCTCTAGATGGTGTGGATCGCTGTCAACCGCAGTAGCTTGCATGGCAACGCAGCTGTCGGAAGATACCCAGCACCAATGGCACCCATCACTTGACTTTGTCACGTGACTTCGATCTCGTTGAGTTCGCCTGTTTTGGGCTAAAACTAGAGTGTCGTGGACCGTTCTTAGCTTTGGATACGTCCAATCATCGCAAGCCCCAGCCCCAAGTGCCTATTGAAAAGGCTTTTCGCTCCAAGAGAGGCCTTAGACGAGATTCTTCATTCTTTTCAGATTTTTAAACGCTCGAGTACAGGGAATGGAGTCACGCCAGAATCGCATCGCATAAATTCAAACAAACAACATCACCTATAATGGCGCAACACTTGTCTTTGCGATGTCACATAAGTATGTCGTCTTGATCCATGCAGCGTCGTGCCTGAGCTGCAGCTGAGCTTATTTTCGTCCGAAATCAGAACGCAGAATCCACGACAGTTTCACATACACCACATCAAAACTCGATGGCATAAGCTGACCATGCGTGAACTCAAGCACTGAAAGTTATGTACTCCTACTTTCAAGACGTGTTAAGTTGCTAAAACAAGTTCCCTTGCGTATGTGACGTACTCAACCGCCATGCAGAATTCGCAAACACTTGAATTTCAGAATCTTCTTCTGGGGAAGCGAAGCCTCCGGAACCTAAATCAAAGATTACCCAATCAGCTCAATTGGCTGGGGCTTCTCGATGAAAGGTGTCGCCGCTCGAGCCCCTTAGAGCGAAAAGCGATATCCTTATAGGCTGGTGTTTGGGCGTAATTATCGCAGCCCTTTTCTGCCACGTACGCGAAAGATGCGCAATGCGCAACGCGAATTATCAGATCTATACAAACGATGGCCGTTCCAAGAGATACCCGGAAACAACAGAATTTAGATTCGTAGTTGGCAGTCTAACACTTAAAAAAGCATACATGTGGGCGGACGAAGGGCGCAGTAACGCGAGCGGTCGCGTTTACGTTCGCCTTCTCCGTCGTCCCGTAAACGATGGTGAATATATAACGCATGGGGCATTTAGTTCTCCTCTGGCTTTCTGGCGACGAATAGCATCATTGGGGTAAATAGCTTGCTCTTACCACCTGCAACCAGACCGACAGCAGCCTCTTCTAGGGCCAAAGTGACATCGCGAGAACCCTTTGGAGCGATACCAATCTTCTCCATGACTGTGACCATAGTGGTTGTAACCTTACGGCCAAGATAAGAAGTACGGAAGAAAGTGGCCAAGTCTCCTATGGTTTGCACGTATTTCCACTCACCACTTAGAGGGTAGTACCATGGCACTTTGTCTTCGTTGTCAGCCAAGTCCTTTTCCTCGAGGACTTCGAAACCAACGTTGCGTAGCGCCTCACGAGCGACGTCAGCTGGGAACATTTTTGGGATACCGTCACCGAGCTCAATTTCGTAAGCGATCTTACGGTGTTCGGGGTTCGTTTCATCGTAGTTATCAGTCATGACCCACTCGTAAACAGCAAAGACACCACCTGGCTTTAGAACCTTGTAGATCTCGCCATACACTCCTTCCAACTTTGGGGCGTGGCAGGTGGCCTCGATAGCGTACACCTTGTCGAAGGTGTTTGGCTCGAATTCCATCTTCATGAAATCACCCTTAACGAAATCCAGCTTCTTATCTAAGTTGGCCTTGCGAGCGTAGTACTTGGCCTTGGCGAGTTGGTAGTCGTTGTTGTTTAGACCAATGATATTGGCACCGGTAAATGTGCAAATCTCACGAGCTGGACCACCGATACCACACCCCACATCCAATACCAAGTCTCCTTCCTTGATACCAGCCTTGTACGCCAAATAGTGTTCGTGACGAGCGACACTGGCCGAGAAACTTTCACCTGGGTAGAATCTACTAAAGTGGAAAGAGGAACCCCAGCCGTATTCGTAAAAATCGGTCACCACGTTGTAGTACGAGTGTGTGGCCTCGTTGTAATCATCCAAACGACGTTGCTCGGCCTCTTCGTCTGTTTTACCGTCCCAATGGCGCAAGTACTTGGCCACGGCTTCTTGTTGTGCAGAGTTGTTCTTGGAGAGTAATGCTGAGAGACCAGACTTGGCACCAATGTCATCACCGTAAAGCTCCTTGGCGAATTGAGCTTGTCTTTGTCTTAATTCCTGCTGAGTTTCTGTCATCGTGAGGGCCAGCTTACAGTGATAATCGTGAGAGACAAGTGAATTCCGGGAGCGCCGCGACCAGCTTTATACGCGACCGTCGTTTACACGCTGCTGAATTTTTTTCACGCTGGAGCTTGCCCTTAAACGAAAGACGGTGAAACTCGAAGAAAACGTGTAATCAGTGCGGTCACGTGCCCACAGAGTCGTCCTGGCGACGTTGCAACAATTCTACGGAGGCGATAGGCATACGACACTCCGATTCGGCCTGCCGGAGATGTTATTGGTAGCCCGGTGGGGGCAGATGCAGTGGCTAAGCGAGTGCTGTGCTCTGCCAGCGGTGCACAAGGCGAGCGTGTGGTTTGAGTGCTGCGGCTGGCGCGCTGTAACGCTCAGCACCCACCACGTCCACTTGGCCCTGCACAATTGACGCGCACCGGCAGTTGCGGCCATTTTCAGGCGTGATATAGTACCCATGCCCATAGCTTTATCCTCGTCCTGGAGGACATATCACGCAGATCTACAACCGAGATTGGCTATAAAAGTTACATACTACTATTTACAGACCATCACGAGCCCCTAAGCGTGCTCGATGGCCGCACTCTCCCACGCTCTCGCCGTGCTGCGCCCACGGCTTACATTGTTCAGCATTGCCAGAATGTCGTAAAAAAGGGTCCGAGGTCGCTACTGGCCGTTCAGCTCGTATAGCACGCACGTGATCAATGCAGGTCCCAGGTCGCGACCTCGCAGTCGCCCTCGCAGTCTCTGTTTCTGGCTGAGCCACTACGCGACAGGGGATTTGTCCACATGGCGGTGCCCTATTCGGTGCAATTGAGCTGGCTAGCTGCCATGTTCTCCGAGCGGGGTGCGTTTTCTTCACGCCCGATATAACTCTTGATTTTTGGCAATCGTGCGCCGTTTGGATGCCGTTAAAACCGATTAAGACCTACGAGATCCAGGGCTTGCACCCGCTATGCGTTCTGTGGGCGCCGTTTATGTACTATCTATGTATCCCAATCTTAGGAGCAAATAAACTCTTTTCGTATATTTCCTTGCAGGTTGAGGACCCACCGGCCGGCCTGTATTTTTCCTCCACACGAGACAACTGAAGACTCGCGCTGCCCAGGAGACATTTCGTCTACGTTCCACACACAGGCCATGTAACAGGCATGGTATTTCAAAAATCGACGACAATTGTCAGTTCGCAACAATGGCAGCCGGATCCTAATCAAATTTGCAAAGTGACGACCTGCCAAAAGTGACGAGATGCGCTTGAGATGAGGAGCGATCCCACAAGACGGGCCTGAGCAGATAACAGCCAATGCTCGTTAGGTGTAGCAAACGAGCTCGTATCGCGCAGGGCAAACCGTGCTTTGAGGTCGAAGTCCTCTCTTCCCTGGTGCAACAATAAGATTCTCTGCGACGAGCGGCGGGGTAAGCGTCGCGGAGTTAATTGCGGAGATTAGGGAGGGCGGCGACCGTAACTCCGCTTCCAGTCACATGACGCGTGAACAGTCATCGCTCATTTGATACGGCGCGCTCTTGCCCATCGCAGAGCTCTCTAGAAAATAATTAGTAATGGCAATCTTTTGAAGTCGTTTGCCACCCACTTCAACTTGCAGTAAAACACAAGTGAGCGATGTCGACCACAAAGAGAGCGCTCGAAGCGACCCCCTCAGCCACCGAGCTACCTAAGCGGAAGGGTAGCAAGCCTGGTCGGAAACCACTCGACACTGAGGCCAAGAACAAGCGAACGGCGCAAAACCGGGCAGCTCAGCGGGCGTTCAGAGAGCGCAAAGAGCGTAAAATGCAGGAGCTAGAGGAAAAAGTACAGCAGCTAGAGAAAATACGAGAGCAGAACGAGATGGAGAGCGAGTTTCTGCGGTCACAGCTCATGACGCTCATCGCAGAGCTCAAGCGGTACAGGCCGGAGCAATCTACGGAATCTCAAGTGCTGTCGTACTTGGCAAAGCGCGAGGAAGAGCGCAAGACTGAAACCACAACTGGAGGCTCCAGCTCGTCTGTTGGGGCCGCTTCCAGCGATCCAGAAACCTCTGTCAGTGATACAAGGTCGTCGTCGGCCGACACGCATGTGCAGGAAAACATAGACAGAAAAAAGAATTTCACGTTCGAATTCCCCTGGAAAACGCAGCAAGCACAGTCGTTTGCACAACTGGCGTCGCCGGCGGGCAGTTCTGCCGCGTCCGCCACGTCCATCAATCACAAGCCGTCGCTGGCGAGCAACACCCCTAGCACATCTTCTGGGTCGATAGACATGTTTTACACATCCGATAACCAATCTCTTCCTAAATTTGTCACGGAGCCCATAAGCAACGATTTCGATTTTAATTCGCACTTCGACGAGCAGGTCTCGGAATTCTGTTCCAAGATGAACGAAGTCTGTGGCACCAAGGAGTGTCCCGTCCCCCCAGCACTTCCCCTAGAAAAACAGCTAACGAACACGTGGGACTCGCCCCAGTTCGGACAGGTCGGTTTCGGTGCAGAAGTGGACGACACTAACAAATGGATGCTAGCTGGTGCGCAAAACAGCTCCGCTCACCCCGGTTCTATCCCAGCGCCAAGCACGGCCGACTCGCTACCTTTCATCGACGCTTCCATCGCATTCCCCTCGGACCGCGAAACAGACATATTCCGCAACACGAGCGACGACGTGCTGGGGCAATTTTTCGAAGACGACCCCATCGTATCGCAGCTCACTACCGAAGAGAGCAACTACGACCAATTCAAGACTCCACACGAGGTTTCTCGCTCGGAAAAGTCTACGGGCTCAATCGACTCTACGGGATCTGCCGTGTCTGCTGCTTCGGTGCCCACTGTATCTACTACGAGCACAGAACCCAACTACACAACTGGCAAGGCGGATTCCACCGACGTTGCAGCCGCCGTTTTCGAGGAGATCGTACCCTCGCGCGATGGCAGGTTGCTTAAATGCTCTGAGGTTTGGGACCGTATCACTGCACACCCAAAGTATTCCGACCTGGACATCGACGGGCTGTGTATGGAATTGAGGACTAAGGCCAAGTGTTCCGAAAAGGGAGTCGTCGTCAATGTAGACGACGTTCAGCAGGCGCTGACGAAACACATGTCTTAGAGATTGTAGATAGAATAGTCGTGTGAGGAGTGGCTTTGGATCCGCTCTTCGTTATCGTGTCAAATATCGTGTGTTTAAATGGTGTATGGGTTATGTTAACGATAATTGGAAATTAGGTGGGAGACTCAGGTCACGAGATCGCGAGGCTCTTTTTTTTGCGGGGAAGCCCCAATCCCCCAAAAATCCGAAGGGTTGTTCTCGCAAACTACATCAATTTCCGACAAGATTGAACAAGATTGCCTTCATTTGAGTAGAATTCGCATTGTTCAGCGTTAAAGGAATACTGTGCCATCATAAATATGGGCAATTATCCATCTACAGCGAACTTGCAGAACCGGAAAGTGACGCAGCTCCAAGATGCGTCCCGAGATCGCCAGGACTCGATCACGTCGCAGCTGTTCCCCAGTCGAAACTCACGCCAGCATATGAGCTCCAAGTCTGGATGGAGAGGTAAAATGCAGTCATCTAAAAAGCACGCTGGGTCGCTTTTCCGCAAAGACTTCACGTTAGAGCAATCGGTGGAGCCCACGTACCAATTGCACCGTACTTCATCGAGCCAGCCGGCGCCTCCGATGTGTAACACAACCAACGCAAATGCGGACGATTCGTCGTCATCGTCACTCAGAGATCATCTCGCTGGGCTCTCATTGCAATCTTCTGCGGAAAACGCGATAGGACGTACATCGATCGAACGCACAACGTCTGCACTGCGAAGTCCAGGTCCCTCGTCGCCCGTCGTGCGGCCTTCCAAGCACGACGCACTTCCAGAGCCCTCTAGTATCACTTCTTTGAAGAAGATGCTTGTAGAAGGCCGAATTGGCGAGCATATGCATCCACCCCCCACGTCATCCATTGACATCCCACAACGGGTCGGCAGTGTGGCCTCGTCAGATCGTTATGTGTCTGAAGAGGAAAGCGAAGAAGAAGACCTGTTACATGGTCGCGGAGACGTGGTGCTCAACAATTCGGTTTTAGAGAATGCCATGAAGCGCAAAAGATCCGCTCGCAAGAAGGAGAACGTTTCGTCCTCTTGGAACTCTTCTGACACTATCCAACCTCCAGGCATGAAGAAACTCAAACCTTTGGTGCCAGACGAGAAGGCTCAACTGCCCACTTTCCATGCTATGAACCAACGAAACCGAGGAACAGATTTGTCACTTTCGGCTGTTCCACACTTGGTGGGTAATAACATAGACCGTATTGACTCGTTTGAACGTGGTACGGTGGAACACTACGAAGGTGAAAATGAAAGTGTAGCTTCATCCAGCTCTGACGGTAGAACGGATTCTAACAGTGTTGGAGCAAACAAAACTGTGCACGTTATCATCAAATGGAGAGACATGATTGTGGATCCGAAAACATGCAAAATGTCCATTGTCAGTAAAGATATATCCTCTGTGATCAATTCAGAAGTCAAACCTCGTAAAATTCCGATGGAGTATGACCCGACATCGAAATGCTGGACAGCTCCGAATTTGTATCTTCCACCTGGCGTGTATAAATTTCAATTTCTCATTAACGGCGAATTGAGACATTCAAACTTTCTTCCCACTGCAACAGACTCGTTTGGTAATTTTGTGAATTGGTTCGAAGTTGTGCCCGGTTATGATAGTATCGAACCTACTAGAGAGGTCATCATGTCGGAAGGCGGCAGCTCCAACATGACGTCTGACGATATGATACAAGAGGGTTTGTCACGGCCGAAATTGGAGCCTGGAAGATCTTCCTCTTCTAACTGGAAAAACTCCGCCAAGCATATCGAAAGAACTGGGACACCTTTCTCGGACTATACTGGGGTCCTTAGTAGATCGGGGTCTTTTAGGCCATCTATGCTTCAAAATACATCTAGCAGCTATGATTTGCTAGCCCCACCAAAGCAAAAACAAATCGAGTACTCCAATGAGATTCCAGAGCTATTTAAAGTAAATTTCGACTCTGATACTCAAGTATCTCCTCCACCTCCACCTCCATATAATAAAACTCAACCTGGCTCTGAAATAAATGGCGAGCCGCCAAGCTTCCTTCATCGTGTTCAAGATTGTAATCAGGATAAACTGTTCGCGGATCTACAACAGAATGGTAAAGTCACTCCACAAGCTGCAGAGGACCTATTTCTACAACAGTATTCCATACCGGATTTACCGGTTTACCTCGATTCATCTTTTCTCAATGCAGCCTTCAGTCGATTCCAAAATAACAACGAATCTCGCAGTGCAGTTAACCATATAGTTCCGCATGTGAACCTAAATCACTTACTTACAAGCAGCATAAGAGACGAGATTATAAGCGTAGGTTGTACCACGAGATATGAAGGTAAATTCATTACTCAAATTATCTACACACCGTGTTATTACGGTAGTAGTCAAGAATCAAATGGTAACGAGGAAGACTAGAATCTTTTGTATGAGATTTAGCTTTCAGTTAATGACCGCAAAACTTCTAGGAATAAATGCAAGTAAAAGTCTACGATTACATAAGTACACAGTTGGCATCGCTCTTCTTTGGCCTAGCGCGCCTCTTTCTTTTAAATTTCTCAACTTTCTTCTTCCAATAAAGTGCTTCGTCGTCAAAACTACTCAGTGTCCGTAAAATCGATGGTAATGGAGTACTCTTTGATCTCTCCACAGTGCTCAATGATCCCAGTGTAGCAGATTTTGTTAAAGCGTTCTTTGAAGGAGATTTTGATATTGCTCTCCTAATCTTGTCGTCACTGAATTCATAGTCTTCCGTTGTGGACACATTGGAAAGAGGATTGCGAGCACTATCGTGATGGAATGCCCAGTCACCTATACTGTTCACAGTTCTGATCGACCTATGAGCAGTAGTGTTGTTACTATTTGTTCTTGTGGCAGCGTATAATTGAACAACTCGGCCGTCATCACTATCCTCGTCATAGTCGTCATCTATATCTGGGTAATATTGCTCAGTGTCTTCAGCGATACGTGAATATCCATTCTTGCTGGTTGGGGACAACTGACTATTCATATTGCTAATTGTTGAATTCAGAGTGTTTTGTAACTTCAAGGTATTCTCAGATAGAGTGGATGCTGATGGAATAGGTTTGGGATTGTGTGAGTTTGGAAGCGGATAGTATTGTTGCGCTTCCTGTGCTACCTCTTCTGTAATCATAACTAATGAATAAAATAAAATTTTGGGGAAAAATCGGTTTACCTCAAGTACATCATGCAAAGTAAGCATTTGTAGATTATCCATGGAGAATATTTCGTCATACAGCAGCCAATCGTCATTGACATGTGCCACGGTAGGGTCATTGTTTGATTGTCTAACTGCTGTGTATATTTGACGAGTATCCGGATGTTGTATCAGGATCGATTGCAACACCAGTCTAAACCGCCCAAATTTGTCCGAAATCGATATAGATGGAAAAATGGACACCATAGAACGTGTGTCCTGAGAGAGTTCGGACTGATAACTTAACGAGTTTAAAGAATGGTCGACGCTAGAAAGCTCGGATATGCTGTCTCCATCGGCCACTGATGAAGTGGCATCTTCTTCTCTTGTGATAGTATGTGCTAATATTTCGCCCTCATAGGACGATAAGTCGTCGCTGTAAATGGATACGTCTGCGGAAGTGGTCGGCTCAGCGTCGTCGCTCAAGACCGTTCTGACCAAAGAACGGTATGGTTTGGGCCGCAATTTTTGGCTAAAATTTATCACTATTTCACTGCTCTCATCCGCGCTGTCATCACTGGAGGCGATGGACTTGACGCGTTCCATTCTGAGTGGACTCGCCGGCGAGCTCAGTGGGCTGCCTATCGTTTCCTCGACCACGTGCGAGGGCTGCAAAGCGCGAGGGGACTCCGGGTCTTCCTGAGACGATTTCAAAGAGTCGAATCCCGTTTCACCGCTCAAAACACTGTACTGATTGCCGGAGTTTTGAGGCAAAATGCGGGTATTGGTGTTGCTGTTGGCCATGCGCGCGCGATGGCCAAATTCTAGAAAAGAGCGGTCGTTGAAATTGTTCAAATTGTCACTGATCAAATAGTGGTTTTCATGGTTGTAGCATCGCTCACGTGTAAGTTTCTTGATCTGAATGTACTGCAGGTCGTCCAAGTGGAAATAATCACGTAGAAAGTTCTCCAGCAGCCCTGTGTTCTCATGCACTGTGTCAGGTATCGACACTAGCAGTAGCTTTTTGTTGAATTGAACTGTATCAGCCATGAGCTGCTCGTTCAGAAAACGACGCAGCAGCGTGAACTTGAGCACGTTGTTGGTGAGTTCTTCGAAGTGGCCCTCGCGCAGATTGCTGAGGTACCAAGACCACAGCCCATTGTCGTCGTTGTCGAAGTAGTCCTTAACCTTAACCGATGGCATCGTAGGCCTGTGTGTGCGCGCCGGTGGCTGCTCCTAGCCCACCCGTGTTCGATTGTCCTTGCGACGTGTCTTGCGCAGTCTAACCTCGCAAAACTCCCCAGGGTCCACGTCTCCGCGATTCTGCTTGCGATCCCCTGCACTACCAACCGTCTAGCCCGTTTGCCCGTGCTCAACTGCTGTCTCTCGACCTCTGCAAGTTGGGCCTCTGTTCCGGGGCTCTCTGTTGAAAAAACCTCTCACTTCCAATTTTCGATGCTCAGTTCCTCCGACTAAACTCGAAAATCCTCTTCTAAACCTATGTGAAATCAAGTGCACCGCCGGTTTAGCTGTTTACTGCCTCGGATGCGTTATCAACTGATATTATAACGATGCGAAATTTTCACTGATCTCAGTATAAAACAATTTTAAGAACGCTCCAGTAACAACTTCGGATCTTTTCAATACTTTCTCTGCCTTCTCCGTATCAACGGTAACGCCAGTATTCGACAAAAAAATACCGCAGCCAAGTGCGGCTGCGATCTTCGACCACAGCTCCAACGCGCGGCGCGATTATTACTCCGCCCATTTTCCTCTTAAAACCTTACTGAAGACAGTAAGGGCTCACTGGGCAGAGAAAAGGGCGGAGAACGCCGTGTGTGGGTGTTATGCTGCAGGGGCGACGCAGATGGAGATGCGCTGCGGCGATTTCTGGGCGGGAATTTTTTTAACGGCGGGTAGAGCAGAGATGCACGTGCGGGAAAGGGGTCCTGCGGATGCACGGATGTGCGTGCGGCTGTGAGCACCCGTGCACCGGTGTTTGGGTTTTGGGGACGCGCACCCGTGCACCTTTTGGTGGGTGGGTGTTTTTGTCGCGTCAGTTTTCACGTGCTTCGCTGGTGCGAAAGTGGCAGTCGTCGTTTGTCGTTTCCCCTGTGGTTTTGCGTGTGCCAGTGGTACTATGTGCCAGAGGTGCTATGTGCCAGGGGTGTTGACCGATGGGGTGGGCGTTCGATCTACTATTTAGCTAGTTATTCATGCTATGTGTGTTTTTCCTGTGTGCATGTGCCGTGCCGTGCAGCGCCCGGCTAGTCCTTGCTGCCGAGTTGAAACTCGTGGCCAGTGGCCTGATTGTACAGGCTCTCGAAAGTCTTGGTGTCGTCCTGGCTGATAAACTGCCGCTCGATCATCTCGGTCCAAGGCTCCACGAAATCCAGTCCAATGTCTTCGCTCGTCAGGAACCAGTCCAACACCTGAGTTTGGCCACTGCTCGTAGGCTTGTCGTCCAGCAACGTGGGGAAACAGAAATCGGCCGGTTGTTCTTGGACGTCGGGCTCGGCTGGGGCCGGCTCGTTTAGAGCCGAACCGTTCTGCGACCTGCGATCGCCATACTGTTCCTGCTGTTGACGCAGCATGTGATCCGCGGAAATGGAACGCGGAACGGGAGGCTGCGGATTCGGCTGCGACCGCAACTTCAGCTCCGTGCACAAATACATCAGAATTGTCGAGTAGCGTGTACACAGATGTAGCTCGTCGGGCGACGCTTCCCGCAGCGTAATGGCAACACGTTGAATCGTCTGGATAATCTCCTCGGTTGGAATGACTGTCAGAGTCAATATGGTGTTTGCCTCCGGATTGGTCGCGATCCCGCCGCCGGTCAACGTCAAGTAGCATTTTACCACAAACGCCACCGCACGTACGATTCGCGTCACCCACCTCACGGGCATATACTTCAACATTCTCAGCTTATGCACGCGCACTGACGAGCTCAAAATTTCTTTTGCGGCATTGTAGGCGAGCTCTACGTAGCGTGCACTCTTGGTCACATCGTTCAATTTTAAACGCTTTTCTTTTGTTGCATTTGTGTCCACTTGAAGCGCAAGCGAGTAGATATACAGTTGGCAGTAATAGTAATCGCTAATGAGACTCTCGCAGTCGATTTTTTTCGCAATCTCAAACACTTGCCTTTTGTTTGTACAATGCTCTAATTGGCATGGCATACCGCCACAAGGAACGAGCAGTTTTTTGTAAGTGTTATACCACCCTTCTATCAAAGGCGATAATATGCTCAGTACTGCGAGATTATGCCGTTGGTCATTCGGATACAACTTAACCTTCCCGCAGTAGATTGTTTCATAACCAATGGACATGATCCGCAATAACTCAATTTTAGCCCTTTGTCCAAATGAGAAATTAAGCTCACGTTCTTCGTCCTCCTCGGGCTGATACCCTACCAGAAGATCGTTACCATTATGAGCTCTGGCATCTTTATTACGATGATATAGAATGTATTCGTCGTTGAGAAACTCTCTTTCTATATCAGTCAGTTTTCCATCTTTTGAAGAAGTTGTTCCCAACCGTTGCAAAAACTTGCTCCACCTTTCTTTACTACTATCATTTACCAAAATCTTATCTAGATAAAAGCTTTCATTCTGAACCCCACTTTCATATCCGTTTAAAGAAACTTCTGACAAAGACTGGGATAATATACTCCTCTGGTTCATGTTCATAGCAGTATGAGTCTCTGAAATGTGTGCTGCAACAAAAATCTTAGAACTCCGATTCATAAACCCCATATCTTGTGCAAGCCTCACAGCAGTACCTGTCAACATCCATGCCATTCTGTCACTACGTCTCATGGCACCGAGACCTGTAAGACTTTCTTCACTCTGTTGTGGTTGTACGTTATTCGGTACATCTCTCTTTGAAACATCATTTAAATCTGGGTTGTTAGCGTAATCTGACCATCTCCAATGAATTGCTCTTGGATTCCACTCTGTAAATAGTAAAAATGCCAAAACAGTACCTAAAGATCTTGTGCTAGCCTCCGCCCAAACAGTCTGTGAGATGAGTCTTTGGCAATAAATCCATAAGCGTTCGTGCACTTCTATATTTCTACCACTTTCATCGTCGTTATCGCCAATATTTTTGCTCAAAGAATGATAGCGCGACGATATAGTAAGAATAGCACAAATCAAAATCGGATACTGACATAATTCTTGCGGATTTTGTAATTGGAGAGGAATGTGGGGGAAAAATGGATGCATTGTTAAAAAGAAAAGGTCGATTAGGTACATTGCTTCTTCCTCTGACAAAAGCTTTGAAGGACCGATGTATTCAATATCAGTCAGTTGAGTAGAAGGCTTGGGTCTGATACTGCTTAATTTTTCTATTAAAGGTATCGTAGCTCTTTTCGATCCATGAGGTCTCACAAGAGGGGCAAACAAGCTCTCATCCGATAAGTCAAGTCCATTTAGCTTCCCGCTGTCGGGCATACTATTAGCAGGCGTGGTATCTCGGGACTCCAGTAGCTCATACTTCGAATCCGCATCCATTTGATCTCTTGAATCTTCTCTCGCAACAGATCCAGCAGCTTTGGCCAAGAACTCTAAAGCACTTTGCATTGTATTTATCTCAGAGCTCATTTTTATTTCACCCAAAGGCGGTAGTTGTTTTGTATCACTTTTGTAAGGCTCATGTGAACCACCCACTATCATCACACTTGTTATTGCATCCTGCATCGACTTTGTTACGTATGCTTGATCAACAGCAACTGCACTAACGTTTGCTGTCCTGTTACCTCCTCGTCTGCTACTGTCAGTGAATATGCACTCTTTACGCTCTCTTTTGCATCTTACGCATGGAGGATCATGAGGATTGTCCACTGGTCCCAGGTCGCACTTAACTTTCCGAGTACGACAGTTCAAGCAAGCTTGGTAAGTCCTCCTCCATTTCTGAGGTCCTTGACTCAAGACTTCCGGTGCTGGACGTGTACGTTTGTTCGTACTCATAAAAGAGCAGTTTCGTTTGGGGATGAATGGTTTAAGTGGTTAAGTGCCTCTTCAGATTTTTTCAAGGATAAAGACGGGAAAAAGCGGATAAGTATGGTAGATTCCGATTCGAAAAAATTTAATGATTATTGTTGAATTAAACTAATTAAGTGCACGATTTTTACGTACAATGCAAATATGTTACAAATTAATCCATGGAAGTCCAACCCAAGGAATTCTCCGTAAATAACGGTCCAGATATCCTTATATTTTTTAAGTCTTGCTTAGTGTGTCCGCGAGGGCCAACGTCATTACTGGAAAGAGATCTCTTGTGGCCGCTCTTAACTTTTGTTTTAATGCTAGCACTGACGGTGTTTGTGATTGAAAACCTTTTAGTTGAATTTTTGGACACTCTAGTATTTTTCCGTGATCTTTTGTGACCACCTTTTTCAAAGTTACCAGAGACTTGTACACCGTCCAAGTGGGAAGTACTTCGACATCGTATATCTCCTGCGCCATCAGTAGAAGCAACTCCTTTATCCCAGAAAATCGTAGAATTGTACTTGGTAGCATCCACTCTTGAGGTTGATTTATAATATCTACTGGTGGATTCTACAGCAGCACGAGCAATGTCTGAACTCAAGATATCATCTGATTTTTCCAAACTTATAATGGATGATGGCCTCTTAGGCCTTTTTGGTTTAACCTTACGTTTCGATTGAACTATTGGTGGCGTTTCTAAATGGGGCGAATGATCTGCATGAACAGAAACATGAGTCGTATACGGGGTGTTGGCAAGCAATGACGGTGTCGAGTTGGTAGCAGCGTATAAATTGTCTGAAAATGAGGTACCTCCTAGACTACTACTGTGTGTGAAGGAAGGAACGCTCGTACCATCGGAAAGTTGCCGCTTCTTCAAATTTTGATGCGCGAGGATGCTATGATACGTATTAGAGCTTGAAGAGACAGTATGCAGACCGCTTATAGTCGATAACCGACGATACATTTCTTCGTCAAGTTCATCAAGCTCGCCTACATGAACATCGTCAACATCGTCGTCGTCATCATGATCTATATCGCCATAATCGTCGTCATCAACATCGTAGTCTCTGACGTCATCTTCACTTCCACTTCCCGAACTAGTGACTTTGTGTTGCTTGTTGCCTTGATCTTGCTGTTGCAAATGGTAATAGTAGTCTTCCAAGTCTTCATGCTCTGCTGGAAGCTGTATAATAGGATTCGAGCCATCACTGGAGATGGGTAACGTGCCAGTTGCACCTTCTAATGGATTAATAAAATCAATAACCCCTGCAGTCCCAAGATCGGTATGCAGTTCAGAATGTCCATTACTTAACAAACCCGTCATTTTATAATATTGGTTATTATTGTAACTTTCTATAGTATCGGTATTATGATTATCATCCTGTTGGTCCTCCAAATCTGAGACTGGTAACACTACATTCCCATCTTCATCCACCTCAATAGCGTGTGAATCTGGCACACTTTGGGCGCTCTGTATAGAACGTTTGCCACTTTCATTTTCATATAAGTATTCGTCAATTGATTCGTTGTCAATTAGAGCACCGTTGTTGCTAGAAGTTGTTTTGTTAGTAGATCCATCCAAACTACCATTCATTCCGGCGTAGAAGAAATTGCCCACATCGTCCACAAAGTATGTCAGACCAGTACTTTGACTGTAGAATAGTCTACCCTCTATATGAATTAGGTCGTTATCTTCCATATTGTCTGAACTTATTTCGTCACCAAATGGACCTCCCAGTTGTTTCTCCGGGTCATGTGAAGAAAACTCGGAAGATTCAGAGAATTTACGAACATAGTATGCGTAGTAATCATCGTCAGACCACTTCTTTTCATGCAAATTAATGTGCCTTTTGACACGATCTCTTCTGTATAGACGATTCAGTAAGAGTAATCCAATAGCAATCCAGGCCATGATAAAGAAGGAAAATATAGGTAGAAATATCAGCATTCTTTTGGTTATTACAAATGTCATCGGCTCGGTGGTACTATCGTCTAATGAACCTGAATTATCATCAGTAGAATTTTGGTTTTCGTCCCCTGATGAACCACCTGTCGAACTTGACGGATTGGACCCTCCGCCATCACTTGATCCTGTACCACCAGAACTTCCTCCTCCATCTAAGGAGGATATTATACCCGTTATAGGAATTTCTGGATCTATCAAATTGGCCAGCGCGTCTAGTGAAGGTTCTGGGTTAGTGTATACCATCGATGTGTTGACTAAAATCATCTGCTGTAAGTAATCGACTACTTCAGTTGGATAATAAACAACTGCTACCGAAACAATATAGTCTTTACCCGAAACTACGAGAGGAACAATTTCAGCAACAGCAGTATAGGAAAAGTCAATCGCAGAATTGTTTTGCCCTTTTCTTTCAATCTCTAATGATGAGTTCTTATCACCTGAATACAGCAATAATCTCTTTTGTTTCGCAATTTTAGCAGTTAAAGGAGCTGGGCTCATCGTCTCCTCTTGCGGAACAATCGAAAAGGCATTTGTTGGGTTGTACTCGTTTCTTTTGTGTACAGCAACAGTTCCTGGAGCAGTGGAGAAAGGATACGTCAGTAGCCGAGGCAAAAAGCTGAAGATCTGAGCTGAGGCTAAAGGATTTTCAATAAGAAATGGATAATTCAATGCTTGCTTGAAACCTATCGTGATTATCGAATACCCTTCAGGTTGTGACAAAGGAGTAGGCGGACTTATTACTTGGGGGAGCGTTGATATTGCATCTGGATTGAAACTCGAGGGAGATGCGGAGTTCATTGTTTCTGATTCTGTAATAATGTTAGAAGGTAGCCAATCTGATGTTGAAGTGGCTTCTGGTGCACTGGTAAGAGAATATGTTGGTGCTGATGTTAAAGATGGATTCTGGGTAATGGGCACTGTAGATTGTGGATTCGTCTCTGACCCACTCTGTTCCAATTCCGGTGAACTTGAGAGAAGGGTGTTGCCGGTGCTCTGAAAGTTGCTGACGGTAAAAGATGGTGCATTTCCTGAAGACATGGTGATCGAAGAAATTTGAGTCTCGATAGAAATCTGTTGTGTCGGAGTGGTGGTCGTGCTAAAACTTTCGGTCGGCCTACTTATGGTCCCCGACCCTGACTCTAAGACCATAAAAGAAGATGTTGAAAAGGCATTCGATATTACAGCAGTACTCATACTCTCTGACGCACCTGAAGACATCAACGAGTTCGGTGAACTTTGTGAGCTCACCGTGATCCCACTCACACGATTGGTCTCACTCGAAGAAACACTAGTAGTCGCGGAATCGGTCACGACGACACCGCTAGAAAGCGAAGTACCCGAAATCTGAAATAGTGATCGTTCAGTGGTAGTTGCTACCGATGTTGCGGACGAGGTAAAGAGACTCGATATTTGTGAAGTTGCAGTTGGAAAAAGAGATTGACTACCAGAGGCTAGATCGGTTAAAGTACCTTGTGAAGTTTCCAGGATTGAAACGGGAGAAAAGGAACTTGTCAAAGTCAGAGTCATTTCATTCGTATTGGAAGCCGAGTGTTCTCCAGAATTAAAGATGGTAGTAGGGGAGAGGTCTCCACTTGAAGATATGGATGTTTCGAAAAAAAGCGAATCGGAGAAGGTGGTGTATTGAGGTCCGGAGCTGCTGGCAGTTGTTAACGTATTAGGAACAGTTGAAGAGTCCGTCTGAAATGTCTCCGGAGTAATTGAGCTGGTCAATTCAGGACTGCTTAAAGAAAGATAGCTTGTTTCTTGCGAGTTCAAGTAACTAGACATAGTGGAAATTTCAGTTATCGATTCAATTGAACCTTCTGAGCTGGTGGTGTCTAAATCTGTACGGTAAGTTATTGAAGATGTGGTTGATTGTCCTGGTCTAGTTGTACCAAAGGCCTCGGAGGTGGACGATGTAAATGAAAGAAAAGCTGGATTGCTCTCAGTTGAGATAGTGGTTATAGGATTACTAGAGTAATCGGTGGAGGTAGTTGACGTTTCGCCATTCACAGTGGTTGGGCTTGGAGAGGACGTCAAAGTTGCCTCTGGATTATTGTAAGTAGTCTGACTAGTATGCACCGATGAAGAGGGTGTAGAACCCGAATCACTGGAAGAAGTGGCTCCAGTGATAACTTCTGAAGTGGAGGTATCTGAATTCGTACTCAAAGTATCAGTATCCAAAGTGCTTTGATATGGAGATGAAGCACTCTCTGAACTGCTGTCGGTTATCGAAGTCGTAACGGGTTTTGTAGATAAATATGTTCTTGAAGTTGAGGTTTCAGAGTACGAAGTGCTGGGGTTCGGAGAGGATGTCGTAATTGAATCAGAATTAGTGGAAGGAGCTAAACCCGTATATGCGGTTGTTGATGACTCTGTATCAGTGGTCAATGACTCTGTGCCGGTTGTTGATGTACCAGAGTCTGCAGTACTTGGGTATGGGGAAGAAGTGAATTCTGAATCACTATCAGTAAGCATGGTAGTTACGGGGTCGGTAAAGGGCTCTGAGCTCATCGTGTCTGTACTTAGAGAGCTAGGATATGGAGAGGATGTTGTGGTTGGATCAGGATTGACGTAAGGAGCTAAACCACTATATGCTGAGGTTGATGATTCTGTACTGGTGGTTAATGTACCAGAATCTGCAGTGCTTGGGTATGGGGAAGAAGTGAATTCTGAATCACTATCAGTAAGACTGGTAATCACAGGGTCAGCAGAGGGCACCGACGTTATTGTTGAAGTTTCTGTATTTGAAGTACTTGGGCTAATTGATGATGTTGTTAAATCCGTGTAACTTGATGATTCGGTATCACTATACTGAGACGAAGCAGTTGGATTTTCTGAGGAGGTAAAAGACGGTTGTTCTGAGGTTCTCTCTTTTGGCTTCGGAGAAGCAGTCGTTGATTCTCCTGTTGATACCGGTAATGGTGCAGCTGCTGTCGTAGCAGAGCTTGAACTGGAAATACCAGTTGAAATGCCCTCAGATGTGTCAGAACTACTCACTAAGGCCGATGATGTAGCTGAAGAGGTCTCAAAAGAAGAAACCAAATCCGAAGTATCTTCTGAAAATGCAGATGTGGACGAACGATCGTCCGAACTAGATTGTGCCTCGTTGGCCGAAGATGAGCTCGCCGTGGTAGAAACCGTATTGGTCGACTCAGAACTGGACGTGGTTGTTTGTAAGCTAGATGACACTAAATTCGCATAAGGTGGTGACGTTGTAGAGGGTGCTGAAGTGCTCGATGTAGCCTCGGTCGGATTGCTTGAGGTATCGATAGGTGAACTTGTAAGCCCATCTGTATTTTGGCTGCTGATTGCTACCTCTGATGAAGTCGTACTGGCAGTTAGAGAGATAGACAAGGTAGACTCTGGAGAACTCGAATAATCCAGGCTTGACTTTGAGCTATCTACCTCACTCGATGAGAGCTCCGTAGTAGAAAGCATGGCAACGGAGGTACTCGCAGAGGAGTCGGAGGTTTGTAAACTAGTCGATCCCGAGCTTGGTGCTGTCGTAGAGCTATCGAGCCCGATCGCCTCAATTGGTAGCTCTGAAGCCCAGTCGGCATTACTCGTGGTGTCAGCAGAGGTCGCTGACGTATTCTGGAAGCTGCCAACACCAGAGTCTCTCTCATAGAGTAGCTGAGCGTGCGATCGCCTCAGTTCCACCAAAAGTAGGAATATTATCCACAATAATCGCATGTCTCGAAGCCTTGCCATTGCCAACTCTGATGACTATTGTTTTTATTGAATATACCCCTGGAAGTAAGTAATGAGCCCTGGTATAAACCGATCAATGTGGCTTTGGGCTAATCAGTGAAAATGCGTTACCAGAGTGGACCAGTAGTGTTTAGTTAGTCAATGCCTTTCAATCTGAACTGACTGACGGCCAACGAAGATCCAATTATAGATCTGACGTTCAGAGCGATTGCAATTCTTTTCCAGAGTTGTTCGCCGCACTCTTTTCTGAAGGAGGGAGATAAAAAAAAAAAGTCACTGTTAGCACGTAACTGCCTGGACAACGCGCGGGGCACTGGATGGGTGCATCGGCCATTTCATGTAATCGTGATTTTTAATACTGATAGATCATAGATCATCCCTACGTTAACTAACTGAACGCAATTAGTTCTTCAACGTTAATATTTATATTTGTGTTGCGGGGAGATGTTTGAAAGATATTAGTCTAATATATACAGTTAATGTCTGATGCATACCATTAAAATAAAATAGCATGAAAGGCTTTAATTTTTGAGGAACCAGTACAGGCAGATATGGATCGTCCTTGTTATTGAGATCTCGTATTCACTTTTCAACCCAGTCCTGTGAGCTCATGTGCGAGAGACGGCTGAGAGCTCTAGCGAAAGCAAATCTCTCTTCGTCCAAGGCAAATATCTGGGCCTTTTTGGCTATTTCCTTCGAGAAGCCATGTTTCAATACAAGTTCATCCTCGTCCGCAACGTCAGTGGTGTCTTTTTGACTATCCGAACTGGCTGGCTTCAGTTCATAGTCATTTAGAATTTCCTCAGGCTCTACGAATAAAGACGTAAAATCTGCGGCTCCTGTGGTCGCCAGTTTTCCCCCACTGTCATAGACAGCGTCCAAAAACGTAATAAATCGTCTTACTTCGTCACGCACATAGATGGACAAAAATGGAATATCTGTTATAACGAACGCCTTGAATGAGCTTGCCAGCACCAAGTAATCCCCTGCCGCGAGCGGCTGTCCACATAACTCTTTGAAAGTGAACTGGGCTACTCGTGGAGGAGTGCACTTGGGTACATTGAGTTCCCTGCCCCACACTTTTAACTTATAGTCTCGGCAAATTTCATGACTGGTAGAATCCGCGTCTTGAGTAGGTGACTGCGAGAAAAAGCTATACCATTGTTCAATATGGTGAGCTCTCGCTGCGTGGCACTCCGGGCTAGAGTATTTTAGTCCCTTAACGGGGAAATAGTACACTGAGGAGATTGGTCTGGGGATTTTTCGGTAATCAGTGGGAGAGTTCAAGTATATTACCTCAGTTCTCTGCTTGAGTAGTTCAATACAAGGGATGAATGATTCTCTTTGGACGCCATTGATGTAAAGATCATCAGGCTTTCTGTTACTCGTAGCGAACAAAACAACGCCATACTCGTTAGATAGCAGAGCAGTGAGCAGTCTCCTTAGCATCATGGCATCAGCAACATCCGTGACTTGAAACTCGTCAAAACATAAGACTTGAGATTTCTTGGCAATTTCTGCGGCAATGAATGGAATTGAATCAATATCCTTATGTTTTTCTTTGCCAATAACGTCCAGGTTTAGCTCTTGTATCACGTCATGAGATCTTTTGTGCACGTACTGCATGAACTGGTGAAAATGAAGCCTGTTTTTCGATAGATGAGGAGGTATGGTAGAATAAAAGAGATCCATCAACATGGTTTTGCCGCATCCTACATCACCGTATAAATATATGCCCTTAGGAATTCCCTCTGTGGAGGGTTTCTGCTTCCCCCCAAGAAATCTCTTGAAAAACCTGTTATTCCTCCAACCCACTTGATCGAGTGCATTTGGGGTTTTAACTGGAGGCGGTTGGTATTTTATTAAAGAATCATGAAGCGCGCCCAGAGACTTGATAATGCCCCTTTGATATGGGTCGTCCTTCAGCTTTCCGAGTTTAATCAATCGGTCATATTCATTCAATGGTGTTACAACATTAGACACAGTTCGAAGGGAAACGAATGTCTTGACTGCAAGTTTAATCGGGATTGCCCGGTTATAAACTCTGCAGCTCATGGCCTTGACCTGTTTTTTTACTTTACAACGAAGGTTCAAGATTCTTCGGCGGTCGCCGTCTCTAGAAATAAAGCGTTCCCGACCACGGTCATGCGAAAATCACTCCAACATATTCAAAATGACTCCTTAATTCCAAAGGCTACTTATAATGAATCAAGTTTTAATCAGACTCTTTGAACATGATACTAGGCCTAGAGTATATATATTCTAGCCAGACTCTCCCGTACGCTCTCGTCTCGTGTTAAATAATTGGGGATTTCTGAAAAACACACGATATGTCGTGAAAGACAGTGTACAAGCGACACACATATCAAGACATGGCGTCCTTAGAGGACAATATAGGCGCATTGAGCATAAGTGATAAACTTGTCGACGTGACAAATCATTTAAAAACCCTTGCCCGCCATCTCCAATCTGAAAGTATAATAAAGGCCCCTCAGTTTGATTTGTTCGAGGGAACACACTCTCTTGAAATCAACAACACGAAATTAGATTCAAGCTTACTAAAACTGAGTGTCGATGAATTAAACTTTGATTGTCAAACGTCGTATGGTGAGTCGGACGAAGAGAAAGTGGCATTTGTGACTGCCATTGCAGATCGTCTTTGCAGATCTATCATGGTATGGTTGAATGATTATCAGACTCTTCCAACGACGGTTCTAAGTTGTCGATATGTTGAAGATATGATGTATTCTTTTACTGAGGATCCTACATCTGACCTCTCAACTTGCAGATTGAAGACGGGCCACGAAATCTACGATCAAGTACTAGTTAGTTGCATTCTGACAACATGCTACTTTGTTAAAGTGGTTCAGACACTCTTTAAAGCAGGGGTTGTTTTTGAGGAAGAAGATCTGAACTGCAACACCATGGGCCTCAACATGCTTTCAACAGTCGCATTAACGACAGTCACTAGCCATGCTGAAAATTCGTTGAAGTTACTTCGCAACAAATACCCGAATGCCCATCAATTGGCACTAATTCTTCAACTTTTGGATAGCCTTGCAAGAATTCATGACTTGATACCAGTTGATCAAACCGACTCTGCAGCAGATAACCGCGGAACTCTTGAGGTATTAATACGATGTGCAAAACAACTGAAAGAACTGCCCGCTACAACGATTAAAGTCCCAAATGGTTCCTTCTCTCCAGGTATTCAAAAGAGGCTTTCTAATCAATTTCCTCCAAGGGCAATTGTCGAGCCAAGGGGCAATGAGTATGATGCATTCATAACAATGGCAGAAGACATTCTAAAAGTCTTAGAAGTAGACGCTGCGAATTCGGTAGTGGAGATTAATCAGTTCGCATTTTTTTTCAATCGTAGTAGACAAAGACATGTTGTCGCAAGAGCTCTGTTCCCTCTTTACCTTATGAGAGACGATCAAATGATATTGGATAAGTTCACCTTCAACGACTTTTCAAAACAGCACTTTATGGAGTTCTCTTTATGTGGTACACAATTAGCCACATCTTTGAGAATTCAGCCTCAGGACTCTCCACTTGTAGTTAAATTCGAGTCCTTTATGCAAGAGGTTTCGGCCGTTCTTTTTGAATGGTATCAGAATGCTTCGCAAAACACATGTCGTTACAGACAGGGTTATAACAGGCAACTTCTTTTGTGGGACTCTTTACAAGCTCAGATAGAGGTTTTTGAGATGGAACTTGAGTCCCAAGGAATCAAAGACGAACTAGGCGAAGAGAGTACGCTTTTGCCGCTAACAACTTGGGTTTACTTCATGAAGCTAACTGCGATGATGGAATTCGTTCTCAAGGGATTCGAGCTGGATGTTTACAAGCCATGGGAATTCTACACCATGTATTGGTATAGTTATTATCTTGCTCAACACCTCGAAAACAACCTGCAGAGAGTTCAGCGACACTTAGAGCAGAGAATAGCAGTAATCCAAGCTATGAATAAAAAGTTAAAGAAGTTGAAAGCTGGTGCGAAGAAAGACAGCTTGAGATCAAGTTACCGATGGTGTATGGATCATGAAATGCCTCAACTTCGTTCCAATTTCAAGTATGTTGAATATCTTCTCAAGAAATGTACCTTGTCAAAGACTTTAGCTCTTGTAGAAGTTTTTCATTTTGCCATTATCAAGTCGATTGGCGTGATAGACAATAGAGATCTTTCCAGCTCGCGATTTAGCTCCCCAGAGCTAGTCCACAAATTACGATTCAAGACATTTTCTTCCATTGGAATACCAGAGCTTCCATCTTACAGTGCGTTTCAAAATTCCTTGAACGAATTTATGATACAAGAGCCTATGTTCACCGTGAAATTTCAGCGCTCTGTGGAGTTCATTCAATCTGAACTTGCAAAGGCGAAAGCCGCCGTCGATTTTATTTCGAATGCCATCAGACAAGGAGAGGATAAAGATCACGAGCTGATTACAGGTACACATCTGGTGAAAGACCAGGCGCTCGAATATTACGAGAGCATACTCAAGAGTATTGAGGCTTTGAAGTCTAACACTAATAGTTTACACGACCAAATTGGTAGCAAGTCCCCTAACAGTTTCACTTCTTATAAGATCAGGGTTCAGACTGCCCCACAAGCCTGTTCATATTATCCACTATTAACATTGCAGAAAAAATAGCAGTGTATATATTGTACATATTAAAGCGTCGCATGAGTCAACATGGTAGCCCTGAATGTTCTTCGAACTTATGAGCTCTCCGAGAGGGTCCTCCTTTAAATCATCGCTTACATAACTGATTCCAAAACGATGAGTATTGTTATGACTGTTTCCATTTAAACCCATACATTTGTTGATATAATTTTCAATTTATTGAGAGTGTATGGGTCCATAGAGTTGAAGGCTATGTGGAGGAATACATCTGATATTCTGGCCGACCTAGCTGAGCCATGGCCGTCCTATCCATAGGTTATTCATCAGCCTATAATGTGTAGCAGTATTATGTATCCCATGTACGTGCAAACTGCTGCTCTGCGTCGCTTGGTGTTTTGTGCATCTCGCCCGCGTTGCGATAAATTCCAGTTGTTTCTGCCTAGCGGCCACGGCCTGCCCGCCTAGCGATCACACATCCCTCCGCTATTTTTCTTTTCGCTAGGCGGGCGCGGGCAGCCGGCGGGTCAGCCCAGAAGGAAAAAAATCCTAGGCAGGCGGGCTCACCGCGCGCTGAGCGAGAATCCTTCCGCACTCTGCTTGGGTTTTTCAAAAATATTTTACTATAGTTTCTATTATCACTTATTGTTGGAAACAGTACATACCCAAAAGGATAATCAATAAGACAATATGCCTCCAAAGTTTGATCCAAATGAAGTTAAGTACTTGTACTTGAGAGCCGTTGGTGGTGAAGTTGGTGCTTCCGCTGCTTTGGCTCCAAAGATTGGTCCATTGGGTTTGTCCCCAAAGAAGGTCGGTGAAGATATCGCCAAGGCCACCAAGGACTTCAAGGGTATCAAGGTCACCGTTCAATTGAAGATCCAAAACAGACAAGCTACTGCCTCTGTTGTTCCATCCGCTTCCTCTTTGGTCATCACTGCCTTGAAGGAACCACCAAGAGACAGAAAGAAGGAGAAGAACGTCAAGCACAGCGGTAACTTGCAATTGGAAGACATCATTGAAATTGCCAAGCAAATGCAAGAAAAATCCTTCGGTAAGAACTTGGCCTCCGTCTGCAAGGAAATTTTGGGTACTGCCCAATCCGTTGGCTGCCGTGTCAACTACAAGAACCCACACGACATCATTGAAGCCATTGACGCTGGTGAAATTGAAATTCCAGAAAACTAAACTAACCAAATCCAATAACTTCCATCATTTTCTGTATTTTCTAGTCTAGGGTTTTTTAACAAAGAAAACTTAATGTATTTTTCGTTTTAAGTTTGTCGGGCTTTACTAATCTAACCTTAAACACAGTTTGACGTCTTATCTCAATGGCGTCGCTCGTATCTCTCAATCAACCTTTTCAGTTTGTCTACACTCTGGATCTCGGCTTAGTTTTGGTTGGGTCGAATTGCTATTCTGCGTGCATGGAACGTTTGCAAAAATTAGTACAGGTACTCCGAATACAGTTCTTTCATGCCCTTCCATTCTATATCTGCTTAAGTGCTGAGCTCCTATTTAGAAGCAAACAAGATTAATACCTGTCAGTTACTCACCAAACTATGCCATGCAAGTGTAACTTGCTGGGGTTAGATTGGTCCATTTCAATGGCAGACATCTCGTAATTCTTGAAGTAAATTTTTTTTTTTAATTGTAGCATCGTTATTAGACTTGAATCTCGTAGGAACGTAATCTTGGAAATAATCGATTGTTGATCGATGGAATTCGTCGTTACTGACGAATCTTGTTTTAGGGGTTCTTCCATCTGCTTTACTGGGCTATCCTGTTCAACTCCAATGATCTTGGGTGTTAAACATGTCGTCGGATTCTATTGATCAAGTATTCGAAAAAGCTATTTCTACCATTCACACTCTTTCCTCGCTAAAGGGCTTCAATTCGCTACCACGACCTCCTGCTCACATAAGAATAGAGTTGTATGCGCTCTACAAACAGTCAACCGAGGGGGACGTGGAGTCCGTGCTAACGCAACCGGCAGGAGATCCTCATTCACCTGACTACAATGTTGCATTGAGGAAATGGGATGCCTGGAAGACAAAGGAAGGGCTAAGTAAAACAGAAGCGAAGAAGGAGTATATTCAATTGTTGATCACCACAATGAAGTCGTACGCAATGGGCACTATTGCTGCCCGCGAACTTCTAGCAGATCTCGAGTTTCTCTGGTGGCAGGTTACGAATGACCCAACTGAAATTGTAGATGAGAGTAGCAGCATGATGATGGCTATTCAAGATGAGTTACAAGATGCTAAATCGCTTCGGCTGCGCAAGGAAATATATGAAACACTGAGTAGTTTAAATGAAATCAAACCGCGTGCACTGCAAAATGGCGTTCCAGAACACCGGAAAGCAGATAAGTCTGGGAGTGCGAGGCAAGATACGATAAAAGCTTTGCTAGCCATAGCCGTCTCAATAATAAAGTGGGCACTGCTATTTGTCAAACGAGTTGTTCTCAGTAGCATTGTTATGTTGGGAGTTTTGGCCGCGGCAAAAAATTACGGCCATGTTTCAACACTATCTTTGGACTTTCATACCCGGTCTTCCGTGGATGAAAAACCCAAGGGCGCCACAAGCATGTTGACAAGATTTTTAGGTCCATTATGGTTCTCTATTAGAATTATTAACAAATACGGAGGATTAAAAATTAAGAGAATTACGATGAATATTGAATAGATCATCCTTGGTTTATGTGGAGATAATTGATTTCTTTCGACGGATTTAAATGTTTATCTCTGCACATAATATTCGATGTCAAAAAGTTCAATTTTCAATGTAATACATAGAAATCATATTCTTTAATACCAGGCTTTCTTGGGGAGCAAAATTAAAATTGTGAATTATTTTATAGGTTTTAACATCAATAATATTATCGGAGACATTTCTCTTAAGTTGACTTATCATGAACTACTAAAAACTATTAGTTTCGAAAAATAAAAAAAGGCTGTAGATAATTCTAACTTTTTCGCGATTCCGAATTTTGATCTTAGTCTCTCCACTAACACGCACATATGTCTAAGTATAAGTGGAGGGATTTGGTTGATATAAACTCTAAGACACGTTCTCATCTATCAGCTCTTTCCTGCATTGCACACATCGATGCTAACGCCTTTTTCGCACAAGTTGAGCAGATTCGATGTCATTATACTAAAGATGACCCCGTTGTGTGTGTTCAATGGTCTTCGATAATCGCGGTATCATATGCTGCAAGAAAATACGGCATAACACGAATGGACTCCATAGGTGATGCGCTCAAGAAATGTGATAAATTAGTTCCAATTCACACAGCTGTTTTTCGCAAAGGTGAAGATTTTTGGCAGTACCACGATGGATGCGGATCATGGGTTGATGATGAAGATAAGAAACTTACACCTGAAAATTTCAAAGTGTCTTTAGACCCTTACAGAAGGGAAAGTCGTAAGATTTTGAAAGTATTCAATGAATGGTGTGATGTTGTTGAAAAGGCTAGTGTCGATGAGGTCTTTCTTGATCTAGGGAGATGCTGTTTCTCAATGCTAATGTTTGATGAATCCGTACACTCTTTTAACGAGATTAGAAGAGTGTTCAAAGAGGGAGAATATGATCTTGATCTCTACTTACCACCGGTACCGAGAAATTTGGATATTCAGTTCGACGGTAACGTTTACAATCCCGAAAAACGCAGCCTTTTCGAAGACTGGGATGATGTGATCTTCTGTTTGGCGTCGATCCTTACCAACCGAATTCGAAGTAACATTGAGGAAGTTCTTGGTTATACAACCTCTTGTGGCATTGCCAGGACCAAAAGCATATCCAAGCTGGCTTCGAATTTCAAGAAACCAGCTGCTCAGACCATTATTAAGAATTCATGTATAGAAGACTTCTTAGACAATGAGAAATTCGAAATTACCTCATTTTGGAGCATGGGAGGTATCACTGGACAAGAATTGAGTCAACTGTTAAATCTACCGAAAGAGAAGACGATAAAATACATTCGCGATTCTTGGCCAACTACCAGTGATGAGCTCAAAGGTTTCATTGATACCAAGTTGCGCGAGATGGGAAAAGACCGTGACAAATACCATACAATCGACGAGACTCAAACGCAGGCCATAGCAGATAAACTATTTCAACTAGTACGAGGCGAATATCGATTGTCCGTAAATGCAAAACCAATGGTCAAGTCCATGATGTCCAATAAAAATCTGAGAGGAAATTCTTGTAAAAATTTTAAGGATTGCATCGCATGGCTGGAAGTTTTTAGTGGGGAACTAGATGGTAGAATTCGCGAACTTGAACAAGAATATAACCGTTTGTTCATACCTAAAACGATTGCAATCTCCGTTAGGGGGCATAAATTTCAAAAACATGCAAAAAGCTCCAGCTTAATGTTTACTGGGTCTCATATCCACAGTAAAGACTTTTTGGAGGCAGGATCCCGGCTGACGCAGGAGTTGGATATGAAATTTGGAAAAGACAGTGGATATTACCCCTTGACGAACTTGAACATGTCGATATCTAATTTTGAGATCTTGGAGAAAGGGAAAACTATTGTCGACATGTTCGGAAGGCAAGCTCAAGTCACTAAAAAGGTCGAACCCGGAAATTTCTCCTCTGTAGAGAGCGTCACCGCTGAAAACAAAGAGTCACTCTTTTTATGTCAGCCTTGCGACTTAAGTTTTAGTAGTGAGGAGCAGTTGCGGGAGCACGCTGATTACCATTACGCTCTAAAGCTTTCAGAAAGCCTCAATGGGGCGAACGAGGATTCTAAGAATCTTTCCTACGGTGAAAGAAGGCTACTTTTCTCAAAAAGAAAAAGGCCCGCTTGTAGTAGCAGTAAAAATGATAGTAAAAGAGTTAAGAGCACGCCACAAAGTGATATATATAAATTCTTCAAGTAATCAGTAACAAGTGTGGTGAACTAAAATGATTAAAAAATAAAAAAGGAAATAACGACAACTGCAGGATTCGAACCTGCGCGGGCAGAGCCCAAAAGATTTCTAATCTTACGCCTTAACCACTCGGCCAAATTGCCTATTTCGATACTTGAATCTTTTATTCTGGTTTATGAGGGTGGACTGTGTGATATTCATTGCCGTCAGACAATGAGAGTTCTTAAATAATAAAAGGAATAGGATGAGAGATAGTGTAGAAGAGTTAATTGACTAGTAATTATTTACAAATTCCAAGAGTTTCCTGATCAGGTGTGACATGACATCATGTTATTTTTTTATGTTTTATTCGTTTAGGCATGCAATTGTTTGTAAATGCACGACGTAAAAAATATACTTATGGAGTGAACTGACTTCGAAAAACATGAACCCAAACTTCTTCATATATTGCAACAACTGTAAATTATCAGCATAGCGTGTCTATTATGACTTTTGTTTCTGTCTGGTTTTATTTATTTTACAATTTGAGGATTCTCGGTCGACTCAAGTAAAGAATCTGCTAATTGTTCTTCTGAGCTGAGCAGTACAAGAATTTTTGTGGCCAAGGACTTCATACTAAAGATAAAGAAATTTAATGAAGAATATCTCAATTATTACTAATTTTACAAACGTCTTACTTAATATCGAAACGTAGATGCGGAATGAGATTTGGTGAGTATTTGATATGTTACATTAAAGCATATCTTCCGATGCAAGAGTAGCGTCACTTCACTTCTGACAACAATAATATGTAAATTATTTTCAAAGAAGGACTGTAGTAACAAAAGAGTTCAATCAAAACTCAACAGATGGTGCCCTAAAGATCCAATGAAATTTCCTCAGGGTTAGTAACTTGGGAACTTTCCGGAGCGGAATGAGTACCTCCCACATCAGATGACGCAATGAAAGCCACATTTCCTTCCTTGGATGTCACTTGCTCTGTATCAACCTTAAAATTGTCACCTACATGCCTTTTGAATTTCAACATGTCCTTGTAAGTGGACTTACTTCCGTGTCGTACCTCAAATTCGTTCCAGAAATCCCATAAAATTTTATTCTGGTCAGGATGCAGAAGCTGAGCACCAAATTTTAGTATTGCACGACTGCGTTCATAAGCTTGTAACCTCTCTTCGACTTTAGCAAAATCGATTACAAACATGATAACTTTCGAATTTGGTAATGTCTTTATGCACTCTTCATAGAATGGACGTGAATCTTCGTCTCCCAAAAAATTCTTTGATGCATCGAGACAACTGCGCCATAATAGAACTTTAGATTGAAGAGCATTAGTCTCCTTACAGCCACGATACAATATATCAACGGACCTCTTGTAGAGCCCATTAGACTTCTCCAGATTACTATAGAGAAGGAAAAAGGAAGAACAATCAATTCCATGCTTTGCTAGTTCCAAAGCTTGTTCGAATAAATCGCGCAGCCTTTCCGTTGACAGATTTTGCTCGCTACACTCCCCCAAGTAAATGTTCCAAAGCTCATATTTCGTCTGTGGTGGAAAGGCTGCAATGGCACGTTCATATATCTGAAAGCTTTCGTCCCACATGTTTTGGGCTTGTAAAAAGTGAGCATAATTAATAAAAATCAAGGGTGTTGCGAGTTTGAGACCAATCATATTATTATAAGCTTCCCGTGTTTTTGATACTTGGTCAGAACTTTCGCAGCTGGCTTCCATGACATCTAGATACATTGCCCATAGCTTTAAGGATGTGAATATAACTGCTTGAGCAGGAAAATCCTTACCTCCCTTGTCATACTTCTCTATCAGTAATTCTGGATGCTTCGGTATTTTTAATGCCTTTTCCAATAGTTTAGTGGCCCCCTCAAAGCCTTCTATTTCTAATTCCATTTCGGCCCAGCAAAGCCATATAACTTCGAGGTCTTCCTTGTACTTGAATGGTACCCGAAGTGCACGGTCAAAAGTTTCTCTCGCCGACTCATAATCTTTTGCTTCAATGAACAATTTGGCGTAATTGCACCAAAGTTGACCCAAAACGCTGGCCTCGTGGACCTCACCAGGATCGATGGCCAGTATTGCGTTCACGTAAACTTCACATTTCTCTTTAACTGAAGGGAACAAGTTTGCTCTTGCTACCCATGTACTGACATTATTGCAATCTTGTCTCACTTTCAAATCATTGAGTAAGAGCTCGTGTGTATTCGTCAAATGTTCAAGCAAGTTAAAATTATAGGTCAAATCCTGCTCCCAAGCTGGTTGAATGTCAGGATTTGCTCGAATTTCCTGAACTATGGTTTCTAAAAGCACTTCCAAGAATTTCAAGTAAAAATCATAAATGACTGAAAAATCTCGTGTCTTCGTAGTTGCTTTAAGAGCATTGTCCAGCGTTGACCTTGCCAACGGTATTTTAGACCGCATAATAAAGTTTTTAGCAAGCTCCACCATTAAGGAGGACGACAAGTGAGGGAATTTAATGATCGTTTTTTCAACTCCCTCCTGAAATTCTTCCTCAGTCCCCACTTGGCCCAATGCGTTGATATATCGAAGGTAAAAATCATGCTGTTTGTAATTCACTGTTGAAAACGTATCTGGAAATAAGTACCTTTCGTAGAGACGCCTCACTGCTTCCTCGTCACCAGTAAGGCCCAATAGATACAGTGTGTGTTCAACGCTGTCTGTTATCTCCAGGTATCTGGCGAGCATATGAGAAGACCACAAATCTGGGGAGTTTGATCTTTTTTCTTCTTTTCCGAATAGAGCATCATGCATTAAAGACTCTAGTTCATTGTCCTCTAAGAAGTTAGCATTCTGAAGCAGGTCGTCCTCAATAAATGAAATTATAGATTCCCATATGCGAGGATGTTTTTCCAGAGATACGCACCTCAGAGATCTGTTCAATATCGATCGAATCATTCCTAGATCTCGCTGTTGCTCGGCAAACTTCAGGTACATTATCCATATGCGATCATTATCATAACACCATCCCAACGCCCTCTCAAAAAGAGCATTGCATTTCGTAAATTCATCAACATAAAAAACCGCATTTAATGTGTGAATAAGATCTGTTCTCCACTTAAGATACTCTAACCAAAGATCAACTGAATTCGGAAACTCATTAGTGCAACGTTCATATAGCCAGGCGAGAGCCACCGGATCATCGCGGCTTTTCTTGTATTCAAGGTATCTGCTCCATGTCAAAAAGTTCTTAGACTGGGTCTGAAGCTCATACTCGTAAGCTAGGTCTTCTTCGGTTGACACAAACCGATCTATATCCATCACTCTTAGGGCAGTTTTAGATACTCGTTACTAAATGATCACGTTAAACATCTCATGGTGTGCCGTCAGAAAAGATATCGTGGTTGCAAAAAAAAGTACGAAGGGGGCCATAAAGGAAAAGTGCGTAAGCTGATGGATAGAGGCGAGGGAAGAGCTACAGTAGTAGAGTGAACAAGCATTCAATAGAGCTTTAGGGAGATGTCTTCTAACAGAGAACAAGTTTTTCCAACGCGTATGACGCTTGGTCTGATGAAGAACAAGTTGAAAGGTGCCAACCAAGGTCACTCTCTGTTGAAGCGTAAGTCAGAAGCATTGACTAAGAGATTTCGTGACATCACCAGAAGAATCGATGATGCTAAGCAAAAAATGGGTCGTGTTATGCAGACTGCCGCTTTCTCCTTAGCAGAAGTCACTTATGCAACCGGTGAGAATATCGGCTACCAAGTGCAAGAGAGTGTCTCTCACGCCAGATTCAAGGTCAAGGCACGTCAAGAAAACGTCAGCGGTGTGTATTTGCCTCAATTCGAGAGCTTCATTGAGTCTGAGATAAACGACTTCAAATTAACTGGTCTTGGTCGTGGTGGTCAACAAGTCCAGCGCGCAAAGGAAATATACTCCAAAGCAGTGGAAACTCTTGTAGAATTAGCATCATTGCAAACTGCGTTCATTATTTTGGATGAAGTCATCAAGGTGACTAACAGAAGAGTCAATGCCATTGAGCATGTTATCATTCCAAGAACTGAAAACACTATTGCCTACATTAACAGTGAATTGGATGAATTGGATAGAGAAGAGTTTTATAGATTGAAGAAAGTTCAAGAGAAAAAGCAGCAACAGACTGCTGAGCTTGACGCCCAGATGAAACAAAAGAGACTCGAAGAAGAGGAAGCAAAGAAGGATGAAGACGCTCAACAAGCTTCGAAAGGCGAAGACACCAAAGAGAGCTCCAAAGAGCAGACAGCGTCCACAGTAGAAGAGCAGAAAGCTGAGGATACTGCTGATTTGCTTGCAGATCAAGAGGAGGATGTTATTTTCTAAACTATATAGATCTACAATTTCTCTGTAAACCGAACCCAAAAACATTGTCCACTTGGTTTTCACCCTAATTTATTTAAAAATCGCAGGAAAATTCTAATCCAAACAGAAGACACTACTTTTAACTAATGAAGATAGTATGTGTCATTAGTTTACTGTGCATTACGACCACCGCATGCTGCTCATCATTGGGTGAGAACCTGAGAAAACTGCAACTGTCAGATTCTGAGATAATCGAAGCGTCAGAATCTCAAAAATTGCAGCTCAGGAGACGGGGAGTCAACTTCATGGATATATCCAACTTTCCCACACTATTTGGTTCTAAGCAAAAAGAGATCCAAGCCCCGAACTATAGCTATCCAATATCATCTTCTCATCAAAATACTGCGAAAGAGATCATAAATGCGATTAACAAACAATCTATGTACGACAACTTGGCTCATTTATCCAGTTTTTACACAAGGTATTACAAATCAGAAACCGGATACGAATCTGCATGTTGGCTGCTAGAAAATCTGAGAAATGTTACGATGCCGCTAAAAGATAAAATAGATGTTATACAGATCGATCATCATGATTGGAAGCAATTTTCTCTCATCGTTCGCATAAACGGTACAAATACTCCAGAGAACATTGTTGTGTTTGGATCACATCACGATTCGATGAATTTACTTCTACCATCCATATTAGCCGCCCCTGGTGCTGATGACAATGCATCAGGAACATCGACTAATATTGAAGCACTAAGGCTGTATGTTAATTATCTTCAAAATTCGGGCAGTTGGCCTACCAATACTATAGAATTTCACTTCTATTCGGCGGAGGAAGGTGGCTTATTAGGGTCTTTAGATGTCTTCACCAGGTATTCGGCCGAGCAAAGAAAGGTTGTGGCTATGCTTCAGCAAGACATGACAGGCTATGTTCAGGATCCAAAAAATGAACATGTTGGAGTGATCACGGACTATACGAGCCCAGGACTTGCTCAATTCACAAGAATGATCATCGACAATTACCTATCTATTCCGTATAGGAATAGTACCTGTGGTTACGCGTGCAGTGATCATGGGAGCGCAACCAAGAATGGGTTTCCAGCAATATATGTAATCGAAAGCGAATACTCGCAAACAAACAAATACATTCACAGTACCATGGATACACTGGATCGATTAAGCCTAGATCACATGGCTGAGCATGTCAAGCTAGTAATTGGCTTTTTATTGGAATTGGGCGATTGGACGGTAGACGAGATAAAAAAAACGCAGCAAAATGAAAACGTGGTGATGGACGCAATGGATATTTAAACTTTGATGGTGGCATCTATTTAAGTACTATTTACAAGCTCGCATATAACTTTGCACATTTATATTCATTGTCTCATAGCCTTGCCGGACTTACCCCTAGGTCTGTCTTTGACCTTCATTCTGTTCTGGTTTTTACCCTTTCTGGTTTTATAACCTTTAGCCAATTGTCCCCATGGAGACATAGACAGTTTTTTGGATTTGGACTTACCTCTACCACCACCATGAGGATGGTCACATTTATTCATGGCTACACCTCTGACGGTTGGTCTTATACCTCTCCACCTAGATCTTCCTGCTTTACCAAGGGACCTATTCTGATGATCAATGTTAGAGACAACACCTAATGTTGCGCATGCTTCTAGCGACACATAACGTTGCTCTCCACTTTGTAAACGAACGATGGCCTTTTTCTTATCCTGGAATTTTGCAATGACACGGGCATAAGTACCGGCTGCACGACAGAATTTACCAGGACCAACGGGAGTGATACCCACGTTGTGGATGATTGCACCGATAGGAATCATGGAAATAGGTAGACAGTTACCCCTCTGGGCAGTACGCACGCTGAGAATAGCTGGATCGATTTTCCCACCCATTTCTTGCAGCAAATTCTCGGGCACACCATTTCTGTAAGACTCAACGGTATCTCCTGCTCTCAAACCATCACATGCAAGTATGTAGGAAAGCTCACCGGTCTTGTTATGCTTCAAAAGGGCAATGTGAGCAGATCTGCCTGGGTCGTATTCGATTCTTTGAACGGTCTGTTCGCCAGGCTTGAACCTCGAGAAGTCGACGATCCGGATTCTTCTTTTATGCCCACCACCACGGTGACGAACAGTGATTTTACCTGAGTTGTTCCGACCACCAGTGCCTCTCTTAGCGACAGTTAGAGAGCGGACAGGCCTCCCCTTATGTAAGTAAGGGTATATGGGCGCACGATACCACCTCAAACCTGGAGAAACGGGTTTGAGCTTCTTGAGCTTTGTAATTTCTTTGGACAGCTTACGGCGTCTCTTGATCAGCGCGTCCTGCTTTTCCAAAGTGACCAGATCGGCGTCGTTGGGCACCACTTTGAGCATCTGGACGTTGATTGGTGTGGGCGTTGTAGCTTCCTTCACCTGCGAGTAATAACGCGTCGAAAACAGGCGTGCAGTACACATTCCTGGCGAGGGTACCACCGAAGCCCGCAAAGTTCGAAACAGAAGCATTGTGGTACTGTGACGACTTCTGTGATCTCAATTGTTCAGGGACCAGCTTCGTCCGTACGTCTAACGTAAAATTTTTAGATTCAATGTAGCATGAGAAAAATAACATGTTACCCGCACAGCTACCACACACGTGATATACACGTGCCAAACAAAACCCACACACTTTTGATTACTGTTTACATATCACTATCGACGGGTATCAACTAATGCGGAAATGATAGCATTTTCCGCTTTTGGTAACCGTTTTTAGGATTCGCCCTTAGGATTGAAAAAAAAGTTTTACAATCAATCGATGAATAATCTGCGTTAGATTGGGAAATCGAACGCCAAGTCTTATTACCCTCGTAGTTACTGTACCTCTTGTTCTCGGAAGTCGCCGAAGCGCTAACGGAGCATCGTTCCGTTGACTGCAAGTGCTGATTGGCGCATGGCTGCTGCGGCTGCCGCTGCTGCGTCTAATCTGGGCCATTAAAAATGGCCACGCCGCATACAACGCCAAATGCGATCTAATCGAGCGCCGGAGTGAAGGATAAAAGATAAGAAAAACAAAGTGATTGACACAATAGAGTCGTGAGGTACAAGGAGAACCGTTGTGAATTTCATTCAGCTATCATGGAACGCCACAAGGTAAATCTTATTCATGCAATCTCGACCGAGCAGGCTTATAGCAATGATTTCAGCCGTCCCCGAAATTATGTAGATGCGCACCGAAATTATGTAACCTCTTCAAATCAAGGCTGACGGACAAGATGTAGAGTCAGAAATCTTGACTATGTGATTATATTCGCGGATAAGAGGGGACAAACATTAAAATGGCCATTGTTTAAAGCTTCGCATTTGAATGCTTCACCGAGAATTCTGGAAGGTTCATGCATCTTGCTGCTCAACTGAAGCTTCTTGGTTCAGGAACGGTGCTTGCAGCTGGTCAATATCTCCGATGCATTTTCCATCGTTCCAGAGAAATATCAAATGCTATCGCTAAAGTTCTCATTTAAAGCGGAGCCTATCGCGCTGGATAAAAATGATCACATGATGACTCAGAAATGATCGTAGGTCACTTGCTGCCGCTAGGCACGGAAAACGAATCTGGTCGTTTGAAGGACCCTGGACCATCATCTTAGGAAGCTAATCGTGCGATATTGTGCAAGAGTAGCATGATATGATAAGATTCTTCATGGTGAGAGCTGGTCAACACGCCATATAAGTAGCAGTCTTTCATTTCATTTGTTAGTTCACGGAATGTAGGTGTAACCATAGTCAAGTTCTTTAATAGCTAGAGCTTATCGCTATTAAGTTCTGTTCTATTCCTGCTATGATAGATAACGAGAAAAGCTATGCTAAGACAGATGTCATTCTGTCGCATTCAGAAAATTCGAGTGTTGAAAGAGCCGAAAAGTCCTGGTACAGACGTCTCTTGGAGGCGTTGGAGGTGCATAAAACCGACCGCCATGAGACGATTAAAGAAACGTTTCTGTATAATCATGATTTGAAACCAGTCGAAATTGGACGCCGTAAATGGTCCTGGTTTAATTTCGTTTATTTCTGGTTGGCAGACTGCTTTAACATCAACACTTGGCAAGTAGCAGCCACAGGTCTCCAGTTAGGGCTAAACTGGTGGGAAACTTGGTTGACAGTGTGGATTGGTTACACAATCGTTGGTATTCTGGTAGTTCTGACATCGCGTATCGGTACTATGTACCATATTTCCTTCCCAATCACCGCAAGAGCTTCCTTTGGAATCTTCTTTTCATTGTGGCCCATTCTCAACCGTGTGGTAATGGCTGTTGTCTGGTACTCTGTACAGACTTGGATTGCTATGACCCCAGTGTCTTTAATGCTAAAGAGTATCTTCGGCTATAATTTACCAAACAGAATTCCTGATCACATCAGTAGTCCCAACGCTACCACCTATGAGTTTATGTGCTTCTTCATTTTCTGGGTGTGCCAACTCCCATTTATTTATGTGCATCCACATCAAGTGAGGCATTTGTTCACGGTCAAAGCTGCCTTGGTGCCTTTTGCCGCATTTGGTTTTCTGATCTGGTCGTTGAAGAAGTCTCATGGTAAAATGGCTCTCGAAGCACTAGTTCAAGGACCAGGCTTATCGTCAAGCGAACGTGGGTGGGCTTGGATGCGTGCAATCATGGCATCCATTGCCAACTTTGCCACTTTGATTGTCAATGCACCAGATTTTTCACGTTTCGCCAGAACTCGCCAGTCCGCTACATGGTCCCAAGGTTTGTCTATTCCATTTTTCTTTTCAATCACCTCTTTAATTGGTATTATTGTCACCGCTTCCGCGTACACCGTTTACGGCATCAACTATTGGTCTCCATTGGATGTGCTAGACAGATTCCTTGGTGACGGTTTCACCAAAGGTGAACGTGCAGGTACCTTTTTGATTTCGTTTGTATTCGCAATTGCTCAATTAGGAACCAACATCAGTGCTAACTCATTGTCTGCTGGTACAGACATGACTGCGTTGCTGCCAAAGTTTATCAACATTAGACGTGGTGGTTTCGTTTGCGCCATGCTAGCGTTGTGTATCTGTCCTTGGAACTTGATGGCAAGCTCCAGTAAATTCACCATGGCATTGAGCGCATACGCCATCTTCTTAAGTTGTATCGCAGCTGTTATGACTGCTGATTACTATGTTGTAAGAAGAGGTAAACTCGATCTTCTTCACTTGTACTGCGCCGACCCTGCAGTCTCAGACTACATGTACGGAAACAGATTTGGTATTAACTGGAGAGCTTTGTTTGCATACCTTGCAGGCATCTTGCCTAACATCACTGGTTTCGTCGGAGCTGTGGGCGACAACATTCATGTGCCATCTGGTGCCACTTACCTCTACTATTTGAATTATCTGATTGGATACATCGTCTCGTTTATTGTGTACGTGATCCTGTGCTACTTCTTCCCTGTTCCAAACGCTCCTGTAGCTAACTGCCTCAAGAAGTCTGAATGGCTTGAAACTTTCGAAGAAGTTGAGTGTTTCGAGGAAGAAAGAGAGGAGTTCTTGTCCGGCCACAACATCGCTGTCGTTTCCTCACATCTGGGCCACGAGAATGTCGAGGAAATGGCTTCAGCTTTCGCCATCGGTAGCCGGAAGTGAGGAAGCAATTGTCTCGAGGATTTCGAGTTCATCCATCCGTCTCTATATGTACTGGATAATTTAATTTTGTCACACTATAACATCTCTATTATTCCGCCGCGCACTTTTTAGCACAGTCATCAAAGCATACTTCTACATCTTTCTTCGTTACCGCACATCCGTACTTACTCTCATGCTATTGTGTGAATATTAAGTCAAAAGATACAGTTTGCAACACCTGGCCTCGACCTGCCTCACAACCGAATCGTCGTAAACGCTGACAATATTATCATCGCGCCATTTTTACAGAATCCGTGGTCTGTATGCGAAATTCGCGCTAACTACGTTTGCAACAACTGCAGCAAATTACATCAATGATGAGAATTACGAAGTAGCTGTCGTCCTTCGGCGTGATACGTTTCGTTTGCTAAATCTACGATTGTTCTTCGCTGAACGAGCTATTCCTTGCGAACTCGTGTGTGCCTATGCAACCGTTGACCATTAGTTCCCTTGGCACGTCGACAGATGCCCCTTCTTCGTTTCCCTGGGTTCCGGTTTTCTGAAGCATCCTTATCCTCCTATCGCACGTATCTGGCCGAGAAAAACTAACTTATCGCAAAGTGCGAGCTGAAAATGACACCAATTTCCCCAGAAAAAACTGTGGCCAACGCCCGTTATTTGACACGAAGCGGCACTTGGCAAATTAACCAATTAAGACGAGCCTCGACGATTACGTGGACTGGTGACTCGGCGGGATGCATACTTACACATTTGGATAAGGGCAGTACCGCCGTTGTTGCTAAAAGAAATTAGAACTGATAATTTACAGTAGTTGTTGCGATGCATGAAGCAAATGATATAAAAAACCTCGCGCAAAGGACATACCAGAAGATTGAACACCTTTAAATCCATTATTACTCAACAACTTGCACTTTAAGTTTGCCTAGTAGTGGTTCCTTTCAAATTAACCTGATGTCGCAGGAAAATAAAAATTTCACCAAGACGGATGTCATCGTATCGCATTCTGAAGAGTCAAGCGTCAAGGACGAGGAAAGCTCGGCATGGCAGCGTTTCTTGACTATTCTAGAGGTGCACAAGACCACTAGACACGAGACCATCAAGGAAACATTTCTGTTTAACCATGATCTGAAGCCCGTTGAAGCCGCACGTCGGAAATGGTCGTGGTTCAACTATGTCTACTTTTGGATTGCTGATTGTTTTAACATCAACACCTGGCAAGTCGCTGCTACAGGGTTGCAGCTGGGACTGACATGGTGGGAGACATGGTTGACGGTGTGGATTGGCTACTCCATCGTCGGTGTGCTCGTTGTGGGTACTGCTCGTATTGGTAGCATGTACCACATCTCCTTTCCTATCACGGCAAGAGCCTCCTTCGGGATTTTCTTCTCGCTTTGGCCTGTGATAAACCGTGTTGTTATGGCTATTGTGTGGTATTCTGTACAGACGTGGATTGCAATGACTCCTGTTTCATTAATGCTCAAGAGTATTTTTGGCTATGACTTGCCGCAAAGAATACCAAACCATATCAACAGTCCTAACGCCACCACATACGAATTCATGTGTTTCTTCATTTTTTGGGTCTGTGAGCTGCCTTTCATCTACGTGCACCCACATCAAGTAAGGCATTTGTTTACGGTCAAAGCCGCTTTGGTACCATTTGCAGCTTTCGGCTTCCTTATCTGGGCCCTTAAGAAATCTCATGGTAAAATAGCACTTGAAGCCTTGATTGAGGGCTCTTCCCTGAGCTCTAGCGAGCGTGGGTGGGCTTGGATGCGTGCGATTATGGCAGCCATTGCCAATTTCGCCACTTTGATTGTCAATGCGCCAGATTTTTCTCGTTTCTCAAAGACTCGCATGTCTGCCACATGGTCTCAAGGTCTGTCTATTCCATTCTTCTTTTCAGTTACTTCTTTGATTGGTATTATCGTGACGGCGTCTGCCTATACCATCTACAACGTCAATTACTGGTCTCCATTGGATGTGCTGGACAGATTTCTTGGCGATGGATTTACAAGAGGGGAACGTGCTGGTGCCTTCTTAATCTCATTCGTGTTTGCTGTTGCTCAACTGGGTACCAATATCAGTGCTAATTCGTTATCTGCTGGTACAGACATGACTGCACTTTTGCCCAAGTTCATCAACATTAGACGTGGTGGTTTCATTTGCGCCATACTAGCGTTGTGTATCTGTCCTTGGAACCTGATGGCAAGTTCTAACAAGTTCACAATGGCTCTGAGCGCGTACGCTATATTTTTGAGTTGTATTGCAGGTGTGATGAGTGCGGATTACTATATTGTCAGGAGAGGTAAACTTAAACTGCTGCATTTGTATTGTGCTGATCCTTCGGTCTCTGATTACATGTATGGTAACAGATTTGGTATCAACTGGAGAGCCCTCTTCGCCTATTTGGCTGGTATATTGCCCAATATTACCGGGTTTGTTGGTGCTGTGGGTAATAATATACACGTTCCAGCGGGTGCCACGTACCTGTACTACTTAAATTATCTCGTGGGTTATTTAGTGTCTGTTGTCGTCTACGTGATTTTGTGCTACTTTTTCCCAATCCCCAATGCTCCTGTGCCAAATTGCTTGAAGAAATCTGAGTGGCTCGAAACGTTCGATGAGGTAGAGGATTTTGAAGAGGAAAGAGAAGCTTTCTTGGCAGAAAATGGTATCGGATATGTTTCTTCGCATTTGGGGCAAGAAGAATCCGAAGACATATCGTCAGCTTTTGCTATCGGGAGTACCAAAGCTTGAGTTTCCCATTTAATTTAACATTTAACTCTTTATGCTGTATACTAGTAACTTTTAATTTTATTGAAGCCCTAACAATTAGGTCATATGCTCTGGAGAATTCCCAAAATTTCCAAAACGAAAAATTTTCAAATAAAAACTCTGTCGGCTGATTTGTTTCTTCCTTGCACAATACCCTCATGAAAAACACAACGTAGATGGTACCACACAAGAATAAAGACTATCAGAGGAACAGGCGTTCCTTGTAGAAGAAAGGAGGACTTATAACTTGTATCATAGTGATGACTCGCTGTCGCCCCAAACGGATTTCGAAAGAATGAACGATTCGACTTCAATAGCCAAACACACTGAAAATTCTGATCATGATACATTTAAAATAAGTCAACTTTTGTCTCTTTATTCTCAGGTCGAGAGAACTTGGTATTTTGCTTAATGATGATCAATTAACGACAAATTTCATGCTAATCATGATAGCTACAGGGGTTTACCCTCTTACGCCTAAGATTAGAAAACGATAATTACTGAAAATTGCAAATATTCATCACATTTCTATTTGAACAACAGCGTATGCCTGCTCTTGTCTAAAAAATCTTGTGAATATATAGTGCTTTAGATGTAGTCTCTGAGTAGTTCTTGGACAGACAGAGAATTCAAGGCTTCCATTCGATGCTCCTAAGGGTAACTTCAAAATAAACTGATTTGACTGAGAAAAATTCGTTGGAGTGAATCTCGCGTTAATACCACATTAGTGCCAGTAATGAAAGAAAATGCAGAAACGCCATTGGGAAGGTTTTTAATCTTCTTTCCTGTACCACAGAGAGCAATTTTCCTCCTCATAGCTGGCCTGTGGCTATGGTCGTGGCAACTGTCCATCCTATCAAAACGTGGAATTGATGTGTCAAAACTCATAATCACCAATGATCCTTACGCTATTCGGCCTCGCACCTCAAGCATGAGTTTAATTGCATCAATTCGTGGTTCTAACGCTAAAATCACAAAAATCCTGATACCTTGGCAAATCGCGACATCTTTTTTATTGCAAATGGTGGTAAACGACCCTTATGGCGTGCCCGCATGGCTTGTGTGCCTAGTTAATATTTCTCCACTGTGCCAATTGGTTACCGTCGCTACAATACTATTATCCAGCTCACCTATGTTAGCTCGATGCGTGAAGAACATATTACGCTTTGGCAATATCGAACCCAAACCACTACGATTGAACTATATTCTACTTTCAGACACCTTGACATCATACAACAAACCTATGATAGACTTTGGACTCTATTTGTGTCATTTGTTGATAGATCCCGTCAATTATAATTGTATTGTGTCAAAGAGCTCTTTGGGAATTGCTCTTAATCTTGATATAATGATTGGTATTGCACCTGCTGTAACTAGATTCGTTCAGTGCCTAAGAGAGTGGAACAGATCCAGTTCCAAGGCACAGGCGTACAGCTCTATATTCAACGCTTTGAAATATGCCTCGAACCTCCCTATCCTGGTCTGTACAGTTTTGGCACGCGCAAATGTCGAAAAATCACCAAGCAATAATATATTTTGGTTCATGTTTTTCCACTCTGCGTATTCATTTTGGTGGGATTTAACAATGGACTGGAATCTAGGATTCCTGAACTTTAGCCAGTCAGGTATGACTCGCAATGAAGTTCTAAGAAAACGACGTTATTTTTCGCCATTTGCATACTATATTTGTGCCGGTTTTGATTTCACTGTCAGGTTTTTCTGGCTGTGGGAGCTTTTTGCTGGTAGAACAGTATTTGAAGGTGAGATAAATTTCTTCTTTTTGGAAATTTTGGAAATACTCAGAAGATGGGTTTGGATATTTATCAGAGTTGAAGCTGAAGCGTCAGAAGGTGGAAATCCCGAGAAGTCCCAAGACTGAGCAGACGTTGGTGAAGAAGCTACGTCGGAAATAACATGCATCTATACTTATCGATATTTTAACTGACTAAATTTACATTAATGCATAGCACTTTTCTACCTTCTACGTTTGTTGGCATCTGCCTTCCTTTGGTTCTGTCTTCTCTCCGCCTTAGTTAAATATCTAAACTTCTTCTTCTTTTTTGGCTTTTCATCCATGCCCAAGAACTTTGCGTACTTCTTTGCACGCTCGATGCTTTCATCGAGAACCTTCTTAGATTGTTCAAGCTTAACGTTATTGATCTTTGCGAGATACTCGAAGTTGTCATTAGGCTCTAAAGGCTCTATATCGACATGAGTTTCATCTTCGTAAATTTGCTCGGTTTTCTTTAGGATTGGCTTGACGCTGCCATCTTCCTCATCATCGGTAAATCCGTCCCAAGACTCTGCCTCATCAGACGAAGAAGCTTGGTCAATTATGTCATCATCATTATCGCTTCCAATATAATCGCCAACATCTTTCATCGATTCCTTAAATTTCCTCAGCTGTTCCTCAGCCTCTTTCTTACGTTGATCCCGAGTTTTTTTCCTTTCCTCTATCTTTGCTAAACGTTCTTGCTCCTTATTGAATTCCTGTGCCTTCTTTTGTCTCTGTACCTTACGTTTGTGAAAACCTGTTAAGAAGTCCAGACGAGAGTCCTTATCGAAGGTAACTTCATCGGTCCCAAACTTTTTCGCCTGTTTGTTGGCATAACTCTTACCTTGAGTAAGGATATCTCTGTTGCTGCGAGGTGCCATATTAATGTGTAGACCGATTGCTTGCGTGAATCAAACGGTTTTAATTGAGATGAGCTTACTGAAAATTTTCATGGCGGCGGGACATCATGATAAGCGAGATCCAAACTAATGGATGAATATAAGCGCATGACTTCAGCATAGCCGACCTTAGTTCAAGCGTAGTTTGTAGCACATTACAAGACTGGCCATTTCTTAAATATTGACTTAATAAATGTGTGAGCATGCGGGCTGCTTTTGTTTTGGAAGAGATACTCCAAATTGGTAAACAAAGTATTAATATGGATGACGAAAACCCTGCATAAATGCAGGAATTGTATCGTCCATTCAAAAACATAGAACAACCAATACCAGTGCTGCTATATCCTGCTATTAGGTGATATGAGAGTCAGTAATCTAATACAACGCAGATCATGTCATACGATAAGAACGCTGTCATGTTCTAATCAATATTCGAATGGAACTTACCACGCTGGTTATAAACCAATCCCTACACTTCGTGAACAATGGCTCAGCCACAAATCTCTCGCAGTGCTACGCATAACAATGGACTCATGCAAATGATAGCTCAAATCCCACCAATTACGCGCGCTCTGCTTTCGGGAATAGTTGTTCTGAGTGTACTATGTCGTATTGGTATTTTGCCCTCTAGGTTTCTGATATTTTCCAGCTACCACACCTTTATGAAGCTTCAGCTTTGGAGAATGTACACAAGCTGTCTTTTATTACCAAACCAAGCAATGCCGGCATTAATTGAGATGTATAATGTTTACGCGCGTTCTTCTCAGCTGGAGTTAAACCACTTCCAGAATCGCAAGGTGGATTACCTGTTCTATTTGACGTTCAGTATCCTTACAATTGTCCTGAGTGTCATGCTTCTACAGATTATGGATGCTTTCAATTTATTAGGAGGTCTCGTACAAATTCAATTTGGGCTCGTCCTGACAAATGCGTTTGTAGGATGTCTCACGTACACATGGAGTGTGGATAATAGAAATACTAGGGTGATGTTCTACGGGCTATTCCCAATTTGGGGAAGGTACTTCCCTATCATTCAACTATTCATATCGTTTTTGTTCGATGACAGCGGGTTTGGATTTACTAATTTTGTCATCACGCTCATCGGCTTCAGCACAGGATATTTCTATTCTTGCCTCGACACAAGAAGTCTTGGACCCATCTACGGATACTTGGCGAGTAAACCATCTGGATACGGATACGTAGCTGCTGGCCAATTCAGAGCACCCTGGTGGTTTGTTGGCCTCTGTGATTTGGCGTTTGGCAATAGCAACACTCAGGATAGATACCGTGTAAACGTGCCATTTGGCAAGCAGAGAGAATATCACGGGAAAGGTCAGAGGTTAGGTACAACAAGAGCACAAACTGCAGAAAGAATTCAAATTGAGAACCCCAGAACGCGAATCGCAGAGCCTGAAAGGAATACTACAAGTGGATTTTTCCCTGGCAAGGGTCAGCGTGTAGGATCCAAGAAGAACGAGTAATACGATACATGTTCAAGCGGGCCCATTTGACGCTGCTCTATCGGCATCGGAACATGTCATTTATTGGTTCTGAGACCTTAGATCATTCATAACGGACAAATGCAATGTCAGCATTAATGGAAATTGGGGCATTTACGTAACGATCGAGTCATGACCAATAAATGATTGCCTCGAGCTCAGTATAAATATGGTATAAATGTCGAAGTGTGCAATCATCACTAGCATATTGTTATGACGGTACTAGATCTTATGCAAGAAAGGTTGATATTGAAGCGTATGGTTTCGACTTTACAAAAATTCTCCTTTGAGACACAAAATGGGGAGCACTACCTTGCTCAAAACCCTAATATTTATTATCAGAATAAGCGGCCATCTTTCAAAGGCATCACATATTCCGAACAGAAGCAACTACCCTCATTACCTATTCCTCAGCTAGAGAAAACGTTACACAATTATCTTCAAACAATTAAACCATTTTGCGCTAGTGACGAGCAATTTGAGAAACAAAAGTTATTATGCTCAGAATTTTCACGGAACGGGGGCCCAGAATTGCAAAATAGGCTGATTGAATATGCTAATGGCAAGCGTAACTGGCTATCCAAATTATGGGATAATCAGGCTTACTTAGAATACGACGACCCAGTTGTTCCATACGTCTCATATTTCTACTCTCACAAACCTCTGCCTATATCTCACAAGATTGTCGAGAATGATCCTTTAGTAAAAGCCACTGCAATTATTTCAATTGTAGCCAGATTTCTGGAAGCAGTCAAGGACGAGTCTTTGCCTGCAGAACATGTAAAGAACGCTCCTTTTTGCATGAACAGTTTTCATATGATGTTCAATAACTGCAGAATTCCTGGGCCTGAGAAGGACACTAATGTGTTCTATTCGATATATGAACATGACTACATCATAGTTGCCCTAAAGGGGAATTTCTACAAGTTGTACACTCACAGCGCGTCCAGAGAAATCTTGCCGCCCGCCAAGATTTGGGAGCAACTGTACACGATAATTAATAGCTTGCGGGGCTCAATTCAGGAAAAGAGCAATGCCGGTATCGGTACTTTGACCTCGCTGTCTCGGAAGCAGTGGGCAGAGGCTTGCTCTGCACTAATGGCTAATGCCGTTTCACGGGAGTCTCTTGAGACAATCCATAAATCGGCATTTGTTCTTTGTCTCGATCTGGACGAAAATCCAGTAACGTTAGAAGAGAAGTCTAGATATGCATGGCATGGTGATGGCTTTAACAGATTTTATGACAAGCCTTTGCAATTTTTCGTGGCCGGCAATGGACACTCTGGGTTTTTAGCCGAACACTCAAAGATGGACGGAACACCCACATTGTTTTTAAACAATCATGTTTGCAAGAAGCTACATGAACTTGATCCCGAAAAATTTGTAGCCGAGATAAGAAATCCAAGTTCAAATTTAGACCAAACCCCAGAACATTTGTCTTTTGTGGTTACTCCCAGTATTAGTACGGCCATCAAGAATGCTCAGGAAAACTTTAAAAAAGTGGTTGGTCAACACGAATTACGTGTCTGGCATTATGTAAGATATGGTAAAACTGCCATCAAAAACTTTGGCTTCTCCCCTGACGCTTTCATCCAGCAGATTATCCAACTTGCAGTGTTCAAATACTTGGGTAAACAGCTTCCAACGTACGAAGCCGCTTCCACAAGAAAGTATTTTAAAGGCCGTACCGAAACGGGGCGTTCTGTGAGCATCGAATCAGCCAAATTCGTTCGTGAGTGGGAGAATCCTGATATTGCACTTTCTCAGAAGGTTGAAAACTTACAAGCCTCTATTAAAGCACACTCCGCATATTTGAAATCTGCAGCAGATGGCCATGGAGTCGATCGTCACTTTTTTGGTTTGAAGAACATGCTTCGTAAGGGTGAAACCTCTCCGGCGCTTTTCCAAGATAAGTTATTCCAGTATTCCTCTACTTGGTTGATTTCGACAAGTCAATTGTCCTCTGAATACTTTGAGGGGTATGGCTGGTCTCAAGTTAATGATAATGGGTTCGGTTTGGCGTACATGCTCAATAAAGATTGGCTGCATATCAATATCGTTAACAAGCCAGAATTTAGCATGTTAAGCGTCGATAAGATGCATTACTACCTTACTCAAGCTGCAGAGGAAATATACGACGCCTTGAATGAAGAACATCAATTGAAAGCGAAACTGTGAGACATAGGAAGAAAATCACATATGTAAGTGAATAGCTGAACTATTAATAGTTAACCAACTTTCTACTGGACCATTGTGGGTTTTCAAGTCATAATTTCGAAGGGTAGTATGGAAAAAAACAAAAAAAAATGATTTCGCCCAGGATCGAACTGGGGACGTTCTGCGTGTTAAGCAGATGCCATAACCGACTAGACCACGAAACCACTAATTAGATGTTACGTGAATCTAAACTGATTCTATATAAGGTCTGAAAAATGTCAAATGATCCGGTTATAAGTCTCGGATGGGACATGAAGAAGGCCAAAAACCATTTGAGATAAAGACTGGTCCATTTGAAACTAAAAGATTACAACTAATACTGCATAAGCTCTTATGGTATTTGTCGAGGAGATCAACCGTAAAACCTACAATGAGGATGTATACTACACAAGCATTAACTCTCTAAAACCTATGGCCAGAAATAGGATAACGAAAACGACGACTGCAGCTGGTATCCGTAACAATAAAAGAGTAAACTATTCTTTGGCTGATTTAGAAGCCAAGATATACACACCACAGGCTGATAAAAACGAGAGTAATTCGTCCTCAAAGTTGATAGCTACAGCAAATGGTGCTCTCGAGAGATATTCGCAACAAGAGTTATTAAAGTCCAAGAGAAGGTACATGGAGTTAGATACGGAAAACTCTCAAGATACCAAAGATGTGCCCTATCTGATGAGTGGCGTAACTGGCATTAACAGGGATAGGATAGACCTTACGAGCTCTTCTGCATCTGTAAGCGGATCCAGCGCGTCCAACATCAATCGGTCCAACAGAAATAAACTTGAGCTTCCGAAGAACATTGAGATGATGTATCGGTCTACTAAACCGCCAGCAACAAAGAAGAAAAATACAAATAGAATAGTTGCGCTCAAGAAAATTCTCTCTTCTCGCCGGACACTCTCAAGTTACTTAGATACAATTGATCAAATTAATCGAAGCATCATCTACAGCAATGTTTACAACAAGAAGTTTTTCAAAGTGCTTCCTGTAATTACTGTCTGCTCCATCTGTGGCGGTTACAAGAGCATTTCTAGTTGCGTAAAATGTGGCAACAAGATATGCAGCCTCCGTTGTTTTAACCTGCATAATGATACCAGATGCACCATGTAGATAAATGGAAGATTTGCGAGACCTGAACCATTTTAGGTGCGCTATGATTCACTTAAGAACTGACTAGACCAGTACGTCCAAAATGATATCAAAATACTGAATTTTATTATTGAAGTGGGATGAGGCTTGCGTCAAATGAGAATAGCTTCGCGAATTATTGCGGAGTATACAGACAAGACCTCACAGACTTTTCGGATAAAGAGGTACTTACACCTGAAATGCCTGATTCAGAGCGTGAATCTTCATTCAGTGAACACAATACAGATTCTTCCATCGCACATGAGGATGACACTGGGATCTTGATCGATAATGAGATTCATCCCCGAATCGAGGAAAACCCTCTCCACGAAATCGCCGGCACTGCATTTGGTTTAGGTATTCTTCTTGGTGGATCATTCGGGCTGCTTCCTTATATCACTTTCAAGAATTTCAATCTTTACCTAATTGCTTTAGCTCTTTTTCATTTTCTTGAATTTTACACCACTGCCAGATTTAACCCAGGAAAGGTCACATCACAATCATTTCTATTGAATAATGGTAGAGGGTATATCCTCTCGCATATACTTGCCACGTTAGAAACTTTAGTAGAATGTATTTTCTTCCCTAAATGGAAATCTACTACCTACTCCGCATCACACAAAATAATTGTGCTATCTGGCATTGTGCTGGTGATTTTTGGCCAGTTTATTCGAACTGCTGCAATGGTTACCGCCGGAAGGTCATTTTCTCATTATGTCAAGACGAAAAGAAACTCTGATCATGAGCTCATCACTACGGGAATATACGCGTGGAGTCGTCATCCTAGTTATTTGGGATTTTTTTGGTGGGCCCTTGGGACCCAAATGTGTCTTCTTAACATCGTCTCATTTTTCGTTTTCTTAATCATTCTGTGGAATTTTTTCCACCAACGGATCAAGTTTGAAGAAAAATTTCTAATTCAATTTTTCGGTGAGGAATACTTAAGATATCGACGTCGTGTGCCCGTTGGGATTCCTTTCGCTTCTTGAAGCATGGTTTCTTATCGACGGTATAAAATTGCACATACGTTTTGCTTCTTATTTTGGCATTTGGTTATATACACTGCTGCCCCAGTTAATATTATTACAATTGTATATTAATTACTTAATCATCTGAAGTTAGATCAATGAAATCCTGTTCGTTAGCTCTAGAAGACGACAGAAGTGGTGGTGAACCAGCAAGATTTGTGGATGATTGTAAAGATGTATCTTTAACATTGTCGCCTATGCCTGGAGATGCCTGTAATGCATTATTTTTAGGTTGCCCATTAGAAATGTGTCTCTTTTGGGGTAATATGTTCATGTAAGGCTTTCTTGGAATAAATGGAGAGACGATGGGTTTCTTGTTTCTTGTGGTCGCTACAGCACTGGGAATGTTAACTGGAATGTCAGTGGGTGCATTAATTACCGATCCGTTTGCTCTTCCAGTGATGGCTGCTGGGATTGGTGGTAGAGGGGGACGCTCTGCAGTGGCCACTGAGACTGGCGGCAGGGGGAGCTGCCCATTTGCTGATCTTTGCATATTGGCGTTATTCGCAGTAGGCTCTATTTGTGTGTTCGATGCGCCATTGGAAACTCCTGCAGCGAAAGCGTAGCCATTAAGATTACCATTTAAGGAGGCCAAAGGTAGGTCTTCACTGCTTGTGCTGTCGTTACCCATCTGAGCCCCATTAGTCACAGTATCAATATCGGTCCCAGGCCCTAAATTCGTTTGCAAACTTCCTGCGGGTTGAGGGTCATGCAATCGTAAAGTGTCCGCATTGCCACCTATTCCCAATAGACTGCTGGAACCCAAAGGATTGCTAGACAGCGTGTCACTGAGAGAAGGCAAGCGGTTCTCTTGAGTACCCGAGTTTATATTGCGATTAGATGATTTTTCGGTCTGATAAGATACGCTGTTCATACCGTCATTTCCATTTCCATTTTGTTCGAACCCAGATCTATTTCTTGGAGCGTTAAGTAAGGGAATATTCATCTCCCCGAATGTTCCCATTGCCGGTGGTCCATTAGTATGTGCATTAGAGGGACTGGGAGAACCTTGAATTTCGTTCTGCTCACGTTGATCATTATTGTTCAGGGGTGTTTTACCCAAAACATTTGGAACTTGATGATGCCGCTGGACAAAAGCCGCACTATTGTGTGAAGAGGTCTCACTAGGCGACCCCATGGGTGCACCAATAGGTGTTGTACCATTACTTCTGGGATCCAAAGTTCTATGGTGAGGACCAGGTTGAGTATCCATGTATGCGTTTATTATATTTGATAAAGAATCATGTTCACGTGGAAGTTGTGGGTTTATTTGATATACTGGAGGCAAACGTGGCCCCCTGCCATTTAACTTAGATTCTTCAGTTGTGCTAGGTGTTTGAGAAATATTATTAGCTGGTTGTGGTGGATGTTGATCAGATGGGGATTCACTTTCATCGTCACTGTCCAAGGAAATGACCATTGGTTCCGGTTGTGCTCTATTTCTTCGTGATCCAACCACTTCTTCCTCACTATCGACATCATTCAAAGCGCCGTCTTGTAAGCTTTCCGAACCTTCCTTTTTAACTTGGTGCGAAGAATGCTGAGCCGGAGCCGGTGTTTCCTCCTCAGCCTTGGCTACCCACGATCCGTCCGACGAAATTTCGACCTGCTCTACTTCATCGTCACAATTTCTAATGATGTTATCCACGAACTCACAAATTGCTAAATCTTGTATTTTGATCTTTTTTTGGCAAACTGGACATTGCCAGGTAGGAATCTGTTGCTGTGCCTGAATAAACCACAGAGCGTCAAAACATTGTAGATGACGGCAATGTACAGATTTTGCTGGGTACTTCATTCTACAATATGAGATTGGGCATTTTAATGTCATAACTGTTGACGTAGTTACTAAATCATCATCTTCGTCTTCATTAAGAGTTTCCTTCAGATATTGAAGTGTGGCAGGGGTAACAATTTTAGGGTGCCGGAGTACTTCTTCAAGAAGCTTTTCTGGCGATATCACTTCAACTAAGTAGCAATATATCAGATAATCATCCTTTGTGAATGCATATATCAGTTGCAAATGATTCTCACCACCAACTGGCTTCAAATATGGCGTGAGGTCAGCCGGTTTGGCAGTACCCAACTTATTCTTTAAACCGCGAACGTTATCTTTGACTTGAGTTTCATTGAATCGTATCTCGTTAGGATGTGGAAATTGGATGGGAGCGTCACTTTGGGCTTCCAATGGATTCAGAACGCCACTAAATAAATATAGGCGGAATTGTGGACCTTTTTGCAGTATCCCCATCTCATCTTGGTTTAAAACAAATTTATAGCTACAGACTCCTCTGCCATTGTTTTTCACAGCTATTCGAGGTGAACCATTGACCATCCTTTTAAGACGGTAAAAAGGTGATTCGCTGAACTGCAAAGTCGCTCGGCTCTGTGTCGGTACCGACGGTATCTTCACAACCAAGGGATTAGTAGGGAGCGAGCTTGGTGGTTGGTGTCCTGTTGCAACCGGATGCCTGTATGCCCCTGTCTTAAGGCTTTGCCAAATTGATTCATATGTGGGTAACGGTTCGCTTTGTCTCGCTTTTCCTATCAGAACTGAAACTGCCTTCGGTCTCCATGGATCAATGTAACCAACTCTACATGAGTTCCTCAAGTAAGCACGTAACCGATCTTGTAAGTCTGCTTTCCTGCCGCTGAGAGAAAGCCCAATAGACCGAGAGACTGATTTGAGTTCCGCAACTTTGAGCCGTGACATTTCCTGTATACAGTCTTCAATCTCTTGATGAAGACCTCCCGATGATACTGCCATATCTATTGTTTGCTTTTAAAACGTAACCTATGCTACTACACCTTTTCAAACTTTCCTAATCACTTCTGACTTAGATCATTACTAACTGCTCGGAAGAGTTATCACCAACATGATCACTTTGAACGACATATTCTAATTTACGGGCTCTCATATCTGTAAATACTACAAACCGTATGCATTTGCGAGTAGCTTAGTTGACATCAACCCTCCATAATTGATGCCTTATTGTTTCGTTATTTGATACCTCATCTCTCAAATTATAGAATTAATTAAAAACTGTTTTTACTCATCAAAAAAAATAATTTTCAACTGCAAGAGTCACTTGTAAAGCATCGTCCATCTCAATTAAGCAATGACACCTAGAGTAACTGTTCTGATCTCAGGATCTGGATCTAATTTACAAGCTCTTATTGATGCAAAAGCTAGGGGTGATTTAGCATGTGATATAGTGCGTGTAATCTCATCAAGTAAAAAAGCATACGGTTTGGAAAGAGCGGCGAAACACAACATCCCATCAACGGTCCATTCGCTGTATAAGTATACCAAGGACTTGCCAAAGGAAGACAAAACTGCACGGGAAGCAGCTAGAAAGCAATTTGAAATTGAGCTGGCGTCTGCTGTCCTGGAAGATAAGCCAGATTTAGTGGTTTGCGCAGGTTGGTTATTAATATTAGGTAGTGAGTTTTTGAAGCGCCTCCAGAGTATCCCAATCATAAATTTACATCCAGCACTTCCAGGTGCCTTCGATGGTACTACGCATGCGATCGAGATGGCATGGAAAAAATGTCAGCAAGATGGCCGTCCTTTAAAAGCTGGATGTATGGTTCACCTTGTCATTGAGGAAGTTGATAGAGGAGAGCCCGTTGTCATCAAGGAACTAGAGATTGTTCCGGGCCAGGAGAGCCTAGAGGACTACGAAAATAGAGTTCACGCTGCTGAGCACATCGCCATCGTTGAAGGCACCAGAAAGATTCTGGGACAAGCCAATGTTGTCAAAAACTAAGTTTTGTATGAAATGTACATATATATCGTTTCCAGCTTTCCGAACAATAGCCTCAGGCCTCTAATTCAATATCTACCGTCTGCTCTTCGACTTGACATATGTCTAGTACTCTTTCACTTAAAATACCTGTAGTACCACGGGCAAATTTGTAACTCTGTTGCTTAGGCTCCCTAACATTGGGTGTTCTATAGTTTCTTAGGTATTGTGCGTCCTTTCCAATTTCCATTACACACACGTCAACGTTCGAACCTGAACCCAGATCGTTCCAGATACCTGCTTCAATTGCATCCGCTGCAAGTTCAATCGCCTCTTCTCTAGTTAAACCTTGTTTCCACTTCGACTCTAATACCGCCATCGCTGCAAGGGACCCAGATCCCAAACTTTGGTAGTAGCCAACGTCAGTTGACCCATGTGCGTGAATGGAAAACAGATGCGCACCGGTTGGGTCAACACCCGCCACAATTAGGTATGCACCTACATGACCTTGGTACTTGAAAAGATGTTGTTTAAGCATCTGTAAAGCTGCCACCACGCGTGGTTCCCTGCTGGTGTACAAGGAATGCAATTCTAAATTCGAACCAATTAGCTTTGTAACTTCTTCTGTGTCTGCTGCTGTACCTGCACCAGCACACCAAATCTTTGGCGCCATCTTGTGTAGTTTGGCACAGTTTTTGTTGGCAACAATGGGTCCTTGAGTAGATCTTGTGTCTGCTGCAATCACAACTCCGCCATCATACTTTACGCCCACGATTGTTGTACCAGTAGACGTGGCTTGAGCCTTAGTATTAGTACTGCATGTGAGGTATTGATTTCTTTGGTAGTTATCGAATGAAAGGCCTGCCATTATTGTTGTTCGACTTGTGTTGTTCGCTGGGTGGCAAACATCTTGAATTGGGCCCTTCAAAATAGTTTAACAAATGCTTACGTTTTGAATGACAACCAAATAAGAGAATATCGATTGTACAATTGCACCGTTTTGCGTAAAGATCAGTGCATCATATCAAAATTTCTATTACAGGATCGATTGAATCAAGAGTCATCTCTTTGAATCTGTTCTCGTCCTTCTTTTTTATCGGTGACTTTTCCCAATTAGATATCTGTTTTCAAGATTGAAAGAAGTGAACAAATAGAATTGATCAGGCATTCAGAGAAGTGAGCTCTACAAATGATAGAAAGCTACTCTTTAGTAGGACCTGCCAAGATTAGAACACTGGTGGTACCCATTGGTAAATGGACCCGGAAAAGCTTCCTTGAGAAAGTCAAGCTTTTTCAAGAAAGGTTTGATATCAGACTAGTTGACATTACGCCATTTGACGATGCCACGTTCAATCCACAGGGGTTTCCACAGGGAAGATTGATGTTTGACTTTCGTACTAGTCATGTTGAAGAGGAGCACATGCTGTTTCTACATGACTTTGAACCATATCGCAAGACATTCGTTATCATTGGGTTAGTGAATCAAAAATTGGACGGGAACGTACTGGAAACTCTACGGCAGACATATCCCGATGCTATTTCGCACAATCTCATTTATATTGACGCAGATTCAACTCCTTCGAAGTACACATTCAACTACTCTTCGGCATCCATCGAGACAATTATCTGCGATATTGGAAGAAATTTTTTAGAGGCATTAAGTCATTACTATTCCTCCTACAAGCATGTAACTCTTCGATCACCTGGAGCGATTGGTGGTAATTCTGTTTTGAAAACTACACTCACACGGCAGCCCGCTAGTGTGACTACTACTACTGCTACTAGAAAGATTTCAGGTCTTGATCCCACGGTTTCTTCAGGTGTTGTAAGAAGTCCGTCGCTCAAGTCTTTGGGCCGAACCACTATCCCCCCTGAGCAACAGCGCTCCAAAGCCCGTCAGATTAAAATTCTGGGGAATTTTCAATTGCTAGCTGGAAGATATATGGATGCATTGCAGAGCTTTGCGGAAGCCGCATCTATTCTCCATAAACATCATGATTACATTTGGTTAGGCAATGCACTCGAAGGCTTGTCAATTTCGATAGTACTATTAGCGTACTTGCAAGTGCCATTTCAGATTCCTGCCATAGCAACGCACTTATGCCAGCTCAAAGCCACCAGTCAATCAGGATATAGCGCATCACCCTCTAAAAGGGACAGTATCTCAACAACTCCAATGCAATCTCCACGTAACTCAATGAGCTCAATTGCTAGCAAAGTTCGTATTTTAGATGTTCAGGATGTCATTATATCGAACGTGGTTAAATCGATAAGCGAGCGAATACTTTATTATTACGAACTCAGCCTCACGCACAACAGTGAATATACCCCACAGCTGGTCTATTGTGAGCATATTCTTCGAATGCTTCAATTCATGATTTCATGCTATAAGGGACAAAGTTTCGACCAACAGGTTTTGAGAAACATTGTTCTGAATACACCATTCGAAGAGATTAAAAGCCCAAACAATTTTGTTGAGACAGAATCCTTTTCAAAGCTGGAAATATATCGATTTGCAAACAAATTGTTCGAACTACAATTAAAAGAGATGGACATTGTATCCCAGATAAAAGTATACACTGCTCTTGCCTCAGTATACGATTCGCTAGGTTTTCAGAGGAAAAGATGCTTCATTTTACGCATTCTTTTCGTCAGCCTGATGCCGCATCTTGATAATGTTGATATTAATGCGAAATGGAAAGAAAACTATGGCGAAATGATTCATGCTTTATTAGAGGTTTATGGCATTAGGCGTACACCAGAAAATTCAGTTCAAGACGCTTCCAACTGCTCGTGGGTAACGTTACAGAAAAGTGTTTTGATGCTTTGCGTTACTATGGCCTCGAAAGATAGAGACAAAGAAAGAACGGCAGAATTTTCACTTTTGTTGCTCAAGAGGTACTCTCACGTTTTAACACAGACCGAAGAACATCGATTGTTGAATGATTATATTCTACCTTCAATATCTAGTCTTCCAGACCTACAGTATTGGGATCCATTCCTCGTAAGAAACCTTGAGATCCTACAATTGGACGTTAACAGAGAAATGCCTCGCAAAAAACAGATAGCCCCCATCAACATCAATGGCTTTAATGAAAACTCTTCTGATTCGGCTGTTTTTAATCCATTTAGACAGAATTCAGTCAATGGAGTTACTGAATTATCTCAAGGTGGGCATCGAAATGTGACTTTCTTATTGGGAGAAACTGCTGAATTGATTGTCACGCTGCAAAACCCATTTAAGTTCAATATAGAGATCACCGAATTATCATTTGTGCCTGAAGATGAACTATATGTGAAGTTCTTAAAGGATCTCTCCTTTAATGAACTTCCACTTCTCATTCCTGGAAATTCCATGAGATCAATTCACTTACCTGTTGCATTCATCAATGAAACAGCAGAAGAAGGACAAAGTATAGACAAATTACGTATCGGCGTGTTTGGCTTGCCACCCCAGCTGATGCGAATAGTGGTGTCCGAGAATTTGTTGCACAGCAGGGAGGAAAGCAATAATGACGATGGTAATGAAAGGTGTAATTACGGATGTTTCCGATATCAGGTTATTCCTGAGGGCCCTGAGCTCGAGTTTGTTTCAAGTACTTTAAATGACAACGCTTGCATGCTACTTGACGGAACCAAAAAAATGTTTAGCTTCATTGTAAGAAACAAGTCGTTGGACCAGTCAGCCAATTACCTTGTCTTTTCTCATTTAACAAGTGTTGAAAAGTCACTCAAACCTGATTATTGGAAAAAAATGCCACAAGATGACTTGTATGAAATTGAAACTCAGCTCAAATGGCTTCAACACAGTTGTGTGAGATTCCTGAACGCACCTCATGCCATCGAGGCTAATAGCACGGCTGAAATTAATGTTGAACTTAACATGGCCAGAGTGCCTTTTCAATTTAGTGGGTTTGACATTTTGATTGAGTATGGGATGCAAAACAGTACAAATTCGAATGTAATTTATACAAAAGTTTTACATGTTCCAATTGAAATTACATTGAAAAGAAGTGTTGAAATACCGAATATGAACGTTATCCCCCTAACGGAATCTTTCAATGAAGTCGAAAATGTTATGGATTGCGTCCCTTATTTAATGAATAAAGTTAAAAAGAACGGGGAGCAAATTTCAGATTATGCGTTAATGTTACTAGATATGAGAAACTCTTGGCTACATGATGTTTCACTGAATGTACAATACGACGATTTCATTGGCAATTCGATAAGCATAGAATCAATGCATACAGTGAGGGTAGTGATTCCAATTAGAAGGTTTTCCGCTACTTTGAATTTAAAAGCTAAAGAAATACCACATTTAGTAACTGGCCGCCAATTTGTTAGCAGTGGTCTCACCGAGGAACAAACTTCAGATATGCGCGAGAAATTTTGGTGTAGAGAAAGAATTTTAGAAGGCATCTCATGCGAATGGAAACTCCAAGACACTGTAGGAACTACTGGAACTGTTGACTTCCGTCAATTTCTAGAGAAGATTGATACTCGATTACTCGATATACTGTCCCCACACCGTGGATCCTCGTATGCAGTAGATCTATCATCACATAAAAACATGATAGAAGTCGGAGAAATACTACAAATAAAAGCAACGGTTAAATTCAATACTTTGCATGCGAAGAACGATGAGACTGTTTCGTTGTCATTTCTTCTTTTCAATCGAAGAACGGGCAAGACGATCCCTAAAGCAAGTAATGCCGTATTGTACAACGGAAAACTCACGAGACAGATAAGACCGATGCATAATTCTGAAGTTACTTTGGACCTCTTGCCATTAGAACGAGGTGAATATGAAATTGCATGCTGTCTGAACTCCTCAGAGTTTAACGATGTTCCAGTCTACTTTCGTGTTATGTGATTATAACAGAAAATTTTTAAAACTTGATGAATGAATGTATATAGAATTTGAATAGAAAATCCTCGCATTTGATAAAGTGGTGAATCAGTTCGAGATGGGAAAAGGAGCGGCGAAATATGGCTTCAAAAGTGGTATACTGCCTACTGCTCGCTCAATTCTCAAGAATCCTACCGTAAAGCAGAAATCGTTGATTGACAAGGTTGGCGCACCAAAATCGAAAGGTGTTGATGGTGTGGGATATGCTGATAATATAGCGCATCCCAAGGGCTCGCATAGATTCTCCCCCGAGGTAAAATTTGTGAATGTGGATGAACTAATTGCGAAAACAGTTGCAAATCCTCGTAAAGTGAATGTGGCTAACACCCCACAACAAGAAGCAAAACAACAGAAGGCTGAATTGCGTAGGAAATATCTAGCCGAAGCTTTTAGAAATGAAGAACAGCGTCTTCTGGAGCAGGAAGAGCATCTGAAGCGTAGGCAGGAAAAGTTGGAGAAAGAAAGAGAGAGTGAAATTGCCGCTTTGAGTGAACCTCGTTCTAGTGATTTAACTGTGCCAACTTTACAAAGCATGCTGGATATGCCTCTAATGAGGCAGAGAGCACCAGAGGAAATTGAAATATTGAAACTGAAGAGAAAGCACAATAGAGAAATGCTTCGATTGCGTGCGCAGGAGCGCAAGTTAGACGATTTGCTGAAGTTGTACTACGTGACTGACGAATTCATAGTCTCCGAAAAGGACTTCTTGAAGAGAATTGACGAAGTCTTTGCTAGTGAGTCTTCAGAGGCTCTCAGGACCAAGCTAAGTGTCGGGGCGTCAAGGCCCAAGACCAAGAACGAAAAGAACATCGGTGATGCACTTTTCGGGTCTGTTGGAGGAGGTGATCACGTAGGCTTGCCAGTCATTGAAGAGTTCCTTAGTGGCGAGATGAAAACGTTTGCTGATGATATCGAAGCAAAAAGTAAAGCTTTATTAGATCAGAAGAAGAGGGACTTGGAATCTATTTTATGATGTAAATAGTTAAAATATGCTCTGTATATAGCCCGGAAAAATCCATATCAATCACTCACGAATTCTCTGGACTTTTCACACAAAATAGTTGATTATCAATTATGTCCGACTCTGAAACTTTTCATATGTGAACGTTAATATACAATGGCCAGCGATACTGTTCACTTATTCTGCCGCTGGCGTTATGAGTGTAATATTATCGCCCTTCAGTAGGATACGACCTAGTGTTGTAGCTTGTTCGGGTATTTCTAAACCGGTCTTTGTGTCAACTGGTATTTCCTGAGCGTCGTCAATTACCACATTCATGAATTCATCAAATCCAGCTATTCTACCCTTTATCCTGGTCTGGACTTGTTCGTAAAGCCAAAATGTTACTACACTCTGTTGTTGAAGAAAGTTGAAGATGCAGTTGATGGGAGGTACCGTTACTTTTGAATTACCAGGTGCCATTTTCTTCTTTTTCGAGTTGCAAGTTACTATTTACTCTCTCACTTCTTCAAAAAATTTTGAAGTTCAACCCTTCTTCAATCCATGTTAAGAAGGTGTATGGATAACAAATTAAAATATGAAACAGATCCTTGAGTAATTAATGTACCATTTTTGTACGGCAGATAAAGAAGATGTAGAAAGCTAGAAACAGAGTAGGCAAGTACTTCTATTTAAAATACGTTTCATTTCTGTAGTGGTGCCTCGGCATTTACTTTCGTTATTGATGCGTCAAGAATAGCGAAAAATTTCATTTCCTGATGATCAAAGCACCTTAGTGTGAAATTGGTTAAAAACAGCTATTGATGATGTCTTTTCGCATCGAAGAGGTTCAGCGTGCTTTAGAGTGTATTTCATCTTCTGCCACTCAAGAGAATAAAAACCAGGCTTTACAATACCTTGAACAGTTTCAGAAATCACCTGAAGCGTGGACAATATGTAACCACATTTTGACTGCCGATGTTGATCAGTCGATGATACAACTTCAAGTTTTTGCATCACAAACACTCAGGAATAAAGTAACGTATGATCTGTCCCAATTGCATGGAAACTTAGCCGAGTTTAAGCAAACGTTACTAAAGTTGATCTCTTTGCATTCACAGAAGTTAATAGTAACGCAATTGTCGGTCACTCTTGCTAGGCTAGCCATTCAATACGTGGAGTGGAGAAATCCAATAGGTGAGATCATCACAGTACTTAATTCTCAGCCTGGAAAATTACTAGAATTTCTGAAGATTCTACCTGAGGAGACTTTGGACATCAAGTCTACTCCATTGACTGAGGATGAATTCAAGTCTAGGGTGCATGAATTGATAGATCAAATTGCAAAAGATGTGCTGAATTTTTTGATATCCAGCATCGGAATTTTGAAATCGAATTCTAACGAGATCACTGTAACACAAGTATTGAATTGCCTCAATACATGGTCGTATGAGTTTCCCATTGAAGAGCTGCTAACAGTGAATCCACTTGTTTCTTTGATATTTCAAGTATTGAATGAGGCTCAAGAAGAAGATTCCGATGCTTTTGATGCAGCGGTCGAGTGCTTATGTGTCATATTGAAAGAAACACGCGATGTCGAGAATGAGAATTTAATAAGTGCACTTTACCATGAACTTTTAACACTACAAGCTAAGCTTTTGCCTCTGGATCAAATTTCTGACTTTGACGAATACTACGATATTATGGATGGGCTAACAAGACTTTTTGTGGAAGCAGGTGAAGCATGGTGTGTTTTTATTGCCAAGTCACCACAAGTCTTCAAGCCATTGGTAACTGTCTTACTTTTATTGACTTGCCGGAATTCAGACTTGGATATCGTCAAGTACACATTTCCTTTCTGGTTTAATCTAAAGCAGATGTTAGTTCTCCCTCGCTTCAAAGAACAACGACTTGCATATCAGGATATATTTGTGGATCTAATTAATGGCGTCATCGCTCATTTGAAATATCCTGCGAACAACTTTTCAAACAAGGAAGAGGAAGATAAATTTAAGGAGTTTAGGTACGACATGGGTGGGGTACTTAAAGATTGCACTGCGGTGGTTGGATCAAGCAAAGCTTTGAACGAGCCCTTCACACAAATAACCAAAGCGATGACGATTCCGAACCCCATGGAGCAGTGGCAAAATCTAGAAGCACCATTATTTTCACTGAGGACAATGGCACAAGAAGTTTCCACCAGTGAAAATGTCGTGTTGCCACAGCTTTTTCAAATGCTTTGTAACATGCCAGAGCATCCAAAGATTAGATACGCCACTACTTTAGTTTTTGGAAGATACACTGAATGGGCTGCAAAACATCCCCAGTTCTTGGAGATGGAACTTAACTACATATTCAATGGATTCCAATTTGCCAATGGAGATTTATCCATTTTAACTGCATCGTCGCACGCGTTAATGTACTTTTGCCAAGATTGTAGTGCATTACTGAGCGATTACGTTGACCAACTGGTCAACTTTTACTGGAAAATAGAACCAATGGTTGACACGGAATCGTTGTTCGAAGTTTGTCAGGGGTTGAGTGCGGTGATCAACCAACAACCCATTGAAAGGATCGGTCCTTCTTTGGAGCTTTTCATCAAACCGCAGCTATCAAATCTAGTGGAAAGTGTCGCCATGTGGAAATCTAGTCCCTCTTCCAAAGATTTTATCAGACAAGTTTGTGATAAAATTGATATGATATTTGCAGTCTTTGAAGAGTTGAAGCCACGTTATGAGTTTCCTAATCAAGGAGAGGAACCCCTGGAGCCTTACATTTCGACAATATGGGACACTATGCATAAAATTCTTGTAGATGAGGGAGCTTCAAGTTGCGAACCAATAGTGGAGATAGCTATGAAGTGGCTACGCAAAGTTTTTTTCAACTTTCATATTTTTGCCAAGCCTATTCTACCTTCAGTCGCCAATTATTTAGTTCAAGGTTATTCCACAACGGGGTTCGGAGTCTATCTATGGTGCTCTGGTGCCATTATTTCTGTTTTTGGGGATGATGAATCCTACAGTATTGAAAGTGAAGTTAAAGATGCTGTTTGGCAGTTCACATGTTCACAGTGTGTGACTTTCATGCGAAACTTCGAAAAAGTAGATCACTCAAAGCTTGACGAAATTTACGACTCTATTCAAGATTTTTTCATCATGATTACAGATGTTATCATGTTCTACCCGGATAGATTTATTGTATCGGAATTGCTTGAACCTGTGTTCGATGTTGGTTTGAGGTGCGTATGCCAGGTGAAGAATTATGATTGCTACATAACAATCGTTCGCGCGCTAGATGATATTTTATCATGGGGATTCGAAACTCCACCTATTTCGACAGTTGCAATTGATGATGTTCCTATTGAATGGAGACAATGTGTCATAACAAAAGTAGTACAAGGAAAAGGATCTGAACTAGTAGTCAGTTTACTCATGGGATTAGTATCCAATTTTAGTTCAGATGCACATCCAGATGTGATAGGATGTATTGTTAAATGTTTGAATTTGGCTACACAAGCTACGGGTGACGCCACTGTTTGCATGGAGTGGCTTTCCCATGGTATGGACACGTTAGGAAAAGTGACTGACCAAGAAAGGGCAAAACTGATGACTACAGTAGGTAATGCGTTACCTCAAAGAGACCTGAGAAGAGTGAGGAATGGTATCAAGGATTTCGTCAGTTGGTATCTGAGAAAGAACGTATCCCCAAGATTATATAAATCTGCCCCATAGTATTAAATAGCACCCGGCGAAACCACAAAGAAAGAAAAAAGTTATAAACAATCAAGGCGATATTAATCTTTCCTGGTAGGTACTGGATTTTCAGGGTGAGCACGCAGTTCATTAAAAGCCTATATTAGATTATAGAGGGCTTCATTAGTAACTTAAAAGGATCAGTTATAAGAAATTAAGAGCGACTACCATTGACTCATGATGAAGTTTTAACTTTGAATGTTATTATAGAATAAAACTGACAACAGGGCACTACAATGTTCTTCTAGAGTCAAACATTTTGGTGACTGAGTTTTTTGAGTACATCCGGATACGCTCTGAATATTTCATCGAATCTTTGGGGATATGAAATATGGAACACTTCTGGGTCATTCCCAAGGGCAACGAAGAATGTGGCTGTTCCTGACCTAATTGTTTCATTTGCAATATTGCAAATTTGCAGAGCGATTACAAAGGAAAAAGCCATTAAAGGCACGTTGTAACCGCCAGAAGAGTTGTAACTTGGAGACGTGAATCGCAAATACAAAAAGGCGAACAGAGCCGCAAGGTAACTCACAAACATGGAGTAGAAACCTAGCGCAATGTTGATCAAGTTGTCGTTGATGAGGGCATCAATACCTTTTTCTCTTAACATGTACCAGGTTTCTCTGGCAGCACGTAAGTAAGGTTTACCATACAAGGCGATGAAACAGTAGGCGTAGTGGTTAAAATACTTGGCAAGCCATTGCAGGAAGCCCATAATCCAGTCTATGATCATGAATCCACATTGAGCCCACCCGTTGTTGGAAATATTAGTCACAACGCCGTTCCTCAATAGCTGTAGGAAGGCACGAAGAGTTTCGATTAACGACACGATGAGGGATCCGAAACAAATAGAACCAAATGCAGTGGTCATTGAGCGCTTGAAGGCTCCAAGTGCTGGCCAACGTGGCATACCTTGATCAGATTTGGACATGTAGTACCAGCTCCCATAAACTCCAGAAACGGTGCAATGGATCACATTCCGGAGGACTTCCGAGATGTAATACCCACAGAAAAACACTAGAACAAGCAGCCCAATTAGCTTAGCGTTAGAACATGATCCACCATCCACTGAACAGCCAGTGTTACCCTGTTTTGGGTCGTATTTTATGTAGGTGGCTACGATGACAGCCGAGAACAGCATGGCGAAGCCGGAGGCCAAAACTGATCCGAAAAACGTCACGAACAACGTTTGCGGATGCCGTTTGAGCACGTCAACGACAGTCTTGAGAATCGCTACACTTAGTGGGATCCGGGAGCGCATACCCCAGTAACACCAAGCGGTGATTGCTGTGAAGATGATAAACACGATACCGGCAGACCAATAGCGCATTGCTAGGTATGCGATTGCAGTACCGAGCCCCGCGAGAATGTTAATTATCATTCCGCAGTAAATAAACGTTCGAGGTGAAATACGCATGAGTATGAGCCCCACTGCAGACAACACAAGCGCAATTGCGCACACAAACACCAGCAGGATTGCGGACCCTGTATTCATGGTGCCTGTATTCGAGCCGTCGTAGATGCCCGACCCGGTGGAAGAGTAAGTGCGTGCCCATGCGCGCAGCGTGATGGACGCCATTACGATGAACGCACACACAGTAGCTAGAAAGAACAACGTGAATGGCCAGTCGTTGAAACGCGCCCGCTTTTCTGTGGGGAACTGCTCATCGAAGGTACCGACAGGCGCACCGGAGCCCTTGGATTCTAGGTTGTAGTATTGGTCCTGACGGAATTGGTACTGCTGTTGCTGCTCTTGGGGGTTGGAACCTGAGTTCTCAGGTTGTTGATGCTGCGCTTGACTCTGGTCCACGTATGCAGGTGGAGGCTGCGCCGGGCGATTGTACTTCTCGGACATTATGGTAGTTGAGTGTTCAAACAGCGATATATCGAAGATTGATAAAGGGAGAACTGAGTTTTATCCCGTTTCGTTGAAACTTTATACCAGGGGCTCCAAAAGTCGTCAGTTGTAAGGGACTTTTTTCCAGAAAATAGTTCGAAATGTGCCGTTTGAAATGGTCAGATCTTGCAGCAAACGTTTCTAGTCCTAGCCTTGAAAAATGGAGGGTCTTTCGTCCTCTGTTTGCTCCGATATTCCTCTGGTTTTATCCTTCTGTGCATAAGTCGACTTTCCTTCGCATCGCCTTCTCCCCAGTTTTATAGTTAATTTTTTCTTTGCAGTAGAGGAAAGCTTTTTGCGATGAACTGCAGGAATCGCAACGTCAACAAGAATCAAAGAACAAATTTTAGATTCTGTTAGAATTGAAGCGCTGGAAAGGCTACGAATGGTGACATAAAGACCGAGAAAGTACGGTGGAATCACACAGAGCTCTTAGACGCATGTAGTAGCAATTGTGCCTCAAGGAACGCGTTTCGAGTGGACAAGCGTGACACTGGCCTCGAACCTATTCGAAATACGGTGTAAACAGTTCCAGATGAAGCATCTGGCACCATATGGCCACGCCGACAACGCCGTACGGTTTTAAGCACGGAAATGAGGAGGATAGGGCCGTGTGTGCACGTGACTTCGTTCTGCGTGGCGTGGTTGCAAGGCAGCCAGCAACCCGATCCGTTGCCAGGTCAACAACAGCGGTGGGTGTGGGCGAGGTGTCTGGGAGGCAACGACGTGGCATTCAGATCGTGGAAATTGAGGCAGGGCGTGAGTCGCGGTAAATTGGTTTGGAAAGGCGCCCCTAACGTGCGCGAGTTAACTACAGAACCCTATTTTGAAAGCAGTTTAGAAATTGCACTTGATTCGAAACTAAGTGGTGTATCGTGGGATCGAAGCATTGCGTATCACCTTATAAAGTTTCTCCCTCGCCCCCCTGAGTATTATCGAAACGACCCCCTATGTCGTCCAGATACAGAGTCGAATATCATTTGAAATCGCACCGTAAGGACGAACTGATCGAATGGATCAAGGGCCTGCTCGCAGTGCCTTTCGTCCTACATTCGGCATCCGCAGATGAGAGCCGAGTTGTGATCCGGCAACGTTACGCCGACGTGTTCCGAGCCGTTGAGGGCATGGTGCAAGACGAGGTAGACATCAGCCTGCAACAAGGCGAGTTTGCGAATGGACGCGTCGTGCGATCTCGGCTTCACCAGCTGGTACCCTCAATTGGGCCGTTTTTCACTCCGCTGCCGTTGGAGCAAGCTTTCCTGCTCGAGGACAAGCGACGCGCCATATCTGCGCGTACCATGGTCGCGCCCAGCTTCAACGACATTCGACATGTCTTGAACGCAGCGCAGATTTTGAACATGCGCGAGGCAGGCAATGTCAAGCTAGTCACGTTCGATGGGGACGTGACGCTGTACGAGGACGGTGGATCTCTGACCAAGTCCAGCAAAGTGGTGCCGTACTTGTTAGAGCTATTGCGTCGTGGCATCCACGTCGGTATTGTCACCGCTGCTGGTTACGATGAGGCTCGCAAGTACATGGAGCGAATGCATGGACTGATGGAAGCGCTACACACTGACACGACAATCACACCCGAGCACAAACAGAACCTGGCTATCATGGGCGGTGAGTCCAACTATCTATTTCGTTACGACTGTGTGGAGCAGGGGCTCGTGGCCATCGACGAGTCGCACTGGTTGCTGCCGCAAATGCAGCAATGGGCCTCACAGGATCTCACAGACACATTGGATCTGGCAGAGTCACTACTGCACGACTTCCGCGCATCGCTACGCCTGCCAGATGAGGCCACTATCATCCGTAAGCCACGTGCCGTAGGCATTGTACCTGGGAATCGTTGGAATCCGGAAACACAGAGGACCATCCGTGTAAAGATGGAGCGTGAACAGCTCGAGGAGATGGTTCTGACGTTGCAACACACGCTGGAACGGTTTGCACCTGCTGCGCGCATCCAATTCAGCTGTTTCGACGGTGGAAGCGACGTGTGGTGCGACATCGGGGGCAAAGATCTTGGTGTGCGCGCGCTGCAACACTACTTCAGCCCCTCCTCGCCCATTGAACCCAGCGAAACTCTCCATGTGGGCGATCAGTTTGCCCCGATGGGTTCGGCCAACGACTTCAAGGCCCGTCTTTCTGGCTGCACCTTGTGGATTGCGTCTCCACAAGAGACCATAGAGGTGCTGCACGATCTGACGCACGGCTTCGATCACTAACGTACACTTTGCCACTGCTTCTGCATCGTTCACTGCTTTCAGTGTTGGTCTTCGTACCTTGTATAGCGTCGTCATTAGAAACGGACCTTTTTTTCTCTTCCACGATGCGAATTGAATGGGCTCATCCCCTACTCATCTTTTACACAAACGCACAAACTGCATTGTAGATGCTTCAGATTATAACTACTCCTTTGATGTATGTTTCAGTAATGAAATAAGCAGAGCGCCTTTATGGCAGCATTTTTGTGTCCAGTAAAAGACTAACTAGTGACCACAGCCTAGTGGTTTCGACAGCAGTGCCGCTAGTGGTGACGGTGGAGACATTACAGATGCGTGGTGGCCTTGAAAACAGCACTAGTACGCGTAACTTGACAAGGCAATTGCTAAAATTTTGGTGCTTGCATGCATTGTGTCGCTCAGTCCCGAATCCTGTGTTGTACATGGTACGGGCGTTGCCCTTGATGAACTTTGTGGAGCTGGTGGTGTGGACGTTACTGGCACGGGAGCTGCTGCGTCAACTGTATTCGTGTACCGTACCCACTGGCAGTACGGTAGCTGCAAGTGCACCTAGAAACGGCAGCTGGTTTGGGTATCTGTACTACGACGCACACCAGAGCTCGGGGCGCTATGTGTTCGGCCACGTGAGTGTGTGGCTACTGCAGACAGTCGAGAAGTGGCCACTGGACGTTCGGCTACTTGACAAGCTGTACCAGGCCTTCATGGGCGCTGTGGGCCGCGTGGGAATCAGTAGTGCGGCGAGCAAAGCGAACGGAGGTAAAAATGAGCCTAAAAGCTGGGGTTGGAGCGCAGAGTGGTTCCGGCAGACCGCGTCCAGCGAAGGTCTGGAGGAAGAGTACGATATGCTCGAAGATGTTCTGGGTGACATGCGCGGCGCCCGCAGTGAAGCCCGCAGTGGGTGATGATAGCTGACTGCGACTTTGGTGAACACTTTGGGGTTTGTAATTGGTATACAGGTTCGACTATGTCTATTTAATCGCGCGAGCGGCGCAGAGCGGGCGGCGTCCCGCGCTCGCTGCACGCTCAGTTTCGTTATATACACGCATTCTGTTTATGTACACGCAGCGCTGATGCCCGCTCAGTGGACGCGCTGTTCATTGCAGGTCTGACCGTACAAGGCGGTCCACCTTCAGCACCTGTCCAAGCCGCGAGGCCTTGGCTTGCGAGCGAGCGCGCTGGTTTAACATCTTATTGCGCATCATTCGAGGCACAAACGGTTGTGCAGCAGGCTTGTAGGGCCCGAGAGCGCCGTCAAAAGCGCGGCCGGGTTTGAATGCATCTGAACCGAGACGTGTTTGCTCAGATCTGTAAGTACCCAGTTCTTTGACTAGTGACGCGGCCCACGGCTCCTTGTCGCGAGGTTCTTCGGGCCACACAAAGGGTTCCGCCATGTCGATGGTCATCTTCTTGATCTGGCCCTCACGATACCGGGGCATCACTTGATTTGCACGTGTGTATTTGGCATGCAATAACTGTGTCGTAACGTTCATGGCCCGTAATCCGTACACATGAAACAGATAGTCCCTTAGATCCAGTTTGTTGAACGACTTAGGCACTATGAACTTGGCTTGGTATGGTGTGTGCTTGGCATTGGGCCGCAACAAAATCACCCGTGCTTTGGGGAAAAATAATTGCTTACCACCAACTTTGAAATGTGCACGTCCCTCTGCAATTGCTTCACGCGACCATTGTAGAATCTTATCGCTTACTTTACGAGCTGGTTGCACCTGTGGAACTTCCTCAGCCTGAGATACCTGTTGTACCGCGGGTTCGGCTGCAGTAGCCAGTCTCCGTACACCTGCTTCCCACTGTAACGTATTCCCCCATAGACGAGGTAAATTCGCCGTTAACCGAGGCATTATAACTGTCTTAACGGCGTGCTTCTGTTGATTTTGTCACTTCTCACTGGAAAATTTTCCCATTTACATGTTGAAGAGATTAAAAAAAATCTTTATGTTGGTGTTACCCGGCACGTAGCACCGGTTCGGCCCAGTTTCAAGAAAAATTTTACGGTGGCAAACTGGTAAAGGTTGAATTGGCAACAACATCGAGCAAGCCAGAGCGTCTGTGTACAGTCGTTAGCGTGTGAAATTGAAAGCAGTAGAAGCAGGCATGTCGACTGAGGACTACTATGAGGAAGACCCATACGCTTACGAAGACGATGAGGCAGCCATCACGGCTGAGGACTCCTGGACGGTGATTTCCGCGTTCTTCCGGGAGAAGGGTCTTGTCTCGCAACAATTGGATTCCTTCAATCAGTTCATCAATTACACGATTCAAGACCTGATTCTCGAGGACTCGACGTTGATTTTGGAGCAGTTGGCGCAGCACACGACGGAGACGGATAACATCAGTCGGAAGTACGAGATCAGCTTTGGCAAGATCTATCTGGCAAAACCATCCATGACGGAGTCGGACGGTGTGTCACACGCAATGTATCCACAGGAAGCTCGTCTACGGAACCTGACGTACGCGTCTGGGCTGTTCGTGGAGATCAAGAAGCGGACGTACGAAGCAGTGGACATCCCAGGGCGCGACTTGAAATACCAGGTTATTCAGGAGGAGAGTGAGGATAACGATGAAAACAAGATTTTCATCGGCCGGGTGCCCATCATGCTGCGGTCTAAGTACTGTCTGCTTGACGAGCTGACAGAGAGCGACCTGTATAAGTTGAAAGAGTGTCCGTTTGACATGGGGGGTTATTTCATTATCAATGGGTCTGAGAAAGTATTGATCGCGCAGGAGCGTTCTGCTGGTAATATTGTGCAAGTGTTCAAAAAATCAGCTCCTTCGCCAATTTCCCACATCGCGGAAATTCGGTCGGCACTCGAGAAGGGCTCCCGTTTCATCAGTACACTGCAAGTAAAGCTTTATGGACGTGAAGGTAGTACCTCACGTACTATCAAAGCCACGCTTCCATACATCAAACAAGACATTCCGATTGTGATCATTTTCCGTGCACTCGGTATTATACCTGACGGAGAGATTCTGGAGCACATCTGTTACGATGTCAATGATTGGCAGATGTTAGAGATGCTAAAGCCCTGTGTCGAGGAAGGGTTCGTCATTCAGGATCGTGAAACTGCACTAGATTTCATTGGTCGTCGTGGTACCGCTTTAGGTATCAAGAAGGAGAAAAGAATTCAGTACGCAAAAGATATCCTCCAGAAAGAGTTTTTGCCTCACATAACGCAATTGGAAGGTTTCGAAAGCAGAAAGGCTTTTTTCTTAGGATACATGATCAACAGACTGTTGCTGTGTGCATTAGACCGTAAAGATCAAGACGATCGTGACCACTTTGGTAAGAAGAGATTAGATTTGGCTGGTCCATTGCTAGCACAGCTTTTCAAAACTTTATTCAGAAAACTCACCAGAGATATCTTGCGTTTCATGCAAAGATCGGTCGAAGAAGCTAAAGACTTCAACTTGAAGTTGGCGGTCAAGGCAACAACTATTACGGCAGGTTTGAAATATGCACTAGCTACAGGTAACTGGGGTGAGCAGAAGAAGGCCATGACTTCGAGAGCTGGTGTTTCCCAAGTGTTGAATAGATATACTTATTCGTCTACTCTATCCCATTTAAGAAGAACCAACACTCCAATCGGTAGAGATGGTAAGTTGGCCAAACCTCGTCAATTGCATAACACTCATTGGGGTCTTGTGTGCCCCGCAGAAACACCGGAAGGTCAGGCTTGTGGTCTGGTGAAAAATTTGTCGTTAATGTCCTGCATATCGGTGGGTACGGATCCTTTGCCAATTATTACCTTTTTGAACGAATGGGGTATGGAGCCATTAGAAGATTACGTCCCTCATCAATTTCCCGAGGCCACAAGAGTTTTTGTGAATGGTGTTTGGCATGGTATTCACAGAAATCCTGCAAAGTTGGTGGATACTATTAGAAAGTTAAGAAGAAAAGGTGATATTACACCTGAAGTCTCAATTGTCAGAGACATTCGTGAAAAAGAGTTGAAGATCTTTACCGATGCAGGTAGAGTCTATAGGCCTTTGTTCATTGTGGATGAAAATGAGGAAACGGGTATTAAGGAACTAAAATTGAGAAAGGGCCATATCAGAAAGCTTATGCTAACGGAGTATCAGGATATTGAAGGTGGCTATGAGGACGAGGAGAGTTATACGTGGTCCTCTCTGTTGAATGAAGGTCTAGTTGAATACATCGATGCAGAAGAAGAAGAAACGATTCTTATTGCAATGCAACACGAAGATCTGGATCCAACGATCGAGGCAGCTGATCCAGAGGAAGAACTGGATCCTGCTAAACGTATTAAAGCCATTCATCACTCCAGCACATTTACACACTGTGAAATTCATCCTTCCATGATTTTGGGTGTGGCCGCATCTATCATTCCATTCCCCGACCATAATCAATCACCTCGTAACACTTATCAATCAGCTATGGGTAAGCAAGCGATGGGTGTCTTCTTGACCAATTACAATGTCCGTATGGACACAATGGCCAATATTTTGTATTATCCTCAGAAGCCTCTTGGTACTACACGTTCTATGGAGTATCTGAAATTTAGAGAACTTCCAGCAGGTCAAAATGCCATTGTTGCAATTGCATGTTACTCTGGTTACAATCAAGAAGATTCTATGATTATGAACCAATCTTCCATTGATAGAGGCTTGTTCAGATCGCTTTTCTTCCGTTCCTACATGGATCAAGAAAAGAGAATCGGTATGTCAATCACGGAATCTTTTGAGAAGCCTCAACGTACCAACACCCTAAGAATGAAGCACGGTACTTACGATAAACTTGATGACGACGGTTTGATTGCACCAGGTGTTAGAGTATCCGGTGACGACATCATCATTGGTAAGACTACTCCAATACCACCAGACGCAGAAGAATTGGGCCAGAGAACCGCATTCCACTCTAAACGTGATGCATCAACTCCATTAAGAAGTACAGAAAGTGGTATTGTTGACCAAGTCCTGATCACAACTAATCAAGAGGGTTTGAAGTTTGTGAAAGTTCGTGTTAGAACAACTAAAGTTCCCCAAATTGGTGACAAGTTTGCTTCTCGTCACGGTCAGAAGGGTACTATTGGTATTACTTACAGAAGAGAAGATATGCCTTTCACTTCTGAAGGTATTGTACCGGACCTGATCATTAATCCTCACGCCATTCCCTCTCGTATGACAGTTGCACATTTGATCGAATGTCTGTTGAGTAAAGTTGCTGCACTGTCTGGTAACGAGGGTGATGCATCACCTTTTACCGATATCACAGTGGATGGTATTTCCAGACTGCTGCGTGAACATGGTTACCAATCTCGTGGATTTGAGGTCATGTACAATGGTCATACGGGTAAGAAGCTGATGGCCCAAATCTTCTTTGGACCTACCTACTACCAGCGTCTGAGACACATGGTCGATGACAAGATTCACGCAAGAGCCCGTGGTCCTGTACAAGTACTAACGAGACAACCTGTGGAAGGTAGATCAAGAGACGGTGGGTTGAGATTCGGTGAGATGGAACGTGACTGTATGATCGCACATGGTGCAGCGGCATTTTTGAAAGAAAGACTGATGGAGGCCTCTGATGCCTTTAGAGTTCATATCTGCGGTGTATGCGGTTTGATGACTGTTGTGGCGAAGCTCAAGCACAACCAGTTCGAATGTCGAGGTTGCAAGAACAAGATCGATATTTATCAAATTCATATTCCGTACGCTGCGAAGTTGCTATTTCAAGAATTAATGGCTATGAACATTGCACCACGTCTCTATACGGATCGTTCTAGAGATTTTTAAGAAATGACATGGACAAGTTTCCAATTAATAAAAGGTTTGTTTTTGTAGTATAGTTTCACGAAAAAAGTTGAATTTTTTTTTGAAGTAGAATGAATTAATACAGGTCGAGCCTGATCTGTATATTCATGGTAGACTTTTCTGGTACATTTACATGCTTTATACAAGATATAAGACGTTAAAAACGCCTTGGTTAATTTTGCTCCAATTCTTTCAGCTTTTGTAGAACTTGTGGCTGTTGATCAACGAAGGCAGTCACGTTGCTCTTGTAAGGGTGTTCACTCCCATCGAACACCTTTAGTCTCTCGAGCCGTTGTTTTCTTAGTTTATTCTTGGGCAACATCCCGCTTACGGCTTTTCGAAGAATTTCTCCATAACCTTTGTCTGCCACCACTCGCTCCATAGTCCGCAGCTTCAAGTGGCCAGGCTTTGACGAGTGAGACCAATATGTCTTTTGTTCAAACTTCTTACCTGTTACACGTAGCTGTTGGCAATTCGTTACAATCACATAGTCCCCACAGTCTTGCGTTGGATGGTACACAGGCTTATGCTTACCCATTAAAGTGATAGCTATTGATGATGCTAGACGACCTAAAGTTCTTTTATCCCTACCAATGTCTACATGGTGCCAAAGACGTGCGAACGCTAACCCAGTGTGCCCAAACTTCTGAGACATGGCTTTGCTTATTGGTATGGATCTTTCAACTTCTTAATTTCGAAAAATTTTCTTGGAAAGGGAGATTCTTAGTCTTCCGGGTAAGAAAAGTGAGAGTGTTGAAAGTTTTGAAAAAAACAGAATTTGGACACCAATCAATCAAGAAATCGGCAGGCGAACGAACTCAATTGAAGCGACTTAGTGATGTTTTTCTTCAAAGATCTTTCGCTGAACATCACATTGCATCCATCCTTCTTTGGACCTCAGATGAAGCAATATCTGAGGACAAAGCTTCTGCAAGAAGTGGAAGGAACGTGTACTGGTAAGTTTGGATACATCCTGTGCGTGTTAGACTGTGATAATGTGGAAATAGAGCGTGGTAGAATTTTGCCGGGTGATGGTTCTGCGGAGTTTACTGTCAAATATCGCGCTGTGGTATGGAAACCTTTCAAAGGAGAAGTCGTTGATGGGATTGTCTCAAGTTGCACAAACCTTGGTTTCGAAGTAGATGTGGGCCCGCTGTCTGTCTTTGTATCACCATTTCTTATGCCCGAGGATCTCACATATAATAGTGGGTCAAACCCACCATCATATCAGAGCTCTGAGCAAATTATTACCAAAGGCTCCAGGGTGAGGTTAAAGATTGTTGGTGCAAGAAGTGAAGTGAATTCCATTTATGCTATTGGTAGCATTAAGGAAGACTACTTGGGTGTTATATAGTGGAAGATACTTACTAGGAGCGTTGCGCAAATTATCTGTTTCCGCCGCCATTTACATCGATTTGCGTATATTAAAAACTAAAATAATAATGGACAAAATATTAAACCGTGGCAAGAAGCTGCACTTACGAACCTGTAGAGCCACCAATAACATGGTTGTTTCTCTCACAGTGCGAGTTCGCACTTGATCTAACGACAAAGCTACACATATTTGGCGTGATAAAAGAAAAAGCGATTTTTTGGCAATGATTCATCGCTATCAAGAAATCTCAATTTAACTTTTTGCGTATGTCAATCTTTCTCCTAATAACGAAATGCCCTCCAACAATATCTGCATCGTTGGGTTCCTTCCAATGTCCTTCATAAATTCCACTCTCTATCGCATCGATCACCACTTTAGATTTAGTAAGGAAATATTTTCCTTCATCCTCCAATTTCAATACACAATTGTGCCATGGTGTTGGAATATGTAACAGGTCTTCAAATCTGGGCTCCTCATTATTATCAAGGCATTTAATCACTTGGCAATCTCTGCTGGAAATCATTCTAATTCCAAATTTTGGGCCAAAATTAGTATGCGCATGAATAGATAAGCGCATATGATGAGGGAATATCAATTCCACTAAGTTCGAGTAAGCGTCATTCCTTTTTATCATTTCAAATGCCACTTTAGAGACCACCTTTTTGAATGCCTTTTTGGAAGTTTTTTGGAACTGTGGCAAAAGGCGCAAGTCATCCATCATAAATTTAGAGAAGCCTCTAAATAAATGTAATCGAGGATGATGCTGAGTCAAAATTTGCTGTCTTAACTTTCCATTATCGGTATCGAAACCTTTCATCAAGATTTTTCTCGATAACTCCGATGGTTCGCATATTTTCGTCCCCGTTCGATGTGGAAGCTCAATGTCTTTGACCAATTCTTCATTGAATTGAGATTCTTCATCTGTGAAAAATAGCTCTTTCAACCCAGCAAATCCTATTGCGTCGATGCCTGGTATTGAAACTTTCTGATATAGTTCGTGCAATTTTGCAGTATAGCAATCAACTACATCATCATCAACTCCAATGCAATCGCTAAAGACATGCCCATCACTAACAATCCAGATTTTCATGCCCGGTGGATAAAAGTTCTGTACCTCTCGTGTAACGGTTATTAATCTTCTTAGTGCCAGCTCTTCTCCCTTGTCAGGAACAGCACCATATACCTTTTCTGCATTCGATGATTTGCATGGAAACGCAGGAATGATACATTCAATTCTCAATAATCGATCGGTAAAATACCTAACATTCGCGATGAAATTGTCACGACCACCCATATCCCACTCATCATTGGCAGTGGTATTTTTCAAGTTTTGGGCAAAGTAATTGGTGAAGAGTTCATCATATGGTAATTGGCTTCTATTTTGAGGTACCTGACTGAAAGATAGCCTAGCTTGGCTCAGAAGATGAAATACGAGCCAGTCGCTAAATTCATTTTCATTTTCAACGGTTGTTACAATACCGCGTATTTGATTCTCATTGGCCCGCTTGTATTCCGAAACCTTTATAGTGAGGCCTTCTAGATTCGTGTACTTTTTAGCCTCGTTTGGGTGAATAATAAGTTCAGCGACGCCAGTGCTTTTTTTTTTCCAGTGCAAACTGTCTTTTAAAATTGTCGCGAAAGATTTCCAGTTGTCACCAAGCAATGTTTTTTGTTTGTCTTGGATCGAGTTAACCTGGTAACTATCAGAGTTTCTTGTATATATAGATAAAACCTTGCTATAGGTAGACAAATCCTTTCCATTGTGGGGAATTTCAACGGTGAGACTGTCGGGCATCAGTAGATCTTTCATTTGCATAATTCTCTGTGGTACATCTAACAGAAGGCGACCAAAAATGTTATCCTAGTTTTGTTATATATATTTAGGTAACTTAGTGAAACCAAAAAGTTTTAGATCAAAGAGTAGTTCACTTATGCTATTTTCAGTAGCTCTGGAAAAGAGACGTTACTCGCTCCTGGAGTAATTCATGGAGAGCAATGGCTGCTAAATTAACTCCGGCGGTCATGCCACATCTATTTTTCCTAAGAAATTGCCTTCCCGACTATAACCTTGAGAAACATAAGAAAGTTTAAATTTAAAGTTCTGTAATAATCCTAAAAATGGAAATTTCCCCTTTTGAAATACGCACACATCATTTATGTATTATTTGCTTTCTGAAGAAAGAAGCATTCGAATTGGCCTTACTAGATTTTTAAAGTTTTGGGCAAAAGATGTAGTTTTAATTATTATGCTTTGTTTTGGCAAAAATTAATTACAGTAATAAGACCGTAATTGGAAATTATTATGGCTTCATGCAGTTCATTGAGTCGTTGCATCATCGTTACAAACCAAGCTAGCGATTATCAAAACAAGTATTCGCTGAGTAAGAAAACTACAAACATGCCAGAATTCCAAAAACTGGAATATTTTTATAAGTGAGGCCACGTTTTTTCCACTTATTAAAGTCTAGAAGCTCAGTAAAGCAAAAATCTGTCGATATTGTTCGTTGATGATTTTTAAGACTTTAACGCCAAGTTTAAAGTTTGCTGTGCCAGAAAAAGTTTCACCTCGGACAGCGATACTTAAAGGTTCTGGTGAAACTATTAAAAAATTATTCTCTAAAAGCATGTAACATGATCCAACAATGATAGAAACGATTTTATTAATTACGACTTCGGTGTTGGTCTATTTCATTGTCAAGGTTGTATTCCCTCCTTGGAGTTTTCCAAAGAACATACCTACCATACCATTTTATGTGACGTTTCTCGGCACATTTTTTGACTTGGATCAGGAAGACATATTCGAACTATACTTGAGAAAACCTATGGAGAAATATGGTGCTGTTAAAATATACTTCGGGTCTCGATGGAACATTCTTATCTCACAACCAGAGCTATTGGCACAAATTTTCAAAGACGAGGATACCTTCGCAAAAAGTGGGAATCAAAAAAAGATTCCATATAGTGTAATTGCAGCGTATACCGGAGAAAATGTTATTAGTGCCCATGGCGAGCTTTGGAAACTTTTCAGACGGACTATTATGCCTGGACTCCAGTTTTTCGATTATTCGCCAATCTCAAAAAACGCCAAGAGTTTTTGTTCATTAATTTCAGACAAATTGGTGGTTCCAATAGTCCCTAATGAATTGAGTGTCGAAAAACAGTTGATTCATAGGAAGACTGGAACAATCCGTATGCCAGAGTTGATCCAAAAACTTACATTGGCAAACATCACTGAGGTTGCTTTGGGCTTCAATATGGGTGTTCTTACGGACCAAAACTGCGAACTACATCTAAGATTAAAGAACGTGAAGGCTCATATATTCAAATCTTTATATTTGAACTTTCCTTTTCTAGATAAATTCCCAATTCCATCTCGCCAACGTGTGCGAGCAGAGGTGGAAGATTTTCGGAGACAGCTCATGGACGAAGTGCAGAGGAATATGGTGGAGAATTACAATTACGAGCAAACCTCATTTGCTTCCTCTGATTTGATAAGAGGCTTCAAAAAAGGAGAACTCACGAGGTCGCAGCTAGTCGACAACATTGTAATTATCCTCGTGGCCGGTCATGAAAACCCGCAGCTAATCTTGACATCATGCTTTTACATGCTAGGGAAATATAAGTATAACTGGCAAGAACGATTGAGAAGAGAGATACTACAGAACAAAGATATGAAACTATCTGAGCTACCACTCATGAATTCTTTCATTTATGAGTGCATTAGAATGTACCCACCTCTAAGCCAAATCATTAATCGCCTAACCTCCAATATTTGCGTGCTTGGCAGAGATATTGTTATACCTAAAGATACCTATGTGGGATATAACGTATATGGAACTGGTCGCTTAAAATCAGTGTGGGGGCCCACGGCCAATCTGTTTAAACCAGAAAGGTGGGGAACTACGATTAACGAAATAATGAGTGAATGGAAGCATAAGAAAAATTCTTGTGCTATGAGTGCATTTCACGGTGGTCGTAGAGTATGTTTAGGTGAAAAGCTCGCTTTGGCAGAGGTACGGATTACTCTTGCAGAAATGCTCAAAAGATTCGAATGGTCTCTCGCGCCAGGTTGGCCTGAAAAAATGACCTCAGCGGGACCACTATGTCCTCTAAATTTGCAGTTGGAAATAACTGAACTGAACGAATCGACATCATGACCTTCCTTACATATTGTTTCTATGTAGAAAGTAAAAATTTCATTTAGATTGTTGCTGACAGACTTGCTTTATCCAATGCATCATACACCTGTTGCCAAAAAAAATCCATGTTCAATTCGAAGCCGACAATCGTACCTGTTTCGTCATCCAGAGCATATTCCTTAACGATTTTTGTACGCCCCAAATCCGGACTGTCTTCCTCCTCAACTGCGTGCAAATCAAGACGGCGATAAACAAATGCGATTTTGTCAGGTTGCTCAAACCCATAAAATTCGAGCAATGGAAGTAAAGTTAAAGGATCATGAACTGGTGGTCCATCATCAAAACCTTGGATGTCCTCGTAAGTATGTCCAAAAAACAAGAAAAGCTCATAAAACAATTTGCGCAGATTGGACTTACCATCCCCCAAAACTTTCTTCTCAACGAGTTTAGTAGCGATTGCCTTGTGAGTCAAATCCACTGGAACGAGAATGCACTTATCTTTCACTAATGGATCTCTCAAAACGGAATTCGCCGCCTGGGGATCGATCCAGATATTAAATTCGGCTGAGTTATTAGGGTTACGATTACCCTCGTTAATTCCTCCTCCCATGACACTTATGTATCGAATTTTCGATTTCAGATGTGGCCTTTCCCTGAGCAAAGTAGCGATGGAGGTCATGGAACCTGTCGACACGAACGATAATTCACCTTCGTGCGCTTTGATAGCCTCCTCAATTGCATCTAAATAAGATTTATCAGTTTGGAGAGTGCAGGTTGGAGTTGGAAGTAAGCTTGTCCCATCCAGGCCGGACTCGCCATGAATATCCGGTGCGTAAATGGCTGCCCTCACCCAAGGTCTTTGGGCACCTGCATACACAGGGACTTCTTTGGCTTTTCCCATAGCAGTGATCAGAGACAATGCATTGTATGCTGTTTTATTTGGAGGTGCATTCCCGTAAGATGCACTAATGCCACAAAGATGAAACTTAGGATGGAAGCAACTCAATAGAATGGCAACCGCATCATCATGACCAGGGTCACAATCTAGCCAGATTGGAATTTTAGGTATTATCGTCATTTAGTCTATCACAATGATTCTCCGGAAGGATGTCTTTAACGTGAAGTTTTTCGTTGAATTTCCGTATCTTTTGGTTGCAATCAAGATAGGATCTACGTACTAAGTGTCGTTTGCCAGAAGAATGTTCGAGATAAGTATCGATAAAATGTGTCTAATTGTGCACATGAACGTGAATAGACAACAACGACGCGTATATAGAGAGATTTAGATTACCATCAATGAAAGAATTGACCATCGAGGCATTGAAACTTGCGTACATTTCGCTGCACCTTGATAACGTCCGTGGAAAAATTTGAATTTTCGCTATTTTCTTGGCATTTTGTCAATTAGCCCATTGGCACATCCTGGACAATGCCATCTTAAAGGAGCCGGGTTCCTTCCTATTCGGAAGACACAGAATTCAGACAGGTAAGGGCCACGCGCTGAATCGTAGTAATTAGCGTATACTTATCTTGAAACTATTAAATAGGCTATCCTCCCCAATGGATAGGAAGCGTGCGTAGTGGTAGAAGCACAAAGTAAAGACATTATCTAAATAGTAGGACACTACTCTAAGCGTTTTTGTCCTATCGTGGTTGGGCTCTTTAACCTATATATGCCCTGGTACACGGAGGGCCTTGACTCCTCCTGGCCTTATCGGTGGTACATTGCCTTCCTAAAACAAAAGAGCTTATCTGCGTGCTATATTCTGATAGACTCTTCCGTGTCAAATAAAAAGGCACCTCCTCATCTACGCACTTGGCGCGATATGTGATGCATATTTCTGAATAGGATAGCCATCGACGATTCGAAGAAAGGCCAACGTGCAGAGCGTTAAAAGCCGCTAATGAGAAAGCACCTCGATTTAGAACACGTAGAGAATTGAAGGTATTTACGAAACTCCTCTTAGAACTCTCTTCGTTTGCTTACTCTCTCTCTCTATCTCAGCTCGCACCCCCCACTAATCTCCGGACAACGCCGCGAAGTGCCGTTCAGAAAAGTTGCTAGGATAATCGACGTTGCATCAACGAAAAAGTATTAATAATTAAATTTGATTTAGTGGTCATGGTAGTTTGAGGTGTTTGCATGACTATTTAACGAGCTAATCTCATTCAAATTAGCATAGCTCCTGAAATACAAGTACCAGACAGTACGTTAGGTTGTCTTAGAGATATCGACCGAAAGCGCAGTTGTCCTTGTAGATTTAAGCTCGCCGAAAGAAGGCAAAAAGGTGACGATTACGGAGTGTTCTACAGCAACAGAGATGTCCATGATATCAAAAACGCAGGAGATTGTCGACATGGAGAAACGCGAACCGTGTGAATGCCCGAAAGATTCGGAGAACTTTTCATCCGGTGACGAATCGGGCAACGACGGCAACAAAATCTCAGTTCCCGATGGAGGTTTTGGGTGGTTTGTGGTGATTGCCTATTTCTTTTACAATTTTACTACATGGGGCGCTAACGCCGGCTATGCTATCTACTTGGCGCATTATCTCGAGTACAACACTTTCCCCGGTGGTGGAAAGTTGGACTATGCAGCAATTGGCGGATTAGCGTTTGGATGTGGTTTAATCTTTTCACCCGTGTTAACCCTCCTGACGCACAAGACTTCTGTACAATTCGTCATCGGGTTGGGTATCGTCCTTCAGGGAGCTGCGCTCCTCTTGGCAGCATTTTCAAAAAAACTATGGCAAATATATTTGACGCAGGGTCTTCTTATCTCGTTCGGTCTGGCGGCCATTTGCATCCCCAGCGTCACGCTTCTTCCTCAGTGGTTCCGTAAGAAACGGTCGCTTGCCATGGGTCTAGGTGCATCAGGTAGTGGCCTCGGTGGTATTGTCTTCAATTTAGGCATGCAGAAAATGATCGAAGTTCATAGCGTGAAATGGGCCCTAATTGCACAATGCATCATATGTACTGCTCTCAGTACACTGGCATTATTTTTAACCAGAACGAGGACCAACGAAATCCAAAGCAACTCCAAGCAAGGGTCTCACATGTTTGATTCAGAAGTTCTTCGTAGTGCAGGCTTTTGGCTGCTGGTATTGTACGTTTGTTTTACTATGGTTGGTTATGTCGTGCTCTTATACTCGTTATCGGCATTTACAGTCTCTTTGGGTTATTCAGAAAATCAAGGTTCAATTGTGTCATGTATGATAAGTGTTGGTGCTTTATTTGGAAGACCAGTGGTCGGCCTGATCGCTGATCATTTTGGACCAGTAACAGTAACAATGTTCGTTCATCTGATTGTGGCAATCTTCTGTTGGGCCATGTGGATTCCATGTCGCAACTTTGCAACAGCGTTGCTATTCGCATTAATTGTGGGTTCTTTAATGGGGAGTATCTGGCCTCTTGTTGCACCAATGATGACAAGAGTTGTGGGACTGCCGAAGCTGAGCGTTACATTCGGAATGGTTTGGGTTGCTCTGGGCATCTTCGCTATTGTTTCGCCAATATTTGGGCTCGAACTACGTACAACCAGCAGTACAGAGAGTAATAACTACGTCAAGACAGCCATATTATCTGGATTCGGCTATTTTGGCTCAGCTTTATCTATGTGGATACTGCGGGGATTCCTGGCCGCTAGAGATGATGTTGCGCTCGAGGCCAAGACCGGCTTTGATGATGGGGAACTGCATTTACACGTGGGATTCACTGAATGGATGAGAGGTCTATTCAAGTTCCGCGGATTGAGTAGAAAAATATGATTATACATATATTTTAATCCTAATATACAAAATCGCAAATGATATACCTATGGAAGAAACACATCATTTCCTTGTTCCATGGCCCTCTTTGTGTGATAAACAATATCCGTAGATTCCCAAGGATAAGCGTACCATTTGTCAGGAACCTGTCTCGCGGCGATGTAGCGAGTATCATCAGACAACATATCGGCTGGCAAGTCGGCCTTCTTTGGCTTCAGTTTGTCGTGCAACACAAAAATGCCAAACTTGGTCTTCATCTCAGGTTGCTTTTCTAAATCGATGCCCTTGGCCTTGGCCTGTTCCTCTGCATCTTTTTCTAGCTCGCTAAGGGCGTAATGCAAAGTAGTACGTGTGTCATCGACCTCGTCAACAATCAAGACGTTCTTGCCAACCAAGTCCAATTTACATTGATCGTAGTCAATCCACTGTGTTCTCTTCACGGTGACACCGGGGGTCTCCTCTTCAGAGCCTACTGTAGTCAAATCCTCGTATAAAGAAAGTATAATAGCGAAAATTCTTATAGTAGGGACATTAGGCTCCTTGAGGAAAGTACGCAAAATTCTAGCGGGAATAAAACCACCACCACCGATAGCGATGATTAAATCTGGCTTGAATTTCTTGATACGTGCTGCTGACTCCTGGCACAGCTGGTGAACATTGTTGTAGCTGATGTACTGCTTATCGTCGCTCATATTACCGTTATGTGTCTATAATGCGTTCTCCGAACGATCCTGATGCAATAACTTCACCCTCCACCGTTTTTATACATGTTGGTGAAGAGTCTTGCAATTTTTTTATCTTTTTTATTAGATCGGACGTTCCGGCCGGTAGTCGCGGCCAAATATTGACTTGGTTCTCAAGGAATTACTGGGACGTACCGAACCATTAAAGGCCCTGAAGAACGGTTATTACGTGCTTGGAAGCATAAGAGTTCACTTCTTGGTTTGAAGTGACGTTAAATGAAGTTAGTTCTGGTCGTTCGTAACTAAAGCAACATAGATAAACTTCCGCTCAACGCGTGAAGACGGATTACGTTCGAGGCATAAAAAATCGAAATGGATCTTCCAACATTCGCTACAGATATATAAAGGGGTACGTAATTTCTTGATTAGGACATGGCTGTTGAGTTCGGTACCGGAGATGCCGGTACAGTGCAAGGGGCGACACCGATCGGTCCATTATCGATCTCTTATCCATATTGAGTCGTGCGATACGGAACTTTTACAGAATACACATGGCTCTCTGTTTATATGAGAATACACATGGATATTAATGTCATGTGTCCACATGCTACATTGTCCACTATCTAACTTTCTTTTGTGATTAGTTTATAGAATTTACAGACAGCTTCACTCTACTTCAACGTCACTGTACCCTTCTTCAACCTCGACTCTCATTTCGGGATCGTCATCGAAATTTTCTTCCGAGTAGCCATTGGCCAATTTGGCTTCTGACTCCTCATCACTACCTTCGCTCTCATCACTATCGTCGTAATCTAGCTCGCCGTCGTCAATAAGACCTGCGTCGTCCAACTCCTCGATGTATTCGACTTCCTCTTCCAGTTCCTCAGCTTCTGCAGGATCAAGACCCATTAGCGATTCCTGCATGGAGGAGTCAATGGTGCGTAAACAATCGAGTCTATTAAGCGTGTGGTCTAGTTTGCTCTCCAGCACTAGCAGCCGAGGCAGTAGATCACAACGCATTTTGAGAGTGGAGTGTAGTGACGATAGACTTGCAATCAGGTTTGGCATTCCAGCTAAGTAACCACCGTGGATAATCAGGCACCATTTGACCCACACGTTCAGTGGGCCTTGGCGATTTGTCTGTCTAGCGATGCGTTCCGCGAGCCTTTCGAGTAGAATAACCGCCAGTGGAGGTTGGAGTCTACTGATTGTGCCTTTAATTACACGTTCGTCACGATTGTTGAGAACAGTTTCCAAAAGAGAGTGATCATTGGATTGTAAGGCTTGTGTCAATACAACCGTCAGAGTACCCGTTGTAGAGCGCTTCTTTGCTCGTCTTGATTCTGCTAGTTTAGTAGTTATGTCAGTGGAAGCCAGCTTATCAGCGAGAGATTCTTCAGCATCTTCTTCATTTCTCTCGACTTCTGCAATTGCCTGATGGACGTATTTAAAGTTATCACCGGACGTCACCGTGGCGTTTCCTTCGACATAGGATTTGGAGGCTGCTATATCCTCGCCATACAGTGAGCGATGTGCAGACTTAGATGAGGCTATCGGACGGGCTTTTTCAATTACCTGTGTAGGAGGCAACGTTTGCCACTGGAGCTGGTCAAAGTAAGGTATGACTGCGTTTTCCAGCCAAGCATAATTGACAGTTGTTGCATTGATGAAAACGTTCAATACTGGAACACTCTCTTCGGATTTAGGTCTCACAACTTTTACAAGATGAGCCGCTTGTTTCGACAGAACGTTCCGTCTCTTGTTGCTGGTGTTGACCAATGCATCGGGGAAAATCTCAAAAGTGCCGTCTTCCGTAGAAACCACTACAGCTTGTTCTTTGTAATGAGATACGTGCAGTATATTTGATTGTGATACCAACACGGATTTTGTCGTGCCCGTTTCTATGTCGTAGACGTTCAAGAATCTATCATTAACTGCACCACTGACAAAGTAATTGGATGTCAGCATTTCCAAAGTGGAAACAGGAGATACGTGACCGGGAAATGTCCTTATCACTTCCTTCTCAGATAGATCTAGAAGGGAGATCGAATGGGACGCAACCAGGAGCCGATTCTCGCCCACAATGCAGAGTTTATGAAGGTTCACACACGATTCAAGTTTGAATTTTGTCACAATCGAGAAGTCTAGCATGCTAAATTGGTATAAGGTGTCACTTTGGTCACAACACCACGCCGTCTTTCCGGCACTTTGAAAATCCCGAATTGCATGTGAACTCCCAGTGCGCAACTTATACACGACTTGATTTGCAGCAGGAGCATACAGCCAAATTTCACCATTACTGAGCCCCAGAGCAACCACTTGTGATTCTTCAGATGCAAGATAGAGCCATTGCAATGTAGTTACTCGAAGTTGCGAGTCGTCCAAGTACAAGAAATTGTCATTCGTCGCGGCCGCCGCTTTCGAGGATGACGTTGGCTCCACAGCAATCCGGTGCTTATCCAAAGCAACACTCACATAGGCCAGATATTTGCCCTTGGGATCATACTGAGAAAGTACCACGGGTGAATCAGGCATCAGTGACGTTCACGTTCCCTTGGAGTTCGATTTTAATCTTCATTGAGATGAGATGAGCAGAAAATTTTCCATTTTTTTTCATACCAAAAGAAAAACAGACACGTGATGAGAATAGATACGAGGAATCGTTCACGTGATCAGAATGATCATATGACGACTATATCATTCACGTGATATAGATTTCGTACTGCATGCTTTTTTCTTTTTCTTGCTGATTTTTTTTTCCCTGCTTCGATATTTCACCGATGTGATTTTCAAAACACATAAAAGGGCTTCTCTTTCTGGCGTCAGTGAAGATGGGGAGGCAAGAGAAGCAGACAGGAAAAAAGAGGAAGCAATTCGTGTGTACTAGTCATGGGTGAAGCAGACGACATATCACTGCCAAAAGGTACGTTTCGCTTGTTCAAACGTTGCGCCATAAAAACTATACTAACATTCAGAACTTACAGCCACGGTTCAAAAAATAATTTCAGAAGTACTAGAGAATGATTTAACCTTCAGTAAAGAAGCACGTGAGATTATCATCGAATCGGGTATAGAATTCATCATGATTCTGTCATCGATGGCATCAGAAATGGCTGACAAAGAGGCGAAGAAGACCATTGCACCAGATCATGTGATCAAGGCTCTAGAGGAGCTTGAGTACCATGAGTTCATACCCGATTTAGAGCAGATACTGGTAGAGCACAAAGAGACCCAGAGGATCAAGGAAAGAAGAGATGCAAAATTCAAGAAATCTGGACTTTCAGAGGAGGAGTTACTACGACAGCAAGAGGAACTTTTTAAACAATCGAGGTCGCGGTTTCAACAGACTGCTCCGCCGGCTGCCGCACTACCAGAGGAATCAACCCCTTCCGACTCTGCTTCTGAGTCTGTCAAGACTGAGGACGTTTAGCCCGTGACATGGTGCCAATCTTGCCACAGGAACATAATGAAATGACACGTCTATTGTATGTAAATTAACTTTACTTCACATCTACAACACCCTAGTTTTGGGCCACAAACTCCATTATTGTCTTCAAGGTATCAAGCTTATCGCCAGATAGCGAGTTCATGATTTGGCCGTACATGACGGAGTTCCTTGATTCCAAATGTGTGAAAAAAGAATGGACTTCTTTGAAACAGTTGATTTCATCTATGCATGATTCCTTAAAATCATCTTCCAATTCATCGAAGAATTCTGTGCCGTCGTCACCTTCAAATGCGTCGCCACTCAATTCTCCACGGGACAATGCGTCCCGTCTTCTAATAGCCTCCGGTAGACTCTCCGTTAGTGTTACAAGCTTGGTTGACAATTGTGTGACAAATCCACTAACACAGCTGGGAAGTTCAGGCAAACTGAACAGTGATATTAGTGCCATGATCTGTAGTTTGATAGTAAAGACACTGGTAAACCTGCAGCTGAACCATTTTTGTAGGATATCTAGAGTGACTCCCTGTTGTTCACAAATTTGAAGTGTTTCGACAGGTTTGACAAATAACCCTGCCAAGAAAATCTTGACTATTGGAGCTTCATCTAGTTCAAGCTCCTCATTACCAGCAATCTTAAGTACCTTTTCGAAGAGAGGATCGTCCTTCATCGATAAAACATAGTATAGTAAGATATCAAGCGCACTCTCGACATCAAAGTCAACACTGCTTTCGAGGGCATGTGATAGTACTTCCAAAAACATGGGGACGTATGTATTATCGGTTGGGAAACCATGCGTAACGACAGTTTCGAAAAACACTTGAAAACTTTCGAAGTATTCCAGCGCATACGTTTGAAAAGAGTCTAGTACGTCGTGAAGAATTTCCCAAATTTCTGGGGTAAATCTATCAAACATCGATTTGGATGACAAAGCAAGAGAATCCATAAGATCAACAGCTTCACTCAAAAAAGTAATTTGGGCATTAACAATAATAAATTTCACAACAGGCATAAACTTCTCAACTAAGGATACCTTGTTCATAGACATCACCATTGTTGTCATGGTTTGCAAAAGCGCACTCGCTTGAATCTCCTGATCCTGATCGGTGGTCGAGTAATTGCCGCCTGTGTTTTCCACAATCGATTGTCCTAATACTAAGAACTGTTCGGCTAAGTTGGCTGCTAGATCGTTAGCAAATGGTGTCAACTCATCAGCAAATCTCTCAACGAAAGCTTCCATCACTTCAGATAGAATATCTATCTCAAACTCTTTGGACAATTTCAAAAGTTTCTCCATGATTCCTGGAACTTGAGAAGAAATATGTTGATGGATATCTGGATTAGAAACTATCAATGTCTTTAGAGCATCTGCTGCCTCGACTTGAATTGGCAAGGATTCAGAGCTAACGAAGTTAACATAGACTGACTCAAAAATTTTTGATAATACGCTCATATCGCTTAATGCTTGCTGATGAATAGCAATAGTTTCTAATGCTCTTGCTATCAGAAATGGATATTTGTCTTGGTTTAGCAGAGGAGTAACGAATACGTCAAAAATTCCTTCAAGCTCATCTCTCACAGGTGACTCTTTTTCTGCTAAGAAGCTGGACAACGCACTTAAAAGTCTCAATGCACCTTCCTCCCTGTAAGCACTTTCCAGAGTACCTTCATGGGCAAATTGATTGAAAACGTTATTAATAAGTGGAAGAATCTTGTTCACCTCTTCAAAACGCTTGTGTCCAACAACAAAAATGAAATCCGTTGAAGCAACATCGGCAGTGGTACCTTCCTTATTGGCATCGAAATATCTTCTGGTGTACTCCTCAGGGTCTTCTTCAAATAAAGAAATGCTTTCTTCATTTGCGGACAGACAAGGGAAAATGACATATTTGATTATTGTTTCCAAATGTGGTTGAATTAAAGGCCATAAGTTATCAGTGGTCATGCATTTTTCTAAGAATTCAATCAAATAGAAGAGAGCTGCGTCACTCAGCCACAGAGACCCAGAACCCCAGGCTTCGATAGTCTTGAAATACTCCGTCAAAATTGTTGGAACAATATGAGTAAATACATAATCCACATATTCCTTTGTGATTGTCTTAGTGGTTCTGCTAAATTTGATTAAAAATCTCGACAAATTGCCGAATGCCCATTTGTTGCACTTAACCCTCTTATCTAACGATCTGTCGCCCGGTTCTAAGTCCATGACGTCTTGAGGAAGTGGTTTGGAACAAAGGAATAGATGGAGCTGAATCCACGAATTTAACTTCTCTAAGTTTGTGAAGTAACGAGGGAAATTGTTCAAACAGGCGTACTTGAAACACTTTAGGATCAAATATAGTAGTTCGTTGGACTTGTAGTCTGTTTCGTTTACAAGCTGCGAGGCAATAACCTCCACAGAAGGAAAAACCGTCTCGATAACGTTATCAATATACTCCCTACTGTCTGCCATGTCCCATCTGTGATTGATTGTAACTTCGAATAACAACAAGAGTCCTGGATAAATGTATTCACGTTTGTTACTCGACAACAGCTCGTTGATTGCAGATGCTAAATCCCAATTATCACTATTACTCAAAATTCCTCGAATAGATTCCGTCAAGTATGGCCTAATGTGTGCGTTATCTGAATTTCTGATTAAACTTTGTATGAGATTCTCCCTAAGAATTGCTTGCTCTTCAACCTGAATAGCGTCATCCCTTTTAGAGGACCAACAACGCTGAATTTTATTCTTCATGTAAATTGCACAAGATATACGCACATTCATTGGCACAGAATCATCAGTGGTAGCACTAAGCAGAAACGTGGTGAATCCAGGCTCCTTTTGCATTTGGAAAAGTTGATTTTCTGCCTGCTTAATAGCACCAGCATCGGACGCCATGGTACGGTCTAATGCTGTTAAGATCGCTTGTTGATCGAGCATCGTGATTCAAAATTAGGGCTTATTGCCAGGTTCCGCGTTCCTACTATTAATGCTGATACTAAGCTCATCTCTGAAAATTTTTCAGATATAATAGAAATTCACCATACAAATTAATTCTCAATACACGTGACTGAGCTAAGAGGTTGAAATCAAGCCTGGTAATTTCCTATCATTTGACCAGGAGATAGACTACTCGGAGAGCTAAAAGTCTTTCATTCTGATCCTATGATAAATTTGCAGATATGGCATTATTTAGGGTATTTGATTGGGCTGTTTGTTGCACTAGAGCCGTCTTACATCCATCCAGATGAACATTTTCAAAGCTTGGGGATTCTTTGGCCCAGAATAATGGGAAAACAGAGGGCGTTGCCTTGGGAATTCAGCCCCTCAAATAGCGCACGAAGCTATGTACCATTGTATCTTACCTATGGTCCTCTGTTATATTTGAATAAGTTCGTTTTTCATTTAGAGTCACCTACTACTATTATGTACCTTATGAGGTTACAAAATTACATCATGTTTACTCTGGTCACCAAATTGTCATTACAATTCTTACTGAAATCTAAGATAGAGCGTTCAAAAGCCGACTTTTTTATCTCGACATCCTACATTATATGGTGTTACCAGTCGCATACATTTTCAAACTCTATTGAGACCTTGATCTTATTGGTAGTGTTGTCTCTGTTCAATGTTCTCATTCAGGATTCGCGTGATATTAAGTGCAAGCATTACAAAACATCTTTCATACTGGGATCTACTATAGCAATTGGCGTCTTTAATCGAATTACCTTTCCTGCCTTTATTATTTTACCCTCAATACCAACATTTCACACCTTCTTCCTCCATAATATTAAGGCATTCATAATATTTTGTGGCGCTTTTATTTTAACTTGCGGAGCTTGTATATATTTCGACACGCTGGCTTACGAATCTACTGAATGGTGTATTGCACCTTTGAACAATCTCCTCTATAACCTGGACAGTTCCAATTTGGCCGAACACGGTTTACATCCTCGCTACACACACATCTTGGTGAATCTGCCGCAGATGCTCGGTCCTTCATTGATTTTTTTCCTCTCAAGGAAAAAGCATATTACCTTGCCATTTCTTTCTTGCATTTCCGGCATTTTCATATTATCACTATTCAAGCATCAAGAGTTGCGTTTTTTGGTTCCTCTCATGCCACTATTGGCTATGTCGATTGAACTACCAAATTTTGACAGGTATATCAATTCAAATCATGTTATGAGATTGTGGTTATGCTTCAACATCATAATGGGTATGATTATGGGCTGCTTTCACCAGCGTGGTGTCATCACGGCACTAGATCATTTGAATCAGGAGGATGCACATATGGGAGTTCATATATGGTGGAAAACATATTCTCCACCGTCTTGGATGTACACTGCAGAAAATCTAACTAGCTCTACCACCAATTTCGTTAATGACGAAGAGAGGTTAGATAATGTGAAGTTCACTGCATTAAAAAACCACGAGGTTGATCTGAAAGGCTGTAATGACGGTCTTCTAAAGAAAGCAATAACAACTTTCTTCGACTCTGGTGCTAAAAATCTAACGCTCATAATACCAAAATCGCTTCATAGCAGAGTCATTCATGTCTCTGAGGATATAAACACTGAGTTGACTGAAATATGGAGCACACCATTCAGCTTGGATTTCGATCATTACGATTTTGAAGATTTAAAGACACTCACCCCTGGCATGACAATATTTAACATTCAGAAAAAGGATGTTGACTCTCAGTAAAAAGCATATTGTACACAGTTGATATAATATATATCTATTTGTAGAAATCAAACTTGTCTACATCACTGCTTGACTTCACTTGGGAGGCATATGCCTCTTCCAAATCACTTTGTAAAATGACATATCTGTTTTTCCTCACAGCACGTAGACCTGCCTCTTGCATGATAGCTGCTATGAGTGCACCGGATAATGAATCGTTTCTAATTATTAATGAGTCCAAATCTACTTCAGGTGCAAGTGACATTTTGGCTGCCACAGTTCCAAAAATTAGACGACGTTCACGCCTATCTCTCAACGAAGGAAATTCGATTTTTCTATCCAATCTACCAGGTCTTAAAAGAGCAGGATCCAACGTATCAGCTCTATTGGTTGCCATGATAACTTTCACGTTAGTGCTTTGGTCAAAACCATCCATTTGTGTCAATAGCTCAATCAAAATACGCTGCACCTCACGATCAGATCCAGTTTGTGCGTCGAAACGTTTGGTTGCGATCGAGTCAACCTCATCGATAAAAATGATTGAGGGAGCGTTCTCTCTAGCTAGTCGGAAAACATCACGAACCATTCTAGGACCCTCACCAAGATATTTGTGAACGAATTCCGAACCATTTACCCTTATAAATGCAGCTTTAGTACTGTTTGCAACTGCTTTGACCAACATCGTTTTACCGGTACCTGGTGGACCATACAACAATACACCCCTTGGTGGATCAATACCAATTTGCTGGTACAAGTCAGCTTGCACAAGGGGTAGTTCGACTGCCTCTCTGATTTCTTGCTTCTGCATGTCAAGACCACCAATATCAGCGTATGTCACATCAGGTTTTTCATTTGCACCCATGATGGATATGCTTGAGTCCGAATCTGGTGGCAAAATGTCAACAAGTGCATTCGAATGTCTATGCAATGCCACAGACGTGGAAGGTTTCAAAAGCTCGCGATCCAAGGTAGACAAAATCTTAACCACGTAGCTCATACCTGTTGTACTGGACACAATACCAGTGCTTTCGTCAATAGGCTCTAAGAATTGACCAATTACGAGAGGCACGGATTGGATTCTCTTGACCTCTTCTTGTGCCCTCAACAATTCACGTTTTAGATGACGCTGTTCGTCTTTAATGTAATCCTCCTGTAGTAACAAGAGTTCCAGCTCTTTTTCGAGCTTCTTAAGTTTTAAATAACTGTCTGAACTTCCATTGAGAGTTGCGGTCACATTATTGTTGAGTTGTCCGATCAAAGAGCCGTAAGAACCAGCAGCTCCATCGATGACTCCATTAGTAGGAGTTACTGAAATACCAAGTTCCTCCATTCGAGCTTAACAACTTTGCCTAAAATTGAATTCGAAATGTATATACAAGGCGTCTATAAATCCTTACTTTTGCCACCGAAATTGAAGATCAGAAAATCATTTTTAACGTTTCATGTGTTCAGAATTGAATCGATGATTACTCCGAAGCCGAGCAGAATTGTTGAATAAACGTAGAGTTCCGGTATAGTGAAGGTTGCTGATGTGGTGAAATCGGTCAACTGAATTTGTCTCAATTTTTTGTAGAAGTTAGCTGCCCAGACCGTTACCGCATGAACATTTCTGTGAACCGATTGGGTAAAGGTTTTCCAAGAGCTGAAATGCACCGGTACGAAAGCTAGATTTGATGAAGGCTTCTCCGCTGGATCGACGACAGCTGGAAGTTCTGTGGATATTGAATCTTCGGGTTCAGATAATAACTGACTTATATGATCTGTTGAAGTCTTTTCCATACTCGTGGATATGTGTGTCGACATTTCATCTAATTTGACGTTCTGCGTAGCTGCGTGCTCGTCTAACGCGTGTTTCACTTTATCTTCAAACGATCCCACCAATCTTCTCCGCTTCCAAGGCTCGAGGAGTAATTGGAAGACTAGAAACAGAAGAATATTCATGCCCATCAACAAGAACGTGCCCCAAGTTGAGGTTCTTCTTATCTTATCTGACCAAATTTGTTCTTCGTGATACCGAGTAAGAATGGCACGGTATAGATTATTCGATAAATCTTCCTCCTTTGTTTCTATCTCCTTCAAAGCTTGTTTCAACTCTTCTTCCTGCCGCAGGTTTAAAGCATCATCTTTGTACAATTGCGTAAACCTCTCTAAATCTTGGCTTGACCACGAATTTTTCCGTTGTAAAAGCTCATTCAGCTCTCGCTGAGAGTGCGCCCTCCTTTCTATCGCGGAATTATATTTCTCTTTACTTGACTTAACCTCTCTTTTGGTTTCTTCCAAGTTGTGTTCCATCATATCGATACTTTTACGGAGCTTTTGAATACTCGAGTACCCAGTCACATCATTCAATGCCCTCGTTGCTGTGAAAATCGTTTCCTGCAGCGAATCAAGATATACGTCCAATTTTTTGGACCATTGTCTCCTCTTTCTTTCCCTTTCAGAAGGCAGACCCTCGATCTTACCCTTCGTCTCTAGATCCGTGTTGAAGGTCAACCTTTTATCTTGTCCTTCAAGCTCCTGTTCTGCTAGCTTTTTATTGGCCGTTCTGATGGCTTCTTTTGCCTTATCAACATGATATTTGAGTTGGCTAGCATAATGCTTTATTTGAGTGTTTGTTTGGGTTAATTGATCCTTCGCTCTAGCCCAGTAGGGTTCTAGGTATTGAAAATTAGACTGACTTGAGCCATTGTTTACCGGCCCTTTCTTATCCTTGTCCATCGTATTCAGCATTCGAATTCCAACCCATACCCTTGAAGGTTTGACGCGGGCTCGCAGGATGCATCGATGAACTAACATCTTTAATTAAAAGCGAGATCGCTGTTGATCATGCGAACAAAAATATCAACTTTTTTATTTACAAAAAAGAGATAGACGGTTAATGACAAAAGATGGCCAAGTTCTCTCTTAGCTTGAAAGGTAACAAGGATAAGAAGATCAAGAGTGGCTTAAAAAAGAAGAAGAGAGTAAATGCATTTAATGATGAGGAGACCGTGGAACACAAAAGAACTAAGATACGCCTAACGCATGTCGAGCAATATAAGGAAGCAAAACCTGAAAAGCTAGTGATACAGCTGCCGAGCAATCCTTCTCAGTCAACGATAACCGGCCAGTCAGAAAATATCCAACGCTCTAATCTTCATTTTGGACTCACTAAGGTTGAAGAAAGTGCTAATGCTGCTACATCAGACAGTTCAAAAAAAGGTAAAAGTTCATTGAATCCGCTAAGCCTTGTCATCGAAGAAATTCCAGAGGAAACTGCTCAAGAAGAGTACGAGGAGGTGCCAATCGAGGAATTTGGCGCAGCTTTACTAAGAGGTATGGGGTGGAAAGAGGAAGACGAGGATTCTACTACTAATGATAAAAAGAAAAAGCCTATACTGCCGCATCAGCAGCCAAGAGCTGAGTTAGTTGGCATAGGCGCAACTCCAGTGGCCAACAACACATCTAGAAATCAACCCTTTTTGCCGATTGTTAAGGTCGACAGGAAAAGTGGTGAAAAAAGTACAACTAATGTAGTCAATAAAGATTTGCCTTGATGTAGATATGTACAGTATTAAAAAAAAATTCGTTACCTCGTTAATATTTTCGCTAGCCTAAAGTTCATACCATGGCTCCAAGACCCAAAATCATTATCTGGGATGCAAAAGTTGTCCCCCAGACTTTCATCCAATCATTTTTCTTTCTATGCTCCCACTCTTCCACCATCTTCATTAAATCGACGTATAATTCCATGCTCAAAATATCGTAAACTCCTGTTTCTCTAAAAAGTATGAGACCTTGCAGATCCTCCATATTTTTTACAATGCGTGAGCGGAGAACGATTTCGTTGTTATGGTGCGCAGGTTTATCATGATACATAATGATTTCCTTGCTTATTTGGTTATTATCTTCATAGTCTGACCATTTGATGTTAGATGGAATGACTGTAGTGTCTGGATAAGACTTATTCTTCTTGATGGAAACATTTGAAATATTGTTCCAAACAGAGTTGGTATTTTGGATATCCATCAGCGAGTGGAAAATACCTCTTTGAGTGTTGACAAATGTTACTAAAGGTTTTAATTCTTCAAGTGTGACGATTGTATCCCCATTTGATAATCTGGGTTCGCTCGCAGGAAAGCGGGCTTTCAAGTCTTTGAACTTAAACTTGAGATCCATTACCAAATACTTGTTCTCCTCCTCTGCCTCTTCTTCTATATTCTCTGGGATGTGAGGAATCATCAGGTCTGCGATAATCTCTACTTGGCCATCGTCAATCCAGTTGAAAGATGCACTCTTGTCAATGCCTAGATCTTTAACCGAAATGTTATCCAAACGCAACCTTGTGATGCGTTGCCAAGGGGATATATCATGTTCGAAGTCGTGTAAATAAGCCAGCTTTTGCTGTCTCTTGTGAATGCTGAACAAAGAATGATTTACGGCGCCTGATACAACGTTGGCGTTGAAAAAGTCTATGAGCATCCATTTGAATCTCAGTTGTGGGAAGTCCATATTGTATATGGACATGCGATAATCTTGGGAAAGTGCTTTATCGTGAATGGTAATGCGGCTGTCTTTCACTTTCACTCGGCCAAGGTGATAGTTCCGATTTGAAAACCACTGAACAAGAGGCTTCTTATCATTAATATTTTTTATTTCGACATCACCTTTCATACCATAAATGCTCATGTCCTCAATGAGACCCCGGCCACTTAGCCACTTTCTCAAGGATAATGTAATGTCTATCTGATTGAAAGTTAACGAGAAATCAAGTTGATGATCTGCTTTGAGACCCGGTGTAGTTTTCAGTTCGACTTTGTTAAAACTTATGCAACCCTTCTTCCATTCAGGTACCAGGGCATCTTGAAATTGAATATCGCAATCTTCGATGTATCTATTCAACGAATTGCCTACAAATTTGCCGACCATCTCTTTGGCGAATACGGTATTGAAAGTGAATAACACAAGCGACACGAACGTCGTCGTTCCAAGCACCACCCACATTATCTGTGACAAAATTAGCCAAGAAAACAGCGTTCCGATTTCGTCCGTACTGAATGGCCGGTTACCGCGGATTAGCACCCATTTTGTATTAATCTTGAATCTCTCATAGAAATTTGTTGCTTCTGAAAGAAGTTTCTGCTTTGTTAGACGCTCTTGGTTCTTTTGAAGTAGAATATTCTGAGTATGGAGAAAGTCAGTGCTTTTAGATAGGTCGCTGATCTGCTTCTTGGTTGAGTATAAACGGCTGGCTGGTAAGTCAAATTTGTAATACCTTCTTATTCTTTGGACGTTAAAAGCTCCCCTGAGAGCAGCCTGTGAAGGTTTAGGATTGCTTAGAAGCCTTATGCAACTGCTTTTGGCCCGTGTAAGCATCCTCCTACTATATCCTTTGTAGCTTGTAACCAAGTCCTTTTGCGCGCAAAGATGAATCTATAAGAGGTTTACCCTCGGTAGTATTAAACGGCATGTCCGAGGGCGACATTTCTTTTCCCAGTTAGAAGAAAAAAAATTTTTTATCTGGAAGCGATGAGATGAGTTGCTGAAGGCATTATAATTGATAAACAAGAGACTATATGGTTGCCCCTACCGCTGTGAAACAATCTGCTATCAGTTCAGAGGAGATTGCCGGAACATCTAATCTAAATTCCAGAATTTTGAATGGTGACAACCAGCAAAAGATTGACGACGACGATGATGATGAAATTCTCGTTGATGCTCAAGAAGAAGAAACAGTGGAGAGCGAAAAGAAAAACGAGTCAAAGGGAGTAATTTTAGATGAACAAGGAAAGCCTCGCTTCTCATCTGCAGCTTTAGCCAAGGAGACAAAAGTGAAGCCCGAATCGAGAAAAGTTGCAGTTCCTCCACATAGAATGACTCCCTTGAGAAACAACTGGACAAAAATTTATCCCCCATTGGTGGACCACCTGAAACTGCAAGTTCGTATGAACCTCAAAACTAAATCTGTTGAACTGAGAACCCATCCTAAACACACGACGGATCCAGGTGCCCTGCAGAAAGGTGCTGATTTTATCAAGGCTTTCACTTTGGGCTTTGACCTGGATGATTCCATTGCATTGCTAAGACTTGATGACCTGTATATCGAAACTTTCGAAATAAAGGACGTGAAAACTTTAACAGGAGACCACTTGTCAAGAGCTATCGGGCGTATTGCTGGTAAGGACGGTAAAACAAAGTTTGCCATCGAGAACGCCACAAGAACAAGAATTGTGCTTGCTGATTCCAAAATCCATATTCTAGGTGGGTTCACGCACATTAGAATGGCTCGTGAGGCTGTCGTGAGCTTGATTTTAGGTTCTCCTCCAGGAAAAGTTTACGGCAATCTACGTACTGTTGCATCTAGGCTGAAGGAACGCTATTAGGCGCAAAATTGGTATCAAGTATATATCATATGTACATTAGCAATTACCGGGAGATCATGGATTAGATCTTTTAAGACAGTATTAACGTCATTTCTCACGTAGATTTGGTTTTCGTGATTTTACAATATTCAGAAGTCTGCGAGTTTCGCGTGCCAAAGCCAATTTACCATAGAGGCCTTCCGAGCTGTGTTCTCGTATCAAAATGACTTCTCCACCCACAAAGAGGACGGTTCGCCTTCAGTCTTTGCTGGATGGAAATAGGAGGCCTGCGCCAATGCAAATGGAAACGTCACATATGCTACATGAGGATGATGATACTATGGAAAGCATTGAGGACCTGTCTATGCTAGATTCAAATATATGCGCATTAGAAGACTCTTCGCCACCAAAGGCAGATGTACAGGCTCTGAACAAGACTATGGCTCTCAAGGATATTCTTACAGGATTGCCAGTGCCTGTTCATACAAGAGCGCGGGAAGCTGACAAAATTACGTTAGAAAACAAAGTGAATGACAAGCGATTGAATTCATCAAGTTCAGGATCCAAGGTCGCGCTAAAGCAATTGCTTTCTGGTAAAGCTAGCCGCGATCGTAAAAAGAAAGAAGATATCTGTACGTCAGATGACTTGGACCTAGAGGAGATTCAAGTGATAGAGTTAGGAAACCGTGCAAAGAGCCGCGAGACTCACGAGCGTATCATTAAATCATTGAGTAATACCAAGAAAACGTCATTGAAATCATTGTTCAGTAATTTTTCAAAGCCTGTCACTAATGGTAATCCCTTAAATCTCACAGACATTTCGGAACCTGTTTCTGGCGCACCTATATCTCGATATCATGAAATTTCAACTCTGAGCGAGATTCCAGCTCCTTTACCGAAACGACAGTTATATGATGCTTCTGAAAATCGCATTAAATACCGACCCCTGACATTACGAAAGAAGGTTGTACAAGAGAGGGTTCAACTATCTTTCAAGGCTGTCGATTATTCATTTTTGAAACAAAAAAGCCAAAACTTCGATGAAAAATTCGAGCAGTGTCATATTTTTATTAGAAGGGACAATTCATCGGCATTGCTATGGGACAAGGAGTTTCAACCCACTACGATAACCGATGTATTGTTGGCAGATAATTGTAAACAAGCAGCAGTGTCATGGATGGATAAGGCATTTGATAAATTACGCAAAAACACATCTAGGAATAAGCTTTTAAAGAGGAAAGCTGAAGATGATTACCTGGATGGTTTTGTTGTAGATGACGAATTTGATGACAGTGTGGACCAAATGGAGGAGTTTGTTCCACTTATGATTTTGCATGGGGCTCAGGTTGGTAAAAACACACTATTAAATACAATAGTTAAAAGCCACAATGGGCAAATTTTTGAAGTCAATACTTCAAGTAACAGGAGCAAAAAAGATATCTTAGAAAGTGTCCAAGACTTTTCAACTACGCATTTTGTCAAAAACAAGGGTTCTAAAGGTATTATTTTGTTTGATGATGTCGATATCCTTTTTCGAGAAAGAGATAAACTATTTTGGAGTGCTGTTGAGAGAATTTTGGCGACATCAAGAAGACCAGTCGTACTTACATGTCGTGATATCAGTTTCCTTCCAATGAATATTATACAAGTAGCACGGGAGGAAAATTCTATTTTCTACTGTGGTGCGGTTGAAAATGAGCAAGTGATCGAGTATCTACAGGAGTGCTGCAGGCGTAAAAATGTTAAAATGCCGACGACACTTTTGAAATCGTTGGTTAATACAAACCATGGAGACGTCAGGAAATGTCTGATGGACTTGCAGTGGATTTCCTTCGGGACACACTATCCCTTTGTCGCTGAGGATTCTAAAAAACAGTTCTCTCCATCATTACACGCATATGAAATCAACTCAGACATGCTTTCGAATATAGATATTATGAAGAAAAACATGGCTTGGAAATCTAGCATTAATCAGGATACTGATGCGACCATTTACTGTCCATTCACCTCACGCGAATTTACCGCTCTTTCAGATGAAGAAAGGCTTTCATATGATTATATTGTTGATCCTAAGATTTACCTCCCTGATAGTCTCAAGCGACCGCTACTTCCTTATGAGTTGAATATCTCTTCCTATTTACAGCAGCAATTTCCTGATTTGCATGGTGAGGTACAGTTCAACAAGGAACAATTTTTAATTGAGATTACAGATGAAGTAATGAAGTATCTTGAAAGCCGCGTTGCCGGTAACGTTGGTGGTTTGGGTAGAAATATCAATTCGGACCAATATACAACCGTAAGAATGACAAGAAATTCAAGACGCGTAAGGGAAATTATGGACCGTCTTACAACAGTCGACAATTCTGACCGAGCTGAAGCACTGGATGCTGTCATCAACTCCATTTCTTCAGTTAGTAAAATAGATCTATGCCAGGAAATCAACCCCATGGTTATGGAAATTGCGAAACACGATAGAATGATAAAATCTAAAAATAAGATTATTTACGAAAAGGCGATGGATGGTATAGACCCGACTAAGGCTAAGGAGGTCATCAAACAATTATTAGTCGAGCATGCATTTTTTCCAATCTGGTTCAAGCGAGATCCCCGAGAGCTCTTGCAGATATGGGAAAACCAGAATAGATCTGAATAGAGCCTTAAGTATTTTTTCTGTTACATAATTGCAGGACGGGAGCACAATCTTCCTCCTTTGAAGTTAGTTAAAGCTCTGTGTTTCGTGTCGATTGCTTGCAAAACGCGCCAAGCCTCTTCCACATGCTTCGATCGCAAAGGATTGACAACATTATCTGGACCATCAAATATTCTTTTTTTTCTGTTTCTTCTTGTCTCTATGATCTCGTCAGGTTTCACTTTTTCAGATTTGTCCTTTTTCGTCTGAAGTAGTTCTTCTCGTTTTTTAATCTTGAGGGCAGTTTCCGTTAATGCACAAACAATTTCGAATGTTAGGAACCCCAGAATATCGATCACGTCATCATGAGGCTTCCCCTCTGTTAATTGAGAAATCCCTGACCAATCCTTGAATCTTTTCCCTTTCCTGAAGGTAAAACTGGCTTGCCGACAATCAGACCAGTGGACATACTCTTCCTTGGTCATGTTCCTGGTTCTATCGTCTGCCATTTTCAGTCTTTTAAGTGTGGCTATGTTGGCTTCTCTTTCATCTTCGTCCAGATCATCAGCATCCTCGTTTGTCTCTAGCGGCTGTTCATTGAACATGAACTGTAGTTCCCAAGGTAATTTGATTTGAGATTTTTTCACTCTCATCATATTTCCACCGTCCTTATCCCCTTTTTTATCATCGTCTTCCACAGGTCCGTCAGCTCCATCTCCTCCTCCACCCGCTCCAGCGGCGGCGGCACTATTTGCATCTTGATCTTTAGCATTCTTACGCAAATCCTTCCATGATAAATAAGTTCTTAGCCGGTTCACTTTGGCACGATCATGTCTGATTAGGAAAATTACATCTTCTGGCATTATGCTTTTGCTTGCTCGGGAATGCGCTGTTTTATTCGCTTGGAGGAGAATTTCAACGACTTGACCACGGACAATGTCTTCTATCAGACAGGTAGTCTCGATAGGAGGATCATTGTTTTCACCTGACACAAACATCATCTGTTGAATCTCAACCCTGTACTTATATTTATCCATGGTGCTTATCGTTGCCTTACTTGTAGAAGAAAGTATATATAGCGGTGAAATTTTCGCTTTGATATTTTCGAAAGAAGCGGCATGCTATAGCTATGGAGATAGTAATAGAGAATCCTGAACGCATCGATGTGCAAGTTTCATCATCACGCTATTCATTGGATTTGGTCAAATTCTTCAAACCACAGCATTCAAAGTCCGCTCTTCTAATTCTCAATCAGAAGATAACCATTCCGGACATTTTCCGGAATTTATGGAAGAATTATAATGTGCATGTCTGCGCAGATGGCGGAGCCAATAGGCTGTACGAATATTTTGAAACAGATGCAGAGCGCTGTGAGTTTCTTCCAGACTATATTGTAGGTGACCTTGACTCAATAAAGAAGGAGATTTTCGATTTTTATACAGCAAAGAAGGTTATAATTATCAAGCAGTCATCACAATACGCTACTGATTTCATGAAAAGTAAGGACTTAATATCGCTGCATTTCCACTCTAGTGCATTTCGTGAAAAGATCAAGACCTCAACTGGAGACAACCACGGCATAGAACAAGAAGAAGGCATTCTCCAGCTTTACAAGAGCGAAAGAGCATCATGGGAAACCGACGATATCTATTTGCTGGCACTCAACGCAATTGATGGCCGGTTTGACCAGACGGTTCACTCTATCACCCAGCTTTATACCACCGCTCGCACAGACTCATACTTCAGGCTCTGCTACGTCACCCCCACAGACCTGATTTTTTTGGTGCCGAATGGGGGCACCACCATCACCTACAGCGCAGCGTTTCGGGACGACTGTATAGGCAATTGTGGTCTTTTACCACTAGGTGGGCCAACTGTGATAAAGAGAACAGAAGGGCTTAAATGGGATGTGGAGAATTGGCCAACTAGCGTGGTGGACGGTAAGGTCAGTAGTAGTAATCGGTTTGTGGGGCGTACATGTTGCTATATCGACGTACTCGATCCTATTGTTGTTAATGTTGAACTACTTTTTGAGCACCTAAGAGATTATTTATGATATAGAATACGAGATTATAGATCCTAGAATACATTACAGCTCTGATAAACCAGCAGTAGGATTAGAGGCTTCGAAATTTAATCTTGTCCCGCCTATAAGTAGGTCAAATTTGTCGTATTCTAACTAATAGCTGCGCGAGTGGTTTAGTGGTAAAATCCAAGTTTCCCATACTTGGGCCCCGGGTTCGATTCCCGGCTCGCGCATTCTTTTTTTCTGGGTGCCGAAATATAAACTAAACTTACTCCAAATGATGATGATGACCATGTCTTGACAAGGACTAAGGAACTTAAAACAGTTGATCGTAGCCTTTTTTTTCATTCTCTCTATATATGCTTAGAAACAATATGGAGTTAGATTCACAATTGAGCAAATTGCTTCAACAGAGCTGCGCCTAGGTGACCAGGAGATTCGACGACGGCGACGCCAGCTGCCCTTAGAGCAGTCTTCTTGGACTCAGCGTCGGTGCCGGAACCCTCTACAATTGCACCGGAGTGACCCATTCTGACACCCTTCATTTGACCTGCGACTGTTCCCGCAATGAAGGAGGCTACTGGCATGGGCTTCTCACGGGTTAAGTTGTATTGCTTGAGGAATTCGGCAGCTTCGATCTCCGCGACACCACCAATTTCACCCAGGATGACAATACCTTCCGTGGTTTCATCATTCATGAAGAATTTGAGTGCATCGATAAAATCGGTACCAGGAAACGCGTCACCACCGATACCTAGCACCAATGACTGGCCCAACCCCGTCAAGGTAGTCTGCTGCACGGCCTCGTATGTTAACGTACCAGACTTGGACACGATACCGATCTTTCCTGGCTTGAAAATCTTGGAGGGTTGAATGCCGATCCGCACGCGCGCGCTTGGCGACAGAATACCAGGGCAGTTGGGCCCCACAAAACGTGTCTTGTCCTGTGTCTTGAGCATCTCTGCGATGTAGAGCAGATCGTGCTGGGGAATACCTTCTGTGATACACACCGCAAGAGGAATTTCCGACTCAATGGCCTCACGGATCGCTTTGGCTGCAATTGGGGGTGGCACGAATATACCCGTCGCAGTAGCGCCCGTCTCCTTGACAGCTTCGGCCACCGTTGCGAAAACTGGCTGACCAAGATGTACTTGGCCCGCTTTCTTTGGATTAGTCCCACCCACGATGTTAGTGCCGTATTCCTGAGATAACTTGGCGTGGAATGTCGCTTGTTTCCCGGTGAAACCCTGGATAATCACCTTGGTATCTTTGGTCAAAAGCAAATTCTTAATCGTCTTGTCATAAGGCGTTGCCTCTTTCGAAAACAGCCTGAGGCCAATATTTTTCCTAAATGCCGTTCTCAGCATCTTCCTTGACTTATTTGAAGTTACGCTACTATAAACGTGTACTTATGGTGAACGTTTGTTCTGTCCTCCTCTTATACGCCGCACAAAAATAATGCTACCGCCGTACCCCGGTATCGGATCCGACTCACAGCCGCGGCCTTGTGGAGAACGAAGCGAGCGGCTTTACCACGACAGAAAAACCAACTGTCTACGAAATTGGAACATTTATTGGCTACACTTGATAAACTTGTTCTAGCACTCTTATAGCCCTATATGTAATGCATTGGCCAGTTATAGCCGCGCTTTCCAGGGAACTCAGCAGCTCGATCCAATCCTGTCATCTCGCTCGAGCGTCGTGGGCACGGGCCTTTAATATCGTATCGTCTTGTACGAGACTAAATGCGGGGTGTCGAAAATAATGTATCACGTGACTAATCGGGTTTGGAACTGTCCGGTTTTGCCCCGGGTGCGGCCGTCCGATCAGATGCGTCCTCGCCGTACGTAGGTACATACTCCCGCTAAAGCATTGAAGCATCAGCGCACAGGTGGCAAAGAAGCCATACCAGACCGTACACAACCGCCCATGATAAGAAGGAAGAAGAATAGTGTGGGTGGTGAAGTGGCGCAAGAGCCGTCCAAGCTGCCGTTCGGCGGTACTGGGTCGCTCTCAGACATCACTGCTCTGGCACAGGTACCGAAAGCTGCAAGCGAGTTGGCGCCAGAACAGGTACGAGAAAAAGTGGTGATCGTGCTCTTTACCACCAAGGTGGGTCTTTCAGTTGTTAAACTGCTTTACGATCTTGCATGTGGACGCGTCGACATGTCTCTCCACAAGAAATGGCAGCAGCGCAGACACCAAATCGGCGCGGACGACGCCAGCTATAAGAAAATGGTCAAGAAATGGACAGGTTCACTTGAGTACGTGTCAACGTTTATGGACGTGCTCCTCTACAATAGCAACTTTGCGCTAGAGTATTCCAACTATGTGCGCTCCGAATATAAGCTTGCGCTTCGTAACCTACTTGATAAGCCGAACGAATTTTTACTTATTGACGAGGACTACAACCTTCTTCTGGATTTCCTCACGCACACACGTCCGCTAATAGAAGAGCTTCTCAACGATGAGTCGCTTTCGACCCTTTTGGCGCGCGTCGTGCGCAAGTATAATCGGCTGTTTGAATTCAACGGGCGCTATGTATGGTACACTTTTGTGCGAGGAAATTTCGAAAACCCACAGCATCTCTTCCAAAAGTACCTGGCGGTATTGACCGATAAACTCACCGCACAGCAGGAGCTGATACCACAGCTGCAACCGCTTTTTGAGGCAGCTGGTGTCTGTCCCTTGCCGCATGGCTCCACGAATGTTGGAGATGGTAGCGAAAGTGACAATAACAGTGATTCCGACCATTGGGGACAGCAGAGGAATTCAGCTCAGGAACGTGTTTACTCGTTTGACCTTAACAACGATGGCACTTTGGACGTTCCAAATGTTTTCCGGCAGACAAAGTTCAGACATCAAACTTTGTTCAAAATTCTCGATCTCCATGAGCAAAATACCGCCCCCATGGTCAAATCTCAATTCATTACCCTATGTGCATTAGTAGATCCTGTAACCCAGCCAACGCCCAATGACTCACATATAATATCCTTGGATTTACTCTCTGATATGTTTTTAGGATTTTTGCAACCTGAGATCATTCAAATTCCTGCAAACTGGAAGTTTCATGTCGCCTTCAACCTGCAGAAAATCGTCAACGCGACTTTACCCAGGTTAAATTGTCATGATTTTCAGAAACTGAATTCTGTGAACAACAGCGATGATTCTGTCGACTGGAGAAAAAACCTGCATAAATGGCTTCCTCACGGCCTTAATACACAGGATCTAGAACTCATATACATGGTTGATCTGCTGGCCATTTACACTATTCATAAATTGTATCAAGATCTGCCTGTCCAAATGAATCCCTTCTTAGCGCCCATGATCTCTCTTTGGAAGAATCTAACTTTTGTCGTATTGTTGGGGCTCGAGATTGATCGCTTCGAAGAGGAGCAAGAAACTTATAATACGCCAGTAATGGTGCGAGCAACTATTCGAGGAGCATCTGCTCTACGAAGTGTTGTCGCCACCATCTTGAATGGCCATGTCGAGTACAAATCCCATGACTTCAAGCACGAACCTATCAATATATTCATGTCCCCGCACGGTCGCAAGCTTTGCCATGGGGCATTGTACACTGACGTGCGTTCTCATGCCGCGGCTATGCTTGCTCTCGGTATTGAATTAGAAGATGTCACAAGCCTTTTAAGCGATTTACAACCGGGGGACAGATTTGACGAGGATGTGAAGTATATGTTTGATTACGAATATGACAACTATAATGAAGTTGACACAGAGGATATGGATGAAGATGAGCTTGAAGATGTGGAATCTAGGGAGAGGATAAAAGAAATGAGAGGTTATTATAAAAGATGTCATTGCACGTTCGATGATGACGAAGTACCAGCTGAGGAAGATGATGAAGGGGAAGATAATAAAATTGATGAGACTGGAAGACCTAGCAAAGATAATGAAATCGTCGAGTCTCTACCACCTCCAAACCATGTCTCAATTTCAAATTCGAAAAAGCCTATTGCATTTAGGTCCAAAAAGGACGCAGTGGAATTTGATTTTAATGGGAGAGACTGGCGTGACATTCCTAGGGGGCCTAATCTTTATTTCTCTGAATCCTATTTTTTCGTGGACCATCTATACGCGGATGTCATATATTTGCTTATGAGAAAGGGCACGGAGCACAAACTTGAACGTAAGCATTCTTCTTTCTTAGTAAGAAGCGTGGCAACCTGCGTCAGAAAAGAACAAGAACAAACAATGCTGAAGTCAGTTGTGCTTGGAGATGATGCAGTTCATGATAGTGATGAAGTGGACATGATTTCAGAAAATGAGCTCACAACAGATTTCATATATGAAAGGTGGTGTGAAGACTCTCTCTTTGAAAAGCTTGAAAGGCATAATAGTGGTTTGGCTTGGAGAATGATGGATGAAATGCTCATGTGTAGCGGCTATCGCAGAGTACTGATATGGTTTATCACACATTTGGAGGTGAATCATTCAATGATACAATACATCTTTGAACTTGTGATGGGCCTTAGAGGTAACTGTCGAAGTGAAAATGATGTGCAACCACCTCCTGCTGGGTTACTGGCACATTTAAGTACTGATCATGAGTTTCCATTTTCTAGGCAAGGACCTATCGTACTGTCGAGCATTGAAATCAAGATGTTGCTGCAAGAGTTTTTTACCAATGCTGCCATATTCTTTTCAAAACATTTACGAGAGTCTTTGGGCGATGATGAAGATGATGATTATAGGGTGGGGAAAGACATTTCGATCGAAATCGTTGGCTTGATGAAGCTTGTGTGCCTCATGGTCAAAAAGCTCATGGATAGTGAGAAGTTTGATTTCACTGACTCTGAATACATTTTTGAACTTCAAACCTTGCTAATGAGTTGGATCTGTATTGTACCAGAGGCCCGTGATCTATTTTTCAGACTAAGGTCTCAATTGGATGCGCATTTGAACAATCAATTGCCCTCCCCCAAATCCCCTGAGACAGATGAGAGAGATCCCGTGTTAAATAGTTCTTTACCAGATGATGAAGAATCTAAAGGCTCGGTTTCTGAATACAACGAGAGACTCATTTCGTTACTACCGCCTGTAACTGACAACGAAAACACTGCTGTCACAGCGTTGAGGAGCTTCATTGGTAAACACTCTTTGACTACAAAAACGGCGGTATTTGGAAGGAAGGTTATTTATCAAGACGGTGAAATCATGAATCTTTACATGTCTGACAACGAGATGAATTGTCGCGAATTTTTAGCTGAGTTTGGTATTGATTATAATGATGTGGTCGATGGTGCTTATGACGATGTTAACGAGAACATTTAAGTCTCCAACAAATGCCGTCCATGACCTCATTTTGCGTTCTAGATACGGTTGTAGCATTAGTATATTAGCATATTTTTTTTTCCGTATTTGCTTCGAAATTATTCGTTTGGCTTGCATATATTCACTCCGAGATTAGTACGATAAAAGTCCGAACAGTATTCTCGGCATATTCAAATACTAGTCGTAACTGGTTTTGTGCACTACCGAGCACTATGTTAGGGTATTCTGAATTAGCAAACGGACTATTTCTCGAATTTTCCTTTTTGCTTCAAATCTTTTTGTCATTTCTGCAATCTTGAGTTTGTTATATAAATGTCGCCGATCATCCCGTCTCGAGGATAAATGTTTTTCCGTAAAGACAAGCAAACAATCATTGCTAATCAATAATAATGAAGATAACTCCAACTACAACCTATACTTTGAGGAACGGGGTTAAAATTCCTGTCATTGGTCTTGGTGTCTATTTATCTCCCCAAAAAGAAACCGAGCACATCGTCTACACAGGCCTTAAACAGGGGTACAGACACGTTGACACCGCCAAGTTTTATGGAAATGAAAGAGAAGTGAGTCTCGGAATTGCAAAATTCTTGGAAGAGACTCCATCATGCTCTAGATCTGATATATTCTACACCACGAAGATCTATCATGAAGATTTCGGATATGAAGAGACTAAGAAGGCCATTGCCAAGTCTTTAGAAGAAGCGAAAGAATTGGGATACATTGATTTGCTATTAATGCACTCCCCTACTGGTGGAAAGGAAAAGAGATTAGCTACTTGGAAGGCTTTTCAAGAATTTTACGAGCAAGGTAAGCTAAAAGCCATTGGTATCTCTAACTTTAGCATTGCACACACGGAGGAGCTATATGCTTGGGATGGGCTTAAAGTCGAGCCCATGGTTAATCAATTTGAAATCAATCCTTGGTTGACCAGAAAGGAGCTCTGTGAGTACTGCAGAAAAAAAGGTATCGTCATTGAGGCATTTTCGCCATTAACCAGGGGTCAACGCCTGGATGATCCTCAATTGGTTTCAATTGCTGAAAAATATCCCGGTCACTCCACTGCGCAACTTTTAATCAGGTGGTCCTTGGAAATGGGATTCATCCCATTGCCAAAGTCTTCTAACGAGAAAAGATTGTTACAAAACTTACAAGCGTGCGACTTTGAGATGAGCAAAGAAGATGTGAAGGCATTAACACATGACGAAGATTACTTTTTGATGAACAAAGACTTTGATCCAATTAAGAACTGTCCTTAGTTTTATATTCGCTTGATTATGATCGCTAAATAAACTGTTTTAGAAACTTTTGCAGAACTATCGTTTTATCTTTCACACCTATCAAGTAGTACTGCATTTCATTCTGAAGAAACGCACTAGCTCCATGGATGTCCATGCAATTTTCCATCTTCAGAAGAAGGGTTTCTATTCCGTATGAAGAATCTGGAAGGGATTCCTTACTCACAATGGCGCGTAATGTTTGTGTATCTTTCACGTTACGTTTCAGTATTGATGATTTAGTAGTGAGAAATGACTCAAATGTCTGGATTCTTTCTTCTAAAGTTCTTTTCTTATAGTAAAAAAGTAGTCTCGAGATAAAATGTTCTTGTTCTTTCTTCTTGATAGAATGATTGATCTTAAATTTTTTGAAGAGTTCGCTATTATTAGTTTTAATATCCTTAAAGATTGTGTTGGGTGCGATTGAGGCTTTTGAAACAATATGGGCCAAGTAGTGGTACTTAGTTGGTTCCATTTGGTCGTCCTCTTCTTCTGACAAGTCTTCGACTTCTTCCTCTGCATTGTTGTCGCTATTGTCCTGGTCATGTTGAGAGGTTACGACTGCAGCAGCACACCAATCATCAAACAGCTCTTTTCTCAACACATCACTGGTGACTTTGTAGTATCTAGCATCACTGTTTATCTTCTTTGACTGTAAACTCCACGTAGAATAGGGGTCCAGTTCATATTCATCAAATAATGATTTAAACTCTTCCACATTACTATTTTGAGATTTACCCTCTAAACTGTTGAATTCGTACACCTCCGATTCATTGTCGTCCTCGATGTTGTCGTCCTCGATGTTGTTGCCCTCGATGTTGTTGTCCTCGATGTTATTAGCCGAAGGGTTTGCGTGTCCAGGCAATTCAGCTTGTTCATTCCCCTCTTCTTCAGATTCATCGCTGTCGTAGCCGGCCACTAAGCCACTGGTGCCGGACGACAAAGAAGTATCTTTCAATCTGTTAACATTGGGTCTTTGAGATTCTGGGCCATTATTTTCTTCTACACCAGAGATCACCGGAGAGTCCGTGTAGTCCGTATCTTTTGCAGGTCTTACTTTATCCAAGTCTTCAAGAATTTCTTCGTATATGTCATTCCCTTCGTAAGCAAATCCCCTAGCAATTGCGATCAGTAAAATGAGTTTCCTTTTATCCAATTGTGCTATCAAGGCAGCAGAGTTCTCATCCACAATTTCCCAGCTTGACACGTTGGAGGATTTATTATAAAAAAATCTCAGTCCCGTATTGCATATTATCAAAAACCAATCGTTTTCAAGGGGAACAGCAAACTTGGGCAGATGATCCAGCTTGCGCTTCTTGTTGTCGCGAACGTCTGCATCATCCTCGAAATCGGCCGGCCTGGTCCAGGTTGATTTTTTTGTGGTTAGATTATAATAATAGACTTTTCCATCAGGCGTTTTATACTCTCTCCAAACGCGAGCCATGCGTAGGTCGCAGTTTCCGATGTCATTGATGGCGTCTTCTAAGAATTTAATGTGATGACTTTAAAGATAGATACGTCATTGTGAACGGTTATCACCAGATCAGGGTAAACACTTTGGTGGCGAATTGGAAAATGATTTCTGGATTGTCAATTAGACTTAACTACATCACAAATTATTGTGGGCGGCAATGGGTTCTAGAAGATACGACTCGAGAACTACGATTTTCTCGCCTGAAGGGAGATTATACCAGGTGGAATATGCTTTAGAATCTATATCTCATGCTGGTACAGCAATTGGAGTGATGGCAAAAGATGGTATCATCCTCGCTGCAGAACGGAAAGTGACCAGTAAATTGTTGGAGCAAGGCAGCTCAAGCGAGAAGCTTTATAAGCTGAACGACAATATTACGGTTGCAGTGGCAGGTTTGACTGCGGATGCCGAAATTCTAATAAACACGGCAAGGGTGTACGCTCAGAATTACCTGCAGACCTATAACGAGGAAATCCCAGTTGAGATTCTGGTGAGAAGATTGAGCGATGTCAAACAGGGCTATACGCAGCATGGTGGGTTGAGGCCTTTCGGTGTATCTTTCATTTACGCGGGTTACGACGAAAGATACGGGTTTCAATTGTACACCTCCAACCCCTCTGGTAACTACTCGGGCTGGAAAGCTATCAGTGTTGGTGCAAACACTTCAGCTGCCCAAACGCTATTACAAATGGACTACAAGGACGACATGAGCATTGAGGACGCGATGGAGCTTGCCCTTAAGACGCTTTCGAAGACCACGGACTCGAGCACTTTGACGCATGAAAGAGTTGAGTTTGCCACCATAAGCAAGCGGGCCGATGGTAAAATCTCTCAAAAGATCTACAAACCACAGGAAATCGAAACACTATTAAGCAAGATTGGCATTACTAAGAAGGAGGAAGACTGAAGAACCCCGGATGGGCCTCCGTCAGTAGCGATATGTAGACTATAAATCCTTGTATTCGAAGAAACTTTGCACGAATAGGTAAGATGTAAATATCAACATCTCGCGAGCGGAGCACAGATGAAGTATGTTAGATGCTAGAATGGTAGTCGGCCTTTCTGCCCCATCGTCAGCATGACTAACCAAGACTTACTGTTTCCAGGTCCTTTGTAACGTCTGGAGACGTGCCAATTGGCTACACTACGCCTAGTTTTCCATCCTTGTACTGGCCGATCAACAACAAGAAATTCACATTATCGCTGCTCTATTATACGGGCGACATATGGAAGTTTACCATCTACTGGACTTTTATCTTGTTTGCAGTTTTCTACGGCGCGGCGGGTCTGCTTGCAAGCTGTTCCCACAGAAAAACAGCCGGAGGGCTTTGGATCATGGCTTTTTATCTGTTCGTTGGTGGTGTACAAGCACTAGCCTCTGGAACCGTGGCTGGGTTGATGTATGTTACTCTCTATGGGTGTTTGCAACACTGTCTCCAAGAACTTTACTAACACGGTAAATTGCAGTTTAGCCGTAATTTACAAAGCGGGGCTTTTCGCGATGTCTACGTGGATTCCACTGTGTTGTGCAGTCGTGCTAATACTGTTTAATGTCAATACCAGTTATTCTATGGCAGGAATCATCATATGATAACCAATCCAACAGATGGCTCATCGTGGCTTGGCACAATCACGTGTTCGGAGTTAATGTTTCTTTCGCTGATTGAAAAGGAGCATGGAAGGATGGCTCGTACGTAACCTGAGCGACTCCTGGTTAGCAAAAGAAAAAACTGCATCAAAAGCATATAAAGAGGAATGTCAGCATCTGCGATTAGTCGTTCTTTATCAAATGTCAAGACTGAACTTGATTTTTTGAGAGAATCGAAAGTCATTTCTGAAGACGTTTTTAAGCAAATAATGAGCCAATTACCAGACAGTTATAACCCAAACGCAAGAGGCGAAGCGCCTCAAGCCCCTCAATCTGAATTTGTAGAGGCCATATACAATTTTCAGGCACAACAGGACGGTGACCTAGAGCTGCATGTCGGTGACAAAATAGAGGTGTTAGAGAAGCCTTCTGCGGAATGGTTCAAGGGTAAATGCAACGGCCGCGTGGGTATGTTCCCTTCCAATTACGTGAAACCTGCTTTCTCGGGCTCAAGCACGGACGTCGCACGCGCAAATGTGCCGCCACCACAATATCAATCCCAGCAGTACTTGCAACCCCAGCAGACAAATATGAGTGCGCAATCAGGTGCTTCGCAGCCACCTTTCCCACCCCCATCTGTTGGTTACTATCAGCAACCTCCACCACAGCAATACCAGCAATATCCACAACAGCAGTATTATCAACAGGCCGCACCTGTAGCTCAGCCTGAAGCGCAGGCAAGTTCCGGTCATCACAGTAGTGGTGCGTTCAAAAAGTTCGGTAGCAAGCTCGGTAATGCTGCAATTTTCGGTGCAGGTGCGACGATTGGTTCTGATTTGGTTAACAGTATCTTTTAAATGCATTGGAGCCAAGCATTTGGATTTGTTCTTCGCTTTATTTTTGATAACACATGAGTCATAAATAGATTGGGAGTATATGTAGGAGCAGTTTAGAATATGATCAACTAGATAATGCTATTTTAAAAGTACTTCCCATATACATGATATAACCTGTTCACTACGTTAAGTTTGGATGCGTGGGATAAATTGGCGTTGACCAATTCGTCCACGTCTCGAAACCATTCAGCTTTGCGGCCTTTAGGCACTAGCCTTTCACCGTAGAGACGAGCAGAAACAATTTCTAGTGCAAGCAACCCGGTATTGAGATCTTGATCATCGTGTTGGGGTTCCAAGTCTTTGTAATTTAGTAATCGCTCGACGTTGTTCAGGCTGGAAGAAAGTTTGAGCTTGTAAAGTCCGATATTGGACCATATACGACCTAACTTTACGAGGCGGTAAGCCCCAGTTAGAAGACAATACAAGATGAGAAGAGCTGGAGACATGGCCACCACCCCAAACACCAGTTGTTGGGATTGAAGCAATTTGTCGATACCGTTGAGTGCGAGTGAACCGTCAACTTTAGTCTTTTGGATTTGGATCAATAAAGAACGCACCAATTTCCCTGAAAGAATATTTTTGATGGGATGATGCAACTGGTTTTCATATATTTGCATGAACTGCGTTAAATCTCCCATTTGAACCTGCTTGGCTATAAGCTCTGTGTCCACGTTTCCATCTGAGTTATCGGCCACTATCTGGACAATCATTCGCGATAAGGAGTTAAACTCTGTATCAAGAGAGCCCTGAGACATTACAGCAATGGCCGAGTGTTCTTCATCATGACGCACTGTACTCCAAACTTGCTGCAAGGGAATCCAAATCCAGTTGTAGACCAACCCCGCACAAAAATCCAAAATGTTTTCTTGGCAAAACTTGGCAATTTCATACCGAGCGTTCCAAACAGCAAGGACAGAAGATGGGCCATATATTAACGTGCACAATAGCGTTGGCCAGTATCGAGTCAATTTTCCCGGTTTTCTGATCGCTGTGGAAGAACCCAACTCGATTGTTCTGGAAGTCATGTCAGTAAGTAGCTGGACAATTGATTGCTGGTCAATTTGTTGTGCTCCGATGTCATAGTAATTGGCAATGGATTGAACGCGGCCTTCCAGATCATGTTTTAGCGGGAACTCGGAGATAATTCTTCCAAGCTTGCGAGTCATTTTGTCGGAGCGGGCGCCTGAGGAGTCGCGGAATGTGTCCACTTCTTCGCGCACGGCGGCTAGTGGCAATCCCCACAGCGAAGATACGAGTTTCCCAGTATCACGCGGGATTCCTACCAATTGGTAATTGTGGATCATGACGAGTTTGTCGAGCCTCGGCAATACCTGGTGGGCCCATTTGGAGGCGGTCTTGGCGACATCATCGATATCGATTCGGTGCCAGGAACCAGACGCTGCAGTGTCGGACGTGGCAGTGTCAGACGTGTGCGACACGCACGAGGTGGATTCGGCGATGAGATTGGACGCAAAGCGAAATACGCGTTCTGGCATAATTTGCAAACCATAGAGTAAAGACCATCTTGTCGAGCCGGCAACTTCGGAGTAGTACTGATGGGTGACGTTGATGTTTGGCAACTGCTGTAGCGATTCCTGAACTATGGTGTAGTAACAGCAGATGGTGACGTACTGAATGATAGATGTCTCGACCACCGGAACTATCGCGGCCGCTGCAGGATCAGCAGTGGCAGAGGATGAGCTGAGGTGCAAATTCTGTAGCACAGACCGTAGTAACGCCAGGTTGACGCGAGGGCGTGAACGGCGTTGTTGGATATTAGATGTGAGAGAGTCCACCTCGCTTTTCACGATCCACAGCTGGTCCTGCAGACGTGTGAGGTTCTCCTGGTGGGAGGATACATTGGAGTTGGCGTCGAGTAAGGCAGCGCGCTGCAGACCAAGTTCGAGGGCTTTGTCTACGTCTTCGACCGCCCTCAGCACGAATTGGTTCGCTATCATTCGTTGTACCGATATCGGCACAGGACCAGAGGCGGGACGGGAGGAAGTCGAAGAATGGGGGAGCAAAGGTGGAAAGCGGATACGTGTGAAACGATAAACTTCATTTCACGCTCAAAAACCGAGGTATCTAATGGAGCAACTATGCATTATTTTATGGTCGATTAATTACTTACATACGTGTATCTTATTTGTGTTCAATTAAGCTAAAATATAGCACTTGGCATTGGAGCCAGTAGTTCGAGTAATAGTAGAAAGAGAGGGGAAAAAAAATAGGGAAAAAGCTGATAATAAAACCAGAGGAGCGCGAAGTGCAGAAGTGCTGGCGCGGCTTATTCCATGCCGTCGAGAGAAGTAAATCTGTGCTGCGGTAGCTGCGGGTGGTATGGGGCTCCACACAGGGCCCGGGAGATAATAGAAATAAAGAGAAATAAAAGTTCAAAGAAAGGGCGCGGGCGCGGCGCAACGCGGCGCGGCCGGATGCAGTTCACTCCATGCCGTCGAAAGAGTAATCCTTCTTGGATAGCTTTGCACGCAAGCCCTTACCGTAGTAGTAGAATGCAAAGGGAATGAGAATCATGGCGGTGGAGATGAAGGCCAGCAACCAACTTGCCCATTGCAGACCCAGCTTATGGTACATCTGGTTGGTGAACAGTGGGAAAGCGGCACCACCGGCGGATCTCAAGAACACCTTCGTGGCCAGGGCACTGGAGGCGTACATGGCGTAACAGTCGATGATATAGTTGTTCAAGGAGTAGTAGATCAGCACCATACCGTAGCCGAAGGCCAGACCGGAGGACGCGGGTCCGACCCAGATGATATGCTTGTAAGAGGTGGCACCCAAGATCCACAGCGCGATGGCAGCGAAGGGCGCGCCAATCATGGCACCGAGCAGACGGTCCTCCGGGGTGGGCTTGCGGCGCTTGGTGATGGCGATGTACTTGTTCTCACAGTAGAAGGTGGTGGCCAGCGCGATCGACGCACCGATCAGGATGGGGATGAACATCAGCCCGATCAGATTGTCCTTGTAGCCGTACAGCTCGCCGAAAATCACCGGGTATGCAAAGAAAAACGCATATAGCAGGGAGTAGATCAGACACACGTAGAAACACATGAGATCCAGCACGGGCTCGGTCACGGCAAAGTAAAGCGGACGCAACAGACACGCGCGCATCATCTCGTTGACACTGAGACCCTGCGCCTCCTGTTCCGTCATGATCTTGGGGTTGCCGGTCTCGCGTCTGAGCTTGGCAGCACGACGCTTCAAGATCACGGGCGCAAACGTCTCTGGGATGAAGGCCACGATGATCCACATGGCCCCGCAGAACGCCATGTTGACCCACCAGATCAGATCCAGCCTGCCCGTGGACACACTGATGAACCCGTTCACGAGCGGCCCGAACACCGGCCCACAGTAGGGCGCGTAGGCGAAAAACGCGATGGCACGGCCACGGGTTTCCGAGGGGAACATGTCGGCGATCGACCCGCCGACCAGACAAAGTCCGGACGACGCCCACACACCACATAGAAAGCGCACCGCCAGCAGCCCACCGATGTTGGGCGCCAGCGCGCACGGAATGTTGAAGATCACGTAGAGGCCAAGCGACGAGAAGTACGCCACACGCCGCCCGAACAGGTCGCTGACGGGCGACCAGATCAGCGGCCCGAGCGAGAAACCAATGACCATCAGCGAACACGTCAGAATCGACACCTCCGTCGACACGTGATACTTGTCGTTGACCAGACCCAGCCCACCTGTGATGCACGCAGAACCGTACGCCACGGCGATCACCAGAATCGACAGCACGATGGTGTACACCCACCGCAACCACAGCGGCCAGTTGTGCGGGTTCTGCGGGTCGTTTGTGACGAACGTCACAAACTCGATGTCCGGGTCCAAGTCCGCGCCGTCCGCGTCGGCGCCGGACGTGTCTTTTTCGCCCGAGCCGTCGATGGGCAGCCGCTTGGACTCCTCAGACGACGACGTGGCGGACCCGCGGCGCTCCAGCTGCCGTGTACGCGTACGCGAGATCGCGGTGGCAGTCCGGCCCAGAGAGTGCAGCGTGGCCACGGGGACCAACCCGGTAGGGGTTTCCATGGTATACTCCTCGGGGAAAATTGGAGCTCCGGACGTGGCCGGAGCGTTGACGTCCGGCAGCGGCGCCTCAGGGGTCAGCCCCATCTCTTGCAGCGACTTGACGGTCTCGGTGGGGACCAATCTGAGACGTTGTTGCGACGCGGATTCTGCGTCGCGCGAATTGCGCGTGGACGACGGCACATACGACTGGGGCACCTGGTTGTAGGATTGTTGGGAATTGTACGAGTTGATCGACTCTTGATCTGACTCCATGTTTGGGAAGTGAGAGTGCGGAGTGCGGAGTGAATGCGAAGAGAGAGAGCCTCGAAACGATGCGATTAATTAGAAAGAACGCTTGCAAACAGTTGCAGTGCGTGATCCGCGATATAGAAATGGTTGAGTCCGACGTAAACCTTTCAGCCGCCCGCTCAGCGCAAGCTTTATATATACGTTTGGCCCGTTTGCGCATGTTTTGGTGGGCCCACCAATTATCCCTCGCTTATGCCAGGGCGCCGCTGCATGGACGCGCTGAAATTGCCGCAGCGTCTGCAGCGGTTGGTGTGCAGACGAGACGGGCTGGCCGGGGGGAGCCCGCTGGTGCGGACAGTTCAGGGCAGCGCGGCGGGCGCGCTGCGGGCGGTTCTGCGCGGAGTCAGCCTCGCGAGGCGCGCTGCGGCCGGGTCTGGCGTGGCTGCGATGGACACGGGTCCCAGAAGGGACGCGGCGGGCGGGCCAGGGCGGGCCCTGACAGCGGCAGCCGCGGCGGCGGGGGGGTAATTCACGCGGGTCGGGATCGCTGTGGACGGGGGTGGCAGGCCGCAGCGGGCGGCGGGCGGCGGTGCGGGGGCGTCTGGGCGGGTCACGTGCGCGTGTTTACGGTGTGTTTATTTTTGGACGCGGCAACTCCGAGGCGGGTCACGTGCGCGCGGGCAGCGCCGGCAGGCGCAAGCACGCGCGAGGCGCGCGGGCGGCGGGTCGCAGTGTCGCAGGCGGGTCGGCGGGGCGTTGCAGCTCGCGCGCCTGGGTCGCGCGCTCCACCTGTGCTTGCGTCGCCGGCGCACTGCCCAGTGCAGCGGTCCATATATAGCGTGCGCGCTGCGGCGTGCGTGTCCGCTTTCGGTGCGGGAGTTGCCCGAAGCGGACGGCGCGGCGGGCGGATGGGGCTGCCGAGGAGCTGCCGTTTGGGGGAAGGCCCAGGGGGGGATGGGTTGTCGCTGCGCACGGTGGTCACGTGGTGTCGTTTGGTACGTCGGTCACGTGGCGCGCTCGTCGTCTCGCACGGCGCGGCTCCTCGCCCTTCTCTCTTTGTACGGCGCCGCCCCTCCGCTCATCGCCGACGCGTCGCGGCGCGTCCCTCTTTCCCACCACCCCATGGACGCGGAACCGCAGATCAAGGCCCTGGTCGAAACCCTGGCCCCCCGTACCGCCCACCAGTACAAGCTCTACCAGTCCAAATACATCGAGTGGTGCCGCAGCCATGGCCTCGTCCGCTCCCCGCCCGCCTCCGGGCCCTACGCCGACGTGATCGTCACCGCGTCCCTCGTGCACTGGTTCGTGCTGGCCCACTACGTGTGCGCAGCCGACGCTCAATTCAGCGCCTCCGCGCTCCGCAAGCTCGTCAGCGCGCTCAAGTTTCTGCACCGGCTGTGCCGTGTCTACGACCCGGCGTATCCCTACCGTCTCGACGGCGACTACCTCGAGGCCGTCGTCCGCCTGCACATCGCCGCCACCGCCGAAAACCCGCCCGTGTCCCCGCTGCGCACCGTCTCCGTCAACATGTGGAACCCTCACACCAGCGCGCTCTCCGAAAAGTACTTCCGCGGCGGCGTCGAGAAACTGCGCTTCCTCGTCGACTTCCACCTGCAACAATTCTGGCGTCTGCGCTTCCAAGACCGGTCGCGTCTCAAGCTGGGCGACCTACGCACCGCGGACGGCATGCTGCTTTACCAATCTGCCACTGCCCACGACGATACCTTGCACACACGCCGTTTCGCCGCGCTCCCGCAACGCGAACCCTGGGCGTGCCCGCTCGTCTCGCTCGCAGCCTATCTGTATCTGCGTTTCTACGGTGCACACAAGTCCTACAAGGGTGACGGGTTCCCCAACTTGCTCGACAACGACGATTGGTCCCACTTGCCGCTAATCAGGGGCAAGTCCCACGACAAATACCCGCGCGAAGAGACCATGAGCAACTACTACTCCGACGTGTTTCGCTACTGCCATCTGCCCTACAAGCGCAGGGAATACTTCCAACTGCGATCTACCGAGTCTGTGCAGTTTCCCGCAACCACTCCCGACGAAGACCAGCAATTACAACAATTGGGCCAGGGCGCGCAACAGCGATTCTTCCCAGAGCAAATCCCGCTCGATTTCCTACGAGCCATGAATCATTACCCCATTTACGAAACTGCCAACGCGACTTTGGTCCCTGCGCCACGTACCATGCCCCAAGTGGTCCTTGTTCAAGTTTTCGCCGAGATCCAAGAGTATTCACGCCAGTGGGACAAACTGGACGCCAACGCTCAGGAGTTTCTGTCCGTGATGACTTTGTTGCGGGATTCGCTTGTGGCCGCAATGCCGTTCATATACCACGCATTCCCCGAACACGACCTATTCCGTGATCCAATGTACCAAACACCTGAGGTCCAGAGCTATTTCCAAGAGGTCATTGAAAGCTGTCGTTCCAACGGTCAATTGGCGAAATATGAACCTCAAACGTTTGGCCTGCTGGGCGCGGAACCTGATATAGCGCCTCCGTCCCAGCCCAACCCTGCACTGGCAATTGACCTGGTTACCCATTCAGACACGGACAGCGCGTCTCTGGTGTCGTACCTCCGAGATCAAACTTTCCAATTTGTGCAATTCCAAACTGCGACGAATTTCCATCTTCTGATCTCATTGCTGACGCAGGTGTTTGAGCGGCTGGAAACAAAAAAAAGTAATAGAGAGCTCATCATCCACCAATTGGGGTCCCTCGAACAAACCTTGAAGGACCGCATAGCAAAAACTACACCGCAAGATGTCAAACAAGAAGAATCTGAATCGAATACACTACGTCAAACTGTCACCCAATCTACTCCGAGTGCTCTGGAATACCAACAACCGTCTGACAGAGGCACGCCAGACGATGTAAGTGAAATAGACAGCAACGATGAAGACGATGAAAACATACGAGAACTTCAAGTGCTGGTGTCTCAGTTACTCGACACAAAGATGAAGGACATGTTCGAGGCTCAAACAACGAAAATGACGGCACATATACAGTCCATAGTCCAAGAGCAAATTCGCAAGCAGGTGCGCGAGGAGGTGCGAACGCAATTGGCATATTTGCTCAACGGACACTCTCCAACGCCGTCCCCAGCTCCTCAATCGATACCACAGAAACGTGAAAGAGAGGATGATCGCCCTCCTCCTCCTCCTCCTCCTCCTCCCTCTCCTCCTCCTCCTCCTCGTCCCCTCTCCCCTCTCGGCTCTCCTACTCCTGATCCTGGCCACTTCACAATCTCACCAGAGCTACAAAGCATTGAGGACGTGATCCTGGAGTGGTTCACCCCCAACTCACAACTTAACGGCGAATGCATACATTCAATGAATCAAAAGCATGGGAAAAAGTGGCGTCTCAAGGATAGCACCACCAAAGACCTCTACAGACAACGCAAGACCATCGTTGAGTTTTACATTTCGCTCGTCAACGAAAGAAATTTGGGCAGATATGAGGCCGTTGCACTTTGTGAACGGCTGCGTGGTGAAAGAAATCTCGAAGAGTTCAGCTCATGGCTGAGAAATTGGAAAAAAACGCATAATCAATCCTATAATGATCTTCATTAATTACGTAGTCTTAGCGTATCTTAAAAAGTCGCAAACTCATTACTTTTCTCCCGCGGTCATCTTGAACGTCTCGTATCCAAGCGATGCGTTCAGCGCGGGTCGGAATCTGCTGTTGTAATAAAATATCTCTGCACATTTGGAATATAAAAACTCGCAAGGTCTCTTACCCGATACAACTTCTTCAAGCCTCCATTTGTCGATGATATTAATCTCGATATTATTGACTTTATTTTATGTAGAGGCGGTCGTTGTCCCTTGGCTGGATGACGATCCCTTTATTGACGTTACAAAACCATCGAAACAAGAATTAGGATTCCCACCCGTTCTACCCCCTAACGAAATCACAGACGACACTAGAAGCTTACCGTCGGAAGGTTTTATACCTGATTACGTTTTAAAACACTGCCCACTAGTCCATCTTTACAGCGAGGAAGAATACTGGCCTACCGATGTCTCTGAATTTATCCACCATTTTAGAGTTATGACTAATGAAGGAAAGTTGCTTCGAAACGGTACTTTGGACTTGAAAGACTTGAAAGAAGAGTTTCTTGATCTTGAAGATCCTCAAGAAGTGGTTGAGAGCTCGGATACCTATCTATCCTCTTTAGATGATTTTGACAAAGATCCACGTTGGATGCTTGGTCACAAACCAGAGTATAGCTCTGGTCGAATCAATGATGCACCTGCTGTTCTTATCGTGGTGGATAAGGGTAACGGCTGGGTAGATGCTTATTGGTTTTATTTCTACGCATTTAACCTGGGACCATTTATTATGGGTTACGGGCCGTGGGGCAACCATGTCGGTGATTGGGAACACTCTCTGGTTAGGTTCTATGAGGGTGAACCAAAATATTTATGGATGAGCGCGCATGGTGGTGGTGGCTGCTATCAATTTGACGCCATTGAGAAAAAGAAACGCTACAACTACATTCATGGGAAGCCTACTCCTGAAGTTGTTGAGAGGCCACTAATCTTCAGTGCAAGAGGAACACACGCAAATTACGCATCTGTTGGCCAGCACGCTCACGACGTTCCCTTTTTCTTTAGTGCATTGAGTGATTTCACGGATCGCGGTCCATTATGGGATCCAGCGTTGAATTTCCTGGGTTACACATATAACGGAACAAATGTGACACCAGTTTCAAAAAGAGAAGAGGAATTGGGTACCAGTTGGCTTACGTATAAAGGGCGCTGGGGTGACAAACAGTTGCCTTGGAGTGACCCTAGACAAAGATGGTGTCCTGTGCAGTGGAGGTACATCGAGGGGCCAACCGGACCTCTCACCAAAAATTTAGAGCGTACAGGGCTTTGCCAGAGAATGAAATGGGGTAACATTTTGCGTGTGTGTACGCCAAGAAGAACTATCAAGCGCGGCCAAGGGTTAGATGCAGAGAGAAATGATATGGTGGGAGATAATTGTGGTGTTCTGCTGTATCGCATACGGCCAAAATGGTTACGTTCGCTCTTCAGAATTGCCATGTGGCGTGGCGTTGCATGTTTTCTGATGGATTACTTTACTGGTTAATGAAAGAAGATAAAAGTATTTAATGATTCATACACAATGATATAATAATGAAATTAATTGTTAGAGGATTGCGGTTCTTATATGAGTGATGCCCGGTGTGCAGTTGGGAAATTCTTGATTGGCAATTTTTGGTTTTTTCGTCGTTCGTTTAGCAGAGAACCATCCCGTACTTAATGTGTTGATAGATTAGAGGTAGAATGTTGGAAGTAGAGTGCGAAATTTGTGTATGACGCCATGAGGGACGTGCGGCTATCAGAAGTGTTGGAGTGTATTTGAGAAGAGTAAACTAAGTTGCAGGGCCAATCTCCCAGCTGAGCTTATTTATGTACCAACTGTAGGATTTTCAACTTTTAATTTTTTATGTCTAGCTTTCATTTTTAGAATATGTGATGAATAAAAGAAACATAAATCGAAAACAACAAATAGCCTATAGATAATCGCTAGTTATTAATCAGTACTTTAGGCCTGATAAGCTAATCTCTCACCTGGCAAATCATCATCTGTTATCGGCGGCACAGATTCGGAAGTTATCTACTTTCTCCATACTTTTCTAGAAAGTTCTCCACCTTGATTACATAATCCTATATCGTTTTTCTCCTGCGCGCCAGAACTCTCAAGAAGCATATGGAAACTTAATGACAAATGCTCTTGAAATGACAGGGTATATAAGGTGGGTGATATCCCAGTTTGATTAACCTGTCCACTCTTAAGTTCACATCAACTACCAAAAGTGAAAATAACCAATATTTCGACAAAAATCATGTTTCAATTAAACCCTTCCCCATGTGTTTTTGAGCCGCTGCCAGCTTACAACGCAGCCCCATCCGTTTACTACTACCCAGAACACAAGAAGAGAAGATTACAAAATTGTCCGTTTGTTACCAGAGCTTTACCGGTAAGAAGAGAAACAGTCAAGCACCAGATCGACGAAAATGACAAAGAATATGTGCTGTCGTTATACAAGACGGTTTCCGAGGAGAAAGTGTCCAAAGCGGTCTACGAGCGTTTGCAAGAAGTGAGAGACAATTACGCTCCAAAATACCAACTGGTAAGAGACTACTTCGGTAACGAGTTTTACATCAAAGAGGACAAAGACGAAGACGCTATAATCCAAGAAGCTATCGCCCAACTGGACATGACACAGATTGGCCGCCAATTGGCCAAGCAGGCCTTCCAAGACTACGAAATCACGCTGAACCACACAGGCGATGAGCTCGCTGTAGTTAGTCAGCACGACAGATACGAGAAGATCTTCGCCCTCGGATCTGAATGCGAGGACGTTCGCGTGATTGGCTGCGAGATGATCAGCGACTCCGTGGCCCGGCTCAAGGTAGGAGTCCAAAAGCCTGCCCGCGCTGAGCCTGTGACGTTTGCGACGCCCATCCAATTCCAAATTCTAGTGCCAACTCAACAACAACAGGAGTCGCAGGAAAGCAACTCCGAAAGCGACAGCCAGGAAATCGAAGATGCACTCCAGGCAAAGCAACGCCGCGAGCTACAGAAGAAAGAGCGCAAGGAGGCCCGCCGTGTACAAAAAAGACAAGAAAGGGCCAGGAGAAACGAGGAAAGACGCCAGCAAGAGGCTGCCCTCGAGCAGGAACAGCAAAGGTTGGCAGAGGAGGCCCGTGTCGCGGAGGAGCGCAGGAGACTCGAAGTCCAGGCCGCCGCCGAGGAGGAGCGTCAGAGAAGGGCGTACCTCGAGGCCAAACAGAGGGCCCGAGAAATAGCCGAGGCGGAGGAGAAGGAGAAAAAGATCGCCGAGATGAAGCAGAGGTTGATCGCAGAGAAGAGAAACCGCAGATTGCAGCAGCAATCGGAGCAGCCCTCGGAGGCCTCTGAGCCTGAGAGGAAATCCCCAAACAACGTGGTGATCAACATAAATTTCGGGACCCCAGAGAACGTGCCGGGCAGAGAAGACCAAAACGGCAAGGCACGTGACCAGCCCAAGCGTTCTCGCTCGCGTTCTCCCGTGGTTCTCGAAGACATGGAGGACGAGGAGACAAACAGATACCAACAATCGCTCTCCAGATCCCCCAGGGGCTCGTCCGTGATTGACGATCTATAAGACAGTGTATACTAGTATAGTGCAATAACGACAGATTTACGACGTGAAATTTATCAGCTCTTGGCTCTTGCGCATGCGAAGAGGATGCATTGGAAACCGCGGAAACCACGGAAACGCCGAGTTCCGCTCCGCCAGCTTCCAAACCCGAGACTCTGTGTCTCGCACGAGAGACGCAAATCGCGTCTGCGCGTGACGCTCCGCTGCCCATGACCCCGAGCTGAACCGGCCCCATACCACAACACGGGCGTGTGGCGTAGTTGGTAGCGCGCTCCCTTAGCATGGGAGAGGTCTTCGGTTCGATTCCGGACTCGTCCAAACAAACTTCATTTTTTGCTGCTGGTGTCGGCCGTCGTATGGCTGCAGCTGCAGCTTAAGCGCCGCATATTACCTCGCGGCCGTCACGCCGAGACAATATGCGCAGACGCGCTGAGAGGGTCTTTTTCAGCTACATCCGCTGCGGTATAAGTGGAAGCGCACCAGCGAGTTTTGGCTCTTGCTGGTAGAACGGCGCAATTCACGAGACTGCACGGCTCACACACATGACACATGCAAACGCTGTGGGCACGTTCCAGGAGATGCTACAGCAGCACGCACGCGCCATGACCTACGTGGCAGTGCACTACGAGACTGAGACCGAGACCGTGGCCGCATTGCTGGCCAAACTTCACGGTGTGTTGGTCAGCGGTGGGAAACTTGTGTTTGTCGGGTGCGGGAAATCCTTCAAGATAGCAGCAAAGACCGTTGCGATGCTCACGTCGCTCGGGCTGGCCGCAGCGCTGCTCCATCCGACCGAGGCGCTCCACGGCGACATGGGGCTGGTGCGTCGTAACGACGCGGTGCTTTTATGTTCCAGCAGCGGCGAGACACCCGAGCTCGCGGTGTTTGCACGCCAGCTGGCCCCAGCCGCGCCGCCGGAAGCCACAGTGCTGGTGACTGGGGCGCACACCTGCTCACTGCGCGCGTTCGCGGACGCGGTGTTGCTGGTGCCGCAGCCGCGCAGGTTCCAGGAGGCCACGTTGCAGCACGGCCTGCAATCGCCCACGGTGTCGACGACGCTGATGCTTGCGACCCTCGACTGCCTGTGCCTGGCTCTCAGCGAGCTCTACTTCGACGGCGACCTTGAGCAACGACGTTATTTTTTCAAACGGATGCACCCCGGCGGCGGAATCGGGAAAACCGTCATGTCGTCGCAACAATCGGCTGCCGCCGAGGAGGCACGCCGCGGTGACGTTGCTGACGACGCGGCGGCCAATGACGCGGCCGCGCCGCCGGGCGTCGCGCCGATTCCGGCGGTTAACGTGGCTGAGCTGGACGCCGACGCGTCGGAGCTGGAGTTTCTCCGGACCGCGGTGCGCTGCGAATGGTGCGCGGTGGACGGCGCGCGCTACAGCTCGCATTGGCTGCAACAGCGGTATCGGGAGTGGAGCGCGGGCCCTGGAGCTGCGTTCAGCGTGCGTGCGCTCCTGGCGGTGGCGGCCGTGGCCGCCACCGCCAGCTGATGGCACGGGCGCACAGCCGCGCGAGCACGCGCTCGGCGGCGACTGAAACCGGCGACTGGGGCTCGCCCAAAACAGCAAGTAGGCTATATATAGCAGCGCGGCACGTGAGAATTTGTAAATAGGCCCGAAAGGGAAACGGGCCGTGCGCAGTGATGTAGCGAAGGCCCGCCGGCCAGCTTTCCTTTTTTGTGGCTGTTCTGGGAATGTTTCTTGCAGCGCAGGTGCATGACAAGCGGCGAGGGAGAAATTTTATTCTATTTCGCTATTCCAAACTACGATTCGTGAACAAACAACAGGTTGACCAGCGACGGAGGAGCCATGTCCATCAGAAACTTGACCAACCAGGCGTCAGAGCAGGCTTCCGCATCGCTAGACGGCAGTCGTTACCACGCAGACGAGCGCGATCGCAGCCACGATCAATCGCAGGATCAGTCGCGCGAGCACCTCACCAACCCATTCGCTGACGACGCCGAGGACGACTCGTATCCGTCGCACAGCGCCAGCGACACGTCCCTGATCCACCACGGGCTCGAGTCCGGCGCGGACGCGGGCGCGTCGCGCGGCGGCGCGGCCGCAGCGGGGTTTTCCGACTACAAGGGCTACTACTCCAAGGCCGGCGCGAGCGCCGGCCGCGCCACGGCCGCCAAGGGCAAGATGCCCGCGGCGCTGCCCTCCAGCACGTCGCTCAGCTCGCACCTGGGCATCTCCAACAACGACATTCTGTCGCCGCCGGCGTTCGACCGCTACCCGCTTGTGGGCTCACGTGTTGCGTCGATGGCGGCCATCAACAACAAGAACCATGCCAGTCTGGGCGCCAACCCCAACAACAGCTCTTCCAACAACGACGGGTCGTCGTCGTCTATCACGTCGTCCAACCCGTTTTTGAGCGACCAGGATTTCTCGCCGTTCGGAGGCTACCCTACTTCGTCGTTCCCACTGCATATGGAGGAGAAGGAGGACGACGACTACCTGCACAACCCGGACCCGGAGGAGGAGGCGCGTCTCGATAAGGAACGCTTCGTGCTCGACTTCAAGCACATGGACAAGCGTTCCGCCGGTGGGCTGTTCGGAATTCTGTTTCTCTTTTTGGGCGCCATCGCGCTGTTTGTGATCCTCCCCATCGTCACTTTCACAGGCGCCGGCCACCACTACACTCCACAGGTAGTGGCACTTTTAACGCTCTACGAATACCCGCAACTATCAGCCATCCGGACCGATTTGGTCGACCCCGACACCCCAAGCTCCGCGTTGTCCAAGAAGGCCAAAGACGGTTCCTATTGGAAACTGGTGTTCTCCGACGAATTCAACGCCGTGGGTAGAAGTTTTTACGACGGTGACGACCAATTTTGGACTGCGGCTGATCTAAACTACGCTGCTACCAAGGATCTAGAATGGTATACCCCAGATGCTGCTACCACTGCAGACGGTACTTTGCAATTGCGGATGGACGCTTTCAAGAATAATGGCTTGAGCTACAGGTCTGGAATGTTGCAGAGTTGGAACAAGTTATGCTTTACACAAGGTAACATCGAGATCTCTGCACAGCTGCCTAACTACGGCCGCGTTACCGGTCTATGGCCCGGTTTGTGGACTATGGGTAACCTTGGCCGTCCCGGTTACATGGCTAGTACCGAAGGTGTCTGGCCTTACTCATACGAAGCTTGTGATGCGGGTATCACCCCTAATCAAAGTTCCCCCGACGGTATCTCGTATCTACCGGGTCAGAAACTGAGCTCTTGTACTTGTGATGGGGAAGACCATCCCAACCAAGGTGTTGGAAGAGGTGCACCTGAAATTGATATCATCGAAGCCGAAGCTGATACCACTTTGCAAGTGGGGTTGGCGTCTCAATCTCTACAAATCGCACCCTTCGATATATGGTATATCCCCGATTACGATTTTGTGGAAATTTACAATTTCTCCACCACTGCCATGAATGGCTACTGTGGTGGTCCATTCCAACAAGCGGTGTCTGCAGTGTCCACTTTGAACATTACTTGGTACGAATTTGGTCCAACAGCAGGCTACTACCAGAAATACGGGTTTGAATATTTGAATGACAGAGAAGATGGATACGTTCAATGGTTTGTGGGTGATGATCCTACTTTCACCATTTATGCAAAGGCCTTACATCCAAATGGTAACATTGACTGGAGATTGATAAGTCAGGAACCAATGTCGATCATCATGAACTTGGGTATCTCTAACAGTTGGGCTTATATCGATTGGGCTTCTATTTATTTCCCAGTAACGATGAGCATCGATTACGTGAGAATTTACCAACCAAACGATTCCGTAAGTATCACTTGTGATCCGACCGACTACCCAACATATGACTATATCCAAAGCCACTTGAACGCATACAGCAACGTCAACCTTACGAGCTGGGAGGGTGCAGGTTATACGTTTCCTTCTAATAACTTGACAAAGAGTTGCAAGGTTTCTAAATCTTCTTGAAGGGAACCTACCACGGGCATGATAAACAGGCTAACTATAACTTTAGAGTGATATTATCGGAGTTACTTGGTTACCAAGTTTTGTCGCTTCTGCATTTTGGACTTTATTCCAACCATTTTAATAAAGTGAATCAAATACAAAAAAATAGACATCGTTATTCATAGAGCTTCACGCTCAGCAGACCACCTGCTCTGGAGTGGATTAGACAGTTCTCAAGTTCCCGGCTTCAACTATACGCAAAACGACCATGGAAGAAGGTCCATTCCCTTTCCGTCGAGATGAATATGCCTGTATTTCGAGTTGTGTGGACATTTTGTTTGGGATATGAACTCAACGGCATATCTCCCAATCAACAAATTCGAAAAAAGAATCAATTCGTACAATTTGGTTTACGGAAATGCCAGTGAAAAGTGGTTGCTTACGTTGATTACTTATCGCGCTGCAAGCTACAGCATGCGGTCACATTTTTAGGAGCTTATTTCTTATTTTGAATCGAATTTGCTTTTGTGCCACTATTGTTGTGTATGATACTTTTGGACGTTCGTTTTAGCAAACACTATCTTCACGAAAGAAATATGAAGAATGTGAGCGCAATTTTTCTTGGTTTTTTCTCTGAAAGAATGTGAAAGTACGAACAGTATGGAAGGGATTGCATTCAAGCAATACCGCTGCTGCGCAGTATAGTCATTGGGCCACTTTCGGTCTTCATGGGGTATGAATGTCAATGAAGTATAGTAAACTAAATACTCTAGGATTCCAGCTTGTAATAAATATGAACTTGATTGTAAATTAAAACAAAAAGATTCAGATTGCATATACTGGTGTATACCGTTCCATCGTAAATGCGCTTGAAAGGCTATTTGAAATATCGAGCAAACTGCTGATTTCCCTTCCAAAGCATATGACCAAAAAACTCGTCGTATAGTTTCCAATAATGCAGTAAACCCGCTACGTGGCTACCAGGTGGAAATCAGTGTCAAACCCCTCAAGAAGGCGTACAATACTCAAATAGAGTTCCATATTATGTCTATATCTTTAGCCTGATGTTTTGCTTTCCAGAAACTATAATGTTATTGCACCATAACCCAACAAGAAGCGCAAGTGGTTTAGTGGTAAAATCCATCGTTGCCATCGATGGGCCCCCGGTTCGATTCCGGGCTTGCGCATATATTTTTAGTTTTTGTTCCTTTTGAAGCTATTAAGTGCATTCTCAAAAATGGTGAATATCGTCATAACCTTGTCTGCACTTGAGATGAGGAAATAGATCAATGTGCTATTCTTAATCTTCTGTAATGTCTTTTGTTTCGCTGCTTAAAGATATGTTACCTCTTTGGGTAACTTAATCGATAAAGCTCAAGAAACGAAAAATATCGACAACATCAAACACGATTTTCTTCAAACATCTCGATAAAAGGATTCACCATTCAAGTCAGTGAGAAGACAAAAAAATGTCTTCACCACCGCCCAGTAACCGTCAGCCAAATGCAAGAGCATCCAATAATGACACTCCTAGTTCCCAGCTAAGTGGAATGAATGATATCTCTTCTGTTCCTCCTACTCATCCCACACATTCATCTCCACCTGCGTTCTCGTCGTTGGGGGGTGAGTTTCCTGGAAGTAGTCAACTTGGTGAGGAAAATAGCACATTAGGGACTGGTGGCATTATGCCCACTTTTCCAAGCTCTTCAAGACCTGGTGCGCACGTTGAAAATAGCCAGACTCAGCTAGGGAGTAGCGAGTACTTTGACAGAGAGAATGCCCTTGAAGAAGAGGGAGAGAACTTGCCACTTGATGGTGTTAGAAGAAGAACTCTTAATACTATAAAGAAAGTTGATGATGTAACCGGTGAAAAGGTCCGTGAGGCATTCGAACAATTTTTAGAGGAGTTCACTCTCGAAGACGAAGATAATGAGAGAGTGTATCGTGCTCAAATTGAGTTCATGAAAATCTATGATTTGAGTACCATTTATATCGACTACCAACACTTAGCAACAAGAGAAAATGGTGCCCTGGCTATGGCTATTTCTGAACAATACTATAGATTTCTACCTTTTCTTCAGAAAGGTTTAAAAAGGGTTGTGCGTAAATATGCTCCGAAACTGCTCTTAACCAATGATTCTGTAGCATCACAGAATACCCAGGAGCTTGAAAATGAGAATACTATAGATGCGGAATCTCAAATGCAAGATAGCCAAACAACTGGCATTTCAGGATCTCGCCTGGGCAACGCAAGTTCAGGTTTGGCTACGGGTGGCTCAACTACCACTTCTCCTGAACAAACGGAGCGTGTTTTCCAAATCAGTTTTTACAATCTGCCAACTGTACAACGTATCAGAGATGTAAGGGCAGAAAAGATCGGATCATTAATGACTGTATCTGGTACCGTAACGAGGACATCTGAGGTACGGCCAGAACTTTACAAAGCCAGTTTCACTTGCGAAATGTGTCGCGCTATCGTCGATAATGTTGAGCAAGTATTCAAATACACAGAACCTACGTACTGTCCCAATCCTTCTTGCGAAAATCAAGCCTTCTGGACACTAAACGTTGGAAGATCAAAGTTTCTCGATTGGCAGAAAGCTAGAATTCAAGAAAATGCAAATGAGATTCCTACTGGTTCAATGCCACGTACAATCGATGTCATCTTGAGGGGTGATTGTGTGGAAAGAGCTAAGCCAGGTGACAGATGCAAATTCACAGGTACCGAAATTGTTGTTCCAGATGTTACACAACTAGGACTTCCCGGTGTTAAGCCAAGTTCAAGCATGGATATGAGAGGTATTGCAAGAACAACGGAAGGACTCAACAATGGTGTAACCGGTCTTAAATCACTTGGTGTACGTGACTTGACTTATAAGATTAGCTTTTTGGCCTGCCATGTAGCACAAACAGGAAAAGACTCAATCAGTGGCAATGATCCCTTGCGTGATGAAGAAACAGATATAACTAACATGCAAATATCCAATGTTTACCAGGACGAAGAGAAAGATCAGGAAATCTTTTTGAACAGTCTAAACTCGCAAGAAATTAATGAACTAAAGGAGATGGTTAAAGACGAGCGCATATTCGATAAATTAGTCAGGTCTATTGCGCCCGCTGTATTTGGCCATGAGACGATTAAAAAAGGAATCTTGTTACAAATGTTGGGTGGTGTGCATAAGACAACCGTGGAGGGTATAAAGTTAAGAGGTGATATCAATATTTGTATCGTCGGTGATCCTTCGACATCTAAGTCTCAATTCCTGAAGTACGTCTGCAGCTTTGCTCCAAGAGCAGTTTACACATCTGGTAAGGCATCGTCAGCAGCTGGTCTGACTGCGGCTGTAGTAAAAGACGAAGAGGCTGGCGATTTTACCATTGAAGCTGGTGCGCTGATGTTAGCAGATAATGGTATTTGTTGCATTGACGAGTTTGATAAGATGGATATCTCAGATCAAGTTGCGATTCACGAAGCTATGGAACAGCAAACAATATCGATAGCCAAGGCAGGAATTCATGCTACTCTTAATGCAAGAACGTCCATTTTAGCCGCAGCCAATCCAGTAAGTGGGAGGTACAATAGGAAACTAACGCTGAGAGGTAACTTGAATATGACAGCCCCCATTATGTCGAGATTCGATTTATTTTTTGTTGTGTTAGATGATTGTAACGAGAAGATCGATACTGAACTTGCGGCCCACATTGTTGATCTTCACATGAAAAGGGACGAGGCCATTGAACCACCATTCACTGCTGATCAGCTCCGTAGGTACATCAAGTACGCACGTACGTTCAAACCAGTAATGAATGAAGAAGCTCGTAACTTACTGGTTGAGAAATACAAAGATCTAAGAAAAGACGACGCACAAGGATTTAGCAAGTCAAGTTATAGGATTACCGTTAGACAACTCGAGAGCATGATCAGACTCTCGGAAGCCATTGCACGTGCCAACTGTGTTGACGAAATCACTCCAAACTTCGTGGCAGAAGCATACGAACTTCTGAGACAAAGTATCATCCGTGTGGATGTCGAAGATATCGATGTGACAGGGGATAGCGACTCTGGAAGTGATTCAGACTCAGATGGAGAAAATCCTAGCAGCGAACATAACGGAGACGCCAACCAAGACGATCTTGACACACAACGTTCGCCCATACCGCCTCCCTCACCCACGCACGATTCACCACGGGATGGAAAGAAGAAACACAAAACGACTATTTCTTACGACAAATACGCAGAAATGATCAATCTGATTGTCCAAAAAGTAGCAGAAGAAGAGCGTGACGGTGGACACGAATTGACAGCTTCTGACATTGTCGACTGGTATTTAATTCAGAAAGAAAAAGACATGAACAGCGAGGCCGAATATTGGCAAGAACATAAGCTTGCTTACAAGGTACTGAAGCGTCTGGTTAAAGACAAGATTCTAATGCAGGTTCAAGGAACAATGCAGTCTTTGACGGACGCTCACGAAGATCAGCCTACCCCAGAGAGAGTCGTTTATGTCATACATCCTAATTGTGCAGTCCTCGATAGCATGGTAAATTCATCCTCACAGGAACAAGATCAGTAATAACTTGTATAGAAGCACCTTGTACCTTAATTTCATGTCAATTCCGTGCCATTCCGAAGTAATTCGCTGCGTCGAACATGTGCGTTGACCGTCCAATCATTATGGCCCTAGAATTTCTTCATGCCAGGACCACCCAAACATTAGGGAATACGAACAAGCTTCCTCTTCAACAAAGGAAAGGGGGCGAAGAGTGTTCCGGCAAGGGGGAAGAGCTATTGAGGGATTGTATGCGAGATGCCCAATGCAGATAAAAGATATATAAAGTAACTGGAATTCGAAAGGTATCCCTTACAAAGCAGTTGACCAGGACCACGGAAAGAAAATGACTCCTGTCCGTAGACCAAGTTTAAGCACTAGTCCTTCCAATGATTTGATATTGGAAGACCCCAATGCCCCTCATGTTCCGCGACTAACTAGAAGATTAACTGGTTTCCTTCCTCAGGAAATTAAGGCTATCGACACAATGATTCCCTTGCAATCGCGGGAGATCTGGAATAAGCACAGAGTTAAAAAATTCAACACTGGAGACGAGTTTCAAGAGAAATTTATCTCTCATGTAGAATGGACTTTGGCCAGATCTCTGTACAATTGTGATGATTTGGCTGCGTATCAGGCAACTTCTGAATCAGTACGTGATAACTTAGTCATTGACTGGAATAAGACGCAGCAAAGACAGACTGCACGCGACAGCAAAAGAGTGTACTACCTTTCTTTGGAGTTTTTGATGGGGAGAGCGCTGGACAACGCTATCATCAACATGCAGACAGATACTTCTGAGAAGGATGTCGGCGAAACCAAAGAGACGTTGACTTCTGGTAACACGTCGAGAGAGATGATTAAAAATGCAATTGGTCAGCTAGGTTTCAACTTTGAAGACGTTCTTGAGCAAGAACCGGATGCTGCCTTGGGTAACGGTGGTTTAGGTCGGTTGGCAGCTTGTTTTGTTGACTCAATGGCTACAGGAGATTATCCTGCTTGGGGTTACGGGTTACGCTATCAATATGGTATCTTTGCGCAAAAAATTATCAATGGGTACCAGGTGGAAACACCAGATTATTGGTTGAACTTCGCCAACCCATGGGAAGTGGAACGTTCCGAAATCCAGGTGCCTATCAACTTCTACGGTTATGTCGATAGAGCACAGTCGGGAAGCTCAACTCTTGCGCCAGTCGACTGGATTGGCGGCGAAAGAGTTCTTGCAGTCGCTTACGATATGCCCATACCAGGTTTTAAAACGTCTACCGTCAATAATTTGAGATTGTGGAGTGCGAAGCCAACAACCGAATTCGACTTCTCAAAGTTTAACAGTGGTGACTACAAAAACTCTGTAGAACAACAGCAGCGTGCAGAGTCCATCACTGCCGTGTTGTATCCTAACGACAACTTCGAACAAGGTAAGGAATTGAGATTGAAACAGCAATACTTCTGGTGCGCTGCTTCATTGCACGATATCGTAAGAAGGTTCAAAAAGAGTCGTAGACCTTGGAGTGAGTTCCCAGATCAAATTGCCATCCAATTGAATGACACCCATCCGACATTGGCGGTTGTTGAACTTCAGAGAGTCTTGGTTGACTTGGAAAAATTGGACTGGCACGAGGCTTGGGACATCGTGACCAAGACATTTGCATACACGAACCACACTGTGATGCAAGAGGCTTTGGAAAAATGGCCAATTGGGTTGTTTGGTCGTTTGTTACCAAGACACTTGGAAATTATTTTTGACATTAACTGGTTCTTCTTGAAAGCGGTCGAAGAGAAATTCCAGCATGATGTGGACCTTTTGGGTCGTGTGTCTATCATTGAAGAGGCCAGCCCTGAGAGGCAAATCAGAATGGCGTTTTTGGCCATTGTAGGTTCCCACAAGGTTAATGGTGTTGCTGAGCTTCACTCAGATTTGATCAAGACTACCATTTTCCAAGACTTTGTGAAGATTTACGGACCAAACAAGTTCACTAACGTCACAAACGGTATTACGCCAAGAAGATGGTTAAAGCAAGCAAACCCTAAGTTAGCCCAATTGATCAGCGACACAATCGATGACCGCGCTGATAACTACTTGCTGGATATGTCCAAATTAACTGCGCTTGCTAAGTTCGCGGAGGATGAGACATTCCAAAGCAAGTGGAACGACGTCAAGCAATTCAACAAATTGAGATTGGCAGATCTCATCAAGAAATTGAATGGCGGTGTCGATATTATCGAAAGAGACCACATCAGAAACACTTTGTTCGACATCCAGGTGAAACGTATTCACGAGTACAAGCGTCAACAAATGAACATCTTTGGTGTGATCTACCGTTATCTATCGATGAAGGAAATGCTGTCGTCCGGTTCTTCTATCGAGGAAGTGGCCGAAAAGTACCCTCGCAAGGTGTCCATCTTTGGTGGTAAGAGTGCGCCTGGTTACTACATGGCAAAGCTTATAATCAAGTTGATTAATTCAGTGGGTGACGTCATCAACAAGGACGACGAGATCAAGGACCTGTTGAAGGTCGTGTTCATTCCTGACTACAATGTGTCGAAGGCCGAGATCATCATCCCTGCCAGCGACCTGAGCGAGCACATCTCGACAGCCGGTACCGAGGCCTCTGGTACCTCGAACATGAAGTTCGTGATGAACGGTGGTTTGATCATTGGTACCGTTGACGGTGCCAACGTGGAGATCACCAGAGAGATCGGCGAAGACAACATCTTCCTGTTCGGTAATCTGAGCGAGAATGTGGACGAGTTGAGATTCAACCACCAGTACCACAGTACCAAGCTACCCGAGTCGTTGAACAAAGTGTTGAACGTGATCGAAAGTGGCGCGTTCTCTCCCGAGAATCCCTCCGAGTTCAAGGCTCTGACCGACAGCGTCAAGTATCACGGCGACTACTATCTGGTGAGCGACGATTTCGACTCGTACGTCGCGACCCAGGAGCTGGTCGATCAGGTCTACCACAAGGACAAGGCTGCCTGGTTGAAGAAGAGCATTTTGAGCGTTGCAAACGTCGGCTTCTTCAGCAGTGACCGTTGTATCGAGGAGTACGCGGACACCATCTGGAACGCAGAGCCTGTGAAGCCTGAAACCTGAGTAATGTAGCTCGCCGCTGCTTTTGCCGCGACGCCTATAAATAGACTATATACATACAATTGATGATCGTGGAAAAGCCCGGCCTCAAAGACAAACTAGACACCACGTTGGAGCACGCCGATCACGACGCAGGAACCTTGTTGGCCGCCCCGGAAGTGCCAATCTCAAGCATCCCAAGCCCCAGCTTCCAACAAACCGTCGGCGCAGACCGCTTGACCCTGATTACATAATGGCAAAAAACTAAAACCAAAACTCCCGGCACGCGGCTGTCCGAACCACCGTACAACGCGATACACATGGCCGCGGCCTAATACCGAAAGAGCCGTACACCCCGAGTGCCCAGATAAGGAACTGGCCAAGAGAGGCTACCGGTCGAGCGCCATTCGACCGGCCCGCCGGGAATCCTCGAAAGTTCTCCGCTTAACAACCGGCGCCGTAGCATGCGTCGTGGAAATAAGGTCAGTGGAGAGACGTTAGGATGTTGAGTTCGAAGGTGGGGAACGAATCGGAAGAGAGCGCTCGGGACTTGAGCTCGGAGCTTCATCTCGGAGCAGAACGCTACGAGAGTTACTCCAAATTGACAACTTGAGCTCCAGAGTAGACGTCTTTGGCGGCTGAGGCGCTGGTTCTTGAGATAATGCCTGCTTAATTATGGTGACTGCAGCAAATTTTGTCAACTATGCAGGTCATGAATGGGGTCAGGCAAAAGTGCCGGGATAGAAAGTTGCGGGTGAGAGCTGGTCACGATAAAGTGTATAAATACATGATGGATTAGGACCCGAGGAATATTGAGTTACAGCAAAACAGAAGCAGATAGCGATCTGAGGTGATTCCATCCTAGTATTCGAGTAATGAGTGAAATCGCATCTTCACAGGAACGTACCGTCAACACTGTCAGAGTGTCAACGGTCAAAGCACAGCACCACTTCACGGGAGCCGAGGTGCGCCATTATTTCAAGACGCGGTTCACGCAGCTCATCCCTACACGCAAGTCGATCCGTGAGGCGCGCGAACAATATCCTATCAACCCATTTCCTGCCCTCAAACACATGAACTGGCAGCAAACGCAGTTTTTTATCGTTGGTTTCTTGGCGTGGACCTGGGATGCGCTCGACTTTTTCGCCGTGTCGCTTAACATGTCCAACATCGCGAAAGACATGGACAAATCGATCACCGACATCTCGCACGCTATCACGCTGGTTCTATTGTTGCGTGTGGTGGGGGCCATCATTTTCGGTTATTTGGGTGACCGTTATGGTAGAAAGTATCCTTACTGTGTCAGTATGGCGCTTATCGTAGTGATTCAGATCGGAACTGGTTTCGTCAAAACGTTCCCCGCGTTTTTGGGCTGCAGGGCTCTTTTCGGTATCATTATGGGCTCTATTTTCGGTATTGCAAACGCCACAGCACTAGAAAACGCGCCCGTTGAGTCCAAGTCTATTTTGTCGGGTATTTTCCAGGAAGGTTACGCTATGGGGTACTTGCTGGGGGTTATTTTTCAAAGGGCCATCGTTGACAATTCTCCTCACGGATGGCGTTCGCTGTTCTGGTTTAGCTCGGGCCCACCAGTGCTATTTATTGTGTGGAGACTGGTGCTTCCAGAATCTGGTGCATACTCTAGACGTAAGCTTGAGGAAAAGAAACTCGCAGAAAACTCCGACAAAACTGTTTCCTCTCAGTTCTGGCACACCACTTTGCTTGCATTGAAAGCACACTGGATCACCCTTATTTATCTTGTCATCTTGATGGCTATGTTCAATTTTTCGTCTCACGGCTCTCAGGATTTGTTCCCCACCATGTTAACCAACCAGTACGATTATTCAAGCGACGCTTCGACCGTTACAAACTCTCTTGCTAACATTGGTGCGTTGGTTGGTGGTATAATCGTTGCGCATGTGTCCTCATTCATCGGACGTCGTTTCGCCATCATTCTCTGTTGTATTGGAGGTGGTGCGATGCTCTACCCATGGGGATTTATCGAAAGCCCTAAGGGACTAAACCCATCTGTTTTCTTCCTCCAGTTTTTTGTACAGGGTGCTTGGGGTGTTGTCCCAATCCATCTTACGGAGCTTGCTCCCGTGGAATTCCGCGCATTTGTCACTGGTGTCGCATATCAAATGGGTAACATGATCAGTAGTGCCTCATCAACTATCGAGGCCTCTTTGGGACAACGTTTCCCCATTGAAGGTAAAGAAGGCATCTATGATTATGGTAAAGTGATGTGCATCTTCATGGGATGCGTGTTTGCAGGCTTGCTGATCACCACTTTACTTGGGCCTGAAAATAAAGGTGGAGAAGTTTTCGTCAATGAAGGTAGGTATGAAGAAACTAGAGGAGATGTTGCTGCCCTTGAACGCAGCAGTGAATACGCCTTGGATAACTTTGAATTCAAGCCTGAGGTTGAGCAAGTGGAAAACAAAGTTTGAGCTACTGGTAGCTAACTGTGTTATATTTTAGTATTTAATTAAGTTTCTTGTTACTATAACAGATGTCTCGCAGCGAGTCGCGAGTTCGATAATAATCTATTCAGTCAATTCTTGTGACAGTGCTATTGAAGAACCTTTTCAAGAGAGCATTGTTTATGAAAAAAGCTAAACCAGTATTAAAAGCGTACCCTAATTTTCTTTACAAAACGAGGTTTATAACCTACTCCCTAGTAACAGCGAACTCATCGTATAAAGCTTCACCAACTCTCTTCAAACCAGCTTGCAATTTGTCCAAGGGAACCGCAGCATAGGTACCTCTGAAGAAGATTTCATTAGGGGCGACGTCAACCTTGCTTTCAGCTGGCTGAGGAGGTTGAGTGTCACCGTTGGCCTTGAACCAGACACCAGGAACTATGAGAACACCGTGTTCGATAACCTTATCGTAGATGGCTTGTTCCACAAGCTCAGGCTTTGATTGATATTTGGTAGCGAATTCTGGGTGAGCGGAAGCGTCGATGTTAATGGTGAAGAACATACCGGCGGATGGAGGGCTTACTTTGATGAATGGAACCTGAGGCAGATACTTGTACAAGGCGTCCATAGTGACGTTACGCTTCTCGTTGTATTCATGACGCAGTCCAATTAACCAGTCCAAGTAACCGTCTTGGCCCCAACGGTTCAAAGTACCAGCAACCAAAGATTGAGTGAAACCGGATGGGCATTGGATGGTCATTTCATGTAGTCTCAAATAGTCGGTCAAAATCTTCTTGGAACCCACAATCCAGCCCAATCTAACACCTGGGGCCAAGACCTTGGAAAAGGAGTCAAGTCTCAAAACACGTCCTTCAGTGTCCAGGGAGATGAAGGACTTAGCAAGCGACTTGATGAAATCCTCATGGGAGGACACAGTCTTTTCAGCGCGCTTAGCTGGGTCCTTCACGTATGGGTCCATTTGTAAGAAGTAGTAAGGTTCGTCTTCGATAATGATGAAGTCGTGCTTCTGGGCGATGCGGTAAATTTCGGCCTTTCTGTCATCACTCAAGGTAGAACCAGTAGGGTTTTGACCGGTTGGGATGGTGTACAACAGCTTAGGCTTGGCAGCCTCGGGGTTCCAGTTGTCGAGGATTTTCTCGAGCTTCTCTGGGATAATACCAAACTCATCAAGAGGAACAGGGAACACGTTGATACCCTGAGCCTCAGCTGCGTAAATAGAAGACGAGAAGGAGTAAGCTTCTGCAAGAATGGTGTCACCACGGTTACAGAAGATTCGAAGTGTGGATTCCCAGCTGTTGGTGTTACCGACACTGGCCAAAACGTCCCAGTCTGAGTACTGCATGGGGTGGATCATCGCAGTGTGCTCTCTGACGAATGACAGTAATTCAGGTTGGCCTTGGCTGAAACCGTATTGCAATGCACGCGAAAGTGGGATGTCCTGAGTTTCACCCGCTTTCGTTATTTCATTCTTACGCAAGGCTAAGCGTAGCGTATCGTCCGCCTCACCTGACACTGGTGCACCAATGCCCTTGTTGAAAGGTGGAAGTGGTGAATCTGCTTGCACACGGTCCCAAGGGAAGTAGTCGCTCATGGGCAAACCACCACCAAGGAAAATGATATTAGGGTCCTGGAACAGGTGGATACATGTCTTCAAAGGCGAAGGCTTACGAGCCTTTGTTTCATCTGAGTATAAATGTGAGAAGTCCTTAGATTCACCGATAGTCATCCTCAAGCTTGCCGAGAAACGGTTAAAGTTACCTTACGATCACTTTACAACAACTTACGCGGCTTGTATTCTTTCCTATTTTATATATACCTATCTTGACACCATAATTTCATGTGGAAAAATTTGATGCCCCGTCTCGGAGGCTGACTCATGTTGTCACACAGGAAAATGGCGGATTTCTCCTATCGAGAGCTTGAAAATGGACAAATTCGCGCCGCTCGGCATCGCGCTTGTCGGATAGAACCGACGACAGCCGCGAAGAACCGCGAAATCCCGAATCAGAGATGGAAAAGGAAAAAAAAAGGAAGATGAATTTAAGCACGTGATAATCGTATAAAACAACCATCGGAAAATCACGGAAAATCATGTGACCAAAGATTACGATCTGTTCCGAAGACATACGTGTGTAGTGACAAAGAATGCTCTCGGCAACATGCCGTAGGAGCAGTCATCTGCAAGGCTTGTGCAACACGAACTTCGGTTTGAGGAAAACATTGAACAAAACACAAAAGACAATCGCTTTAATAGCTGATATGATCTACTCACGTGTAGCTGCGGGACCCCTCGCAGTTTTGGGAGTGTTTGTATGGCTCATAGCTACGGTAACCGCACTGGCGTCGAAAGACGATTACAGCGTGTCGTCGGACCTCCTTCCAGGGCTAGCGAGCGTGGAGCGACGCGAACTGATACCCGAAATGCACGCTGGCCAAGTACCTCTCGATGACAACGACGACGAACACACGAAACGGCTGTTTTTCTGGCGTTTCCATGACGCTTCGGGCCGTGCCAGCACGCAGGCCAACAACACACTAATGTTTTGGCTCAATGGCGGGCCTGGTTGCTCGTCGATGGATGGAGCGTTGATGGAGAGCGGACCTCTTCGTGTTGACAAATCCGGTAAACTGTATTTGAACGCCGGTGGGTGGCACACACGCAGCGACATCGTGTTCGTGGATCAGCCGGCAGGCACTGGCTTCTCGACTGTGGGCAGCGATAAAGACTACGATGACGATTTGGAGCTCGTGGCAGACCACTTTTTGGAGTTTTTGCGCCGCTACTTTGACATTTTTCCCGATGACCGTGCCAAGAATGTCGTGATTGCAGGTGAGAGCTACGCGGGCCAGTATATCCCAATTTTTGCTACCTCTGTTTTGAACTACAACCGGGATGCGCAAAACCCGATCCGTCTAAGCGGTCTGCTAATCGGTAATGGGTGGATTGACCCTGACTCTCAATCGCTTTCGTACGTGCCCTTCGCCCTTGAAAAAGGCATTATCAGCGAAACCAGCCCTCAACTATCATCGCTGCTGCGCCACCACGAAGAATGCCAGAACCGTCTCAGCAGTGGCCCAAGTGAAGGGTTTTCCTATCCTGAGTGTGAAGATATCCTCACCTACCTTTTGGAGGCCACTAGAAACGTCACCGATTCCGACGGAAACGCTGTACCCCCTGAGCAGCAGTGTTTGAACATTTATGATTACAGATTGAGAGACACATATCCATCATGTGGTATGAATTGGCCGCAAGATTTGCCAAACGTTTCGAAATTTTTTGGAACTGACGGTGTCCTTGAGGCTCTTCATTTAGATCCCGAGCGTGTTCCACGTTGGAGAGAATGTGATTCACAGGTATCTCGGCACTTGAATAATCCGCATTCCAAACCATCTGTTCATTTATTGCCCTCATTGCTTGAGTCGGGACTGCAAATAATTCTGTTTAATGGTGATCAGGACATTATCTGTAACAATATGGGAGTTGAGAAATTAATTGATGACCTTTCATGGGGAGGACAAAAGGGATTTAGCGATGCCATGCAGTATTACAACTGGGTTTACAACGATACGTCGCTTAATCAAAACACTCCAGCCGGGTTTGTGAAATACGATAGAAATTTGACATTTATTAGCGTTTACAATGCTTCTCACATGGTTCCATTCGATAATGCACTTGTCAGCCGGGGAATCGTTGATATATTCCTAAATGACGTTATACTAGTCGAGAGTGGTGACGGAGACACATTGGTGAGTAAAGATATCTTCTCAGAGGGCGAGGACGATGAATCAACAAGCCTAAGCACAACCTGCACTGATGAGAATGGGAATATCATTCCTTGCACAGAGAAAGAAAGTGAAGACGCCAAGGAGATTAATAATAGTGATGAAGGCAAAGAACAAGATAAGGAAGAGAAGGAAGACGATGAGGAAGACGAGAATGAGGACGAGGATGAGGACGATGAAGATGAAGAAGACGAAGATAAAGATGAAGATGAAGACGAAGATGAAGATGAAGATGAAGATGAAGATGAAGATGAAGATGAAGATGAAGATGACAAGCATGGGCACAAAAGTGGCAAAGAATCTGACAGAAATGAACGAGCCAAGCGTAAATTTACTTTGGTGGTGGTCTATCTTCTCATCTTCTGCATCGTCGGACTCTTGGCGTATATTGGCATTCGTGAATATTTCAGGCCAAGAATCCGCGCAATCCTTGTTGATCCGAATAACAGACCTGATTCTAGCAGGAAAACAGTTTCATGGGCTGATGACTTGGAACAGGGCGGAGCTGATTTGGATGACTTTGGTCTCAATGCTAAAAAGAAAGGCGCTTATACAAGCGTTCCAAATGAGGACACCAGCGGTGACTCATTTGAGCTAGAAGATTATTGATATCGTGCTTTTTATAGATCGTCTACGATGTATTTGAGAGATGTGTTCAACCTGGAGGTTTACCAAACTCCGAAATGCTTTCAGATGACCCACATTAAAACTCACATACTCCTAGCACGTTAGTAAGGAATTTGAAATGGACAGTTTTGTTTTAAATATACTATTTTTAATTGAGTAGCATACGGAGGAATTAGTACTGCCGAAGTGTCACATCTAATTATAGAAATATGTTGCGCATAATCAGATTTGCATGGTTATGAGCAATTAACGCCCCGAAATTCATAGCATTGTCGTATTAATGATTGCAGTTTCAAAGGTCGAATTTAAATCCTATTATTCCTGGTGTTCCTTGACATCTCTGATATCTGTATGTTACTTCTTTAGCGTCACATATTTCTTCATGTTGAACATCTTGGGGGAATTCACTCCGACAGCCGGTTTAAGAGACACAGACGTGGAAAACTTCTCATAAGAAGCCATTTTAGTATAGTGGTTAGTACACATCGTTGTGGCCGATGAAACCCTGGTTCGATTCTAGGAAATGGCATTATTTTCTTTTTTCTCGATACTAGCATCATGATCACAGAGGGAAAGCTCAAGATATATAGCATATGCTACAGCGAATATCTTCATCAATTGAGTAGTTACTTACTATACACCTATTCCTGATCTAATATACAGGCAAGTAACATGATACAACAAGCGAGGCAAATTTACAAGTTTCGATCTAAGGTTTGACAATTTTTAGGCTTTTGGAAATCATACCACAGCCCTGAAGGAAGAAGGCTAAGACTGCAGGGTGCATTTCATACCACTCGCCTTCAGCTATAATACCAAGAGGCAAGTTTTCTAGAATGAGTCCTTGTCTCACCAAATATGCCATCACACCCACCAATGCCAATGTTGTTGGTATAGGAAGACCCTCGAAATAAGTGGATTTGCCCGTCACATCTTTTGGTAGTTGAGCAACCGTAACATTAAATCTTGCCAGTCTTGCTAGACCACATAGAACAAAAAATGATAGAACGAGAACATCAATAGTTGTTTGAAAGCCAATTGCAAACGCAATGGATGCGGGCGCGACTCCAAAGGAGACCAAATCAGCAAGCGAATCCAATTCTTGGCCCATGAGTGATGATCTATTTCTCAACCTTGCAACTCTGCCATCGAAGAAATCGAAAAACATTCCTAGAAGTATGAAGAAGTGCGCGCGTTGGACATAGTGTGGCTTATCTGTTAATGTGAATCTTAAACAACTCACAATTGAATAGAAACCGCTAAATCCATTCATCATTGTGATATAATCGGCGAGGTGCAAGTTTCTCATCATACTGAAATGATATTTATCGCTAGTAAACTTCTCAATGTCACTCTCATTAGGTGGCTCCAATGGGCTAGTATCTAGAGAGAAAATACTACTTGCTCTCCTACTTGGCGTTCTTTGCGCCATGAATGATTCATCTTCTGTGTCTGAAATCAATGCGCTACTCTGCTCTCGTGACATTTCGTCTTGGTCCAATCTGTTGACTCTTTTAGCCATAGTATCGGTGCTTGAAATGTAATTGCCCTGAAAAGCCTCGTCTTAAATACGATTTGCGATCTGCAATGAAGACGACCCTTTTTCTATTCTAAGTTGTGTATGACCGACCCTTCTTCCGAAAATTTTCTGCTTAGAGCAACCTGCTCTCCTCCTTTTTTATCATGTGAAATTTCTCCGCGCCCTTCGCGTAAAGAAGATTCAATTTGTAAATTCGGAACTGCTCCAAAACTCGTTAATCGTTTAAAGTAGATATGAAGAATACATAGGTCCAAAAGCTAATCCTATATAAACGAAGAGGGGTGCAGCAAAGTATCATTTACCCAACTTTGATAGCGTTTGGGTATCCTGAGAGCCGCTCATACGTTCTTCGAATTCAAAACCCCTGCTTAGCATTGTAGTCAACGTTGCATGATAATTAGGCTTACCAGGTCCTTCGAACTCCATTGGGTTATTACTTAAGACCTCATTGTAATAGTTGTTGTAAATGTCGCCGTCATAATAACCAATGGGGGCGTTAAGCATTGCGTCAGGCAATTTGAAAGCATCCGTGAGAGCAACGCATTCTTTTCTCACCTCAGGTATAATTGCGAAAAGCTTTGGCTGAACGAGCTCAGATATTTGCTCTGGTGTAAATACCTTGAACTGTTGAAATTCGCCCGAGTGCTTGTCGATGAAATACAGAGAGAACAACTGGTATAAACTCCATAACGTCTTCCTGGTGTTTTCATCTTTTATGCCTGAGTCGTCCGCGGATAACTTTGCACTATAAACCTGTAACATGGAATAAAACGCATGGAATCTTGATACCATGACAAGTTGTTTGGAGATCGAGTCTCCATCTTTGGTCTTGGAAACAAGTGTCACACAGAAATGTAGCATCTTCACCAACATTATACCCCACACATCCGTGTAATCCTTCAATGTTGCAAGCTGTGCTACCTTTGTACCTTTCAGCACTCCACCAACAAACTGAGGAGACAAGTAACTGAAGGATTCGCTAGTTTGTACGACCCCTTTTGACAAGTCGGTGAACTTCTTCATTATACTTCTCGCAGACGTCAAAGATAGGATATTATTGTCACCTTCCCAGGTGCATTGAACGACCCAATCATTATAACCTTTTCCGAAACCGTTGTATGCTGAATAGCCATGGCCACCACATGCTTGACGCAGCTCATCAATTACCGTTGCTATCAACCATGTGTTTGTTGCCTTCAAGCTGGCGCTATCAATGAACAAATCTTTTAACTTTTGACTCACTGGCTTAAGCTTACTCTTGTCACCACTGGAGGAGATTTTGTACAAATCTTCCAATGTGGAATGGTAGGTATTCATCAGCTTATAGGCTGCGGGGGAAACCAAGTAAACTAGGGCCAGATGAGGTAGCACACGGTATTGGTGTAAAGGGTAATTGATTAACTGCGTTTCCTCGGCAGTACTCCCGTGGCCCTTTTTGGAAGCAAACTGCTGTCTTCCAACTGCGTAGCGTATAGCAATGGTAGTGAATTTGGCACCAAACCTAAATGAGTCCATTACCATATTAACCCGCCCGCTTAAAAGAGCGCTATAACCAGAAATCTGGTCTAGCACAGGCTCTGTCAAAACGCGCACATTTTGACCCTCCTTGACGACTTTTGTAAATCTGCTAAGCATGAACTCCCGTGGAATCACCACATTTTTGAATTGAATCCAGCCATTGTCGATCCCATCGCGCCCCATTTTGGCGCCAATGTCACCCACAAACACTCCGGGCAACAGTTGGAAGTTTTTGGGATCCCTGAGTGGCACCACAAATGTTTTGACCCCATAGTCTTTACCCTGGACAATTAGTCTAGCGTAAACTGTTGCATGTGTGGCAGAGTGAGCTGCTCCTCCGATCCACCATTTGGTGGCAGTTAGATCTGGGGTGTTTATAGTAAAACAATCAATGCTTGGATCATATTCAGCACGCGTTTGCAATTGAGCCACGTTCGAACCGTGTCCAAGTTCAGTCATTGCAAAGCATCCATAGATCCCTTTGAGAAAGAGGGTACCGCGCTCCTGGAGCCAATACCGTATTTGCTCGTCAGTTCCGTTACCCTTGATACAGTTTCCGAAAAGCCCCAAGTGAACACCGATTCTGGTGCCTAGCTGTGGGTCCTGATTAGCTACAATTGACAACCGCTTGTCGAAGATCGAGAGGTCGCGGCTGGTGAGCGTGGGGCTGTCGGCATTCAGCTGTAGGTCACGAACCACGTCCTTCCTGTACTGACGCTTTGCCCTCTTGATATCTTGCTCCATGTAGAGCGCCATCCGTGCAATTTTCTGCGCTGTAACTTTACGATGCTCCTCCTTACTTAGATCATAGTAGTCGGTGCATGTTTTGAGTACCGGATCCATAGTTACTTCTGCGATCAGCTCTTGAACGAGCTTCGCATTTTCTGGCGTGGACTCCAGAAATGTGTGAACTTCTTCGATGTTAATGCGCGACTGTTGTCGCTCTTGTTTCAAAAACTTTTGAGGCATAAACTCAGGCCCAGTGACATTGTTTGTCGTTAATCTAGTCATCTTAATGAAATTTGGATAATGCTAGGTGCCTGTTTCAAGTAATATTCTTGAACATATGTGTTAACTTCGACTTACCGTCTCGATTCGCTCGCTTTATATACTTTGCTCAATCAGCGTGCCCCGCCTGTGACACTGACGTTCCACAGGCGCTGACGCTGACGCCAACTCCAATTTTCGGGGAGCGGTACGGTCACGTGCCAAAAGTAGTTTCAGTCTCTTCGGGTTTAATGGCACTGGCGATCGGCAAGGCTAGCGTCGTATTCAAGAGAGGCAAGCAAGGTGCATCAGGGTCATTTTACTAAGCCTACAAACTATAGAGTTGTGGTACGAGAATATAAGTTGGGGAAGCTACGCGTGGTTTACTGACTATAAGCGGGGCAACTGCGAGTTTCGGGCGGGGCTTTAACGCCGGAGAGTCGTCACTTAGTAGAAAAATCACCACAAACGAAATAGCAGATCAACTTTACCCGGATTTCATCACATGACTATATCACATATAACGTAAAAGTGATTCAGTTACCCTACCTAGTTATTACCCGGATCACACCATGGAAGATTTTTTCTCGGTTTTGTGGCAGGCCTCATTTGCCTAATTGGGAAGGCCGGGTTAGGGGCACCGCCTTCTGAGCTGGTCCCCTCTGTTTCCTATCCTCTCTGGCCCCTATTCCTCGATCCACTACTCACTAACCATTTCACACGGTGGCAAACATAAGTAAGACCAGCAACCTCAAGGCTATAAAGATCCACTCAGGCTTCTGTAATCTCTAACAATGAGTGATCTTCCAATTGAATTTACAGAGCTGGTTGACTTGAAGTCGGTTGGGATCTCCCCTCAATCCCTAGACTTCAGGTCAACTACTTTCGAAAGCGACCGTTTCGTGACGGTCAGAGAATCACAAAATGGAGCCAATTCCGTGGCTATTGTGGACCTACACAATGGCAACCAAGTCACCAGGAAGAATATGGGTGGTGATTCTGCGATCATGCACCCTTCCCAAATGGTAATCTCCGTTAGGGCCAATGGTACCATTGTACAAATTTTCAATCTCGAAACAAAGTCCAAGCTAAAGTCATTCACCATGGAGGAGCCTGTACTGTTCTGGAAGTGGTTAGACGACGAAACATTGGGTTTGGTCTCTGCCAACTCCCTCTATCTTTCCCAGGTTTTCGACGGTGACGTGTCGCGTAAACCCGCGAAGCTCACTCAGAGACACGCAAACTTGAATAACACCCAAATCATTAATTTCGTTGCCAACAAGAAACTCGACTGGTTTGCTGTTGTTGGTATCATCCAGGAAAACGGCCGTATCGCAGGTAAGATACAGCTGTTCTCCAAGGCGCGCGGAATCTCCCAGGCCATTGATGGCCACGTTGCCAGTTTTTCCAACATCCTGCTCGAAGGTAACACAACACCAGTTCAGGTTTTCGTAACTGGTAACAGGAACCCAACAACTGGTGGTGGCGAGCTGCGCATCATCGAAATCGACCACGATGCCTCCAATCCTGTCCAATACCAAAAGAAAACCGTCGACATCTTCTTCCCTCCAGATGCTGTCAATGATTTCCCTATTGCTGTTCAGGTCTCAGAGAAGTACGGTGTCATTTATGTCCTTACGAAATATGGTTTCATCCATTTGTATGAACTGGAAACAGGTGCTAATCTTTTCGTCAACAGAATTACCGCAGAGTCCGTCTTCACTGCAACCAGTTATAACAGTAAGAATGGTATTGCATGCATCAACAAGAAGGGTCAGGTGCTGGCTGTGGAAATTGCCACTGATCAAATCGTACCATACGTCTTAAACAAGCTATCTAACGTTTCCCTCGCGTTGACTATGGCTTCTAGAGGTGGTCTCCCAGGGGCCGATGATCTTTTCAACAAACAGTTCGACTCTTTGTTGGCTTCTGGTGATTACCAATCTGCTGCTAAAGTTGCCGCTTCTTCACAACAGCTAAGAACTCAAACGACCATCAACAGATTGAAAAACATCCAAGCTCCTCCCGGTGCCATTTCTCCAATTTTGCTTTACTTCTCAACTTTACTTGATAAAGGTAAACTAAATAAGTATGAGACGATAGAGTTGGCCAGACCAGTCTTACAACAAGACAGAAAGCAGCTATTTGAAAAGTGGTTGAAGGAGGACAAATTGGAATGTTCAGAGGAATTAGGTGACATTGTCAAGCCATTCGATACCACTTTGGCTTTGGCATGTTATTTGAGAGCTGAAATTCACCCTAAGGTGATCGCATGTCTAGCAGAACTACAACAATTTGATAAGATTTTACCATACGCCCAAAAGGTTGGTTATCAACCAAATTTTGTAGTTTTGGTGTCCAATTTGTTGCGCACTTCTCCTGACAAGGCCTCCGAGTTTGCCATCAGTCTATTGCAATCCCCTGAGACTGCATCGCAGGTTGATGTTGAGAAAATTGCAGACATTTTCTTCGGGCAGAACTTTATTCAGCAAGGTACCTCTTTCTTACTTGACGCATTAAAAGGTGACACCCCAGATCAAGGCCATCTTCAAACACGTGTCTTGGAAGTGAATTTGTTGCACGCTCCACAAGTTGCGGATGCTATCATGGGAAACAACATCTTCACACAATACGATAAGCCTACTATTGCGTCATTGGCGGAGAAAGCTGGTTTGTACCAAAGAGCTTTGGAAAATTACACTGACATCAAAGATATTAAGCGCTGCATAATCCACTCGAATGCCTTACCCATTGATTGGTTGGTTGCTTACTTCGGTAAGTTGAACGTTGAACAAACTCTCGCATGCTTAAAGGCATTGATGGATGACAATTTGCAAGGAAATATTCAAATTGTCATCCAAGTTGCTACCAAGTATTCTGACCTTCTTGGTTCTCAAGTTCTGATTAAGCTATTTGAGGAATACAGAGCAACTGAGGGTTTATACTACTACTTGGCTTCTTTGGTTAATCTAACCGAAGATAAGGATGTGGTCTTCAAGTACATCCAAGCTGCCGCAAAGATGGGTCAGTACAAGGAAGTTGAGCGAGTTGTCAGAAGCAACAATATTTACGACCCAGAGAAAGTCAAGAACTTTTTGAAAGATGCTAAGCTTCCTGATCAAATGCCTCTTGTTATTGTTGCTGATCGCTTTAACTTTATTCATGACTTAATATTGTATTTGTACAAATCACAAGATTTCAAATTCATCGAAGTTTATGTTCAACAAGTTAATCCTTCAAAGACTCCTCAAGTGGTCGCCGCGCTTCTAGATGTAGACTGTGATGAAAAAGTAATTCAGAACTTGTTGCAAACCGTTTTGGGTCAAGTGCCAATTGCTGAATTGACTGCGGAAGTTGAGAAGAGAAATAGACTCAAGATCTTGTTGCCATTCTTGGAGGAAAGCTTGAAGCAAGGTGTTCAGGAACAAGCTGTTTACAATACTCTTGCTAAAATCTACATCGACTCTAACAACTCTCCAGAGAAGTTTTTGAAAGAAAATGATCAGTATGACACCCTCGATGTTGGACATTACTGTGAGAAGAGAGATCCTTATCTCGCTTACATTGCCTATGAAAAAGGTTCAAATGATGATGACTTGATTAGAATTACCAATGAAAACAGCATGTACAAATACCAAGCTCGTTACTTATTGAAGCGTTCTGATATCGGTTTGTGGGACAAAGTTTTAGCGGAGGATAATATCCATCGTCGTCAACTGGTCGATGCAGTTGTTGGCACCGGAATTGGGGAATTAACAGACCCTGAACCAGTCTCCCTAACTGTGCAAGCATTTATGAACAATGGGATGAAATTGGAGCTAATTGAGTTGTTAGAAAAGATCATTTTAGAGCCATCTCCATTTAATGATAATGCTGCTTTGCAAGGTCTGCTATTGCTATCTGCAATTAGATACGAGCCATCAAAGGTTGCCTCCTATATTGAAAAACTTGACAAGTTTGACATTGATGAAATTGCTCCAATGTGTGTCCAGAGTGGATTGAATGAGGAAGCTTTTGAAATCTATGATAAGAACGAAAAATACGATAAGGCGTTGAAAGTTTTGGTTGAAGACGTCATGTCCTTAGACCGTGCGGAGGCTTACGTAGACAAAATTAATACCCCTGATTTGTGGTCACAATTGGGTGCCGCTCAGCTCATCGGCTTGCGTATTCCAGATGCTATCAGCTCTTACATCAAGGCAGAGGATCCTTCCGATTATGAAAATGTCATTGAGGTAGCTGAGCAAGCAGGAAAGTTCGAGGAATTGATCCCTTACTTACTAATGGCCAGAAAAACGCTAAAGGAAAAGAAGATCGACGGAGCCTTGATTTTGGCATACGCTGAACTAGACAAACTTCACGAAATTGAGAATCTATTGGCTGGCTCTACTGTCGCTGATTTGGATTCAGTGGGTGAAAAGCTCTTTGAGAATAAAGACTACAAAGCAGCTAAGCTCTGTTTCTCTGCGGTTTCTAACTACTCAAGACTTGCTACAACTTTGGTGTACTTGAATGACTACCAGGCGGCTGTCGATACCGCTAGAAAAGCTTCAAATATTAAAGTTTGGAGACAAGTTAGCGATGCCTGTGTCGACAACAAGGAATTTAGATTGGCTCAAATCTGTGGGTTGAATTTGATTGTTCACGCTGAAGAGTTAGATGAGTTGGTTGAGAAATACGAATCTAACGGTTACTTTGAGGAGTTAATCTCACTCTTCGAAGCAGGCTTGGGTCTAGAAAGAGCTCACATGGGAATGTTCACGGAGCTAGCTATTTTGTACACGAAGTACGATCCTTCAAAGACTTACGAGCATTTGAAATTGTTCTGGTCCAGAATTAATATTCCTAAGGTTATCAGAGCTGTCGAAGCAGCTCACCTATGGCAGGAACTTGTTTTCCTCTACGCTCACTACGATGAATGGGACAATGCTGCCTTAACTATGATCGACAAATCTGCTGATAACTTTGACCACTCCTATTTCAAGGAGATCGTTGTTAAAGTTTCAAACCTCGAAATATATTACAAGGCTATTAATTTCTACGTCAAAGAACACCCATCCTTATTAATTGACTTGATGACAGTGCTTACACCAAGATTAGATATCCCAAGAACGGTTCGTATCTTTTCGAAGTCAGACAACTTGCCATTGATCAAACCATTTTTGGTGAATGTTTTGCCAAAGAACAACTCTGTTGTCAATCAAGCCTATCACGATTTGATGATCGAAGAGGAGGACTATAAGGCTCTCAAGGATGCTGTCGATTCTTACGATAAATTCGATCAACTTGAACTTGCCTCTCGTCTTGAAAAACATGACTTGATCTTTTTCAAGAAGATTGCCGCTGAACTGTACCGCAGGAACAAGAAGTGGGCCAAGAGCTTGGCAATTTTGAAGGAGGAGAAATTGTGGAAGGAAGCTATTGAAACTGCAGCAATTTCTCAAAGTACACAAGTTGCAGAAGAGTTGTTGACTTATTTTGTCGATACTGATAACACTGAGGCTTTTGTCGCACTATTGTACACTGCATATCATTTGATCAGATATGACTTCGTCTTGGAAACTGCTTGGTTGAACTCTTTAGAGACCTATGTTAAGCCATATGAGATCTCTGTAAAGAAGGAACAATACGACAACATTCAAAAACTGGCAAAAGATATTGCCGAAAAGACAGTCTCCGAACCTACTGCAACCGATGGTCAACCTCTTATGTTGACTAATGGAGCTATGGGTTACCAACCCACTGGCCAAGGTTTTGGTAACATGATGTAATTTGAGGGAATTAGATCAATCACGCCAAAAACTTTGTAAGTATCATTTTCATCTGTAACATAGTTAGATTAAGAGACCTTTTGTTGAAATGCTGATATGATTGTATAAAAGACGAACCCCCAAACTATAGAAGTAGTCTTGAACTTCGAGCAAATAATTTCGGTTCACATTAAGCGTTCTTACATACTTTTTCTAGGTTTTACATTGATCAGAATACATTTACATTTCACTCAATCCTTGAGCCTGCTAGTGCGATCAGCCTTCGCTGCTCTTTTTTCTAACTCATCCCAATCGTCACCATCTTCCTCACTCTCATCAACACTGGCATCCTCACTTCCTTCATCACTAAATTCTTCGTCAGAGTATTTATCCTCCTCCGAGTAAACGCTTTCATCCGATGGATCATCATCGGATGCTTCGTATTCACTAATCTCCTCTTCACTTTCATCAGACATCTCATCATCAGATCCTGCAGCCAAAAACGACCAGCCGCCATCTAGGAAAAACTGGTGTGGGTTCTCTTGAAGGGATTTCATAATGGTCGACCAATTCAAATTGATTGTGGAAACCGTGTATGGTATGTCCACGTCAGTTAGCCAAGATTTCAACAATTCTAATTCTTCAATAGCCACCGTGTTTATATGCGTTACAGGTTTTGAGAAATCCTTGTAGATGAATACCATATCAAAATTCTTCAGTCCAAATTGAACTCTTTCAAAGATACAGATCTCAACCTCGCTTAGATTCACTACCAAAAATGGCGGTTCAACCAACTGAACAAGACAATCTCTCGTAGGCATACAGAAAACTGCAGATCTACTAGGAACACCTTGGAAACCCAAGTCCCTGAAGGTGGTATCTAGATCAACCAAACCATCAGATGCATCGGCAATAGCCTCTGCAAAATATCTGAATTCTTTGTCCAAGGCAGCACGCTTCCTTCTCTCCTCTTGTTCCTGCTCCAGCTCATCTTCATCACCATATCTACGGAACTTCATCTGAGAACGTCTACCGTTACCAGTTTCGTCCACTGCCATGTCTGACGCTTCCCTGTAGAATTGAACGTCTTGAATTTTTTTCTTGCCCATAAGAATAGGGTTCTTGAGATGGACGTGGATGATAACAATCAATTCTCCTTTGCAAGGCTGAAAAATCAAGTTTTTGATATTCGAGAATAGGACATCTATTCTGCTATCCGTACGAAGAGGTGATTGATATCTAATACCGTTTTCATGTATGAAAACAGTTCCAGGAACTCTTTTTGAATCTGGGCTGGGACGAACAAAAATTTGATCCAGCCTCTTTGTTCTTCCAGACTTATTCTCAATTAGCTTCGCTTGTTCTACTACATCAGCCAATGCCTTCCGCTCTTGTTCTCTTTTAGTAGCTTCTTTTTTCAAATCTGCAATTTGCTTGAAAACTTCACTCATACGATCACCATCTTTAGAACGTAAAGAAATGGAACGAACAAATTGATTTTCGGGCGAATCCTCGTAAGGCAGCTCCTCTGCTTTCTTAGAAATACCACTTGCACCAGGAGAATGAAAGTTCAACCGTAAATACGTGTATTCACCTTCTTCATTTTTAGAACCGTTCTTATATGAGTTAATGTGAAATGGAACAGGCCTACCGTAGATTGGTACTATGATTGTCTGATTTTTCCAATCAACATGAACTCGTAGATCGCGTACGTTATTAGGAATTTGAGTTTCTCTTACGTAAGACTCATATTTTTTGAATTGATGATGTGGTTGCGCATTATTGTCATTAGCGTCAGCAGCACTATATCTTAACAAACCATTCTTCTGCAATTTTTCGTGTAGCTTTTTTTGATTGTCTTTACGAATTTGCTCTTTTTGATTATCTTCGTTAACACGAGATTCACCACGTAATTTGGACCTCAATATTTTGGAATTACCTTCTGATTTCATTTGTAGCGATGAGGCAGTTGAATCTTTTTCTTTCTTGACTTTAGGAGCTTGAACCTCTTCTTCTGCATTGAAAAAGAAGGAAACTTGAGATTTGGCCTTGGTGTACGCGGTAAATATTTCTGGCGTTCCATCTGGACTTTTCAAGAAAACGGTATCAGCAATTTGTAAAGCATAGTTTACATTGGTCTTTGAGCACTTAAGGTTGTTAATGCCAAGTGAAATATTGAAGCAGTCGCCTGCTGCAATCTTGCGATAGTCATTCTTTGCATTCAAAACAAATTGGGAATCTCTGAATTCTAACCCAATCAAGGACCCTACATTCTTTGTCAAACCCGAGGACAGTTCTGGTTTGTTAGTATTAACGTAATTAACAACAGCGTCATATACTTCCTTTGGAGTTTTTCCAATTTTTAGGTAATTCGCTATGATCTCATTCTGTAAGGTAAGCAAAAACTCGTAATTACTAGCCATTTCTTCAGAAGGATCAATTAAAAAGGTTCTTGTCACGTTAGAACAGTAATTTTTATAGCGTATACCACATGACGCTAGGATACAGCCATTTCCATGAAGTTGGTCATTATTAGAACGTGCTGAGACCTTCAAGTCGAACTTGTTACCAGATTGTATAATCGGAGAGTAAGCCCAATCAAGCAAATTGATATCAAATTGTTCACCCTCTGGGCAAAATGGGGATAGTTCAGAAGCGAGTTTTTTCAAAAATTTGGAATCATCAATCATATTTTCGATTTTGTCTGACAGCTTAGCATTGCTTATTTTCAATTCCTCATCCACAGCACTGACCATCTCTTCTGAGAGAAGGTTCATAAATTTATCGGACGCTTTACTGGAGACTTTAAGTAGGGTTTTTTCCTTGTCGTCTTTGAGTTCCCACACAGTTGAGAGCCCAAGAGTGATATCAACGATTTCCAATTCTGCGGACTTGATCGCCTCTTCCCACAGAGGATTCCATTGTGCAATGAACTTACCTTGATAGCTATCATTTTTGGGCATACCAACCTTTTTACCTGCCACTTTGATAAGTTCGATGATATCTTTGAACAGTTTTTCATTATACTCCACGTCCTTACTTTTCCTTTGCCACAACTCCAATTTTACTGGCAATTTTTCAAACATCTTGACAGCTTGCTCCAAGTGCTTAGCTTTGCCTGCACCTGTGATGACAACCACCTTTTCAGGTAGCACTGCGATCAAAGTAGCAGGAAATTCATATCCTAGCAGCCAATTGTGCAGAATAGTGCTTTTCTTGTACGGATCTTCTTCATCACTTGAGCCAACGACAAATAGCAAGCAGTTTGGAGAGCCTTCAAACTTCGTGTATTCTGCGTGTAGAGAAACAAGTCTCTTTTGGAAGACATTGAAATCGATCTCCACGTCACTCATGCCTGTGGTGATTGATAACTATCTCTGATCTACGATGATCACGTCCTTGGATTTTATGCTTCGCAACATTTTTTTTATTCTTGACGCGTGTTCAAAATCATTACTGACGTAACTGTCGCGAAAAACAGCCGGGTAACATGAAACATCCTACTGAGGCTGCTCGGAGTTATCATCTTCGTATCTATTAGGACGTCGTATTATATCTCTACAGTCGTCTCGATATATCGTAAATATTCATTGCAAGGGTGCGTACAACATCTGAGTCACGTATTTTCTCTTGTACCGAACGATGCTTGCGACGCAAAGCGTGTTATGTTTTATACTGCTAGTGGCGAGATGATTCAATACCACATGATTGGGGATAGGCAGAGCACCCGAATTATTTTCACTGCCTGAGTCGCCGGCCTGTGCATTGGGTGAATAATTGTTTAGGATTACATTTTCGAGATGTGGGGGGAGTTGTGGAGGAGTAAGCCAGGACAGATTTTGCTGGTTGTTTTGTTGTTGGTCAAGTGTTAAATAGTACTGCTCCATGACGGACGGGTCTGTGAACACAGCTGGGATGTCTTGTGTGTACTCGTAGTGGGGCTTGAGCTCCACACCGCCGTGGAATCGGGAATAACCATCACCCATGTCATCGGGCTCGCCTTCGATTTGGAGAGCGAGTTTGGAGCGTGCACTCACGGGCGCGGCTTTGGGTTTCTGCTTTGGATGCACGGCGGCTGCCTGATCTTGCCCCTGTTGTTGTAGAGTGTCTTGGGACTCGGGGGCCGTTATTTCGATGTAATTGACGAAATTACCCATCTGGTCTGTCGCGGTGGGCAGATAGTCACTGAATCGCAGCTCATTATCTACAATGAATCTAAAACGATGTGTACCGGTAGGTAGTTGTAATTTGATGTGAAACACACCTGGCCGGTCTGCGACGGGCGCAAGCCCAATCATCTTCCGCCACCCGGTGAAAGAACCCGTCACATACACTTTGTTCCCACCTTGCTGCCAAGTAATCTCAACTGGAATGACCCCTGGGGAAGGCTGGCGCGAGCTCTGCTCACCCTGCGACTCGTCTGGTGACATGCGCTGCTGCGCAAACACCGACGCAGACGAAGATTCTGACGAGTTTCCAGTCAGCTCGTCTTGGCTCGTGTGGTCTTCATCGAGATCCGTCTTGGCTCCTACGTTCTCCTCATGCCTGGGCATGTCGTCATCATCGTCAAAGATCAGGGTCGACCTACGGCGCTGGAGCGGCGGTGCCGCGCCGTGGTCCCCTATATCTAGCTTGGAAAAACTTTGTACAATGGCTTTTTGTGAGCCCGTTTTGCTTTCATCAGCTGCATCGCTGACATCCACCATCGACACATCCTTGATATTTTCCGACATGGCGTGATGATGGCTATGAGTATTTCCCATAAGATGATTTGCGAGTGAGTTAAAGAACCAAATTTGAGACCCCTTTGGATATGTTCGAAGCTACGACGACGGAGAAGGAGCAGGAAAAAAAATAATAGGAACTGCTTTGCGGCGTGACTTTCACGTGGCAGTTAAAGAGATCACCTCAGACGTCGAACACGTGGTATGAAATAAATGGTGTCAGGGTGTAGAGACCCACACATCCAATTGCTTACTTTTCTTTTGCACGTTTCATCGTTTTTTCGATGACGTCATCAATAGTGAACGTGCACCACTTTGGACAACATAAAAAGAAACATCCGGCTCAAAATGAAGAATACGTAAGCTGGCAAGGCATGGAACATCCGTGCATCAGTTCTCGAAGTCGTCCCCGCCATAAGCGGGACAAGAACGTTTGTGGGAGATGATGAGTCAAATGCGGGCACACAAGGTCTTGCTTTCTCTCGTGGGGTTTATTACACTGATGGCTCCAATGGCAAGTTGATTTCATGGTCTCATAAGCCTGATTCGTGTTTTTAATTCGTTTCGTGGTTTATACTGTACATATATATATCTATAATGCGTCCTTTGTTCGTATCTTCATAAAAATCAGGGCTCAGCCTGATACGTTTGCACCCCCTGGAGCATGCTGCGTAATGGGGGTAGTTTCACGTCGCCTGAGACACTCGAGTCGCTGTCGTCCTTGTCACCGTCGTCAGGCAGCTCGAAGCGTGCGCGTTGCGAGCGCCGGCCTCGCAAGACAGGCTTTTGAGCCGGCAACACGGGTGTGACAGATGGGGTGTGAGTAGGAGTCAACGCAGGGGTTTGAACCACTGGTGGAGACTGTAGTTGCGTCTGTGCAGGCGTGTGCTTGCCGTCGTTCAGCAGCGAGCTCAGTGACATGCAACTGGAACTAGACCATTTGCGCGATAATGCTGCGCTTGAGCCGCTGGCAGGCTGGGGTAGCACGCTCAACATTCCTCCCAGTTTGTGACCCCACAAATCCGGGGGCGACGACATTTGCGACACCTGCGGAGAAGCCAAGGCACTCGCACTGCGCGAGAACACAGAACTGAGTGACGAGGCACTCGAGCGCAACGACGACTGCGTCGATACCACGAGTGAAGGCTGCGGCTGGAACGGAAGCGACTGCGCGCCCGCGCGCTGGGGCACCGTGACCGGTATGTAGACAGTCGTCGCGGCGGACGACGGGCGTGCCGGAACTCCCGCGTGAGAAGCCATAGGAACCACCACGGGCACAGCAACCGGAGCTGCGACGGATGTCGGTATAGCAGTTTGTGCAGGCAGCAGAACGGGTTCGTTTCCGACAGTTGCTGCGATAACCGGTGTGAGTGGTGGTAGCTGGTGCACTACGACTGGGTGTTGCGGCGTGCTTGCTCCGCTGCGACGCCTGCTCTTGCGTCTCGACGTGCTGAGATGTGTGCGCAAGTGGCGTTTGAGCTCGTCGCTCCGACTAAACCGTTTCAAGCAACCAGGAAAGCTGCAAGCATGCGGTTTCTCTCCCGTGTGCGTACGGATGTGTCTTCTTTTGTGTTCGAGTCTGTGGAATCCTTTGCCACACAAGTCGCACTTGTACGGCCTCTGATCACTATGAGGTGCCATGCCGACTATTATGAATGTTCGGGCATTCAAGACGCCTTCTTTGCCCTTTTCTCAAGCCCTCCTGTTTGCAATCCTTTTTATAGGCGGCCCCGCCCCCGACAACGGTTTTGCCGCATCCGGCCGACACCAGGTTTTTCCGATTATGCGCGCTGCCGAGAATACACAAGCCAGCTTCTCTGAACCGGCCGTGGCGCATCCCGCAAGCGCTTTCCTGAATCTGGCACGACCCGGAACAATATTTTTCCGGCCCCGCGCTCTCCTATAAGAAAACACCTCCCGCCTGCTCCACCCACATATCTGCACATGCGCTTTCCTCAGAGGCGTCCGTACGGCCCGCAATTCTGCACTACCAGAACCACGCGGGTTTTCTGTATCGTGGGGAACTCAGAGACGAGTGCTGTTCGCGAAGTGCTCCCGGTCCGTGTGGGTGAAACGGAATGATGTAATGGGAGTCGCTCTGGAATAGGCGGCGATCCCCCTGCGTGAAGCCACGTTGCCGCCTGTGGACGCATGATACCACGCCTGGAGAAATCTTACGAGTTCCTGAGCTACGCTTCAACCGGTCAGCTAGCTGAACCGGCTCCCCAGATAACGCGGGGCAGGCTTGAAGAGATAACACGGGTCACGTGGTATTTTAGTCGTTTTGTATATTGCATGTCTGAAGCTTGCACATGGCTCAAATGCGATCGCAGCCCCGAATACCTGCGTGTTCCTAAAGTCTTGGAAGTGTTCGTACCGTATCCACATGCCATCTTACACGCGTGCGGTTGTGTGAGTCTTTGGTGCTGTGCGTACGTAGGCATCGTCGTAAAATCAAAAATCAAACACAATGTAGAAGCCTTCCTGGTCGTATTTCATACGCTGTCGCGCCTTGATTTGAACCGACAGCAGGGCAGCGGCCGAAGGTCGTTAAAGTGGTTATAGTACGTATACAGCTATATGCGGGATGAATCGCGCGCCTTCTAGCGACGCCGGAAACCGGGCGGCGGCTGAAACGGGCGTGCTTGCACGGGAGCAGAATTCTGTTGGGGCCCCGCAGCACCATTACGGCCCGCGCCAATTGCCGCAGGCGTCGCACGCGCCACTACGCCCTTACCCTTTCGCTTGTGCTTGTGAAGTTGTGCTTGCTTCTTCTCATGTGCGACGGCACGCTGTTTTTTCGTGAGTACCGGAGCGCTCTCCACGACGGTGGTCAAGACCTGGTCACCGCGCAAAACTACGAGTCCCAAAGTCCTGGAGTCAAGTTTTGGATGCGCAGGCCCGTCGTTGGGACTATTAGCCTTGTTCTTGAGAATTTGCAGCTGTGTGTTCGGCACGCGGTGTTCGACACACTCTGCGAGCACCAGGTTCATGTGGGCATCAAACGCCAGTAGTTCGCCAACGTACGCACGCCCATCGTGCGTCAGAGCTCGTATACGATAGTGCAAAAGGTCTGCTAGCTTGCTCTTCTGAGCTACCTTGACACTCATCTCTTGTTTGCGTTGCAGATTGTGTGCAAGAAAAGTTAAAAGTACACTGGGAATATTTTTTGTCATGTTCACCTTAAACAAGCCAACATGTCAGAATCAAAGAAACATCAACTTCCAGACCAACCAGACAAGAAGAGACGCAAGAGGCGGCGCAATTACGATGCTTACGACGAGGAGGTAGCGGCAGCAGACTCCAAGAACAAGCAAAACGGTGCAGAAGCCGATGAAAGCGATAGCGAGGACGACGAAAAGCTAGATTTGCTCCCCGCAAAGGAGGACGAGGAAGACGACGATCTTGCGGAAATTGATACCTCAAACATCATTCAGAGTGGTCGTCGCACACGTGGTAAGGTCATTGACTATAAGAAAACAGCTCAAGAGCTAGACAACGAGGCTGCGCAACGTTCAAAGGGCGATGATGCTGCTGCGGACGATGAAGAGGATAACGAGGAAGAGACCAAAGACATCGCTGCTCCCGGAGCAGCCGATGACGATGATGATGATGCAGACTTTCAGGAGCCCGCTAAGTAAATAGAGGTATTAAAAGCGTATATATGTGTGTATATGTGTATGTACACATATGGCCCACAAGTCGCCGCGACGGAGACTAGCCAAATGCAAACCTGACACGATCAACTATACCTGTGAGATGGACGCATTTCGATTTGGAAGTTGCCGAAAGGCACGCTGTGTTCTACGGGCACTTCAACAGCAATTATTGGTCTTCTTGGTCTTTTCATTGGGAGCCGGAGTAAGACTGATGGTGGGACCCTTGGGTGCCTGACCCGCATTGCTGCCGTACTCATTGAGGTCGACCTGGTGCTTGCTTACCATTTGGTAAATGGCTGTGATAAGTTCGCGGAACGCAGTCTCAACATTCTCACTGTTCAAAGCACTAGTTTCCGTGAACAGCAGCTGGTTTTCCTGTGCAAAGTTCTTAGCCTCATCTGTAGGCACTGCACGCAGATGAGCCAAATCGGATTTGTTACCGATCAACCCTACTGCCACGTTCTCGTCCGCGTTCTCTCTGAGTTCTGTGAGCCAGTGGTTGCAATTCTCATAGCTGCTGCTCTTACTGATGTCGTACACGATCAACGCACCAACTGCACCTCTGTAATATGCAGATGTGATAGCACGGTATCTCTCTTGTCCCGCTGTGTCCCAGATCTGCGCCTTTATCTTCTTGCCTTCTACCTCGATTGTTCGAGTAGCAAATTCTACACCGATCGTTGACTTCGATTCCATATTGAACTCATTGGTAGTGAAACGAGAAAGTAAGTTCGACTTACCCACACCAGAGTCTCCGATCAGAACAACTAGATTCTGCGTTAGTATTGTCTTCTCAACTGAATTTTGATACCTGCGACGTGTTTTCACCGCTATTGTTTACTGATGAAAAGCATCACAACCGTCGTTTCCTGTCACTTTTTGTTTAACATACTCTTGAAGAGATAGTCGTAGTCGTATCCGTAATCCTCGTTATTCATCGCAAAAGCGCTTCTCTATGTCTTTCGTTACACTCGCTAGCGATTCACGCTCGTATGTCAAAGGGTTATCTCGAAGTTGCGGAGCAGAAACTCGAAGTAACTATATACGTAGATACAAATAAACTCGATATATTCCTTTAGTTCTTGATTTCGAAGCACTGCATGACGTTACGGCAGTCAATGGACATGGTTTTGAGCTGTGAACATGGCACTGAGAATGTGCGACTAGCTCTCTAGGACCTAGATCGAAGGCTTAGATTGTTTCACGTGTGGAATGATGTACGTGCAATTCAAGTCCAGGCCCTGCTTACGTGACAGGTGTAGTTACTTCAGGAGGCTCATTCGATGAAAGTACACAATCAGCCTTGGCGATGTTAGTTCATTCTTCAGCATGGAGCATTAGGCCCATTTCTCCTCTTGTGCCTCCAAAAGGAAGTGGTCCAAAAAAAAATCCAAAAAAGGCAATATGTAAACATATAAGAAAGAATATCCAAAACGAAGTCGTAGACAGGTGGGTTCTCATCTGAAGGAACCTTGGATCGGCATCTTCGTTGCTTCAGAGGAGTAGTGCGATTGTCGATGAACGTCGAACAGTTCAGTACTCCCAAGAAGGGCCAGCTTGAACCAGAAAGTCCACCAGCACTGCCATCGTGCCTGAAATCTAATGAAAAATCACCGTACAGCCACAGACAGAGCCCATCCCAGGTAAGATTCTCACTGCCTTCAAAAGACGAGTCAACAAGCTCTGTAGAAGCAGAATACTCGCCCACGAAAAGTTCTTCGGCCAAAATAGTATTCCCCACAAGTTGTGATGACAGTATGACGCACTTCATGGACATTCAAAACAGGGTCATGATCGATGTGCCCGAGGATATATGGAAATTTCACCACAATAATTCCTACAAGACAAGGCTCTCAGTTCCTTCATTGGATTTTTCAACCTCTGAGAAGAATGTAAAATCTTCCCATCGTCGCACGCAATCACTTCAATCTGTCATAGCGGGGACAATTCAATCATATCACAAATCACCACGCAAACTCAACTTTGCGAGCGCTGATATGTCTCCTGTGCGTTTAGCCCCAAATGAAAATAGTGAGCTATATCTAAGGTCTGATTCCCCACTAAACAAGTTCAAAGTTCCTGTACCATTGGAAATATCACTGCCGCCTTATCTCTCCCCTGAAAATAAGTCAAAGCGGAGGAACAGTATTGTTTACGATGGGGAAGGATATAGTAATTTCTTAGGAGATGACAGCTCACCTGATACCAGCGAAGGGCAATTTGGCGAAGATTCTATTGAAAAGTCTGATGTTAATATAAGCGACTTGTCAATCCCTTCTGCTTCTTATGACTTTTCTTTCGAAGCTGATGAAGATGTTGACAAAGTTTTGGGTATAGACAGAGACGCAAATGTAAGCTTAAAGTCCCAAGCAAGAAACTTGCTGAAAAAACCTTCAAGTGCTGGGGACAATCTGGAAAAACAAACTCCAGTTTCAAGTCCAATCAAACCTTCAAGTCTTCCTCTCGAAAGAAATTCCATCCTCCCGATCAAATCTAATGAACAAAGCAATTCTTTGAAAATACTAATGACACCATCAAAAACTATTCATATACCGGACTTCGATCACGAACCCACGCCTATAAAGACAAATGCGCTTAGTGGCTTTTTTGCAATTTCTGAAGGTGAATCAGACCGCACTGAAGTTGGGAACATAACGCCCACTAAAGCAAGAGATGAGCTGGATCAGAACTATAGGTTCCCTTCTTTTGCCCCTCTCGCTAATAAAACACCATCACAACACTTGGATTTTTTAAAGGTGGCTGATTCACCAAACAATTCTGCATTTGAAGATCGAAGACGTATGCTTCAAACTCAGTCCAAGAGCCCAGCTAAACCAAATGGGCACATGCATAGGAGAAGCAGAAGTATTCATAATACTGGGGAGCTATTTATGAATAACATGAAGCCGTTGCCTCAATCAGGCACTCCAGAAAGAGTTCCTGAAAGGTCACCTTTACGTCCACCAACTACTCCCACGAAAATAAATGAGGCATCTGAATCGACATCACTCTTGGTGAATAAGCCTTATGAGAGCATTTCTTTTACAAATACAGACCCTATGATGGGCAATTTAAATGATGTTTATGAACCGTCTCGACACAGTAAAGGTTCATCTGCTTCTCAAACAGACGAACAAAGTTCTCATAATCAAATTCCAATGGCCAAGATTAGTTCCAAACCATGGGGTGACCCTGGAGTTATAGGAGTAGCTCCTGAGTTAAAAGTAACTCCTGCAGCAACCTCACTAGAGGCATCAAGCTCACGCAGCTCGCAAACATCATTGGCCAGAAGTTTTTTTGAGGACGATTATTGTAGTTCTAACGGTTCAGCATCTTCTTCTGGTTCTAATATGGTATCGAACCACAGCACAGATGAAGATATTTGTATTAGCCAGGACAGTATAGAAATTATTGGTGAAAATAAGTCGTCAGATATTCTTCCATTGTCCACCTATCACTCATTTAGAACACCACTAGAAGTCCCATCCGAGATTGAACCCAATGTGAAAATAAAATTCACGCCAAGAAACGCCAATATGTTATCTCCATCACGACAGTTATCAAATGGCTACAGCCATTCTTCGTATGAATCTGATTTCTCGGCTAGATCCCATCAAACAAGCGTCACTTCGTATTCTGCCCAGGGTCCCATCACTGCTGAGGCCGCAAAAGTCAGAAAATCCGATCATTATCCAAATGATAAACCTCTTAACCCTATTAATAAAGAGTATTCCGTTGATAGTTCTCGAGCGACAAAATCTCAGTATATTTCCCGGAAGAAGAGCAGTGCGATACAGTCATATTTAAATGAGGATAAAACAATAAAAGAAAATATCAACGGAAAATTAGTCGATGTAATCATTTTGGATGATGATAGCGATAATGATGGTAAGAGTACTAGAAAAAATGAGGTTGGTGAGAAGGGAAGGATAAGAAGACGACCTAACTCATTCCATGAAGAAGCGCTGGAGAACTATCAGGAAATTTTGGATCTTTGTGACACTACAGCAGAGCGAGCCCGCAATATTATAATTGAGTTGGTTAAAACGAAGGGGCAAGCAAGATCGAAGATGAATCAATATCAACGTGTTCTTCCTCCCTTACCCCCTTCCTGTGACTTCAATTTTAGTAATGGGAGCAGTCAAATCCCCCTCTCCACTGGCATAGATATCGGGGAACAGCATTTAGGGAAGTCTTCACCAAAACCGTACGTTTCGAAAATCAATAGACTGATGAAGACAAAGAATCCCGCTGAATTTCTTTAGATCATCACCACGATGAGTATTTAATGGCTCACGGGACTTTTAAGTGTTTGGCACGTTAAAATAGAACATGCAAGACTGCTGATGTATTTTTTATGTAGCACTTTCTAGTTAAAATGACGACGAACGATGTATGATTACTTCTAATTTCTCCAGCATCACTGATAGTATTCTGGTAAAAGCCAGCTAATACCAACTTCTTCGAAGCGCAGCATCCATCACTAACACTCAAAGCTTTTGCAGAGACTTTTGTTAGCACCTCGTACTCGTTTTATATCCCTATGTATACGAGCATATTATTCACACTACAATCTTGGGAGAGTTATCGACAGAAGAGTTACTTTCTTGGATTGGGCTTAACGAGTTTCCCTGACTAAAATATGGACTGGGTCTGCTAAACGAATTTGATGGCGTAACGGGGGATAGCTCGGATTTCAAGGGCGAAAGAGGAAGAGTCTCCGCTTCTGGTGATTTCAGGGAACATGTGTCAGCCTCTGGAGTCATATTATACATAGCGGAATCAGAAATTGACCTCGAAATATGATTATTGAAAAATGTAACTGTTTTGTTTTTCAGCTCCAATTTGTATCTTATAGGGGACTTTTCTTTTAAGACGTTGACGGGTTTTTCAGAAAAACTATGAGTTCTCTTAAATGATGCTGATGTAACTCGAGGGTCAGGTGTCTTTGACGGTGAAAGAAGGTACTCGTCATCCCCTTCAGAAAAGGAAAAATCCTCGGGAATATCGTTAATTTCATCTAAATAGTGATCATCTGATTGGTTTTCTTTATTATAACGATCCTCTTCGGTTTCATCGATAAAATAGAGATTAGACATTGCACCTGGAACTTCATTATCCAGGTTCGAGCTGATGTCATGATATTTTAAAGAATGAGAACGCGGTGGAAGAAGGGCGCTAGGGATTGACTGAGCTTCAGAGGCAGCGGGGGAAGTAGTGTGAGCAAATGGTGATCGCAGAACATTACCATCGCAAGTTGTCACTGTGAAGGAAATAGGCGAAGTAGTGCGTCCTAGATAATTCTGAGAGCATACTTCATCACTCTTATTTATTTCCTCCTCTTTAGGATTTATTCGGCTCGTTATACGTTTGTCAGTTTCAGGCTGTGTGGCTTGAACGTCTTCATATGAATTAAGACCCTGCAAGTGATTATCTCTTGACAAGTTCCTATCTTCTATCTTAGACGGTAAAACATCATTTTCAATTCTTTCGGCGTTGCTATTTTCGTCATCACTCAAGTCGAAAAAGTCACCATAGCAGCTTACCTTATTCACCTTTTTTACGGGACAATCCTCGTAATCAGCTTGACTACTAATGCTTTCTTCGTCAGACATTTTGCAGATATCACCATACCGTTTAACATTGTGAACGTTGCCAGCACGTTCTTCAAACTTTGAGTTATCATCGCTTATTTGGTTTTCTAATCCTGGGAAACCCTCCGTTTCGATCTCTTTATTATCCTTGAAGTAGTTCCGATTGAAAAGGTGAACAGTGTCATCCTCAGCAAAGTCAACATCTTCGTCATCGCAATAATTGACCTCATCATCGAATTCTTCATCATCGTAAAGATCGTCAACGTAAACATTGTTCGTAGGCTGCGGTTTCGAATAATACTTGACAGAGGAAGTCCTTCCGTTGATTCCGTTAATTTCGAAAGAGAATTTTGAAGAATCATCGGAGGAACATTCGTCGCTAGAATTTTCCTCATCCTCAAAACTCTCTTCACCTTTTGAATCCGCTTGCTCGGTTTTCCCCGTGAGAAAAAGCTCATCACCCTCTTCAAACGATCTGTCATTCAATATTAGATTTTTCAGCTCATTTATAGATGACTCAGAGGATTCTGGTTTTGATCTTAATGAATCACATTTTTCAATAGTCAGTCCTAATCCTATCATTTGACTGTCGGAACCGAAAGTCAATCCTGGTCGGGAAGTGGGTTCGGACAAATTCGGGCTGCTATCGACACCATTATGGGAATTGAAGTTTGAGGACAAACATTCAAGACTGATTCCAGACTGCTTGCCTAAACTTATTATATCGTCGTGAGAGTGTATTTGAAATTGTCGATTCTTGCTTTTATTAGAATTAGATCTTAGAGAAAAATATGGGTGTTTTTCTTTGATTTCATTGATGTCCTTCAGTTTTGTAATGGCATCGCTGGGTACCGCCTGAGAGTCATAACTGCTTCTTCTCGTATTACTTACCGAACTTGAGGCTGCCGTTGAAACCGACTCTCTTTGAGATCTTGCGTTAGCAGAGATCCCGGGATCTCCCGCATCCGAAGACATATCAGATGACAAAGAGCTCCTATTCAGTACAATCACGGACTGAGATCCCTCCGATATTTCACCCCACTCGTGTGTTCTCGTACCCTTAATGGCTGGGAATCGCTCTACATTTGTGTCCCTAGGTGTTTTCTGCAGTCCCCTTTCAAAGGTGCTCGGTGAGTTTCCGTCTGGAGAAGGAAACTGTTTAAAGGTATAGCTTGTCGGTGTCCCTGAGTTAGTTCCCGGCTTCGAGAGGTTTGAAGAGCTGTTACTTGACTTCTTGAACAGTTTTGTGGTGAATATTTTGTTCTTGTTACTCAGTTTCGGGAGCGATTCGAAGCTCGAAGAATGCCTTGGTCCATGACTCAAAGGCTCACTTGAATACAGACCAAATTGGGCAGGAGAGCTAGGCTCATTAATCGTCCTTTGTGAGTCCCGAGCTCGTGGCGATTTCGTGGGACTGCTATCAAGCGACGCTGATCTGCGGTGAGATTTTATCAGAGCTTTCATCTTGTAACCCTTAAATTCACTCAAGCCACTCAAAAGTGGGTTGTATATCTTAGGATTGAACGAATATGGCTAGTTTGGTCTCTTCTAACCTAAAGATTGGAGTGTTAACTATGTATTGTTGGTTTTTTCGCGCCAAGAGGGAGTGAGCGGCCTTATACACAAGCCTTTCATTTCCTAATTTGATATATTGTGAATGATCACGTGCACTTCTAATATAAATATATAAACCTTTAATTAAACCATTAGAAAGCAAGCTTCTCTAGAGTCCTAGTCAGTCTTGCCGCACCCTCTACAGATGTGTCTTTTTCTAAACTTACTTTAGCACGATTCTTTTCTAGTCCCTCCAAAAGCATGCATGCTTTGCATATTTTGTTGCTAGAAAGATACCCACAACGATCACATCTATTCCCATCGACGAATCCATTTAATCGCTGAATTGAGACAGATCCGTCACTTCTAACCTCCACGTGGCTGGGAGGAGGAGCACGTTTCAAACGCTTCGGCTTCAGACGGAGATTTTCACCACTATGAATAATGTCGAGTATGCAGCTGGGCCTTACAGCCTCCAGATTCTTCATCAGCTCTCTCGCCGTTCCTCTGAATGCTTCAGGGGCGTACGTACATTCCGTGGAAAAGTAGTCGAGCTTTTTGTAGTGAGCGTAAAGCACAATTTCCTTTTGGTAAGCATATTTAAAAGGTTTGGATCTCTTGATCGGAGACCCCGAGCTCTGTGTTATGATGGCAGTTGACTTCTCCAAACGTGCAACATCGCCTCGAAGAATATTCATGAGCACAGTCTCTGCCATATCGTCAGCGTTATGGCCAGTTATGACGTGTTTAATCCCCAGTTTTGCAGCTCCTCTGTCCAATGCTTGCCGTCTAAACACGCCGCAGTATGTGCAGCTGTTTCTAATACCAGCGCAGGCCACGATCTCGTCCATTGTCCAGTTGTACAGATCTCTATAGGATACAATCTCAAGCGGCAGATCATACTGTATTTGATTACGCTTAACAGTCGCAAGTGAGTCGTCCCGATAGCCAACTATTCCCTCATCAATACTGAGAAGAACAATATTGATGCCATAGTCGTGCCTTTCGTTCAAGAGCTTCAGAATGTAAGCCAATACAGTTGAATCCTTCCCTCCTGAAGCACCAACTGCGACTTTCTCACCTCTCTCAAAGAGCTTGTTCGACACAATTGTGTTGTGAATTTCGGTCTCAAATACATGAAAGAAGCATAATTTGCAAATTTTTTGCAGATTTTTAGGCCTCTTGATTAGAGCTTTGCGTGCGTGACAGAGCTCACAAAGTTGTGTTACCTTCACGACCTTAGGTTTGCGAGGATCAGACGGTGGGGTGAACGACATAAACTTCAGTTACTCTATGGTATCTCGGCGATGAGCTCTTGAACGTTAAAAAATTTCAGATTAAAAACCTAACATGCAATGGGGCGTTATCAATCACGTGAACTTTTTACAATCATAAATAAATCGTTGAATCACAGGTGGGCAGCGATGAAAGTGCACATGCTCTTGCAGTTTGCGAGGTTACATTTATTGAAGTAAAATAATTCTACAAAGTGGCATTGTTTGGTGGTTGCACAAGTCCTGCATCAGTTAAAAAGATGGCGGTGGGTAGATCACAGAACACACGAGTCACGCCAGAATACGTGACATCTTACCGCTACATGTGGTCTGATCTTATGTGTCATTTGGATTTTAATAAATGTTGGTAGTGTATAGAATGGTATATGTGGGAGACGCATTCGAAAAGGACTTGTTTACATGCAGGTAACAATTCGGTTAGTCAGTTGAAAACTTAACCGTCGTTGAACTTTTTTGCTCTCCGATTAGCAGTACGCAATTTCGTAGCGGTAGTCTCCACGTCCCCACTAAGCATATCGAGGAGTTCGTTCTGGGCAGCAAGCTCATCATTCATTTCAAGAGACATGTTCTTCTGGCTTCGTATAATATTTCGCAGCTCCTCCAACTGTTTATCTTGATTTTTCATGGTGCTTCTATCAAGCTGTAGTAACTCTTGATTTTGAAGCCCAATTGTTGCCTCAGTTTCACCAATTTTTCTTCTACCAACAAGGGGCCTTTGTGGACTGCGTTCTGATGCTCCAAACAGGGGTCCCTTTGATCCTATTTCGTCCCCTTTCGTATCGTTCCAATCACTGCTAGGGCCTTTTGAGGACTTGTTCAAATCATCTTTCAGGGCGTTCAATAGATTCCGCCTTCTTTGAACCTCACCCTCTCCCACTAACTGCCTCTCCTTGATTTCTTTCAGGCTTTTATCCAGTATTTGAATTCTCAATCGAAGTTGGATTAGTAGCTTAGTCGAATAATCATCTTTTCTGGCCTCTTCAAGTTGACTTTTGCAGTTTCTCAACTCTTCTAACCACTTCTGAGCATCAACGATCGAATTTCCTGTCCCAGCAGTAGTTCCGCTCGGTAAATCATAAGCATTTAACTTACTCGACTTATCCCAATCACTTGGAAACTGGAGAAATTCTATAAGATACGGTGAATTTTTCCACCTGGTGTCAAACGAGTCATTCAACATATCATGCAGAAAGGTAACTAATTCTTTCTTCCGCTCTTCTATTATATCTGGATCGCAGGACCCCGAGGGTTTCCCCCATATATTGTAGCGACGAGGTGGAAGCTCATAAGGAAGTTCTGAGTGAATTTCGTGCTCTAAGTTTTGCTTTAGTTTGATAAAGTCAGAAAACCTCTTAAAAACGTGGTACTGCCCTACTTCTTTATTACCCCTAATAATCTTAAGGTCCACACGGTACAGGGTATACGATTTCTTCACAATCTTAATATCATTTATAGCGACATCTACATGTACATTATAGTCGCTCATTGTGAAGATAGCGGAGTGGCGCTGCCCTCCTTCTGTTTGGCGAGAGGAGAGATTTCTAAGTTGACAAAAAACTTCGAGAGAAATTATACAATACTCAATACAATTATTGAGAACAAAAAATGGTATGTCGTCAATGATGTTTACGTGTAGAGAAGTGCTTATACTAATTTAGCCAAGTCTAAACTTTTTATTTCCACTACTAATTGTGGGAAAGCGCATGAAGCAGACATATTTGGTGTTTGCGTTACCAACCCATATACTATAACTTGCTCCGGTGATGGCTTCGTTAAATTATGGAAAAACAAACTTCTTGAAGGAGAGCTTCCAAAAAATAATGTTTTAGGGAAGTTTGTACACAAGTCTGGTGTGCATCATGTTGATGCTTTTCATTCAGTGGAAAGAGGTGGTATAGAAGTATTGATCGTCGCTTGCGTTTCTTTCTCAGGCGAGATATTCTTCTATAGAGTTGATCCTACAAATGGCAAGATACAAGACTTAGAGTTGATGTCGAATCTTGACAAAAAGAAGTCCTTTTGGTGTGTGAAGTGGTTCAAGAGTGAAGATTTCACAGTCCCGCATAAATTAGTCGCAACGGATGTTAAGGGAACCACGACCATATGGAACTTTCATCCTTTCAAGGAAACAGATGAGGATGGGGAAAGTGAGCCAGAGAACACGACTGCGGTTTCAAGTACTGATTTGATTGAAGACTTACACCTGGAACGTCTAGGCGACATTTCTGCGACAGAGTCTAGCTTCGCAACATGTGTTGATATATCCGCCAAAGGGTTAATCGCGACAGGTTTCTCCAATGGTAGTGTAGTCGTTTCACAGTTGAGTACTCTCAGACCCATCTATATCTTTGAAGGATTTGGTATCCGTGGAACGGAAGAAAACAGTTCTACGGTACGTGATGTCAAGTTTTCTCCGCTAGGTGAATTGCTAGCAGTTGCTAATGATTCCGGATCATATGGTTGTGTTACTCTGTATGAAACTGAGTTCGGTGAGCGTATTGGTAACTTAACAGTGCCAACACATAGCTCTCAGTCTAGCATTGGAAGTTTCGCACATAACGGATGGGTGTTCAACGTGAGTTTCAACTCAACCGGGGAGTTCTTAGCAACCTGCGGATACGATAGTAAAATTCGTGTATGGGATGTTAAGATGAAGGAGAGGGTATCAACTTTGAACATGAGTGCAGGTGATATCGAAATTGAAGAAGATATTCTAGCGCAAGATGAGTATGGCGATTCTTTAATTAATCCGCCTGTAATGGGAGTAACGTTTATAAATAAGGGTGTTCGTGGAGGAATTGGCAATGATACTAACGAAGGCTTATGCTGTGTGTGTCTAGATCGCAGTGTTCGTTGGTTTAGAGAAGCTGGTGGAGTTTGACCATACTGTAAAGTTGGACGTCCCAACTGATGAAACAAACAACAAGCTGTGGTTTTTAAGTAAGCTAAACTTGTTAAATTCTTAATAATTTGCATAGTTTATTACACTATAAAAAGTAAATGAGGTAGAAGTGGAACTACGCTCAACTAAGAGATCCCACTTCATATCATATTTTTTTTCTCTTTTGATTTATTAGCCATTGAAAGGGTTACAATTGAGATGGTTATTGATCACCGCAATAGAAAACTCAGTAGAAGGTAAACCCGTTGTAAGCAGAAAATTTGCAATCATATGATTGTGCATAGAGTATATATCTTAGAAGATCCATCCTTTTTTTTATGATTTTGAAGATTTTTGACTTTTTTTAGTTTGAAGGCTTGAGACCGATAAAGCATAAGATTTTACCATCGAACAGAGACGGCCATGTTATCAGTTAGAGGGAAAACAGTGATAGCCATTCGAAGGACCGAATTGTGCTTGAGAGTAGAAATCATCCATCTGGTTACCCCATAATGAGTTAACTGGCATAGGAGGGAGCGGGTTGGTTGGTAGTGGAGCGCTATAGTAGTTGTAGCTATAACCATTGAAACCGCCCTTTGGAACTGGACTGCCATTCGATAATGGAGAGGCATAGTTAGGTTGATAAAACGAGTTACTAGTGCCGCTTCTTTCCTCCGTGTAGCATGGAGAAGAATAAACCATAGAAGGAGCGTTAATAGGAGTTTGATATCCTACAACATTAGGCTGTTCAGAAGCGGAACCAGTGACGTAGTTTTCTGCAGTGTCCCTCAAGCCATTGAATGAATGAGCAGGTGATTTCTTCTCCAGGCAAAATAATTCAAAGGACTTAGCATAGTCCTCGTAAAGCATAAACTGATCATCAAATAATCTCCATTCGAAGACCGACAACCAGTCTCTTTCATTTTGATTAATAACTGACGTTTCCATCCCGGTAGCGTGAGACCACGACTTGTTGGTGAATGTCTTATCATCATTGAACTTGTTAGCTAGAACAAAAGAAACCATTAGGTTTTGGTAAATTGCGTTAACTGAATCGCCACCTGCACTCTCGACACCGTTGGGAAGTTTGGAGATGTACTTACATAAGTAATCGAGAGCCATGAAGATGGTGACAGAGGGAAGTCTAGTGGCATTCAATACAGAGCTTACGCCCTTGGTGAAAATGTCCACAATACTGGAAGCTTCAGAGTTGAACGCATCTTCATTTTCAAATATCAAGTAAGCGTTCTTCACAACAAATTCTGACATCATGTTCAAATCATAGTCCAAAACTTCACGAACACCACCGTTAACTTGCGTTTGCTCCTGTTGGGGCTGTGGCTGTGGCTGAGGTTGAGGTTGAGGTTGAGGTTGCAACCTTGAAACAGGAGCTAGCTGAGGAGGAGGCATGTAGATCATACCAGGGGGTGGAAGCATCATTTGGTAGCTCACTGAATGGTGACGTTGGGGCTGATAATATGGTTGAGCAGATGGGTGATGATAGTATCCATACGCGTTCATAGGTGGAACACTACCCATAGACTGTGAATGTCCATGGAATGGTTGCTGCTGATGAGGAGCAGCATAGTTTGGGTAATACATGTAGGAAGCCATTATTACTAATGTGCTTTCTAGCAGATGATTTCGCTTTCCTTGCTAAAAAATTGGCGCAAACAAAGAAAACTGTCCAGAGATTCGAGTAAGACAAATTAACTTAATAACTACCTTCACTCTATACTTTCGGAACAAAACTTCAGTTGTCCAGAGAGTAACTTCTTGACAGTAGGAAAAATTCTTGTTTGCAGAAGGTGCTTGTGTTCCTTAGTCTTGCTAAGAGAATCAAAAAGCTTGGACCCTGGGAAACTCCGGAGAGTTAGTTCTCGAAGTCTTGATCTTTAGTCGAACCTGTGACTCAAAAATAGTCCGTATTACTATATGTATCTATTGATCCAAATAGTAACCCACGAGCAGCACTTAAGCAGACAGACGTATAGTTTGAGAGGTCTCCGTTAAGGATTAAAGAAGACTTGGGAGAAGAGTGAAAAAGAGAAAAAAAAAGTTGATATATTAAAAGATAACAGTGATAGTAACTGATATTCTTTATAATATATGCAATGGAATGGGTTGAAGGGAGGTTTGGCTCTTGCTAAAAGAAGATCAAATGACAAGTCAGCCATCTTCTCTTTTTTAATGCTGCTTTGTGTTCGAACAGAAAAAATTTTCATGAAAAAGAAATTATATCGTTATGTACGTACTTTGTCATGTGGAGGGAATTGATTGTTCCCGTTGCTATTCTTGTTCTCCTTGTTTCTCACCAGAGCCGTAGCCGTGAGGGACATTTTACGTAGTTTGCCATTACCGGCCGCGGTCAACGCGATCGCTGGTTGACACGTTTCTCCCTTTTCTTGTGTTCCTTGTTCATCTTGCATGCTGATATCCTCATCAAAAAACTCGGTCCTGCCGGCAGCGACATTAAGCGAATCATTGTAGGCGTCGTCTTCGTCCATCATCATTGAAGTCTCATTTCCCGGTTGCAATTCAGACCATCTAACTTTCTTTGCAGGCTTGTACGCCCGTCGTTGAACCGGAGATGGTGAGCCACTATTGGATTTCACCACTTTAGCTGGTTTCCTATACGAGATGGATTTCTTCGGATGGAAAGAGGCAGCTGCTGCGATAGACAGATTCTCTATCCGAACGCTAGCAGCAAATCGTTCAAATTCCTCATCAATGGATACTAAATCTTGGATGGCAGCGTGTAGTTCACGTGACAAATCATGAATTTCCTCTTTCTCGTTGGTTTCTCCAGAAAATTGATGGGATGCATTCGTAATGCGCTCTAGTAATGTGTTGGAAACAAATTTGTACCTATTCACCAAGGTCTCGTCTTCCAACAATTTTTCCATTATTATTGAGGAATTCACGAGGATCTCGTTCCTTAGGGACTCTGATACGCCATACAACAGACTTTCGTAGAGCGGTAGATCTATAGTTCCTATCCATCCATCCATTTCTTGCAATTTCACCAAGTCTACTTCTCGGCTACGTTCTAGAGCCATGTCAAGTTCGTCAGGGGTATCGAAACTCCGCTCTAAGTCTTTCACTTTGAGCATCAGCTGCTCCTGTAGTGCTAGGCAGTTTTCGTAAACGTCAGAGCGCTGGTCGACATGTTTGAGGAGAATGTTTAGCTCCACACTAACCATTTGCAGAAATCGCCGCTTGCATAGCATCAATGATTTCATCATTTTCAAATGCTGGAACTTCTCGGCTGTCTTATAATTGTTTCGGAGTGCATGAACGCTATCCCATAATGCGAGATGAAGTTTCTCTCTAGCTATTTTGTAAGTGTTCAACTTCAACTCTACTATCTTCCCCTCGCGTCTGCGCAATTCGTCAATTTCTTGCCGTTGTTCTGAAATCATCTTAAGGTACGAGCCGACATGGCGATCCAGGGAATGCTGATTTCTTATGATTTTTGTTTTAATCTCTTTGGCTCTTGTAGCATACTTGAGTGTGTTTAACGTTTCGTCGTAATGTGAGCTGCTCGGGGAGATACACACAATCATTACCGTTTTGCAATTTCCTCCTAAAGAAAATTTCAGTAATCTTGTGAGTTTGGAGTCCCGGTAAGGAACGTGGCTCCCAGATTGCCTTCTTCCATTGACACAAAGCGCATTTATACAGTTTCCCAATGCTAAAAGCGATCTGTTAATGTTAGCGCCCTCGTGCAATCTTTCTCCGCGATTTTTGGTAGCAGAAGCCCTTTCGCTTCCTGCTAGATCTATGATGGACAACGTTGCAAATTTATGGTCTTCTGTTAATTCCGCTGTTCGATTTTTCTGTGTTATGTGTATTTGCAATACAGCGTGTGATCTCGAAGAAGTTTCGTTGGCATCAGTTGGCGATGTGGTACGATTAGAATTGCCACGCACAACTAGATCCATAACATCTTCGATAGTGTGTAGCACATGGTGCGATAGGTTTGCCACACTGATGTGCCTATTGGCATCTTCTCTGATAACCAGCTTCTTGGGTGGGGTGGTAGGTTCCAAGAGGTCAATAATCGTCTCGTTGTAGATCTCCAAGTAAGAGGCTCTGAGTTCGAACCGTTTCGTATCTTGTAATTCCTCGATTCTCGCAAACAGATCTTGCATTGTCAGAAAAACGATGCCAGGATTCTCGGGGGGGCCATTCACGGTAAACGTTTTGCCACACCCGGTAGCTCCATATGCAAAAACTGTGCCATGAAATCCATCCAGCACAGCGTCGAGCAGCGGGCGTGCGGTTGCCTCGTAGACGTCCAACTGCGTCGAATTCACGTCAAAAACCTTGTCAAAAACAAACTTTTGCTCACCGCTGCGTCTGCTGCGCGACCGTATACCCCCACTGCTTGGCGGAGGCGCAAGGGAATTCAAAACTGTTTCGCTGATCCTACGCAGCGGATTACTGTCGGCGGGATCGAATATGAGCATTTTGTCGTCTACACAGTCCACGATTTGCCGAAGACCTTGAGGCCTATGTTTATTGATATGCAATTTGGTGGGAGTTGAATTTTCGACGCCTGGCAATGTTAAAGTAGAATCCCCCAGTTGATAGTTGACGCCCGCCATATCTTCCCTTACTAGATGTGCCAATTCGTAATCAGTAAATGGTCTCAGTCTGACCGCCACCATTATAGAGGACTGACGCGTCTCTGGAACCGTCGTTGACATCACTTCTTGTCTGGTAGAGCCCGCGCAATTCCATTAGATCAGCTAAAGATTTCTCGAAGACGTTTGTTTGTGTTTTGTGAGCGCGACATACACGTTCAAAGTGATCGCGTGTACTGAGGTCACGTTTTTAAGTCTTCATTCAATCTCAGCCAGTTCTTACTTCTTCCAAAATGAGACTTCGGTGGTAGAAAGACTAGCAATTCTGATCTGCCTTTGAAGTTGAAAACATAGGACCGATTGATGCTGTCTTAGTTATTTGTGACTTCGAGTAACGCACTTTTTTTCTTCCGAGTGCAGTTTTTCCATAATTATCGGCGGCGCGCCGGCTGCCAAACCAAATCAATCAAGCTGATAAGGTGCAGTAGCCCTACAATCTGTCCCATAGAGCATGTTGCGATGTAATTAATTTTTGAACATATGTATAGCGTTCAGGCCTGTCGCTATCTATAAGTTTTAGGGTAGTTTTGACGATTAGATTAACGCCCGAAAAGAGGCACAAGCCTTAAACCAATAATCAGCGAATCCATAGCCTTTATGGTAATTATATGCTCTATATTATTCGATCGAAATCATTTCGTCGATCGTGTGTGAGCTAAGCGCCAGACTGTTGTGCCATTTTTTGCGGGGTATACCCAAGAAAAAAAATCTGGAACTACTGCATCAGAATTCAAGGAATAGCAAGATCTTACAGTAAATTATCCGCTCAATTAAAATTGGTACTAGCAACTGATATCCTGGCTTTGAACGTAATTGGGGCTCCCATAGGCCTTTTCCGGAGTTGCTCCGATTTTGCTCACGTGACGCTGTTTTCATATATCTTCTTCCGGAAAAAACTGTGGAAAATTGGGATCTATCTCACCACATCCTCAAAAGCAGTGTATCAAACCAAATGTCATTTAGGTTCAATAAAGAGACCTTTGAGGACAATTCGTTCAACGAGCAAATACGTGAGAAACTCACACGGGCTTTGAATGCGAGGACTTCCGGGTCAGCGTCGCCTCAAACGTCATCAGCTGTCGGAGCATCGACATCCAATGCGAGCGAGTCTGAACAAGAATCCAAAAGCTCAAAGCGACTGGACATCCTCAGAAGTGGAATCACCGTAAAGAAAGTTGATTTTCCCTCAATTCCGCAGCTGGAAATTCTCGATCTTGATGTGTCAGCGCAGGCAAAGTCTCTCCTGAAAGGAATCTGCAAAATTTCTTGCAAGGATGCGATGTTAGAGATAACGACTGAAATCGAAGCCAACCTGTTATTACTTTACACCAACTATGGGCCCTCTTTCACCACACCACGCTTGATCTCTAATGACTCTTTCACTGTGCCCATCACGATGACTTTTGACCACATCGAGTTGGAAGCGATCACCAACATCTTCGTGAAGAATACTAGTGTGGGTATTTCCTTCAACGATGTAAATCTAGACTTTCAATTTGATTGCTCCATAAAATTGCTGCAATCTAGCATTGAAAAGAGACTCAAAGGATCAATGGAGACGGTCTTTAAAGACGTGCTTCCTAGCGTGATTTTTAGCATGAGTCAACGCTGGTTTACGCATGGAGAATCTACCACTACTACTGGCGAGGATAAAATGGTAGGTTCTGAACATCAACCGCATTTGCCCAGGACTATCCTTGACGACTCGGATCTTGCGGACCTTTCGCCGGCCAATATGCTTCGTCTCTCGACCCTGGTTTCATCCAGACAATCTTTATCTTTAAACCCCACAGCCATGAACACTTTGTCAACAATTCCTGGTTGTCTTGAAAGACAAAACTTGCATAGGTTCCATTCACGCATCCCTTCTCTGAGTACATACTATCCAGATGAATTTGACGAGAATCGTGTTGGTGATCTGAAGATGATGGGCAGAGTGCCGAGCGGCCACGTTGTCTCGACAAATCACTATCGTCAACAACAGACCAATACTTTGCCCCAGAAAGTTCTTGAAAATCAATCATATGATTTAAGAACAATTGCTTCAATTCAGTCGAGGATATACGAAAGAAGCGGTGGAGAAAGTAGTGGTTTGAGAAGACGGAAAATTAAATTGGGGAGAACATCAAAAAGGTCCATTGCTTCCACTCCAATCCCACACGCTAAATTGGATAACCGTGAGCTCGACAAGGTCTGTTTGCGTCCTGAAGTGACACCTTCTCCCAAGTCGACAGCCATTCATTCACCTCAACCTCGCAGCGCCGTTGCCTCTCCTCAGATTTTTGGTTTGGATGCGATCTCATCAAGAACATCGGAAGCCATGCTTTCCAATATCCCTCCTTTGCAGCTACCCCCTCGTGTTCATAGTCAAGCTGAAAGTGCACTACCAAAGGCCAATCTCAACTTACTTGAAGAGGCACATTATTTGAAACAGGGCCGTGAATTTCAAAGACTAAGATCAAGCCTTTACTCACCAATCAGAAGTTCCAATTTTTATGTTATCAAGGAGAAGGAGAGACCGTTAATGGATAACAAGAGGTTGAGCTTCGTGGGATTGGCTCAGGGCTACAAGTGGGGAACCGAAGATTTGCCTCCACCGTATGTTAGTTAGTTAGCTCTTAGACTAATATTAAATACTAGAGATGATGGCATGATAAGGAAAAGGTTAAATAAAATTTGTGTTCGAGGTGAGTTTTATGTTAATTTCATGAGGAATGACATTCGTTTTTGTTCTTTATATTTTAATGTAATGATAGATAATACAACATAAATGGCTTAATTAAGAAGAAAAGTTATGTATTGAGGAAAGTTGTGTTGATTAAGATTTGTTCTCAGATCAGTTATTTACTGACAGAATGTTCAGTTTATTTCTTGCATTCATGAATGTTACCCAACAGTTGACGAAAAACACGGATAAAAGCCTTTGGATGTCCTTGCTGGATATAGGGATAACAAAACACATTTTCCTACTATCAAGTGTCATTCATTCGTGCAATTAAAGTTTCAGCGGAATTTGGCATAGGACTCAATGTGTAACTGCCTTCTAAGCCACAACCTTGCTCCACTCTTCCATAGTGAAGCACTTGCAGCTGAAAGCATGAATTTGAGCCACTTCCTCCTTCAAAGCATTGTTCACCAGGCGGCAGCGCTGTAGTTTATTTTTGCCCTGGAATGTGTTGCTGACCACAACAATGTCGAATGATTGACCGCACCCATTTGAGGTATCAGTAATAATGACATTATGCAAGTCAGGAATTTGCGCGATGAGTTTATTCTGTAAGTCCTGTTGCGTCAGCATTTTCAATTGCCCTTGAATTACCTAATTGCTGTAGTTTGTTCCGTCGTGGTTCTTCTAGTTAAATGGATAAAAAGTTTTGCAAGCGAAAGTTCACCTATTACAATGTACAAAAGACAAAAAAAGGCAGCATGAGTAAAGCAATATCTAAAGTTCAGTTGAAGGCTATTGTAGACGCAATTACCAAGTTGTATCCTGCAAGCTATGCAGACGGAAGCTGGGACAACACAGGCCTGCTGATTGATTGCTCAGCAGCAACTACTAGCGTGATAAAACCTAAAGTTTTACTAACAGTAGACTTGACAACGTCGGTCGCTCAAGAAGCAATCGACAAAAATTGCAATTTTATATTGGCTTATCATCCTTTCATTTTTCCAAGTTGGAAGAAGCTGAGCCCCTGGACAAATCCACAACATGAGTCTGCAATTAAGCTAATCCAACATGGCATCAGTGTGTATTGTCCACACACAGCGGTAGATGCGGCTAAAAATGGGGTAAATGATTGGCTCGTTACGAGTCTTTGCGGTGGCGATTCCTCTCTCATTCAATCGTCTGTCAGCATAGAGAAAGTCGACCCACAACAGGGAGAAGAGGAGCATGAAGTCGGATACGGTCGTGTTGTTAGGTTTTCTAGACCATACAGCCTCGATGCTATCATTCAAAGTGCCAAGAAGTCGTTAGGAATCGATCACTTGCAGGTCGCCACCAAACACACCGACCTTTCGCAGCACATGATACAGAGTGTAGCACTATGTGCCGGCAGCGGTTCGGGTGTATTTAGAAATCTAAGAGAGAGTGTGGACCTCTATTTTACTGGGGAACTATCGCATCACGAGGTTTTGAAGTACAGAGAGATGGGCAAGGCTGTCATAACCTGTAACCACTCCAATACCGAACGTGGTTACTTGAGAGCGATAATGCAAGATGCGCTCAAGGGCGAGAACATTGAGTGCGAGGTCAGTGCCTCTGACTGCGATCCGTTGAGAGTTGTGTAAACTAAATAGTCATACCACGTAGTAAGTGAGATGAGATTCACATTAAGAATCTGTATTCCTAGCAACGCTTCTATCGACGGAGAGCCTGATGGATCCCTACAGTTTAAAGCGTGATAACCGCAAGAAATTCTTCGACAAGGAAAAGCTAAAGCGGAAGCATGCAACTCCCAGCGACAGGAAGTACAGGGTGCTAAATAAGGCTGAAAACCCGCAAGAGGAGGAACTCAAGCCTGAACTGCAGCCAAATGATTACAGGTACCATGAAGATATCACAATGGCTCACGCAACTGAAGACTTCAGCACGCAAGAGGTTAACCGCAAGCTCAAACAGATTTTAAAAGATAGAAAGGATAGTATCGGTGAGCCTAAAGAGGAACCTATAACGAAAAGGAATCTTGAATCGATGGACGTTGATAAGCTAAATTCTCTGCTGGGAAGAGCTGCCCCACAAAAGAGACAGGTAACTCAACCGGACGAAAAACACAATGAAAGGCTAGAGATTAAGGACAACACAGCAAAACCTATCGTGCAGTCTCATGTTCCTGAGGACTTAGAAGACGATCAAGATTTTTTAGATGGCATTCTTTGATAGATCTGGGAACACCACGTGACAGCGTTATTTTTTCATCGATTGTCGGCAAATCACGTGTATGGGATGTATTTCACAAAATTTTTTCTTTTCGAATGACAACACTCCTTGTTTCGTTACTGAAGTTAGAACACATATAACGTCTGTATTACAGGTATTATTCTAGAACTTGAACTAGTTTATCGTCAGTCCTGATCGTTTCAGTTTGCTCGATAAAAATCATGTCCACGGATACGATGTACTTCAACAGCTCGCGGCTGAAACAGTCCGCGGGCAAGAATAAGACCAACTATTTACAGAAACCTGATAAAAGACGACACGGGTCCAATAAGAAGAACAAAGTCCGACAGGAAGGGGCAACTGGAAATGATGTACCTCTGCCTATGCCACAGGCCTTACCAAATGGTGAAAAGCCTGATTTTGGCAACTCGAGCAAGAAGGGTAACAAAAACCAAGGTGACCGCAGACCAGCTTCGAAGAAAACCGACAGGGATGCCGACAAGCTTTCCCAAGATCTTCAAGAAATGCTGTCAGTGACCGACACGAATCGTAAAAAAGAGGTGCTTCCTAGTAAAGGTGAAAGCTCTGTATCTAACGGTTCTCCTCAGCTGCTTACGCCTCAGTCCATGCCAACTTCTGGTGTTTCTCCTGGTGTTTCTCCACTTCCTATTTTTTGCCCACCTCCACTAAGTGTTTCACCACTTCCTCTTCATCCGGGACTTTATCAACATCCATATCAGCAACACGCACAGCAGCTGCATCCGCAGCAATCATTTAATGGTCCGATTCCGGGATACCCATACTCTGGACCTCAGCCTCCAAACTACGCTTTATCATCTGGTGGCTTGCCCAACTTCACTACTCCCCAAGCTGCATTAATGAACCCAATGCAACATCCAATGAATTACTTCCCCGTGCCACATCCAGCAATGGCAACCCAGGTTCCGCATGCTCAACCTTACAACTACAATTTACCGCAAAATCACCAAATTCCATCTCAAGGGCGAACTGCACCTTCTTCTTCGGGCAGTAGTTCTTCGAGTAAGCGAAGTGGTAGTGCTTCAAAGAAGCAAAGTAACAGAAAATCCAGTGGTAGTGGTGGATATGCTGGTGCGTCTTTCGCCACTAGTGTCCCTGAGATTACAAATTTACCCAAACCAAGTTTTGCGTGATGGTCTGGCATCTCACGTCACTTTCAATTCGAATCTTTTTATTTTGTTTTATTATATTGGATTTCCAAAGATAATTGGTTTTTGAGAGGGTTTTAGAAGAGGGTTGTTTTTCCATTTTTTTTTTCAGTCACTCACATAATTTTCCCTTAGTTTTATCCAATTACTTGTATACCAAAGTATGTAGAATAATTATACATCTGGGGTATATTACCACATTTTTGCTTCTTCACTTATGCGAAGATATTTCTGCGAATTCATCTTCCGCACCAAAAATCACAATGGAAGTATTACGTCTATTAAATATACAAAAGCTAGCATACAATCCCGTAGCTTATAGCACAACATTCTTGGCCAGCTTGTTCTTGTATTGCAAGATTGAACCATCCCATCTGGTGGCAGTCTTATTTTCAACAACGAAAATGTCTTTGGCAATCTTATCTAGTAATCTGAAATCGTGCGAAACCACAACAACACCACCGTTAAACTCGTTGATGGCTTCAGCCAAAGAATCAATAGTTGGGATATCCAAACCATTAGTAGGTTCATCCAGTAGAAGAACGTTAGGTTGTTCTAGAGCAAGAAGGGCGAAAACAACACGAGAACGTTGACCTTCAGAAAGTGTAGCCATTTGGGAAGTTTGACCTTCACCAGTCAAACCATAACGGCCCAGTTGACCTCTCCAGTATTGGAAGTCATGAGAAATGTGCGAGTATTTGTCACGAACAAATTCCAGTGGGGATTTAGTTAGATCCAATTGGTCTTGAGAGTGCTGAGAGTACACACCCAACTTAACGTGTGTGTGACGGGAAACACGACCTGACTGAGGCGTCAATTCACCAGTCATAATCTTCAGTAGAGTAGATTTACCAACACCATTTGGACCGACAAGTGCAATTCTTGAGTCCATATCTACACCAAAATTCAAATTCTCGTAAAGGTTGTGTTCTGGGTTACCATCATAAGAAAAGGAAATGTCATCGAAAGCCAACACAGGTGGGGGAAGTCTTTCAACATTAGGGAAACGGAATGAAAACACTTTATCAGGAACAACAGGCTGAATCAAACCATCAGCCTCCATCTTGTCTAGAATCTTTTGTCTGGATTTCGCTTGTCTGACCAAGTTGGCGTAAGTACCAGCAGACGCGATAAATTTCTTGATGTGAGCGATTTCTTCTTGTTGCTTGTTGTATTGCTTCATTTGGTTAACTTCCAGTTCCGAACGGGTTTTAACATAAGAATCGTAGTTACCACCGTAAGCAGTCAATCTTTGCATTCTCATATCGATCATGTTGGTACAGACACCGTTCAAGAAATCTTGAGAGTGGGAAACAAGGACCAATGTTCTATCGAATCTCTTTAAGTATTCTTCCAACCAGACACATGCTTCCAAATCCAAGTGTGCAGTTGGGTCGTCCAATAGCAGTAAGGTTGGCTTGACGAAAAGAGCCTTGGCCAATGCGACACGCATTTTCCAACCACCAGACATGTCTTTGGTTTTTTTTAGAATAGTCTGAGAGTTGAAACCCAAACCGATCAAAATGACAGCGGCTCTGCTTTCGAAAGTGTTAGGGTCCATGGAGTCCATTCTTTCATATAAAGGCTCTAATAGCTCAGATTCTGGGCCGTCTTCCAAGATGATCTTCTCCACTTGGTCTTCCAATCTCTTCAACTCATTCTGAGCTTCCGTGACAACGTAATCAAGGGCCGAAAGCTCAGATGGCTCAGCAGGTTCGTCCAACAGATAGACATCAATGTTTTCTGGGATAGGGTATTCTCTGGTGGCTAAAGCTTTCAAAAAGGTTGACTTACCACAACCATTTTCACCCAGTAAACCATAGTGACGGCCGTAGTTCAATTCTAAAACGGAGTCTTGAATCAAAACCTTACCATGGAAAAGCAAAGAAACTGACGAAAACTTGACATCACGGGAGGTTTCCAAGGAATCCAATACACCGGTGACAACACGATCCGAAAGACCGTCCTTATCCTGCTGCAACTTCAATTGCGCAATCTCCTTTGCGGCCTGTTCGGCCTCATCGACTTCCTCATCCTTCTTCTTGGACTTTCTTACGGGCTTACCAGCAGCAGCTCTTTTGGCTTCTCTTTCAGCTTTCTTAGCGTCTCTCTTGGCCTTTGATGCAGAAACTGGAGGCATTGTAGACTTAGGTGTTCTTGCGTGTACTAAGGAAGTGAACTTGAGATGAGTATGAACTCAATTTTAGGACCCGCATAGTATAAAAATTTTTCAAGGTAGGCGAAAAAGAAAACTACAAGTCATCCAGAACGTCTGGAAACGTCATATCACAGCCGACGAGCGAACATGACCGAAGCTCATCGAATAAATGTCATCACAAACGGAGAATCCGAAACACGTTAGATCACAAAAGACGAATATTAGTCACGTGAAAAGCAACACAACCCATAAACCACTGGTACTGTTTTAACCCATACATGTAGAAACTTGGAAGGTTCCTATTTTCCTTTTTCTTTGCACCATTTTCCTACAGTCGCGTGATCACAATATCAAAGCCATATTACGTACATTTTTGTGCTACCATGTGTGATATGTGTGTTGCCGCTAGATTTAGAAGGGCTGCCTATCTCTAAACCTAGCTTCTTGAGCAAATTTAAAACATCGTAGGCACGCACGTGATAATGACAGAAGATCTTGGGAATACGTTTGTGCGATAGATTAACTCTTCATTAGGGGCTACTGGCACCAAAGTTTCGGTGCAAATCTTCCGGCACACTCTGATTGACTATACTAAATGGAAAGGCAAAATCGAATTTCAACTCAACGGTATAATGAGCGTGTTAAGAAACCGTTTACAGGTGCCACAGCAAAACGCAGTTCTCGGGATCTGAAACACTACGAATGCGTCTGAGTATCCCGTGCAAAGTGCACTTGTAAATCTTGCAGATTTGCTTAGAATTTCACTTTAACTGTTCGAGATTCGTTTTCAGTCGTAGGAATGACATGCGACGTGCATGGACGGCAATTTTATCGTTCCTGATATGGCAAATTCTCCAAACGGTTTTGGCATAACTTTACAATGTGAGCAAAGAAGCTGCATAATTAGCTTAGTCACCCGTGGAAACTGCTTATGCAAATTGCCACGTAATGGCAAAGATTTTCTTTTAGGCACAGGAGTGAATCGTTTTCTTCTGTTTCACTTCGTAAAGCCCATTGTGAGGCAAATTCCGGCATATGAAGCTTTCGCAATTGGCATTGCATGCACGGTGCGAGAAGGGGAAGAAGTAGTAAAACCTAGGAATGGTAAGTGACGGTAGAGTTTCTAACCACTACGTCACTTCGAGAATGTAAATCAAATTTGATTTCTTTGCCGCTCAAGTCATGATGCTGGGCGGCACAGGATCCGTAACAATGGTGAACGGGCGGTAAATTTGATCCAAGTGCGGCTACAAGCAAAGGAAAAATGACGGTTCTGTGGACAACGACATTCCTTGACGTTGGTAAATCGACGACAACGGCTCACCAAGCACGGATCATTTCTGACTGTAAATCTATTCCTAGTTGAAGCATCCGAGCCGTAAATTCTGCGCCAATGCCCAACGAGACAAGGCAAGGAATTTCTATGGTTCTTCGCAGCAGGGTGGCCAGATGATGATGGGATGTAGAAGTGAAATCACTACACACGGCGGCATTTTTCTGTACCGAAATATACGAACAGTTCAAACGCGTATCAACGAGCAAATGTTAATGACTGTCGAGATGCGTTTGCCCGTGGAATGACGACAAATGTTAAGATGATTTACTGTCTTCTCACAAAGTTGCTCACCGTAGGAAAGGCGCTAATAACGCCAATATTACATATGCGATGAGCTTGAAAAATGTAAGCTGGACCTGAAATTCGCATGGCGCTACGTTTCTGAGGCAAGAGTAATAACAGTTTTTGCAGATCCACTACGCTAAAGAAGAAATAGCGTGCAAGATGGGCTGAAACACTTCATTTGCCATTCTTTAGTAATTTTTGGGCAAACCGTGGAAGAACCTCGGCTATTGTCTAGCCTAGGTTGGCTCAAAATCGAAGATCAATGTAAATGTTTCTACTGTTAGGCACATTGTTTCGTATCCGCAACAACCGATTAAGCTCGCAAGTAACTTATTCCGAAGTTCCAGAACCGTTAGTAAATGTATCAGTTTTTCGATCTCGATCTTCGGGCGGTGAGCAATTTGACAAGTGATGGGGCTCTTCCTTCTTCAGACCCAAATCTGAAAAGAAATATGCTGAAGTGCGAGATAAAGGAAGTATCACGTGAAAGCACCAAATATTCGTTTGTACGAGAAATGTGGATATATTCCTGTACGAAGATCTACTGAAAAAACAGCTGAGTTAGCTCAAGGTGTGAGAACTGAAGAGGGTCTCGAGAAAGGCTCGGGACACGAACATGTCGACGGATGTTGAAGCATTATTCAAGGAGAAGTCTATCCCCGATATAAGAGACTACAATCTTGAGGTTTCACAAGAAATTACGAGAACTAGAGATGAATTCAACCAGCAGTTAAGGGGAAGATATGAAGAAATCCTCGACGTGACGCATGAGGTTCGGCGCCTACTTGCGCAATCTAAAGAGGTCGACTCAAAATTGATGGACTTATGCTTCAACGATACAAAGTACAAATTAGAGAGTATATCGGAGGTGCAACTTGGCAGCCACAAGAACTCAGCAGGCCGTAGCAACGAAAACACGTACGTCGAAAATGCCCAGTGCATATTGATTCTTACAAATTGGATTCAAGCGGTGAAAGTTTTCATGAAAGACCCATGCTCTAGCAAAAATTTGGATGAAGTTCTTGCCAAATTTCAAACTATCGAGTCCTCTACACCGGATTCATCTTACTCCGGAATGATCCTCAAGCATTGTGCTCGTATGGAAAGTTTTATATTGGAGCAAAAACCAGCATTCAATCCTTTACAATGGGTTAAGGTTCACAATTTATTTCATGAAGGGCAAAACCAGTTTGGGTTTAAACATGCGGAGGAAATTGAGGCTCTGGCATACGATGCTTTGCTTACCAACGAGGATTTAATTCACCATCCTTCGAGTGCGAATATCGATCCATTAGTGCAAAATTTCATTGGGAGCGCGGTCTTTAAGCAGAGATTAATTGCGAGATTCACTGATAACATTCAGCAACATTTTGAAAAATACGAAAAAGCAAGGCAGATAACGAGTGAGGAAATTAAAGTTTATCAACTCAGTGACGAAAGAAATTTAGCACAATTCGTACAGAACGTCAATCTTTATTGCTTTGGTTTTACTAATGTAGTGGGCCAAAAGCTGAATGATCTAATTGAAGACGTTATTGAATGTCTGCGCAACTTGAAAGCGGCTGGCGCTGATGAAAAGTGCATGAACCCCATCAAAGAAAGAATTATTGCACTGTTGGATGAGGAAATTAACACGCGGCAGTCAGCTAGTGATGAAGCTACGATCTGCACAGAGATATCGGAGAATGAACTGGATGTAATTTCGGAGAATGATAAAATTCCCGAAGATCAAAAAAATTCCGTAAAAGAACAAGATGAGGGAGATAAGGCTGAAAAGGATGAAGAGGATACGAAGAAAAATTCTGATTTAGATTCCAAAACGAGCGTAGATGCAACCACAACACAAGCGGAAGATGCTGATACGTCCGGAATTGATACAGAAATTGAGTCACATAAACAGTACGAGGGCAAAAAAGAGATGACAAATTCCCCTACCATTGCAGAAAATGAACCTAAGGAATCTCTTGGAAAACAGGATTCGGATAAAAACTTAGCAAGTAATGGAGCTTTCGCGACTTCTAAACTAAGCAATAGTGGCGAATCCGAGGTAGCTGATCCTGATGCATCTGTTGAAAGTGATAGACAGAATGTTTCATCACCTTTGACCAGTAATGTGGCGGCGGAGCCAATATGGCAGCAAGCAAGCGATTACGACCCTACGAGGGAAGATCAAAAGAAAAAAGAATTAAAAAACAACTCCGACGGAGATAATCAAAATGAGTCACTAGAGAAGATGTCACCATCGACCGGGATATTGATCCAGAAGCTCATAAGCACTACAAACCAAAAGCATTTAGCTGAGTACCTATCGAGTAAGATAGAGTTCATTAGATCACTTTAGTTCTCTACGTATGTTCAACCCGATATATCAGTTCGAAGTACCATTTATCACGTGGCACGCTCATTAACCACGTTTTGATTGTATGGATAAGCAACCCTTATAATATTAGCGGACAACATATTCATGATAACTAACTTACGCAAATCCTTATTAGTTTTTGAACGTAATTGCAACAAAATGACGATATCAGTAACGAGCTCGGCTCAGAATCTCTATAGACAAAGAGTGCAGGACCAATTACGCGCCAACAAAGAAAGCCTCGACGCATTATCTCATGAGGGCTCTCAAGTTACCTTCGATGTTGACAGTTCAACTGAGCCAGTTCCAGATGCCAACTTAAAAGTCTTCTTTTTTGACATCGATAACTGCTTGTACAAGCGTTCGACTAGAATTCACGACTTGATGCAGGTATCGATTCACGACTACTTCAAAAACGAGCTCGACTTGGATGACGCCGAAGCGAGGAGACTGCATTATAAATACTACAGAGAATATGGACTTGCTATCCGCGGACTTGTGATGCACCATGATATTAATGCTCTTGAATATAATGAGATGGTGGATGATGCATTGCCTCTACAAGATATTTTAAAACCAGATTTAGAGCTACGTGCTATGTTGAAGAAACTTAAAAGCTGCAGTAAGGTAGACAAATTGTGGCTGTTTACCAATGCATACAAGAACCATGGAATTCGTTGTGTCAGACTACTCGGTATTGCGGACCTATTTGACGGCATTACCTATTGTGACTATGCTCAAAAGGACACTCTAATTTGTAAACCTGATCCGAAGGCATTTGAGCGCGCTAAGAGACAAAGCGGTTTAGGTGACTATGCTAATTCATGGTTCGTTGATGATAGTGGCAATAATATCAAAACTGGGCTGTCTTTGGGAATGCGAAAATGCATACATTTGGTGGAAGATGAGGTTGATACGGACCTTGGGAAAACTCCTAAAGGATGCGCTATTATCAGAAAAATAGAAAACTTGCCTGAGGTGGTACCCGAACTATTTGAGTCGTGACATTATAATATATTACTTAATCTTCATAAACAAATTGATATAACTTCGTATTATAGTAAGTTCGACATGATTACCATCATCATACTGATCAAAAAGGTAGCTGCTCAAGTGTTCTGACGTACGAGTCTTTCCGAAAGGCATATAAGTAGAACCATAAATTAGTAAAGTGAAGTAAAGTGCTTCTTGATACTGTCGGGCACTCAGAAGATCTTTCAACCTGGCCACAAGAGTGTCTTGGCTAATCTTCTCAAACAAGCACGTCAATAGTAATTCTTGCATCTGTGGAATTTGACGAATAGTCCGAAAATGAAGAAAAAAACAATCTCGAGGAACAACATCCAAATAAGTATTAATAAATTTTGATAGACTTATGGAATTGAACACTCGTGTGCACCAATCAGTCGTGCATTCGATGGATTGAAATATTTTTCTATCAAGGATGAATAAAATAAAGTACTGTGTAAAGCGGGGATCATTAATATACTTTACGAGTTCATCACACATAACATCCACCGGAACTAGCTTATTCAACGGATCATACTGCGAAATATCTTCTATCTTAAAATGTGGATCCAAAAGTTCAGAAGGTACACCGAAGGCAAGCATCAACTCTTCCAAAGGCATGGTCTGCTTTTTCCGTTTACCAATGAATTCTTGCCAGATGTCACACTGAATGAAAGTGGCATTGTTCCTTAGAAAGTGCCAGTCTTGAAATTGTTGTGAATTGTTTTCTTTTATTAATAAATCAATGTAGTCAGGATGCACTTTGCGCTTAAGCTTGCTAAGCAATTCCGCACGCTTCAAACGGACTGTTTCGGCTTGGCTTTTCTTCTCCACTGATGGTGCATCAATTTGCTTGGAGATGTTTTCTAAAGCTTCTAAACTGGTAACAATGTTTTTATCGAAGTGTGATCCTAATTCGAAATCTTTGAACTGTAGCGACCAATCAGGCCCGCTGTGAGTCTTTACATCTGGCGCGCTCAATGAATGATTAACGTTTGCAGAAAGGTTATCATCACTTTCTGAATCACCGTCGCTTTCCTCTGAGGCACTTAATTCAGTGAAGCTCAGATTGAGTTCATTCGTTTGGATGGGGGATTCCACCTCAGAATCTTGGGAGTCCAATACTAATTCGTCCGTTCCCACATCTGCGCTATCACATGTTGACTCAGGCATGTGCACTGCACTAGCAGTTTTTTCACTACGATCGAGCAATGTATTTTTCGGCAAAGCTATATATTACACCAAACACAACTGAGAAATGTGTGTAGAAAACAAAACCGCGTTATGAATGCGCTTTCACGATGAGACCGACATCATAAATAATTTGAAAGAAAAGGAAGATGGCAGTCTCGTTTTGAGACGATCAAAAATTGATTCAAAAGTTTAGTGAATTTTATCATATATAAATGATGGTGTATATATCCCATGGTGAAAAAAAAATCCGATCGTTTATATAAAATACGCGACGGCAGTGCAAGGGATCAAGCCTTGTTTGGCTGTTGTTGCTTCTTTTGCTTGGCAACAGCGTAAACGATACCGGCCATGAATCCCAAAAAGATGGAGAAGATGGACAAGAAGTTTCTTGGAGCATCGAAGAAAATAAGACCAGCAAGGGCAATTGGTAGCTTGTTCAAGGCACCGACCATGGAGTAGGTAGTCGAGGAGGTGACTCTGACACACCAGCCGGAACAATAGGAAATACCAACGGAGTTCAAACCAGAGATGATCATTGCGATGACTGAGTCCTGAGACAAATTGACGGCGACGTTAGCACTAGACCAGTCTTCGATGAGGAAAGAGGCGACCAACATGATTGGCAATGCTAGAACATTGTTGTAAAACATAGTGTCGTAGTCCTTGAAGTTGGTCAACTTGATTCTCTTACGCATGATCAGCACAAAGAGAGCAGAAGAAATACAGTTGGCAAACATCCACACGTAGCCGACGTAGGGGTCTGGTTTTTCCGCGAGGGAGAGTGCGTCGGATGCTGCACCGGCGGCAGTGTCCTGCTGGTCACCAAGGGTTGCCACAACAGAGGACAACACCATGAGCATGAAAGAAGAGAGCTCCATTGGGGTGACGCGGCCACCGAAAAATAGCACCTCACCGTAGGCAATCAAAATGATGGTTAAGTTCTTGAAGATGGTATAAATTGGAACGGCCAAGAACTTCAAGGCCATGGACGAGGTGTAGATCATGAGCACCAACAACACGGAAATGGGGATCCAGTTCTTCGTGTCGGTACGGTTGAGAGGACGGAACTTGGCGAAGCCCAGCGTCTTAAGCACCACAAGCGTCAACGTACACACTAGCGATTGCACGAACAGCATCACAAAGTTCATGTTGAAGCTGTCACGGTTGACAACAAACTTGTTTGTGACGGTCATCAGGATCGAGGACGCACAATATGACAAAATGGAGATGGGCCCGGAGTTGGCGACTTGCGACCACGCTCCTGCGTCAACTTTCAAATCAGACATTAGCAACGGTTACAGCAATGGGATATAGCAAACAGCGATGTACAGGTTTGGTTTACTGTAGTCGGAGGGCAGAAAACACGTTTATTCTTGAGAGAAGACGCGAAAAACAGAAATTTTCTGATGCAGCTGTCGTGGGAGGGGAGAGGGAAAGAGGGAGAAACAGAGCGACGGGCTGGCCAAGCCCGGGTAACCAGATTTCCCAGCGACTTTCCTCATTTCTTTTTGTTTTTTCTTCAACTTAAACCACGTGATCATTGCACGTGTCACCAACTCCGGGTAACAGTTACCCGACGCGGACCTCAGACACCCGAACACCCGTCTCCCTTGTTTTCTTTTTCGAGTCACCTGACCCTAGCCCGCACTTTCGGCTCGGCGGCGTTTTCCACCAGATGGGCAAAAAACAGGAACTCAATTTCGCTTTCATTCAGATGCGCTGCCGAGAAACACTTCTGGACCCGTTTGGCAGAAAGATCAAAAGACGTAAAGACGTCAAGATGCAATCCGGAAAATCATAAGGGATACAGGGTTTTTGTGGCCCTTTTGCGAATCCAGATCACAGTCGGAAAACTCACAATTGAGAAACTGCAAGTGAATACTGAAAACGCAATTTGCTTTGCTCTTGATGAGTACTTCGATCTAGTGAACCGATTTGGCGCAATGTGGTAGTGTTGAAATGTCCTGAGGAGGGGTATTTGGGTAGTGTGGCTATGTAATGTTGTTGTATGGAACGGTTTCTGGAACCTGAACAAAGATGCGAGTTGTCAAAGTAGCACAACAAAAGAGTGAAATCACGGAACGGAATCCGTAATTGGAGCGTGGATCGGCGTCTGACGTCTCAGTTTCGCGTTTTAACAGACGAATAGTGCAGATTTCGCCCTCACGTGTAAACAGCCTCGACGGCGGCTAAGCGCAGAGGCGGGAACGGCAAAGGGCAGATGGCGGTCGTACAGCGTGACATCACCACAGTTTCTTCTTCTCTCGCAGACGTAATGAAAGCGCAGGGAAAAGTTTTCCCCGAGTAGCGCAGGAGCTCGCAGACAATACAAGGTGGTTCCATAATGCACGATATATTCGGCGACAACGCGCAAAACAACGGTGGAGGGTTTGACTCAATGCTGGAGATCCTACCCGAGGAGCTTGGGGTAAATCTCGTGACGTCGTTCGCAAACTCGTCTAGCACAGATAATTCCAGGCCACAGTCGCAGCAGCCGACGCAGCCCCACGAGCAGGAGCTGGAATCGCTGTTTTCCACGACACAACCCATAGATGTGGTCAACCACCAAAACGGTGAGATTGCACAGCTCTGGAGCTTCAATGTCGACGAGTTCATGATGACCCCCAGCAACTCTAGTGATTCGGCGACCATCAGCGCGCCCAACAGCTACAACTCCGAAACACACCCGCCTGTTCACGGTAGCAGCAACTGGTCGCATCTGCTGAGCAACCCGTTTCATCAGGATATCGGTGCACAGCAGCTGTTTGCCGGCTCGCAAAGTACGCTGCACGCCGATGAACCGCCATTTCACCCGGCTCTACGGTCCAGGCGTTCCTCATCACAACTCACAAAGACGATTACAGAAGACGGTGGGATTCCACTCACCTCCTCCAGTACTGCCAATTCTATCCGCAAAAATTCCATAACCAGACCTATTTCCTCCACGTCTCTGTCGTCCTATCGACAAAACTCTGTGCAAGAGCTTCCCAAGAAGCCACAGGTGCAATGCTTCAATTGCAAGACTTTCAAGACACCCTTATGGCGGCGGGACGCACAGGGAAACACTCTTTGTAATGCATGCGGTCTTTTCCAGAAACTGCACGGTACGATGCGGCCACTGTCGCTTAAGAGCGACGTGATCCGCAAAAGAAATACTAAGAAGAGAGGCAAGAAAGCAATACCTGCTGAGCCCAAGGAGAAATCAAGACCACGCAAAAAGGTCGAACAAGATCCACTCCCAGAGATCCCTGTCCCACTACCGTCTACTCCGACGACCGAGACCTCTGTGAACAAAAAAATTCCCACTCAACACATGTACAGTAACATGCCAACTTCGCTTGCAAATTCACGTTCCAACTCCTCTAATAATATTTCCACAACAAACGCTCACTCCTACAATCCTGGAACCAATAGCATGCAAAATACCCAACTTAACTCCAATGTTCTAATGAATCACAACAAACGGATGTTCTCGAACTCCGGTAACGGACCATCTCGCAAGTCGAGAAGGTCAAGCACTTCGAGTTCGGCCTCAAATTCTAGTAACAGATCTTCTTCTTCGAGGTCAGTGGTACCGATTTTGCCAAAACCATCCCCGGGTAATACTATTTCATCACAAAACCAGTTCCAGTTTGCCAATAATTTATCGGGTAGTGCGAATAACAGTGGGGCTTCGTCTCCAAGGTTTTCCAACTCACCTCGTGCCTCTTTTAGCACAACTAGTCCTCTTTCTACTTCGAATGGGCAGGCGTTATCATCATCTGGAGGTCGGCTTGGAATAGTAATACCCAGGCGCAAATCGTCTCGCCAAATGATGTCTTCTTCTTCCTTCATGGCCGCTTCATTACAACAACACCATCAACAACAGCAACAGCAACAGCAACAACAACAACAACAACAACAACAGCAGCAGCAGCAACAACAGCAGCAACAATCAAATTCACAAGCTGGTATGCCTGGCAGTTCCTCCTCTACTATATCTGCCCCGGGCTCGTGGAATTCTTCCGCTATAGCAGCACCCTCACCTAAAACAGGAAGATCACCACGGTCACCCTTTGACCTCTTTTCTCCACAAGAACCACAATCGCGTCCTTCATCGCGTAAGTCACATACTTCCCTTCTATCACAACAACTGCAGCAGGCTACAATACTTTCCCATACTTCACAACCACCTTCACAATCTCAAACTCCTGTGACCTATCCAAATGGGATAAATTCATCGATTTCGACGCCACAGCCATCCACTTTGAAGCGGTCGCCCATGACCGCCTCTCCCAGAAACAGCTATGTAGATTCCATTCAACAACAGCGAGGATTACACTTTGACACAAGGGTCGATAACAATGGACGCCGAACGAGCTCGCTGAGAATCGAAACTAATGAGAAAAATGCCCCTCAGTCTCAAAAGCAGAAGGAGAGTATCATGGATGATCTTGATTGGCTCAAATTTGGACTTTAAGTTTTGCGTTTCTGGCTCTTTTTTCAAACTGTTGCATAGTCGGATCTCAATTGCATTCTACGATACGCAACGTATACCAATTTTTATTCTGAAAGTGATAGATTAAGTTCTTTGGATGTACGCTGGATGTACTAAGATTTATTTTCTCTATTACCTTTTGGGTTTGTATAATTTAATAGTTTCACTAAGAGAAAGGGACTCGAGCTGCTGCTCATTCCACTTTCTCTGTATAATATTGTGATAGAAGTAATCCATAAGGATTCCAGGCTGAAGTAAGGATCTTTAATGCCTTTTTCGTTTTTGATGTCATCCTTTCCCGCTGAAATAATATTCATGATGCATTTTTTCTTAAAAGTCCAAAAAAGCGCTTCTAAGCCTAGTGATGGGAGTACCATCACTTTGGGAAGTATTCAAGGACCAAAAATGTGGAGAAAGGCTACCGTTTAAGAAATTTGTCGTTGATTTTTATCATGCAAATGGAAGGACCCCCCGACTTGCAATTGATGCATACAGTTGGCTTTTTGAATGTGGATTTATTAGTGCGGGGGACCAGAGAGCGGAAGAAAAGGGTTACAAAACTATCGACTTGGCAATTCTATCATTGTTACAAAGATTGAGCCTCCTGATTTCTATGGACGTTACTTTCATGCTGGTCTTTGATGGCCCGATGAAACCGTCGTTCAAGAATAAATTCAGGAACAAGAAAATGGTTTACGATACTAGATGCGAAGAAGCTAAAGACCATAGTTTCGAATTTGACAATCACTTGAGATTGCATGAGACTTTCGGAACATGTGGTGCCGGAGAGAGCGATTGTGGAGATTATGACTTTGTGCAAGACGAAGGCCTATCAGTCGTCAAAGAATTATTAGAAGTGATGAACATTTCATTTATAGATGCTTGCAGTGAGGGCGAGTCCGAATGCGCAAGGTTTGAAAAAGAAGGCTTAGTAGATTATGTTGTCACAAATGACTCGGACGCTTTTGTCTTTGGAGCACGAAAAGTATTGAAGAATATGTCGAAGTACTGGGAAGACCTCCCTGCAACTTACAGTGGCCCTAGCAAGAAGAAAGATGGGAAAGACATGATGGTCACAGTAATTGATATCGCAAACATATCAAAATGGACTCAACCTGCAGTGCTTCTGTACTCGGTACTACTTGGTGCTGATTACAGCCAAGGAGTAAGAGGCATGGGATCTAAAAAAGCCGTTAACCTTGTTCTGCATTCAAATCCTAATTTTGCAGAGCAATTTTACCAAAAGTTTCATGAAAACCGAAAAGATGTAAATCAAAGAAGAATATGGTACAAGAACTTTCAAAAAGAAGTCCTGGAATTTTGCAAAAAAAATAGCCACGAGCTATTTGGCAAAGACTATTCACGGTCTTTTGAAAAAAATGCCTTACAGGGATGGCCACCAGAATACGCTGTCATGTATTACTTGTATCCCATATTGAATCCTCATCCGGACATGAGCGGTTTCAGCAGAAAGTTCATTAATATTTCAGGAAGCCTCAATATACAAGAAGGGAATTTCAAAAAACTAGAAAGTCTATTACGAACACATCAACTCAGACAAGTCAGCGATTTTGGAAAATGGTTTCACAATTTGATACACAAAATGTTCTTCTTGAAATACATTCTCTATGGCCAAAAAATGAATAACCTATCATCAAAGAAAATGAAAATAGTTACTGAGTGGGATGCCTCCATGATCGGACAGAAATATTTTATACCATCTTGGAGAATAAGATACTCCACGCTATTCAAAGGAATACTGGAACCACCTGAAAATTCCTCTCCGAAGGTATTAGAAAATGACCAAGGAGAGGGAAAGTCAAGTACTGTTACTATGAAAAACATCCATGGGGGACATAAATCGCCGATAACAGCTGAACTCAAATATTTGACATCTATCCCTAGAGCTCTTGTACCTGAATCAAATACTCTAGTCAAAGAGTATCGAGCTGAAATTGCAAATAAGGTACACACTTCGTCTCGTATTTCACCAAAGAAAAAAAGCTCAAAGAAGACCTACTATCAGAAGAATAATTTGGATGAATTCATAAAAGAGCATAAATCTCCTAAAAAGGCATTCCCCGCATCCTCAGACAGCAAAGATTTGTTGCCTAGTAGTGCTCCTGAGAGAGCTTTATTCGTGGATGATAACGAATCTGACGAAATAGACGAAGACAGCTCGCTAATGATAATATCGGAAACAAGACTATCTCCGACAGCCACTGCTTCTTCACCCAAGCGTCTGCTTGAACTTTCACCAACTCATGAAGAAAATGAATACTCGTCTGATGATGAATCACCATTCAAGAAACAGAAGATGCATCAACAGAAGGAACTTAATGTGGTGCGCCGGCAACTCATATTCGACAATGTTATTGACTTAACTGTTGAGAGCGAGACAGATAGAAACAAAAAATCCAAATAGAAGAGCAAGTCTGGAATTAACAAAATGCGATATCAACAGCAGGAAAAAGGACTCTACGTCGACCTCCATTATTAACGTTATACATGTTTATTAGCATACAAGAGAACCATACCCCTCCCTCTTTTCTTAATAATACTGCGCCAGAGCGGCATGCCGGCTGATACGGTCATTCAGTAATATCAACCAAATCTTGTTGACCAGCAAATGACAGTCTTTCCATAGGTTGACTAAGGTACACTTGCTTTGAACACCATAATTGAGAATTTATAACCACGTGACTACTTTTTTCAGCCACAGTTTGATCGTTCAAGCCTTAAAAAAAAAGGACAATGCGCCAATTGCCAGCTTAACTTGATTAAAACTACAGAACGTTAAAATGGTTTCTGCAATCTCAAAAACTATCAAGTTCAATCCTCAAACTGACAAGCTAATTACCGTAGCAGCTGGATGTTTCTGGGGTACTGAGCACATTTATCGAAAGTACTTCGGTAGCAAGCTCGTTGATTGCAAAGTGGGTTTTTCGAACGGCACAGAGGGTGCTAAAGATGATGATGATTCCATTTCATACAAGCGTGTTTGCAAGGGTGATACCAATTTTGCAGAAGTTTTGCAAATATCTTACGATCCCAAGGTTGTCAGCTTGAAAGAGTTGGTGGATTTCTTCTTTCGTATTCATGACCCCACAACATTGAATTCACAGGGCCCCGACACTGGCACACAATACAGAAGCGCATTGTTCGCTAACTCCGAAGCAGATCTTAAGGAATGTCTTAAGCTCAAGGAGCAATGGCAGCCAAAGTGGGGAAACAAGATTGTTACCGAGGTAGCACTCTGCACAAACTTCTACGACGCTGAGGAATTTCATCAATTATACCTTGACAGAAATCCCACAGGATACGCCTGCCCAACCCACTACGTAAGGAATTTATGAACTTAGATATTGTGAATATATGCTACTATTCTTATCAATGTGATGGCATGTCACTACTTTCTCTTAATGCGTCTAGCTTCTGTTGCAGTTTTTTATCCTTTTGATAATTTAAGACACAAACGCCCAAAGCCGTAAATAGTATGGAGCTGAAAATGCCTCTTACAATTATCTCAGGAGTGGACATGTCCTGCTGATCTTCTCTAGATCCTTTTGTCGCGCGAGGGCCCCATTTCCCAAAGCCTATGATATATGCTGCTCTTGATTCATTTTCACCCATTTGATTCCAATTTCCCTCCATTTTCCAATCTAGGTATTCAATGACCTCCTCTCGCAAGTCTTTATTCATCTTGCACCAAGTCTGAGTATCAAAGGCGGAGATATCCGGAGGTGTATACTGCTGAAGAGTACTCATCCAATGCTGACTTGCGTACCAAAATTGGGATCGAACAAGAGATGTTTTCGAAGTGCCAAAGGGATATTGGATTCGAAATAGAGATTTCACACATCTTTTCATCTTTTCGACCTTAATAGCACATTGTTTTTTTATTCTAACAGCTAAAAAAACTTGTTCACCAACTTGATCTATCTGAGCGAACTCAAAAAGAAAAAGCCAATAATGCTATATGAGGAGTTATTCGTATGTTTCCGAAATTGAGCTATACTGTATTCAAAACTATCTACTAATATCATATTCAAGAAACTATACCGCAGCTCTCCTGAGTTTGAGGGATGGATTCCTCTTGATTCTCAGAAGCAGTATGCTGTTGTGACCCTCATAGGTGCGATTGTATGCATTGCCATAGCCCTAAATTCTATCTCTAAAAGCAGAAAAGCCAGTATCCCTGACTATTTCAAGTTCTTCATCATGAGCATAATCGGAAGTCTGTTCCTGGGAACCGCCACGGTGTTTTTAACAGATTCCTTTGGCGTGTACGTATAGAGCTCCCGAAAATGAAACTCCAGGCTGGAACTATAGATTTAAACATTTATGTACACTCTCTAAAATCATAGATTAAGTAAGTCTTCATCTATATTCACAAGCTTATAATACCGTAGCTCTGAATCATTGTGAACAACTGAACTATTTTCTCCATATTGCATGAGCGCTTTGACCATCGCTCTGGTGTAGCTAACCATGTTTTCCAAAGAGCTCTCACTCTTCTTCTTGAGAAATGTCAACACTCTGGAGTTGACTAGTTGAAAAAGTCGATCTTGCAAATAACTTGGCGTAAGAAATACGGCAAGATCTTCGTTACATTCTTCCAGCGGGCTATCGTATGCAAGAAGAGCAGAGATTTCACTAAGATGAGAATGAAATCGCTCTTTCATTTCTTCAGGGACTTGAGGATTGTAGACGAATTCTGCGGACAGTAGTTGTCCTTTTTGTAAAATATAATCGATAGAGTACTTCTGAAAATTAACGATTGTCAGAAGATATTCAGCAACTTTAAGCTCGAAAAGGACATCAATATTTTCTTCTAGTAGCCCTGGAAACTGGCTATTTATGTATTGCAAGCACTGTGTGATATTGCCTTCGTTAATAAGTCTTCGAATATCCTGCCTTACCCTCAAGTTATTTTCCTCCTTAATTATTTGCCTCTCATTATGCCTTATGACAATTTTTGCACGCTCCTCATCACTATCGGGGATGCAATCCTTTTGAAGGTCTTTTAAAAACCCCTTAGCAACGTCAATTAAGCCATCGTGAATAAGATAATCATTAATCATAGCATTCATTGTACAGGGAATAGAATCATCGTCTGTGTTAAGGTTATTAATTGATTCCACATCAGGCTTGTACAGCCTATCTCCACTAAACCTTCTATCGGAAGGAAGCAGGAACCCGTCTCTGAAAGATTCAGAGTCTTCGCTTCTGTCGAGAGAACCGTCATCTAAATCCTCGTCTTCTTCAGTATCATTAGTGTCAAAATCGTTGTACCCGTCATGTCCTTCGATGCTTTTAAAAATATGTTGATATGCTTTCGCTTTGAACGTGTTTTGATAACCGATAATATCGTAAAGAAACTCTTCATGTAATCCAAAATTCGTTCTTACTGAGTTCCCGGGTCTTAGTGCAATATGAGGAACAAGATCAATATCATGTACATCAGTAAAGGCAGTCCCCAAGTTTACTCCATTTTTTGTGAAAAAAATTGTACCGTCTACATAGTTAACACCACACCCAATAACATCATCGCGACCATATTGTTTACCAAATGATTTGTAGTGAGTACCGTCAGTTATGTATCCATCTGTTCCACAATATCCAAAACTACCCTTGTCAAATCCATTACCACGGCTACTTTGATTATTACCAGAGCTAGATCCAGCTGAGCTGCTGGAATCCAGGGTTGATCTAAGTATGCTTGCTGACTGTCTGTTAATAGCATTCACGTCTCCGTGAAGATCTGTCCTGGAAGAAGAAGCCGTAGAGGTCTGTAATTTTGAATAGTCTTTAAAGCCAACCACAACGTTACAATTTTGGCCTGACTGCGAACTCGTCACAGAAAGCATTCTGATTTCATAATAGAAAATTGCGATGTTCTTATGAAGAATTGGATTATTGGCCCAAGTAGTTGCATAATCAAACTTTTGATTCGAAAGAGTCGTTCGTAATCCACTTCCAATAACAGGGCTAGCTCTATCGTAGCTGGTCATTGTCTGCCAAGTTGGATTTGGCCGTAATTGGGTGCATCCATCAGAAGAAACAAGAATGCTATTACTTGGCTGAGAAAGCCATGCGTGAGGGAGGGGATATCCCAAATATTTATAGATGTCTGACGAAATGGGATTTGGTTTCTCTTTCAAGGAATGACTAGATTCTGCAAGCGCAGGATAAAACTGCGCGCCTTCATTGGGTGATCTGGAACCTTGTTCTTCATTACTAGATGACCCATCTTCCATTTCTTGATTTTCATTCAAAATAGCATCTTCTTCATTTTCGTCAGCATGATCATCGCCGTCATCGCCATCATCGCCATCATCGTCTCCAACATCTTCCTCCTCATCGTCGTGATCATCTTCCATCTGTATCACTGATCGCAATTCTGGGTCAATTGGTTTCGTAAGATCTTCAGAGTCACTGATCGCTCGCAAATGCGTATCCTTTTCGATTGATAGATGTGTAGAAGTTAGATCCTCGTCAAGGTTAGGATAGAAATATCTGTATACCTGCACAAGGTAATCGTCATTAGCAGAATCATAAGGAATGGTTCCTAAAACGCCCAAAGAAACCAACTTTTCCCATATCTCCTTTCTAGTTTCATAACTAAGCTCATGGTTGAATTTGCGAGTCTTTCCATCCCCTACGTTTGAAATTGCGTCTCCTTTATTCTTCAGTTTATGGAACAGCTTCCTATTCTCGTAGTAAATAGTCCATAGGTCATGCCCAAGAGGCTGCTCAAGCAGATATCTTGGGAAAAGGGACTTTATGAACACATCATCCACCTCTTCCATGAATAAGGACATTTTCAGAGTTTGATAAGAATTGTTAATCAGACTATGATCAGGTAAGGGGCCAAATAAACTTCATCAAATCTCACTTATCACGATCTATGCTTGAAAGGAAGGGATGAAAGGTGAGAATCGGGTACTGCAAAGAATAATCGTTGAAGATTCGTTTATTAGTATATATCCACGATAGTATATTTACATAGCCATTTAGCAAATAATGTATATTAGTTGCAAACAGTTGAGTGCTTGAACAGACAGATAAAAAAGTTGTCAAAAAACCGAAAAAATGATAACTAATATTCAACTAGTATCTGTAGTGGTCGGCCTTGTAAGGACCTTGAGATGGGATACCCAAGTACTCAGATTGAACATCAGAAAGGTTGGTTAGACGGACACCCAACTTGTCCAAGTGGAACTTAGCAACAGCTTCATCTAAGATCTTTGGTAGAACGTGTACGCCAATTTCAAATGGACCGGTCTTCGCAAACTCGACGTATTTGGATCTGAACTCTTTGTCGTGAGCCTTGAACAAAGCAATTTGAGCCAAGACTTGGTTAGAGAAAGAGCAGGACATGACAAAGGAAGAGTGACCAGTGGCACAGCCTAAGTTAACCAATCTACCATCAGCCAACAAGATAACGTGTCTACCGGTTGGTAGCAAGAAACGGTCAACTTGTGGTTTGATGTTGACACATTCCTTAGCATTAGCCTTCAACCAGGCGACATCAATTTCAATGTCAAAGTGACCAATGTTACAAACAATGGCATCTTCTGGCATAGCCAAGAAATGGTCAGCAGTGATAATGTCTCTGCAACCAGTAGTGGTAACGAAGACTTGACCAATAGAAGCAACTTCTTCCATTGGGGCAACTTGATAACCTTCCATAGCAGCTTGTAAAGCGTTAATTGGATCAATTTCAGTGACAATGACGCGAGCACCCATGCCTCTAAGAGCAGCAGCACAACCCTTACCAACATCACCGTAACCGGCAACGACAGCAACCTTACCAGCCAACATAACGTCAGTGGCTCTCTTGATACCATCAACTAGAGACTCTCTGCAACCATATAAGTTGTCGAACTTGGACTTGGTAACAGAGTCGTTAACGTTGATGGCTGGAACCTTCAACTTAGCTTCCTTGACCATTCTGTACAAGTGGTGGACACCAGTAGTGGTTTCTTCAGATAAACCATAACAGTCTTTTAGCATCTCTGGGTGTTTTTCATGAACCAAAGTGGTCAAGTCACCACCATCATCCAAAATCAAGTTCAACTTCTTACCATCCTTGAAAGCAAAAAGTTGTTGCTCAATACACCATAAGTATTCTTCTTCAGTCTCACCCTTCCAGGCAAAAACTGGAACACCAGAAGCAGCGATGGCAGCAGCAGCGTGGTCTTGAGTGGAGTAAATGTTACAGGAACTCCAGGTGACTTCAGCACCCAAAGCAACCAAGGTTTCAATCAAAACGGCAGTTTGAATGGTCATATGCAAACAACCAGCGATACGGGCGCCCTTCAATGGTTGAGCATCACCGTAAGCCTTTCTGATAGCCATCAAACCTGGCATTTCATGTTCGGAAAGTTCAATTTCCTTTCTACCAAAGGCAGCGAGGGAGATGTCGGCAACTTTGTAGTTGTGAGCTGGAGTAGACATTATGGCAATGAATTCTTAGTTCTTCAGAGGAGGATTATTTTCTCAAACGAGACCCATGGCAGCTTATATAGTTCCAATCTGGAAAAATTTTCACCATGTGAACGAAAAGCAGGCGCAACAATCCGCACACCATGGCTACTAAGGTAGAACACAATCTTCAAATTATACAACAAAGAACTTTATATATAGATGTATTAGAGAGTGAATAATAGCTAAGACTGTATTTCTGTATTTTCGGTAGTATGCATTGGAATTTCATCATCTACCAGTTCTTCAGGTTGTGGATCTTTAGTGTTTATGCTACTAAGTAGCATCTCGACGCTCAGTCTTTCACTTTCTTCCTTCTCTTGTTTCTGCCTCTCACGATCTAGCCTTTCCTCTTCTTCACGCTCACGTTCCAGTTTCTCTCGAGCTTGGAAAGCTAAGTTCGCCTTGCTTCTCAAAATATAGAGATATTCACCAGACTCCCGTTGCAGAGCCTTAAGAGTGAATTGAATTTCCCGTAAGAACTTCTCTAAGTCTTCGAGTTTGGCAGGATGTTCCATTAGCGAATCACGCGTGTGTATTACCTGCTTTTTGAGCCTGAGAAAACTCTTCCAGTTTTCATGTTGCTGTTCGTCCATGTTTTCATCATCCATGGCAGCTACCACATCAACGTAGGCCATTCGCTTGGACCACTCACTCACCATAACATCTCCCCATTCCTCATATACCTCCAGATGTTCTTGCCTTGTATCTTCCACTGCACTATTGACCTCGGCCACAATCCTTTCCAGCTCATTTTTAACATGCTCGATTCGCTGATCTAAATGATCACGAGTGGCAGAAAAGTACTCTCGCATCAGGGGCCGAGTGATATATTCGCGAAGCTGAGTGCCTGCTCTATTGAAGTATATATGCTCACCAGTTGTCGGATCAACTGCTGGTGTGCATTCGACGTCTAAAATTGCCAAGTTAATCTTCTGATAGTATTCCTGGGTAGAATTCGAAATATCTTGTAAAGTTTTAATCATACGAGGGTGAACTTCTTCAAGTTTCGCCTTTACGAATGACTGAATTTCTTGATCAAATTGTTCAATTGTGTTGTTCGCCTTGCTTTCAATTGTGTTTGACCACGCTTGAAACTCATCTTGAACCAGCTCAGTGATGGGAATATCTAATGAAGCTTCTTGCGTGTCTTCTGGAGCAGATGCAGAAGCTGGAGTCATCTGGAATCGATCATCAGATAGCGTAACTGTTTCCAAAACCGTCGAAGTGATAAAGATTGTCTCCTCTTCGTAATAGTCTTCGTCATAATCTTCTGTATCAGTCTCATCTGATGTTTCTGGAGTGTTTGTTTCGCCTTCAATCGTAGGGTTAGTATCTTCGCTAAAGATTTCATGATCTTTGGTATCCCCATCTGTGATGTCTTCAAATTTTACACTCTTGATGAATGCTTTCAATTCCGAGAGGGTGCGAGTCAAGTAGCGCCAAGACGCCATTGTACACTCCATTACGGACTTCGAGAAAAGCTGTAGGGCTTGTAAGTATTGGTGCAGAGCTGGATGCCCATGAATCCATTTGGCAACCTGGTTCTGTAGGTGTCTAAATCTGGGAACGACATGTACGTTATAATAAAGCTGACATTTGAAGCTAGAAGTCTTGTAACACTGGTACAAGGTTGGATAAACCTTCGTGTCGAAGACATCCTTGGAAGTGTAAAACGCTTGCTGAGCCTTGGGCACTATCCACTCCATCCCTTGGTCACGATAATTCTGTGCTTTCAACACACAGGGCTTTATGTATTGCTCCACATAAGGGCTGGCTCGCTCGTTCCACCAAGGAGTAACATGTTGTTGGTACCATACATAGTCCGAGGGTGATGAGAACTGGCAAAAGGCAGCAGAATTGTCTTCACAGTAGTGCTGATACTGGCGAAAACCTACTAGTGAAAATATAAGCAGGATCACAAATCTGGTTAGAAACTTCATTGACCCTGATCTGCTTTTTCTAGTTTAAGAGGGGAGGTATATTGATTTCTAAGAAATTTTTAATGGATATGTTGACAAAAGCGAAAAAGCATATGAATTTAATAATCACAAACTTCGTACGATTGATCAGTAGAGAAAGACAGGAGCTACTACTATAGAAATAGGGTATTAGATCTGCATGATGTGATCAAACCTTTGTTCTATCCACAATAGAGCTCTTGGATCATAAATCACGTGACATTTTGCGTGTACGGTGATTTGTCGAACTCGGGGCCCTTTTCTTACAAACTTTTCTAAGACATATGGTCAACGACCTCTTTCGTTAATTCATTGAAAAAATAACCATGTCTTTCTGGCCTTTTGGGCAGAATGTCCACTCCAATATCAATAAAATATTGGATGATTACTTCCAGGTACTGCACGGGCTGGAAAAAAAAGAGGAGGTTGGCCAAGATGTACCCGGAACACGATCCCCCCATCAGCATGAGGATAATTCAGAGCTCGAGTCATTAGTTTCGTCGAGCTCTTCGCAGGAGCGAGTCTCTTTGACGCCTCAGTCATTGAATAGCAGTTTCATAGATAATATTTTGAAAGAATCTGAGCTGCTCAATGAACTCACAAGACAGAATAACACACTTTTGGACTTTATATGCTTCGGTTATTTCTACAACCAGGATGGTGTAAAGGTACAGAATATAGAGTATTTGATTGACCAATTGATGGAGTGTATTGATAAGATCAATGATGAACTGGATGTGTCCGACTCCCAGCCGGAGGAGGAGCCACACAATGACTCAATAATCCCCTCATTTGTCGACGATAATACACACTCATCATATCTTAACAAGGCCACTATCATTTCTGAGATATTTGCTCTTGACATCTGGTTAATTTCGGAATCTTTGGTTAAAAATACCTCTTATCTAAACAAGATATGGTCAATCATACATCATCCTAACTTCTCTTCCGAAAAGTCACCTTTGATTCCAATCTTCCTCAAAATCAACCAAAACCTACTTACTACCAGACAAGATCAATATCTCAACTTTTTACGGTCACGGAATACTTTAGTTGATGACCTTTTGGATCACATAGAAATATCTGTTCTTATGGACTTCTTTCTGAAAATCATTTCCACCGATAAACAAGAATCACCCTCTGGTATAATTGAATTGGTCCATGAGCAAAATTTGATCAACAAGTTGCTTCGGTATTTGGATAATGATAGATATGCACCAGATATCCAGGCCTGTGCTGGTGATTTTATTAAAGCACTTATTGCCATTTCTGCGAATGCGCCTTTGGATGACATGTCCATTGGCCCAAACTCTTTGACACGGCAACTGGCATCTGAGGAGTGTGTCTCGTTTTTGCTTGACACAATTGTCCTCAAGAGAGGAAATGCACTGATAACTGCTGTTTCAATAGTTATCGAGTTGATACGGAAAAATAATTCAGACTACGATCAAGTAAACCTTCTGACTACAACTATAGAGTCAAATCCACCGTCTATGAGAGATCCTATTTATTTGGGAATAATGCTTAAAAAATTTGCATCTAATCTTAATCTGCTCTATCAAATACTGATCGACATTGAAGAAGATGAATCAATTCCATTCATGATTAATCAACTTGGTGAGAAGTTTAAACCAATTGGATTTGAACGATTTAAAGTCGTTGAGTTAATAGCAGAACTGTTGCATTGTTCGAACATGGGTTTGATGAACTCTAAAAAGGCCGAACGCATTGTGAAAGAGCGCTCCGATGCAAGAAGTGCCGTGGCCAAACAATTACAAGATGCTTTGGCAGATCTAGATCTAAATGATTCAGAAAAGGATGTTAAGCCTGAAGAGAATCCTTCAAATTTAATTGACGATGAACTTGACGAATCTTTTGAAATACCTTATGTCAACCCTAAACAGAATGCTAAACTTCGGAATAATCCGACAATTGGAGATTTGTTCAAGATCAAGCTATATGATAATGGAGTCCTTCCCAAGATCATAGAGCTATTTTTAGATTATCCTTGGAACAATTTTTGGCATAATGTGATATTCGACATAGTTCAGCAAATTTTTAATGGAAGGATGGACTTTTCATATAATTCCTTTCTCGTCTACTCTCTTTTCAATTCTAGAGATGCAGCGCGCTTTATGATAGAGAATTCGGTACCATATCCATCAAACTTTCAAATTACGCGCGACTTGATTTTGCAGGGTTATAAGAAGTCCTATGATTTTTACGAAGTTCATAGGACTACCCTGGGGTATATGGGTCATCTTGTTTTGATAGCAGAGGAGATTGTGAAATTTTCCAAAGTGTACAAAGTTGAACTGATATCTCCCGATATCCAGAAAGTTTTACAGGACGAAGATTGGATATTTTACTCCGAGGATGTTTTAAATGATACGAGGATAATGTATTCTAAGATTCTTGGTGGAAATGACTATCTCGAAGAGAGCAATGACAATGTAGGAAATGATTCCGATAATGCCAGCGAAGCTTCCGACATCACTGGAACTTCACTATCTGGTGGTAATCTGATCAACGTCAGTGAATTAAACCCAGATCAAAGTCCAATACTACTGAACTTCGCAACACAGACAGACCTGCACAAAAAGTTGAGGGATAAGTTGATAAGGCAATCTCGAGAAGAGGTTGAACGGAAAAACAAAGAAAAAGGTGTGATAATCCTAGGTATGCCATCTGAAGACACGAATGAAAATTTATCTTCTGAAAGCAATATCAATATTGATGAGGAAGATGACAAAATATGATCTCTAGATGAGACGGCAATTCTTTTGACGTTTCTCTTAATGTCTCCTATATTTTATGATTTAACGCATGAACGTATGTACACTAAACGTGTTACGATTTTATATAACATTAGACAACTGCGAATAGAGCATATTCCAGGTAACAAAGCATTATAAAGTAATAAAGGTCTCGTTTACTTAATTTTTTTTTCCTGGAATGAATTACAGTGCCATTCGGTAATTCCATTACGTCTCCACCATTATTAATCTTAGTATTTTTTTTGGAGAGTTTGCTTGTTTTGGAAGATATATCAGAGTCTAGTATCACAGGAGATTTAATGATAAGTCGCCCAAGAGTTTTCTTCCATAACCACAGTGGTAATAGTACTAGCATGCAATCTTGAAGACCTGGATCTTTGATGTCATTGAGTGAAACTTGTGCCTCAATTCCATCTGATTGGACGACAAACACGTCACCAAATCTTACAATGATTTCCTTACCTATATCTTCTTCAGAACGCTTCAACACTAGATGCTTTTCTCCGAGGCCATTTGTATCGTCTTGCTGTCTAACATCTCGTAGAAACCTCTTAATACGCGTTTTATTAGAATTGTTTTGCAGCTTCAAGAGCACAAGATGAATCAATCCACATGCAATATACAAAAAAGCCAAAATGAACCACACTTTTGGCTGAGTTCTTTTGAAGAAAAACCCACCTTTGCTGAAGTCATAATCGGGGAATCCATTCTTAAAATAGTAATCATAAGTCTTTCTTTGCGAGCTGTCTGATAAGATCTTCGAAACCAAGTTCAACCTCTCAAACCTTTTCTTGTACTTCTTATTCTTATCTGGGTGATATTTTTTGCTCAGCTTTCTGAAGTTTTTAGCAATCTCCTTAGGAGTAGAATCCTTCAAGCGTGGTAATTCCAAGAACCGGTAGAAGTCGACCCCATACCTCTTCGTAATCTCTTTTTGAAGCTGAAATATCTCAATCTCTTCTGTAGTAAAACAATATGCTAACGATGAGAGAACGAAAACTGCAATCAGCACAGCCTGCCAACTGGCCTGAATCTTTGCCATGATCTGGGTTTATTTATTGTGTTTCGAATGGCGAAATAGAAAAAATTTCTGTTTCCATTCATCACCGATTACCGCGAAAGATAAAATCAGGATAAATACACAGAAATAAATGAATACCTCATCTACCGGACCCCGAAAAAGCTCCAGATTTTCAGTTAGATTATATCAATACTACAGATTATCTTCGAGCTTTCTTTACGCAGCTCTACTGGCTAGATGGACTATTCTTCTTCCATTAGTTGGATCGAAATTTCTGCCCGGCGGCATCCATCAATTTCTCTGCTATCTGCTTATCTTTACCTCCACGTTTGACCTGTTTTGGAATGCGAAGTTTCATGGTATTAAATCACTCTTTAGATCAAGGACCACTTTAAAGGACCTTAACTTTTTTTATTTTGTGGCTGTGATGCATTTCCACGATGACTACGAACATGCTCCGGTGCTTAAAAACACGAGTTATTCCTGCTTTATCATAGGGCTCGCATTCACACAAATGTATTACCACTGGTGTAAACTATTTAAAGCCTCTTCAAGACCTAAGCGATCAGTGTGGTGGAGAATGGATTCTTTTCTAATGATGCCGTTACTATATTCCAGCGAGTTTTATTTGCTGATGCTCAATCTACAAATGCCTAATTATCATTTGAGCACTCAGCTCGAGACCTTGAATAAAGTACTCCTGGTTCTCTTCATTCCTGTCTCCTTGCATGCCTTCAAGAAACAAATTTCGCTTTTATAGGAGCTTATTTGTTCTCATTCGGTTATATAAATCAGAAGTATTCGCTTAACTCGTCAGCAATATCTTGCGCGAAAGCTTTGGCTTCTTCTTCGGTCTTCATAGTAGAGTATTTTAATTTAGCAGCTTCGAGTTTCTTTATGATTTTTGCTAAATCCAGGTCGTCGCAACCTTCTTCTGATGATTTGGTGATTTCATAAGTTGTATAATCTTCTGACGTATGAATCTCCTGCCAATCATGTGTGTCTAAAATTTCTCTTATCCTACCTATTCCCAATCGCTCACCAAATTCATTCAAACCTTCCTCAAGATAGCCTATTAGTTCGACCCCGCTTAAAGCGAATTCGTCCTTCTCTTCCTCCCAAGAAGTATTATCCTGAGTTGATTCCAAATTCATTAATATTGTAAAATAGTCATCCTGTTGACCAATTTCTTCAATGTAACTGTTTAGACTTTTCTTGGGTAATCCGTCTTGAATGGGTAGAGTTATTATCAATCCTGCAAGTGCCTGTCTTAGTTCTATGCAATCATCACCTCGCAGATCAGCTAACCATTTCTCTAAGTCATCAAATTCGTCCACGTATAAGTCAATAGAAACGCTATAGTATTTGGTTTCCCACACTACTCCTCTTACGACCGAGCAATCTATGTCTTTGCTAGAAGGAAATATGCTGCTCAAAATGTCGGACTTAATCTGAAGCCCCTTCGGAAAGGCGAGTAGAACTTTGTTACGTGGCATTTGAAACGCTGTTCTGACCCCAGATTGTAGAAATTCATAGTTGAAATGTGATTCTGTCATCAAGAAATTTCTTCATTTACTTCACAATAACCTTAAAATAGAATTTAGGTTTCATTAATTTCGCGAGAAGTTTCGCTTCAATATAGTGTTGGGATGTTGGAATATAGTGTTTGATTGATAAGTAAAGACCTAGTACTATTTAATGACCAAGGCAAACAAGAGGAAGCAAAGGCTTTTTGGCTCCCTTCGGGAGTTCAACGCTCTTTTTGATAGGCCGCTTGTCGAATATAATGACAACAGAAAGTGTTGCCGACAAGGTAGAATGCGGCAGCCAAGATAATTCCCCCAGTGCTGATATATTCAAGGTCCCAGATAGCGTCCTTGTGATGAAGAGTGGAATTCCTAGCCCTGTTGGAAAAGAAAGTAAACAGAACGAAGCTTCAACGGTGAATAAGAACTATGAAGAAGGCTCCGATTATGTGAGAAAGAGAGTTAGATACTTCGGTAAAATTTCTGTTTTATGGAATGTAATTCCCAGCAAGAAAAGTAGGTTCTGGCTTTACTTCGAATTGGTTATTATTTTCGCATTCATTGCGCAAATTACTGCGTCAACTTTGTATGTACAATGGATTCACCCAAAAGTTATGGAATTACGACTTCGCAAGGACGGCGTGATGTATTCTTCAAGGATGATACCAGATGACTACGTGGATTATGAATTCTTCGTCAAATACTTACCCACATGAACCTTACGTAACATTTGCTCAATTACGTTTATAGTGACTTATTATTAAGCTATAAATGATAATTAGGATTTATCACAACTTCGTGTCATAGAAGCACTTCATAGCGAAAAATAATGACTGAAGAGATCCCACTTTGGGCTAAAAACTTAACTAATCCTGAGTTTGCTAAGAGCATATCGATAGTATCTACGAATACATTACCATCTCCTCCGGGATTCAAATCTAGTAATGGGAGCAACAATAAGACAGGGAAGGCCGAGGCTTCCTTCAACAGTCAACAGAATGTTAATGGACTCTTAGTCCAAAAAGCATGGCAGATTGCTCTGCAGCCTGCAAAGGCTATCCCGATGAATATGTTCATGTCTTACATGTCGGGATCCTCTCTTCAAATCATTTCAATCATGACAGCTTTGATGCTTATCTCAAACCCAGTTAAAGGTGTTGCAAACATCCGGAGGATGTTTAAGCCTGTTCTTGGAAATTCAGAGACACAAAGCCAGGTACTGGTAGCCATGGTTATGTTTGTCGTTTTTCAGGCGGCCTTAATGGGCATTGGCGTTCATAAACTAAATTCAATGGGATTAATACCTAATACAAGAAGTGATTGGCTTTTTATGGAAAAACCGGTGAATTATGAAGAAAAATCGTATGCATTCTGATGAAGCGGAATGAATTGATGACCTACATACAATAGAAAATAGTTAATTGTACAGCTGATCTATTGAAATATCACTTCTTTTTAGTGATTTGTTTTTCAGCAGCCTCGGTGTTTTCCTTTTGGTCCTTGAACTTGGCCTCAAAGATTTGCTGAATGTTGTATTTCTTGAACTTCTCACGATAATCGCTGTCGACCACGGACATACCAATGTTATTCTTGAAGCATTCAACTAGGATGAGCTTATCATAATTCTTCAGATCAACCTTGTGGTTGTATTTACCACCTTTTCCAACTGCACTGGCCACTTTTTGTATCAATTCCATTTTGTCTATAGTATTAAAGTTTCTTCTAGTAATCTCAATTGCAAAAGTGTAGTTTACACCATTATCCATGTGAAAATGTGGCTTGAGAACTTTGTCACATAGCTTTTCTAGCTCAGAAAGAGAAGCGTTACATGAAAATGTAATTGGAGTCAGTTTTTGGACGTACCTTGTTCTTTTTTGTAAGCTCTTAGGATCTGAAAATTCTTCCATCAGCTTATGGACAAACACTTCAGGAACGATTGGAGAACGTGTTTTACAAAAAATCACACATTCGCAATTCAAGTCAATGAACTTTAATATTTCCTTGTTCTTGTGACCTTTGGGCTTTGAGCGAAGTGCTTCCAGTTCCTTTTTTATCTGATCCTCAACAGACAATTCCTCACTGTTTTGATCACCAGCCTCATTCTTATTCAGCGAGCTAAGCTCATTAGCGTAATATTCTTCTAGTTTTTCCTGAAAAAGGATACCCAACTCTTGAGCTGCTTGCTTTTCATGTTTTCTTGAGCATGTAGCATAAATGCCAGAAACACAGGGCTCGAGGGTACCAGAGGAAAATCTGAACTAATATTTTGTTAGTAAACCATGCTGATGCCTATAAAAATTGACGTGCACTTACTTTCTTCCGTCTGTCGGCAGGACCTTCTTCTCTGGACCTTTTTGCCATTTGTCTTGGGATTATTACGATGACTATCAGTAATTTTTTCACTAATGACTTTTAACTTAATTCAATGTCAAAGATGGCAAGAAGATGGAAACACATTATTCAGCGATCTACTGAACCTCAGGACTTTGTGAATGAAATAATTGACCAAACACAGCCCGCAGAACAAAGATATAGCTACACATTCTCTGATTGATAGAAAAGAAACCATACCAATAGGTTTAAATTGTTTATCATTTTTCTGCCTTAGGAATGTGTCTTTTCCACTAACTAAATACATAAATATATATGTATATATCCAGGCTCATTCAATTGTAAATAAAAATGCATATCATTGTTCTTCGTATAGTAGCCACTTTAACAGTTCTACCGCTGTTTAAACTGTCTGCAGTGCTGAAAACATATCTTAGTTGTTGTCATTTAATCCCTTCTACAGAGATGAAAGATAGCTAATTTCAATAATCATCTGCTCATTGTCAATTTTTTCTACCTAATCACGTTCTATTAAAAAATTTGGCAATCCTTCTATTAGAAGTCATGGAATCTGTAAAGCTATTATCAGGCGTGATTCTCTCTTGTTCGCTGCTACTTGCGTCTGTTCTCGGCGCAACTTTTCTATACAAAAGCTGTGCATTTTCAGGCTTAATTCTGGGATATTTCCTCATTCTTACACTAGAATCTTTGTATTCTTCCATATTCTGAGACTTTAAAAACTCAATGTGTTGTTTCAAATCAGTGAAAGTTGATTGTAGTGATCTTATGTTATTTTCAATCAAATTGGAAGATCTCTGGTTTTCTGGTTCTGGAGATTGAGGAATTGGGGAATCAAGATTGCCAATGGTAGTTTCGGATTCATTGGGGAAAATTTTTGAAATAACACTTTCCAAAAACTCCATATTTAATTCGAAGTTAAGTACACTTTGACGGCTGATAACAGAAGGTGTGCTATTCAACAAAACTTCCAGGAATTTCCTCGTCAATGCATCAAACTCACGAAATATTAGCAACGTTTTGACGCTATACGGTAGATTGACAAGGGTCGAGGTAAACATCATCTCCAAAAACTGTGCAATATCTCTAACTGATATGTCCGGCTCTTGCTCCAGTTCTGTACTCGTCCAATCGAACTCTACAAATTCCATTAGGTCTGACACTTTAGAATCTATCAATTCGATTAATTTTGTTTCAGCATATTTTCGCGAGTCTGTCAAATCTTGTATGGATGTCAGTCTGATGTCCACTTCCGGATTCTCTGTGATATTTTCCTTGGTCAAGATATTACTAAATTCTCTTGCTGCAATAACAAAATAATCGAAATTTATCAAAACTTGAGCTATTTCTTCCCTTGATGTAGTATCCAGTTTTTCTTTCATCTTCTTATTCACAATATTACTGAAAATGTCTTCCATTGTTCGGACTAGCAAGTAATTGAGGTGATTCAAATCGTGTCGATAGAAATTGTTCAAAAACGCGACCAATTTATTATAGGTTTTCTTTGAAAGTGTGCATGTCATAGGGTAAAGAGGTGAAAAGGGGAGTGTTGCGTAAAATTCATTTTCCGCATGTTCTTCCATAGTTGCGTCATTTTGGAGTTCATCATCTTTCAGCCAGCAGATCTTGAGAACCTTTTCATAAAGACTTTTGTCATTGATAGTTAAAGGCATGAAATCGTCATCGCTCAAAAGTGTCGAAAACTCTCTATCAAATAGCCGAACCAATAAAGCTGAATACTTTTGAAAAATTGACACATGGGCTTTATAAATTACTTCAATGTTGAGTTTCAAGTTTTCCACAATAGCAATGTATATTCCCAGAAAGTTTTTAAATCCTATTAGTTCTTCTTCATTGTTTAAATGTTCGGAAATGTAGTCCTCTAGATAAGGAGAGAGTTTATTCATGAGAACTGTCCAGAAATCATCCGTGGTAGTATAGGAGTTTTGAGATAAGATATAGTCCGTGGATCGATTCAAGTGCTTATCATAGATGAGGAATCCAAGGATTCTCAACATGTACTTTTTTAAATGTTCCGTGTTGAAACCTGAACCAAATAAATCATCCAAACTTTTAGTTTTTTTCGTTAAACTCGATGAGACATTGCTCTTCAACTCTAATGGGGAAACTAGCTTCGCTTTTCTGAACTCATACTCTTTAGAAAACTCTTCACACAAATAATTGAGTTCTTTAAGTTCTTGAAAGATTAAAATAGAGTCGTAGAACTCGTCCAAATGATAAAAGTGGTCTAATCTCAATTCTTCGAGCTTTTTAGGATCTCTTAAAGAGATCTCTAGGGGCGAGTTGAACTTGAAATTTCCAAGCTTCATGGCATTTCTAGAATTCATCCATTCTTGAAGCAAGATCTCATTATAAAAATCGAAGTATTTGTTTCCTACCATTAGTAATGTATCCTCTAGCTTCGAGTTAAAAGAGCTCTTGATCAAATTAATACTTTCATCCTTTATTTTGGATTTTAAAAGTGGAATTGAAGAATAGATTTCCTTGAGGAATTCGAAATCATAATTCCTGAAATCTTGAAGGTATATTTTCTCCAAGCTGCCTAAGCTTTGCAAAGCTTTGAAAAAATCTCCGTCCTTGATTAACTCTTGACATTTGTTTGATAGCTCCAAAATTTGAAGTATCTTGTTGATTAAAATTATCGATTCTGAAATCTTAGTGGTGGTTTTCTTGTTATTAATGAAAAACTGCTTTTTCAGTATCACATCATTAGTCGATGAAGCTAGCTGGTCCTGTAAAGTCATAAGCTCATCCTTCAATGATCCATCGATTATGTTTTTGATAGACGCCATTTCCTGTATTGATGTGGTTAAGTTGTCATTGACTTGCGAATCTTGCATTATTTGACTTTCCAAACTCTCAAAATTATCATCCACAGAGTTAACCAAGTCCTCGACAACAGTGTTAAGCGAATTATTCTCAATGGATGATCGTAAAAGAGGGACAAGCTTTCGAAATGAGTGTTCATCTAGCTCAAGTATATCATCATTTACATCAACTGCTGATATATCTTGTGAACTACCGTTGATAAGATTTGGGGCCTCAGGAGACCTCAAAAGTGAAAGGTCTGTTGAGAGAAGAACCTTTTGAAGTTCTTCCGATACATGGCTTTGTGATTCAGCCTCCATTGACAGCAAACGTCACTGTATCAAACACAGCTAGACCGTTTTGACCGCTTACTGGTAGAAATCACTTTAATTTCCTCTATATTTCAGGGTAACAACATTCCCAGCTAACCAAAATAAACAGGTGAAAAACGCACAAGCTGAAGAACCACACATCGTACCGTCGATTCTGGGAAGTAGTTTCAAAAGAATGTTTCTACTGAGTTTTTTCTGTCTGAGTATCCTAAACTGTCGCTGGATAAGATTTCTTCAAACTCCTTAGACTACTATGATCGTGAGAGATCGTTTCTTGATTTCACTCCCATTTAGCTTACATGGAATAAATTAGCAAAGACGTTTATTTCAACGAAGTAATTCGTACAAACAGAAAATATACAATAACGTAGGTAAAAAAAGCATTATTTTCCCTCAGCCGCCGCATAATAATGCAAGTATGCGGCCATGGTCTTCATTCCACCAAAGTAGTTACTTAAATCAAGCTTTTCATTAATGGAATGAGCACCGTCGTCACCTCTCCCCATTGGTAGGAGCATACAGTTCGTTTTTAGTTCTTTTTCAAAGGTCAAGGTGATTGGAATGGAGCCTCCCTCTCTAGTGAAGTCTGGTTCGACACCGTACACGGTCTTGGTCGCTTGGGCTGCTGCAGTGAAAGAGGCATTAAAAGGATCGGAAATCCAGTAGTCACCATTGTGAATGAGCTCCGCTTTGCATTTGTTAGGAGACCCCAAGGCTGAAAACGCTTTTTGGCAGTGCTCAATAACAAGCTTGTCAAGCTTATCAGAGTTCATGTCAGGCACTGTTCTAATGGAGAATTTCCCTGTAACCTTGGCAGGGATGACAGTTTTCGCACCTTGAGCCGAAAATGCACCTTCGACGCCATGAATTGACAGAGATGGGAATCTCCATCTGTGCATTAGAATATCTGACTTGTTTTTATACAAGCAAGTTTCAGATCCTGAAGCAGCGTTCATCTCGTCTAGTGAAAAATCGATTTTCTCATATAACTCTTTTTCCTTCTCAGTGACAGGTGCGACCATGTCCATTACGCCGTCTATCAAAATCTTACCCTTACTATCTACCAGAGAACTGAGGACCTGTACTAAATCAACCATGGGCTCGGCAATGGCCCCTCCGAAAATACCAGAGTGTAAATCAGCGCCAGGGCCCTCAATTGTGACTTGATAATAGTTACAGCCCCTCAAACCATATGTCAACACTGGTTTCTTAGTTCCAAGCCAATAGTTATCGGAAATGCATACTGTGTCCACGTCTTTGAAGTATTTGTCGGCCTCTTCGGCGATTAATGTGTCCAAACCAACAGATCCAGACTCTTCCATTCCCTCAAAACAGGTAACTAGGTTGACTGGTAGATCAAAACCCAGCTCTCTGTGCGCTTCAACCACATTCAGCCACCCTTTAAGCGGACCAGAGTCGTCGGTGACACCCCTTCCCCTCATCAATTGTTTCTGTTCATCAATGACTAGCTTGAAGGGATCTGTATCCCAGCCATCCTCCAAAGCTGCAGGTTGCACGTCGTAGTGACCATAAATGAGAATAGTTTTCTTATTGGCGTCAGTACCATAACGCGATAAAATAACAGGAGGAAGCTGCAGGTTGGGATCATTAACAGGAGGGGGTTGAGTCCCCAATTCCTTCATCTGAATATCTGTAAACCCCAGTTTCTTCAATTCATCAGCGATATAGTGTGCTTTCTTCACGACTGCCGGTCTCAGACTTTCATCCGATGAAACTGCCGGGATCTCAATGGCCTTAGCCAGACGATCAATAAATCTTGGCTTTAGCTCATCAATTTTCTTGAATAATGGCTCGAACTTAGCTTCCATTGACATGTTGCGTTTTCCAATTGTAATTGCTGTCTTTCTTATGACAAACCTCAAGAACATTCAGAGGCTGCAAATCAAGAGAAACTTTATCTTCCCTATACATCTTTTTATGTGCCTTTTTTTTTGTCATTTTCAAGCGGCCCCCCCTACCTTCCCAGATCGGCCGCCGCCGTTTGGTCAAATGGCCTTGGAAACAGCGAAAACATCACCTGGACATTTATGGAAACTGGAAACAAAATCGAAACAAATTAGAAATAGCATGAAAAAAATCATGAGCAAACAAGTAAAACTCTGAGAGTTGATTCGTAACCGACTTTGTGAGGATGCCGGAGGTAAGTTAAAGAGCTATTTTGAAGTGGTAAAGTATTATACTAATGCATAGTTGATTGTAGTCGTTGTTAACCTCTATTGTTGCTGGCAGCAGCGCTGCAGTTTTTCAAACGACCATTTCATATCCCTTTGAATTCCTGAAGACAGGACTACAACTACACCGGTCGCTGCCCAGAGTTGCGCCATTTAACATGATGCATCAAATCAAATTCTATTTTTCTGGTTGCGCAGCGTTGAACGTTGGGACTCTCTTGAAGACGGCAACACGTTTTACAACTTTCGAAAAGGCCTGCGTTCTGATGAAGGACCCCGAGTCTCCCAATAAGGCAATCGGCGGACCGAGGCTGTTGGTGGCCGGGATAATTACTGGTTTCATGGAGAGCTTGCTTGTCATACCGTTTGAAAATATCAAGACTACGATGATTGAAAACGCGCTGATTCTCTCTGAAAGAGCCACGAAGGAATTAGAGGCCAAGAGCAAAAATACGGGAAAACCAACTTCAGACGTGCGCCCCACATTCCATAAAATCTCAAATCGCTCCCTGCACCCTAGAGAGAAGTTGTACCTTCATTACGAAAAGTATCCATCTTCTCACTTTTTAGCGTCTGTGAAAGAAATTTATGTCACTAGGGGTGTTCGTGGTTTTGTTCAGGGAACCACCCCAACCATCATTAGACAAATGTCAAATTCAGCTGTACGATTCACCACATACACATCTTTGAAACAACTCATCGCGCCAACCAAACCATTGAATGAGTACTACGCCTTTGCTCTTGGAGTTGTTTCGTCCGCCGCAGTAGTGGCCGTCACACAACCAATCGATGTGATAAAAACAAGAATGCAAAGTAAATATGCTTGGAAGACATACAAAAGTTCTTTGAATTGCGCTTACAGAATTTTTGTGGAGGAGGGGTTTTTTAGTTTTTGGAAAGGTTGGGCTCCACGTCTAATGAAAGTAGGTCTTTCTGGCGGGGTGTCTTTTGGTGTATATCAATATGTGGAAAACTTGATGACATTGATTCAACAAGAAAGTAAATTAGGCCATGAGTAAGTTTCAGATGAGAACCATCGTGTATATATAATTCAAATTCATTCAATACTTTACATTTCTAACGGTGTGTACCTCTATCTACCATTATATTAATTAATATAAGTCAACTGCATTGTCAACAATGCAACCTGGAGCCCCAGCGGGTTTTTCAATCAAAGTACCGATTTCGTACACCTTTTCGTTGGCTTCTTTCAAGAGTTCCTTGACTCTCGCAACATTTTGCTTCTCGACAATTAGAACCATACCAATACCCATGTTTAGAGTCTTCAATATATCATCTAAGGGGACATTACCAGCTCTTCCGAACCACTTAAAAACCTCGGGAATTTCCCAAGTATTGATATCAATTTTTGCTTGCAAATGATCAGGAAGTGCACGGGGAACGTTTTCAACCAAACCACCGCCAGTAATATGAGCTAAACCTAACAACAGATTTTCTCTGATGGATGGCAATAGTTGTTTCACGTAAATTCTAGTAGGGACCAAAGTTGCTTCTCCAAGGGTTTTGGTTCCGTCCCATGGACACCTGTCATTCCAATCAATTTCAACGGTTTCGATGATCCTTCTCACTAAAGAGAAACCATTAGAGTGCAATCCATCCGAGCCCAAGCCTAGCAGAACATTGCCGGCAGACATTTTTTCAATTTTTGGTAATATAGCGTCTTTCTGGACTGCACCAACAGCGGTACCATTGGTATCGTAATGACCCGGTGGGTACATACCAGGCATTTCAGATGTTTCACCACCAACTAGAGCACAACCAGCAGCTATGCACCCATCGGCAACACCTGAGACAAAATCGGATGCAACTTTGATGTCAAGAGCACCAGTAGCAAAATAATCAAGGAAAATCAATGGCTCTGCTCCCTGGACAACTAAATCGTTAACATTCATGGCTACCAAATCAATACCGACTGTGTCATGAATGCCCGTCTCTTGAGCGATCATTAGTTTGGTACCAACACCGTCTGTAGCGGCTACAAGTAACGTATCGTCAGTGTTGTACCCGGCTGCTTTCAGATCGAACAAACCGCCGAATCCACCAATATCGGAATCAGCACCTGGTCTACGAGTGGATTTGACTTTGTTCTTGATCTTTTGAACCAAGAGATTCCCGTTATCAACGGAAACACCAGCGTCGGCATAAGTAATAGACTTTCCTGACTTCTTGGCGGCATTGTCTGCATCTTTGAAAGCTCGGTGGGCGATGTCTTTTCTAAAATATCTATTCTTGAAAGTAATGCACTCAACACCTTGATATGCCTTATCAACTGCCTCTCTCAAAGTTTCAGCCACTGCAGAAGCTGCGATCACTCTGCCTCCAGCAGTGAGTATCTTGCCGCTTTCAACTTTTGTCCCGGCTTGAAAAATGTAGGTGCCCTCTGGTAAAAGAGGTCTATCAATAGTGATTTCATCACCCTTTGCATAACTTTCAGGATAACCACCAGCAGCTAGCACAACAGTGGTAGCAAAACAATTCTGTTTAACTCCGATGTTAACAGAGTCCAATCTGTGTTCGGCAGCGGCCAGAAACACTTGAGCCAGATCAGTATCATCGGAAAGAAGGGGTAAAACGGTTTGTGTTTCTGGATCACCAAATCTTACATTGTATTCCAAAACCTTAGGGCCACTCTGGGTAAGTATAATGCCAGTGAAGAGGACACCTACAAATGGTAGAGAGTCCTTTCTCATACCGTCGATACTTGGCTTCACAATGTCTCGGTCAATTTGCTCAAGTAGCTCAGGCGTAGCGACAGGAGCTGGTGCGTAGGCACCCATTCCTCCAGTATTCAAGCCAGTATCATTTTCGCCAATTCTTTTGTGATCCTGAGCAGGTGGCAAATTGAAGTAAGAATAGCCATCTGATATAGTGAGAATAGATATTTCGTCACCTTCCAGAAATTCTTCGATAACTACTGAATCGCCAGCGGAGCCGAATTGTTTTTCGACCATAATGGTCTTCAAGGCCTCATGAGCTTCTTCCTTAGTAGATGGGATTAATACACCTTTTCCCGCGGCAATACCATCCGCTTTTAGTACGATATTATAGTCAACCTTATCTAGATAGGCTTTTGCCTCATCATAACTGTCGAAGTTGGCATAGCGCGCAGTTGGGATATCGTGCTTGGCCATAAAGTCTTTCGAAAATGTCTTGGACCCTTCGAAGACCGCTGCCTTAGCAGATGGGCCGAAAACAGGGACACCAATCTTACTGAAAACCTCTGAAACCCCATCCACTAGCGGCTGTTCTGGGCCGGGTACAACCAAGTTGATTTTGTTTTCGATAGCGAAATGCTTCAATGCATCAAACTTGGATGGAGAGGGATCCAATGAAGGAACATTGACAACTTTGTCACTGACACTGCTAGTTCCTCCATTCCCTGGAGCAACAAAAATCTTAGCAACAGATGGGGAAGCAGAAAGTTTCCACACCAAGGCATGCTCCCTGCCACCATTTCCCAATACTAGGATATTTAGAGCCATTATTAGTAAATCACAGATGACTGCTTTGAATTAATCTGCTTTCACACCAAAAAAAACTAGTTTCAATCAAAAATATACTCAAAATAAGATGCTTGGAGTCACCTTTATGAATATATACGGCTAACGGATTTGAAGAGCCAATCTATAATGAATTTTTTTTGTAAGGGCCGTGCGATGACCTTAATTTCATACAAACCAGAAAGAGTCAGAAACAGAAAAATTTTTCTGATTAAAAAGCCTCTGGCGTGGCTCGAAGGGAGGTCACCGCTTCCAGATAAGAATATGAGAGCTCGATCGCCGATTCTTCATTGAGGCCAGCAATGCCTCATGTTAGATGCTGAAATGCGATTACCATATAAAAGATTGTCTTTCATTTTGAACCTGTAATTGCTTTACCTTAAAACTTTGCTGAGATGGGAGTATTTAATGCAAGGTGAGTTGGCATTTTTTGATCTACGTATAGAGACATTAAACAGTCGAATAGATTAATCATCCAGCTGAATTCATGTTCTTACAATTGTAAATAATGATCATGATACTAATCCTAAAATTACTAATAAATAAAACACAATATTATCATGTAATTCCAAAATACCTTTTTGATTAGGTGTAGCTTAATCTTGGAAATATACTTTCAATCTGACTTTATATAGTCCAGATATTCACCTGCGACAAAAAAAGTGCACACACAAGCTCTTGTATTTTCAATGAGACATGTTTGCATCTTATTATATGGAGTTTTTTTGCAGACTTCTAAATGCACTCACTGGCTTGTGTTTTCTACACATATTTTGTTTCTTTACATCTATTCAAAAAGAGCAGCGTAGTTACATTTGAATAGTATCTTAATGTCACCTACAGCTTACTTCCATCTTGAGTAATTTGGCTAGGTGGAAAATAAGATTTTGGTGCGTGACAATCTTGGAATAGATCACTTGAGATAAAGTCCGCAAAATAGCTCAAAGGTAATTCATTTTCAACAAAGTAAAACGGCAGAATGAAGCTTAATTTCCATAGTTCACAGAGACTTCGTTTAACAACTGCCGGAAACAGTACATCGTACAGTAACAGCTCCTACTCACTGCCCCTCGAAAGATTTGATTTGTCTAACCAGGACGGAACTATTACCCATCATCTTTCAAATATAGCCCAAAAATCTCGATAATCAATTGATATATTGACGTTGACAGCTGTTCTAAGTCGGCAGGTTACATAGTTTTCACTAAATCTGTCGGCGGCTTCGTCAGAGAGTTTATTCAGAGGAATAAGTTTTTAAAGATCAATATTTTACCCGGATTTCTCTATTGTGAAAGACATTCAGTTGAATAGACCAAGCTCAACTCTATTGAGAAGATTCGAATAAAAACTTAAAACCCATCTTGGGTTATCCAACCACCCTGCAATGTTTTTCCATTTTCATTTGAAATGGAGTCTCAAACTTAGGTTTCCCACCCAATGCTTCAAAAGGGGATTAGTATTGAATGCGGAATTGAAATCAGTTCTGGAAAAACTTCCAGATTCTGGCGTAATCGTAGTGGGTGGAGGACATGCGGGCTGTGAGGCTGCTGCGGGCTCTGCACGCTCTGGTACTCCCACTATGCTAATTACGCCGTATTTAAATAAAATAGGAACTTGCTCGTGCAATCCATCGATGGGCGGTGTTGGAAAAGGCACATTGCTAAGAGAAGTTGATGCCTTGGACGGCGTTGCACCTAAGGTAACTGATATTGCAGGTATCCAGTTCAAAATGTTGAACCAGAGTAAAGGTGCGGCTGTTTGGGGGCCAAGAGCACAAATTGATCGAGAGATTTACCTCAAAGAAATGCAAAAGGTTCTTTCATCTTACACCAACTTGACTTTATGCCAAGGTAAAGTTCAGGACATCATTATTAATACGGAAAACGGTAACAACGATCTTGAAAATAGGGCGTATGGTGCTGTTGAGGGTGTGATCCTTGAGGATGGACGGATTATAAAAACTTCTAAGGTTGTGATTACAACAGGAACGTTCTTGCGCGCTGAAATTCATATTGGGATGAAGAGTTTTCCCGCCGGGAGGATAGGAGAAGATCCTACGTATGGCATAAGTACTACACTGAAGGATGCTGGTTTCAGATTAGGAAGATTGAAAACGGGTACACCAGCTCGTCTTGATGGAAAGACCATCAACTTTAAAGGTTTAGAAAAACAATACGGTGATAAAGTACCTCATCCTATGAGTTTTATGAACGACCAGGTTAGTATAAAAGATCAGGTCTTGTGCTATGGTACTCAAACTAGTCCAGCGGTGCATGACTATCTGAGAGCCAATTTGCATCGATCACTGCATATTCGAGAAACTGTGAAAGGACCTCGCTACTGCCCTTCTATCGAAGCTAAAATAATAAGATTCTCTGATAAGCACTCTCACAAAATTTGGCTTGAACCTGAAGGATTATCTACTGATATTATTTACCCGAATGGTATATCGAATTCCATGCCCGAAGATGTCCAAGAGCGTATGTTAAGAATGATTCAAGGTTTGGAAGATGTAAAAATCATACAGCCAGCTTACGGTGTTGAATACGATTATATCGATCCGCGAGAGCTCGCTCCTACTCTAGAGACAAAGTTAGTCCAGGGTCTGTTTTTGGCAGGTCAAATCAACGGTACAACAGGCTATGAAGAAGCATGTGCACAGGGTATAATTGCCGGTATCAATGCTGGCCTGTCATACCAAGACAAAAATATGCTCACCTTGTCAAGATCGGACGCGTACATTGGTGTCCTGATTGATGATCTAGTAACAAAAGGTGTTGAAGAACCCTATCGAATGTTTACCTCAAGATCAGAGTTTAGAGTTAGTGTAAGAGCAGATAATGCGGACTTTCGCTTAACGGAAATTGGTCATCACCTGGGAGTAATCACTGATGCGAGATGGCAGAAATATTTAAAGGACAAATCTATTTATGCGCAGATAATGAGTGAGCTTAAGGCTTTGGAATTTAGTGCTAAAAAATGGGATAGATTGTTAAATATTTCAGTTGCAGATGGAGCCAAAAATCGCTCCGCTTGGGAAATGTTAACCTTCCACACAGTAGACATTCAAAAGTTGGTGGATGATATTCCTAACCTTCAACTTAAAATTGAAGAAATTCCGAAACATGTTCTAATGAAACTAAACGTTGAAGGAAAGTATGCCCCCTATATCAAGAAGCAAAATCAATTCGTGAAGGCATTCCAAGCAGATGAAAACATGCTTCTACCAACTACCTATGACTACTCGCAAATAAACTCGTTAAGCACTGAATGCAAATCAATTTTGAACAAAGTTCAACCGCTTACAATTGGTCAAGCACGCAGAATACAAGGTATAACGCCGGCATCTTTATTCGAGCTCTATAAGTTAGTAAGATTCAAACAAAAAGAACTCGACTTGGAAAGATCGAAGTTCCAAACTCCTTCAGATCTAATTACTGACTAAAATCGAATTAAGTTCCTTTTCCAACCAATTTATATTCCCCCAAACTATAAAACAGCTTGTATAAATATGTATATATCTCCTGTATATTATTATCATTTTACGTTCCAAAAAGTGCAATTTCAAGAATATTGAGGTCCTCCGATGATAAATACTGTGCGCACATTTCAAATAACTCCTGATTTGTGACGTGATCGGATATAATTCCATATTTTGCGAAAATTGACACTATGGAACTCCTGTCAATATTCACACTCGGGAGACTTGAAAGCACTTTGAATTCATGCGCGATTTGCTTTATGAAGTCCATGGAAATGCGATTCATTGTCAAGTACGATTTATGTGGTATTTTAAAGTTTATGACATTTGGATTCGCCTTTACAATCGATCGGAGTTCTCGAATTGGAATTGAGTGGGCAATGACCTGAACCTGGTCATTTTCATGGCTCTCTTGAGAAATTTCTTCTGCAAGTTCATCTGCCTTTCTTGGGTTCTTAAGCAATTCATCACCACTTGAAAATGAGTCCATAGAAATATCATCTTCTGATAAAGCTGCACCTTTTTCTAGATTAATAATGGACGAGCTCATTCGAGCGTATTCTGTAGGATTTTCGTCCTCTGAAATCATGAAGTTAACCGGTAACTCCGATTCTGCAGGCCCATCCCTTGAGAGTTTTTCAGAATTTGTTTCATCCGTTTGCTCAATAAAATGGGTTTGAAGTTCAGTTCCTTTTGGGACATTCTGTGCATCCATTATGACGACGTCTAGTTCATCTTCTAAACGTCTTGACTTCCTTCTTAGATTGGATTCGTGACTTGAAAAGATTTCTTGCGAGAGTGATCGTTTGGTTCCTGAATTAGCTTCTCGACTCGAGTGTTTGACGTGCAAAAGAGGGTTTTCTAGAATGAAACGTTCGTTACTGGATAATTTATCCGGGCTGACGACATTGGAACTAATTTCGACCTTACCAGTAGCAAAATTTGCAGATGATGTCTTCGATTGACACAAATCACTCGACTTTTCGGAGTGTTTTCTGAATAATAAGCTGCTGAGCTCTTTTAAACAGCTGTTCAAGACTTGTGGGTTTGAAGAAAGTAAGTCTTCCCTGGTACCTCCTGATTCGAAATTTTCTTCCTGCCTCCATCCCGGAGTTGAAAGGAGAAGAAGTTCGTCTCTCAGTCTTTTCTCATGTAGTGCACGTTCTTTAAATGGCGTTTGAACATTTTTCTCCGGCGAGCTTTCCAATCTTTTAGGTGTACTCATTGGTTGAGCAGTTGTACTCATAGAAAAAGGTTATGTCCTCTTTCACGGAGATATTGAAATATTATACTGACCAATAAGAAGTCAGAACACAAAGTAACAGCATCATTGCAGTCTATTGACGAAGTCAAACAAAGCAGACATAAAGGCAAATTGTGTGAACCTCGTTTAACTATCCAGTTTACTTCTCATGAATGACGAGAGAGAATATCCACCGTTAGAGTCAAGTTTGGCCCACTACGACGCACCGGACGACAAAATCGAATCTCCGCACGCTGCTCAAACGGTACATAGTTCTCCGGACGATAGAAAAAGTGATTTTAGTGGGCCCCAACAACCTTCGACTGACATTTATTTGTACAATCAAGCTCAAGATGTGCAATCAAGGAATGCTGTCGATAGTCCTCATGTCAATATACCGGTGGAATCTGGTCATGGTAATATGTCACTAGCACGACAATCTCTTCTGCCTTCATCGGAAGCTGGAAAACTGGAAGTTTCAATTCAGCCGGTGCAATCACAGAATCGATCTGTTGACGGTCATCAAGGTAATCATGGAGAGCTGCTTACTCAGGTTCCGCATCATACAATTATCGGCAATACGGAATTGGAACTTGAAAGCGACCGGGCAAAAGAAGCTGCTGGTGGTTCAAATGTAGAATCTGTGGAGCAACCGTTCTATGTAAATGCCAAGCAGTATTATCGGATCCTGAAACGAAGGTATGCGAGGGCAAAGTTGGAGGAAAATTTGAAAATCTCAAGAGAAAGAAGACCATATCTTCATGAATCGAGACATAAACACGCCATGAGAAGACCTCGGGGCCAAGGGGGGAGATTTTTGACAGCCGCTGAAATTGCTGAACTCAAAAACAGAGATGAAGAGCAATCGCGCGACGATATCAAGCGCCAACAGCTGAAATCTGTTGTGGATAAGAAATTCAATCCAGAAACGACAAATGAAGCTGAAGATTCTGATTCTGCCATTAAAAGAACATAAATAGATGGCGAGGCAAAAGGAAATGCATTAAATTTTATTCTTAAGTAGTTAGAACAGACTATCAATGGATATATGTAAAGTTTGTTTGATTTGTAATATTAATTGAAGCCTAGTGTATGCAATGAATTTCTGGCATCCTCTGACATCTGTGGAATCAAGGATACAAAGGCATTCCCCGCATTTTCGTTGAATTTGTGGAGAGTTTCAGCGACGTACAATCTCAAGCCTTGTGTTAAGTCAACATCAGGTAGCGGATCATAAGGTTTGTCGGCTATTGAAACTAGTTTGCTGAAACTCGATCCGAAAGTTGAAATTTCCTCTAAGTTTTCAACATCAATAAAGTCACTTTTCAAGTTTACGATACTCTCAGAGACAGTCGTTGCCAGAACTGACTCTAATGTTGGAGCTAGAAGTGAGGTATACCTGGAGGCAAATATTGTCCCTTTAGTGATGACATTCAAGACACCGACTACCGCGATTTTTCGATCTAGAAGATTTCCAATCGTTGGTAAAGTGTTGATCACAAAGTTTGACCAAATTTGTTGAAAAAGGCCTTCTTGAACACCATCGATGAATTGAACAACAAAGTCAGAGCCTAGTTTTTGGGAGAGTATACTGAGAAATACGACAAACTTTTTAACGTATTTTTCAGTGCGGGAATTCTGGAGACGTTGTAATAACAAGACACCGACTTGCTTCAAATAAGGTTGTAAGACATTGACAGGAATGTAAGTGAAAATATATTCCAAAAGTTCAAATCCGTTTGAGTCGTACGTCTTTGAAGCAATGAGTCTTTGGAAGACACCAAGAACTGGAATGAGGTCTGTGTACACAGCTGGATCTGCCCGTATAATGTCTTTCAGAAGTCTGGTGACTGCAGGAATATTACCCTTCATCTCCCACACTGATGGCGAAAGGAGTGGTTGAGAAAGCTGCTTGACGGTATCAGGAAGGCCGTGATTTGCAGGTAGCTGCTCGACGCAGTATGCAATAATCTGAATGACATAAGGAATAAACTCTTGAATATCCTCTGAAAGGATTGTCATAAATATGGGCATCATAGAATCGAGAAAAACTCCTAAGGATTGATGATTGTATTTGACGACAACACCTATGGATTCGAAACAGTAATGTGAGAACCTAGGGTTCGAGGGGTTCTTCCCAATAATGGTCACAACATGCAATAGTTGTTGAAGCATTTCAGCAGAATAAGGAACAAGTAATTCTTCTGAAGTCAGCAAAACTCTATAAACCGTCTTCATCAAGAACTCGTTTTCTGCTAGTTTTTCAGGTGTGGAGCCCTGCTTAAAAATTAGTGAAAAAAGATTGTCTAACAGTAGTTGAGAGCTGTCAGCTATATCCATCTTTTTGAAAATGAAAGTGGAGGACGTTTGTGACTCTCTAATAGATAATATTCTTTCGATCGTGATTGCCGCATAAGTATATTCGACATACTCACTTGCTTGCAAAAATTTACCCAAGATTGGCATGATTTCTATAAGTTGGTCTTTGTTCAATTGATTCCTGAAGGTGTAAATATATTTTATTGCATCAACTCTCAAAATAGGGTGTGGAACAGAATTCATTAGGTCGGGAACAATCTCCTTGGTAAAAAAATCAACCACATCAAGAAAGATATTGGTTGAAGCCACGCCAGCTGTGGTGATATTACCGTTGATTGCCAATGCTGAAAAAAGGTAAACGCATAGGTCCTTGCATTTCCAGTTGACATCTGGGCTAGATCGGTATTGAGCGAAAAAATTCTTCACATGATTTAGTACTATATTTGTAACCAAGGCTTCATTCTTTTCTTTTAACTCTTTCAAAAAGTCAGTACAGGCTCTTCTTCTTGTACTCGAGTCTGAACCTTCGAGATCCCTTCTGATGTATTCAATTGGGTCATCTTCAAACAGCTCCTCGTCAGACTCACGCAAAGTTACGTTAGGAAGAATGATCTGCTCAGTGATACTATTGAGCGCATTTTCAGTGTTGAAAACTTCAAAGTATTTGGGGATTCTGGTTACTGCGGTCATGAAGGACAAAGATTTCGAGATCAAAACATCATTCTTAGGTTGCAAAGATAGGGATGTGAGGAGAACCCAAGTTGTTTGAATGAATTCATTAATCATTGGCCCAAACACATCTTCATATCTAGTAGTGTAGAGTTGAACAAGCTCTTGAATGGAAGACTTGACTTTGTTCACAATACTGGATTGCTCTTCTTCGTCTTGATCTTCCAATATCGTATTATCATAAGCCAAATATTTGTGCATGATCCCCATTCCCACTGATATATTATCTTCAAAAAACTCAGGGATATCTTGACAATTCATATCGTAATACAACTTAACTAATATGAGTAGGACCTCAAAAAGAATATTAAGCATGGCCTCATTATTGGGGTTCGCATTTATCTGCTCATCAACAGTTTTCAAGAGATTCAAAAATGGCGAAGCAAATTTATCCAGGACTAGTTTAATTTCTAGAAACAACTCATCTGAACGAAAAAGAGGACGCCATCTTTTGAAGATAGAATGTGCCACGGTCAACACACCTTTATTGGTCACCATATCATCAGTTGATAGTTTTGTTATAAGATCATCCAAAAGTGTTGGCCATCTGTTTGGGAAGTCTGAATCTGCTATTACTGAAATGGCTTCACCAACTTGAACTTGGAGGTTGTTAGGTAGTGTGATCATTAACGGAACAATCTCCTTCTTAATAGCCTCCACATCAGTTTGTGAAATAAGGTACATTCCATTTTCATCTACCCATCTCCTCTTAATGAAGTTTTTAAAAAACAGAGCACCTGCCAATCTAGTTGAAATCGGTAAGTTCGTGGAAGCTATCACATGTAATAGCGTCAATGAAAAGCCACTTTGACTTTCCAAAGATTTTAAACTATGCTCTGCCGATTTGGCAGTAGAAGCTACGACTGATTGAGCCAGGTAGTTTGAAATTGACTCTAAATCAAGCATTTTGGCCAATTGTGTCCGGTGCTGTTGTTAAGTAAAAGCTTCCACTGAACGGTGAAGTACATAAAATTTTCTATAGAGAGCAAACTATCAATAAGTACGAAGAGAATATAGGCACGATGTGTTGTTGTGCGTATCTGGTCACGATCGTTAAGTGATGACTTGGAATGCATTATGAACTTTACAAACGTATGTGAAGCATCAAGTGCTTTGTAAATATATCTATTCACGTAAAGCTCTTATTTAGCAAGCTAACAAATCTTCTCCAATGAGATGTTAACCGCTTTTCCCGAGTTTTTAGTGCCGTAATTAGTTGATAGCGTGGTTGAAACAAAATGCAGGATCGTACATCTTCTGTAAATCCAACGCAAAAGTAAGAGCAAATAGCAAGTTAATCTAGCGGCTTTAGGACAGCTCGGGACACCTCATCTAATGCTACAGTCGAATATGATGCTATTAGTTGAGAAGCATTCCATAATTCTTGAGTCATCCATATATGTTTTACTAGAAGGTGAGTAAAGTCTTACCCCCCTTAAATGCGTATCTTTTCCATTCTCATGATTGACTGGGATTGTTAATCGTAAAAACTGACACTTGAGAAGTTTATCATTTGGTCTGTTATCCTCAAACGTCAGTGCTACCCATCCGTTCACGTTTCGTATTTCCAGCGTCTTGTATAAAGTGGCATCACTCAAACTATGGCCCGCATATACTTTGATTACTTGAGGAGTGTAGGACTCGTCAATCAATAGCGAGAAAAAAAAAGCCAATTGAATTACTTCTACTCGTTTACTGAAGCAAATATCAATGTAGTGAGGCTGTGAACCATCACTTTGCCAAAATGTCTGGGGATTGTCATCAAGAGCTTCCTTGATATGATTTCCGTCTTTATATGAGGAAGTTTTCCAGTAGGCTAGAGCTGTTAAATTGATATGGCCCTGACCTTCGAGCTTCTGCAAACCTTCAGTATACCTATCAAAAATGGTTTCCACGCCTATCTCATCAGTATTCTCACCACTAAAATCTGAGATATACTCAATGCCATTACCATCATGCCGGAGGGAATCATCTAGAACTATGATATCTTTTGTCGCTCTGTTTTTCGTAATCTCTTCGAAGTCTATTCTAGGAAAAGCAGCACTCACCAGCGCCTTGATCTGAGGGTTGGTTCCCATCTTAACAATGCGCTTATTGGACAACAATTTAGGTACAAAAAATACTTACTTAGTATGACATGATTTCATCAAGTACAGCAAAATCTTTAACAATCAAGAATTAGAATACCCTAGTGGTCGATTTTGAGTGAAAAATCGATCACATCAACACCCTGGTGGATGCTACTGGTGCTGTAAATGTCAATCTCTTGACACAAATATTCTGATAGGTTTTCTAACTTCAAACCACCGCTGCACTCCAAAAGAAAGTGCTTCTTGCCTGCCCATTTCTTCTTTAAGCTTTGAGCAACGATCTTCAATGAATTACCAGTAAAGTTGTCTAGCATAATTACATCAGCACCTGCCTCAATTGCTTCGTCAGCTTCCTCCTCGGACTGACATTCTACTTCAATTTTCATCGAAAATCCACAAGCTTTTCTGGCGTTACGTACTGCGTTTGTGATAGATCCTGTTGACCAAATGTGATTATCCTTGAGCATAACCATAGATGAAAGGTCATATCTATGCATATCACATCCACCTACTAACATGGAATACTTCTCCAAGCGACGAAGACCTGGGGTTGTCTTTCTAGTTCCTGCAATTATTCCACTATAGGAAGCAGCCTTGGCAAGTTGGACAAGCTTTTTGGAAGAAGTTGCAATTCCAGAGCTTCTGCTTAGTAAATTGAGTGCTGTACGCTCAGCTAAAAGTATGTTTTTGGCCTCTCCTGAAACCCGGGCCACTGGCAATTTCCCATTTTCCTCCGAACTGGGATCAAGAAGCTCACCTTCAGAAAAAAACCACTCCACGTCTAGATTACACTGTTTGAAAACCTCTTCAGCGAAGGGTACGCCACTTAACACGCCTTCCTGCTTGCACAGTAGGGTAGCAGTTTTCGCGTCGGAGCCTACAACAAAACCTCCGAAATCAAATGATGGCACATCTTCTTGAAGCCAATTGGAAACATCTTGTTTCCATGCCCCATTAGCAGGTAGTAAGTTCTTGAACTGACACATTCGTTCCTTTTGTTTGTTAATTTCCGTTCACAGTCGTTTGATGTCAGTCGCCGGAATTTTTTCTGTTATTGGACGGCAGAAAGGATTCCGTAAATTATAGATTATTTGAGAGTAGAACGAACTACATTGTCCGAGATTTTCTATAAATATGCGAAGATGTTTCAATAAAGCTCTACTAACTGGTAAAGTTGGTTAAAGATACTTATTTCGAATGTCATTGTGTATCGATGCACGAAGCAAGGTTTTGTGGGTGTCCATTGTGACTGAAATTAAACAAGTACCTCGGAGAGAACTCGTTTCTCATCTGCACTTAACCGGTCATATATACCGCTAAAGTTGCTCACATTTTTCGCGGCCACTTCCTTGAAGAATTGAATTAACAGCTCCTTTGTCGTGCCTTGCTGTTCCGGGTAGATAACAATTCCATCGCTCTCTTCACCGTTAATGCTGTCCTCATCGTCAACATAAGTTTGAAGCTTCTCATAGTCAAGTACATCATCTACGTCTTCCCAATCGTCATCATCTTCATCGCCCTTACTTTCAACTGTAGTGGCTGACTTCGAATACTCATGATTGTCATTATTTTCATCTGGTTGCGCGACTTGGAAACTTAGTTCCATGATAAACAACTTGATAATTTTCTCATAGGCAGAAATCCTCGTGTAGTTTTCAGGCATTTTTTTCGCCATAGACCTTGTTATAATTATATCACCGGCGTATGGAATCAAATCGCCATTGACTGGGAGATTTGAGACTCTATAATCATTCAAGAAAAAAATCTTAGAAAGCGCCAAAATATTGTCCTTTATTCTTCGTTCACCTCTCACAACTTCAAATGAACTTAGCCATTTAGGAAGCACGAGCTCCAAAGCCGTAGAAGTCCCATTTTTAACCTTCATGGAGCTCAAAAAGTCAATTGTTCGCGCCGGATCTATCGATGTTAAATAGCAGAAGACAAAAATCAGATTATCCGCTGTAGCAACATTCTTCACATCAATCAAACGATTAGTTGCAGCTTCTAGAATTCGGGGAATCATTTCTTGCAGTTGCTCTGAGAATTTCTCGAGTATTGTGACTATTAACAAGCCAACATTCATTGCAGCAGACTCAGACGTGTTAACAGATAGAAGTTTCTCCAGAACCGATAGCGTCACTTGTAAAAATGGGGCAATGACATCGTTTGCGGAGTTGTTGACCACGAAGGCCATGATATCAGTTGTGAGTTGTAAAATTTCGTCATCCTGTGAAATAGCTAAGATACTTGAAAGGGGCTCAAAAACATATTGAACAACGTTTGCTGGCAAATGGCCATCCGTTGGTTTCTTTTTCATGAAGACGGTCAGCAATTCCAACGATAAGGACAGCACTGGAGAATAAGAAAATCCATTAACTGCACCTTCTTTCATGACATTGACAAAGAGTGGAATGCAGATGTCTGCCAATTCTATATATGACTCATTGGTGGCATTTTTCAGTAGTTTTTCCAAGCAATCTTGAGCTGTTAGAACTATCTGAATATTGGAAGGATCTTTCGCTGAAATTTGTAAAACCAATCGCAGTATGACTTGATCATATTCTCTTGTAAAAGTATGATGAGAACCCAACGTACAACCTAAGGATTCCAACAAAAATGCAGGAGTATCATCTTCACATGTCTCTAAAAGACTCTCAACAATCGAAATTATCATCTTTTGGAACTCTAAAAACTTTTGGTCCCCCAAAACTGAGTCCAGCTCCACAAACGATGCGTAATAAGTCAAGGCAATCAGGGTTGAAGCTTTCACAGTTTCATTTTCGAAGCTCATAGCAAGAGTCAATGATTTTTCAATAAAGCCCTTAACATACAATCTAATATTCTCTATTTTATCGACGAACCTTTCGAGAATCTTTGGCAAGGCCAGTATCATTCTGACCTTAACAAGTTGATGAACGCTTACATTCTCCACATGAAGATCCAAATCCCTGAGAACATTTATCACTACATCTAAGTCCGCCTTGAAAGACTCCTCTTCATTAGAGCAGAGTGCTTGTAAAACAAAAATTAGTGACTCTTGTATTCTCCACTCTTTATCGGTAAATTGTGTAGACGCATTAAGGCAGTCTCCTAGTATGCTGCTATAGTTTCTGGAATTTAAATTCATCAGGAATTGTTCGCATTCATCTCGAATGAAGTAGGAGGATGCCAAACCCGTTTCTTTGCTAACAAAAGAGTTATAATCATCAATCCAGTCTAGTTCCTCATTATTGCTCAAAGAGCATACCAAAATTAGACTCTCTGTGATTTTGTTCTGTTCAGTCTCAGTGAAGCCTATTTCGTACAAATCAGAAAGAAGTGAAATAAGATTAATACCCAGCTCGTTGAGGGCTATTGCATTCAGCTCATTTAGGGTAGAGGCATTTTCAAAATAAAAAGGAGCTATGCTCTCCAAGTCTTTAATTATCAAATGTTTCAATTTGGATAAATTATCTGACGAAAATAACTTCCTTGGGAATCCCGTCTTCAGTAGCTGTAAATTCTCATATATCGAAGTCTTCAAGTTTAACGCATCAGTCCCGTTCTGCGTCTGGTCATCTTGCGAGTCGCATTCTTTCAACAAATTCAAAAACAAGTTTATTGAATCTTGAATATGAGACCAAAGGGCATTCTTCCGCTCTTGTGTTTGTGTTGCTTCGGGAGATTGCAACTGAAAAAGGCAGGCTTTGTGTAGCTTTACGGCAGCCGTTTTACTTTGAATAGTAGCTGTTGAAGATGTTAGCAAAGTCAAAACTATTTGAATTGTTTGAGGGCCAAGACCGTTCTGAAAGAACATCTCTTCTGAAACAATATCATCAAACATTTCATTTAGCAGGGACAATGCGTTTAGAGAAGAATGCTGGAGAATGGCTTTGTAGATTGCTGGAAGCAGCTCTGGCCATTGATCTGGGTAATCGATCGCAGCAATTTGAACTATGCAATAAGAACATATATTTCTAATTGTGTTATCTTGTGAACTTTCTAAACACATTTGAAGCAACGTGTTTCTCACCACGCTTTTCGTACCCTCCTCAAATCCACGAGGCCCTCTATAAGAATCAAAGCCTGCGCTCCAATACATTGTGGTAAACTTACGTATAGAAAGGAGAGCAAACTGCTTTGAGCTGAGCGGTGAATTGTCGGAGCAAGCTACCTGTAGGAGAGATCTAAAAGCCACATTAGGATCGGAATCACATAATTGAAACAAAGTGTTCTCTGCGTGGTCTCGCTCTTCCTTGTTAGGGGATTGGGCTTGAATTATTGTGTTATTCAAATCAGCCTGCATTCTGGTGAATCATTTGATAACCTTCTCACTCCTACGATCGATTTCATTTTTTTCAATAGGGGAAAATCAGTTTGACAGTCGTTCATCTGTGGATATACAGACTAGAAAATGAGTGAGGGTGCCTCGTTAGAAGAACAAATTCTCGATGCTTCACGTCGCAATAATGCTGATCTGTTGGAGACAATATTCCAAAATCTCAGCGGCGATGAGAAGAGAATCGCAAATTTGATTAATTCTGCTAAGGATCCTATGGGTAACACTGCACTACATTTATGCTGCCAATATGGATCTTGGGAAGTTCTTGATAAAATTTTAGATCAAGAAGGAGGAATAGAGATTGATCCCAAGAATATAGTAGATGGCGACACACCCTTACATGTAACGGTTAGGTATGCCATCGGAGAACCTGAGCATGGTACTTTCATCGCCCAAAATTTGATCGAGGTCGGGGCAGATCCCAGAATAAGAAATAAAAGCGGTCAGAAACCATTAGACTTAATTCATGGCGATAATCTTGATGATCTCATTGATTTATTACAAGGAGCAGAACTGGCTGCTGACAATGGGAATATGGTTAACGAAGAAGACGCAGAGATTATAGATGACGGTCCCGAGGACTAACAATATAGATTAAGCATGTTTAAGTAGAAGCGAAACACAAATTACTTACAATCATCTTCTTTTGTACTTATCCATCCGTCGGCACTTAAACGAATGCGAACCTTCTCTTTTATGGCATTACGAGCAATCTGCGTTGATTTAAACTCTAAATAACTCATTTGACTATCAATAGGTCTCAATTTTTGATAGACTTTCCATTGTGACAAGCGGCTGATCGAAGACTCGGAGTTCTTCCTTAAGGGCTTTGAACCTTTTACATAGAAGCCATTTTTAACCCCATTAAGCACTACTTCTTGGACAGCTTGCTTGCCATCTTCAATATTCAAAAGAATAGCACTTAATAGTGATGGTGATTGCAGTTCACTAGTTTTTTCGTGACAAAAGTTCTCTGTACAAGAGAGAAATTCGATTTCTTGCATCTTTCCTAAACCAGAAAGCCTTTCTTTGAACGACCTCCGAAGTCCTATTTCCGCACTCTGTGATAGATTCGGTATCACGATATATTTCAAAAATGCAGGTTCTACTATTAAATCCCATGTAAGACTGTTAAGTATTGAAGTCATTTGGCGAATGCATAGTTTATCGCTACAAGATTTTGATAGTGTAATTTTAGAGTCTTTTCGACCGGGCTTAGTCCGTACAAATCCTTTTTTCTTGTAGTTAGATCTTCCTCGTAACAGAGTGCGATTATTTGAGTCCACGTATTGGCATGAGAATTGTTCCAGGGATTCATTAGCATCATCATCTTCCAGGATATTCATGCTCGAATCACCGCAAGGAACCTTCGAAATGTAAAGAGCGAATGAATAGTTTTTCTTGATTCTAAATAGTTTCTTATCTTCGGATTCCTCGAGGAGGTCTGAAAACTCGCTAGAACCTTCAGTTCGTATCCGGTACATATGTTCCAATAACACGGCATTGAATGCACGCAGAGATAGTATTTCAGCATGACAATCGTGCAATATCCGACCATTGCTCCTCCTCAGCTCAGCATCGGGGGTAGCTTTTACTCCTGTGGCTAGGGAGATCAAGCGCAACTTATTCGTGAACTGATCAATTGCCACTACTGCTGCAAGTACAGTCCACTCTGGAACGCCATTGGAACGAGTTATAGGTTTTCCTGTCGGTTTTAGCTTATAATAATGTTCATTGACTATGGCTGATATTTGATTTGCAAGAGTAGTCATATATCTTCAGCTTTGCATGCGTACATTGTGCTGGTAAAAATTTCTTCATTCAAAATCGTTAGTCTTTCCGAACGCTCGAGATATGAGGTGCTACAAACCCAACGAAGAATTTACTTTCTGTGATGAACAGAGTTCACCATTTAAAAAATATTAAACCACTGATTGTCTAGTGATCGTGAGCTGGAACTATTGAGAACAGTACATACGTCAGAAACTAAATACCAATGTCAATCTTGAGATCAATTCCTCCGATAATCTCTTCAAGGCCTCCTAGGGTCTTATATTTGGCAAGTAGTAGTTTCCTTTCTTTCTGAACAGCAGTGGCACTATCCTGCTCCATCTGCTTCTGTCTTGCCATTTCTTTGGCTCGTTCATTCTCTTCTCTTTGTACCTCTTGGTAATAGATTTTAGTTCTTGTTTTTAATCTGCTAAAGGGGTCAGTTTTCGCATCAAAACTTGTATCCTCCTTCTTGACAGTCTCCACATTTTTAAGTTTATCAAGGTTAACTCTACGATTTTTCGACGTTAGTGCACCCAACTTCTTCATGCCAGTTTGATCATTTTCGTGATGTTTTTCATAAGAAGAGATACGCTTTTCCAAATTTTTCAGCTGTGATGAATATTTCGCAATATCTCTTTGATTATTTGTTTCTTTTGCAAATTGCAATTTATCGCGAAGCATAGTCTTTTCCAAAACAGCATTAGTTCCCGAGAGCTTTTTGTTAAACACCATTCTGTTGCGTACGATTTCGTCCGTTAGTTTTGATGTCATTGGTTGCGATACGAATGAATTTATTTCGTTTGATTTATTATTGAGCTTGTAAAGTGAAGGTTTATTGATTTCAGCCTTTTCAAGGGAGGTTAAATACCTTTCATACTCAGGCTGAGTTATGCTTCCATCACTAAAAAAGTTCATTTGAAAGACCTTGCGGTCTTTTCCCTGAGTTACACCGAAATATTGATTGGTAAAAAATTTGCCCATGTTGTAGGGCTTCTGCAAAAACACCCTTTCTATCTTCACCATTCTGTAAAGAGTTTGCCCACTATGTTTATCTGTTCCGACATTTACTCTCCCATAGCACCCTTTAACAAGGTCATTAAAATCGGGGTAAAAGCAAAATTTTGCGACAAATGAACGGCCGATCTTTACTTTGTTGAAATCTGCAAGGTTTATTTCTCTGTCTAAATCATCCTCCTCAGCCCATTTCAACTCTTCTTCTTCTTCTCCGTATTGACTTTTACCGTACATTGGTTCGTACTCATCGTCCTCATCGACTTCCTCTTCGTCATACTCAAAGTCATCTTCTTTTCCACTATCGTCTTCTTCTTCACTATAATCGTAGTGCCCACTTTTCTTCGCCCTTTGACGTTTCAGCTCCGAAAGCTTGGACTCTTTTAGGTCACTATGGCCGGTAGTACGCGTTGAACGTGTAGATGTGCGGGTCTTTTTGCCTTCTTGTTGAAGCTGTCTTTTCTCTTGCTGCTCTCTGATGTTTCTGGCACGTTCTTTTAGCATTTTACGCTCTTGGTATTTTTGCATGATCTGAGACCTATCAAAAAGTAATGTTTCACGCTCCATTTCAGGAAGAGATTCAAGATAGTCCCTGTCATCTTCGTCTTTAAATTTTCCTTCTAAAGGAAAAGGATTCTCCTCCTCTTCAACATCCTGGTCATCCATATAATTATCCCCATCTGGATTATATCCATCATCTTCTTCATCCTCACCATCGTCTTGGTCCTCCTCTTCATCCACAATTCTTCTCTTCTTAGAAGAGCTTTGATCTGCCCTCGTTCTTTTCTTAGATGAATTTACGAGAGCCTCTTCTTCTTCCTCTTCCTCGTCGCTTCCGACACCTGCCAGAGCTAACAAATCTTCATCGATATCAGACATATTGATTTGATGTTTATTCGGCAAGATGCATGGTCTTACATTTGACGTTGTCCTTATGATAATTATTTTTTTAGAGTTTCGTATATGATTATGTATGATCACATGTTGAATGACTCTCCATTTGATGATCAGCTCTCAGTAGTGTTTGATTGAATATCAATTGTTCAAAACTACCTTAAATTCCCAAGGGCGATAAAGATAGAGCATCATGCAGAAATATGGAAATGTTTCTGAAGGTCCCGGCAAAAGGACGTCGATGTCCAGACGATCGCCATCGATTTTGGTAACGGATGCTCGTTCGTCACGCAAGAGATTAAATGCGCCATTTGCTGGGCATGCAGCGGGCTTACAGAATGCTAACCCCGCTAGAAATGGGCCTAACAGGGAAAGCTCCCCTACACCAATGGGATCAAATTCTCTTCGGAGGGGAAGCTCAACAGACTTGTTGTCTCAGCGCAAATTGAAGAATAAGCTGCGACAACAGGGTAAATTCAGCGATATTTCAATAGATAACATACTATCAGACCTTTCTGATGTACCTTCAGGAAGAAGAGAGGAGCGAATGTCTACCTCTTCTAATGACCATCATTTTCGAAATAGTGCACGCACAGCAAGATACACCAAGATGATTAATCCCTTACCTCCGAGGACCTCGAAGACTTCGCAAAAACTAGTTCTAATCCCTGAGGACGCCGATAGAAGATCTTCCCATCGCGAACCAAGAAAACTGCCTAGATCTTCAAGTAAGCCGGAAGGAGTGCCATTTGGAAAAAACGATAAAGAACTTTCTCGTATTACCGCCTATAACGTCGCAGAAGGCTTCAATTTGAAGCTAGCATCAAATTTTTTGAAAAATATGCACGATGTGTCACCTCGACTTTACGATGAATGTCTTTATGTACCTTATTGTCTTCCATTACTTCCAGGAAAAGAGGGATTCAGAATAAAATCCAATGCCTCCAAAAAGATGATTGGCGGTAAGACGTTGATGGACCGGCTAATCGATACAAGTGAACAAAGGGATCATCATTATGAGTACTACTCGGGTGTTGAAACTGTTGAAGATATCAATAATAACTTCGAATTAAATGAATCGAACTCGAATGATGATAGGAATGACATTGTACCTGTGCCAGATCACTTGCCAAACTTGAATAGCACAACAACGTCATTCGATCCTAGTGAGCCACAATACTTTGCGGAAGAGACACCTCGAGAACAAGAACTACGCGAACAAGAAGAGCGACTTCAGTCTACTACAGAAGGTGATCACTCAAGAGGTAGCATTTCTCAAGTCATTGACGCTAGTGAAACGAGCAAAAAGCAGCATGCGGAAATATTCATATTTAGCTATGGCGTCGTTGTATTTTGGAATTTTACAGAAGTGCAAGAAAAGAATATACTGGGAGATATTGCTTTCGCAGACTACGATAACTTAGTTATCAGGCCTTTGGATGAACAAGATATAGAAACTGAACAATTCCATTTTGAATATGATATGGATACCGAGAGGCCAAGTATTTTTAACGATATTGTTACTTTGAGATCAGGCGATCACATCACAAAACTTACCCTTTCTCATTCTATCGCACAATCAACAAAATTATCAAGATTTGAGTCAAGAATATCACCAATTCTAAGTGCAGTTTCGAAGCTGCCGAAAAGGCTTGCGCTCTACGGTACCTTGGGTCTTAAGAGAGAACAACTTCTTAAAAAATCAGGAAAATTGTTCAAGCTTAGGGTCGACGTTAACCTCTCCTCTAGCGTGTTAGATACTCCCGAATTTTTTTGGTCATTTGAACCAAGTCTACATCCTTTGTATTTGGCAATGCGAGAATACCTGGAGATTGACCAAAGGGTGCAAGTTTTGAATGATCGCTGCAAGGTTTTTCTGGAATTCTTTGATATATGTGTTGATTCGGTAGCAGAGAGAAATATGGCCAGAATCACATGGTGGTTCATTGCAGTAATATTTGTTAGTGTTCTAGTTTCAATTGCAGAGATATTAGTTCGGTCGTTCATCATTCGTAAATTGAAACAACACCCTTAATTCGGCATTCCTGATTACTTTATAAATTACTTATACAGAAATATCCTATCAACTTAGCACACAAGGAACTCATTTCTTAGCACCATACTTGTTAACCGCTTTGCCGTCTGGGATGGAAAAGAAGATATATGGCTTATCACCAGTTGCGAGAGCATCGAGTCTGAAGTAACCTTTCCTCTCAAACTGGATAATATCACCAACCTTCATGTTTTTAACGTTCAAATCTGCAACTGCTGGAGTGTGAAACTCGGTTTCTGGGGTCAAGAAGTCTTCAAAATTGTCTCCTTCTTCCAACTTATCCTTCGAAATCAAGTGGTCAAAGTCAACTAGATCGACGTTAATCTTGTCATCAGTGTCTGCCAACCAGGTCACCTTTAGTTTGGTCTTCTTAAAATCACCAGCTAAGTGCAGCTTTCCAACTAAGGAACCGTCAGAATTCTTTTTGGTGACTATGGCATTACCCCAGTCCATCAATGTTAATTCTTCTCCCTCGGTGATGATATCGGCATCATCTTGGTCAATAAGGATGTCCTTGTAGAATATAACCTTCTTTTCACCGACGTCGGGATTTTTTTTATGTTTCAATTTCATTTCAACTTTAGGAGATTGAGGAACATCGTCTCCCTCTAGGTGAAATTTGACAGGTCTAACCACAGCAGTATGCCTTGGGGCAATTGGATCGATGACCTTCTTATTGAAAGCCCAAATCAAACTCCATTCCAAATTGATAACATTTCTCGAGGGTCCTTGAGAAAGCACAAAGTTTCTCAAACCTTCAACGGTCATACCTCTTCTTCTAACACCTCTGACTGTAGGGAATCTTGGGTCATCCCAGTTCGAAACGACATCTTTATCAACCATCCATTGAAGCTTTCTTTTAGATAGCAGTGTTCTTACAAAATTGACACGAGCAAAATCCCAAATGTGTACCTTTCTGAGGTGCAAAGCGTTTAACATCCAATCATATTGGGGGTTGCGGTCTCGGTACTCAATGGTACGAAGAGCGTGAGTGACACCTTCCAAAGCGTCAACGATTGGTACACAGAAATCATAGGTAGGGTAAACCTTCCATTGGGTGCCTGTACGATGGTGTGGGGTCAAATTGCATCTGTAGATAACGGGGTCTCTTAAAGCCTTGTTCAAAGCTTGATAATCGATCTTTGCACGCACACAGTTCTTCAAGCCCTCCTCAGTACCGTTCTTCATATCTTCGGTGAAAATCTTCAGATTCTCCTCAATAGTGCGGTCTCTTCTTGCAGATGCAATACCTTCCATACGTTCTTCTCTCATCTTTTCAGTAGGTGTGTCATCACAGTAAGCCTTACCCTCTTTGATCAATTGAACACAAAGATCAAACATCTCTTGGAAGTAGTCCGAAGAGTAAGTTACCTTGTCTCCCTTAATTCCTAGCAAGTCCAAATCCTCTAAAATCGAATCTTGGAACTCCTCCTTCTCTTTTGATGGGTTCGTGTCATCGAATCTAATAATCAACTTACCCTTGTATTCTTGAGCAAAATATTGGTTCAATAACGCAGCCTTCGCATGACCGATGTGTAGGTATCCAGAGGGTTCTGGGGGGAAACGTGTAACGACCTCTCCTTCCTTGGCATCTGGCAAACCAATTTCAAAATTAGCCTTATGAGTCTCCTTCTTTTTGTTACCAGCAGATGCTTTCTTCAAGTTTTGAAGAGATTTGCTCAAAAATTCGTGAGCACCACCAAAGTGTGGATCCAAATCTAACAAAGTGTACCAACGAGAAACATTAATATAAACCTTATTCTTAATAATGGATCCTACCATTCCGTTAGATCTCAAAGCACCCCAGCAAGCCACATCGGCAGGAGAGTAAGTTGTCCCACCTAGAACAAAAGTTCTCAAATTGAGAGTAGCATCCAGCTTGGCCAAAGAAACAGATAGTTTTTGAAAGTTCTTGACAACCAGCTCTTCTGAAGCAATCTTAATCCATTCGCTCGATTCAGGAACAGATTTAAAAATGTCTGGAAATGCACCTATGACTTTCGTGAAAACCTCCTCTGAGCTTCCATCGAAAGTGGCGCTAGATGCCTTCTTTTCATCGACAAATTCAACGTCGATAGATCCAGGCTTAGAATCATTGACGATGCGAGCAGCTATCAATTCGGCATAGGCTACCACAGGAGCCTTGCCACTAATAATTAGTGTACTAACCATTGAATTTATTTCAATGTGTTTCTGGGAAGTTTAAGGTTGTGTAATTGAAGACTCTTTTTTTTCATTATCTTTTGAATAGAAAATTTTTCAATCTCTTTGTACTGATATACGTCCTGCAGAAACTTTCGCTTTCCTTCAGTCGCGGCGATATACACCAACTGGTTCATGCTCAAGACGAACGAACAGTGACTTCCTCTTACAACTGACGGATTAAATTAATCGAATTTTCATTTCGGCTCACCCAGTGATTGAATTACCCGTTGATTGCGAATGGGGCTTACATCGAATATTTTCGTTCAGAAGAGGAACAACACTACTAGTCTCAAACAGCCTAAGGAACTCGGCTTCTATTCAAAAACGCAGGATTCGACGATATTAGTGGGAGATGCCTCAAAGTTGAGCTATTTTTATTTTCCTGATGCTCTTTTGGATAAAGAACTAGATTTGACCGCGGGGATAAAGAAATTCAAAGAATGCTCAAAAAGTCATGCAGTAGATCCGTGCAGTCTTCATGGACTGCTTTCAACAATTCAAGCGTATGAGATACGGAAAAATAAGAGGGTAAGTGCAGATATCATCACATTTAGAGGTGTCATAAGAAAGCTGATATCTAGTGCGTTTGACAGTCCCAAGTTCAATCCCGTTGATCTAAGGATTATTGTATTTGACGGTCAAATATTTATAAAGGAGTTCAATCAGCCACATACATCTTCTGGAACTCCACAATCGGTCGAGTTTCGTTCATATTATAGTGGATACAAGTTCGAAAGCTTGGTGACAATTCCCAAACCCCTTCCAAATGTCTCGCGAACATCCCTGGAGAAACGTCCGAAGAAAATTGTCAATAACGGAGATCAATTTATAAGTGTTGTTAGAACTGGTGTTGGACGTTCTAAATTGGTTTTGGGGGCTGAAATTGATTGCATTTTCGATTTTAAGGAGGACTCGATTGACAATTTGAAACATTACGCTGAACTTAAGTGCACAAAAGGTGTTACCACATTTGCAGAAGCACAGCGTTTTGAAAGAAAAATCTTTAGGACATGGTTACAATGTTTCTTAGTTGGGGTAAATAGAATCATCTACGGTTTCAGGGACGATAATTTCATTCTGAGAAGTGTTGAGGAATACACAACCAACGAAATCCCTCTTATCCTCAAAGAAAACAACCCTCAATTATCCAATGTTTGCCTTGATGCGATCAAGTGGTACGGCGCTTTCACTGAATGGCTACTAGCAACGCTTCCCAGGGATAACGACCCAGGTTTGATAACAGCATACAGATTAGTCTTCGAGAACAACCATCTAAAGTTAACGGAGATAGAGAATGGGCACCCCGAGTATGAAGGGTTGGTTAAGGGCGAAGATGTTTTAAGTGATGAATTTAAGAAATGGAGGATGTCGGCCAGTATTTGATTTTAATTACTAGTTGCTTTGCATCTTAACATAAGAATTGTGTTATTTCGATCGGCGCAAGCTTAAGTTATATCATAGCAATAATGGTGCATTTATATATGAACGCTATTTTTAAATCAAACTCGATTTAAATGCATTGGAACCTAGCAAATAGATAATATTATACTCGTGTTTGCGTCACGTGCATGGCTGCATTGACTGAGATCTTATCGAGATAAGCTTAGTATCATGAACTGGGGCTCTAAAAATCCTATATAACAGTTGTCACTTATACATTCCCTCACTAGCAATAAACATCTGTCAACAATTCCCACGTATGACAAGGCCAACAATTCCTACCTATAAAATAAAGCGGACAGGATGCGAAATTCCAATTATTGGCTTCGGATCTGGTACCAAGTGGCGTATTGCCAAAACGACAGGCGAGAATAAGGACCAGTTTATGGATGAGCTTACTAAACAAATTGTGAGTGCTGTTGATTGTGGTTTCAATCACATAGATACTGCTGATGTCTACAGAACACATCAAGAGGTTGGATCTGGTTTGGACGAATGCTGTCTCCCTCGCAATAAACTCTGGGTCACGGATAAATATCATGCAAATTCGTCAACATTACTAAATAGTAAAGGTCCTCGCCATTCACTAGAGATGTCTTTGCAAAAACTGCACCTCACATATATTGATCTCTATCTTATCCACTCCCCAGAAGTTACCCTAGAAAAGGCAGGTATTGATCTCAAAGAAGCTTGGAGACAGATGGAAGAACTTTATGAAATAGGATTGGCTAAAAACATAGGAGTATCAAACTTTGATGTTCCAAGTTTGCAATATATATTGACATTTGCAAAATATCCTCCAATGGTTAACCAAATTGAATTCAATCCTTACTTACAGCAACAATCACCTGGCATTATTGAGTATTGCAAAAGAAATGACATTCTTATTGAGGCTTATTCGCCTTTGGTACCGCTTACTGGGGGGCGGCCAGGACCACTTTGTGATGTGTTGCCAGCATTGAGTAGAAAGTATGGCAAATCAGAAATGCAGATTCTCCTTAGATGGGCAATTCAAAACAACGTTGTGGTACTGACGACCTCAAGTCGCAAGGAACGTTTGGAAGAGTCACTTGCTATATTTGACTTCGAGCTTTCCCCGGAAGATTTCAATCAGATTACAAGAGTCGGCCGCCAAAAGATATTTCGCGGGTTCTTTGGTCGTATGTACAGCAAGTATGACAATGACTTATACAAAGATTTAAAGTAATGTTTTTATTTATGAAACTTTGAAAACTCCAAAAGGAATTCGAGCTTTTGAGCATTTGCCAGAAGAGCAATGATTTTGTAACCAGGAATGCTAAGGCGACCACGAGAAGTGGACATGTAGCAACTCACGATCTCCACATGTTTAATCACCACAACTGGCACGTATTAGATTGTCGACTTTACATTACGCCAAGTCATCATACAATATGTCGTTGTATTGATCATACCAATCATTTAAGAAGGCCCGGAATTTTTTTGGACGGCCAACTTGTGTAATTTCTTCGAAGTCAGGGGGGATAGTTCAAAATTCAGTATATCGAGTGAATCCTTTAGCCGACTATCTTTTGCGGACGTCGTCAGAAATACCATGTTGTTTTGCATTACCCATCTCAAAAGAATTTGAGATTCAGTTTTTTGATATTTCTGCGCCAGCATTTTTAGCAGTGGATCTAATGGACCAGATTCCACCTTTGTAATAGGGGTCAAAGGTGAGTATCCTTCGATGACAATGCCATTATTCTTGCAGTATTGTAGTATTCCAGGCGACTGCTGCTGAAGATAGGCATTGAACTCAATTTGGTTTAAAACTGGCTCTTGCTGGACATTTTTTCTGATGAACTCCAAATATCGGATGTCAAAATTTGAAACCCCGATATTCCTTGCAAGTTGCCGCTCTTTTAACACTTCCATTTGCCTCCAAGCTTCTTTCATGTCAATGCCGGCATTATGATACGTTATATCTGATACATGGAGAAGATATAGATCGACGTAGTTCAATTTCATATTTTTTAAAGATTGAGTGAGCGACGCAATTGGGCCCGCCCCTCTCTTGCGATCCCATAACCAAGGTGAATACTTATCTGTTATCCAGAGTTTCTCTCGGGGAAATTTTGAAGCCGCAATCCCAGCACCCACTTCACGGTGTGTAGCATAGCCCTCAGCCGTATCGATATGAGTGAACCCTTTTTTGATTGCATTGGTGATTTGTTCACCTAGCTCCGGGAGAAATGGTCTTTTCCATTTGCTGTAGCTTTCCTATTCCTCCATTTACTTCCTGATCCAAACCCAATGATAGCAAGTAGATCGCCAGAATATTTGAGAGGGACTTTGGGTATAATCATTCGTATGGAGAGCCTTCTTTCACAGTTGGTCGAAGAAGAGAAGACAGTTGAAGCTTCTTGAGCCAAAAATATTTTCAAGATCGCTCAGGCAATGATTTTCAGCTAGTTCAGTTCTTATTATCTCCCATTATCCCGTGTCACGCCGTAATACTGTATTCTGTAGCTGTAAAAGGCCATGTTGGTAACTAAAATTACACCGCAGGAAGTGACTAGAATAAAGAACAACGATCTGACACTTATGGGCTTTAAAAACGCATTCAATATTTCTGCCAAAGTTTCTGCCCATAATGTAGCAGATTGCTGGAAGTTCTTGTTCTTGTCTGCGTGATTCATGCAATAGTACCACTCTGAACATTTTTGCTCGAGAGCGGGTGCCCTGGCATCTGGGTGACATTTGTTTATTGAGTATTGGTTGCGACAGTCAAGAGCAATCTTCATCGCTGCAATTTCTCTGTCCTCCATTTTGCGCTGCACGTCCTTGTTAACTAACTGTATGAACTTCATCATTATGTAAAGACCCACTGCACCAATGGCGGAGTTAAAAAAGAGCTGAAGGTATTGCGAAACTATCTTGGGATCTAATGCCCTACCTCTTTTTATAACCGTCTGATTTTGTTCGTATTCTGCTTCATCCTTGAGGTAATTTGACATCAAATACTTCTATTCAACAGCTGTGCTGAGTTCAATCTCATCTTAGCAAATATATCGATCGAATTGTTTTGGCCTAATAATCTTGGTGTATGGGTCTATTGGAATGTGGCATCGCATGAACTGGTTCATTCACAGATGTCAAAGCTACATAACTTCATATGGTCTTTGCTAGGCTCCATATCTGTGAGCTTGATTATATAGGTGTCGTTTATTTTGCATAAGTAAAGTACTGCTCTATTCTAGGCTAATGGAGCAAATGTTAAGGATGCCAAGAGAAAACAATAATTGTATAAAGACAGCCTATTTGTTTTACAAATACAGAAATAGCACTTCTTCATTTTGCTTGTTTGTATACAAATTTATGGCTTAGTGAATCATCAAAACATGAGAACTTTCCATGTTCATTAGCGCGTAAATTTGATCCTATCAGAATTGTTGAGTCCTAACAGTTTCAATATACTAAAAGATCAATAGATTTACAACCTCTAGACTAACAGTCTATATTCAACCGTCATGGTTTTGTAATTCAGTGCTAACTATATCTGGTGGCAGCGTTTTGCTCGTATTTTAGTCCGCCTGTCCACGTGCTTTCAAAAAGCGGCTGCGACAGCGGCGAAAGTCGGAACCGAGTGCTGAATCCCGGAGCAGTAAGGAGAATGGGGGGACTTGATATCCATTGCAGAAGAATACACATTCTGAGAAGTTAGTTAGGTGTACAGCTGCGCTTGACTAAGACGACACATTTTCACGTTGACCTTTCTCAAACGAATAACAGAGTCAGTGACGAGTTATCTTCTGAAACCTGCATCATCTTCTATCAAGAAAGAGAGAAGTTTTACATCACCGCTTAAGATAGCTTCACCAGAATCTCCGATGCGTCAAACAGCTGCTAAATTGGCGAAGAGCTATACTCCAATGATTAAGTTTGTGGGGACCAAACATCCTATCCCACCCCATGCGAGTGAGATAAAAGCACATCCCTGTACTGTTGCTGGGATGCTTCCTGGCTCGCCGGAATGTATTCCTGCCGGCGAGTTCCTGAGTAAGCTGAAACCGTTTAAGGTTGTTCCCTTTAAAGGCCAGGGCGCAAGAAATAAGGTTGGGGAAAATTCTAATAAGGCTTATAAGTTTACAGACAGACCCCTTAAGGAGGACGAGGTAGCATCTATCTTCGAGCTGCCCTCAAAATTCCACTTCAGACCAATAGATTCAGCCGAAATGGACGCCATCAATGCAGGTGGTGCGCTGTAATGTACCCCTCGGGGAGGTGCTTCGTTTCCTCTGCTGGCCAACTTACTTTCCGTAGATCGCATCAGAGGATGAATGTATATCCCTGTATAGCTATTGAAAATATTATGTCTCCAATGCCTGCCATCGAAGCCAGAGATCTGAGTTCTTCAAGAATCGTCAGTCTGGGATCAATTTCCTGAGGCTCCATCTTAACGTGGATAATAATCACTTTCAACCCGTCCAATGGGCGGTCATATGCCTTACTCAGCTGCTTCAATTCATGTACAACATATCTCGAGGACATATGCCCATATAAATGTGCTTTTTCAGTGCTACTTGGAGAGGAACACTCCATGACAATACCTGTGATCCGATTAAATGGTATATTCTCAGACAAATAGTTCCAAACATTTGAAAGATAAGGTTTACCAGATATGAGATCTGATTCTAGATCTCCACATACAAGTAAACAGTTATCAGTCCTTTGGTCTTTTATTAGATACACGGTACTGAAGTTCGGTACCCGTCCGACTACAGTTTGTCCATGACTCACAGGAAAGGGGAGAATACTCCAATTTGGTACCGAAACACACTTGTGCACTTTAAGCTCCCTCAAGACATTGAAGTCCAGAGGTGTACTTTTTTCCGCCAATAAATCTGGCCATATGACGTCGTTAAAAAGATGCTCTTTTAATGCATCAACAGTGGACTTCAGCCCAAGTATTGTCTTGCCTTCTGCTTTTACGGCTGGGCTGTTTATCACTAATGCGGCCACATGATCCAGATGTGGATGTGTAATATAATACTCTCGTATTTTATTGAACATCTTAAGCGCCGCACATATGATGTTATCCTCGCTGACCAGCAACTCGGAACTGTTCAGCCCCCTTAAAACGTGAAGTCTTCGATCTATGAAAGCGCTTAATGGCTCCTCCATGTTTCTATATAGGCTCTCGATTCTATCACCCATGCAACTATCTCTTTCATTGGCTGCAAGTCTTTGTTTCTTTGCCAACATAGACATTAGCTGATGCAGTCCTGAGCCAGCGTCTACGCAAATCCACTTTTCCGAGCCTAAAGTACCATGTTCTCTCAAAAGCATGCTTTGAGTTCCCCCCTCAGATGGACCTCCGGAGGCACCTAGCACTGTGAATTCAAAAGTCGACATAGATGATGTTACTTTTCCTAGTGGGTGTTGTTTGGTTCTTGAGATGCAACGTATTTGGTTTCTTAGGGAAAACCTCTTTCTAGAAAAAAACCGTTCACATGCGCAATCACGTGCTATGAGTCTTTGGTTCTATCCCTTTCTTTCATGGTAGCCACTTGGACATTAAATGACAATCAATATGTTTCTTGTCATTTATTGAGCTCGAAGAACGTTCGCTAGAAGTACCTCCCTTTCATATAGTCTCTTTATGACGACACTGCTTCAGTTTTATAAGAAATGACGATAATTTCTTTTTTTGGAAATGAATGTAGGATGCTGCAGAAGCATTTCTCGACAAAACGTTGGAATTTTCAACGCAAACGATGACTACATTCTTTAGAGCTGTTTTTGTAATCTTCTTGGGGTTTAGGACGCAGTATTTTGTATCATCTTCTTCCCAGAGTCCTAAGTGAACGGCATTAAAGTTTAGCTTTTCTTACATAATTACCGCGCAGATAGGAACGTATGTATAGAAGCGGCACCTAAGGGAAAACCCCTTAGTATGCAACAAGATTCATGCCACTTAAACACGAGGGACTGTTTTTCCACGGAGGTGCCTATTAAAAGCATGAACAACTTATGATGTCCAGATCTCTTTTTGAATGGAATTATTCTCAACTGGAGACTATAATACTCATTTTATTTTTGCAAACTGTCATTGCTTCGTCTCAAGAGAAACCTCATCGAAAGTGATATTTCTTCTCCCGTTACAATGCAACGATTTTCCAGGAAGCATAAAGTATTCATGACATACGCTTTCATTTCTATGTGGTTGTAGTAAGGTCCTTCTTTGAACCGCTAGAGAAAGACTACGCTAAAGTTATATATCCACAGATCCATAGGTACATTCATCAATAAAAAGCAGCTAAACCTCTCTAGGATGTGTAGCTAAATGCTGCAGCCTTCACTTCGTATACTTTCATCTCCTAAAAATATCAGAACCAAAAGGATAATGTGAATTGCTGGCTTTCTGTGTCACTCCTCAATTTCTTCTTTGGAAAGTTTTGTAGACTTTTAAAAGCCCTCTATGATCAAATGATTATTACACTTTCTGTGTCCCATAACCCCTGATGTCCTTAGCAAACCCCCAAGCCATGTTTTCAACTTGTAGGCCTTTCTCAAATATTAAACCTTCGTCTTTATCAACAATCGCTAGGGAATATTTTCTTGAAGAACGAGCGTCCCGGTAAAACAAAACTTTCATGGACTCAATAATGGCCGCTTTGGCGCTTTCAATACTGGTCTTTTCCACGTCAGATTCGTCATCAACAACCTTCCTCAGCAAAGGCAATGCCAAGTGGGCACCGAAACCAGTTGCTAATGATGGGGAGGAGTATGTGACACCCAGTAAATTAACATAACTTAAGAATGGTTTGCCATCTTCTATGCCTGCAACAATTATGGCATTCCAAAGGGGATTCATCTTTGATCTACGATTGTACATGACGTTAGAAAGATATTCAAAAACATAGCTGGGCTTTAGAGCTTCCTCCTCATTAGCATACTGATTGTCATAGTTGTTTTCCGTTTGAATATCCTCAAGCAAGTATTCCAAATGCTGCATATCTGAGATGTCCCCTGAGATTCCTACAACGGTGTTCTTTCCCACAGGAAATAATCTTTCAATATCATTAAAACGTAGCAAAGAGCCGTAAGAACCCAAATTATCAGCGGCAATAATCACACCGTTATCATATTTCATTGAAATTACAGAAGTACCTGTTACGATTGGTTGCTGAGTATTCATCTTAGGGTAAGGAGAAGCCTCCGCAATTTTTTTGTTATAATTACCATAATGAGCATCAGATGGTCTGCCCCACTGAAATGGATCGTGGTTCATAGTGAATGAGAATTGGTTTCTTGCTTAGCGACAGAACAACGCGGTGGCAAATCACGAATAATTCTATTAAATGAAAAGATACTTAGCCGCATTGCGATCGGGTAACGTTTTTTAGATATTTTTATACGAAATGTATGGGATTTATGTAATGTTGAACATTGATACTACACGACAACGTACTCATCAGCCTTTAAGGTATTGATAGCATCAAAAGGAAAATCAACCCCCTCGTCTTGAGAACTGGCAACGCTTTTAACACGAACACCCGAAATGGACGATTGGCCACTGGAACTGTTGAAAAGAACACTTATTGGAAAGAGAGCGTCTTCGAAACCAGCCTCGACAATGAGTCCAATAACATTGGAGGTGCCCGGAGAGACGGGCCCTGTTTTAATAACAATACCATTTTCTTCATCAATGAACTCAATTTCGGCATTAGTATCGTTAGCATCATCATTAATGCGAACATTTTCTGTAAAAACCGGGATGATGAATCGTAAATTTTCAATGTCACTATTGTAATTACCATTAACCTCAAATTCCAATGTAACTTCAAAAACTCCTTCATCGGAATCAGATGGGGACACCCAAGTAGAAATATCGAGTGGGATCAGGCTTGTGTCATCAGCAGAGCCCACTTTACGCCATCTCAAAACGGCCAGACTCTGATCGTTGAATGGGAAGGCTTTCTTTTGATCCCTTAAGCTAATGACGCTGGAGGACAAAAATAAGTTCTTATCAATATTTGGATGTGTTTTGAATTGCAGTGATTTATCCTTAGGGTTTACGTTAGATTCCAAAATAATTTTTCCATGAGCAAGCTCCTGGTCATTGATACGCAACTCAAGACTACCCTTAAGCTCTGATGTCGCAACTGTACCATCTCTACCGATTTCAGCACTTACTGACTCTTTCACACTTACGAGAATCCCATTATTCAAGGGTTTTTCAGGCTCCGGAATTTGGAAGCTTGCCTGGGGTGTGGGAGAAGACTTGAACGATTGACGAGGAAGATTTGAAGCTGGGAGGTTTTTCCTTCCTCCAAGCTTCATGCCTCTGCTACCTGGACCTTGTGGTGTGACCTGTGGTGAAAGTACGTTCGCCTGTTCTGTTGCAGCAGAGGGCTTATGTTGTGATTGGTAATAGGACTGTTGTGCAGCTGGAGAGGCATGACTATAGTAACTGTTGTACGCGTTTGACAAATTGGGGTCATTCGAAGAGTGGAATCTGGCAGAATCATCAATAGCACCTAATGGCACGCCCATTTTTCTCTCCTGTTCTCTTCTTGATATTTCCTTTGCACGGCGTTTTCTTTCCTCTGCAGCCTCAAATTCCTTGTTGCGCTCGATAATCTCTTGAATCTTTTCCTCATGTGATTCCATAGATAGATATGTGTTGATTTGGGTAATGGATAAGTTTTCCTTATAACCCATTGCAATAACTTCATCAAAAGAACTTAAGATTTCGAATGCATTATCGAAAATTTCGGACTCATCAAAACTGTTCAAGTAAGAATTCATGGTCTGGGAAAATATTTTCAAAGTATCCAAGTCTTGAATGATATTCGATTGACGGTTTGTAATTAAAATGATGTAATAGTCATCAAATGGCTTGTATACATATCGAATGTGCTCGTCTTCAACAAAAGTGTGCTGAGAAGAAGAATTTGCCACTAGTCCTTGGAAATTGGATAGTAACTCGGTTACACGATCTTTAGTTATATCTCTAAATTGCCTTGACAGTAATGGTTTACCACTACGAGTGGTAATTGAAACAGCAAGCACAACCATTGTATTTGATCCACTCCTTTAAAAGATCAACATGTTTACGTGTGTTTAACTCCCCTCTTCAATTAAAAAAAATTATCTAATCGTTGTTTACGAAGTAGACTTGAACACCGGGCAGAGAGTGTGTATGTTCAAGAAAAACTGATGGGACTGAATGGTCATACATAATAACTGATTGACAGTTGTAATTTCAGTAATATATCTCAAATCATTTCATGAATTTTTCAAGATAATCAAACTTTATGAAGCTGTTTAATTACGATTGAGTGAGGATGGGCATTAGGAACAGAAAAATAGATTGCGGTTTAGCTCTTTTAAAAAATGGCAGATTGAAATAAACTAAAATCGTACAATTAGTCAATGATAATTTGTTGCACCCGTACCTTAGCTTAGTCGTTTTGTATTTTCGGTTCATGTTTTTTTGTTTCGCATCATGATCAAGACATTTAAAATCGAATTACACCTTGGCATAATGTTTCAAATCAAAATTTGCTTTAAAGCGAATAAAATATTAAATTACAAATAATTGTCACCTAGATATGTATCAACAGTTACTTACATACTATCATTCTCTGACGCCGAGTCCCTTCTCCTTTTTAATGAGTCCTCAATGTCATCTGTTGATTTCTCTTCATCATTAACGTTGTAACCTTGTGGTTCTTGTACATCTTGATCCGAGTTTGAAGGTCCTGATTTATCGTCAACATTGCAAGTTACAAAAGGTGGGCGTGCTGTTTCTCCCATATCACTTACCTCCGTTTCAAGTGAATTACTTTTCATTTCATATGTTGCAGCATGTGAATTTTCCGTTTCCTCCAATTCTTCATCTGATGTCATTACAATAACTTCAGCAGGATTTCCGCCAAAACCGCTACCCGCCTCGCCGTCATCAAGTATTACAGGATGACTCCTATCGTTGGAAAAAACCTTTATATTCGAAAAAGTGGCATCACTACTAAGCATTTCAACCAATTCATTGTAGCGAGCGACAAATCTTGGCTTTGTTCCCACATACATGGTTATGTGAGATGGAACGTTTTCCTCACAGTTCTTAACGGAGTTATCTTTGAGGAGCTTGAAAATCGAAACTATATCGTTCATGTTCACCTCCTTATTGTACAAATTGTCCTCTTCCATATTGAGGTCTAGCTCTGGAATGGAGAATGTCAGTTCTCTAGAAAAAAGTTCCAACGCACCATAATTCTTCTGCAAAAAAAGCCTTATCCTCCCAAATACAATATTGCACCCGCGATGAAGGTCCGTAGAATCAGCACAAATAACTTGGTCTCGCTTCTCTTCCTTAGCATTATCACCATCGTATTCACTGAAAAGCAAATAGCAAATCCCCTTGTAGTTAACCATAATTTTTGGAGCTTTTGTTCTCAGTAATTGACGAGCGGCTTCTTGTATCTCGCTATCTGAAACTATATCGATAATGGAATCTCCTCCATTTGCAGAATCATCGCTGTGTACATCATCGTTCTTATCATAATTCTCAACAACCACATCAGCATCACTATCATATGCCAAAAGATCTTCCTCATCTTTCTGGTCCGCCGCTTCGCCCATCAAAATCTCACTCCCGTTGTTGCTTTGGTCTTTTTCATAACTCCCTTTTTCAATTTCCGCTTTCCCGATATGAGTTAGCTGAGAAGGCGCTTCAAGTGAGAGTTCATCATTCGGCCTTTGCTGTACCGTTTGTACAGTAGATCCTGCGTCTTCGGCATCATTATCATTGTTCATGTTGATCTGTACAGTGCAGGTAAAAAGCACATCGATTTCGTGAATGTATTTTTTCAAGACTCCCCTAAATTCTCATCATTCAGAAAAACCTAGATGCGATACAGTCAACATGGAATCAAGATGGTGACATCATATGCTTGAGATACATGTTCAAATTAACTACAAAAAGGTAGAAAATACTGAACCTATCGTGTATTTTCCTTACAATACAATACTTGTATAATTCATGTTCTTGCATACGGTTTTTACATAAATCATCATTGCTTATATGAAATTGCTGGATCCAATTCACGGAAATTAGCTGAGTATCTTGTAGCTATTAAATGTAAAGAATGCTGTATTATTGGGAGGTTTTCAATCAATCGTTGGTATGCTTGCATTACTGATCACACTTTCACTTACATCGTACTTGTCGAAGTATGAACTTTGAACTAAAAAACTAATGCAACAGCGAAAATATTCTAATTACATTCATGTGCCTTCGACGAAGTAAGTGTAAATGATTAGTAGCTCACCTGCAGGTATTATCAATACTGTGTAAATTGTTCCCAACACGTTTTGATCATTCGATGTGTTTAATACTAGCCAATCTGCAACCAGTATCGGAGAAAAGATATGGCCATCGTTTGGTATTCGAAACAATATCTTTAAGAAGAGAATTTATAAATTAGCTGCTTCTTGAATGCCAGCTAACATCTATTCAACCTTGTAGTTCAATCCACTTATATATATTAAGGCCATAAAAGAGATGGGGAAAGTTGCTCGTTTTGAGAAAAAACTATGCAGCTATCAAAAGATCTATGATACAGAATACGTTCAAAGCTTCGAGCGCCAATCAGTTATCTAAAGTACCTAATTCATTTCGTGATAGCTTTAGACGAACCAACCTGTTCAGAAATTTTTTCGAAATCAGTCATCAGTAGAATGGCGCACCAGCAAAGAGCAGGAAGGTTTCTCGCAGTCATACTTCATGTCAGCAATATCCGATAGTGATACGGAAACCGAGGTTGTTTCAAGAAACCTTTGTGGAGTTGTTGACATCGGCTCCAATGGTATTAGATTTAGCATTTCCTCGAAAGCGTCACATCATGCAAGAATCATGCCATGTGTGTTTAAAGATAGAGTTGGAATCTCTTTGTTTGAGGTACAATATGCAGCAAACTCCTTAGAAAAGGCTCCAATTCCTCAGGACACTATTAAAGAGGTTTGTGCGGCCATGAAAAGATTCAAACTTATCTGTGATGACTTTGGGGTTCCTGAGACTGGAGTTAGAGTCGTTGCAACAGAAGCAACCAGAGAGGCGATCAACTCGAGTGAGTTTGTTGGCGCAATTTTTGACTCTACTGGTTGGGATGTAGAGCTTTTAACCAAAGAAGAGGAAGGTAAAATCGGAGCCTACGGTGTCATATCCTCGTTTAATTCGGTATCTGGTCTCTACATGGACCTGGGCGGCGGAAGCACTCAACTCTCCTGGATCAAATGTATTGATGGAGAAATAAAGATGTCTCCAACACCCGTTTCTCTCCCCTACGGTGCAGGCGCACTGTCCAGAAGAATGAGATTAGAAAATAAAAGAGACCTTTTCATCGAAATTAAGGACGCTTATCGGGATGCACTTAACAAAATAGATCTGCCTCAAGAAATGATTGATGAAGCTCACGTAAAAGGCGGTTTCGACCTTTTTACTTGTGGCGGAGGGCTGAGGGGAATGGGCCATGTCCTGTTGTCGCAAATAAAAGAATATCCCATTCAAACAATAATAAACGGGTTTTCATGTTCATACGAGGAGTTTTCGGGTATGGCTGACTATCTGTTTTTGAAGGCAAAACTACCTGGTTCAGACAAAATCTTCAAAGTTTCAGATCGCCGAGCACAACAACTTCCAGCGGTCGGTTTGTTAATGAGTGCTGCTTTTGAATCGCTTCCTCAGGTTAAAACTGTTCATTTCAGCGAAGGTGGAGTGAGGGAAGGGACGCTCTACTCGATTCTCCCAAGAGAGATCAGAGCCCAAGACCCTCTTCACATAGCAACTAGACCATATGCCCCACTTCTTGCCTCCAAATACTTGGAGCTATTAAGGACGGCAATTCCAGAAAAAGAGGCTCCAAAAATTGTTTATACAAGAATCGCACCTGCTCTCTGCAATCTGGCTTTTGTTCATGCATCTTATCCGAAGGAATTGCAGCCTACCGCTGCTCTACATGTTGCAACCACTGGTATAATTGCTGGCTGCCATGGGCTATCTCATCGTGCTCGGGCGTTGATCGGAATAGCTTTGTGCAACAGATGGGGAGGCGACATCCCAGAACAAGAAGAAGAGCACAAAAAACTCCTGGAAGATGTCGTTCTAAGGGATGGAAACAAGATTGAAAGACAAAGGATTGTGTGGTGGACAAAGTATATTGGCACTATCATGTACGTGATCTGTGGTGTACATCCAGGCGGAAACATTAGAGATGGACTTTTCAACTTTAACATAGAACAAAAAGATAGGACTGACAAAGAGCTTCAAAGCTTGACTATCGACGAGAAAATGACTTCTTCTGGATCTAAGAAGCGCGAATTTGAAGTTATTGTTAGAATAAGTAGAGATGATTTGAAAACCAGTGCTTCTGTTAGGGCAAGAATTATAACGCTGCAGAAGAAAATAAGGAAACTTTCCCGAGGAAGTTCCGAGAAGGTCAAAATAGGAGTTCAGTTTTATGAGGATTCATAGTTTGATAAATAAAGCACTTGGCATATGCATCCCACATAAAGCACTCTATAATTTTACTATTTTATTTTCGACTCTATATTTGTCACGTGCAATATATCACTGACGACGTTCATGTGGTATTTCATTTGCCACCCTGTGTACCATTGAGTATACGTTCGCTTAACCATTTTTCATTTGATTAAAAAACGCCAGCGATGCCATCTCTAATTGAGCTTACTAAGAGTCTTAACACTGCATTTACTTCTGGTGACTATGAAAGCTGCCAGAAACTGTTAACTCCCTTGAGAATTGAACTGATAAAAGCCAGATTACTCGTTCCCGATTTTTCAAAGACAGAGACAAGTAATGACTATCTCAACGATTTGAACGTTACCAAAAGAATATTAGAGATAGGTGCTCTTTGCAACGTCAACAGAAGGGATTTCGAGAGCTTTGAAAACTATTTCTCACAGTTAAGGGTGTTCTATTTTTCTCCTAAGTCTAGTCTATCTGAATCCGAAAACAAGTCAAAATTGATAAGTCTGTACTTACTAATACTACTATCGCAAGGAGATGTCACAAAATTCCATTCAGAGCTCGAATTCCTGGGCAAGCGGATTCCAAATTTAGAGGAGGATGTGTTTCTCTCTTATCCGATAAAGGTCGAAAAGTGGCTGATGGAAGGTTCTTACCAGCGGGCGTGGAATCTTTTAAAGAATGAGTCCAAGGTTCCAGAATTCAACATTTTCTCTGAAACTTTAATGGATGCCATCAGAGAAGAAATAGGTCACAATACCGAGCTCGCTTACAAGAAACTGCCTTTATTCAATGTGAAAGCTCTCCTTTTCTTCAAAAGTGAAAAGGATACTGAACAATTTGCCCTTGAAAAGGGCTGGAGCGTTTCTTCGGGCTGCGTGTATTTCACTAAAGAAGAACCAGCTGAATATGAACAACAAACAAGCATTGTAGAGAAAACTTTAGATTATGCCATCAGTTTAGAGAGTATTATATAATTAAGTCTCTGCACTTTCTTTTTGGCCAAAAGATGGACGCCGTTTGATCATTACGTCTCATTGCCAAGTATTTACAGCTTCAGAAAATATGAAAAGATCATTAATGCCAGTGAATGCAATGATGCACTGACTCTATTTTTATGTCATCATCATACCAGGAACAAAAAGTACAAACTAGATATAGTAATAAACAAAGTCGTTAAAATAAGAGATTCAGGCACCTAGAATACCAACAGACTTACCAGCGGCCAATCTCTTTTCAGTCAAAGCGGCAATGATAGCGGCACCAGCACCAGAACCATCCTCAGCAGCAACGATGACGATTGGGTAGTCCTGTGGAGCAGCTGGCTTCCAGTCGTATATGTCTCTCAAAGCTTCAGCAGCTCTGACCTTGAAGCCGGGGTATCTGTTGAAAACTGAACCGTCAGCAGCAATATGAGCGGTTTCGTAACCTCTCTTTTGGCAAATAGCTGCAATACCGCAAACAGACAATCTAGCTGCTCTTGTACCGATCAACTCACACAAACGTCTGATCAACTTACGCTCTGGTGCAGTTGTTTCAACTCCTAGATCGTTCTTGAAAATATCATATGTGTCTTCCAAGTTCTCAAATGGATCATCTTCGATTCTGGCAGGGTAAGAAGTGTCCATAATGTATGGCTTCTTCAACTTGGTCATGTCTTGACCTTCAAAAGCCAATCCTTGTTCGTAGACATCAACCAAAGCCAAACGCAACAACTCACCCAAGTAATAACCGGATGTCATTTTCTCGAAAGTCTGTTGGCCTGGTCTAGGGGACTGCTCATCGACGATCACGTCGTACTTAGTTCTTGGTAGAATGTAGTGCTCGTTATCGAAAGAACCGTATTCACAGTTAATAGCCATTGGAGAATCAGATGGAATATCAGCTGGCAATCTGCCTTCCAACTTCTCGATATCAGAGACAACATCGTAGTAAGCACCGTTGACACCAGTACCAAAGATAACACCCATTCTAGTTTGTGGATCAGTGTACATAGAGGCGACTAAGGTACCCGTTGTGTCGTTAATCAAAGCGACAACATTAATTGGAATCTTTCTCTTCTCCAATTGCTCTTGCAACATTGGAACAACATCGTGACCTTCGACACCTTCAATGTCAAAACCTTTGGTCCATCTTTGCAAGACACCCATGTTGATCTTGTCTTGAGAAGCTGGGTAGGAAAAGGTGAAACCTAATGGCAAAGGATCCTTAACACCTTCTGGGTATTGTTCATCAACAAATGTTTTCAAACAGTCTGCGATAAAAGACCATAGTTCCTCAGAAGAAGAGGTTCTAATATGGTCTGGCAACTTGTATTTGGACTGAGTGGTATCGAAGTCACGGTTACCGCCAAGTTTGACAAGAACAACTCTCAAATTGGTACCACCAAGATCGATGGCTAGGAAATCACCTGTTTCCTTACCAGTTGGAAATTCCATAACCCAACCAGGAATCATAGGAATGTTACCTCCCTTTTTAGATAGACCTTTGTCCAATTCGGTGATGAAGTGTTTGGTAATGGCTTTCAACTTGTCAGGGGAGACATGAAAAATAGCCTCAAAGCCGTGGATTTGTTCCATCAAGCTCTTTGGGACATCTGCCATAGAACCTTTTCTGGCAGGTGGCTTCTTTGGACCGAGGTGAACCATTTAAAAAATAAGTCGCTGTTAATGGAGTGTGCAGAAAGAAAAAAAAGAGTTAGAAGACCTCCTATTCTTTGACCTACTATTAAAAAATAAAATCCGAACCAAAGAAAACAACAAATTCATGGGCCCTTATATAGGCTTCCTCCCACACCACCAAAAAAAATATTCCCAGCTTCCTGTTTGTTGACGCGCTTCTGAAAAAAAAAACGCTGCCAGTGGTGTGATGCGAAAGTGTACTCCCCTCAGAAAACGCGGCGGAATCGGCATACCGGATTAAAATCTCACCATCAAAATTGTTCCGGGGTAAAGCTATTATGGCCGCTACCAGAAAATTTCTCAGGTTTCCCCGTAAATTTTTTGGCTTTTTTCCAGATGGAACAACCTGGAGACGACAAGGTCCTGCAGGCACTCCGTTTAAAGGCTGACTTACTGCTCACAAGGGGAATACACACCAAATTTAAACGTTTATGAGATAATAATCTGACAACGATTGTATCGATTTTAGTGACCCCAACCTTTAGAGGGATGCACGTATCGTGACTCAGGTGACATTGATGCGTGGGACTTCTGATTAGAAACATAAAGAAACTACACTAAAAGGATAAATAAATCCATCCTACAGACAAGAATGCAGCTATACAATTGTACTTCATGAAAACTTCGCCATGAAACTAGTTAGACTTGAGTTCTCTATTAGATCCTAGAGATCAAAAGCCCTAACTTCTCGACTCAAGTCTCGAGGAAAGGCCAATAGTGTGGGATGGGCTATTTCTTATGATCTGCACGAGACCGTATATTCCCCTTGTTTGACTATTGTTCGAGGGAGAATAAGAAATTATCAGGTGCCTTTTCGCACCGACATTTACCCGCTGTTTGTTTTCCGAAAAGTTTCCCCGGATACAACTTAAAAGTTAGCTTATTCCCCACCAATATACAGTACAAGAGGACCGAAATTAAAAGCTGAGCAGGAAAATTTGTGTTTTCAGCCATAAGCTCCTATTCGGTCGCCTAAAGGGACAAATTTTCTTTGGCCGTCGCTAGATCCGATGCAACTAGAATGACTTTTCTAGAATTGAAAAAACATGGGTTACTATATATAGTAGAGGGACGTGCTTCTGATCTGCCCAGCTTACCGAGTATTTTGACATACACGTAGCTACCTTCTCCATGAGACTTCAAATAAAGGCCATGCTCGCTGTGGTATGGATAAGTAACATATGCGGCATTAATTACGTCAGCTAAACCCAAGTAATTTCTGCAGATGTTTAGTGAATTCCAATATTTCTGAGAAGTTAAAACTTTCATGGTATCATCTGATCACCTCACAAATGATGCCTGTCTGAGTTCCGTGAATAAAATTCCCAAGACTAACAAAGATAGAATAGCAAGTACTCTAAATCTGAAAAGCAGAAGTGTATCTCTCTAAGGCGAGATATTCAGGAAGAGTAGTTCCATCAAGGAGTCTTGCTCCGGTACGCTCTTTTTAGACGAATAGAATGCGACAAATTGTTGCAGTTTGTACCGAGTTACTCGCCGCGGGATAGTAAAATATATATGTGTATATATGACAGTTTACGATAGTTGTAACCGAGGCATGTTCATTTTTCGTATCAATTTCGAAAAAGTAGAGATGGTTGCATCGTATTAACTCGCGGTACAAAGAAAGATAAGCGCTAGTACCGCGTGTGATATTTGGCTGCATACTGAATCAGGAACCTGAGATAAGAGAATTTAGAAATCTCTTTTACAGCCATGCTGTCATATAAATGATGCCAAGAACTCGAGGACATCGGGATATCAAAGGTAAATCTCATTGACGAAATGGGACAAAACATATCTACAGCAGGGGCGCCAACTCATGAAGTGGTTATTCCGGGTCAGGGAAGGTTAAAGGGCTTCACACTCTCATCTCCAAAAAGCGGAAATCTTACAACTCATCGCTTCTGTCGTGTTCCTTATGCTCTTCCTTGTTTAGGTGACTATCGCTTTAAAAAGCCGAGACCTATCCCCGAAACTTACGATTATAGTGGAGAATACAGAGATTTTGGTTTGAAGTGCCCGCAGCCGGCAGTTGCTAACCCTACTTTTGGGTATACCAAGTCTTTAAGTGATGAAGATATAACCCATTTGAACATCTGGGTTCCCTCATCTGATGTACATAAGCCAGTCGGAGGTTGGCCTGTGTTTATTTATATTCACGGCGGTTGGTTACAATATGGAGATCCAAACAACGCGTATTTCAATGCCGTTGAGCTTTTCGATGACGAAGAGTTCTCTCAGAAATTTATCCTCGTGTGTCCAGGTTATCGCCTCAACATATTTGGCTTTCTTTCAGCTAAGGAATTGCTGGAGGAAGATCCTGAAAGTTCAAATTTTGGGTTTTGGGATCAGAGGTTGGCGATCGAATGGACTTACAAGAACATCGTTCACTTTGGTGGCAATCCTGAAAAGATAACCTTAGGTGGCCTGAGTGCTGGTGCGTATTCAACCTTTTTCCAACTTGCTTACGAAGTTTATCACCCAGCAGAAACGCAAATCATCAAGCAAATTGTTTTATTTTCTAACGGTGTGTATGTGCAGCCAAAAACCGTGGAGGAAAGCCAGGAACAGTTCAACGAAATAGTTGAGAAACTAGGGATCGATCCTTCGATTTCCCCCGAGCAAAAATTGACTCAGCTGCGAAAACTAGACGCTACATTTATTGAGGATTTTATTCCGACCTTAAATTTTCATACATTTAGAGCGGTAACGGATGACCACTTTGTGTCATCTAGTCTCATCAGTGACCTTGCATCTGGTGTTTACGCGAAAAAACTATCGGAAAAACAAGTTAGAATTATATGTGGCGATGTTGACAACGAGCCACTTAGATATTCTCTGCTAAATACCCCTACGTCGGTGAGAGCGCTTGAAGTACAGGTGGAGAACTATTATCCGAAGAAAATTGTTCCCACTTTAGAGAGGCTTTACGATTATGGTTCGCTAAATCCCAATGAGGAGGATTTTTTGGAAAAACTAAGAATTGTTTACGGGAACATCATTGGAGATGGCCAAGTTTACTCTTCCGAGAGAGGATTCATTAACTCCTTGGTAGTTAATGGATTTCCTAAAGAAAAAATATTTCGATATCGCATTTGTTTTAGAGCGAATTTTCTCGATAAATTTATGAAACCATCGATAAATGTACCGCATGCTGGAGATTTTACAGTGTGGTTTTATTCATTACGAGAAGGTTTCACTGAAACTGAACGAAATTACGTCAACCAATGGCTGAAACCTTATCTTGAGTTCCTTAACTTTCAAGAGAGAATCACTGATTGGAATACCACTCAAATCAATCGATTCAGACTTTTTCGTCGCGATGGGACAATTGATTATGTAACAGATCCTGATTGGGAGTGGGGTGTGAAAGTGGCAGAAGCAGTCTATAAATGCCAGACATAATCAAGATTTTACCATTGGTAATGTAAAATGCCGTTCGGTCCAGCAATCGTCCGCTTCATTAATCAATATTTGATCGTGCGTATCTAATTTATATATTCAAAAATCTCTATTAGTTTCTCCGTTAGATAAAATGTGTACAGGTGACTGGCTTTGGAGAAACAAGATACCAGACGGGACTTCATTTTTTTGTTCACCATGTGAAAGCTTGGAGGCAGTTTGGACCACCTTTCGGACTCACGATTCTCTGTTTCTAGGTGGGGATCAATAAAAAACTGGATTATAATTTATATCAAAGAGTGCCCAGGCATCCACTGGGAGTTACAGAAGATCCATACACATCAGCAATATAATAGAGGTAATTATCGACATTTCTAACGGCAAACGTTGAGTTTGATTCAGCTAATTCAACAATTTCTTCAAGTTCCTCTGCGTATTCACCAATGTATCCTTCACCATTGATAGTTGGAATATGTAAATACCGATGTAGCATATCAATACCAGCATAATGTTTTGGACCTACATCGACTATCGCCCCTTCGAAACAAAACATGGACAAGGGTTTCTTTGAAGTATAAAAGTAATCACAGATGACAGTCTCCATAGGGGCTGTTTCACGATGATGGCCAGCATAATACCCTGGATTAGCAGCGCATAAGCCATCTGCATCATCACACCTTATTAAGACACCATCTTTAGATGCTTCCATTAGGTTGTCTAAGACACCCATAACGGTATAAATGCTGCCGTTTCCAAACCATCTTTTATAAGTGAAATCGTCACTGCCATATTCTAGAAGTCTGCTCTTGGCATAGGCTGTAGCTTCCAGAGAGTCCTGAAAAGCAGCATTCAACATGCGATTATTTGTTTCGTTACACGTATGATAGAGTTCAGGAAATGTTGGCCGTGTCCAGCCTAATGTCTCTTTCATCGAGTAAGATTGAAGCTCAATAGTTGAATTAGAGTTATAAATCACTGGGCTAGCAGATGCATATAGGATAAGTGATGCTGCTGCAAAAGAAGTCGTTTCAATAGTCCTCATTGTTATCTGTTTTCTGATGGGATAACTTGGGAAAATGAGTAAAGTATCCTTCTTCGTAGATTTTATATGCTTCTATTGTACATCTAACATTGTTACACCATTTACTGAAAGGGTTATTGGTATTTGTTTTAGCGTTGATAATTGCCGTATTTCACAATATTGGATGGTTTAACTGTTCATCTTCAAACTGGACCCTGAAGGTTAATGCGTTGTGGACCCTTCTTTGAAGGCACGCATCTAATATAAAAAGAAATTATGGCAAAAGAATACATTCCTGGAAAAGAGGTTTTTGTCTGCTTCAGTCTGATACCTCATACGATCATAAGGCACCACCAGAAGACCTCTTTTCTCACGGGTTAAATGATATTGACTACTTGTCGTCTTTATTTTCGGTTATAAGATTTAAACATTTTTCATGAATATGATAACATCTCCTGTTGCTATATTTATTTGATGAAAATTTATTTTATTCCTTGTAATAAGTCTACTGGCATGCAAATTGGATCAATTCTTAGCTTCAATTCAACAACACTTCGTAAATTGAATTTTTGAAATAGTTTTCAAGCTGCGTTTCATTCATCTTTTGCTCAACTCTCTGGCTTGATATAGGTGCTGTTATAAGATTGGAGACTTTCAACCCATTATCAATCATATTCTATAATAAATTTCATCCACGGGAAGTGAGTTCAGCAATGTTGCGATAATAGCAGCGCTATATTGGTAAAAACAAAGGGGCCTCTTGAGTTTATTCTATAAATATAAGACACTTGAACACGCTCCCACAACGAGACTACAATTATAACAGAAAGTCAACTATTTTCACTCGCATTGCGCAGTTTCTCTAGGACTGAAAAATTCAAACAAAGATCTGCGGTTTAGGTCCGTAAGGCTCCTCCAGATAAGCAATTTCACTCTCATCGAACTCAAAGTGAATTGCCTTCACCGCTTCATCAACTCTTTCACATGAATTCAAGCCGACAATGGGATAACAGCCTTTGCTGAGAACCCACGCAATTGAAACAGTAGCCATAGACACTCCTCTCTTTTTAGCAATCTCTTCTACCCTGTTAATAATACACTTGTCACTTTCACTGGAAGTAATAGAACTTAGAAGTCGGTAGGCCATATCCGAATCCTTTCTAGCCGAATCTGACCCGAAAGGCCTAGTCAGAAGGCCCCTAGCATTGGGAGACCAAGGGATAAGACCAACACCATGTTTTTTCGCAAAAGGAATCAACTCTCTTTCATCTTCACGATATAAAAGATTGTAAAACGATTGAGAGCTGATAAATTTAAACCAACCATGTTTTTCTGCTATGAACTGCAATTCTGCTAACTCTGTTGCAAGCATAGACGATGCGCCAAGATACCTCACTTGCCCACTTTCGACAACATCATTCAAGGATCTCATGATTTCTTCCATTGGCGTTTCTTTGTCGAGCCTATGGATTTGAAGAACATCAACGTACGTGCCCAGCCTTTCAACGGATTTTGAAACACCATCAAGAATATGTTTGCGAGACAAACCCCTCTGATTGGAAAGGTCTAAGGAAATTTCAGGGGAAGTATCATGAGTTTGCTCTAAATATGAAAGTTCGAGGCTGTCGTCAACTGCAAAGAAGATCTTAGTCAGAATAACAACTGTTTCTCGTCTGATATTATATCTTTTCAAAAACTCTCCCAAGAGTCGTTCACTTAGCCCGTTGCTGTACATGTCAGCAGTGTCGAAAGTTCTTAGCCCATTGTCATAACAATGCTTCAAGATTTCAAAAACCTTTTCTTTGTCTTCAATCACCCACTGAGACCAGCTCTTTGACCCATATGACATACAGCCCACTATTACAGGAGAAATTTTCAGACCTGAGGAGCCTAATCTAACTTGACTGGGTAAGCTCATTTCCATGCGTTTTAAAGTAGTTTATTGAAGAGCCTTGCCTTTCGTTCTCAACCATAACGTCGTGTTTTATAATAAAAGTTCCAAACTCAACTCAAGCGGAAAAAGGTATAGAAGGAGCATCCTTTTTACTTTTTTGATCTCAAATTAGTAATCGATCAACAAAATTCCTGTGACAGCAGTCCGGGTAAACAGATTATTTGTTTTTGTTATATTTACGAAGCTGAATAAGACCAAAACTGATTCTTAAACCACAAGTGGAAAAATTTAAATCATTCTTTAGATACGTGTGAAAGTTTCTTGGTATTAATTCATGAACTTGCAGTCAAGACCATTTCATGTTGCTCTAATTTCTCCCATTAAGTAACACAGTTACTTTTCTATAGTGACTTTCCAATTGTCTTCAAGATCGAGGATAGACTTTTAAACATCATTTCAAGATGGTTGATATCGCCCAAATTTTGTAATTTTCCCGCCATCAGGATCTTTTCCCAATTAATTAAGTATCTTAGAATAATTGGAAGAAGCCTAATCCCACGGTTTTGGGCGGTACCGGATGCATAATAGAAAGCTAATTTGAAGGAAAATTACCAGTTCTACACTAAATACAATGAAGCTTTACGAGTCTTTGCTTAAGTGTTATTTTCGTTGGATAACGTGACGCAAATCTTAATTGAATGTCGCTAAGGTAATTCTGACATGAGAGTATAAAGTAACCTGTATGTGCTGGCCTTTTGCAATAGAAGTTCTACATCAATGAGTATGCATCAGAGAAGTTGGTGGGATGATATTCACATCTTACACCTGCGGTAAAATCGTTTTCTTTGTTGCGAATTGATTACTTCTTAGCATATGTTACCCGGCTTTTGAGATCTTTTTCGTTTAGGAGGTATCGTTAATCAATAGTTGCGACATCTCCCATTTTTCTCATGCAAGATAATGAAGAATTGTTGAGAAATCTTTGTTGGCAGTATTAAAAAGACACCAAATCTTGCTGAGTTTTCTAACTAGATGATAATTATACTAACTAAACCGAAATTCCCATCCAGTAATTCCAGAAGCCTAGAGATAAAACTGAACAATATGCCACCGGGTACACTACTGAGAGAAATGATCGAAAACGGACATGCAAGGCCTATGGGCTCCATTGAAAATATTTACGGAATTTTTAATAGGCAGAAACTTTATAGAAATTTTTCTATGTTTGCAGAAATCAATGATTTTTGTAACGAGCGCCAGCTTAGGGCCGCTCTAAGAAATCTGTGTCTAAAAAACCCTATTTTACTTCATACCATTGTCCCAGAAATTTGGCCTTTCAACGAAAAATATTACCTGAGCGACGAGTACTACTGCATGCCTCGTTCTCAGCATGAATTTATCGCTATTTTACCAGAATTGGATCTGTCAGATATTTTGGCCAACAAGCAAACACAATACCAGCAGGTTCTGGAAAAAGCTTTCAGGGAATTCGAGTCATCGAATTTTTGTTACACCTCGGAGGTATATAAATTGATTGCGACAATATCAATACCGTACGTGGGGCCCTCTTGGAGACTTATTTGCTTACCGGAGAAACGTGGAACAGAATGGAGAAAATTCATATTCATTTCGAACCATTGTTTATGTGATGGAAGAAGTGCCGCAAATTTTTTTCATGACCTGAAGGAGGAGCTAAACTGTAACATTGACAATAGATTGACCGTAACTACGATATTCAGTTACGAGAGGGATCACTACCTATTGCCAAAACTTCCTGAGCCATTGGAAAAAAGAATTGATTTCCGGCCACCTTGGTCATATTTTCCCAAATATCTTGTCTGGGAACCAATCGTGAATCATTTCAAATTCTCCTCTAATTGCGCGACTAGTCGTTTAGATGAATCTTTCGACGGGAAAACTCTTTTGACCGAAATTATAAACATTGATGTGCAAGTGCTTGAGAAAGTTAGGCAATTAATCAAAGCCAACGTGCACGAAGGTGGAACAATAACACCTTTTTTAGAGATCTGTTGGTTAATTTCGCTTCATAAATGGGGAGCTTTCTCTGGTAAGTCGTGGACAAAATGCTTAACAGATGTATTTGTACCAGTCGATGTAAGGAATCTTCTGCCTGATGATGATGACATAAGAAAATCATACAGGTACGGCTGTAATGTTGCGGCAATCGAGTTGAATCCTTGGATAAGCCAGTTGGATGTCGAGAAAAACAGCGATGAATTTTGGGCGCTTGTTAGTCAAAATCAAAACAAAATCACGAGTTTGTTACAGAAGAAAGAACAACTCAATCTCATTGGATTTAATACGCTCGATATTGTCGAGAAAAATTTTAATCTAGACCGCGAACTCTGCGTACACACTCTCAACAAACCACGCCAAGGTACTTTATTAAGCAACTTGGGTATTTTTCCACAAAATAGCCAAGAAAGAGATAGGTACTCGTTAGAGAATCTGATTTTTGGTCAGTTTCAAGGATCGTTCCGTGAATCGTTCTCTATGTGTGTCTGTTCCACTGATAGGAAAGGAATGAATATTGTACTCACAACTACCAGTGATCTTATACCAAACAGCAAGTCCTGGGAGGATCTTTGCAGCACATTCAAGAGTATTATCTCCGACACTTAGTCATAAACTGCTAATTTACCCGAACAAAGAATGTTAGATTTTAGATCTTAGACATGTTAACCATTTTTCACATGAATTGATTGATTCTGCCAAAAACCTTGAGAGGTTTGAGCTGGATTTTCTGAAACAGCAATCTCTGGAAACATTTAGGCCAGCAGAGTGAAAAAAGTTGAGGTAAATCATGTTCAGAATTTTAATAGCTGAAAACAGTTTTAAGGGTAAAGATCTCCATATATGTTTGGCTCTTTTTAACGTTTTGATCTATCATTCAGAAACACGGCAAAAATACAGGTAAACGTGTGATTAGGAAATGAAAAGCTTTCAAGTCTATAATAATTGTAGATAAATCATTCATCAATAGGATTCATATTGTGTTGGAAGCGAGCTTTTTCATTTCGGAAACTCGCAAAAAAACTCCTCATTAAAAATAGCGTCCTTGTCTCTCTAGTGGTGAACTACACCAATATTATTCGTGGAAAATATGAAAAGTTTTGGAAAATGTCTAAATTGAATCTCAATACAGTCCAAAAAACATACGGTATAGGGTGTTGATTCGCTATGCGTGCAAAATTTTCTCTAATCTATAAGGAGCCCAGCACCACCATTTCCATCAAGTGATGGGCAAAAATTTGGATTGAACCATTGGTACTGTGTTCTTATTAAGCTTAAATCTCTGGACACATTAGCCAGTGTCTGATCACTTACCAAGAGCAGTAACTGGTTGTAGGTGTTAAATGCACCTTTCAACTCAAGCTCAATGTAATGCGATCGTTATCATCCCTGTAAGCATATGAGACTGAAGTTTGAAGTTTGATGCTTTGGAAACATAAATTATGGATGAAATATACTCACCTACCAAATCCATTCGCCCAAATTTAAAGAAGACTTAAAGAGCCTGTTATTTTTGACTTAAGTTCATTTGAAAACTTAGAGCTATGAACTTCAAAGAACTGCGAAGCAGAGAGATTTTAGCATGCTATACCTCAAAAAGGATAGCTATTACCGTTTCACCTACACTTTCATAGCATTCCACATAAGGCCGCTACTTATAGTTGGTTTTCGTCCTTATTATAACATACAAACTGATTATAGCAACACATGAAGTAACTTAATGTATTCATACTTGTTTAAACAATGGTGCTAAATCTAGAAACTTACTTTGGTACAGCTAAAGTTTCGATAATTTGATATTTTTACAGCTTAGCAAACAACATCAAATAAAATGAACTTAAGACTTATAGGCTATGTTATAAATTACCTTGGTCATCATATTAGTTGTGCTATTGAAACCGCCTGATAATTCAGTAGTAAACTGTATGTAAGATTTGATTTGTTAGCTTAACAGCTGAATAGATTCCCTTCTGGAATCTTTAATTATTGTTCTTGCCGTATTAAAAATATAGTTTAGCTTACCTTTAGAGTCCACAAGTAGAAAATTCGACAATAGAAGAGCTGTCTCATTTATCTCTGTCCCTCCCTTCAACGGGTCATGAAGAAACAACTATTATATTCTTGCTTAGAGAAAGAATATGATTTGAAATCTGGTAAGAGTGTTTTGAATATTCCTGCACACAATTCGAAAGTTATAATTCGCCAAACAATGTAAGAGTAATCAAATTTTTGGTGTTTCTATGAATTTTCCGTTAGATGCCATGCAAACAAACTCTATTAGTGTATGTTAATATCATGAGAATTGATTGATAATTCAAAGTTTTAAAGAGCTCTTATGCTATGGTATAAGGACGAATGTTTTTATGTCTGCAAATTTCTCTCTTCTTTTTCGGAACTTCCTAACATATATTCCTTAAAAGGGTTATCCCCAAGGAATGCACATAAGAAGTAAATGTTGTTTTATACGATTAAGTAAATACTATGTACTGCTTTCAAAAAATCCCTTTAATATTGTGACTTCCGAAACCCGAATTATTACTCAAATGGTTCATTTCTAGCTGCAGATTGGCCCAATATCATTGGTCAATTTAATTAACTGCATATCTTGAATTATTCTCTAAATCAGAGTCACTTCACCTTATCTGGGGCCAGCCACATTTCTATTATTGTGCAATTTATAGGATATTACTAAAAATGATAACAAATTTTTTACTGTCCATTAAATTTGGCTTGGAGGCACAAAATATAAGATTTTTACGACATTCACTCATCTGTAAATCAATTCAATCCTAAGGTCCTCAGAAAATTCAGAGCAAAGAGATTTTACCTAGAATCTAACGCTGCTCATAAACGTAATATCCGGGAATGCCTCAAGTGATGTAGACAACTTAATTACATCTTGGCCCCATTTTATTTTGCATTAATAGAATGGAATTTTGCGTCTTGCAGTAATTACTTTCTCCATATATAAAGCCAGAGCTTCTATACTCGATTGCTAAATCTCAGAGAAATAAGTCACTTAAAAGTTAGAAAAATGACCCCACCTCCTCAAAAATATTCAGTACCACTTTACACTACATCAAACGGATGTCCTGTTAGAAATCCTAATGCTATGATCAAGATGGGTAAGTATGGTCCTGCTTTGCTTCAGGATCACCATCTAATCGATCTGTTAGCTCATTTCGATCGCGAAAGAATACCAGAGCGTGTTGCACATGCTAAAGGATCTGGTGCGCATGGCTACCTTGAGGTTACTGACGATGTTTCAGATTTAGTCAGTGCCGACTTTCTCAATGGAATCGGTAAGAGGACTTCACTTTTCTTACGTTTTTCAACCGTCGGTGGTGAAAAAGGGTCGGCAGACTCTGCTCGTGATCCTCGAGGATTTGCAGTGAAGTTTTACACTCAAGAAGGAGTTATTGATTGGGTGAACATCAACAGTCCTATTTTCTTTATTAGAAACGGTGTTCAGTTTCCTTTTTTGGTTCACACTCAGAAGTCAAGGGACCCTCAAACAAACTTGAAGGATGTCAACATGTACTGGGATTTCTTATGCAATAATCCAGAGTCAGTTCACAATATTATGTTCGTGTTTTCAGACCGTGGTACGCCCTTTTCTTATAGGCATATGCATGGATATTCTGCACACACTTACAAGTGGATCAATAAAGAGGGAAAGTTTCATTATGTTCAAATACATTTGTTAACAGATCAAGGAATTAAAAATTTGACAAACGAACAGGCTCATGCGTTAGAAGCTGATGATCCAGATCATGCTGGTCGTGACCTTCACGAGGCAATTTCATCGGGCAACTATCCCTCATGGACTGTGTGCGTCCAGACTATGACCGCCGAAGAAGCCAAAAAGGCACCATTTAGTGTATTTGACTTAACGAAGACTTGGCCCCAAAAGGATTATCCGCTCAGAAAATTTGCTAAGCTTGTATTGGATAGGAACCCCGAAAACTATCATGCAGAAGTTGAACAATCTGCATTCAGTCCTGCTAATACTGTTCCTGGCATTGAACCTTCGGCAGATCCCGTTTTACAGGCGAGATTGTTTTCTTACTCTGATACACAGCGCTATCGTCTAGGTGCTAATTTTAATCAAATTCCTATTAACTGCCCACTGCAAGCTTATTCGCCCTTCCAAAGAGATGGTGTAGCATGCGTTAATGGAAACTACGGCTCTGCGCCCAACTACCCAAGCTCCTTTGAACCTCTGGATTATAGATCAGATGCTTCAAACAACGAATCTCACGAAAAGTGGGTCGGTGAAGCGACCTCTTTTCAATGGAGTGTTACGGATGATGATTATGATCAACCAAGAGCAATGTGGGAAGTTTTTAGAAAAACAGGTCAACAAGAGGCCTTTATTCACAATTTATCAGCCAATTTAAAGGGAGCAAAACCAGAAATTCAGGCTCGTGTCATAGAAATGTTCTCAAGAGTAACTCCCGAAATCTCTGGACGTTTGAGCACGGCTCTGCAGTCTTGAGATCAAATACATGGTTTTTCTATAATATTTGAATGCGACTTTCTGTACCTTCAGGATTTGAATGGTACACGTTATTTATACTTAAATATACTTTATTATTATTTATGGATAGTCCGTTTTATGACTTTTCAATAAGTTGGCTTTCAGAAATAAAGTAAGTTTTGCTCTTTCCAAAGCAACACTACGGTATGATTCCATATAAGCCGAAAAAAAAACTTAAGATGTACAATAATCTATCTCATTTTTGAGGAGGATGTAGCTTTTTTTTTTATCATAATGCCAAGATCGTTTTTTTTTATTTCGTCGGCCTTCTTTTCAAAAGGATTTCAAAATACCTCGGGTTTAAAATCAATCAGCTAATCAACCAATTCTTAGTTAAGGACTCGTAGACATTGCAAAAATGAATATGCATGTTTATTCTCTAAAAAAGAAATTAGAGTATCTTTTTTCTTGCAACTGTGTTTTTTCGGCTATTACGGCTATAGGCAAGAGCTGATAAATATTTCTTCCATGCAGCTTTTCAGTTCATAATTCCGGGTGGGGTGAAAGGAAACGTGTAGAGGTTAGAGATGATCAAATTTAGATGCAATATTTGGACGTATCGACAGGTTTGAAGTCTATCAAAAGTAATCTTGAGCTAAACAATGCGGGATATGGACCTAGTTTTTCTTGTATCATATCATATTAGTTTTTTGTTACAGCGTTAAGATCATGGGCTCTAAATTTTAATATAATACTAGATAGTGTCTGTACCCTAAAGAAAACTTTGCAAATTTTATCATTATTTTTAACTGGAATTCAAGGGAAGATTGGTTTAGTACGCGAAGAAACCGGAAGTGCTAAATTCCCTGGACTATCCAATTTCCAGGACACACCAGAAATAGATTAACGACCTTTGCAAGCCAGGCGTTAGACATCAAAGACGAAATTGACGTAATACGCAAGCACAGGAACGTCTCTACAAAAGGTGTTAGATTTACGAAGTCCTTAGAGCATGGTGTGCAAGTCAACGAATTCTTTGACTGTACTTTTTGGTCTTGGGCATTGCCTAAAAGAGAAGTGCTGCACTTCAAACATTCCGAAAGTAGATATTACCCTTGAATGATTTTCATTGCAAGTAGTATCCTGTGGACTGGCTTAGTTTTGTTGAGATTGGAGTGATCAAGGCCTAGCCTATGCTCTAACCTCGTGTAGCTGATAAACGTAATATCCGAAAATTTTATGCAAAGAGCATGCCGGTATCGCAAATTATCAACCCCTCACTTGTCCAATTTTTCCTCAAGATTAAAAAAAATGGATATTGAAGGTGAAGGTGAATGATTGAGATATGTTCTCTTTAGCTCCATATTGTCTATTAAATAAGTATAACAACAATTATACAAACAAATTAAAAAAAATGTCTACCTTACACTATGACTTCATCATCGTTGGCGGTGGTACCGCTGGTAATGTGGTAGCCGGAAGATTGGCCGAAAACCCTAATGTAACGGTTTTGGTTGTGGAAGCTGGTGTTGGAAATTCTTACGAGATTGAAGAAATTACAACTCCTTCCAATGCGATGGAGCTCCGTGGAAGTAAATATGACTGGGCTTATAAGACCACTATGGTTAAGCGTGATGACTACGAACGTATTGAAAAGCCAAACACCCGTGGTAAGGCTTTGGGTGGAAGCTCTTCTCTTAATTACTTCACCTGGATTCCTGGATGCAAGCCAACTTTTGACATGTGGAAAGAATTTGGAGGGGACGAATGGACCTGGAAGGCCCTTGTTCCTTATTTGAGAAAAAGTGCGACATATCATGACGATGATAACCTATATCCCGAGGAATTAAAAAAGATTGGGTCGGGTGGACCTCTACCCATTTCTCATGCAGAGCTTTTACCAGAATTGGCACCCTTCAGGGAAAATATTACGAAAGCATGGAAGTACATGGGGCTGCCCATCAGTGAAAACATTTACGATGGAGAAATGATTGGACTGACCCACTGTGTTGATTCTATCTATCACGGTAAGCGTTCGGGAAGTTTTTACTTTGTGAAAGACAGACCTAATGTCACTATTGTGTCAGAGGTTCATTCCAAAAAGATTATTATTGATCCATCAGACAAAATTGCTAGGGGTGTTACAGTTATTACTGCCGCCGGAGAAGAGCAAAGTTTCTACGCTAGCCGTGAAGTAATTGTTGCACAGGGTGTTTTTGAGAGTCCTAAGCTATTAATGCTTTCAGGTGTCGGTCCTAAGAAGGAGTTGGAAACACATGGTATAGATGTCCTTGTTGAGAATTCTCACGTAGGTCAGCATTTGCTTGACCATCCTGGAGTTCCATTTGTATTAAAAGTGAAGGATGGGTATGGTATGGACGACTACTTGCTTCGTAACGGTCCTCTACATGAGAAGGCTGTAAAGGAATACAAGAATAAAAGTAGAGGCCCTGTTGGATCGGGCCTTCTCGAAATGGTGGGGTTCCCTCGAATTGACGAATATTTAAACAAGGATCCCCTTTACCGGAAGGCTAAAGCGGCCAATGGTGGTAAAGACCCCTTTTGTCCCGATGGTCAGCCTCATTTTGAGCTCGATTTTGTGAGCATGTTTGGAAGTGCATTCCAGTGGCATTATCCTACACCTAAGAGCGGCTGTTACACTTCTATTGTTGTTGATTTAGTTCGTCCAGTTTCCGAAGGTGGTGACGTCACCCTTAACAGTTCGGATCCTTTGGAACAGCCTAATATCAACTTGAATTTCTTTGCAGACGAGCTTGATATAATTGCTATGCGCGAGGGCATTAGGTTTTCTTACGACCTTTTAACGAAAGGTGAAGGTTTTAAGGACATTGTAATTGGTGAATATCCTTGGGAAATGCCATTGGATGATGATGAACAGATGAGAAGAGCCGTTCTTGACCGTTGCCAAACCGCTTTCCATCCATGTGGTACTAATAGGTTGTCCAAAACTATTGATCAAGGTGTTGTTAGCCCCGAACTAAAGGTTCATGGAGTTAAGAACCTTCGTGTTATTGATGCTTCGATTATTCCAGTGATCCCTGATTGTCGTATCCAAAATTCAGTTTACGCAATTGGAGAAAAGGGAGCTGATATGATCAAATCAGCCCACAAGGATCTTTACAAATAGACAATTAGATAGTAGACCCTACTATCAACCTCGAACTTATTCATACATATATTATGCAAGTACTATTATGAAAATATCTAAGTATGTTCAAGAATGCTTTGAAAGATATGCTATTTTACGAATCTGTCAGACGCATTTAATAATTGTTTTTTAAGCAAGGCTCCAGCATAAGCTCTTGGAGCCATGCATGCTTATTCATCAAACTTGGTAATCAAGAGTTCAATATTAGAGCATCTCGAAATTAATCGGACAGTATTTTTTTTTGGTTTGAATATTTAGAGATTTTTAACGTAGGAAACTTTCCATCTTGCTAATCTTTAGGCTGATTTCACGCAGAAACAATATAAAAGAAAAAAACCTTCACAGGAAAGCGGATAACCAGTTAAAATCCGCTTTTAATTTGAAAAGGGATAATCTAATTTTTATTCTTCGAATACTTTTTTTCCATCCTATGTGACTTTCGTCTTTTTTGCCGTGTTTTTGGAGGTAGCTAGCCTCTCCTTTTACATAAGGGGCAACTTCCGAAATAATAAACCCAGACCCATTATATCATCATGGAAAAAAATATAATCCGGAACAAGGATATCCCGGCTGGATAATTCCAAATGTTCGAAACAAGAGATTTGATAAAGGTATGTTTCCTCCTTACAGCTACTGCACAACTTTTAATAATCACGGAAAAAGATATTCTGTAATGAAGGGCATAGTATCTGGGTACTGTAATGGACTAGAATGATTATAAATCCTTCAAAACGATGGAATTTGAGAAAGCCACTTTATCACCTGTCATAGGCATAAGAGAAGCCCCATAACTCAATAATAAGCCAAAATACACTCTTTGAATTACAATAGAGAGAGATGGTAAACTCTCTTTTCCTATCCCAACTAAACTGGAAGCCATTCTCATGGTTGTTTTTTCAAAGGTGGTACACATGTAATCCAATATCAGCATAGATGTCTCTGAAGTTAAACGAAAACGACAAAGAGATTCGAGTAGTTCGTTACTGTGTCATAATACCGTACTAATTTTGAGGGTTTGGGACAACCATCTGAATGAGAGTAAAAGTCAGAAACCGATGAAGTTAGTTTTTTTTGAATAAAGACCTTTCCATCGATGGTAAATTGCTTCAAATCATAGTGACATTGAACCTTGATATTATTTTAATGGCATTTAGCGATATTATTGTTGATTCTGTTTGAATTTGAATAGATGCATACGTGCACAGTATTAACTTTAAGAAATTGGCAACTCTTCTCTTGAATAACTCAATCAAGAGGTCTGGGAATAGCAGCGGCAAGATAAAAAGCTAGGATGCGGGAGCTATGCTTTTATCTATAATAATAACAAAAAAACTGCATGAATTCAAGTGATTCTGACTCAAAAACTTTATTATCTCCACGGTAAACGATGCTTTTGAAAATTTTTAGCTCCCTTAGGGGGCTGAACTAGAATTATGTTACTGTTCATTCTGGTATTGAGATTAGCACTAGAGAGAAGAAAATTACCTTTCAACTTACAAGAACGTTACCTCTAAAGGATACTTATAAAAAGATTATTACAACCATAAGCCACAAAATATCCTAACCAACAGTCCCAAGAGTTATAATTGGATTGGTGTCAATTAGATACCTGAAAGCACATTCTATTTTGCTTCAAGGAACAGCAACTACATTCCATGCGCATCGTCAATCATATAACAGTGAATCTGATTGGCCTAATTTCCTGTCATGTGACATCTACGCATATGATAATGTGACATTTAGTATCCCTGCTTGAATTGTTCAAACCTTTACCCAATAAGGAAATTTGAGCAACAAATATATTGTCAACTGAAAAAAAAAAACTACTTCGCAATGTTAGTTTCATTAAAATTCATATAGCGCGATTGTATTAGGGTAATCAATTCATGATATTCAAAAAGTTGGTTATGGTTTCTAAATAATGATATTCATGATAAAAGCACCAGAAGAAGATTATCAATAAAAAAATGAGCCACTGGCACGATGGCTAAAAAAGACAAATTAAAAAGGCACAAGCAGTAGTCAAGTGTATTGTTAAGAATGCAAGGATTTAAAAAGCCCCATAAAAGATGGTAATATAATAAGAATACCAATAAAGCATAATGATGCTGTATTCCTTTACGGAATATGCAGATTTAAACTTTGGAACTCAACAAGATTGGTAATACCAAAAAAAACTGCATGGGTTCTTTTTTTGAATAAAATATTTGAAAAGAATATAACCAATTGACAGAGATTTTTCGTTATCCTTAAAGTAGAATTTGAATGCATTTCGACTCTTTGAGTTTTGTACTGAAATGTAAACGTTCATTGTGAAGAAAGAAATAGAGCTATTGGAAATAAAGAGAGAGCCTATTCCCGCTTTGTAACATAGAAATATTATTTTGATCATTATATTCAGTGTAACTTCAAAAGAAGCTTGTAACTATTAATATTATATCAGTAAGATATTGATCGAAAAAAAAAAGAAAAAAATTGTTTCTATTATGCGACTAAAATTAAATCTTTAAGAGTGCCTTTCACTTTCTCATTGATTTGGAAACATTTCAAGCTTATTCTTAAAACATTATTTTTCTTTTCTTTGGTTAGACTACAAAGTGTTAGTGAATCAAAGATTCAAAGAATTGTGATAAATGCGAGGAATTTCTTCTCTGGCCAATTTCTTATCTTCAGTCAAAATTTTTTTTCTCAATGAACTAGGTGAAGTCAAAAGTATCACCAAGAAGGTTAGATATCACTAACTCATGATCTCCGAATGATCTCACTTCCACTTGCAGATAAACTTTTGACAATATTTGAAAAAGTTATTTTTTTTCCTCTATCATGTTCGCTATCTCACCTAACATCATTGCAGCCAGTAAATTCGTGACCTTCCAACATGATTATTGAGCATTTTCCCATAGAAATTGATGAATAATGCAATTCATTTCAATACCAAACGATCTAAGACTAGATCACAAATCTATTCAAGAGCATTGAGCATAATTTCCAGATATCTTTTCAAAGATTTCTTGAAAGCAGTTTGCAAAGGTACAAACAGGCTTTAGTTTGGTTCAGTCACCGCATTCAAAATTGGCATATCTTGCATTGGTAAGAATATATTCTCCGTCAATAGAATTACTCATAATCTGCCTGATGATAATTGGTTTTCTCATTTTTCTCCGTTATCTTTCCGATGGATCAGTTGAGACGCTAATGCATGCCTTCGCCCATATCAGCTATGATATTATCACCTCTGGAATCATTACGCTTATTTTGATCTTATAGTTGTAGAGATTTTAAAACTTTAGAGAAACAAAGGTGATTAACTTCAATAATCTATGGGTGAAATAGGATGATCATTGAACCTAAACATTTTTGAATGCGAATAAGTTGATTTTTCAGAACACCTCCATGATAAACGATATTGTTCTCTTCGAAGTTCACTTTCAATGAGAAGATAAAAAACGGTGCATAAATTACTGATGTTTCTGACAGGTTTAGGAACATTCAGCAGTTGAATGAAAGTCGAATTTGAAATTGGAAAAATATTAATTACTACACTCCTTCTCATCCTATCTCACTTAACGACATGATACTATTCACATTCTCTATCAATGTTTTTCCACCAAGACTCCTTTCTGCATTTTAATTTTGAAGTCTATCATCCCATCTTTTTTGACCACGTATTCTTTCCCTAAGTTTTCTGATCTCCGTTTTCTCTGGTTTACTTTCTTCCATATAACGATTTTTCTCGTATATTCCCCTGACTTCCATGGCTCCACCGGAACGCTTTCCATCTACTATAGCACTGCCCTCTCACCTCCTCAAATCACTGAATTAATTGATGGATCTTTTATTCACCTTTTTTCCAATCTTTTCGTATAATCCACGACATATGGCTATCCTTTTGGTTTTGATAGTTTCTGCACACGCTTTGTGATAATATTCCATCCACCTCTGCTTAACTTCCCCTGTTTACAGTTTGCATCTATCATTTTCTATCGCTTTCTTATATGCGTTTTCAATATCCATCTACACTCCTTGCTCCTCGCCTCTCTCAGCGAGACGCTATTCTACGATCCGAATTTGTCCTTTGAAAATACTCATCTGCATTGTGGCGCATTATTCAATTTCATCTCATTCTCAATCTTAAATCATATCCTCTAGCTTCAGTTTCATTAACCTTGCTTCGAAATTTCCTAATTTAGAATGTTTCTGCTCTAAAACTAAACATTATGTTGTTTTTCAGGTTTGGTAGCAAAACATTTAACGTGCGTTTTACATGATATTCTGAAAGAAGGTAATGGCTATATTGGCGCTCATCGTACAATCACAAGTGACACTATAGTTCCATCACCATGATACCAGAGCCCCTTAGTAAGGCTTATCTAGCAAAACAATACAAGAAGATCATAACACTACCCCGCACCCGAGACTCATTGTCACTCACGAAATACCATTTAATACGCTCAATATTGTGGAATGAACCAATTCTGCGTCAAACTTAGTCGTGGCAACCTATGAATCCAAGTACTAAAAACAAATAGAAACCACTATTCACGATACTCTGTTTTAATAGAAGTCAAACTCAAAACTGATTTTCCAAATCTAGCATATAGGCAAGGTTGATGACTGTGATAATTCTACTGACCTCCAATTCCGTGCTTCTCTTTCACATCTGCGACCGCTGATAAATAACACCCACAGCCATGTAGATAAGGACACTATGATAGTTGCGCAACTGAACACCCTAATTCATTGACCTCAGCCAGCGTGTAAAACACTTTACCTCAGGAATCCATACCAGCTCCGCATCTACTGCAATACAAAACCTTAGATTTTAAAACACTCCAAGTCGCATCATCTTGTACATTTGCGACTTGACTACCACTTTAGGCTCTATTCTTTGTTCATGCAAAAAATCTTGTGCTTTCGGCGGTCTCCCAAGGCGTTGAAACAGCGCTAAGAACAAATGGCGCAATTTTTCTTCCCACTCATCACATTTTTGAGGTCTACAAGTAGCACCATGCGAAGCAAAGCCACGTCCTAGACCTTTGTACACCAGCTTTTTTCCTAGTAGTACACGCCGATTTTTTAGTTTTGATTTGCATTAAACCCTCTTAAACTTCTATAATACTCTGTGCAGGGACCCATTGCGTGACGAATGAGAAATAGCTGAAACAGCAACGTCTTATAAAAATTCTGTAGGTACCCGCACGTTAACAGATTTAGGCTCGGCTAGGGGTACGCATCCATGCGTACATTGCATTGCCCTGTATTTCTCAATGTAAGGCGTTCTCCATATAGTCTTTTACCGGTTATAAAACGATCCCATCAGGAAAAACTGCGACGCGTTGTTGCTTCCGAAATAATTGCAACAATTGGAGCCGGGAATTTTACTCTACCACACAGTGCGAAAAATTGAATTCCGAGCTCTCAGATGCCCTCTTACATGGCATATACCGTGGAATTCTGCATGATCTCCAAGGTGAAGTCGTCCATGATGTTCATTTGCACGCCTGATTTGAAAAACTAGCCTACATGAAGCTTCGCATTTGCAACCCACAAATGCCTAAACTACATGAGTAATTTCTCAGATACCAACGCAATAGCCCTATTAGTGTCTGCACCATCTGCAAAAAGTTTAGGCAGTCGAGTGTAGATGTAGTTTAAGTACTGCTCGCATATGAAATATGAAAAGCCAACAGTCACTGATGAGTTGGCATTGATTAATATTCAATCACATATACCAATCCACAATATGTGCTTATGACTCTTTTTCTTGCTCAAATCACGGTTTCTTGATGTGAGTTTATAATTTTCATTTATTTGGTCTCTATTATTACCTTAAGATCCTGAAAATACCCCCAGATACGTTGCGGCATCTTGCTAGAAACTCTCTGTGCCGTCCTCAGTCGCGTTTGATAATGTGTTATATACTTGATCCACGCTCACATAGCAGTCATGAGAAAACTCACAGATATTACTCCTAGATATTACTCCTTTAAACTCAAGCCTTTTTTGCTCTTCAAAATATCCACTCAGCTTGAATGGTAGCATACTCATAAGAAATGCATTAGGTGCGAATATCAAGTGCCTTTGAAAATGGTGTAGAATAGCTCCTGTAAAATTGCAGCTTTGTCTCCTTTTTGGAACTTCTCCCAGTACATCCATCAGACGTTTGCTGTTGGCCAATGGCCTCGCCGCCTGTCGTCCAAACACTATCTGGTGTCAATTGGCTATATGGAAATACAGAACTCGTGTAAATTTGCCGTTTGCGTCGATGACCATCATTTGTAGCTTCAACAACAATGGAACCAATGATACTACTCTTGACTCCCCTTTGTGGTATTTTCAATAGCTTACATGTGACAGTGTTTCAAAAATGCGATGCTTTGTATCTCGTACAATGCCCTGTCCACAACAAATGACTTGAAAGACCCTGTAATGATCGCAGATGGACTCTGGCAGGTAGCAGCCAAGCATGTGAATGGCTCGCGTGCTCTCTTTGTTTTCGAATGACGTCGCACTCTCATCCTCATACCACGACCTCTCGCCGATTTTGTTGCCATTCTAGTACAGGTATTCTCTGCTGCTGTTCTGCAGGTAATCGGGAGAACGCGGTATGCAATCGCTCATTTCAAATTTCTTCTATATCTCTAACCTGCTTTGACTACCTTAATACCGACTTTTGTGTATAATAAGTATTTCTTGTGGTTTGGCACGACTCAAATAGTAGTGGGCAGTTCAAAACAACAATAGAATCTTCTTTTAATCTCACATAAATCCACAAAATTCCGTAGAGCACCAGTTCCACAATACATAGTACTCTCTTCTTAGTAGCTTGAGAGTGCTCAAGTCTGGGGACTTGATTGGTTCAATGAACTCTCGGGCTTTCTTTATGAGATATTCCCTAATAGCCTTATAACGATCTGATGCAACTTAAATATGCACGAGGCTACTGAAGCCTAAGAAAAACCAAAAAAAGAAGAAACTTCTGTGATTATGCAATCAACTTTGTAATCCGACGTTAAATGCGACTCGCCACTCACACTCCTCAAAATAGCTTAATACAAATATCACTAAGTACGAGAAACAACAGAACACCACATTTTTGTTAACCTGTCACGAGTGTTCGATTAGCCTTAATGGTATTATCTCGTAATAGTAGCGATATTTACAGAAGAGATATTACATCCGAATAGCAGGAAGTTTTGAGTACATTATGCTATTCGTTTAATTTGAAGTCCACAGGTGTGATTATCCTTATAGGTACCAAAGTAATACATTAGAAACCCTTAAGGATGGGATAAGTTTGGTGGTATCAGTCAACCTCAAATTTATCTCAAAAAGAGCCAAAAAAACAGTCAAGGGAGCCTATATTTTCTACGACTCCTTTTTAAGAATTTTCTAAAGCATCTATATGCTCTTCTATGGGTCTGAATTTGTTCAAAAAGCTTAATAATAGTCTCCCAGTTCAACTGTATATAACTGTAAATCTTGGAAAGTTCAGGCATTGAATTACCCTCCATGGGTGGGCATCACGTTTTCTGCTAATCCTTTTACGCTTTCACTGAAATCCAAAAACGAAATGCTCCGGGTAAACATTGATCACGTGAATAGTTAGCACAGGTTTGAGATCATCCTCATGAACGGCAAACCAAGACACTAGGCCACCATCATTTTTTTCATCGATGGAAATCCCGTTAGCAGATCATCTACAAGAATGTTGAAAACAACTTTCAACATTTTTCTAATGATAAAGCTTTTTTATTTATATCCCAGTAAATATAAAATCGTGAAAAAAGGCTTCACAAGAAACCCTTGTTTAAGATATAAACTAACGAGATGAAAGAAATGAATATAAAAGAGCTCATTACTTGGTCATCTGATATTCACCTCCGAAACGTGGCGCATTGAGAATAATACCATTCAAAATCCCAGCAATAAGACCTGCAATTGGAAGGGTTAAAAACCAACCAGAATAGCACCATGCAACCATTCTCCAGTTAACTGATTTCAGATCTTTGTTACATAGTCCGACCGCCACAATTCCTCCAACAGCAATTTGTGTAGTAGAAGTTGGAATAGCCAGCTGCGTGGCCATAACAGTTGTAATCGCTGCTGCTAACTCAATAGAAAAACCATGGGATGGTGATTGTAATATCATTTTGTTTCCGAGATTTTTGATGATGTTGTAACCATATGTCCAACAACCAATAACCAAAGCGGCACCACCATAAGCTAACACCCATACAGGAACTTCAGAGTTAGAACCTGCGGTGTTAGTTTTCCAAATATCATACACAGCAGATAAAGGACCTGTAGCGTTGGCGACATCATTGGCTCCGTGTGCAAACGACATTGTTGCGGCTGTTATGGCTTGCAAAACAGAGTAAATATATTCAACTCTGTTGTCATAAAATTTAGACCTCTTATACATACCTTTCAAATCACCTGAAAGCATGTCTTTATCGTTTACCTGTGCGTGGATAACGTCTTGCGTCCATCCATGAGAGACAATTAACCAAAGCAGCGTAGGCCACTTTTTGGGACCCATTTTCAATAAAGAAAACCAATACTGTTTTGTGGACATTTTCTCTGTCACAGTTTGAGTATCGACCAAATCCAGTTCTCTTATAGAATCGCTTTTACCTTCTTTCATACTCGCTGAATTTATCTCAACACCCTTGTTTTCTTCATCTTCGACATCTACCATGGAGTCTTCTGCAATCCTTCTGCCTTCATAATAATCAATAGTCAGCTGATGCCCTTCAGGAATTGGTGTAATATCTTCAGTAGACTTAAAGTAAAATACAGGGCCTCTTAGGATGTCAATAAGTTTTAAAGTCCAATCTTTCTGCAGTATTTTTCTTCTGTAAAACGGATAGAAGAAAATGAAATAAATGGCTGTCGCTACTGCTCCAGTAACTACAATAGAAACTGCAGTCTCCGTCTCAGAAAGTTTGTCCAATTTGAGATTTGGCGATCCCTTCCATACAATTAGCATAGTAAGAATGGAGAAAGTTGCGAAGACTAGCAGCCCGACCAAAAGAAGAGCATTTTTGATTGATCTCTCAATCGATTTAACCTCTAATACACAATACTTCGATATCATGAATATTATTGCAGCAATAACACCAGCTAGAACTGGAGCGATGAACCACGAGGCAATGATTTGAGAGACCCCTTTCCATCCCCATACAACACCACTTGCTCCTCCAGCTGCAATTCCCGCTCCAATAGTGCCACCGACAATGCTGTGTGTTGTAGAAACAGGCATACCTATCGAAGTGGCAAATGTTAGCCAAGTTGCAGAGCCAACTAATGCACACGCCATAGTTAACATTAGAACGGCTGGATCGTCGGCATATGTACTGGCGTCAATGATATTGTTCTTGATAGTTCCTGACACTCTTGCTCCGGCCAAGACGGCACCCAAAAACTCACAAAGGCCAGCCAACACCATGGCCTGCCAGTATTTCAAGGATCTAGAGGAGATCGAAGAAGCGAAAGAATTAGCAACGTCATTTGCACCAATATTAAATGCATCCAAAAATGCAAAGAGCATCGTGATGGCAAAAATATAATCAAACTGATGTAAAGCCATGTTTGAGTTTTTCTGATCTTGGAACGTTTTAAGTTGAAGCGTTTACTAGAGTTAAGAACGGTTAAAATAATAGATTTCTGGAAGGTTTTCCTGTTGGTATATACACGTATATATATATATATTCTCCCATTCCAATAAGAAAATTGGATTGTTCCCTTTTTTATTACGCCGTTCGTAATATCTAATAATTAATTTAAATTAATACATATTAATCGGTGCACGAAGCTTTTGATCTATTGGTTTACGTACTTTTTAGCGTGTCACAGCTTTTAGCATTTTAATTTGTTACCAATTGGCGCCACTTCGCCTCCCCACGTGTGAAGCTAATTTATTATAATTATGAAGCTTTCTCAGCTTTTTTCTGAGCAGCCGTGCAACCGCATGTGAACAGCAAAAAAATAATACTAGCGACAATGTGAGATTGTATGCAGGGTCCTATGCAGGGTCCATAACGGAAACTCTAGATTGTTTTGAAGCGTGACTGCGCCTCTTATTAAAGAGGGGTCACAGCAGTAACAAAATGGCGGAAAGAAATCAATAAAGTATCGGCTAAAGACCTTATTTATTTGGTTAGAAACGATTCCGATGAAAATGGTCCCCACATGGAGCTGCATATGAAGTCTTTTCTCGAAATAATAGAATTGGACCGTTTTTTGAACAAAAATAGTACATGATGCAACAAAAAATGCAATGAGGAAAAAACTATCACGTGCGTAGTGAATGAAAGCAAAAAATTTCTTGTGAATTGACATTAAGACAAAGCTTCTGGCGTGATTCAATTATGCACACATATTGTGAGGTGTTTTATGTTATCGTGTGCATCCACGCCACTGGTATATCAAACTGCCACAGTTCAACTTGGTTCCCATTTTTACATTTGCGTGAAACCCTGTTCGCCCTAATCTTTGTTGCCAGTGCCATTTACAATATAATATTTTTGGCGAGACAATGGCCCTAAAAATTGACGAAACAAATCTGTATCGCCATGACAGATTACTACAAATACCTTTTAGTTAAAATGGTACTTACTCTAGTTAGTTCAATCATAAACAAACTTTATGAAGTAGTGGTCTACACATTTGATTCAGCGAATGAAGTCTTGACCGCGAAATGTGAACTTGGACTAGGCGAACCAGAATCTTCTTAAATGAGAAGAGCATTACTCGGGGTGTTTGAAAAATTACATCTTGGCCGATGGGACTGATATAGCTTTTCACGACAAAGCAATATTGTAACTTTTCGTTCTAGCAGAAGCTGTGATGAAAAAATTGATTATACTGAATCCTTTATAAGGCATCTAATTTTAAAGCCCCAAAAATTGCTTGAGCCGTAAAATACATAACAAGAATTCTTGGCCATCATATCTCAATCAAAAGATTTACTAGAATTGAATTTCTGTATTACTAACATGTGTCAAGTTTAAAAATTTCTGCGGATATTGTTCAAAATAAAGAATTTTAAGCACTCCTTACACTAAAAAAAGCAAACAAATTTTAATTATATATCCTTTGTTGCTTCAGATGGATAATATTTTTCGTCGTTCAAATACTTTAAATCTTCAACAGGTCTCTCACCTTGTGGTGTAATTCTAAAGGCATGCCTCGAAATTGGCTCTTCCCAGTCGATCGTAGCAGAATGGTGAGCCCTACGGTTATCCCAAATTGTTACAGTTCCAGGCTCCCATTTTGCGCGAAGCTGAAGATCTAAGGAGTTATCAACCAGCTCGTATAAAAATTTCAATATTAAGTCGGATTCTGCTTTCTTGAGCTCAACAATTCTTCTGGAAAAGGCACTATTGACAAATATGCTCTTTTTCTTTAGAACCGGATGAACTCTTATCAAAGGATGGATATGTGTGACAGGATCACGTCTTTGAATTCCACCGTTTTGCTTTGCTCTGTCTGCTTGCTCTTTGGAGCTATGGATTACATGAAGCTTCCCCAAAAATTCTTGAAAAAGGGGTGACGGCCGTTCATATGCAGTGATAGAATCACTGAATAGTGTATCTCCACCACCGTCAGGTCCCTCTAGCACACTAAAGAAGGTATAAGATGGTGGTTGTAACTCGTATGATACATCCGTATGAAATTTCACTGATGTTATATTGTCTCCAAAAACTCTTTCAAATTCCGAATGATCGGGTCTGCGAAAAGTGATGTGAAGCTCAGGATGTCCTTCAGGTGCTCCAGATGTTTGATGAATGTGTAGTCGGCCAAAGTACTTTCCATACTCTACTACATACTGCGGTCCTTTCGAAGCAAAATTTTGGTTTCTAAAAATGACAACACCCCTTTGAGCCACTAAGAGAGCAAGCTCATCTTTACCATTGTCATCTAACTCTGTTAACTGAATTCCATTAATCTCAGTACCAAATTTTGGAGTTATTTTGCGCGCAATTTGCGGTCTATGCTTCCCTAGAAGGTTAGGAAATTCAGGATCTGCCTTCAAAGCAGGATCAAAATATTCATGAAACTCTAAATGATCATACTTATGTTTAGGATTCCATGTAGGAAGAAAAGAAGGGTACTGAGACTTTGCTCTATATTCAGAACTAATCCGCAAAATTCCATCTTTCCCTACTTCGTCTTGCCCACTAAAAAAGTGAGTATCAAAATTGCCATATTCCCTTTGTTTTGAGATAATGCTTACAGGCATGTTAACCTTAATCGAGTGATTGCCTCAAAAGCCATCCTACTTTTCAAATTATCACTGTCTTTTATAGACTTCTCTCGAGAATTTGTTTCCCCAGATTCTGACTTCATCGGCCATAAAAGAATTATACTACTACAGCAAGTCACTCTGAAACTGATGCCTGTTGAGACACATTGACTTTGACTCATTCGAGATCTTATTAATGAAAAATATCCACTGCTACTTTCTCTGTCGACATCAATGTCTCCACAGAAGTCATACGAATACCAACAGATATCGTTTACTACGTTGTTTTTTATTGTCTCATCCTAAGGTTGCCTGCCTGAGACAATGCATAATTGGGAAATAATATTTGAATTTGGTAATGGCTGTATATAATAAATTACCTAGTTATCATAATTGAGTGAAGCTGTCAAAGAAAAGAGAGAAAAAAAAAGCATATAAAATGCCGAGAAATATTGAAGAAAAGGAGCCAATCAATACAATAGAAGTAATTTCATACACAGAGAGCGAAACCTCAGATGATAATCCTTTCTTAGATTCACATAATGCTGAGTACTACACTAAGCTATACGAAGACTGCAAATATGAATGTCGTGCCGCCTTCGATCCTGAATTCACTTGGAGTGCTAAAGAAGAGAAGAAGTTATTAAGGAAGTTGGATTGGAGGGTCGCAATACCTGCGTGTATCATGTTCGTAGCTCTTCAGGTTGACCGAGGAAATCTTGCCCAAGCAGTAGCAGATAATTTACTTGCAGATATGGAAATGAGTACAAACGATTACAATATTGGTAATCAAATCTTTTATGCGAGTTTTTTGATTGCCGAGGTGCCGTCCCAGCTTATTTCAAAGAAGCTAGGCCCTGACAGATTTGTTCCTTTTCAAATGGTCGCTTGGAGCGTTGTATCAATGTGTCAAGCCGCTATGACAACGAAAGCAGGGTTTTATGTTACTCGTTGCTTAATCGGGCTGTTGGAAGGAGGGTTCATTGCAGACCTTGTACTGTGGTTGAGTTATTTCTATAAATCAAAGGAACTTCCTATACGTTTATCGTGGTTTTGGACAACACTTTCACTTGTTCAAATTGTAACTGCATTGCTTGCTTTTGCTATTTTGAGAATGAGAGGACTTGCTGGTCTTGCTGGATGGAGATGGCTTTTCCTTTTGGAGGGACTATTTACATTGCTGATTGGAGTATTGGCATTCTATCTTATGGTTCCATCTGCTGTCCAAACAAAGAATTGGATGCATCCTAAAGGCTGGTTTACCGAGCGAGAAGAAAAAATTGTGGTGAACCGTGTACTAAGGGATGATCCTTCAAAGGGTGATATGAACAATAGGCAACCGCTTTCGCCAAGAAAAATATTTGATGCTCTTTGTGATTATGATTTATGGCCTATTTATGCGATTGGAATTTTAGCGTATATTCCTGCTGCAACTATAACTCCTTACTTGACCTTGAATTTAAAAAATCTCGGATTCTCAACCTTCAACGTTCAGCTTCTCACCATTCCCTACAATGTGATACATATTGTTTTTCTTTTGATTATAACATGGATGACTGAAAAGCTTAACGAAAGAACTTTGGTTTCATTGATTGCACCAATTTATTCAACTGTCCTTTTGGGATTCATCAGATGGTGGCCAGGCTCTATGGTTCAAGCTTGGCCAACTTTTGTAATCACCACTCTGCTGTTAGGAACGCCTTATATTCATGCCATTTGTGTGTCATGGGTCTCACGAAATTCTAACTCTATCAAAAACCGTGCCGTCTGTTCTGCTCTCTATAACATGTTTGTACAACTAGGAAGCATTGCGTCAAACCAAATATATCGAGCAAATGATGCACCTCTGTACCACCGCGGCAATCAGAATTTGTTTTGGATTTCTTTTTCGATGATTCCCCTACTGCTTTTGGTGAAGGTCTATTACCTTCATCGAAACAGGTCGAAAGAGGCTGCGTGGAATGCAATGACAGAAGAGCAGAGAGCCACCTATGTTGTTAACACAAAACATCAAGGAAACAAAAGACTGGATTTTAGATTTGCTCACTGATAGTGGTTTAGAGCTGATTATGATACTTAAATTAAATTAATATATTCTCTAATTATGAAGCGGTCGAAGTTCAGAGGCGAATGCAACCCCACATGTCAGCATATGTTCCACACAGTGTATAAGGAATCTAGAAAACGTAAGATGCTCTTCTACGGACCGGTCACTGCTTAAGTAGTGACCCGCGTTACGTTTCACGATAGAACATTTTGTCCGCTTAGAGATCACAGCAGGGTTCACATTACCCCGCCCATGTCGTTGTTTTTTCCGAACTGCAATTCAGCTTGGCGGTGTATTTTGGTTCCCTTTTCGAAGCGAAACTCGGTGTGCCGGGTAACCAATGCGGCGAAGAAAGGTTCTCCTCAGAGCGCGGCGCTTCTGTTTTCCCGCCCAGAAATCAGAAATCGCCGTACAAATTCCGTTAGCCGTCAAACTTCCGGATTCTTTCAATTATTCTCTCGCGCTTTCTGCTGAATTTTTCCCCAAACCTTTGGAAAAGAAGATGAGAGTATGCCGGGCAACACCTATTTCGTCCTGGCCACTGCTCCGCGGAAAAGGTAAAAATTGTCGAGTTCGCGTGCGTTATAACATTAGGAGATAATAAATGGTTACAAAATGGCCGCAAAGAATGGCTTGTTTCTCACAGCAGTGGCTGGTTGCCTGCTCAAACCCCAACGGGGCGAGGATAACTTCAGCAGCATTATAAATAAATAATAATTTGAGCTTATGAGTAGCCCCTAATCTCTGTGATGAGTACACTGTAATGACAGTTTCGTTGTAGAAAAAGATTTAGCCGCAATAGAAGAAGCTCAAAGGAAACATCAACAACAGGCCACAAAACCGCGCATTCTTCTCGAGCCTGTCACTCGTGCAAAGATTCCTCTGCATCATCTTCGTGTCCTGCCCATATATCAAAAGGGGGTTAAACATTATGTCCTCTACCTACCAAAACAGATACAGGATGCACATACCCATCCAAAGGTGCAGCTCAAAACCTTTTCCCTTCTATCCCAAGTGACAGCTGCTGAAAGAAACCCACAATCTGAGCGCCAGCAGCAGAAAGCCCGCGACCTTGGCACCAAGTGGAATTTGCCCGGCGGATTCAAACCTAAGTTGGAACACCTAGAAAGCGCTGCATCGTAGAAAGTGCTTGTCAACCTAAATCTCGAAAAATGGAATTTTGCGAAGCTAAACATGTCAGCTTTACAATGTTTTGCAAAGCTAGACAATAAGAATGTGGGATTTTGCAAACCTAACATGTTTAGGTTTGCAAGAGAGCATGTGACCTGTTATACCCAAATAGGAAATGTGATGACCGCCTATTTAGGTATTTTTGCTGGGGTTGCTGATGACTACGACAATTACCGTCTGATAAAGACCGCTAACGGCGAAGGAGAACGTACGATTCCGCCGTCCAGAAGTTTCTTTTTGTCGTTAATGTTTGAGAAAAAATTAAAGCTTTTAATTCATGGTGAAATTTTTTCCGAGGTGGTCGACGATGTGTTTCAGCCACTTGTATGGACAGAGCAGAAAGCTATCTAGCACTCGACGGATATCTACTTGAGCGCAAAGAAAATGGAGAATATAAAGTCGCGTCATGGCAGAGAGTTAAACGACGCATGTCCAAACAACAACAAGATCGGTTCAAGAACTACGAATTCATAGAAGTTGAAAGATACAAAGATTATGACACGGATCTTTTCCCATGTAATTCTGGAGCTCTATTTGAGTTGGTAGCGAACGAGATCCACTTCTTTCACGTCGATCCTGCTAGTAACGTGAAGAAGGTTACCACCACTAGAACAAAGTCTCAACTTACTAAAAGTGCGGTACGCGAGAACGTTGTGCCTATTGTATTCAAAGGAAACAAGAAAAAGTACCTCTATCTGGAGTATGACGACGCTGAAGTCAGCCGTCAGCTGGGAGAGGAGAGGTGGAGCCTTAAAGTTGAAGAGGAGAGCCAGGAACTCATGCTCGCAACTGAGCGGTGTAACAACGTGGTGTACAAACATCTTGGTGCAGACCTGCTTGTGTTTTGCGAGAGGGATTTGCAAGCACTACGTCGTTTCCACGCATTCAGAGGTGAGTACAACGCCACATGCAAGCGTGTGTGCCAACGCTGTGTACAAAATGTCAAGAGATCGCAAAATGCTGCGCTATAGAGCAACAAGGACTTTTCGAAGGCCTCAGGCAGGCGAGTCACTTCTCAAGACGCTGCAGGAAAAAAGCATCAACACATATTCACTCTACTTTGCGCCTTTTCTCTATATGATTCTCAACATTAGGGAATTTCCTCTTTTAATGGGGTGTTTTGACGACGAGGATGACGTGTACGACGAAGTCGAGCCTCGGGATGATCTTTCGGGCGAGGTTAGAGTCGAACAAATCTCGCGTATTTTCAGCAGGATGCTAAAGGATGAAGACGGACTGGGTGCAGTTTTGGAAGTCATAGTGCGACTCACAGCGTTTGACGTCGGAGCAGAGGTGAGAAGAAGTGAGCAAGAAGAGGATGAAGGTGAAGATGAAATATCCGAGGATGAGAGCGCTGAGGGTACACAGAGATCAAATTCAAACTTGTGTCACCCCGCACTACAGCCCGCTCGGAGGGTGAGGAGGCTTTTAGACGGAATCAAGTTTTTTGTTGTGTATGCTGTGTTCTGCACGGAAGATAACAACGATCTTTTTGACGAGGAACACTGCGCGCCCATGTGGCGTTGGATCAAGAGCGTGTACAACGAGGTTAGGGCTGAGGAAAAAATCCAACTAGATTATGACGTCAAGCTTTGTGAACCCGATGGTGTGATTGTTTCCGGCAAGCTGTTCAACAGAAGGTACATCCAAGACTTTTATTACGGAGTAAAAAGCGAGATTGATGAGTTGATACAGGACCTAGACGATATATTTTACATGCCGAGCCCTCAGGATGTTGGAGGGATGATTTTGGATGATCGAAGTCTAACTGTTTCCGAGAACAAGGTGAAAAATTGTCGGTCACTGCTGAGTTTGATTCCTGAGTATGCAAAGAAACGACTGCTGCCACTAAGCGGGAAAGCACTTGCTGCTCTTCAAGAGATTAACCAGGGCCACCTCCCAGTATGTGCTTTACTTTCTGGCCGTACTGCGACAAATGCAGATACATTTACTAGGTCCGCAGTGCGACAATTTTACGCCGGCGCGCTGGAAGTTTGTGGAGGGAATGGGAATGGATCAGAACCCTTCATCTCAGGAAGTCTCTTTCAGAGCTCTGTGTCGATATGTTTTTCTCAACACTAGTAAGGGACAAATGGTTGCGTTCAGAGCGTTTGATAAGTATCTACGTCGCAAGTACCCAACGACATTCAGTTGCAAGCTAAGCTTCCAGCAATTACGCCAGGGTATGGTTGCAATATCAAGAACGTACGTGAACAAGAATGTGACCACGGACCTGTACGAATCGATGGTACAAGAGATTATGTTTGGCCATGCAGCAAAGACAAGTCTTCAGAACTATGGAGTGGATAGTTTTTCGTTGAGGTCTGTGAGCGGAACAACCGCAACCTACCTCCAAAGCCGCGCGTCCACCGAGTGGCTGGAATGGATAGGGTTTGAGCGGATAACGAAAGTAGAAAAACCAAACAAAATGCTAGATGGGGTGCCTCGTTCGGTTCCCATTAGATGTCCTGACGACCTGAACACAGCCGGAAAAGAAGTGTATGGAGACGATTTCCAGTTTCGTAAAGGACAGTTTTCCGTGTGCGTAGAGATGTACTTGTCAAACGTGCCCTCGCTCGCCATAATTGCCCCACCTGGGTACGGTAAGACGGTACTATATCAAGTTCCCATGAAGGCGCTGCAAGCGAAGCCTGATGTAAGTACGTTTCCTTTGTGTGTGTTCCATACACTGTGTTGGAAGCGGGAACACTAACGCGGATGAGAAACGGGGGACTGCTAGCCAACAGTATCAAGTTCTTTCTTGAGCGGGGTCATGACGGTATTTCTGACGTATACATAGGAACATACAACGACGTTGCGAGCAATGAGTTTGCTTTACAGATTCAGGGGTGGGAGTCCTTCTATGGATCGAGCCAGCAAGCGTCTACTCCACGCCTGGGGTATCTTGTGATTGACGAGTATCACAACATCGAGACCGAGGAGTATAGACGAGAGACGTTTGAGCCCATGAAAATGTAACTTTAACAAGTTTGAAAAGGTGGTCTTTCTCAGCGCCACTGCGACAGAAGGGATAATAGTAGGGCTGCGATGTGCCGGTTGGGATTCCCGGGGGTGCTTGAGGATGGAGAGCACTTGGTTGCGGAGTGTGGCGAAAGTACGGCGTTGATGATGGATTTCAAGACGAAGGTTATCGACTTGGTGGACAAACCGCCGCTCGGCCATATCTATAAGGATATAGTAACTTCCAAGAACTCGCCCAAGGAAGCCTTGGAACTACTAAAGAGTCTATTTGCCCTTGAGCCGCATGCCAAGGCTATTGTAGCAGTGGGCCGCAGGGCCCTGGTGGAGGAGCTTGCAATTGAGTGGAACAGATATTTCAACATTCTTTGGATCCACGGAGACTTGTCATCGGAGGAAAAGACACGGCGAACACAAAGGTTTATCAACGACGGGGGTATGCGTGTACTCATTGGAACAAAGCTTGTGTCCGAGGGAATCGACGTAA